CTTATGTTGTGTTTTGTTGTGCTGCTTCTCACTGACCATTTCCCATTACAACAGGGTGGAAGCTCGTGCTGATATTCTACGGATTCACTCTCGGTCGATGAACTTGACACGAGGAATCAACCTGACCAAGATTGCGGAGAAGATGAATGGATGTTCTGGGGCGGAGCTGAAGGGTGTCTGCACCGAGGCCGGCATGTATGCCCTCCGGGAGCGGCGGGTGCATGTTACCCAGGAGGATTTCGACCTGGCCACTGCCAAGATTCTCAACAAGCATGACGACAAGGAGATTGCTGTATCCAAACTTTTCAAGTAAAGAGGGCTAGAAATAATGGGTTACAAATTTCTCTGGATGATTGACATGTATCACCAGTTATACAACTGGCGTTTATTGCCATTCCCATTTGCATAACACTGCATAACACTACATACTACGTAATATTCCCTTAGAGTCAAGCCGACAGTAGGATCTGGAATATGTATTATCGTGGCCTTGCTTCACAGTCTTATACACACTGTATATATAATCACATGACACAGTACAACTTTGTCCATGCCTATAACTATAGGACTTGGCGAATACCACCTTTGTGATTGCTGCCAAGACCTCAAGGCAGTTATGTTTTCAAGCCTAGATGGACGAGAGACACTTTAAAAAAAGAAGAAAAAGGGATCTGCAACGGGGGTGATTGGTACGCTACACCAAGGAAACCTCGGCCATGTGCCCAACCCAACCACTTCTTGTGTAACTGACACTAACAATACACTCATTTTGGGAGGATGGGGAGGGGTGAGTTCTTGGCTGTCATAGAAATTTGGCCCATCTGGAGATAGTCAGATAGATGGACAGTTACGGAGTCGGTCGATGGGGGAAATTTGATGAATTCCTTAGTCGAGCATAACTAGCGGAATCAATAATGGTTCATCATCCGAGGCGAAGAAGGAAAGTCAGGAAACCAGAATCCGGCACCCCAGCAATTGGTGGGATTTGGATTTCCTCCCCCATGATGAAAACAATAAGGAAAGATCACCGTGGACGATTGTTGATGTTTTTACTAGAATCTTTTATCTACTGGAATCCACGATCAGCTTCTCAGCGCTTTCTAGCCCCAACTTTATGTCTTGCCAGGACGGGGACTCGGAGTACATCCTACCGTCGCCAATCATTGGGGGTTCTTCTTTCGTCATCTTGCTGAACATGGTCGACCCAGCATGCTTGGCGATGAGCAAATCACTATTGGAACAGCCAAGCAGCCAAGAGGGCATTGAATGAAACCATCTCTGTAGTTATCCTGGATAGTGTGAGAATACCTACTCTCACCACCGTGTATCTGTTCTGTATTCTGACGCGTCCAAAGAACCTGACAAGCGCGTGACCTGCGGATCCCTTCCAGGGTCTCGGCTCAAGTGGAGCCCGACCAGATCGGATGACCTGCTCTGATGCTGTCCATAGTATCTAGTTGGGAGGCCAAGGAAGCGCTGCATCTTGCTCCTTGCGTGGATCTTCCTTTCGGTCTGTCTTCTGGTTGTAGCAAGGTACTTACACCTACCGGCAAAGTACCTCTCTGGTCATCATGGCCCGACGACTTTGTATGTACAGTACTACATGGAGGAATAATGCAGCTGGGTGATCATTTGGGCCTGAACAATATGTATAGTGGCCCTGCAGACACCAATGGTCCATTGCCAGATCATCACCTCCCGTCATCATCAGCAACTCCGGACTCCGAGCAAAAGGCGGAGAGGATCAGAGGACGACTAGGAAGTTGTATCACTTGAATTAAAAAATAAAAAGAAAAAGAAAAAAAAGGAGGGACGTTGATTGGTCCGCTGGAGATGTTCACGGCACTCCCTTTTCCTCAATGATTATCAGTTGGGATCAAAAGGAAATACTCCGGATGCCAGATTGGGAGGTATATATGTATCTCTTTCCATTCTGCCTGAATTCCGTTTCTTCCTTTTCTTCCTTCCTTCTTCTTCCTATCATACCCACTCAGACGGATCTACCCAAGACAAACATCAAGTATCTCAAACCGTTTTCCACATCTCTTCCAGAATATCTCTTCACCTTCCCACCCACCCCTATTCAGTGGGATCGTACGATTCATTCAAATCCCACCACTTTCCATTGTATCCACTCGAGTTGTCCACGGTACAGAGTGTCGATCAGATGTTTTGAGTTCGCCTCTTATCTCTTTGATTGATATATATATATATATATATATATATACTCACCTATATTTATCCCGTCTTTGGATTGGTTTACTGCTATCATCGCTACTCTTTCTATAACCTCTCATCCTTTCATCGTCCCTCATCGACCCGTATTTCCGGTTATTATGCCCGAAACCGAGCTATGGTCCACTCTAGTCACTGCCATTGATCCGGAGAATGTCAAAGCCATGCCGGCTGTCCTTCAGTCGACAATTCATCTGCTGGAGTCGGAACTGGTTAAGGCTAGGGCCGCCCTGCAAGAGATCCAACCCAATGTCAACTCGATGTGCATGCAGAGGGATGACCTCGCTGTGGGTGCTATGGCTGCCTACCGTCAACATCTCATCGGGCGAGCTCCCGGCTTCTACTATGGCACTCGCCGTTTGACCCCCAAGGAGATTGGCCTCGTTCCCGTCGTTCATGAAGTGCAGCCCGATGATGATGAAAAAGAGGACCTCAAGCAAGAGAAGCAACAGAGCACGGTGACAGTGATCTCACCTCCACGTGCCCCCCTCGAGGATATGCTATCCAACAGCTTGATTCTCGACCATATGGCTCCTTACCTATCTGTCCCGTCGCTGGTTTCCCTTGCGGCAACCTCGCGCTTCCTACGCTCCATGGTCATGGAGACACCCTATGTGTTCCGTCACCTTGATTTGACTCGATGCCGTGGTGCCCAGATCTCGCAGCCGAGGCAAAAATTGAACTCGAGCCATCAGACAGATTACTCTTCGACAGAGGACGAGTTTTATTCCGCGCCGCTGAAGGGCATTTTTGCCAATCTGGAACGCTGGTCAATCCTGCAAGACGTACGCACTTTGGTACTAGATGGTCTCTCGGTCCCGGCCGATCTAATTGCAGAAATAATTTTGACGGATCGATTCAATGTCAATATCTTGTCAATCAAAGATTGTCTTCACCTCAACGAGCGTAAGCTCATGCAGGTTATCCAACATGCAGTTCGACCCACGCGCCCCGACGGGACCCCCCGTGTCAAGGCAATATACCATTTCACCCCGAAGAATCGCCCCCAGGCTCCCGTGCGAAAGAATTTTCTCGACTGGTGGTCCAGGTGCACTAACAAGTCTAGAACTACTTCCACTTCCAAGGCGGCGTCTGGTGCCAATTCGGAATCCCGCCAGCAGAATGTGTGGTACGACCCATCCGGTAAAATATTCAAGCATACTATCGAAGAGGGCTGGGCGCAGACCATCCAAAAGTGTGAAGGAATCATAGCTTTTGATGCCGTGCTTTGTCGTGGACCGCGGCACAATGTCAGCCTCTTTTCATCCGAAAACCAAGATGGACCTCAGCCTGAAGGTCAACTGCTTGGACCAGCACTGGCCACCATTGCTCTCGGATCCAAAGGCTGCGAATGCTGCCATAGCTCCCCCGAAGGTCCAGCTATTTGGGGTCAATCCCCCAGCAAAGAGTTCCCACTGCTTGCTCCGCTACCCTTACACTCATCCACTGTTGCCGCTGCACAGCACCCTGACACTTCCACCGATGGGAATCCGATCCTGATCGCCCGCTGCACGGATTGTCTCACAGACCGCTGGTGCCACCGCTGTAATAAATGGATCTGCTCGAATTGCGTACCACACCCCGATCCAGTTGCGACAGACCTGTCGCCGCATCAAACCGCAATCCGAGGACCACTCAGCAATCAAGGTGCTGGTCCTAGCTCGCCGCAGCAGCAAAAGGTATGTACGAGGCGCTTCCTGGAACCAAAGCAAAATTACTAACTGAAGACTCTTTAGACATTTGGCGTGAGCAAAGATTGCTGGGAATGTGGACCAACTGTAAGTATCTGCCAAAGTGATGTTGATAAATCCTTTCTAACGAGAGCATACAGTGTGCTGCCTGCAAGGTGGAGTGTCAGCGAGCTTGTCAAGGCTGTCGAGGAGTTTATTGCATCGAGCACAATGACGGTTGCTCTGCGAGGATGGTATGTACCCAAGAAGAGAATATCTACAACCATCGTCGTCAGTGACTGATATGTGGTATCTAGTGTGACTGGTGCAATGCCACTGCGCGCCCTCGAATGAGGCGGTTTTGATAAATCTATCTAGGATAAATCTTTTCTTGAACGGATTCCAGCACGCCCCGTTATTATCGCAGATACCAAATCCTCGGGCTTTCGTTTATTTCTTTTCAGTGTTATTATTACGCTAATTCCCTATTATCTGGAACGACCAGTTATGATGTATATAGAGCATTTTTGTTCCACTGTCTTTGGATTTCTTGAGTCATCCGCGCTGATACCATTTGTATATTATCTACTATTACTCTGCGTCCTAAATCACTCACCTCAATCGCTGGCTTTTCGCTATGCCACTGTAGCTGGTTGTGGACATATTCAAACCTGGTGTTTCTGGCATCTCATGAAGATATACAGCATTTGTATAACCATCTGATGGATCCACACAGGCCTATTTATAAACATAAAGCCTTCAGACTTATTAATCAATAAGAGCCTAACTACATACATGACCTCCTTCGCGCCCAATACATTAATCATCCTGATGCGGAGGGCGGCAAATTCCCCCACGGCGGTATCTTCCAGAATGCACGCTGCTCTTCTCTGTACGGCCATTTCAGCCCTCGTATCTTCGCGAGACCCTATAATGTTTCACAACACTCTCCACGTTCCTTCCTGCATTCCATTTCGCATCTATCATTGCCATAGAAATCATGGCTAGGGTCGAAGATTCCTTGCACTGGTCGGCGCAACTGGCCGTGACTCCGCCACTGCGAACTCCGAAGCTTCCTGGCGATAAGATCATTTTACCTCAATCCGCTCTCGAGCAGCTCCTCGCCGCTGCTCCCATCACCGAGGTATCTACTCAGGAATCTCGCTCGTATACCAGGGCATTTGATCCATTTAATCCGCACACATTTGCCGCCGAGTCTCGAGCTAGAGAGCAAGGCTTACAACGCCAACAGCAACTGCCTCATCCGTTGACATTTCGCATCGTGAACCCCCAGAATGATCGCGTGATCTACGCTGGAATTCGGGAGTTCTCCGCAAGTGAAAATGAGGTGGGACTCAGCGCTTCCCTCCGTGATGCACTTGGTTTCGAAGATGATCAGTTCCGGTTGCAAGCTGAGAGGAATTTAAGAGAGACCCAAAATGGGGACGGGGACGAGACAGAGCGGGTTGAATCTATTGCTTTGACGACTTCAAACCAAGGCCCGACAGTCACAGTTCATGCGAAGCAACTACCCAAGGGTACTTATGTACGTCTTCGCCCACTCGAAGCTGGATACGACCCAGAGGATTGGAAGGCTCTTCTCGAACGTTACTTGCGCGATAACTTCACTACTTTAACTACCGGGGAGATTTTGACCGTCCTAGAGGGTCGCAATGAATCGTTTAGATTTCTCGTTGACAAGGTGTACCCGGAAGGTGATGGGATTTGCATTGTCGACACGGATCTGGAGGTGGACATCCTTGCTTTGTCTGAAGAGCAGGCGAGAGAAACACTACGGAGACGATTAGAGAAGGCCGCTCGCGCTCCTGGAACTAAGGAAGGCAGTTCGATTGGCGGTGTTATCACTATTGGAGAGGGCATCAGAGCTCAGGTTGCACCGGGTGAATATGTCGACTACGAATTGCATAACTGGGACCATGGCAACACCATCCAAGTCGAGCTCGATACTCCTGTAGATATTACAGATGTTTTTCTCTTTGTCAGCCCTTTATCCTCACGTCAACGAAACCGTCCACGAGAGGACGAACATATCTTTGGCGACTTTTCGAGCCGGCCATCTAAGCAGATCAGAATCCAACCGACAAACGTTGAGCTAGAGGGTGCTGAGGCACTCTACATATCTACTCATATCTCTTACCCTCAAGGTGACGAAGCGAAACGGCCGGTGCATTACAATTTGCGTGTCGTGGAAACCCCTTCGGAGCCAAGAGAAGTTGACAGTGAAGACCATTTGGACTCTCACGACCCTGAGGATGTGCAGTGTAAAAACTGTCAACAATGGGTGCCTCAGAGAACCTTGATTCTGCACGAGAATTTCTGTCTTCGAAACAATGTGTTCTGTCCTGATTGTCACAATGTTTTTCAAAAAAGATCACCGGAATGGCAGAACCATTGGCACTGTCCCCACGATTCTTCTTATGGTAATGATGCAGCAAGTAAGCACCAGCATGATTCTATTTTCCATAAGATGTACACCTGCCCCATTTGTGACTCTGAAGCCAAAGGACTTCCTAGTCTTGCTCAGCATCGCACTACGACCTGCCCAGGCAAGTCAATTTTGTGCCAATTTTGCCATCTGGTGGTTCCGCAACAGGGCGAGTCAGATCCCGATATCCACGATCCGGAAGTGCTGCTCTCTGGTCTCACTCCCCATGAGTTGGTCGACGGTGGCCGGACGACAGAATGCCATCTATGCAGCAAAATCATCCGGCTACGAGATATGAAAACCCACTTGCGCCACCATGATTTGGAACGTTTGTCTCGACCGCCGCCTCGCGTCTGTCTCAATCAAAACTGTGGACGAACAATTGGTCAGGGTACAGCCAACAATACTGGGAATGACACCCTTGGGCTTTGCAGCATCTGCTACGGCCCGCTATATGTGGACACCTACGACCCCGAAGGAAAGGCACTTCGACGCCGCATCGAGCGTCGCTATCTTTCCCAGATGATGACCGGGTGTGGGAAATCCTGGTGTCAGAATAAGTATTGTAAAACGGGAAAACAACTGGATCCACAACAGCCTCAGTCTCAACCGGCTTCGCTGAGTGCGACAACTATTCTGACCACAGTTCGACCATTGCTCGATGCTGTTAACTTACACGGCCCGAATATAGGCCCCCTTTACCTGTGTACCGACCAGGCCGGCCAACAGCGACGTGGCCTGGCGGAAATGATTGCGGCAGAAGGTGCGGCAGAAACAGGCAGCGCAAAAATATATGATCTAGCCTGGTGTGTGGCTGCGGTCGAAGCGACTGGTGGGGATTTGACCAAGGCAAGAGAGTGGTTGGAGAACTGGGCACCTGCGAGAGGTGAAAATGCAGGCGCATAATGATCATAAACGGACAGGGAGTTCTGTTTCCCCCGTTGACTTTGGGATACCATAGGATCTTCGTTTCTTGTATTCATCTACAACGATTTTGGGCGAGAACTTCAATTCACACACAATACAGCGGTGCTGATATAGATGCAAACAAACCACCTTTCTTTCTCATACCTTTTAAGTACTATTTCTCTTTTCCCCGGTCGGTACTTGTGATTGCCAAGGATTGGAAGCACGATGCTAGAACTAAGAAACCACGGAATTCGTAATGGTCGTACATGATGAAGTGCAAGGATTTGACGCTTGTGAAGTAGAATGCCATATCCATCCTATCTTCAAAACTTAAGGAAACAGTAGATATATGGCATATTTCCCGCAATATAATGGTCGAAAATGGAAAAGAAAAAGAACAAAGACTGTACATCCGATCTACTTAGCTAGCGCCAGTCTTCGCAGCCAGAGTACCGCTCCCGCGAGAAGAAAAGATACCCATGATCCCGAAGACGACGTAGAACAATGCCAACGGGTATGCCACCAAGCCTCTCATACCACTCATACGAGCCACGGCACAGAACATCCCCGACGAGCTGTAGGTGCACCACCCGACGGCGGCTGTGGTTAACAGATATCCAAACATCGTGTCCATGGGGATGAGGATTCCAATAAGACTGGTCATTACCAGGGGTAGGAAGCAGTATCCCAGGACACTGGCGGAGCGGGGGAAGGTCAAGGTTGCAGAAAAGTGGCCGACGGCGGTGCCGGACATGGAGGGTTTGTGGTGGGGGTCATAGTGGGTAGGGTCTGCTGCGTTGGCTGCCGGGACGGTATCGAGGGCCGGGGACATAAGACTGAGGATTAAATGCAAAGCGACGGTTCCAAATACCGCAACGCCGTAGATGTAGCCGTAGAAGACTTTGCCAGAGAGGAGAAGGAACGTTCCATAGAGAACGATGTACAGGAGAGCCCCGTAGAGATCGCTGTCATCCATGAGATGCTGGTCAATTTGGGCAAAAGGATTCAACACAGTCAGAGTCTAGCACACAATAACAGATTAGTTCCCGACTTTTTCTCTTCCTCGGATATATGAATGAAAGGAGGTTGGTTCTCCGTAGTCAAGGCAAGGCGCCCCAGCCAACAACCCACCTTTGTCCTGATGTGCTCAAAATTGACTCCAAGCTCCTCCAACAACGGCGGCTCTCCGTCATATCCTTCCGTTCCAAATGCGGCAAGCCACCCTGTCCTCAAACCACCTTGATCGCCCATCCTCCCACTCACTCCAGCAGCCGGAGACCCAAACCCACCATATCCACCACCTCCACCAACTGGGTATGCCTGGGCAGCTGGGTTTGAGGCTGCACCGAAGCCGCCGTAAGAAGCTTGTGAAGGTGTAGTGTGGCCCGATACTGAGCCATAGGACGAAGGAAAGAATTGGAGATTTTGCGCAGAAGCCTGGCTGCCGTAGGGCTGTTGTTGCGGGTAGTATTGGGCCATTGCGGCCAGATTGCAGGAGAACTTCGCTGAGAAAGGTGTTTTCAAAAGTTGATTTCCTTGAAATAATGGGCACAATTGAAATTAATGACAGTCCAGCTAAGTCGCTTGATCCCAAGCAAGTTGAATCGGTAGGTATGTGGTATAAACTCTCCTGTACAGCTGGCCGCCGAAGATGACGGGGAAACCGTGACTAAGAATGCGAGATCGGGTTTAGCGTCATCGCCGCCATGCAACAAACTAGGTATGAATCATGAAAACCCCTGATGTCAACAAGAACAAATTAAAAGATAACGAGGTTTCTTTGAAAATGCTACAAAGATCTATTCAAGGACGCATAGTACAGAGTTTTCTACAGGAAATTTATACCAATTCCCAGCTGCAACCCCTTTCTACCCTCCTCGCCCTTCCGCAACACCAAGGGTAGAGAGAAGTTCAACTCAAATCTGGCGACTGGGTGAGCGTAAACAAGTCCGAATCCTGCTGCAACACTGGGCAGACCATTGCCTAGCTCGGAAAGTGTAGAAGACATGGCATCCCGAACCTCCGCTCCAGTAGTAGGGGCTTCCTTCTGCGAAGTCTGCAGAGGCAACAGCCGACCACCATTAATGAATGTCTGCAATCGCAAAGGCTTCTCAGCTCCCACACGGGGGAGTGGGAACAACAAATTGGCACTTCCGGCGGCATAGACGTCGCCTCCGACGGCATCCGCTCCGTCGCGAGGGCCGAGACCAGAAAGGCGGAAACCACGAACATCAGTAGGCCCTCCAAGCTGGAAGCGGTCATTGACACGGGAGAGTTGAGGTCGAGAGTTCGAGTCAAGTCCAAGAGGGTAGAAAAGACCGGCACGGAATCCAGTAGTGAGACTGATGCCGCTGTCCCCTTTGACTCCCGGGATCGGAATGGGCACGGCTCCTTGCGTTTCAACTTCAGATTTCCAGAAAGATACATCGCCCTTCAATGGGCCCCAGCCAGCCAATTCATTGAATGCTTTGGCGTAGTAGCCCCGGGATGGGAGGATAGGGTTGTCTCTGCGGTCAGTGGTCCAGCTGTGGAAAACACTGCTCTTGACGCTATCGCCTGCATCTGCTCGGACTGTGGGGGATGCAGCCTCCGACAAACCGGTCATCTGTCTCCAAAAGCCATTGTACCCGAGTTCATGGCGGTGTCCAGATTGGCTCAACCAGCGGAGCTTGCTCCAGCCTCCCTTCAGCACCTCCTCATGACTCGCCCAAGACCTTTCTGTTGAGCTGGCGATGCCGCCAATTTCAAAGCGGAAATCAGGGTCACTGAGAATGGGTGTCTCAAAAGCAGCTTGATAGGCAGATCTAGTCCTCGTACCCAGCGAAGCGTTCAAGTTAAGTGTTTCCGCACCACCAAACACATTGCGCCAGAGAAGATTGCCATAAGCAGAGCCCTCTGCATTTCCAAGGTCGGTTCCTGTCTTCAACAAGACGCGGGATTTCTCCTTGACAGACAGAAAGACGTCAATGTTATCCAGTCCGTCTTTGTTCGAGTGATCCAAGAAAACGGAAATTGGCTGCTGGAATATATCTGTAGCTGTGTTAGAAATGCCCCGACTCGAAATCCAAAAGAGCTAGAGAACACTGACCAAATCTGCTGAGCTTGTCGGCGCGTGCCGAGACTTCCCGCAAGGCCTCGGCGAGGGAGTATGGCCTGTTTTGATTAACACCCAACAACGGATCAAATATCCGCTCCAAGAATCCTCTACGCGTATGATGTGCATTGAGAACCTGAACCGATGAGATGGTGCATGGTAGAGTGGAATTCTGGTCGATCTGATATCATACCCAGTTAGTCGGTTGCTCAGTATACCCGCTAACTATATTTCTTTTCCTGGGAATAGAAAAGAGACAGAGCAAGTAAAAAAGATAAAATAAAATAAAAAATAAGAGAGACGAACCAGCTCCCCAAGCCGGGCCTGTGCCTTTTGGTAAATCGCATTGACCCGTTCATTGACGGCCTTCTGTTGCTCGTCCTGCACTTTGGGGTCGGCACGCTGTTGAAGACGCTCGAAGATCTAAAGATAAATAGTACCTTGGTCAGCTTCTCAAATTGAAAATAGATCCAGATCAGCCCTCAAAGAAATAACGTACGTCTTCATCTTCGGCAGAAATATGAGAGGACATTGCGACGGCTGCAATGGCCATAAACCATGGACAGGCTTCTTCACCTTTCTTGTTCCGTTCAGAGCTACGAAGGTGAGGATACGCCCCACGTGACTGGTGGCTCTCCTGGACTTCCGTCCATCATCAGCGCAGTCATTGCAACATCAACGTCAATACTCGAGCGGGGATCGCTTTATCATCGAACCACTTTTATTGTTGTCGCTTCGAGGCGCTGGTTGAGACTATCTTCTTTTTTTGTTTTGTAAGATTTGATTTTTGAGCACGATACACTTGTAACGAGGCCGAGGTTACCGCAACTGCCCCAAAACGATGGCGACAAAAGCAGCATTCAAGCGAGTGAGTTTTAAACTGACTGGCGTAACGAGTTTACCCAGCTCTAACCATTAAACAGCTTACTCGCGAGTATCAAAACATTCAAAAGAACCCACCTCCATACATTGTGGCGCATCCCTCAGAGTCCAATATCCTCGAGTAAGTATCACTGTTACTTTGGTCTCCCTGATGAATTCTGAAACCTTTCTAGATGGCATTACATCCTTACAGGCCCCCCAGGAACCCCGTACGAAAATGGCCAGTACTGGGGCACTCTTGTGTTCCCCCCGGAGTACCCGTTTGCCCCCCCAGCGATTCGCATGCACACCCCAAGTGGCCGGTTTCAGCCATCTACACGTCTGTGTTTGAGCATCAGTGACTTCCATCCAAAGTCATTCAACCCGGCGTGGGAAGTCTCCACTATTCTTATTGGATTGATGTCTTTCATGACTAGTGAGGAAATGACTACCGGCAGTGTCAGTGCATCAGAGGCTGAGCGCAGAGTCTTGGCTGCGCGATCAAGGTGGTGGAATTCTACTGGCGGAGGATCACATATTAATGCTACCCCGGGAGTGACCCCTACCGCCAAGGGCATCAATAATGTCAAAGCTGGGGACGGTGGCTTGAAGTTCCGCGCAGAATGGCCAGAGCTAGATCAAGAGAACTGGAAGTGGATGAAGGACAACCGTATTGACACGAACACGGGACAAATTATCCCCGATCCAAATGCTGCGGCTACAAAATGCTCACCTGAGACAAGTGCGCTGCGCAGACGTCCGAATGGAAGCGCTCCCGGCATTGGGGTGGTCATGGAAGGAGGCCATGTCGCGCGAGAAGCAGGCCAGAGCTGGGCTCTACGGAACAAGATCTGGATTGGCATCGCAATTGCGTTTGGATACGCACTCCTGATGAGGGTCGTGAATGATGTTCAAGGCTAAGTTGATTTGGACATTGTTTGACACATTATCAACACTGACAGTTGTGGCTCTCCCAAAACGCCTTTTCTTCCAAAAGACTTGTAATACTCTTTCACCTCTCTATCACAGGCGGCAGGCCCTATCTCCTTTTCTTTTCTTTCCTTTTTTCTTTCTTTTTTGTTGAACAGCAGGTTTGGATGCATTTTACAGGATTGCGGATTGTCTAAAGACCAGGGGTCTTTTACAGGAATGGCGTTTTATTTATTATTATTATTACTTTTTATTTTTTATTTTTTGCTTTGTTGACTGTGTGTAAAGATCTAGAAGAGAACCGAGGGATAGCACTCGAAGACAGAAATTAAATAAACTGTATGTACATACGAGTGACCTAGTCAGCTCTTGTGCTCATCGCGGTAGATGTTACACAAACAATTGCACTTGATAGATTCAATTTTTAATCCTTTTCATTGTTCCCAGGATTTGACAACCAGGGGCATAAACACGCAGAATAATGGCAGATAACACCCAATCCATCAGCATCCCATCGAAATCCATGTCCATCGTCTGGCGTGTGGCGGGGGCAAAGACCAGCAGCCAACCAAGGTACTAGCAACTGCCCACTAGCCAGGGCTTATCTCCATCGGCCCCCGCAGCAGCCCCCAGCTTCATTCCATTTGTTCTGCTCATTACACCCCAAACTTCCCCCCTTCCCCTCCCCAATCGTCCTTTTGGGCTGTTCCCCAACGGTCTCCATTCCTCTTACATTCTGGGGATTTGCTTGCCTGAAAGGCACTGCATGGCTGCCCACTTGCCTCTGGCCGGGGCTTTTCTCCAGCACTGTTGGACGTAGCCAGTTCGTCTTCTCCCGCGTCACTTGGCCTTCGGGCCTGGCGATGATGGACAACCATCTGCAACGCGCACCTACAGAGGGTTCTGCACCTAAATCTCGTCCAGGTTCGTATATCTATTTATCATTCATTATGAATTGCCAATTCTTTTCCACCCCTTTTTTAATGTATTTGATCCCAAAGTTTTCATTCTTTCCTTACTACGCAAGGATACATGCTGCCGCTGGGCTTTGGGATCTATCCCAACATTCTGCGTTATGTTACTCTGTATACTTGCTTTTCTTTCTCTCTTCTTATTCAGGGGTCACAACAATCGATCTCGATAATTCTGCTGTGAAGACGTTGCAGTGCGATCTGCTTGTGTTCAAGTTGTGCAACAAATGATACCGTGCTGTACTCCGATCATTATTATTGTCATCTTCTTTTTATATGTGGGGCTTTTACTCTAGATTTCCTACAGCCTTCTGGGCCAGAAACCCGTTATCTCAATCAAGGCTGTTGGATCTGACCCCTGATTATTGACCCACCGTTGACGTTTATACATATTCGAAACCAGCGCCTGTGGATCGACCCACGTTCACATTTATTGATCAAGATGATGACTTGACCTCCAAACGCATTAAGGATGCCAATTCTCGCAAAGCCATTCGCTCTCATGTTATGCGTGATGTACGGCGGCGTGAACGACTTGCAGGGCTGAAAAGAGTACCAAGGCGTGAAAGCCGCCTTGAACAACCTGAAGGGAGTTTGTCACTACATCTCAAAGACTTGCCAGCTGCCTCTCCATCATCTGTGGTATCTTCACTACCGGAGGCTGAGACTGAGCCAGTTCGTGACCTCGTCGAGTCAAGGCAACAACGAGGACGACCGATGAAATGGACTGCCGGCTATTCGACTTCCTCAAGTCCAAGCCCTAGGCCTCATCTATTCCCTACTTCTTGGCTTATTGATCCTTTTAATACTCTGCCAGGTACTACCGAGGCCCCATCAATGGTTGCTAATCTATTAATCTATTGTGAGTTATCTGGTCCCGTACAGAATTACTTTGCATCCGCCGTGATACCTCATTTATACATTTTACAATCCCATATATTCGCTGTTCAGTGCGACATAAACCTATGTACATATCTTGAGATTACCCACGTCTCCATGGCAAGAAACTCGTTTAGAATTACTTCCAATATGAAACTGACTTGTGTCATTGAAAAGGGAAAACCGTGTTTGTCCCAATGACTTTTCCAAATGAGCACAAAGTTTCTCAACGAGCTGAGATGGAACTGATGGTCAAATCAGCATTCTCTGATCCAGGGAGCTTCTTTGGACTTATGAGCATGTGTGCTGCCCATCGCGCTATTCTTGCTGGGCGCCATTCAGACCTTATCGGTTCTCTGGAAAGATCCCACCGAGTTCTGCACGACCCAGACTACTACATCATGAAAGTAAAGTGCATACGGGAGATGAATACAAAAGTGCGTGATCCTGGCCGCGCGCTGAGCGACGAAGCCTTTGATACAATCATCAACCTTTTGACAAGCGCGGTAAGAGCTCCATTCTCAATTTGAAACTACAAATGAAATTTCTAGTTTTAGCTGTCGTTCAATGTGTTAAGCGGGTCTCATCTTGTAATGATCGGTCTTCCTAACATCCAACAGTTAATAGTCGGGTTATTTGATGAAGCGCGGATTCACCTCACGGGTCTGAAGCAGATGGTTGAGCTACGGGGTGGTATTACGGAAGATAGTATCCGTGGCTCCTCGATGTTAGCTGCTATTATCACGTATGTGCTGCAAACTTGCTGTCGGAACCCTCCCACAAACTAAAATATCAGGACCGATATAAAATCTGCCTCGGGCCTCATGGCAAAACCAGTGTTTCCTTTGACTTGGGATTCGCAACCAGTACCCGCAGATATTCAGAAACGGGTCAAACCGCCAGAATCGTCGCCCCTAAATGGATTGGGCGCCGCCTTATTTGCAAACAATCTCCTTAGTTTCCCTCTGCTCAGAATTCTTCATGTTCTACGGGACATCGTCTTTTTTAACCAGACCTACAAGCAAAACCCAAATGGTCTATACCCTGAAGACCATGATTTCTTCCGTGTCATCAATTGTGAGATTGAACACCAACTTCTCAGTTACATATACCCTGAGTCTGGGAATGAAGCTCCTTCATTCCCAGGGACTACTCTAGATCCTCATCCTATTGAGGCAGCCACCAGAACTGCTTCCATTTGCTATCTCAACCATTTTCTTATTGTTTCACCCCCATCATCGGGGCTAGGTCGTGCTCTTACTGGACACCTCAAGAAAGCAGTAAGCAACTGCACCCTGTCTCTATTATCGCAACTACCCAAAGAGAATTATGACCTTCTTGCCTGGGTGTTTTTTATCGGAGCCCAAGGTTCCATCGGGCAGACCGAGCATCCTTGGTTTGTTGAACGGCTTGCCCGTGTCGCCATGATCTGTGGATGGCGAAGTTGGAAACAGGTATCTGACAAAATGACCGGATATATATATGTTCCTAATATAAACGGGTCTGTTTGGAAATCCATCTGGAACGAGGCAATGGCTGGTCTTGTTCCAGACGTGATGTAAAATAAGAGTATTCTTTTTCTCAGATGGGTAATACGGTGATTCTGTCACACACAGAGAGAAAAAAGAGGTTGGATAATATAGGAGACACGAAGAATGTCCAAGATATATGTACGATACATGAAATACATACCTACAGTAAGAGGCACTGTTCTGGACTACTACATATGCTATGAACATGTTGATATTAGATTATCCCCCTCGGGATTTGTGGTGTTTGTGATTGGCGGCTGGAATGTGGGGCGAATCGTCTTAGGTCATCCGCCTAAACTTTTCGCGCCTCGGGGATCGAAATGATGATATCCTCTGCTATCGGTTTTGTCCTCCCTTTCTTCTTGCGGAGCTTTCTCGGTTCTTCTCGTCTCTTATACTTGTCCTTTCATTCTCCCAGAGCACGCTTCATATTACTCAAAATGGGTTGGTTCTGGGCTGATTCGCAACCAAAGCCGACGCCGGTGGCTCCGAACCCTATGGCATCGTCTAATGCTTCTCCTCCTGTCAGTAAACAGATTTATGCTTCAACAAGATAAAAAAAGTCATTCGCATATCTAATTATTGCTTACAGCCGGGATGTCCGATGCATGTTGCAAACTCTTCTCCTTCTCCACCGCCACCTGTTCGCAACGATGACACTCCAAGCGCGTGTCCTGTCCGATCTAAGGACTCTCCCTTCTACACAGCGCCTACCTCCAAGCCTGCGCACTCTCCTGAGCCTGCCTTTGCAGAGAGCAAGTCGACACTGTCCAAACTGAATCCGCTGAACTACATGTTTTCGTCTATTTCCCAAGAACGGGCACCGAATCAAACCGTTGATCTACCCATCGATCGAGAAGAGTCTACAATCCCCAGAGGCGACAAGGCAGGCAACTGGGAATACCCTTCTCCCCAGCAGATGTACAATGCCATGTTGCGGAAAGGCTACACGGACACCCCTCAGGACGCTGTAGAGTCGATGGTTGCCGTTCATAACTTCTTGAACGAAGGCGCCTGGGATGAGATCGCCGGCTGGGAACGTGTATTCTCCAAGGGCCTTCTGAAAGGATGGGAGAAGTGCCGGCGTGGGGAGGAAAATATTTCGCTCGACGCATTTAGGGAGCAGATGACTGAGGAAGCTACGGAGGAGAATTCGCCATATCTCATCAGGTTCCAAGGCCGACCGAAAGAGTTGACTCCTAAGGCGCAGATGCTTCAAGCGCTGAGTTGGATGTTTCCATCAAAATATGGGTAGGTTTCCACATACATAGGCTCTCCTCGAAAAGTGGAATTGTTTGATGCAAGTAGGCTAACCCTCTATACAGAACTAGCCCACCTTTCGATCGACACGACTGGTACGTGATGCGGAAAACACCGACAGGTCCGAAGGAAGTTCGTTATGTTATTGACTATTATTCGGGTCCCCCGGAACCCACGGGAGAGCCAGTTTTCTTCTTGGATATCAGACCAGCTGTTGATACACCAACAGCCGCGGTTGAGCGGCTGATGAGATGGGGAGGAGATGTCTGGTGGCGGGCTAGTGGAGGGGTTGCTCGAGAGAACAAGTAGAATTGATACTCGTTCCATGCCCTCCGCTTATTCCATCTTGTTTCACTGCTTCGACATTCTCTGCTGCTTCTCCACTCTCCATTATTTACTATAGACAGGGCGCAGGCGTCTGATATGTTTTCCACTGGGAATTGTCTTCTTGTATAACTTTCTCCTGTATTATGCATAATCTCTTCTGTTGGTGTTTGATTTTTGCCGTTTGCTTAAGCGAACATGTGACGGTGTTCCTAGGCTGCTTGGTTTGAAATGAGTTATGCTCTTGTTACTTTCTCACTCCCTTTGTATTTGGGGGGAATATATGTATTGATATGATCTATTCAGAAGTTCTATTTAATCAATTTTAGACATTGTTAAACCGGCGTTCATTCTTTTCTATGGTAGTAACGTTCTACACAAATACAATCAAGCCTCGTAGAGAGAAGAGTGTATCGCCCGTCAGAGGAATGGTATAAAGGATATGAAGTAGTACCTAATTTCTATTGTATTATAACCATACGCTATGTTGTATTCAACATCTAGATTCTTTATAGATTTGCTTTCCTCTGATTCGTACACTGATTCATCTGATATTTCAAATTACTGTATGAGCCGCTATATTAAGCTTAGAGTCAGTACCAGATCAGCCAAGGCTCGATATGAAGATGAGCAAACATACCATTATGGTAATATCCACGCTTGCCACACATACCATGTACTCAATATAGTGTTAGTGTGTGTGTGTGTGTGTGTGTGTTTATATACATCAATGAATATAAAGAAGATCCTTTTTCAGATGTTAGGGGACAGCATATCATATCTGACACACTGTTCTACACTTTCAATGCTGGCCTGAAGTAGGCCACGCGCTTCAAGCCCGACCCAAACGCGGAGCATGGAAGTATCACCTGAACGAACAGACTGCAGGAATGTAGTGCCAGACCCAAGTTGTCGCAGAATAGGTAAGGCGCTATATGTAAATGAACTATCAGCCACTTTCGATCCCTGGACTGGGACATGCTAAGACGAAACCATAGGGTAAACTCACCTCTTGAATAGGTCCAAATCTGGGTCCAGATTGCGCCCAATGCCTTCCAACAGGAGGATGGAGATCACCACGTTTACAAAATCACCTTCGAGACGAACGTGGTAACCCCGAACCATGGCTAAAACTTCGCTGAGAATATCACCAATCTTGATATTTCCCAGGGCGAACGTGCGTGACTTGATACTCAAGACCAGATGCTGCATCTTTAGAGCAAAAATTTCTGGATCAATGACTGCTTCGGGTTGACGACATCGCTCGACCATGAGCTGACCCGCTCTATATCCATCGAATTCTGCAACGGAGCGGAATAAATCGATGAAATTTGTCCTGTTTGTTTCATTGAGTTGAGTCACCAAGCCGGTGTCAATAAAGATGAGCTGTGGACGATATCCCTCGGCGTTCATTTGATTGAGGGCATTTGTCCAACCCTCCCGATCTCTGAGATGGGGTCTTAGTCGTGCAAGTATAGTTTCTGTGACATCGACCTCTGCCCTAGTGGGGGCCTCAGATGCGCGGGTGTGCTTTCGAAGAGACAAATCCAGCTCACTAGGCTGATAGAAGCGGACCATGATATTACCAGGATGTAAATCGGCATGAACAAAGTTGTCGATTAGTAACATGTGCAGGAATGCATCCAGTCCTTCGTTCGCTATCTCTTGCTGGTAGACACCCCCTCCCATCTCCATGAAGGTTGACAAAGGGATACCCTGCGCGAATTCCTCGACAAGCACCTCGCGGGTGCTATAATCTAGGTATGGGTAAGGAAACCAAGCCGTCGTACGTGACTTGAATTTTTCGCGGAAGACCACAAGGTTAGTTCCTTCGATTCGCAGATCTAGCTGGAGCTTCATCATCTCTCCAAATTGATGAACCTCATCCGGCAACGACAACCAGTGCATAGTCGGAATCGCATTTATCAAGGAGGCGAAGAAGGACATAATCTTCAGGTCTCTGTGGATAACACGTTCAACATTTGGGTGAAGCACCTTGACAGCCACGTAGGACGAAGGAACCCGCTGAGGTGAACTCTTGACTAACACATCGACATTCTTCCGTACTTTGTGCCTCAAGCTCTGAGGTTCAAGCGCAAGATCATTCTCATCAGTCACGGCCAGATTTGCTTTCAACTTCGCCTTGTAGACCTGTGCAATCGCGCCCACTCCAAGCGGCTTTTCTTGGAATTCTTCGAAGATGTCATCAAACGGTATTCCACCAAAAGCCTTGATTATAGTCTTCTCGGTCTCGTGCAATGGATGAGCCGGAGCATTTGAATGTAGTGAGGACAGAGTATTGCATAACTGAGGGGGGAAAATATCGGTTCGTGATGCTGCCCATTGTCCGAGCTATCAGGAAACAGACCTGTCAGCATCCGGTACAAAAATCTTTCTTCGACATGCGAAATCCTCGACACCTACTTTTATAAACGCGGGGCCCGCACGTTCCATTGATCTGACCAGAAAACTATACCACCACAATGTCCCTGTTCGCTCTCCGTTGCGATTTTCGATTCGCCTCCCGAACCATACAGCCGGAACCGTAAAAATGACCGGTAAGAAGATAATCGCCAGGTGAACGAACCTGAAGCCCGTAGTTATTGGGTCGTAAACATAGTAGTACCAAAAGACATATAGCGACTGACGAAGTTTGGATGCCCCTTGTGCATCCTCCGCGACACTTTTCTGGATCTCCCGGCGCGATGCCTCGAGCATCTGCATCTCACCAGTTTTATCATGCCCATCACCACCTTCTACCATGTCTAAAAATGCCCCAGGAGTCAGCGCTGCAACTAGCAGCGTTCCTCCGACGGGTATCCTTCCCCGAGACCCTTTCCAAGGTCTTTGCGGCCATGATGGCGGGCGAGCGAAGCGTAATCGAGACGGCGGAGTGAAGCGGGATAGCAGCTGTGAACTTCCACGGTTCAGACAGAAACGGCCAAAGAGGACGGCCGTCCTCATGTTCTCATGCAGACACGAGCCTGTAGATGATTGCGGATATCATTGAAATAGCAGGATAAGGCCTTTGCGTGGGCATCAATCCGCCATGGGAGCGAAAGTCGTTTGGTCGAAGAGGCCGAGCAATTCCGGTGCTTTCAGGTGCTGCACGTGTTGCGTCATTGCCTGCTCGCTGCCAACTGGAGAATCAACAACCATTCAACACCAATAGGGATATACGAGAAAACGCAGATTTAACAGGTTGATCATTCATATATGAAGTTTAAATTATGCGCTGACTCCAAGGTGCTGGACATCGAGAATATGCAATTCAAAATCAACCACGATCGATCGTCTTCATTCGTATGGTTTGCCCGAAGCCGCTTAAGGGGCTCACATTCCAGTTGATAATAGTCTCGACACATTGCCAACTCCGGCTGTTCTGGTCTGACTGGAGGCTTCTTGTCAATTTGCGTGTTGGTCTGCCAAAAGTGCCCCTGGGATCTCCGAAAACGGGGTTGCTTCATTCACCCAATTCAGCCCATTGTTTCTGGCGCTGTTCCTGGTTAAATAGGCATGGACAGGCACCATTTTTCATAATGGACCTCAATTGCTTCAACATCAAGTTAAGTACAACCTGCCTAGCTTGCCATGCCTTGCTATGGGTATGCCCGCGACTTGGAGTCGAATCATGAGAGTATCTCCAAGCAATGTAAATGGGCCATTCTCTTACCATGGTGTGCAATCGGCTATCTATGCATCCTCCTGGCTTTTCTAAACATTGCGAGTGTTTCAAGCGGCTCGCTCATTCCCTCTGAGCTCATGTTTTACTTTCTTCGAAATGACCAACCCCCATTTTACGCTTTCTCCCAAGGTTCGGGGAATTACGAGAAGCCAAAGGGCTTCAAGGTCGTTGCCTTGGTGCCATTCAGTAGCCATGAACGAACTGTCATCCTAGACTGTTACTTACAGGTGAATAAACATCATGCTCCGCTATTCTCTTTAGATATGGCCATAGGCTAACTTATTTTAGAGGAATCTCGTTCACAATCACGGCTTGCTCGATGGGGTGGTTTTTCTTCCCCAGACACAGGATGCAGCGAGTCTGGAATGGCTAACATCTATAGTCGAGGAAACTCCCGCCTATAGGATATCAGGCCCTGTTGATGACCTGGTGGGGGATAGCATGGATGATGGTGCCATGTACATCCAGATTGATGGCGATGTTGTCTTCTTGGAAGACAATGCAATCCCCACGATAGTCAAAACAAAGCTTGACCATCAAAATTCATTGTTTGTTTCAGCGAATGTTGTCAACGAGGCTGCTCTTGTTGGTCTCCATAGTCATCCCGGTGTTACCCTTCCCTATCTTCCGGAACTACATCGTGTGCCACAAACAGCTGCGTCTCATTTTCAAACCGGAAACGATTGGCGCGCGTCGAATCTTCCGCCATGGGACGGCCCTGCCGACTTCAAGGTGCAGAAATCGTTCTCCCCGCCTTTCGAGGGCCATCGTTGGTTGCCTTCAAGTGACACAGAAGCCAACCAAGCTCCTATCAGTGCGTCTGTGTATACCAAGGATGGTCCAGGAATGTCACATTGGACTGTCAGTGCTCAGCAACATTACTCATTCCTACATCACCTGGAATCGGGTGACCTGCGCCGTTACAAATTCCCTATGTGGGTTGATCCAGTGGGGTCTGCCAGTCCGAACTTCATGTGTTTCTGGGGCATCGATAAGAATGATGTACGGACAGCTATCCAGAATAATAGTTCCAAGGGGCATGATTTGAGGGCAATGCAGGAAACGAACCAAAAGACGCGACATGTTATAATAGATGGCAAAGGCCTGGTTTCTCGTTATTCTACTAGTTCAGGTACGGGTGGGCTGGACTCTACTGATCTCCTCCAGCGATATCAAGCATATGCTCAGGAAATGGTCTGTTTGAAAACTTCCTAAAATAGTAGTAAGTATATCGTGGGGTTTGGTTGCTTGTAAATAGGTCCATTGCATTCTCCCTTTTTCTGGACATAAAGTTGAGGAAATAATTTGAAATCTGATAAACTGCAAACCATTCTTCAATGATAAAAATGTCTGATTGTAGACAGTGTCATGGGTAGGCTGAGGAATAAAGAGCGCAGAGTTAAATTGATGCGCACACATATATATCGCATTGAATACTAGTTAATCAAGATCACTTTTCAACTGCCGTAAAAATGTTCTTCATCAAGTCTTCTACTTTTGCTTTCCAAGTAGGTGGGAGTGTGCCAGACTAAAAGCCCCAGGGTTAGCATAATTGCTGGGGTCCTCCAAAAAATACTGGTCGACTTACATCATTCTTCAACAACTCTTGAGCAAGGATGACCGTGTTGTCCCGATCCTTGGTCAGCTTGAGCCTCTCTGTTTCATCTGCCTCATAAGAAGGCTTTGTGCTCAAAGTCTCCTCGAGCAACGGGTACGCCTCCATAGTCTGTAGACAGTCTATCACGGCCACAGAGCCCGGCCCGCTAGATGCCATCAAGGCTAAAGCAAACCAGCCTTCACTGCGCACGACAGGCCATTGGGTTTGAGTAACCATAGCTCCGATTGGACGCGCAACCCCCTCATGTAAGCTAAACAGACGCTCGAGGAGATCTGCTTCGCCTTTTTGTTCGCGGGATTTGGGGATGACGATGCGGCATATAGATGCAACTATACGTCCAATCTCAGTCTTTACTGGAGTCGAGTCGGTCTTCTCAAAAAGCGCGAAGAGCAATGATAAGTATGTCGGGCTGTCAGCGGATGAATCGGACTCTGGAGGGGGCGATTCCAACAGCCGAGAGATATTTTCAACTGATGATATGATCAACTGGCGAGCGATGCTGGCAGCCGAGAACTGGACTTGTGGGACAGTGTCATATCCCCATAAGCGGGAAATTGCAGGTATGATGCCAGCATCGCCCAAGTAAAGTCTGTTATTGCCGGCAATTGCCAAGTTCTTCAGGAAACCAAGCGCAGCATGAAGCACAGCACCTCTAGCATTGCTTTTCAGAATAGATATCAACTCTTTATGTATGTTTAGGTCTCGAACCATGGTCTCGCACACCTCATCGGACCGCGCCAAATTTCCCAGCATGACACACGAGCATATTTGAAGCTGATCCTTGCTCGTCGCTAGCCATTGTTTCAGGGTCTGCGAGAGCGAAGAATTAAGTGGATAATATTCCATAAACAAAGGGGAGGCAGATAATTCTGACAAAGATTGGTTGATCTTTAATTGGAGTTGTGCCAAGGTTTGGGCATCATCCGTAGAAGAATCAACTTTGATGGAAAATGACCGTGTTAAAACCACCAGCACTCGCTCCACCAGAGAATTTGAAACGCAAATGTTCTGAAAGTGCTGATTGTCTAGGTACGTCGTGAGACAACTGGCAAGAGAGGTAAATTGTGCGAAAGAAATGTCCTCATCAATCGCGAGCTCTATCAGAAGCAAGATGGTCTCATCAGGAGACCTTTCAATTCCTTGGGCTGCATATAATATCCATCAGAATTACATGGCAGAACAGAAAGTAAAATGAGAAACATACCTTGCTCCGCGGCCTGCTCTATAAGCTCGTAGATAAAACTTAACAACGCATCTTTACCCTTAAATGCACCATCTTTGATAAGTTTTAGCAAAATGTATGCAATCCTGTTGGAGGCGAGTTGGGATTGTGCTGGCTCTGCAGTCGATTAGTAAATTTTCAGACAAGTCCAGGGATGAGCATACCAAAATCAACGCATATATTATATAGCACAGGTATCGCCACCTGAACAAGGCCAGGGCTTAAGAGCTGCCTGATGACTGCCAGTATATAATTGTCTTTTACAACAATCACTCGGTTCTCATCTGGAGATAGTCAGTATATAACCCATACCTCTATATTCACAACTCACCAGTATCGGCGCAAGAGTTGCCGGCTAAGCGTAGAGAATGAAACAAGAGTCCATCATTAACATTTTCAGAAGCTATAAGCTGAAGAAAGAACTCTAGAATTCTAGTTTGACCATAGGGTAGTCTCCATGATTCTGAAAATATGATCAGCTTCAGGCCCAGTTAGCCATAGAGGTTTTATTCACTTACGATTGCGGCTCCCATTCGCCAAAAGCTCCGAGGCTGATACCAGGTAGTCTGATCTGCACTTCCAGAGTTTTTCTAGGATGATTCGCACGCTCTGGAGAGTCTTGTAATTGCACCCCGCACCGGTTTCTTGCTCGAGAGACGCATGAATTTCCTTGAGGTCAATTTTACTCTCGTCTTCATCTCCTTCCTCGAACCTTTTTACAAGAGCTTGCAGGGAGCTATATAGCGCCTTTTGCTCATCCACAGACAAAGCCTCGGTTCCCCCAGGCGCTAAAGATGGAGGCGATGCAGTCAACTCTGAGAGAATCTGTCCCACGGAGGGTAACTTGATTATATCATCTTTTCCTGTTTCTGGTTTTCTGTCTGAGACAATGACTTGGCTGTCATTTTGATCCTTGGGCTCCTTCTGGATAGTCGCATTATCCTGGGAACTCATGTTTGCCAGAGAACCGGTTGTAGAACCACCAATTGAGAATTGACAAGATAAAAGACGTCAAGTGGGGTTTGACGGAGATGCTGGCTGTCCCCGAAAGCGGAGCATATAAAAGTTATACCCCTTGAAGTCACAGGCTAAGTCGCTATACCTCGACAGAACGAGACAGAACTTCGGGGCAATATCCAGAGTAGCGACTGTCTGAGTATTTTCGTCAGTATCGGACTTGTACGATCCCTGAACAGTCCAATTCCACACGAACCACAGAAGAACCTCGACGGGAGAAGGTAGATGCAGACGAAAGAAGTATTCTAAAGTCCGTAGGTTTACTCTAGTTAGTTGGGAAGCTTCAGGCACTAAAGGTAGGTAAAGCGAATATTACCGTATCATGTATGTAATTAATCATAAGTATTGAAAGATTTCCAGTCTAGCATTTTAATTCTGCAGCCATTAATAATATCAACCATCATAAGTAACTAGATCAAGGTACTCTTTTTGATATAAGAGGACTGTAAAGATACACTATTATGTTGTTCTAAGCTGACCATAATATGTTTATATCATGCTTTGTTATTAAGCATCCTTGCTACTGGTAATTGAAATACAAACCGTCTGTAAAATACAGCCAGGGGCGCATCCAGAAAACTGGCATCTGTGCCCCATACTTCTTCCTCACTTGGATGTCTACACCACTTGCAATCCACTCCTCCACAGTCCCTCATTCATAAACACTTCCACCATCTGTATTTATATTAGCGGTACTCGAATCGAGCCACTTGTCTCCGCAGGCCTTTCTTTTTCTTGAATTGATCAAAAGTTCATTGTATTATCACACCTCGGAAATTCTTCATCATGACGCGCGCTCAGCAGACTCTCTCCGTTCTCCTGCTTGTCTCTTCGGTATGCTGTCCAGCTCAAACCCCCATTCAAGAACTACTGCTAATCTTCTCTGGTTTTTCTTTTCTTCTAGCTCTACCTGGTCCTGTACCTAGGCCTCGTCCCCCTGAACGAGACAGTCCAAAAAGAAATCATTCCTGTCGTACGTTCTATAACCCCGCTGTCACCTCCAACAGTCGCGTGTTCCCGTGTTGATCGACTTTAACCATTGGATTGAATAGCTTCCTTTCTACGCTTTGATATCCTTCGGATGTTACTTACTCGGCCGGTTGGGCGTGGCGATCTTCACATTCAACGATGTTCCGGAAGCGCACGAAGAACTGCAAAAGGAGATTGAGCAGGCCAAGGCCGAATTGCGCAGGGGAAACGTTGATGTCGATTAAGCTCTTCTTTTCTTTTCTTTTTTTTTTTTTCCCCTCTGATTCGATTATGTTTGGTTTTGGGAATATACCTTGGTCTTTTCTCGTTCTTTATATCTGAGTTGAAGCTGTTCGCGTATATGCGGGAAAGGCGGATAATATGTACCGATTATAAAGCAAAATATTGATGAGATTGTGATACAATAGGATAGACGGTATGGAGTCAGATTGTTTCATGGGGACTGTTAGTATGGTGTAGAAGATCGTTGGTATCCCATTTTCTATTATTGAGAAATACCGAAAATATCACCAATTGATGAAACTGGGAATACCCCCCATGTACTGAGATAAGTAGTCGCTCTTAACATTTTGTAAATGAATTGCTTTTATCTATCAATATACTATGAAGGGTTTATTTTCGTAACGTGGCATGTCCAATGACTCACTCAAGCCATAAATGAATCAATTTATATGCAACCAAATGAAAGCCAGTATGAGCAGAGCTGAAGCTGTTCAAGATTATAGTCTTGGATATGGTTTTGGAAATAACTGGCCAAAATTAAGCAAAGAAGGGGTTTTCCTGCGCCAATCTGTCGTGCTCATCGATGTCCCTTGATACAGGTTAGTTATCGAAAACATAAAAGGTGAAGCTGGTCGACAGAACACATACTTGGCCTCCCATGGGTAGCAGATCCAAACGTCGCCAGTCGTAACAGCTGCGTGGTAGCCATTTTCCAACATATCCTGGGAAAGCGACCCCTTCTTGGGCTTGTCCTTGTTCTGTCGCAATAGTTAGCGAGGAATGGCTAAATGTATCAGATGCGCAACATACGTGAAGCACAAAAATGAAAAAGTTGGTCTTCTCGCCCTCACGGCCAAGCTGCTTCTGCGCGATCTCAACATCCTTCTCGAGCTCCCGGACTGCATATTCCAAAGTCGTCCGTGTGTCGTCGACCTCGTCCACAATGAGAATGTTCTTTCCAATAAGGTTGGCCATCTCCAGAGAGCTAAGGTCCAACCATTGTGTACGAGTGACCTTGGTACCTGGAACCTCCTCCGGGTCACCGCGACCTAGATCCTCGTAAAGCGACAGACCGATAGCCTGGATGGGAATGTTGGGTTCACCGGTGCGCTTCAGGAAGGACCTGTCCATCAATGGGATCAGTGAGCATCAAGCCCTCATCTCAGTTTTATGGCGGGGTATTCGGTATTCTGACGTACCGGAGAATACGGGCAGGAACGTAACCACCACCGCCAATGGCGATCATCAAGTTGGGGTGGAAATCATTCAGGATTCTGTCAGCGGAGGTCTGACAGAGCTTGTGCACCTATCATAGATGGGTATTGTTAGTTGATATGCGAAGGATTTCACGCCAGACTGTCTCCCGGACGCAGGTACAACATCATGCAAAAGTAGCATGTATAGATGCATCCCACGAGACCCCTCTAAACGCAAATATTGAGAGTTCAAGCTGAGCCGGCATACCTGGTTATATGTCACGTAAAACTTCTGCGGCATCGTGGCGATAAGGATTTTTTTCCTAACAAAGCGGAGAAGTGGGATAGATAGGTTCAAGAGTCTAAAGATGATAAGTCGCGTGCGGACCGAGGAACCCAATTCCTGGGGAATAGGAGGAGCAGTAAATGAATTGATGATAGTTCGAAGCCCTGAAGTTCAAAGGCCAATGATCGAAGAAGATATTAAGCAAAGAAAAAAGCTTCACAATAGCTTAGATGAGGGGTTAAAAAAAAGTAAATGCCCCCGACAGAAGAAAAAAAAAATTGCTGGGCAATGGATGCATCCATAGTCCAAACGGGGGTTACTTTACCCAAAGTGGCATTCGAGAAAATGGCAGGGTTCCACATCGATCATTTGCATGCAACATGTCGGAGTACTCCGAACAGCCAGGTAAAGCCATATTTCGTGTTATAAAGCTCAGTTTATTACAGTCTTATTAGGGCTGTCTCTGTAATGTTGGTCTTGTTTTCGTTTTTTGTTTTTCGTGATAGGCATCTTGAGTCCAAGACTATGCATATATACAAATCGCTAATTACACATACATCCATGTCAAAACCACTCCAGATTGAAAACGCCAATAATGCACGAAATGAATCAATTTTCATTTAAACAGGTGTTTGTTCACCCGGTGATTCAGGTTTGATGCGATTAATCTCAAACCCACCTTCATCCTTGTCCTCTCCTTTTTGTGGCCACATTATATGATGCAACACAATGGCACGAATCATCATATAAAACACAAAAAAGTACATCAGAATCAAAGGGATGACCATGGCACAGCCAATGATTAGTATGGGCTTACATGAAAATGCATGGCCTATTGCAAAGGTTGCAGTGACTAGCGCAGTGTTTGGGAATACAAATGAGAACCACCCCATGGAAAAGACCATCCGACCCGGCCCAATGGTTGACCAATGGGCAAAACTTGCTATGATGAAGAAAAAGATGGCCAATCTTGGAATAAGTCAGCACAGTAACAGAATACAGGGAGAGAGGAAGAGTGCATGCTTACCCCCACAGCCAAAGAGCAGCAAAGTTGATAACCACCCGTATAACATCAGCGGCCAAATGCCCATTCCCCATAAAATCTGCCGGGAAGGCCCTTTTTGCCTCAGCGGCCATGTTCACAATACCAGCAACGGTGAAAGCGCTAGGCCCAACAGATACAAACATACCCGGCCGGACATTCTCTTTGGGGAGTTTCTGCGACATCAGACGATATATAAAGGCTGAATAGACCATCAAAGAGACTAGAAAGCCAACGCCTTGGATCGTTGTACCACCGATTATAATAAGCAAGGCACGAGAAGGTTCAAGCTTGGCACTCAGAATGCCAGCATGAGGTCCGATTATCAACATTGGGTACGCCGGGAAGATCCAAATTGGCGTCATCTGCGCGATAGTAAACGTCTGTGTCGACCATCTTAGTGAAGTTAGCGCCCGGGATCTCAAGTCCAACTGCTAAGCCAAGATGATAGGATAAGACCCACAAGAGCAGATATATGCCAGCGGAGAAGATCACTGCAAGGGCAGCATCAATCCAGAATAATATGCCAACTGCGGTATCCAGCCACGGTCCCGTGCTTTCTGGCCCATATTGCGAGATATTTATCAGAATCGTTCCAAACGAAACTATGGATGCAGGAACAAATAAGGATTCGGTCGGATGTAAAAACGATGCTTTGAATGTGTATGGATAATAGTAGAAACGTGCAATCAACAGGGTCCAGATCCCGATGTACAAAACGATATTGAGCAAGAATACTATGATGCCAATCGTCTCTAGACCTCGAAATCTATATGGAACTAGAGTCTCCGGTTAGCATAGGAGCGGCAATGCCGGGACATGTAGTAATTACTAGTATACAAAACGTTGGCAATACCACCTGTGGCCATTGTCAAAGTAAAGTATGCCCATGTGAAGTGGCGGATTCGTTTCTTCCAACTGAGGTTGACGGCCGATGAATCAGTTTCTTTGCGAGAAAGGCTCGTTTGGTCAATTGAGGTAAGTCCATCTGCCTCGTCTTTATCCCCGGGTCCTTCTGGCAATCGAAGTTGCGGGGCATGCAATGATTCTAGAGCTGATGTATGAGCCTTGCGTACGTTCATCCTGGCTGAATGGAAGAATGGATTGTCATCCTGGGATATCGAAAGATCTAGCTCTGCATCCTCGATGGTGGGGGTGCGATACCCGTCATCCCCTGGGCTCCTCATATGACGAGGAACCAGAAGCCCGTTCATGATTAAAAACCCACTGCCACCATTACTGGGCGGGGCTGTTGCCCTTGCTGTGCTATAGAGATTACTTTATCGAGAGGAAGATGGAGCTCTAAGATAGATAAAGAGTACTCCGTAGTATTCTCCTTGTCTTGATTCGGGGTGATAAAAAAAGAAAGAAAAAGAAATGCGAACTAGTCTTGGAAATATGACGAGTGGAATCGGGGAATCAATACGTATTTCTATTCCCCACCGTGCAATTGCTAGTCAGCCACTGGTCGAAGCCAAACGACTGGTCGCAATGATCGGCCATCGAGACAGGCAGTTGTGGAGGGGAGAGAGAGAGAGAGAGAGAGGGGAATCCCGGAGGATAATGACTTGGCCGGCTTCCCTAGGATCCAAAGTGTTTGTTGTCAGTGATCATTATTAGTGGGATTTGCCATTATTCTATTGGATAAACAGGAAAGCATAATGATAGATTGGGTCTATTCCGGACAAATGAATTGCAATCAAGTTGATGGATGGAGTGAAAGTCGTCGTCACTTTTGCTCTTCAACTCGGATATCGGCACAGGGGGCGCTACTGTATTGTCCCGCCGCCAGTTGGCCGTCGATTGATGATAGTATCATTATCCATGGATACACCGTACATCATATTCACTTCGTCACACTAAGCCCTATGATGATATGATCTAGTACTCCGAAACCAAAGGATAATTTAGGCTCTATGGGGCAAGAGACTTGGCTATTTAAGCGCAAGATGTACGGAGTATATATACGGGAAGCCATGAAGAGCATATAGTACCCAATCAGTCCTCCATATGAATACTACCCCAGCAAATGAAACTCTATTTGTATCATCTTGATGATGATTGAACTACTCAGTAGTGCGGAAACATGGATATTCCCATCCTTCTGTTGCACAATACTTGGCAGATTCGATCACAGGCGGAGACCGAGACTGCCGAGGCATTGTTGAACATTGTTGAATGCCCCAAGGGATTTGATGTTGTACAGGCACTCCATTTCTGATCGCTTCAAGCTATAGGGATTTAATCAAGAAAGAAAACACCAGACTGTTATATCACTCTAAATTCCAAAGCTGTGTTAATCTTTCACGTGTCTTTAGCTATTTACACTATTCATCTGGTGAGCTAGCTACAGTACACCTCGAACTCTGATTGTTATTATCCCGACTTGCATGAAATGGCGACCAAACCCGACAATCGCATGTCAGTGCTGATCACGGGGTAAGCGCACCACAAGAGACATGTATTGTAATTAAGTCAAGTTTGTTAATGAGTCTATGCAGATGCTCTCTCGGTGGAATTGGAAACTCGCTCGCGCGTGAGTTTCATCGGAACGGATTGCGGGTTTTTGCCACAGCTCGCGATGCAAAAACGATTGAAGATTTGGAGACCCTCGGTATCGAGACGCTGAGTCTTGTCGTGGATGACGAAGAGAGTGTGCGATCATGCTATGTTGAAGTCGAAAGCAGACTTGGGGAGAAAGGGCTGGATTATTTGGTAAACAATGCGTGAGTACCTACTGTTTAACTCGTCTGAGAGACACAAAGAGTGAAATAATAAATGCTGACTTTGGGCAGAGGTCGAAGTAAGCTTAGATCAAATCACTGTTGCATTCCTGGAAAAGAATAATGGCAAAGCTTACGAATAACAGACTACACTGTCCCTGCCATGGAAGTAGACCTGTCCGAGGCACGCTTAACGTTTGAAACCAACTTCATTTCAGTCATTTCTATGTGCAAAACCTTTCTGCCGCTGCTAATCAAAGCAAAAGGGACTATTGTACAGATTGGGTCCATTGCTGGGGTTAGTATCGACCATCCTCGATGCGCTGGCCAATGCTGATACTTTCCCATAGGTTATTCCCTACGTATTCGGATCAGTCTACAATGCTTCAAAGGCGGCTTTACACTCCTTCAGTGAGTGCTTGAGAGTCGAACTAGCTCCCTTCGGGTATACCACGTACACCCCCTTTGGCTCTGGAAAAGTGACTGACAATATTTGGGCAGTGTGAACGTTACTACTGTTGTCACTGGCGGTGTGAAATCTCGCATCGCCCGCACAGACCGTCGACTGGTACCCAATTCCATGTATGCCCCGATTGAAGATGAATATAATCGTCGGGTAAAGCACAGCCAGGATGGTGCTATGCCACATGCCGCATATGCGCAAAGTGTTGTGACGCAAGTCTTGTATGGGCCTGCCCCATGGCGTTGGTTGTGGCCGTGGGCACGAGGCCGGAAGTATTGGATCTTCGAGGGCAATAAGAGTTGGTTGGTTTGGCTCCTATCTGGAGGCTGGGCTTGGAATGGATTTTTCGGCCACATAGTTTCCAGGATGTTCAAGCTGAACATGTTGAGAAAGACGCAGGGGAAATAAGTACGCTATTTTCTAATTCTTATGGATGCATCGTCTATGAATAAATGCGCTATAATAGAGGACCTCATTAACAACAATTCTTTCGTTTGGCCTCTTCGTGTCGTGTCGTGTTGTTTCCCTTTTGGCGCAGGGTAATTTGATAGTTGAGGGATATCTTTATATTCGTCTGATGAAACAATTCAAATGAAGTCTCAGCGCTGAGATATTCAAATTTCGACCACTTTATTGAATTGTTTGGGTGATGGGAAAGGACTGCGTTTGCATTAGTTGTAGGTTTGTGTCTGACCGTTAGCAATAAATAATAATGAAGAAGCAACGGAAATTATTGCATTCTAGTGGGACATGGCGTTTCCTAGAAGATGTAAGCTTAATTTTCCCTGGAGCCTCTCATCCCCATCCAGCATACCTAGATTCAATCAATGCACCTCCCCATAATTATATGCCTCACCAACCCCGACTCACCGGGCCGGTTATACCAAATACCAGAGGGTTCCGTGACATTTGCGTCTGTTCGGGATGGAAAGCGGTTAGTCAGCCCGAAACACACGCTGGTTGGCCCGTCAGGTGACAGCTAACCTAGGCAAGCAGTATCATCGAACCCGAGAAACGCAACCGTGAAAAAGAAAGCTGTTCAGTGTTCCCCCATCAACTTCCTCAAAAACACCGCTTTGAGGCGCCCTGTTACGTGTTTGTTTCTTGACTCGCCTTTTGACGAGTTTCCTTTGACCATTCTCCCCTCTTTTCACCTTTTTCATCATGTTCAAGCTTGCCCGTAGCAGCCGGCCAATTGCGGCCGCCTTCAGAGCCGCGACGGTGAGTTATCCCTGCGCCACATTGTCTTATAAAACATATCATCTTGATCCCGATGGTTTTCTGATTGAGTATATGTATCTAGGGACCTTCCATCAAGCCTAGCCTGGCCCAGCAGCACAGAAATCTGTCTATCCACGAATACCTGTCCGCCAACCTCCTCAAGTCGGTAAGTTGAAACCGACATTCCGAGACGTGCTTTATATCTCTTTTTTAAAATTAGTCCTGTCGCTTCTTCAAGTTACTGATAATACTTTAGTATGGCGTTGGAATGCCCAAGGGCGAGGTCGCCCGCTCCGCAGAGGAGGCTGAGGCTGTTGCTAAGTCGATCGGTATATCTAATCTATTCGAACCCAATGCGCGATATGCTAAAACACGAGATTTCCAGGTAACGACGACATGGTCATTAAGGCCCAGGTCCTTGCTGGTGGTCGTGGAAAGGGTTCTTTCGACAATGGCCTCAAGGGAGGTGTGCGCGTGATTTACTCGTGAGTTTGAAAATCGGAACCGCGTATATTCCACTTTCTATTACGTACTGACTGGAAATGTCCCTAGGCCCACCGAGGCCAAGATGTTCGCCGGCCAAATGATCGGACAGAAGCTCATCACCAAGCAGACTGGTGCTCGCGGTCGCATCTGTAACTCCGTGTACATCTGCGAGCGCAAGTTTGCTCGTCGCGAGTTCTACCTTGCCGTCCTCATGGACCGCGCGACCCAGACCCCCGTCATTGTCGCCTCGTCGCAGGGTGGTATGGACATTGAGGCTGTTGCCAAGGAAAGCCCCGACGCTATCATCACTACCCCCATCAAAATCCACGTCGGTGTTACCGATGAAATCGCCCGTACCATCGCTACCGACCTCGGATTCTCGGAGCAGTGCATCGAGGACGCCAAAACCACTATCCAGAATCTCTATAAGGTCTTCATGGAACGGGACGCCACTCAGATTGAGATCAACCCTCTGTCGGAAACCTCTGACCACGAAGTCATGGCTATGGACGCCAAGTTGAGCTTCGACGACAACGCCGACTTCAGACAGCAGGAGGTCTTCGAATGGAGAGACCCTAGCCAGGAGGATGCTGATGAGGTTAAGGCTGCCGAGTATGATTCCTTGTCACTCATATCTTGAAATACATATTCTGACTGATGGTGGGTAGGCACGGATTGAACTTCATCAAGCTTGACGGTGACATTGGATGCTTGGGTAAGGACTAATAAACTGCAACTGGTTATTCTCGATCGATACTAATTGCAATGTAGTCAATGGTGCTGGTCTCGCCATGGCCACCATGGACATCATCAAGCTCAACGGTGGTAGCCCCGCCAACTTCCTTGACGTTGGTGGTGGTGCTACCCCTGCCGCCATCAAGTCCGCTTTCGAGCTGATCACCAGCGACCCCAAGGTCTCCGCCATCTTCGTTAACATCTTCGGTGGTATCGTTCGCTGCGACGCTATCGCCCAGGGATTGATCAACGTTGTGCAGGAGATGGGTCTGCGCACCCCTATCGTCGCTCGTTTGCAAGGTACCAACATGGAGCAGGCTCACAAGCTGGTAAGATTACCTATATTTGGTAGTGAGAAATGAGTCATTCCAGGATACTAATGCAGATTCTTTAGATCAACGAATCCGGACTCAAGATCTTCTCCATCGAGGACCTCCAGAACGCGGCTGAGAAGTCTGTCCAGTTCTCGAAGGTCGTCAAGATGGCCCGTGAAATCGACGTGGGTGTCGAGTTCACCCTCGGTATCTAAGCACCACGTTGGAATACTTAGCGCGCTTCCCTTTGCCTGATGTTCCAGTTTCGAGAGAGGTTGGACAAATGCGCTGGCCTTACTGTCACTGAACAGGAAATGGCCAGTAATTAGAAATTTGGCACGTGTGGAGCGGAATGGCTTTTTTTTCTCTTTCGCATTGGGATTCATAATGGTGATGATATTGATTTGGGACTGCAGAAGGCAGCTGTGAGATTTATTATTATAGAGAGATCATTGATACTTCTGTATATCGTCCGTTACTAGGTTCATGTTTCTTTTGTTAATGTACTATCCTCTTTTTTTCATGTCTATGATTCTTCTAACATACCACCTTGGCGACACAATACCCCGGACCTTGCACAAACCACGGTTGGTAGATTATTTACAAAAAGATAGCTGAGCCTTGCAGGATTATTCGTCGGGTGCAGCATCAGGAAGAGCAGTTTCGTCAAAGTACCAGACCGCTAGGCCACTTATATTGATCACCACGAAATATTGCTCGTCGCCCCAAAACACATATTCTTCGCTCGCGGGCAGGACGATAGTTGATTCTTCGGGGAAGGGATGATCGCCGTCGGGAGTTGAAATCCGGATGATGTTATGTTGGTAAGCGTGATTTTCCCTAAAGCCATAGTATACCACTTTGGGGATTATGAAGGACATAGTTAAATGAAAGTCGGTTTCGTGCTTGTGTAGGAATAACTGATCGGTTTCGGAGTCATAGGAAACCATGAGGTATAACAGATCGTCTTTCTCCGAGTCGAGCTCGATGCAACCGAATCTATGAAAAGGTAGCACGCTTGATGTTTCGTTATGAGCCATCCAACTAGCGTGGTCGTTGTTAGGGACAGGGATGTCCATGTCTTTGGATGACTTTGGGTAGAGCTCGTTATTGCCCGATGGGGAAAACGTGATGATGCGCAGTTGAACCTCACTGCAGGGGTTCCAATCATCGATTTCACCACCATCTTTTCTGCAGAAGTGCACCGAAGTCAGATCATCTGTCGTAGGATGGAGACACCAAAAGACTAATTCTGGGGGCAGATGGACAGTGCGAGTGGTCCGGGATGGAGGACACCATTGAATCACATAACTGCCGGTGGATTCGGGGAAGTTGAAGGCAACTTTCTGTCCCTTGATGATGAAAAGGTCATAATTCAGGGACGCGAGTCGAAAGGGTTCGTATGACTCTTCTGTGTGGATGTTCCAGGTATAACAGCGTCTGTTTAAATTCCATCGTTAGGCCATCTGATAACAATGGATGGAGGTGAAAACATACGCACGAGAGGTTACAATTGCAACCATGCTATCTGAAATGCGAATATCATTTATGGGCTCTCTGTTTTCTGTATCGAACCGCTTGACCACTTTCTCTGCTCGTAGACAGAAGATAGCCACTGTCGCCCTGTGTTTGATCAACGCGCATCGCCCGTGCGAGTAGTCCATCTTAATAGCACCAGTACGATCATAATCCTGTTCATATTCGGAAATATCATGCGTGGTGACGCGGAGAGGCTTCCCTCTTTCGATCCGGAGCCTTCGCTCGACAGACTTTTTAAACGCAGATTCTGACTCCGTAGGGGAGAGACCACATCCAGTCCGCCGCCGGAGAGTCAGATCGCGCACATAATGAGAACTAAGTAGTTTCTGCCATTGCTTTGAGACCTGGTCTTCAGAGTCAGTGGAAGTGTTTCACACGGAGCAGAGGTGGGCATGGCCATACTCGCTGGAGGAGGAAAATCTCTGAAAGATCCAGATACTTGGTGATTTGCCCTGCGATCTCAAGGGGCAAAGAGGTTAAAACATCGCAGTGAAAGGGTCGTTCATTTGTGGCATCTTTCAGGTCACGCCATTCATTGGGGCTCAGTTGGTTTAGCAATCCGAGATATCTGGATGCGTCTCTCGTCAGCTGGCAATCTGGGATGCAGGATGGGGAGTTCCATACGCGGCGCGTCGAGAGGGTCTTGATTTGAGGTTGTTGAAGGTGGTGAGGATGGCTTCTACATCTGGATCGAGATCAACATCCATGATTAGTATTATGATGGTGATGACGATCTGGCAGTTGTTGGGCTGCGGTCTTGGTGGTTGATGCTTGGTTTGTTGGTTTATTGTTGCGGCAGAAATCAGTGTGACGCATTTTTTTCCCGCGTGATTTTTCTTGACATTTTTGTATTGAGCATATTTGCATCTTTTATATCTTTGGATCTGGATGTATTCGTTGCCAATGGTCTGCCATATTATATGTATGCATTATGTGCAGGGTTGGTTTAGCTTCATCTTGTATGATCCGTAGATACATTCTGACACCAAACTAGATTGAATTATACCAATTAGTATCTTCTATTCTGCTCAACATCTTGAATATACACAAACCCATTAAACCATCCAAGATCCAAGATGGAGATGGCAACACCCTCTGGCCGAGCCATGGACAACAAGACCGTGGAAGGAGTTTAAATCCATTCTCCGACTGAAATTCGAGATTTGCCAATTCACAATCCATCGAACTCCATCCAGACGATCCCCCAAAGGCCAGGATTGAGGTTGGAAATGCTCCACTTGTTCTCATTCTTTGCGCTTTTGTGCTGTTCTTTGAGGCTACTGTCCACTTCTCTCTCCACCATCTCTGCAATTCTTCCTCTGCAGTCCATTGAATCAATCCAGTAGAACCAGACTAATCAATTAATTCTATTCTTTCTCTTTCTTCGTCTCGTCTTAGTTCTTTGATTCCATCCATCGATCTGTATCTACTCATCTTCTCTCTTCCCTCTCCACTCTCCACTCTCCATCTCCATCTTTCGCCTCCCCCATCGCCCTATCGCCTCACCTCCTCTTTCTCCTCTTTTCTAGTCCCTTTTCTTTTTCTTCCATTTCTCCATTTCTCCATTTCTCCCTTCCATCCATCCAATAATTCCTTTTCCCATTGACGATCCGTCTTTACTGTTCTGTGCAGCTTCAATTCCTCCAGTCCTTCTACGACGCTCTCAAGTGATTGTCTCCCCAATTGCCTCAATCTTGAATCATCAACAACAGAAGATCAATCAATCAATCAATCAATTCGAAATAATATCATCGGCTGTTCCCGCCTCCGTTCATTCGTTTTCCCCGAGCTTCTGGATCCGTTGGCAGCCAAAAAGTAAGCTGTTGTTAGTCCTAAATCCATACCTTCTGCAGATCCCGATCTTCTTCTCTTCTTCGATTTCTTCTAAGCGGCGCGCCTTTTCCCTTTCTCGCTGACCCTCGCTTCTCTTCTTTTCCCCTCCCCGCAGCTCAACTTTCCCCCCGGTTTCAAATAGCCGAGAAAAAAGAAAAAGAACCCCCCAAAGGAATTTATCTACTTCTTTCCACCCTACCATTGAAGCAGCATTGCATTCGACGCGACTGTTTTACTAGGACGTGGCTTCGCAATGCCTACAGAAGCGGAGACTCTTCGGTGTTGATCAGCGCCTCTTGGCCCAGGCTCTGCGATTATTATCCACCCTCGCACGTTTCTCCGGCCTCCACGAGCTGCCATCAGTTGACTATCGAAGCTTCTATCGTTCTCCTATTCACTCTTGCCATCCTCCATCGTCGCGGGATTTCCTCCTCCCCACCCATCCCGCAAACTGCAATTCCTTGTTATTCTGAGTCCCATCTCCTCTCCTCGTCGCACTGCGCGAGATGAGCAGTCTCGCCGACCCCCCAGCGAGAAGTACCTTTTCTACAGATGCGCCCGGCAAGACGCGAAAGCTCCCTGTCCTATCCTCATCCGTTACATCCTCCGCTCACTCGTCGGGTGAACCTATGGAGGTCACTCCACCAACATCTGCGATGACGGGCCCTGCGCCGCCCGTCCAGAACAGCCCCGATAGCGATCGAACGGGCGCAAACACCACCAATGGCTCCGCTGAAGTTGGGAGCTCGAACAACCATGGCCCTAACCAGGCCGTCGGAGCTGCTGCCGCAGCTCAACAGCCCAAAGTCGTTCAGACTGCTTTCATTCACAAGCTCTACAAGTACGTTTGCTCGAGTTTCCCTCCGGTCGCGGGTGCCCCAACCGTCTCGTCGAAGTAATCATGTTGCTGACAGTCGTGAACAGTATGCTAGAGGACCCCAGTATCCAACATTTAATCTCATGGTCCGGTACCAACGATAGCTTTGTCATGTCTCCCACCTCCGAATTCTCAAAAGTTCTTGCGTCAGTTCCTCCGTGGCCCCCAATCTCCAGAATTGATGCTAAATGCCCATTCTAGCCAATACTTCAAACACACCAATATCTCGTCTTTTGTGAGGCAGTTGAACATGTATGGATTTCACAAAGGTATGAGGTAGATTCCGATGGCTGAGTTTTATTTGGACAACGGCTGACACCAGAGGGGGGGGGGAATAAATTAGTGAGCGATGTCTTCCACACAGGTTCCCCCGACTCCGCATTGTGGGAGTTCAAGCACGGAAATGGCAACTTCAAACGAGGAGATCTAGTTGGATTGCGGGAAATCAAGCGGCGAGCCTCCCGACATGCTCTGATCCATCGCGACTCGTTCCCCGGTCACCATAAAGCTGCTGCTTCTCAGCCTGGCACGCCGGCTGAGCCTGTCCCCGATGCTACCGATGCGCGATTGATGAATCTGGAACACAGCCTATATGATATGCACGCCCGCCTAAGTCGTGCTGAAGAGGGAAATGCGGCACTCAATCACAGATGTCAAGGTATGGCGGAAAGCCTGAACAAATGCTACCATGTGAGTCAATTGTGCATGTTTACCCATCGGAAGTGTTCCCAGCTGACCAGAGTCACTGTAGTGGACCTATTCAATCTCCCGATTCCTGCAAGCCATGGTTCCTGACCGTGAGAGCCCTTTGTACCGGGATGGTAAGGACTTTGGTGAATATTTTCCCTTGTCCGCGATTACTGACACCTTTGGTAGTGTCCACTATGCAGAAAGAACTGGAAAGGCAGCTCGACGCTGTGCGAGCCCTCGAAACTCCCCACGACCCATATCTATCTGCTAGACAGCCCTATTTTGCAAATGTGTCTACCGACCCTGGCCCGCCGCTCTCGCCACGCCAAATGCCTCAGGAGGATGGTCGTCGACCATCGGTGATGGAAGCCCCTAGGACGAATATGATACGCCCTCCGGTTCCCCCGCATCTCGCCGCATCCCCTCGTCGCTACGGGTCAATTGGGGCTGCAAACTCCCCCCCGAACTACAGCCGACCACAGATTCCCTCTGTCGTTCCGCCACAGCAACCGATGCCCCACCCCCTGTCAACCGTTTCCTCTCCTCCGGGGCCTAACCTTGCTCGCCGACACACCTCTGCCGATATTCGACAGCATGGCTGGCCACCACCGGGAGTTTCTCCCTTCCCGCCCACCAACCCGGCAGGTGGTGCAACGGGCCCATGGCCTCCTTCGCCACATCGGACTCCGACATCCAGTGAACAGCAGGTGCGAGATGTCCTGGCCCAATACGAGATGGGGGTACCCCGGCGGTTCCAGGACAATAATTCCCGGCATGCTACTCCTCCCTTAAATGCCGAATCGACCCCGTCAACGCTCAGCGTTGAAAATGCATGGTCCTTTGGAGGGTCTAGGTTCCCTCGACACGAGTCCTCCTTGCCTGCGACCCGACGGTCTAGCATGGCAAGTAACGTCCATTCGCTACTCAATCCTGCCGACACTGCTGAAAGACCCGATGAGGATCAGCATACGATGGCTGATGACCGAAAACGAAAGCGACTGGAGTGAATAACGACCAAATCTCGTCATTGATTTTGGAAAAATTCCCGTCCACTTGCTGGACATGCTCATCCCTTTTTACGTATCCTTTTCTCTACTAGTGAGGGAATGAACGTCTTCATGAACATAATCAAGTGGGGTAAAAGAAAGACAAATACCGTTGCATATCTCATCTTGTCTGGTTCTACATACATTTATTTTATTTTATTTTATTTTTCTTGGAAGGTATCCCATATTTTCGTTCCATCTTTTATTTTTCCGTTTCGTGAATGGGTCTTATTTTGTACAATCTATAAAAGAAAGCCACTTTTTCTTTTCTTGGGACAGCAGGAGGCCATGATTCTGTGCATCTGAGCTTGTGTCTTTGGAAGCTCAGATATTAGAGAATCCCCTCTGTAGCTGTTCGTGTTATTTTTACATTATACCAGACTGGTGGTGTTGTTTGATGGCAAATACAGCGGCGAGGCTTTTAGTACTCGGTTTTACCGCATATCATATTATACCCTTGGGTTGGGTGGAGCAAGAACCGTGTTTTTTGGTAATAAGGTAATAATCTAGGATTGCAGAGTGGATGTTTGATAATTTCAGAGTACATTTATTGAGACGGGGAATTGTCCTGGTAATTATGGATGCTCAGATTACTGATCCATATAGTAGTGACAACGAAGTGGGTATATTGATCCTAACAGAACAGACTATAGAACAAGTATCCGTCCAAAAATTCACTTCTTTCTCTTCTTTGATCTCTGCGCCAGTATCTCATCCAAAAAGCTTGTGGCCTTTTTCCTCCCCTTTGCCGATGGACGTGACGAAGAAGCTGCTCCTCGTTTGGCGTCTTCATCGTCACCATCACCATTATCACCATTGACAGCATCCGATGTACCAGGAGTCTCTTCCTTCTGATTCGAATCAACTTTTCTCTTCTTGTTATTCTTTTTCCTCCCAACCAACGCCGTTCGTCCCTCTTCTTCATCATCGTCCTCGTCTTCTTGGGGCGTACTCGATTGAGTAGATGCTGCCGATTGATTCAACGCCTGCTTAGCAGCCAGTGCCTTGGCCTTGGTGACTTTCTCATAGTTCTTGCCGAGTAACTGTTTCCGTAACTTGTCGTTGGAGCTCAATTCCGTCCGGTTCCAACTTCCATCTGCTGCCTTCTGGGGGAGGGGAGCGCCGACTCCGAGTCTTGGGGGTTATCAGTACAAATTCCACAACAGTACATAAGAGAAGGGTATAAAAAAAAAGGTTGGGTAACGTACGTCTCAGGAACAGCGGTAAATATCTCATCCTCTTCTTTTTGTAATTCCTCCTCGGTTTTGATGTTTGTTAATTCATCTTCGGTCTTGGGAGGGAGCCAGGAGGCTACGAGGCGTTGGCTTCGCGCCAATGCGACATTGGCTCGATTCAGAATGATGTCTGATTCGCTTTTAGAAATGGACATGTTGCCTGTGTATGTTTTGGATTTTCATTATTATAATGCGTTTGAGATGGCTTAGGGTGTTGATAAACTTTTTTTTGTTATCGATATCAAGGCGGACGGATGTGGCAGATTCTTCCGCCGCTAAGAACTACTGCATGGAGTGTGTATGGAGTATAAATATTGCCATAATGTTATGTACGTACAGTGATTGCTAGTCTATCCTTTTGCCCATATAGTAGAGATATATAACGAGAAAATTATAACCAAATCCAACCGAATGCGATGTGGTTCTATGAAGGAGAAGGCTTTCGTAGTGGTTCCCACTTTGCTGGTGCAGTGATTCGCTTCCTGGTGTACTCAGGATCAAAGTCTCGGTCAAGAACGTCGATAATTGTATTTGAAAGGGTGTTGAAGATCACATCGCGAGTCATGTTGGGAAAATACATTGGTTGGCCAGCGTGAAAGCCGCGTTCGCTGGTTGCTAAGGTTTCGAAAGCCGCCATGAGAGCCTTTTGTAGAATCGATGTTAGCTCTGGAAAGAGAAATGAAAAGGAAAGGAAAGAAAGAAAGAACTAAATATGAGGTTGAAGATGGGTGTTTCACTAACCTTGTCCAGTGCCTTTCGGAATTCGATCACAACCTTGGCCGCGTGCTGTATCTCCATTGGCCCTCCGCTGACCTTGATCTCAAAGTCAAGCCAGGAATCGACGTATATTCTACCATCGATCGCCTGGAGTCGCCCACCAAACAGAGATGCGGCCAGAGGTGTCACATGGGAAGTGTCATGCATGAGGAAAAATCCATCAAATATAGACTGTTTCTTGCGCTGGAAGAAAAGCAAGCTGTCTGTACTCAAATTCGAGTTCACACTGGTGTTATTCAAGGCCACTTTTTCTTCCTTCTCGGTGCGATAGCGCTTCGGTACTAATAGAGGAGCAGCCAGGTTGGGGTACAGAGTATGAAGCAACAAGGATTTGATGAGAGGAATCCGCCATGAGTTCATATTAAGCTCAGAGCCCCCAAATTGAATCGTATCACCACCAGAACTAGGGGGAAGATGTCCGTTGATACGCAGGAATGTCACTACGTGTTGGCCCACCTTCAGCCCCTCAATGAACTTTGTGAATTGTATAAAGTGAGACTTGGCAAACTCGAAAGCTGGCCGGTGCCCCTTTTGGAAATATATGTCCCGTGTGGCCTTGAAGAGGTTGATATTACTCATGTGGTCACTCCAGGTATTCCGCGAGTACTCTTGCCGAATCTTCAAAGCTTCCTTGCGTTGCTCAGAGAGTGGTGTCAAATCCATCAAGGCCATTTCACTTCCCAACGATGCGACGATAAGAAGTGGATCTAAGCAGCGGAAAATAATTCCTAGCAAGACCAGCTTTGCCAAAGATGGATCAAAAGGCAGCCCCGAAAGAAGCCTACCAAGTGCCGTGATATTCCCCTGCTCGTCCAGTGCTTGCAATGCCTGCAGATTTCTCACGGCCAGTTCCACCAGGGAATCTGGCGGCGGTTGGATGCACCCGAGCAGGAACTCGCGAGCAGGAATATCAGCAAGCTTCTTTGCGAGCAGACAGGCACTTTGAAGGTCACTGCGGACAATTTCTGGGGTCCTGTCAATACGCATGGATTCGTGCATCTCTTTGGTAAACAGGGCGAAGTATTCTCCTTCCTGGACTCTTCCTGCACGCCCAGCGCGCTGAGCAGCGCTAGATCGGCTTATCCAAGAGCAAGCGAGCCGGTTATATCTCGACTGCGGGTCATAGACATTTTGATGCGATTTGCCCGGATCAATCACAAATTTGACGTCTGGCACAGTAATGGATGTTTCGGCGATATCTGTTGAGAGAATAATCCGTCGACAGCCAGACGGAACCGAACCAAGAAGCTCCACCTGGCCCTCTGGAAGACTTGAATGCAAGTGCAAAATTTTGAATCGTGCTTCATCCGAAAAGTCAAACCCCAGTAATCTTTCGTACTTTCGAAGAAAATCCGTGACAGCGTTTATGTAGCGTATGCCGGGTAGAAAGATCAATATAGAGCCACCTTTGGTGGTCGAGAAGATGTAGCCTATAACCGCACATATCAAGCCAAGAGGCACAAAAGAGTCTTCTTCGCGGATTATATCGCTAGGTGATTTGGAAACAGCTTTTTCAGAGTCTTCTTGCTCGCGGGAACTCCCTTGGTTTTCTGGTTTGGGTAGATTGGTATGAAGCTGAACCTTACACCGGTCCAGATAATACTTCATTTCTGATTCTTCATTAAGCAACGATCCCAGAACATCTGCAGAGTAGACCCGCGAGAGAGAATCAAGGACATCCTGGAGATAATGTTTGCGGACTGCAAATGTGCGACCTGGGATGATGACGTGTGGAGCCGGCATGAGATTTCCATCGCTTGATCTATTCTGAAAATAAGAAGCAAAAAGATCAATATCGAGAGTGGCACTCATCACGACGACTTTAGGCACATTTGCACCTATGGCCTGACGTTGGCCAATGTACCTTTTCAACAGAAGCATAAGAAAATCGATTTGGATATCTCGTTCATGAACTTCATCGAGGACGATATGAGAGAGTGAGTCCAAGACGGAAGGCGAATTCTGAAGAATTTGTGTCAGAATCCCTGAAGTGCAATAAGTGATCGATCCACCTTGCCTGGGAAATCGGCTTTCAAATCGAACATGATACCCGATGAACTTCCCATCCCTATCTTTTCTCTCGTGGGCCACTTGTTTGGCGAGGGAAACCGCAGCAACTCTACGGGGCTGGCAGCAGATGATCTTGCACTCTGGCCCGGCACCCTTTGCGATGGCGTTGTGAAGCAATATCATGGGAACCTGGGTCGACTTGCCGGAGCCAGTATCTGCTGCAATAATGGAATACGTGTTGTTTTCGACGATACCAAGGACTTTTTTCTTGTTTTTGTTTATTGGCAAGCTCTCTGTAAGCTTTCGGGCCTTGGATGTTTGGAGGGTTTTCGCATCTTCTTGATACCACCGGTCAAGTTCCACCAGTCGTGCTTTTCTGATTTGAGCGTTTCCGGTACTTGGTTTGGAGAAATTATCAGCCTTGGGCACTTGGATCTGGTATTCACGGCTTTCTGTCATGGCAAGGCCACCAGCAAGCCTCAAGTCTCGCAGTCCTCTTCGCATACAAACAAGCAAATCATCCTCTATACGAAGCCGAAGCTTCTTCAAAACTCGAGGCTTGCCTCGGTCAATTAATCGCCGGAGCACGCCGCTTAGATGCAGCTTTGAAACTAGATGCCGAAAAGCCTCACGGCTTGAGTGTTTCTAATTGCGGATCAGTGAAAAGAGAAAAGATACTGGTTGGAATCACACATACATCTGAACTACCGCGGGCTTCCACAATTACAACTTCAGGCGTCTCTACGACAGTGCACTTCAGAGTACAGAGAACGCCACCATGCTCTAGTTTAACATATTCAACATCTGTCTGGATTATTCCTTTATTCACAAACTCGGAGATGAGAGTTCCTTTTGGAGTCCGTCGCAACGAGTCTCCTAGACCTGCATAGTCCTTATCACTGGGAAGGACGATCTTGTCCCCTGGCTGATCCCCCTTTTTGGCGGTGGTCAGTGGGATGGGTTCATCCGAGAACAGCGAGCTTTCGATGTTCTCTGTCAAATCTGTTTCTCCATCACATGGCGCGTCGCCATTTTCAGCAGGAACAAGCGGTTCGGGCTTCGCATCACGTAGCCCATCGGTTTCCCCTGCTGTAGAATAGTGACGTAGAGAACCGTTGAATGACCTCGGCTGTTTCAATTTCGATAATCGTCGACGGGAAGTTGCACCAGAAGCCTCAGGCTTTGAATTCGTCACGAGAGAAGAAACCGACGGAGAGGCTGTGAGCATTCGTCTCTGATAAGCAGATCGACGTGGGCCGGAGAGGGCAAGGTCAACTTGCGGAGTGCCATTTTCAATCGAAAAGAGCGCGCGCCTGATATTCTAAAGCGAGGGAAATACGTTAGTTTCAAGTCATCAAGAGCAATGGAGACAAGAGTTCCGTACTGAGTAGCTTCGCATTTCCGCAGGCTGGCATTGCCATTGACAATCAACGACGGCGCGTCATGGGAGGGAAAAGAGGGTCGCCTTATAAGCCAATAATCTAGAAGACTTGTCCCTGCACGAGTGAGCAGCCAAAAATTGCCCTGTCCTGATCTGTTGGTCGTTCAGAGGAAACCAAAAGATACCGCAGATTTGCTTCTTGCATTTCTCCACGCGGTCATCGGGCTTGGCACGGACCAATAGGAGTAGCCTTAGCAACGTCAATTGACGCTGTTGACATTGGATGTTGATCGTCTTTTTGATAGGTGGGAAAGGGGATCTATTCTAGTCGTTTGCTTAGATTCTTGTTTGTTTTGCGGGTTCGTGGTATCGTTGTGACTATGTACATATAATCTATCTGGTCTATATATCCACAAAAGATCGTCCGATAAGGTCAAAGGACACAGAGTATGTAATATCAAGCAGTAGATATCCAGAGGCTGACCAAACAAGCCAATATCTTATATCAAAGTTCTCGACTCGACCGCTCACGCGTTGGCTTCATCCTTATGTCTTTGCTTGAGTTTCTTCTCCGTTTTCATAAACTCTCTGATTCCCACGGGTATGCTGGCAAACAGATCATCATTTTGTTCCGGTATAGACCAGTTGGTATCACTGCCGCCACCATCGTCGTCCATGCTTGTACTAGCAGAATCAACCTCGGGTCTCGGTGTCTGACGTATCTCCGCTGTTGCGATTTGCGATGCGCCCTTGGCCTTGGCCTTTACAAGTCTTCCAGCCCAATCCTCCATCTCGTCGCGGTAGTCGTCCCACACGCAGTGGGCGCAACCACTCATACAGCAATTATCAGGCTCCTCGGGTTTCGGTGGAATTGGTACGCCGTTAACAGTTTTCCAACTCGATTCCGGAGAGGTGGTACTCGGGTTATAGCGGGAAGAGCGGCCGGGGCTAGTAAGACGGCTGCCAAAGACAATAGACATTTTCTCTTGCGGGGACTGCTCAACTGGCGTCGGGGATTCGGCAGCGGGACGTGAAGTAGTCGCTTGACTGTAGGGAGAAGGAGCCGAGAGAATAAGCGAGTAGTACCCTGAAATTGGATGCGCTTGAGTTGATTCTGAATCTTCTAGTGGATTCCCGTCGTTTTGAGTATCGTCAGAGCCGTTGTTATTATGTGTGGCCTTGCGTCGGTTATTCGGAGTGGAGGCATAATGCCTGGCAGGGAATGCGGGCGAAAGAGAAAGTGGATTTTTGGGGGAAAGATAGCGCCTTGAGCATGATAAGCAGCGGTTCCTCCCGAGGAGCAATTGTCTTATGCCACCAGCAGAGACAGACTCCATTGTGCCAAGCAATGATGTCGAGAAAGTAAGAAAGAAGGAAAAAGATATCGATCAACGCTTCCGACAGGCGGTTATGTCATGATGCAAACAGTGCAAACATGCCTCTTTATCCTCAACTGCCGCCGCGCAACTTTATCGGCTGACAAGAACGCAGCAACAACCTTGGTTTCCACACACACACACACACACACACACACATAGCCTGCGGTTAGAAAGGAAGAAGGGTACGCAGGAATGGTCGGTGTCTTTGGTGTCTGAGTTGTTTATCTAGGAGACAACTTGGGGGCGTTCAATGCAATGCTATCACCTGCCAAGTGGCGCAAAACAAGCGAGACGAATGTTACCACTGTCGACGCGTCCCAAATGAACCCACCGACTGTTCAAGATGACACTCAAACGCGCTCACATGATCGTGCTTCGTTTCAATCGCCGATGAGAGCCAGCTTGGCGAGATCGCATCCGGAGATTTTAGCACGCGGAATCAGTAGATCACCGACGAGGACTGCGAGCAAGCGCAATCAAAGTGGCCAGCAAGAGCATCCAGGTTCAAGGGTATTTGGGTTGCGGGATAGGAAAGCTTTGAGGCCTTCACTGACCTCTACCGCAAGCCCGATGAACGGGCCCAGGTTGAGCGGCGGTTCACCTCTTCTATCTCCAGGGAGACTATCAAATGTATTTGCTGCTCCTCCGCGGAGAGTCTCGAGAAAAATTGTTCCATCCGACTTAAACTTCGGATCTCCTGTGGCAAGAAGAAATACTAACGAGTTGGCGCATGAAAACACACCTGAAGATCAATTGGCATCCGAGCTGGACAGTGCAACCGGTGCGATGGGTGCGCATGGGGATTTGGACCATCCTTCCTTGCATGAGGTGCTCGAAGAACCCGAATTACCCCCGACTCCCACTCAATTGGGTCTTGAAAATCCTCCAGGGCGACCAAGGGGGCTCCTAAGTAGCAGCCCTACATCACGACATGGGAAACGATCCAGGCGACGGACTACAGATACTCTGCAGCCGAGCCCTCTGAAATTTAAGGATGCTGGCTTTGATCTAGATGATTTATCAGAATTTGGTCTAGCGGCGAACGAGAATCTAATGCCAGAAACTGCATTGAAGAAACAGAAGCTGAAAAGGGAGCTTTCTACCGAAATACGACGGTTGAAGGATGACATTGAGACATTGGAAGGCTGGTCAGAAAGAATCAGCCAACCCGATGGGGTCACAGAGCCTGCTGGCCAGGACTTTGGCAAACTCATGTGAGTCCCCTTGGTTTTCAGAACAACTGAGCTGCTTACTGACTCCTAAACAGCGCCGCGTTAGCATCCGAAGATCGTTCCCACAAGGCCGCATCCGGGTCTCGTCCATCCAATGCACACATATCGTCACTCCTTTCCACCTTACTGCCCTTCGCTACAAAAGCACCTCGAACTACTCGTCAAGCATCCCCTTCGCCGACAAATCCCTTTGCGCTTCAGGAGCCTGCGCAGACGAAGCCGTATCTCACGGTTTTTGCGCCGCTGGCTCTCACAGCCCAGTCACACGAAGTTTCTAACTCAAAATCAGAAGCACTACTGGAAACACATAATTTGACATTGGCCTCTCCGCCTCCGTTTCCTCCGACTTTTTACAATGTATCAATTGTCTATGAGACAAACCCGGAAACACAATCAATAAATTCGATATATGTACCAACGAGTTCTGAAAGCGCCAAAACAAACATACCCGAGGTCCTACAGCGATGGGTCAACGCAAGGCTAGAGAATCCGCTGATGAAACTGGATGTATCCGGCCTTTGCTGGGGTATTAATCGGTATTGGGAAGCTACAATATCGCGGGCGCAAATATGGCTGCAAATAGAAAGCAATCATTCGCAACTAATTGCAGGCCGCATGCCCCAACCTGGTGGGTCGACTGATGGCTTAAGCCACCAGAAAGGGCACCCTACAATTTCGGGCCTGAGACGATTAGTACCACATCTTGAACGCACGACTATGCTTTTCAGTACCACAGAGAAGCCTATCAAATTACTGATTTCATGTGCATTAACAATTGACGAGTGGACAAGCGAACCACAGTTGACGCCAGAGATCAGCGTTTCGATATCTTCTTTAACCGATGGCACTTCTAGCAAGATAGAGCAGGAAGCCAAGAAGTTATTTCAGGGGATAATAAATGAGTATACAGGCGGTGCTACTGAAGGCGTGGTGGGTACCGCTGATGTTGATGCAATTGTGCGAGCCACTGGAGGCGTCATAGACACTCTGTTCGGCGCTGAAACTGAGGGACAAGCTCTCACAGGAAAGGTGTCAAAGAAGAGGTGATTAACTCCTGGCAGTCTATCTATTCGGCTATTGAATACAGATATTGGTATATACTAACAATGGATTGGAAATGGACGAATAAAATGAGCATACCTGGAATAGTAAATCATACGGAGTTATTTTAGACCTAATCATTTACATATTTATTTACATATTTGCAGACTTGATGTAGTGAAGAATAAATTCTAGAACTTTCGCATATTTTATTGAACGTAAGTAGTATGGATCTACCAAAGGCATCTAGATTAATGAACAATCTCTACGAGTTACCAAGCGAGAGAATCTTGAGGGAAAATAGTCATGTTATCGATGCAGAGCTAGTTTACCAAGAGGCATATCAGTTTACCCTTTTTCCTCATGTGCCCCCTATCTCAACCCATGACTATGGCGGACTGAGAACCAGCCCATATATATGGATTTGTCCAGCTGCCCGTCACAAAGTTCCCACTCCACACTGGGCGATGTAATCACCCTCAACCAGCAAGTATACATCAGTCATAGAGGGACTGCTGTGGAACATGAAATTGGGACATTTGCATTTCGAGAGGTTCGGAGCTTTCTTTTTTAAGGACAAAAGGTAATAAGGTTTATGAGAAAAAGGGGAGCCACGCCATGCCGCAATACACTAATAATCCCCGACTTGAGAATCAACCCGATCATCATTAGCAGGAAATCACATTTATTTCTTGGCAGCGGCGGCCTCCTCAGCCTTAATCCTAGCACGCTTCTCCCGGATACCCTGGTGGCGAGCCTCGCTGCGGGCGTCCCGCAACCGGCGGTAGGCAGCCTCCTCGCCCTTGGGCAGGTCGTCACGCTTGACCTCGGTGATGGCCTCCTCGGCAGTAGGGTTGGTGATGGGGAGGGTGGCACCGACACGGGTGGAGTAGCCCTCACCCTCAGCGGCGAAAGCGGCCTTGGCGGCGTTGACCTCCTCAGCGGAAGCGTCGAGCTTCTTGAACTGGCCGCTCTTGCGGGGGAACAGAATGAGGCGGGCCTTGTAATCCTTGAGACGGGCAACGTTGGCGACGAGCGACTCCTTGGAGTAATTGACACGGCGGTGGTCAACGGAGATACCAATGGTGGGAGCGAGCTTCTTGGGGATACCAGCTTCCTATAAGACAGGAAAAAAGACGAATAAGCTTCCGTTGCCATAAAATCCAGGCAGAGGTGCGCTAATGTTTGCAACCCCTCCAAGGCGAATTCTCTGCAAAGGGACCAAATTTACCTTCAGCTCAGCCAGGGTGAAACCACGACCAGCCCGGACGCGACGGTTGTACTTGACGGTAGGGCAGTGCACAACGGGGCGGAGCTTGTCAGCCGGACGGGGAGCAACAGCGGCAGCCTTGGCCTGACGAGCCTCGCGACGGCGGAGCTTGCGGCTGGGCTATATCCCAAAAACCATTCATTAGTCTACCCGTATCGTAAAAATTCCCATCAAACCTTCCGTCGAATTCATTGGATCGTAGTGCGACTCGGTGGTCCTGGGAAAGGGTATAATTTCGAAAAGCGTACCTGCTCGAAGTGCACGCGCACACGACGCTGCCAGTCCTTGCGGAAGTCTGTATAAAAATCCTGTCAGTCCAAGAATTCCTCTTTATATTTGTTTCTTGTCGAACTGAATAATAAATCTCGATGGTGCAGATTCACTCACGCTGGTTAAGGATTTGGTTGTTGTGCTTGATCGCCTATATCACCGCCACACAAATCAATCAGCATATGAACCCCTCGAAACAACATCATTATAATATCGAATATGGGCTTTTCCATTAACCCAGCGATAAAATCGAAACAGCGAGGATCAAATAACACACCATTGTGACGGATGGGGATCAAGTCCGGGAGATTGTCGTCGTCGTCGTGGGTGGTTGCTGGTCGTGTCTCGAGACTCCAACGAAAAAAGAGTCGTTCAATATTGGGTGGAACTTTTTTTGGTGTGGCCAACCGCGCAGAGCCGCAGCCTCGCTTAGCGAGCCCTAGCCTCTTTGCCGGATTCGGAAAGGCACCCAAACCATTTGTATCGACTGTACCGTTTATTTTCGGCAGTTAAAATAGAATTATTTTGACAGGCTACTGTCTGGTTATCAGTATTTCATGGTACTTCTATATTTTTGGCCGTCTTCTGTTGGATGGTAGCCTGCGGAAAGTCGATACAGTACTTCTACGGAATAGGGAGGGGGGACTTGTAAATCACGTGATGGATAAGATATCTATGTTGTATGTGGAATCATCAACTTCTTTCGTATCATGCTTCTTATTCAAGAGTATGATCAATCAAGGCCCCCAGGAGCACTATTTAGTACCCGAAGTGTGTTAAAAAAGAAAAAAAGAAAGCATTGCCAGATCATGAACCGGTTGACATCAATAAAATCCAAACCCAGATTAAACACCATTCCCGACCATCAGTTGTTGCATATGTTCATCAATCGTGAAAAGAAATACAGGGATAGAAACATCCATAAGAATAACAGAGAAAAATATGACAGGAGATACAATGCCAAAAGGATGAAAGGTGTACTCAGCATGCACTATGTACATACATAAGCTCAAATGAATGCAAGGCGCTGTCATATTATGCACGGCCGGTATTACTGCTCCATGCTGGCGCTGCAATACCAAGACCCACACTGTCCGCCTTGGATTTCTTCGAGGCCGCACTTTCTTCCTCAAAGCTCCCTTTCCGTTTGTGTTGGTTGGGAGGTTCCACGCCAGCCTTTTTCACTTGACCAAACAGTTTTGTTTGGAGCAAAGTGCTGGATTTTGGAACAGTTGTTGGGCCTCGAGCCCCATGATGGCTAACCATAGGATTACGTCGAAGCATGTTTGTTGCAAGAGAACTCGCTTGAGAACCCGGGACATCTTCTTCGGTCTCGGCCTCTTCGGGATCGGAGGCTGATATTGTGCTATCACGGTCGTGACGCTCGTCACGCGAATGAGCAGCGGGGTTAAGGTATTGGCTATTATGATAGGCCGCTTGGGAACGCGCAGGTGTCATTGGAAGGGAGGACAATGAATGAGTACCTCGCACATGACCATTGTGTTGCTGTTTTGGGATATGATGCCTGTTTGGTGTCGATGTCACACTAGCGGATTCTCTGTTGAGGACTTCATCGGCGGCCAGAAGAGCGGCAAACGGATCATGGCTTTCACCAAAATGAGGCACAGGTTGCCTATGAAAGTCCATCTGAGGGCTGGGAGACATGGAACTGTGCTCGATCATCAACGAGAAATGATTCCGGTTTTCGCGAATGCGGTTCTTCAGACGACCATTTTCCTCTTGAAGCGACTCGGACCTTTCTTTTTCTTGCTCGATGAGTTTCTTCGCTCGTCGGAGTCTCCGGTCGAGTGTAGCATTAACCCGCTCAAGCTCTTGGTTACGTTTAAGGGCAAGCTCCAGCTCCGCATTGGAAATTTGCTGCAACGGCTTGATTTCTGAAGGTTGTTGGCGACTGCGGTACTCTGAACTCTGAAGTATCTCGACTTCCCTTCTAGCCAATTGATGTTCTACTTCAGCACGCTTAATGGCCTCGTTGCTCGTGAAAGATAGGAGACTGTTCTGCAGTTTGAAGTGCAGTGCGGACATTCGAGCCTCTTGGGCTACCCCCAGCAGGTCTTTGGCAATTGTGCGGAGTTGAGAATTGTTGGCAGTGTCAATGTCTTCGGCTGTTGGGAGGTTTTCGGAAGCGCCATATGCAACACAGAGTGTCTTCTCAAGGTCTGGTGGGGAGGGCAGCAGCGAATTCGATCTTGATCTAGACTGGCGCATAGGAGCCCCGGGGATCTGCGATGACGGAGGCGGGGTCATGTCGGACGATGACAACGGCCGGGGGGAGAAGAGTTTGTTCTTCTCGGATTGTGAAGTTTGACTCCCAGCTTTGGCACTAAAATCTGGTGAAGCAGACAGGCTTGCACGCTTGATTGGGGTAGCTGGGCCAGATATTTCCACGGGAGGAGCAAGAGAACCCTGCGACAGTTTAAGTCCGCTATCTTGCGACATGATAGAGACGACAGTGAGAGAACAAAAAAGGAATATTTCCGCGGAGAGGAGACCTCGCACTAGGACAATGTTAGCTAGATTGAATCAAAAGAGAATGACAGCTGAGCGCATACCGGAACACAAGGCAAGTTGGAGATATTATGATACTTGAAGTTGTATTTGGGTTGATGAAGGGATATAAGTTGCTAAAATGGCCAAGGAGGGAGAATCCAAAGTAGGCGAAAACACTTGAAGTGTGCGCTCAACTGCAGGCAAACAATTGGCAATGTCTCTGTTGTGTGTTGGCATCCGACGGGACAGCTGTATGATGATGATGATGATGATGATGGGTCCGCTTATCACTGATAGGACCGTCGCACAGGTATGTCGATAAGAGAGGGGGAGGGGCCACAGTAGAGTCTGGGGTACGTTGAGCAAAGTACAGGGAGCAAGGGGAGAAAGAAAATAAAGGAAGATAAGATGAAAGAAATAACAATAACAGTTGGTTTAGTAAACTCGAAGTGAGAAGCAAGGTGGGAGGGAGTTTTGATGCCTTAAGTCAGAGGATGGTTGGTGGTGGTTGCGAATGCGGGCGGGAGGCTGGGAAATCAGGTCGCTTGCAGTCCCGGTTGGGCCAATCACAGCGCAGAGATCTGCTCCACGTGAGCCCAGCCGCGCGCTAGAACCCAATTTTACTGTATCCGGTTAGCGTGGAGATCACGGGCAGGTAAACAAGAAAGCGATCGTGGGGAGTTGAACGGGCAACGGGGAGGAGAGGAAACAGGGTTGAAGAAGCCGGTGGAAATGGGCGAGGTAGCGTGGTGATAGTGTCGATGGGGATTGGATGTGATCTGGATGAGAAAGCAGCGTTCAATTGTGCTTGAATATACAGGTGATCTATTAGGAGTCTGCATGTGGCATGCTAGAGTTGACAAGACACATGCCGGACAGCTTCACTCCATGCCTAGTTGCCCACTAGGGTCTTGATATGCACGAAGAGATTATCATTATTATTCCCATGATAATTAGAATGTGGTCATAGCATTTGGGATATTCAGGGGTATCATGTATTATGCTCGTAAATTGGCTACGATCTAATCCCCAGTGTTGGATATATATTTCCGTCAATACTGTCCATAACAAACAACACAGCATGTCAAAAAACCTTTCACCATGGAAAATAACATAAACAAACAAAAGCATGAAATGTTATCATTTCCAATCTATTCTTTATTCGTCCTTTATTCTTCATAAATAACCCTTTCTCCCCAAAGAACGACCGTTCATCCATAGACGGGAGCCCAAGGTGGGCTCAGGCCAATCACAGCCCGCGATCGGATTGGACGGAGTCACTAAAGCAGTTGATCGCGGCGTAAACAAGAAAGAAGAGAGCAGAAAAAGAACAGATCAGACCAGGTCAACGAACTGGACAGCCTGCATCTAAGAACCATCCTGTCACCCCTTCCTTCCTTAGGAAAAATTGCATCATAGCCTTCTCTTTCACCCCCTGAATTTTTTACAGCATGACAGTCTCCTTCCTGTGATCTTGTGCCTTCATTCCCATTCGTACCTGAAAGTTGCGCATCCCTCGCCCCTCTTCGCCCAACTACACCAGACACAGGTGATGCAAACATGGACAAGCATCCGAAAACCCCAACTCGGCCCAGTGGAATCCCTCGATTAGCCACGTCTAGACTGCCTTTGCCTACATTCAGCGTGTCCCGTTCCCTTAGACCCTCCCCGTCCCGAGACAAGCTTCAAGCCGACCCCGGCCTTGATGCCACCAGATTGCGCAGACCATCGGAGGATGCGGTGTTTAAAAAGCCCTTTCCTAAATATTCCTCAAATATCAAGCCGCCGGAGCGACTGATCCGGAGAAGAGATGTTTCTCAGGCTGGAACAAGCGATGGTGGATGGGCTGAATCCGAGGCAAGGTCGGATGCAGCGTCGACCATCGAGACCTCCGCGCACGACACGGAAATTAGAGGGCGCTCCCGAGACGAACAGCCGTCCCTATCAGACCGGACAATTGAGACTCTATCCCAAATTCCGCCGTCGCCGGCACCGTCACGGAGACAGTCTAGCTTTTTCAACGGGGCCAGTCCGATACGATCTCCGTCACGTCCGTCACGTCCGACATCGTCAATGAGTAGCTACTCCAGATCGCCATCGACGTCTTCAACTTCTCGCCAGCAGAGTGGAAATAACCTATTCACTCAGAATCCCTCCGTGGCCCGACTCCCATCCCGATCTCGAGTATCGGCCGTGCCTTCATTAGTCGCAAATGGCAGCTCGTCCACTGACAATGGCTCCATTCCGGCGGTCGAGAGCCCTTCAAGGTTGAAAATGCCTTCTGTAAGACAGAGTTTAGGTCCGGATGGGCTACCTTCTACTGCCGCATCCAAGCGACCCGATGTCTCTCCCGCGAGGCATGGCTTATACAGTGGAGGTACCAACACCACCACGGCACCTAAGCCTCGCCCAGCTCCTGGTAAAACCCTCGCCAAGCCCACTGTTTCGAATATGGGTCCTCCACCACAACCTCTTAATGTGAAGAAAACACGGAAGACACCGTCGAGTTCATCATCTAGTACAAGGTTGTCAACAGGCTCAAAGACATCGTCAGCGGCATCCACCGCACCGGAGTCTTGGACCCCCGAGCAAGAGGCGGATCGGGAAACAAGGAAGGTTTCGAAATCCTCGAGCGCATTGAGAGAAAGCATTGCAAAAGCCAAAGCCGCACGAAAAGTTTCAAGGCAATCTAGCTCACAGGCAGAGGCAGGGTCTGTTGATCCCTGGGATAACATTGAAGACCCATTCAACCAGGGGCCCAAAGATCCAAACAAAGGAGTGCTTCGCAAGCGCTTGGATATTGGTCGATCTTCGGGTAGCTTGAATATCGCGGCTATGTCCTTGACAGAGTTCCCCAAAGAAGTCATGAGCATGTACGACTTTGATCCCGAGTCTACTACGGATTGGTACGAGAGTGTGGATCTATTCAAGTTCATTGCTGCAGACAACGAGTTTGCCGAATTGCCAGAGTCTGCATTTCCCGACATCGACCCAAACGAGTTCGACCCAGATGTCGATGAGAAAGGCAACCAGTTTGGTGGATTAGAGGTACTTGACCTTCATGGAAATGTACTTCGCTCTCTTCCAGTAGGATTCAGGCGCTTACAGCGACTTCATACACTAAATCTCTCGGGAAACCATTTGGCCATGGACGAAATACAGATCGTGATGGAAATGGAGTCTCTTAGAGACCTGAAACTAGCAAAAAATCAACTACAGGGCACCTTTTCTTCCACTATTAGCCGTCTCAGCAACCTAGAGCTTCTTGACCTCAGTGGAAATTCTCTTACAAAATTGCCAGAAAATATCTCGGACTTGACTTCACTCCGGGTATTGAACGTTGGCCATAACCAACTTACCTCTCTACCTTTTGAAGCGTTAAGCAAAGTTCCTCTGAAAGATCTCATTGCCTCCAAAAACCAGCTTCAAGGAACTTTGATACCGGCCTCCGTGCGCCGATTAGAAACCCTGCAGAATCTGGACGTTGTGAGCAATGCACTGGAGAAGCTCTCAGAAAATGAAAGCATTGACCTCCCTAACCTTCAGTCACTATCAATGAGCGTGAACCGCATTAAGGTCTTGCCAAATGTGTCTTGCTGGCAGTCGCTACTTAGCCTGTTAGTAGAAGACAATAGTCTTGTGGACTTGCCGGATGGTCTTGTTGAGCTAAAAAATATCAAGACTGTCGATGTTACTGGGAACAACATTTCGATATTAGACGAAAAGATTGGGTTGATGGAAAGCCTAGCCACACTTCGGGTTGCGAACAACCCGCTTCGGGATCGAAAGTTCCTGAACATGGCCACGGATGATATTAAGCGTGATCTGCGCAATCGGTGCGAACCTGAGGTTCCAGATACAGATGATGAAGAGGGTTCTGTGGGAACCCAGTTTACTCTTGCCCCAGAGTCACCAGAGCAGGGCCAAACAGCCTGGCAGGTCAGACCAGGAGGTATTCTGGACAGATCATACAAAGACATGCATGAGCTTGAGGTGGACCGGCTGGTGCATTTAGACCCGCATGATGTTCGATGCCTATATTTGCAACACAATGAGTTGCGCGGTTTCCCCATCCCAGCGCTCAGTATGCTTGCAAACGGTCTGGTTGAGCTGGACCTCTCGAACAATCCGTTAGACAGTTCTGCTCTTTTCTCTTCATCGCTCACTCTTCCGAACCTCCAAAATCTCAATCTGAGTGCAACCGGCCTAGTGAGCCTTGAACCTATTTCGTCCAATCTTTTGGCACCATCTCTCACTTTCCTTGACATCTCGTGCAACCGTATAGCTGGATCCCTGCCGCTTATCCGCCGGAGCTATCCAAAATTGATTGCATTTATCGCTTCTGACAACAGATTTGAAAGCCTGGAGTTTGAAGCTGCTCAAGGTCTCCAGGTTCTGGATATAGGCAATAATAGCATCGATTGTCTTCCACCAAAGCTTGGCCTGCTGAGATCTGAAGGCTCTAGCAAAAACTGGGACGGAGGATCAGCTTTGAAGAGATTTGAAGTGGCGGGCAATACCTTCCGGGTTCCTCGATGGCAGATTGTTGCAAAGGGAACCGAAGCTATTCTCGAGTGGCTGAAGGACCGGATTCATACCGAGGATCTTGCCGAGTGGGAGCCTGATGGAGAAACGAACTCACAGGAGTACTAGGAGGATTTGTGGTGGCCAGCATCACTGGATTCAATGAGCTGGGTGGAAAACGTCTGAGGCTGGCGTGCCAGACAATGAGAGTGCTCCTGTCCGCCCAAGTCCCACGATCTAGTCATCTCACGGGTGTTGGTTTGTATCATCGCATTGTAAATATACTTCAGACATATAATTCTGGCGTGGTTTCCTTTCGGGCATTTATATATACTTGGAAATAGATTTGGTTTATACAAGCGTTGCAAATGTGACACCAAGAGTAATTGATTTGTTAATGTATGAGTTGTTTTGAATTTCCTGAACTATCTAGAAGTCATTTCGTCTCGTCGACTGATTTGCTGACTTCATCCATGACCTTCATCCATGTTCTCGACCAGGTTGTGAATTTATCCTCAGCCTTTTCTTGACTGTTATTTCCTTCCACTGATCCCCAAGGCAGAACAACTAAGTTCAAAGATCGGGTAGCTTTACTCCGGACGTCCTTCAAGTACCGAGTGCACTTGTCCAAATTGTCTTCGTAAAGAGCTCCTGCTACTTCGTCGATATTTTCTGGGATAGACTGCAGGTTCGTCATCAATGATTCCAGCTTGTTGACACCTGATGGCGATGATAGCGGTTTGTTTCCAGCATTCTTCAAGCGGTTCATGAGGATGGCAGGATAGATCTGCGCGACAGGTTTAAGGATGCGCATTGTGGACTTTTTGTGGGCGTGCAAAGCAGCGGAGCTTTCCTCGTCATCTTCCTCATTGTCGGATCCTGCCTCAGCATCCTTGTTCCCATCGTCGCCCAGAAGCTCGTCGTAGAATTCATCTTCGTCTTCGTCAGGATCCCACTCTTCAATCTCCTCCACTGCATCTCGGACCAAATCTCTCCATTCCTCAACCCGCCGCACCACAAACCCCACCACACCCTTGGCTGCCACATCGACAAGAACATCGCATGATTCCCACACACGGCCTGTAGCTACTGTGACGACATCCTTTTCCGATTGAGAGAGTTCGCTTTCTTTCTTTCCCTCGTCCTTCGCCTTATCCTTCTTCTCTGCGACAGACTTCACCTCTGCAACCAGCAAGGATACCTCCTTCAAAGCAGTTTTCGTCAAAACCTGGACTTCAGCGTGGAATGCCTTCGTGTAGTTGGCCGGAGTAATGAGTAAAGCCGCTGTGACGAGGGACGGGAGCACAGATTCATTCAACGCCGAGAGAACAGTAGACACAGCCGAATGGGTCAGAGGCGAGGTAATCGCCAAAAGCGACAGCTTGGTAACCTGCGACTTAAGAGCCGTGGAGGATGCAGAGAGGAGGGGCAAGGCGTCTTTTTCCGTGAGTTCAGCGGAGACCGGAGCATCTTGCGCGGGCGCGGAAAGAGTGGTTTGGAATCGCTCCAGGAGGGCGATGGTTGTTGGGAGAACGATGGAAAGTTGCTTAGACATTTTGGCGGTTCAGAGCGCGTATAGCTCGGAGGCTATATTATCTGCGCGTTGTGGTAAATATGATGTGATGGACGCTGAGAAAAAGAAAAGACGAAAATAATAAGAATTTCGGGCTGAAAAGACGGCGGGGCAATAATTGCTGATTAGGGTTCTACGGGGTCACCTGCAGCGACAGTGTTGCTATGCCGGCTGACACTATTGGATTTAGATGGGTTAAATATATAAAAAAATTGAAGAAGTAGATTGTTGGATATCAAAGCTCAAGACTTTTTGATATCGATTTGTGGGAAGAATATCTGGTCAGAGATTGTTCTGCGTATGACTTCAAATACGCCAGTTGACTGTTTCTCAAATTTCGTGAAGCAATGCAACAACAACAGCAAAAATCACCAGGAGATCCAGTGAGTCTTTTTTACACAGATCATATGGTTTGGGATAAAGCAGAGGGCCCCTTCATGATGGATTGGTATACGCATATTGAGAAGCCAGAGGAATGAAGAGTCAAGACAAGAAGCCTTCGATATGAAAATAGATGTTGATCGCCACTTCCAGACCATGAATCTGGCTAGAAACTCCAAGAAAATATATGACATGTCTTTATGGATGCTGATGTCAACCCAGCTCGACACTGTATTGGAGATTGTCCATCTGAGATGGCGCAATCCAACGTCAACATTGTCCTATCACACTTGAATCAAATGGCACTCATATCAGACTTCACATTGCATGATGCCGGGCTTCTATTGCGAATAACTTCAATACGAGTTGCTATTCGGTCTTGCCAGCTTTGGTCGCTCGTTTACTTATGCGGAGATAAGTTCACATGTGCTTGGGAGCCCTGTAGGTATACTGCATCTTATCAGCTCATCTGTCGACGAAGATTGGATAATTGGATATTATCCCCTGTTTATCTTTTAAACTTTTGGTTGTGATGAGGGGAAGTATTGGAAAGAATTCGTGATTTTCGTAAAGCATGGCATCAGGTTGATGCTCGTGATGTCTATATAAGAGTGGTCAATATCTCATCCAGAGTTTCATTCATATCTTCCATACGCCCAAGAGACAGTTTCACCATATTAAATTATCTATATACATCAAGAAGCATGGCCCCTGCACTTACTGAGGTTTCAAATGTTGTGCCCAACATTGTTGAAACGACAAAGTCTGTCGCAAAAAGCCTTCAACAAGAGCCTTTGCAGTTGAAGGGTGCATTGGATCAATTCGAGTCATTTGATGTCACTCCTGTCATTGGAAAGGAGTTCCCAAATGCAAGCCTAAAGGAATGGCTCGATGCTCCCAACTCTGACGACCTCCTTAGAGAGCTAGCCATCACTGGTGAGAGATATGAGAATCTATATTAAAACTCGCAATTGACGTTGTATTTGCAGTATCCCAGCGAGGAGTGGTGTTCTTTCGGAAACAAGATGATCTGGATAATGATAGACAGAAGGAGCTGATTCACCGTCTTGGTCAGCTTGCTGGAAAGCCAAGTACATCAACCTTACATATCCACCCTGTGTCCAATTCTAAACGTGAGCATGGTGGAAAGGATGATGAGATCAGTGTCATTAGCTCTGAACAGGCAAAGAAGTTGTACAAGAGGAACTATTACAAAAAACAGAGTCAAAAGAGTAGCTGGCACAGTGACATTACCTTTGAGCCAGTGCCAAGTGACTATGCCGTTCTGCGTCTAACACAGTTGCCAAAGTCTGGTGGAGGTAGAATGCCCTTCCAGTATTTCAATGGAGAACATAGAGGATACTTGGCTGACATATACTTTAGATACCCTCTGGGCTTCTGGTTATGAAGTGTACGACCGCATTTCAGAGCCGTACCAGAAATTTCTGGAAGGATTGACAGCAACTTACGCACAGCCTCTCTTTAACCAGAGCGCAAAGGAGAATGACTTCGAACTTTTCGCAGGCCCAAGAGGCTCTCCTGAGAATGTAGGGGACGAGTTAAGAGCCATTCATCCAGTTATCCGGACGAACCCTGTTACTGGCTGGAGGAGCGTTTTTGCAGTTGGCCACCATGTCGAGAAAATCAACGGACTGTCAGATGAAGAAAGCAAAAATCTCCTCGACTGGTTCGTGAGATTGATTGTTGAAAATCATGATTTGCAAGTCCGTAACAGATGGCAGAGCCCCAATGATCTTGGTATGGTTTCTCTTCCATCCATGTGAACAAATAGAGCTTTACTGATAGGCGCCTTCGTCATAGCTATCTGGGACAACCGGAGTGTGTACCACAGTGCAACCAATGATTTTGAGGGTCTCGGACCCAGAGCAGGTCAGAGAGCCGTCAGTATTGGTGAAAGGCCATATTTCGACCCAAATAGCACCGGTAGACGTGAGGCTCTGGGAGATTTGGACGTCAGGGTGTGATCGTATTGCTAGCAATTCTTTTTCTGAATTTATATTTGGTGTTGCAATTAGTCTCTTGTCAAATGAGCATGTTAGTCAAGACTACATCCATATTTCAATACCAGCAGAACAGTAAACGCACCTCTATGAACCAGAACTAAAGGTTTAGCTTGTAGAGCACCAGAATAGTCTTGTTTCTGTCCAGTCCGTGCCCTAACTCTGAGCCCTAATTTCCGGATTCGTGACGTCGGGCAAACGTTTAGCTGCAGCTCCGATCGTCCATCGGAAGCTCAACTCTGCGTCTTCTAATCTAATCAACACGGAGCATCCGATTCGAGCTCAACTACTCATTATGCACGCGTGAATTCATGCTTGATCGATAATATTCCGACACTGCACTCCACAAAATGGGGACGACTAAACCCCGCGCCCCCGCGAGAAACTCGATAGCCAAAGTGCAGCCCCTACCGGAGAAGACCTTCATCATCGACAATGGCGCATACACCATGAAAGCGGGCTACGCGGCGGATTTCCCTCCCCCAGAAGATGAAGCCCGGGCGCTATCATCCTGCACAATGATACCCAATGCTCTCGCAAAAACTCGTGGAAACCATGTCTATATCGGTTCGCAATTATTGACCCACGTCACTGATTGGAATGAGATGGCATTTCGTCGCCCTGTGGAAAAAGGATATATTGTGAACTGGGAAGCACAGAAGGAAATCTGGGAGCATTCGTTTTTTGATGAAAAGACTGTGCGGAGTAAAGAATTCCGGATTGCAAACCCGGAAGAAACGACACTCATACTTACTGAGGCGCCGAATGCTTTACCGGCGCTACAGAAGAACGCAGATGAGATTGTCATGGAAGAGTGGGGATTTGGGGGGTATCTCAGATGTCTAGGTAAGATGAATCGGAGATTATCTGTCTGGCTGCTTGGATCTTGCTGTTCAAACTCAATTCTAACACACTATTCTCTGCTTCGATAGGCTCATCGTTAAATGCTTGGAACGATGTACAGTCCTTGTTTGGGGATCCCATCTCACAAAGCTCCGATTCGGCGGTTTTGCCTACCGAATGCCTAATGGTTGTCGATTCCGGTTATTCGCACACTACAGTGACCCCAGTCTACAAGGGACAGCCTATTCAACGTGGCATTCGTAGACTCGATATCGGAGGAAAACATCTTACAAACTATCTCAAGGAAATGGTGTCGATGAGGCAATATAATATGGTTGACGAGACATACATCATGAATGAGGTCAAGGAAGCTGTCTGCTTCGTAAGCAACAATTTTCCTAATGACCTAGAAAAGACGTGGAAAGGCAATCGGAAACGCGGCCAACCCGAGCCTAGTGAAGGTGTCATGGTGGATTATGTCCTCCCAGATCCCAACGCTGCCAGAAAAGGGCTTGTTCGGCCTCACGACCCTCTCCTGAATGCTAAGAAGAGGAAGGGCGCACTGTCAGGTGGCAACGCCGATGTATTATCTGAGGATGTGTTGGTCTTGGGCAACGAACGCTTCACTGTGCCAGAGATCTTATTTACGCCGAGTGACATCGGTATGAAACAGGCGGGTATACCGGATATCGTTCTTCAAAGTTTGTCCGTCTTACCCACAGGACTGCATCCTGCTTTTCTGGCAAATGTTCTGGTTGTTGGTGGCAATTCCTTATTCCCTGGGTTTTTGGAAAGATTGTAAGCCCCATCTATTCTTCTGGTTCCTGACCACCCGCTCATACCTTTCAGGGAAACCGAATTGCGTCAGATCGCCTCGGCAGAATGTGTTGTGAGAGTCCGAAGGCCCAAAGAGTGAGTTCTTCATCTTACATGCCCTGGTACCCATGCTAATGGATCGCAACCAGCCCTACCGTATTTACCTGGCTCGGGGCATCGCGTTTCGCAACCAATAAAGAGGAACTGAAGAAGGTGGCAATCACGCGCCAGGAATACCAGGAGTATGGATCTTCGGCCATTGCCTCCAAGTTTTCTGGCAACTGGCGAGATGATATGTGATTTGCACAGGTTGGAGTTTCGGTTGATTATACGTGGAGTTGACTACTGGTTATTTGGCATGATAGATAGATACTCTTTCCATGCTGCAATTGTCCATGATACCCTTGAATTTGACATGTTGATGAGCAACAGTACACTTGTCTGTGAGAATCTCGTATGGAGTAGTGGACTCGAGACAGCGAAGAGGCCTCCCTTCTGAATATCCTTAATTTTCATCTTATGCTTTCTTGCCCTTTCCCAATAACAATACTGCCTTATACAATCGAACATATTGACTCAGAGGGTTTCTTGAATACCGGTGGCCACTAATATTGAGGTTTGGGGAGTGATAGTCGCTTCTGCCCCGCAGTCCCCCAGTTCAGGCTTACACGTTGGTGACCGACACTTTGAACAACAACAACAACAACCCATGACTCACACCTGTCGTTCGCAACCCCCCAATGTTATGCGTTGCTTAATTGACAAAAGACGGTCACGACCGATCGGGTTGTTGCGGCCCAAAAATCCTGCAGTAAAAATGACGGACAAACGCTGGCACCTCTTTTTTATTAGCCTGTCAGGGACAGGCACGGCATATGGGATGGTCATGATAGAGTAATGGGGAGCCCTGGACATGTGGCACGCCAGGAGAGGCCTGTCCGATGATACAGTTGGACAGCCCGTGTTGATACCTGGATGACATCGATGTGTTTAGTTTAACTGTATAAATAATTGGCTCACTTTCCCTCTTTTTTAAAAAAAAGACCGACGAGATTATGAGGCCATTGTCTTCGCACAACCTACCCATGAGAGTTCCATAGACAGACTTGCCAATCGAGCTATCTTGATCGACGTCTTGTATATCAGCCAACCACTGCAAGACAACCTTTTAGATAACCGATCATGACGTTCGACTCATCAACCCCCGCAACTGCGAATGCCAATATGACTCCTCCCAACAAAAGCCATCTGTCCGAGTGGCCGGGACTCCCGGCAGTCAACGATTCGCAGACAATATACGTCGAGTCTGAGAACGGATGGCTTCAACAGCCCTGCCCTCCGGAGCTGGAGATGCTCCCGCTTAAGCTTCCCACAGTCATTGCGCATATTATCCGGGACTCAACGGACAAAGAAGGTCATATTCCACACGAGGAAGTCCAAAGGGCTAGCGCAATGGTAGCAAACAGTGCTGTGGAGGAACAAGAACCAGAAGCCCCTATTGAGCAAGCCGTGGAGAACGAACTGGTCGACCAAACACCCAACGTATGCGCATCCTCTGATGACTCCAATCTATCGAACCCCCCAGCACATCACGAAAGATCCCCTTCCATCTCTCGTCGTGGAGTGAAGTTTATGAAACGTCTCCTGAGGCGTATGTCGTCGTCATCAAAGGAGTGAGTGAATATTCCCGCAGTCATCATGCTTAGTACAGTACACTGACTTTAAAATAGGAACTGTGTGAGCTGCCTTGACAAAATACCTACGAAGGACTTGATAAACCTCCCTTGCCGACACAAATATTGCACACCATGCTTCAACCGAATGGTACTCATAAGCATTGCGGATGAAGGATTGTTTCCGCCCAAATGTTGCTCCCAGGACGTACCATCGAAGAAAGTTCTTTCAGTTTTGGCCCCAGAGACCAAAGCCATTTACTCGTCAAAATTGGATGAGTATGAGACGCCTGTTGCGGATCGCTGGTACTGCCCCGAGGCCAATTGTGGAAAATGGATACCACCAAAGGCCCTGGAGAGCGAGTCTCCGTCACAAGTATGTCCGCACTGCAGTGCGATTATTTGTTCGAGTTGCCGCAACATTGCCCATTCCAACGAAGAATGTTCTGAGGATCCCGGGTTAGCGATCTTTCTGGAAGAAGCACGGCTTCAAAAGTGGCAAAGATGCTACAATTGTGGTGCAATGGTGGAGCTGACATTTGGGTGCCATCAAATCACCTGTCGATGCAAGGCACAATTTTGGTAAGTCTCCTTCTCGTTTGCTCCGAATAGCATGAGCTAACAGATCAAAGTTATAAATGCGGCAGTCCATGGGAGTCGTGCACTTGTGTCGTATCAGGGGAAAGACAAAATGATTTCCTCCAGCTTGCGGTCGGCGGAGGTGGAAACCTGGATAGAAACCAGGAAACCGAGCTTGCCGCAGTGGTCATGGCAATCGAGTACGCCGAAAGGGAAGAGAACGAGGAAAGACAAAGGCGCGAACAGCTCCAAGGCAATGAACAACGCAGCCAGGAGCAAGAAGGCATCGACCCTAGAGAATCCCATCGCAGACTCGAAATCGACGAAAGAGCCAGGATTCTGGGTGAATTCCTCTCAGAAATAAACAGACTCCAACAGGAACGTCTGATCCATCGGCAAAGAGAGGAAGTATATGTGTTTCTGTCACAACAAAAGGCAGAGGGAGAAAGATTGGATAGGGAACGACGACAAGTGATGGAGAAACATCAGTGGAGCATCGAAACCCGGTTCCAACGATTGGTCGCAGCACAAAAGGCCGATATCCAGAATATGGAATTAGAGCATAAAGAAGAGGAAGACTCGTTGATTGTCAGGTTCCCCCGTCTTTACCGGGGTCTGCCAACCGCTGAAGCCGAATATCGAGAATCGGCGGTGCTTGCCAAACTTCGAGGCATGCAAAGGGAGGAGAAACTAAGACTCATCGAGGACCACCAGCAAGCACTCGCAGACAATAAGAAAGAGACGTCGATTGAGCGAGGAGCATTGGAGTCTGCACTGAAGATGCAATGGAGGACAGAACAAAAGCTGGTCAAGGCTGCCCTGCGATCACTGGTGCAGACCTGCGTTTATGATCGCTTTTGGTTTGATCAGGTTGTCGCTAAGCGAGAGGATTTGCTCGAGAAATATCGACAGGATCTTATCAACAGTGGAAATGGATTGGAAGATCTGAGCTTTGTCGAAACTCGAGGCGGCGAATTCTATCCAGTCATGCAGGAATGGATATGATGATTAACGGTATTGGGAGGAGTTGGAAATCTTGAACGAATCTCTACGAAAATTTCCTTTGTTAAAAATAGATAGAATATAGATAGATACCTGGAACACAATTGTACCAAAATTGCATCCATGAAGACACACTAATTTGTAGAAACATCATAAGTGCTTAGTTGTTTGGAGCCGTTTCACGTTCTCGTAAATATATATGGGGATGTTTATACAAGATCGTAGCATACACCAAGGATATCACATATTATTTTCCCACAAGGCAATCTATCAGTAGTTGTAAAAGCCCTTTCCGGTCTTCTTGCCCATCCAGCCCGCATCGACCATTCTCTTCAGCAGGCCAGAGGGTCTGTACTTACTGTCTCCTGTCTCTTGATGCAAAACATTCATGATGGCAAGGCAAGTATCAAGTCCAATGAAGTCTGCCAATGTCAGAGGTCCCATGGGCACGTTAGTTCCATTCTTCATGATATTATCGATATCTTCACGACCACCAACTCCGGTCTCAAGGCAGATAACAGCCTCATTGATATAGGGCATGAGAATACGGTTGGCAAGGAAGCCAGGCGAATCAGCCGAGACAGATGCTATCTTGCCCATGCGTTGCACGAACGTGATAGCCGTGTCGATTGTCTCCTGCGAAGTCTGCAAACCTGCGATAATCTCAACACCCTTCTGGATCGGAACTGGGTTCATGAAATGCGTGGAGATAACACGGGAGGGGGCTTGCAAATCGGTAGGATTTGTTGTAGTGGCGGCGGCAATCTTGGTGATGGAGATGGACGAGGTGTTGGTAGCAAGAATAGCGTGCTTGGGTGCGATTTGAGAAATCTGGGAAAAGATCGAGGTTTTGAGTTCTGTGATTTCGGGAACAGCTTCGATGATAAAGTCCACCGACGAGAGGTCGTCCATCTTCACACTGGGGGTGATGAGAGCGCGAGCAGCATCTGCGGCATCTTGGGTAAGACGCTCCTTGGAAACATCCTTGGCGAGGAGTTTATCTAAAACCAGAGCAGATATGTGTTATTTGAGGCTCCTCTAAATCGATCAAATCGAAAATAAGCCGAGCGGTTCATCCTTACCGGCAAACTTAAGACCCTTATCGAGAGATGCCTGCGAGTTATCGATCAGGCTAACGGGGACTTGAGCTTTTTGAGCAGCAACGAGAGCAATTCCAAGCCCCTAATGTCAATGATTAGCATCACAAATGTTGATTATTGTTTGGGAATCCCACCGACCATTTGGCCTGCTCCGATCACACCCAGCTTCTTAACCTCGGCAGCATATGCCGCAGAAGTGGTGCTGAAGGCCCGGGAGGCCATTGAGGGGCCTCTGTAGGAGAGGACTCTGAGAGACGACGACAACATGATTATGGTGGGTTGGCAAACTCCAAAAAGAACAGAAACCGTTCACAAATAACAGCAATGAAGAAGCAAGGAAGAATGCTGGAGGTGGTGATCCTCTACTCTAATTAACTTGTACACAGCAGTTATCATGTGATTCGACGTCATCGGCTATCCTCGGCTCGTCGGTGGGAGAATTTTCTCCGACTTCCGCGGTCGCTCTTAACTCGTGGACGCGTGCATGGCGCGTGGCCATTGGTTCGCGCGTCAGATGGAAGATTGTCGCTGCCAACGGCGATATCAACAAGGGCGACGACCGCAACGACGGTGAAGTGGCCATCATGGATGACGAAGCGGTGCCTTTTGGCCAGACTGTTCAGGTCGTTGACCCAGATGTCCGTGCTCATGTGTATAGTCTTGTTACCGCGGTGAGTTTGATCAGTTCCATTCCCTACTGTCTTCTTTTTTGGTTGGTGGCTCTGACAAGTGTTGCAGCTAGGAGGGTTCAATGGCGAAGATGCTGATCAATATGTCCTCGGAGACGATTCTTTGGCATGTCTGCGAGATATCAAGCGATGGCTGAAGCTATACGATGAAAAAAACAACCGGATGGATGTGGCTCGATGTCTGGGAGAGGCGAATCTTGTGAACGGCGATCTCGTACCGATTCTATCGGCCTGGTGGAATAATGGCCAGAAGAGCAAACATATGTCTAGAATTGCATTGGCATGCTGTGAGTGACTTGAACTGATTCTCCCCCCGGTGGATATCCGCAAAGGTGATAGTCTAATAGTGAACAGTGGAGTTGCTGGTACCTCTGACCTGGCCGCTGGAATTGCATAATGAAATGACTGTCAATCATCATCGCCATACTCCCTATATACAACAAGCCCAAGTTCAATATAAGCGTGGGATCCTAAGTCATGCAAACTCGAACCTCATTCGAACCATCATACGGATTGCTCTTCCGAGCATGGCCATGCCTCGATCTGAACGAACGGCCCGAGACGAAGGCATTCTCAAACTGATGCTCTATCTGCTCCGGAATCTTGCGCTCATCGCCCCCAATACTCGTTTGGCAGCGGAAGGTGAGGAGGAGGAAACATCAAGATCCGCAACAATCAATGTATTTCAACAACAGGATGCATTTGCTCTACTCCTCACCATGTGCTCCAACGTTGGTGATGACTTCAACTTACAGGATGTGGTTCTTCTTGAAATTCTGTTCCATATCATAAAGGGTGTCAATGTGGAGAAATTGTTCATGGATGATGCCCAGCGAACAGCCAAACGCACAGATGAGCTTGGTGGTCTCCTACAGAAAGAATCGTCTTTGCGGAGAGAATACGCTAAAAACGCACCGACACGACATGGTCGGTTCGGGACAATGATTTGGGTCAAACGGGACGATGCTAAAGTTTCCACCGTCTCAGGGCAGGATGTCCTTAAGGATGGCCAGGCAACGTTAAACAAGATGGACCAGACTAAAAAGTGGAACAAGCCCCAGCCACGTCGAAAACAGCAAGAAATGAGGGTGAACAATGATTTCAATACGCCAGCCCATCTTTCTTCAACAGCATCTAAAAATCTGCGGATGTTTGTGGAGGAGTTCTTGGATTCGGGATTCAACCCTCTTCTCACCCACGTACGCAAAGCAATTGAACGTGAGGCCGATCGTATTGTGGATATCAATTCACGCCAGTTCTTCTATGTCGTTGCCTGGTTCCTTCAGGCAGAGCGCACACGGCGTCTCCGTCAACGCCAGCTGCGCACGCAGGATTCGAAGGACCTCAAGGAGGTGGAACCAGATAGCTTTGGTCTTGTTGCTAGTGTCCTCAACCAGGAAACTTTCATCTTTTTAAACCGATCGATGCAACATAGCTTTGACCAAAAAGACTGGGAGGATCTCAATGCACAAATGCGTTGTTTCACGCATATATTATTGACTGTACAGGAAATGGCCCAGTCACCTCTCGAAGACGACCAAGAAATTGCCGAAAATATCCAGAACCGAATTTTCTATGAGGAGACCACTCATGACCGCATATTATCCATCATCCGTGGGTTCAAGGATCAAGGATTTGGCTATCTTGATGCGTGTACAGAACTTGCACATGTCTTCCTTCGCATGCTGGAGCGCTATTCCAAAGAGAATGCTGATATGCAAGTGCGCTCTCGTCGACGGGCTAAGCGCAAGCAGAAGCAAGCACAAAAATCAGGCGAGGACAACAATGAAGATAATGAAGATCACGCATCTGAGGATGAAGAGGAAGAGGAAGCTGAAAGAGTTTCCAGAGAACGCAAATTTGATTTCACGCGATTTGCGGCCAAGTTCTGCAACCAAAAATGTGTTGATACCTTCATCGCTTTCACGAGATTTTATAAAGAACTGGACACGGAACAATTGAAACGCGTCCACCGCTACTTTTATCGGATAGCTTTCAAACAGGAACTGAGTGTCTTGCTATTCCGGGTCGACATAATCAACCTCTTCTACAGGATGATTAAAGGTCCTGGTGCTTTAGATTCAAGCAAACCGATCTTCAGGGAGTGGGAGGAATTGGTTCGACAGCTTATAAGACGTTTGGTCAAGAAGCTTGAACAGCGTCCGGCACTAATAACAGAACTTTTGTTTAGCAAGATCAACTCAACAGTATTCTACCTCGAATATGGACATGAAAAGCAAACTATGTCCACCGTAAAAAGAGCCCCAGCTGAGCTTGAAGTCCATCCTAAGGAGGCCGCGACAACTGAAGAAAAATTGGGTATTGTGGTAACTGCGCTCGTGAAGGATGAGGAGTCTGGCCTGGTCAAATGGATCAGTGAAGTGTTGGGTTCGGCCGCCGAAGAAAGAGAGTCTTGGGAAGCTCAGGATGAAGCCCGACGAGCTGAGTCTGAAGCGCCACCGAACATCCCTAACCCAATGATTGGTAAGTCTTTTTTAATCAATTCTGCTCAATTGATAGCTTCTAACTTGTAAACCAGCCATCACGCCACCCGACGACTCCTGTAAACAAGCAATGTTTTCAAATGCCAAACTTCGCCTCCTCATGACATTGATCAAGCTTGAACGGCTTGGAATGGAAGATGTGCCTGGAGCGTCCTGGATTGTTCCGTCAGCGTTGTCATCAAAAGATCTCCACAACATGAAACTATTAATCGACCAGGGTCTCGATAAACCCGTTTCGGAAGATCCCGATCAAGACCCTCGCCAGATGCTTCGACGCAAGAATAATGGCAATGCAAAGGGCGACAAGTATGGATCAACGCTGGATGTTACCTTTGGGTCTGATTCAGAAGGCGAAGATGATGTGCCAGATGGGCCCCTTTTCCCACCAAATTCTCGATCTAAAGCAAACGCACTCGATGAATTGAAGAAAAAGCGCAAGAAGAAACGGCATGAAGAGGAGAGCGAGCCACTGGATGAAGAAACTCTGGAGGAGCGCCGTCGGTCACGATTGGAAAATGCCCTGGCTCGACAGGCAAAGATAAAGAGTGATTTGTATATCCACGCCAGTGATGAGGAAAGTGACGCGGAAGCGGACAAGGAGTTTTTCTCCCTTGAGGAACAGACACGGAAAGATCAAGCCGAACGAGTGAAGAGGGCCTTGCTTACTGGGGTCATGGAGGAAACAGGTGGTAAGAAGGGCAAGAAGAAGAGTGGCCGCAAGCGCAATTCCCAAGGCACGGAGGCGCAAAGCAAGCGGCAGCGTCGCAAACAACAGGGCGTTGAAGTTGACGAAGACGACGACATTGTTATGGCTGGGACAGATGCTCAGTCACAACGGCTTTTGCCCGGTGATGCCGGGAATGATGAGGATATGCTTCTTACCTCTGAGGAGGATGATCTGAATTTTGATGATGATCTTGCTTTCAGTCGAGACCGCGAGAGGCAACTGGACATTCCTTCTCTTGACCCTAAATCGGATGCACACACTGCATCTGCTACGGCCGATAATGGTGATGACGATGAAGATGCGCCACAGGCTGCACCGTCGCGAAGACGCATGCGAGGTGGTTTTGTTATTGAGAGCGACTCGGAATAGCGCGTATGGCTGGAGTTGAACATGTTCTAATGACCTGATGAGGCGTTTTGGGTCTGGACTTAGAAATAGTTATGGGTATTTGTGTAATTAATACCATTGCATAAGAAGCTGATCGTTCATCATGTGGAGCATCTCGGCAAAGCGATCAATATCATTTGGTTGTACCTTGGATATATTGTTATCGACTATGACTCAAGACTGCCGAGAGCGGGTCAAGCGCCACTATCTTATAAAGCCGTTATTTGCCGTGAAGAGCATTCGGTTTCTTTTTTTCTTTTCAAATATACCTTCCAGTCAGTTGCATTTGTTTAATCCTTCCAAGTGCGTGGGATAGAACAACTTGCCATGGCCCAACAAGCTCAATTTGTCACTCTGGATGTCTTTACATCCCAGCCATACTCCGGCAACCCCCTTGCTGTCGTCTTTCTTCCCAGCAAGGATGGATTCACAGCCAACAGTCTGACACAAAATCAGAAGCAGGCAATTGCCCGCGAATTCAACCTGTCAGAGACGATCTTCGTACACGCTGACAACGGACCGAAGCGCACCATCGATATCTTCACCACATCTTGTGAACTTCCTTTCGCAGGCCACCCAACAATAGGAGCTGCATCTTGGTTCCTGAGCCATTCGAAAGGAAATGGAGATGAGAATGTGAACACATTGACCACCAAATCCGGGGATATCCCGATCACCCTCCATGCTGGACAAAATGCCGTGGCTGCCAGAATTGCCCACGATACTCGCATCCACGCGGCTCGATTCCCAGCCCGTGAGCTTCTGCGCCTGCACCGATCCCTGGAGCCTTTTATCCAAGCAGATGCTACTTTCCCTATCTTCTCCATTGTCAAGGGTATGAGCCAGATTCATGTCGAGCTGCCTTCCCCGGAAGCTCTTGCTGCTGTAACCACTGCAGCAGATGGGGAGATTCCTTCCTCTACCAGTGGATACCTCAATAAAGACTGGGAGTCTGGTATCATCTTGACTTATTTCTTCGTGAGGAACGTCAAGGATTCTCTAACAGGCAAGACGATAATCCGAACCAGAGGAATTCTGGGAAATCTCGAGGACCCGGCAACAGGAAGTGCGGCAAGTGGATTGACGTCCTATCTGACACTGGTGGAGGGTAAAGCCGGGAATTATCAGTATGATGTCGTGCAAGGAGTAGAAATGGGAAGACGCAGTGAGATTGGGGTTGGAGTGGTGATGAAGGAGGACAACAAAATTGACAGCGTTGAGCTGAAGGGAAACGCAGTCAAAGTGTCTGAGGGAAGTATTCTCGTGCCTCAAGAATAAATTGTTTTGGAAGTGGGAATTCACGGGTGATGCGTGGCATGGTGTTTTTTCATATATTAGGGAAGCGCATAGCAAATAATAAGAAGATATGTAATATCAGAGACTTGCAAATCTGAAGGCAAATTTTCTCCCTGATTGTCCTGGGGAGGTTGAAGCAGCACTCGAAAATTCCCAGTCCCAGTCCCAGTCCCAGTCCCTTCTCTCTTCTCTCTTCTCTCCTCTCTCCTCTCTCCTCCCTCTCATGTCTGACACTCACTATAATTGCAGATATTATCGTAAGAATCGTATCTACTATCTCCTTTCTAACCAACCAGTCTCGAGTACTCACCGTTTTCCATCTCAACCAGGAATCCATACCAACATGAGTGAAAAGCAAAACCGCAAAGTCTCTCTGATCAGTTCGCTGCAAATACTTGGAAGGAATACTTTTGGGACCCGTCATAATCGCCAGTTATGTGAAGAAGAAAACACCAGCAAATCGGCTGACTGGAATAACAACCACAAGGCTGGTCGTATTTTCTCACTTGGTCCGCCATTTCAGAGCACTGGAAGACAACCCCCACCATTTGGTGGATTTCTTTCATTCCAGGGAAAGAAAGCAACCCACCCTTACCGCCATGTTTCACTGCCAGTATCTGTTCAAGGATACTCTTTGGGAGTGTCTGGCATAGATGGTGGAATCAAGAGCAAGGAAGCCCTCGAGGAGAAAACCAAGATGCGAATTCGACGCCTGAACCCTAAATTGCAGCAGTCCGCTTCAAATGCAGAAGCCTTGAAAAGTCCTACTTATCTTCCGGCACAGACGTCGAAGGGTTCTTCAAAGCCAGCATACTCGAGAATCCCGACCCCAAGTAAGCCACCAGGTGGTGAGATTTATTCGCATGCAGTATATCAAAAAGAAGGAAGAAGAAGTGTTCTTTCATCTTTGGGCAAACGACACACAAGCTTGAGGAAGAACGTTGAAAAGAGCAATGGCCCGGATAAAGGAAAGGCAGAACAAATGCATCTGGTGCAACCAAGTGGGAAATATTCAGACACTAGAAACCACGGAAACCAGTATGGTTGGGAGACAGCTCCAATACGTACTCCGTCCCAAGGACAAGGCATCGACGAGAATTTCCCCAGTATACCAATTCCAAAGAATACCGCCGCAAGAATGCCACAAAGAAGATCACACACCATGATACCTTTACCAGTATCAGGATCAACCCCCTGTTTCAGTGCTGTTGAATCCAACCGTCAATGCCAGTTTTTGTCCCGAAATACTGTGGATCGAACTTCAAAACAGACAATGACAAGCTTCCCTGTACAACAAGTGAAACTGCCGCTTGGAGAAAGACCCTTAGAGAAGCACACCGTCGATTATAATGGCAGTGTAGTGAGGAATCCGCTTCCAGGTCATGCAAAGAAGCTGCCGTTTAGGAAAGTGCGAACTAGAAGCAACAGTCTTCACCAACAACCATTTCCTTACGGCCAGTTGACGGAGGCCCAGTCTTGCACAAACAAAGAAAACATAGCGTTCCAACCAGGCGGCGAAATGAATTCAAACAGGAACCGGTGGTCGAATTATTCCGAGAACCTGAGAAACATCGAAAAGGCAAGACTAGGCATACACGCTGTTGAACCCGAAGAACCGGTTGAACGCCATATTCCCAGTGAATTCGAAAGAGGTAGACAGAAGGATCAGGCTGAGAGAATGGTACCAAGAGCCAGCTCTGCCTCTACTAGAATTCTCTGTGCCAGGCAAAAGCTGACCACGCACCCCGGTGGCACCTGCCAGGTATCCGAATCGCAGCCTCGGCAATACTGGCTTGGTCGGTTCATGACCTTAACCAATGCCTTCCATTACGAAGACTCCTTCAACGAGCCAGATATCTCCACCGGCTTCGGCATGCTGTCCAGTTACTCTCGTCCGTTGAAACAACCAGATACAGACCTGTCGAGCTATCATATCAAACGGGCATTTATGGTGCTAGAGAATGTTTGCACCACGGAGCAGGCTAGCGCGAGTCTTCGTAATTTCCGAGAGGAGTATATTGCTCTGCATGGGAGTCGTTGGATGAAATAGTTCATATGGCCTGGCGGAAAGCCGGGGGTGCTTAGTTTTCCGTCAGATTGACTGGAACGGTATGTCCTGGGAATGGGGTAAATCACAACATGGATTGGTGGGAGGCGTTTTGGGTCTATGCATTATCAATTTTCTCTTCATCATGCTCAAGGTGTTGTGGGGTTTCATAAGATTTATTTCTAGATGGGAGATTCTTCGAGATGAAAGGTAGATGAATATGAATAGATTTCCCATATTGTAAATGTGAGAGAAAATACAATTCCTTCAATTGCGCCAATTTATGCTTCGATGCCTCTTTTTCCTTATATCTTTTGCCTATAATACAGTCTCTGAAGACGGACCACCACGTGTAAGTTTTCTAATATCATCATTTCGTAAAATGCCCTCGGGGATTCTATAAACGCCATACCATACCTATCTGATTGCGCCAATTTCCAATATGACTTGACCCCAAAATAAAATTGCAGCCTGAATTATTTCCTGCTCCGCAAAAAGGCCGCGACCTGTTCGTGTCTGGTAACAAAGAACATACGTTTGCGATCTGATTTCCACACAAGAACACCGATTTCTTCTGCATAGCGACACGGCGCCTCGTATTCGGACAGGCTAACGAAGTCCTTGAAAAGGAATCCAGGGGTTCCCTTAACGCGGTCTCGTTCAAGCTGCCAGAGCCGAATTTGATCAACCACTGTAGGAGGCAAAACAGATGGGAGTCCAGATTGGTTGGATGAAGATTTGGAAGCATTATGCTTGCGCATTTGAGGGTGTGCGTGCGTTGATATGTACGAGATGATTTGATCACCGGTGATGCCCATTTCGACAGCCCGACGTATAGACTGGCGTGTGATTTTACCAGTGATCAGATTTGGGAAGCGGTATTTTAAGGTTGTGAAAAGAGCAAGGAGGGAGATTTGGAGCGGCGAGGAGGTGTATGCATATAGTCGGTAATTGGTTTCGACGATGATGAATCCAGAGCCCGCCTTGTTCGACGAGGACCCCGTTGGTCCGGAGAGGGAGCCAGAGATTGGATTGCTGAGAGCACTGGAGTCGGATGTGAGGGTGGTTGCGAGACGAGTTGGGAAGAAATGGCTTGCATCCGGGGTCTCCTGATAGACAATCCCAAAGTCCGACAGATCGGTCAAGGTTCGGTGTTGATTGGAGGTTAGGTGTTTTTTCTCGTACGACTTGCCCAGCTCTAAACTACTCAAGAGGAAGATGAAGGAAAGAACCTCGACACTATCCATCCCGATGGCTTCAGCGCTTTCGACGTAGAGGATCAGAATATGCCAGACCTGCGTGCCGACATCTTGCAGAACAAAAGAAAATCCGTCCTGAGTGATTTCTACACGACGGTCTCTTATTTCGACCAAATGGCCGGCTTGGAGGAGCTGCTTCACACCTTTGCTCAAGCTGACAATATCACGTTCAGTGCTTAGTCCGCTTGTCCCCACCATGTATCCCATTACCCCTTCCCACTGGCGTCTTGCGTACTCATCCAGATCGGCTACCGAGACCAATGTTTCATTTGATATTTGTGATAGAACTCCAAAGGACTGTGTCTGCTCAGTCCCTGTGAGGGCCTGTCGAAGGGAAGCGGCAAACGGATTGGTAACCATGTAAGCGCGAACGTTATTCGATGTGAGGGTGTTGGATAGGATATGCAGTCTTCCCAGGATTGAGAGTGCATTATCTCGTTCTCTTGAGTAACGCGAGAATTATACATTAGCAGACAATGGAAAGAACATGGAGATGACGTTGCTCACTTTAAGCTCTCCGACTTGACCCAGACCTCCAGATCCGCCGCAGGGAGAGGGTCTTTGAGGTAGAGAAGTGCCATAACAAAACATTTTGCTGCGAAATAGATCAGTTTCGAATGCCAACCCGTGATGTAGATAATAAAGCCAGTAGCATACCAAGGTCAGGTAGCATGCGCCTGAAAATCGCTAGGGCGGTGGAAGGCTGCTGGTATAGCTTGAAGAACACCGTCCCAGGCAGGCCTTCCAAGTAATCGAAGGGACGGGATGGTGCGGCGGCGGCCATCTTGCCTATATAGCAGCTCTATAACATAATGCGACTGGCAGAAAGAGGGACCTCGTGGTGGACGACTGTCGAGAAGCTCTCGCGATGGAGAAACGAAATCCGGTCCGGTGACCAGAAGAGCCTCGAAGCGCAGTCCGGATAAACGGCGATGCTCTCACGGCCTCCCCTCGATTCCACCATCTCACTGACCACGATTAGTGTGTTCTTTGATTGTGAATATGGCTTCTTTGCGATTTGTCAAGTCTGTAGGTGGTCTCTCTACATGCATGATTGTTAATCGTTCAATTGCATTGCCATGCTAACCACCATCCTACATCTAGGTTTGGGAGTCCTTTCGGGCTACTTCGGGGCTGGAGCCTCGGTAAGTAATAGAAGCTCGTTGCGAGAAGAAGGTCACTGACGGTGATTGTTGCATAGTTTATTGAACAATGTAAGATCTAAGGGCTTGGATTGTCCATTTGACATTCGAGGAGAAGAGACGGGTTCCCTCGATGCAATCAATATAAACAATGGACAGACCAATGGTTCATGCGATATACTAATTAATGACATCTAGCTTCGTGTGACTGGCGCAAGGCCAGGATTTGTCAATTTTGAACTGGACATTCAAAAAGAGCACACGGTATTGTCTGTATAATCTATATCTAGTCCGGTCCACTGACATTCGGGTCAGAATCGTTTGAACATCCTCCATGGAGGTACTATTGCTAGCATGGGTATGTGGTCGTATCTAATGTCCATACTACAGAAACCCATTTACTGACGCTCTATCCAAGTCGACCTTGGCGGTTCATTGGCCGTAGCATCCCGTGGACTCTTTGCAACAGGCGTCTCGACGGACCTCAATGGTGCGTGGTAGTCTGAATAGAACGATTGATGATTCCGAAACTCTGGTTTATTGACAACCCTGCCTATTAAGTGACCTATCTCAGCTCTGGTGGTAAGATCGGTGATAAGATCCTAGCGGTATGTGTTCTATCTTGTCCTGTATTGTACATATACTAATCTTTCCACAGGAGGTCACTTGCGACAAATGTAAGTGTCTCTTTTCATATGCTGTCACCACAGATGCGAAGCCTGATATGGCCTGTCGCCGTAGAACAAAATGAAACTCACATCAACGCAGTCGGCAAAACCCTTGCATACACGTCGATCAAGTTCCTCAACAGCAAAGGTGATATTGTCGCAAGAGGAAGCCACACAAAGTATGCCTCATGCCTAAACAGCTACTTCTGATATAAAGCGCATTTGCTAAACTTTTGACAAACAGGTTCATTGCGCTGGCCTGGAAGGACCCGCAAAATATTGTCGAAGAGCTCAAGCGAGACTCATAGTCAACGCAATTGCTATGCAACATTGTTTGGTTTGCACATCCTGACCCGGTCACTGCTGGATAAAATGCAAAGATACTTGTACATACATCATTTTATACTCAGTCGGTCTGTCTATGCTTATGGTGTACTTGTACCTACTCCGAGCAGATAGAACTTTAGTGTATAACTAGAGCACTCAGCTTGCTTTAGGCTTGCGGAATAATCAAGACATAAGGAACTGATTAGAGAAACAAAATACTACAAAGATGGCTATCTCAGAAATGGTATGCGGAGAGAAATTGTAATAAAATCAAGGTTTTTATCTTCCATACCAACCGGATCATAAACAGAAAACCTATGCGTTAGTAGATAATAGACATCGCCGTGAACATTTAACAAATAAGATTAATGTGCTTTTTTTTTATGCTCACAGTACATCCTCGTGCAACGGATCGCCGTCTGCTTCGTCGCCAGCTCCAAGCATGTCTTCATCCTCGTCCACGAGGCCGCCATCGCCATCATCGATCATTGCATCTTCCACCACAATGTCCTCCTCACCCATAGCCTTGAGCTTGGCTTGGGTCATCTCGTACACATACTGCCCAAGATGCTCGACCCCCTCCATCGGAGTGCCTTGGATCTCATCGTCCAGCGATCGGGTGGTTGGGAACATCTCGCCAGGAGCAAGCATGAGTTTGTCAGGGCGCTGGAATAGAAGGTCAAATGCAGGCTTAAGTTCATAGCATGACTCGAACACCACGCGGCGACCCAAAATGTATAGACCAAGACGGGCGCGGGAAAGTGCAACAGTAAGACGACGGACATCGCGCAAGTAGCCGACTGTGCGGGTTCGTGTGAGCGAAAGAAGGACATCTGCAAAAATTCAAGATTAGCCACTGCCTTGCCGCATGAAACAGAGTAGATCTTAACTTACAGTCATTTTGTTCGCCTTGGTACTTATCCACTGTCGTCACGATCTTGGGCATGCCGAACAATGCATTCTTGGCACAGCGGTGATTCAAAACATCCTTAATCAACGTCATTTGTCCCGCGTAGGTCGCAAGAATGGATACCTTCGATGCCGGGTAGCCAAGAAGTCGCATATACTGGTACAGAGCAACAGTATATTCCGCCTCACCCAGATTTTGGATAAAGTGAGGGGTAGGCTCTCTCTCGCCCACGCCTTGATAGTCGGGGACATTGATGAACTGGTAGTCGAATTGGAAACCGGAATTGGCCTGCCTGAATTCCTGGGCCGATTGCACCGCCGGCAAATCTCCAAGCTGCTTATAACGCCACCTGAAGAGTTCTGCGATGCTGGGCCTTGATCGCCCTTGCTGGTCAAGCGTGATGACAGGAACGCCCAATCTCACCAGGCGAAGGAAAAGGCTTTGCTCGAAGTGAGCGTATTGTCGGAAAGCAAGATTCTGGATAATAGGGGAGTTCTGAAGGTGGTCTCCGCAGAGAACCACCCGTTTCAGAGGTAGTGCACCGTTCTTCATGTTTTGAAGAGCAGATGGAATGAAGCTTTCGATTTCTGTAATCTGTGCTGCTTCTTCCATCACCACGTTATCATAATGAAAACCAAGATCAGCAATTTCCTGGCGGCGCATCGCGGCATGTGTCGATGTCATTGCAATTAGTCTGGCCTCTTTCACGAGAAGGTAGTTTGCCTTGTCTCGAGGTAGTCTCAGAATTTCGAATGGACGAATATCTTCCAGTTCAGAAAAGATTTTCTCAACATGTCTTTGGCAACCCTCTGCTATATCCAGAACTGTTTCTTTAGGTGCTGCAGAATCAAATATGGGCTGAGGCGCGTTTGCGAAATAAGAGTGAAATGGAAAAGCCGCAATGATATCTTCGTTAGAAGCATTTTCAGCGCGAGCTTGGTCCCAGAACTTCGCCCACGCAGGCTGGATATAAACCGTGTTGAAATATCCAGCGGTCTCGCATGAGTTTCCGTGTGCACCCTGCGCCCCAATTGATGCCGCTAACCGCATGACTTCTGAAAGGAACTGGTTACGATTGTCAAGGAATGATTCAACTCGGCCGTGCTTGCTGTAGTTTGACTCAGTTTCCAATTCCTCTTCACCGTGACCAAGTCGCAAAAGGTGGCGTTCGTCAATATCCAAAGCGACGATCTTTTGGAAAAGTTGATTCAGAGCCTGGTTACTGTGGGCAATAAGCAGTGTGCGCTCATTTGGGAAGTTGTGGTATATATTGTTGATGATCTGAGTTGCAACATCAGTCTTTCCTGTGCCTGGGGGCCCAACGACTACGGTTAACCCGGGTTGCGTTCCGGACGCGATGGCCTCCACCTGAGCTGGAGTGAAGCGGACAGTATTAAGTTTTGGGGCATCCACTGGATAAGGTCCTGGGTTTGGCGGTTTGTAGGTTGACACATGCAGCGAGCTGGGTCCTTGCTGCACCTTCTCAACCTGATCTCTTCGCCGTTTTTTAGATTGAGTTGTAGGCGGTGCTTTCTGTTCATTATCAACATATTCAAGCACATATGGACGCCCGAAACTCGAATCAGCATTTCCTGAAGGCTCAATGGTAGACCCAGGGAAACTCTCCACTAAGTGCTGCCAATCTAAGAAGGTATCTCGGAAGTCAACTGATTTGAGCCTATTTGGCAGTTCTGTATACCGAGCGCCTGAGGGGTCACCATATCCCAAGAAGATATCCTGAATCCACGAGGGAAGGGCAATGTCAGAGACGATGAGTCTCTGCATAGTTTCAAGGATAGACTTGAAGTTATTTTCTCTGCCTTTCCTTCTCGCAATCACATTTATCAACGGGTAGATGTCCTGCTTGCCCTGCAAGCTTCGATCTTTATCTGCCTTGAAAGCGGCCGAGTCTAGGTTGAGCAATAATCTTCTGATGCGCGGCCTAGACCTATAGCCGTTCGTCTCGCCCGAGGCAGGCTCGCGTAGTGGGCGACCTTGTTCATCAAGTACTTGTACAACTTCTGCAGTCCTAAGATGCGTTAAAGTAGGAGTCTCTGTTGAACTAGAATCTTGATGCCCAAGTTTTGTTGAGGTACCAGGCTGCTGTACAGTCAAGAGATAGACAACATCATCAGGGCGTAAGGACTCCCATTCCCTTCGAATGTGATCTGCCAATCTTCCCACTTCGATAGCTATCTCGGCCCTTACGAAAGCTGGCTTTGCTGAGCCGACTTTTGGTGGTGCGACTTCAATGATGGCGGGCTTGGAGATTGGAATAGCCATTCGGGAGAAACCTTCAAAGGTCAGAGTCTTGCCATCTCGACTTCCTCGTGGCTGCATTCGCTTAACAACCGATTCCATATCTTTACGAATCTGGAAAAATGCTTCAGAGCGGTACAGCAAAAATGAGCGCCAGAGAAAATCACCAAGAGTCAGATATTGGAGATTCAATTTCGGGATTGCAAGCGGCCTTGATCCATCATATGTTTCATTTCGCAACAATGCAGGGTCATAAAGATTTTCCTCCGTAGGGACAATGCTCAGATGCGATGCAGCCTCTTGGAAAGAGAGTCTCCGCTCGTAGAATGATAAGAGTACTTCCAGATACAGATGCCGATCCGGAGTGACCTGAGACTGCTTTGGGTAGTTTGTTCTGAATCCAAGGTGAGAACACAGGTTTTGAAGCTCAGATTCCTCCAAAGAAGACAATTGCCCTTCCAATTCTGAGCGTTGCTCGATCGAGCCGTAGTTTGAGAGTGCCAAGATCATCAACTTGTCCTTGTAGTGTTTCATCGAAGTTCGCTGCAGATGTGCAAGTTCCTGACAATGAATTTCGTACACCGCTTGAGGAGAAAGCGCTTCACCGGTATAATCATTGATCGCAAAGTTGGAGAAATGCTTCAGAAGGTTATAGAAGTCGCGGAAGAGTGCATTCTCGGGAGAGCGATACAATTGAGAGAGTCGAATCACGGGCAAAAGGTTGAGATCCTTTATCAATGTGTTGACGTAGCGTCTGGTGGGAAGCTGGCTTTCCAAGTCAACCAGCAGTTCAAGGAACCGTTCGCAATACCGCAGATTGTCGACTTGGTCTTTCTCCGGCCCATTTAACTTCCGCATGAAGTCAAGAAGCATAGTATACAGCCATGACCGTTCAAACCGCATCTTGGCCTTGGCCGCCTCGTCTCCTGCGTCATATCGTTTTCCGGCGGCCCTCCATGCCTTCTTCAATGTTGGGCCCTTCACAAGTATCCGCTCTCTTGTTTCGTCGCTTGCAAGATTGTGCCAGATTGAGATGGAAACGAGAGGTGCACATTCTTTCCGGATCAAGACGTTCTCAAGGGATTGAAATCCGCTTATGATAAAGGAAATTATGGATAATCGGGAAGAAGTAGCGAGCGAATTGTCGATACTCATGGAAAGAATCCGATGAAAGAGGTTCGAGAATTCATCCGATCGGTCGGAAAAGATTCCTGAGATTCTATCAGTTTCCGCAAAATGATGTCTTAATTAACGTATAACCCACCCCATATTGGTAGATGCTCCCGTTGCTTGATGCTTACAATCAATGCTATCAACATCACATGGTAATTGGATGCATCTTCCGTGTATGTCGGCCAAAGGAACCTATTGTTAGGTTAGCTCTTGTAGCGGGTCGACTGGTCGTAGGGGGGTGATGCGCACTTTTCCAAAATGTTGAGATTCTCTAGCGTCAAGAGCGATCGAAGGTTGAATCCCTCAGCCTCCAAAGGATCCCATATATCCTTCTTGATGACATCCTGCTTGACTTTGCGGACCTTCGATGTGTCTAGCCAGTGGGATTTGGCCAGCTTCACCCATGAGCTGTCTTCACGAAAATCTTCCACGGTCGGCCTGGAATCAAGGCTCTGCGCCATTGCCGAGCGTGTCTGTAACCCCATTCCTCGACTTTGGGATTGCTCAAAGTGAATCCAGCACAGGTCCGATTTATCTGCGCAAGTGGTCCGTCGCGGCGGGATGGGAAACCTTCTGGCGCGCGTTTAACGAACTAACCCGCCGCGGCTAGATCCCGCCGAGCCGCATTGGCATCGGCCCTTGGGATCATCCAAAGCTGCGCGATACCTTCGTGAGCTTTATGCTTCGTCCTTTTTTTCTCACCACATTGTGTCGGGTAGCTGATCGGAAGCATGGCTGTGGACGTTGAAGCCATACATATCTACAGGAGATTGGTTGACAATCTTCTGGATCGGGCAGAGGAGGCCAGGCCGGACAAGCATATCGAACCCCCGTTGACAGAGGCGCACCTGGGCGATTCGATATGGCTCGTCCAAGGAGACGACGAGCAGGCAGTGAAGCGATTGAGCCAGCAGACACAATTTGCCGCCGTCGAAATTGCCTTCAGAGAGAAGTTCTATAGCATCCTTGTGCGAACCTCGTCTTTCACCCCCATCAAGACCGAATGGCTAACTATTATTTTTCTTCAAAGGCGACGACATCAATCGACGAGCCTGCCTTTATCCAAATATGGAGATTACTTGACATAATTTCTATCTTCTCTGACAATGGTTAGTTTTCGGTGCTATTTTTCGGCCTGCGAATAATAACTCTGATGTCCCTTTAGAACAGTGCGAGCCTGGCCTAATATTCTGGCTCATTGAGGAGTTACTGGATAGCCAAACAATCAACGGCTGTCGCAAGGTATTTGACTATTTGGAATCACGAAGAGAGCGAAATACAAAGGTGTGTGCAAGCTCAGTAGCAGCAATCTCCATTCGTGGTACACCTGCTAATGCTGTCAAAGAAACACTTCAAGCAAAAGAGTTTGGTTATTCTCAGGTCTTGCAATGAATTACTCCGACGACTTTCTCGAGCAGAAGATACTGTTTTCTGTGGACGGGTTTTCATCTTTCTTTTCCAGAGTTTCCCGCTTGGAGACAAAAGCGCTGTCAACCTCCGGGGCGAGTATCACACCGAAAATGTCACTACATTCGATGAAATCGCTCGATCGGCTGCCAAGGAGAACGGGGAAATGGATGTGGACACGTCAGATGAAAAAGAAGCTTCCACGACTGCCGAGGGCCAAAAATCGAACAACGATTCCCAAACCTCTGCTAGTGGTGATAGTCAATCGAATAGCCAGGAAACCACCAAAACCCCGAAAGTCGTTGTCTCCAGGGGTGATGATCAGAAAGGAAAGAAGCCTGTTGACTTGGATGCACTCTATCCGATGTTTTGGGGGCTACAGGCCTATTTCTCCGCTCCAACGAAGGTCTTCGATCCCCAGCATTTTGCATCGTTCAAATCAGGACTCGAAGCGACTCTTTCCAGTTTCAGAAATATCAATACGGATCTCGACAATCAAAGCACCAGCAGGGCATCAGAAGACCTCCGAAAGTCTAACAAGCGAAAACGAACAGCAGACGGACCTGAAATTGCCAGCAGCTTCAATCCGAAGTATCTGACAAGCAGAGATCTTTTTGATCTTGAAGTAAGGGCTCATTTTTCAACTTCATATCTATTTCAACTAATAGTATGGGTTTAGGTAAACGATACGGCTTTTAGGCGACATGTTCTTGTCCAAGCACTCATTCTCCTGGACTTTATGCTCTCGCTTACGCCTAAGGCCAAAGCGCGACTAGCTGACCTTACAAACAAATCTGTGCTTTACGGCTTTGTGTTGAACGAAGATGATGTAGGGCCCTTCCCTTGCCTGTTCATTTTGCACGGTGGTTTTCTTTCTAACACTTGCTAGACCAAATGGGCCACCAAGACAAGAAAGGCGATCGAGGAATATCTTCAGGAAGGTACTGGAGGGAAGTTTTACTATCGTATGGTCGACACTGTTCTTTCGAGAGACAAGAATTGGGTGCGTTGGAAGGCTGAGGGATGTCCTCTCATCGAGCGGCCACCCATATCTGTGACAGAATACATTGGGGCTCGCGACCACGCAACCAAAACCTACGCCAACAAACGTCTTCGTTCGTCGCCTATGGGCTCGCTCAATCTCAATTTTCTTTCGGAGGGCGAGTCACTGGCAAGCCTTGAGCGACTCAAGGAGCCAGAAAGGTAGGAGTTGCAACATGATAAATATTCCACTGTGCTTTCGCTGATTTCATTTCAGATTTTCCGTTCCTGCCGCAGACTCCTTTATGATGGGCATCATGGATGATGAATTAGACATCGACATGGCGCAAACCAAGGAAGAAAAAGAAGATGCAACGAGAGCCAAAGCCAGCAAGACATGGCGTATATTACGGCTTTCTTCCAGAAGCAAGCTCGCTGCTTTTGAAAAGATCGAGGATGGCAAGAATCTCAAGATTTTATTCGAAACCCCTCAAGCACCAGAAGGAACACCTCAGGCAGCAGAGGGAACCCCGAAGGTTGTGGAAGGAACAGCAGCTAAACCATCATCGACCGAGGGTGATAAAACTGTGACCAACGGAACGGAACAAGAGTCTAGTGGTATCGAGAAAGAAAGCGCTATGGGCACTGAACAGGACTCGGCTGAATCCAAACGTCAAGAAGCCGGACCGACCGATAACCAGGCGACCTGATAAAATGCGCGCCTTGACCCTGGAAGAAATTATGAAGAACGCCCGCGGAGGGGCTGATTCTTCGTGTTAGCGCTGCGTTGATGTGAGGGGTTGAGCTGGATCACCGTATACAGTCACACAGTCAAGGTGGCTGATGGAGTATGCGTGCACTATGCACTGATATCACAGCGCTAACAGCATTGCTGTGCATTCGGAAATGAGACGTGAGCACTGTTGAATGTACTTTGGAAAGCCTGGCTGGGAGGTTAATCATGTGGGAGCTGTGAGAGATCACGTCGGATGATTTCCTAGTCTCTGATTGGACTCTTCTATCCCCTCTTTCGATGCGCTAACTGGTAGTGGCAACAAACGAGACCTTTTTTCAATCTGCTGAAGAAGGCACCCGGCAGACATTCCTGAACTCTGAAGGCTCGACTGGGTGTTGGTTCTACCTGGGCATTCTTGGAACCTGGTTGAGGGGGGTGGAGAAGGAGGACATTGTTGCACTGTTGGCAGTTACGTACTGCATCGGAGATTGAAGGGCCCCAGGCATCCACCAAAACACCCGAATAGGGGATTCCTTTTATTCAATATTTCCAAGGCGTGGAAGCAAATTATCTCCAGGACCGGGCGGCAGCAAAGAACCTTCCATCTCCAGTCGATATGGAAGTCCGTTGACTCAGGACGAATAAGCTACGGACGTGGGACCAGATTTTCCAGGGGATCAGCAACTTTAATTACAGGACAGTTCCTGCACAGAGATTAATACTATTCACTCTACAGAAATGAAGAGAGAAAAGATGCAAAATACCAATGGATACCATCATGCCAGACGTGCCCTTGACCGTTCGGACAGTTCCGCAACCCCCCGAGTACCACCGATCCTGTAAATTCCCACAATTCCACCTGCGAGATTGCGGTGGCGTCTTTGGGACGGTCGTTTATGAGACGCCATGTTTCACGACTCAGCCCGGCAGTGGTGATATAAGCTCATCTATCAAAAAATTACCCCGAGTCAGATTAATATTTAAGTGGCGATGAGTGGGAATAATAGCCGCTCTGCAATATGGCCCGATGAATGGCGAATGCAGGTATATTCCGAGGCTCAGACAGCGTTTATGATAATTTTATGACAGGTATATTGGTGGCTTTACACGAGGGGGTGGAAGGAAGAGAGTCTCGTCTCTCTCTCGATGGTATTCCATGTATGTACCAATCTGCCACGGAGTGATCCATGGTGTGGCCGTTGTGGGACTATCCCACCGAGTCAGTGTATATTAAGTCATATTGCATTACGGTATGATTATGAAGCTTTTGAATATCTGCTTGCACATACTACATACCGGGAATGATATGCACAAGATAGACCACGCTGCTGGATGGTCACCTACATAGCTTTACTAAGATAGTACCCAAGTAACTGCATAAGTACTCCCGTAGATAGTCAGGATAACGACATTCCAGCTATAGAATCCATCCGCAAGACAGTAAGACAAGGGAGATAATAATAATGGAGACCATGGATAAACGACGTTTCATCCTACTGGATGACCCGCACAGACCAGACACGCTAGGAACCTTGGTTGATCCAGGAACCAATATGTTGATGATGGTGGTACCATCGAGTCAAATGATGTATCGAATGTATTGAATACTAGCCTGATCCACTATGATAATAACAATGGTGATGGCGATAGTGGTGGTGATGGTGATGGTGATGATGACAATGATAATGATAATGGTGTGGATCTGATCATGGGAAAGGACTCAGCAACGAGAGATATATACTTTTCGACTACAGTGTAGATCTTCAACGAATACCACCACTTACAACCACTCCAGATCGACGAACGATATACCAATAATCAGAGGGCCAACAGAGCCAGACCAGACATCGATGACAGCAACGTGCGATGATCAGTGAATTAAGACAGATCAAGAATAAAGATACGGGCAGGAAATGAAAGGAGGATCTCAATCGTCTTGGCAGCCCGCGAAGCCTTTGCCCTCCTCTCAGGGCGATTCTTCCACTTTCTATCCCGATTTGTCTGTCTGCGATCTTCCCTTTTGCCCCCGCACCGTTGCAAGTTCAGCTGCGATCGTCCCTCTTCAGTGCTTCATCAAATCAACCCAATACTGACGGTGACGCTGATCCACCACCGCCAATACTATTGATGGATTTTTATTTTATTTTATTTTTAATTTTTTTTTTTCTTGCTTGGTGGTCTGATGATGATTGATGATTTTCCTCCATGTGGCTCGCGAATGGGCTACTTCCCCTCCCCCTCCACTCGACGCAGGAACACCGTCGTGACAGCCTAGGGAGAAAACATGGAAACGACAAGAAAACGAAAAGAAACAAACAAGACAGGCAGAAAAAGAATTAGAAAGAAGGGACAACAATTTACTAGTATCGTCCTATCAGCCCAAACCAGATGGAGTTGGGATCTCCGAGATTTCTCGCATCCGACTTTTCTCCCTGCGAAGGAAAAGAGGCAGGACAGGCTCCATCGAGTCCCACGCAGATGATATGATGATGATGATGATGATGATGATGACTCGATGTCCGATGAGTAGTGTTCCTTTTGATTTCGCCGATTCACGATCCTCACTAACCCTTCTATTCTTCTTTTTTCTCAACAGGAATCATTCGACCGTGCCAAGATGAGCCGAAGTTTCCATCCCATGTTTATGAAACTCTGAATAATTTATAATAGATAATCCCCTTTCTACGGGTCACGATTATCCTCCGACTTTAGCTACACGATCTGTCGGCCTGGAACGCTGGAAAGGCCGCATTCCCACCTGGCCCAAGTGCCCGCTGGTCGAGCTTCCTATCCGGTGGAGAGTGTCGTCCATAGTCACATGTGATTCTTCCATCCTTTTTCTACGGTAGAGATACGAGGTCAAAAAAACAAAAAATCAATGGGAAAAGAACTCCACGGTCGATGATCTCCCAGAAAGTAAACAACCTACCGATATTTGGGAATCTAAGTATTCACCAATCCGCTTCGTTATTTGCGCAATGGTAGAATTATCCAGATGTATCCGGACGCTCGACGAGAGAAAAATCCCGACCCACAAAACGTCCCACTCGTCGAAAATTGTTCAGTTCAGCTAGCTAGGGACCTAGGATAATTCTGCCGGCATTCTTCCTTTGTTTCTCCTTCAATAACGATCGTTATCGACTGTCAAGACGCTTATTATTATTTTTTAAAAATCATATTCGGCCTTTTTTCTTCTTCATCGATGCCCTTCAATGCTCTAGCTCATTTCAGAAGTTCCCCCTCCCATGGCCCGGGATGTTTCATGCAACTTCCTCTGTGGAGTTTTGCTAGGAGACAACCCCCCCTCTCCCCTTGTGCTTCTAGGGTGGAGAGAGCGTGAGGCGGCCATGGTTAACAATTGACCGCACGTCTCGGTCCAATGTTACTACTAAGGTAGTTAGCGTCGACGTCGGTTCATAGCGACATCTCGACTACCAAGTACCAACTAGACTACATACAATCACGACCATGCCGGTCGTCAGGTGCAGGGTCCGCTCTCTGGTCATTTCACAGGTGGGCTATGCCTGTTATATGGTTACGTCGTCAAATGCAAGAGGCTCTAAGAATGCCTCTAATGCTCTTGATTTCTCCGCGAACCCTGGCTATCCACCTGAGCCATACTGTTATTGGCATGGGTGTTGATGGTTTTGCCCCATCTTGAGCTCTTACACTACGTACCCCTACTGGTCCAACTGCCACAGTTTACACTACTGCACGGTGTGCGGTGCATTGTACCTGGTACCACCACCATCATCATTCTCCATACGGGGAATTCCGTACAGTCATCACCCTCTCCCAGTTTCTCTTTTTTCTTTTTTTTTTTCTTGGGTCATCTGCCTTGCCAAGTTGCAACCCGCTTTGCAATGTGAATGGCCACAACCCAGCCAGCCCTTTTTCATCTCTGCTGGATTCCCTCCACTATGAGATCGACCGTGCGTAGTAGTGGTCAGTAAATCCCACCCCCTTTGTCTTTTGCTTTTCTCCACTCAGCGTCTGCTCCCTCCTGAGTCCTAATGCATGCCTTGTCCAGGAGCCTTTCAGAGCCAGAGTCAGATACTACCATCCTATTCTTGGCTCGACAGTGGCGGGCAGAGCGCTGAGTGGCCACTAGCATATCATACGCGGCATTCGGTACATCTCGATCAATGGTCGATACAATCCCCCCTCGGGTGACCGGCGGCTTATGGAGCCAGTACAACGCTAGTGCTTTCGGTAGGCATCCCACTACTTCCCACATGGTTGCAAGAGAGAGCGAGCTCCGGCCGGGCGACCAGGGCCCCTCAGGGTCTACCGATATTCTTTGCAATACTGCGGTTGGCTGGCCAAGGTGTACAAGTCGATGTTTGACAAAAGAGCCTATCATGGTCCACACGAGGCACATTATTGTTTTGGCGCCGGAAATTATTTTTCCAACGGGCGTGCTCGATTCTGCCTGGGCATGACACCTGAGTTCAAGGAGTGGGTGTGCAGACAAACAGACTCTGGATCGTAGGCTAACCGTTTAGTTTCGGGTTGCTTAGCTGCTGGTCTCTTTTGCACAGGGCTACCAGTGTCCTTACCACTCGGCCTGACTGACTGACAGGAGTTTGAGTTTCACTTTGCCACTTGGTTGAGACGGTGCCTTTTCCGTTCTGTGAGAATCTGGTTGTAGAGTGTTACTGCTAATCATGTCGCTACCATCCTGGTATCTGCTGGACTCCTTTTCTTTTTTCTTTCTTTCTTTCTTTTCTTTTTTTTTTTTTTTTTTTTTTTCACTCACAACCCAACCTCCGAGGATCTTTAGACTGTTTGAGGAGGTTTGCTACATCCCGGGACTTTCAGACGGCTTCTCGACAAGTCGACTGAAGTACGTCCTCTGCAAAAAAGGACGCCCGATTATCTCCGGCATACGTTGTCGTCCATTGATCTCACCCTCGAATATCCACACTCCACTCTTACTAGGTACTACTACTCTTTTAGTAGAACCACTGAACGTTGCCTCTGGTTTCTATCAGGGCCTGACATTCATCGTTCCAATCCAGTCGTTTCCCCATCCGCCCCTCTCCTTCCTTCATTCTTCCATAAGCCATTCCTAGTTTGTGACGCCCGTTGCCATTCCTGTCGTTTACTCGTTTACGGTTTCCGGAACGGCGTTACAAAGTCAACTTCTTGCATAGTTTAACATACCCGTATGTGGAAATATCAAGCTGTGATCTGTCCAGCCTGGTTTCCTCCTCTTTTTTCGCTCTCTTAAACCTCTCTTCTCTTTGTTTTCGCTGCATTGGCATACCTGCCTGTCGTTTGGAAGTAGTTCCCTGTATCCAACGCGAAAGCCTATTCACAGCTCCCCCGAGCGTCCAATCGTTGACAGAGTTCCTACCAGCCCTTTTGCTGCATTCCTAGCATCATCTAGGTGGCCAACTTGGAAAGATTCCGGGTGGATCCTTTTCGGCCTTGAGAAGGCATCCGTCTAATATCCCATCACTGCTGTACCGCTATTATTTCCACCTCCCCCTCCCCTCGGCCCTCAGCCTTCCTCCGCTAGGCTAAACACCGTTTAATATCTTCTATAACTCTCTACCCACAGTCCGGTAAGTGCCCCCTCCAAGTCTTATTTCATAGGACCAGTGCAAAGGATCTGCCTTCATTTTCCTTCCATTGACACTTGGCCCCAGCTGATCCTAGTGCAGTTCCCCTTTATCTCGGTGGGATCGAGACGGAAAGAAGGGGGCAAACAAAGTGATTTACTAAGATCTCTTGGATCAACGATTTTCTTTCCGGTGGTTACTACTCGCCTGTAATAACCTTAAGACAATCCCTCATTTCTCCTCCCTTCGTCCCCCATTTCGTTGGCGCGCGGTACAAAGATCCCGGCTGAAGGGAAATAAGCTATAACCGTCCTCTGTTATCACTGTTCTATCCGGTCAGATTACTCTCGCTCCATTTCATCCACTCCTACTGTTCGGAGATCCAGATCTTCTTCAGGAAGTGCCCCGACAGCTCGTTAACGACCCACCCAGCTCTCCTGTGTCTGTGGTCTTGTACCTGAATTCCCTCTTTATTTTTATATTGCTGCCCAGTACTTTGAAATCTCGACACTGTTCATCACATCTATCTCGCCTTGTTCATTCTGTGGTACCTACATGGAGTAGATTCACGCCTTCTACCATGTCAGTCAGTGGACCCTGCCTCTGGTTGTCATCAGTATCGCCTCCTACTACATCGCATTTATCTGCAATTACGAGCCATCTCTCTCCAGCTACCTGGAATAGCGATCAGACCCAACCACGGTCAGACGTGGTCCCGTCAAGGTTACTCTGGTCGTGGGAGAAGGACAGCGAATCCTCAAAGACTCCTCCAGCCGAGATGCAACCAGCTGCCATGAGGGCTGAAAATGCCTTTTCCGGTAGCGATGCTCCCGCGGGTCCAAGCAGCGGACTCTTCTCTGAGGCAGAAATGCCCCCGAAGGATGCAGAACATCGGGTTGCCGAAGCTGGCAATGATGCTCCGTTGTCGAGGATGAGATTAGAGAAGATGAACCGCAGTGAGCCGCTTCTTCCTTTGCCCCGCGAGGCGGTCAGTTCAAGTCCTCCTAGGGATTTGACGCCAGAGGCGAAGGAAATACAGCGTGGTGAGACGGTGGAAACCGAGAAGGAAAGTGGCGAGGGGATGATGACTTCGTCGGATGAAGGAGGAGGATCATCTATTGGTGGCGAGCATCAGAAGCAGTCATCAGATTCTAAATCTGAGAAAAAGAAGATGAAGCGATTCCGGTGAGATATTGATGAGCATATTGCTTCAACTGCGTGCTTCCTGGGCTTACAAGCTTTGCAGTCTGACTCACAATCAAACTCGATTTTTGATGAGTGAATTTACTCGACAAGCACACCCGGACGCTGCACACCGGGAGCGCTTATCGAGGGAAATCCCCGGTCTGACTCCGCGTCAGGTTCAAGTCTGGTTCCAGAATAGGTATGCTCCTGCTAAACCTCAAAGCCATGTTGGTCAAAGTAACCCGTTATCTAATGACAGCATTTTAGACGGGCAAAGCTCAAGCGCCTTACCAGCAACGATCGAGAGCGAATGTTGAAATCAAGGGCCCTGCCCGATGATTTCGACACAACCCAAGTCTTACGGACACCTTTTGGCGGCAAGTCAGCATCAGAGACACCAGTTGCGTAACCCCAACACCTGTTCTGCAATAGTGTTATTAACTCAAAGAAGGTTCTTCTTACAGATGGAATGCAACGGCCAAATGAGGAAGAATATGTCATCTCTCCAATGAGCTCGGCATCTACCAACAATGGAAACTACTTTTCTTCGAATACACTTGAACGTGGATCTGAGAATTTCCATCACCCTGGCACCCTTCCCAGCCGAGGAGCCCCGATATCTGAGCTACAAAGGAGCAACCGCGGGGCCTTCCCATTTGCGAGATCCAGCAGCTTTTCAGAACCCTCGTTCAACACTGGGTTGCACATGCCTGGTCGATTTTCGCGACCGGGTGCAGATCCGTTGGGCCATCCCAATATGCCATACACACGGCGAGTTATGGAATATGGAATTCCCAGGCCTGGTTCGAATGGCATGGTCATAGGTTACGATCACCACCGACCTCTGGAAGGCTCAGTGTCACCAACAAACCCACAAGATACATCTATGCCATACAATGTGGACAACCATAGTATGTGCTAGTTCAGTTCATTTCTATACCTTGTGATGAAAGCCGCTAACTTGAATATGAACAGGTCCACAAGTACAGGGGTATCAGTCGCAACTCACCATGCCAGTTCCAAAGGGGTTTGGAGGGTTGGAAATGAACTCGCAGATGCAGCCTCATAACCGACATATACCAAATCTCGAATACCGACCATTCTCATATGACCACCAATCCTATCCCATGAACTCAACGATCCCCTTTACCCAGGCCAATGCTTCGAGCTTGAGCCTTCCGGCCTCCTTCCCTACCTCGGACGCAGGACACGTTCCCCAAGGTGCCGTGTGCAGTGCACCCGACGACCGAATGAACCCTCCACCACTAATGGACCCATTGCGGTCGAAATTCGGCAATCAGACCTTTGAATATGCCAACTACCTATAAGAACGAGAGCGACAAGTGACTCCAACAATCATCTTCCTCTCTCTCTTTACTCCATACTTATCATTCTATCTCTGCGTCGCATCCTACCCTCCCAGTCATTGCATTATCAGCAAGTTTGGTCTGGTTTAATCGCTTAATCATAAAACACATTGGCACATTTGGAATGGGCTTTGGAAAGCGGGATTTCACATTTCTTCCTTTTTGGTTCTTTTCTTTTTCCTTCTGATGTGTTTATAGTTTTTCTTTTCTTTCTGGGAGGAAAATGTGCATGTTCAGGGAAACATTGCAAGGCGTTTTTCTTTGTTTTTTTTTTTTTTTACTTCTTTTCTTTGGAATATATTTATACTGGGGGTCTTTTTGACTATTTGCTTTTTGGTTCTCGATACAGCTGGATAGTGTCAACCTGACGCCTGAAATATGAATGATCGGTTCATGGTCATGGTTTCCATACTTCGCAAAGTGTAGTTCTTTCGTCGACTCTGCCAGTGCCTTCATACCAACTAGGTAGTGACGCAGTGGCATGATCCAATCGAGTTTCTTCCTGATGATCGCCAGCAATGCCACTTCCCAACAAATCAAAAGTCATGCAATTGCCATCCAACACAGCCATCGAATCAGCGTCAAGAGAAAAGTAATCCTGCAACGATAATTGCCCTCTCCCAGCCGATTGTCAAATTGCCTCTGTCCACTCACAGTGCTGGATTTCCAACTCTGCGCAATCCGGCCAATCAGAGGCCGCAAGTTTATTTTCAGCTGAGTCAGAGCTTGGAGGATCCCAGCCAATTAGAGAATCGGTATTTCCAATGACCGATGACAGATCCAGGCATTCACGAGCAGGACAGGAATATAAATACAAAGAATTCCTGGGTTGAATTCATTTCATCTTCTTCATCAATAATCAGCTCTCTTCTTCATTCTGTCTTGACGGAAAATACATACCAAACATACCTTGTTCGTTGTCGAATTCGATCAATCGTCCTAAGACCTAGATCTACGTCATACACGATCTATATCTACCTCCTACCTTACACACTTCTATCTACTTTTCACCACTGTCAAAATGGTTCACCCCGCTTCCACCTGCTGCAAGAGCCTCCAGGGCGGAGACTGTGTCTGTGCTTCCCAGGCTACATGCTCCTGTGGCAAGGAGAATGCCCTTCACTGCTCGTGCAACAAGGCCGCTACTGAAAACGCCGTTTCCGGTGCCAGATGCTCATGCAGTATGTGTCCATCTAACTGTGTCCTGTTGATTTGGAATACCAACTGACGGTTACTGCAGGATCTCGCCCAGCTGGAGAGTGCACATGTGAGAGAGCTACAACCGAGAACGAACCCGTAACGGGTGCAACCTGCCCGTGCGGCAAGAGATCTTCTCGTATGTTCTTCTGCTCGCTTTTCTATATATAGTCCGTGAATAGCTGACAATTACAGAATCGTGCACATGCGAGAAGCTCGGCGAAGACTCGCTGGAGACCGATTTCACCACTCGTGCTTAAATTTATGGGTTTGGTCTGGGGTTGAGTTTTGCTTTTGATTATTCATTACTTTCGGTGTATGGTGTCTTTTTGCCCTGGAATGGGTGTGTCATTCGTACGTTGCATTGCATAGGACTACTTGCATTGGTATCAAACGGCTGTGATGAGAAATGCCGCTATTGATTCGATTCACGAAAACTTCAATTAATAAAAAACAAGTTAATTTATCTCCCCAGAATGCGATCCCGATGAACAAATCGGCCATTCCGCTTGATCTCCTCGTAAAAGCTTTTTGCCCAATGCAAATGGTATTGATCACCCAACTCTGTAAACAATCTCAACGAAACCGCCTGGTCCTTCATCTCCTCCGAGTGATTAAACGGCGAATACAGATACCGTCGCTGAGTTGAGGGCATCTCCTTGTCCCATCCATGGTCGACAGCGTATCTTGCCGCCGTTAGAGCCTTGGAGTCCGTTGCATAAGCCTGAGGCTTTCCACGGAAGACATTGCGGGGAACCTGGTCGAGCAGCAGAATCAATGCCAGGGCGCCTTCTCCCTGCCCTTCCTGCATCCAACGATCCAGCTCGCCTTGTTTGGCTATCTCGTAGTCGTTTCCGAGGGTGTTTCGAACAAGTACGTCATCGGCGGGACTGCCGTACCAGAAGGATTTCTCTTGCAGATAGTCTGGAGAGGATTTGGGGCCGAACCAAAAGTCGAGCACCTTGCTGTAGGTAATTTTGGTGGTTATGATTCTCTGCATACCCGAAAGAAGAGTGATCCAATCCAATGGAATGTATAGCAGAGTGAAACTATTCAAGTCGTTAGCAAGTGGTACCTGCACCGCCACCGCATCAACGTTGCTCCGCGCACCGCCACAGACAGCGGAAAGCCGGGCGGATCGACGGCGGACACGGCGCAAAGACACGGAGAAGAGGTGCAGGTCAAGCATTAACTGTCTTTCTGGGCGAGTTCCATATCACATTCCTTTTTCTGTTCTAGAATTACGAAGAGTTCGGGGTTTTTGGCTCTTTTCCCTACATCTTCACCGCCTGGCTCTTGATTGGCTGGGAATTGATTGATTGTCCTGCAGAACCGGCGTTTCTGCTTCCCCCTCATCCCCTGTTCTGTCGCGTTTGTCCTCCGATCCCTATCAGATCGCTCTGCCCCGAACGAGACAGACAGCCATTGAACTCCGCGCCATGCCCGATGCATGGTAGAGTCAAACTGGACAATATACAAACGGAATATCGACCAAAGGATATGATTGTATGACAATATTCGCACTGAATTGAATTCCACCACCGTGGTCCGTGTCTATGCGTATATGAGAAAGACAGGAGAAGGATACAGCAACTTCATCCCACCTGAAATTGAGATACCCCACCCGCCGATTTTTTTTGTGTGTTTATTTCAGAAATAGATTTGATTTGTGTCGCCTATGCTTGATCAGTCACCATGTCGTCCATGCGAGGTCTGGTTCAGTTCATCGCCGACTTGCGAAACGCAAGAGCGCGCGAACTTGAGGAGAAGCGGGTGAACAAGGAGTTGGCCAACATCCGACAGAAGTTCAAGGGTGGCGGCTTGAACGGTTACCAGAAGAAGAAATATGTGTGCAAGTTGCTCTACGTGTACATCCAAGGGTATGATGTCGATTTCGGACACCTCGAAGCGGTCAATTTGATTTCTTCGACCAAATACTCCGAGAAGCAGATCGGGTATCTGGCCGTGACCCTGTTTTTGCATGAGCAGCATGAATTGTTGCACCTGGTTGTCAACAGTATTAGAAAGGACTTGTTGGACCACAATGAGTTGAATAATTGCCTGGCCTTGCACGCCGTGGCTAATGTGGGTGGTCGAGAAATGGGTGAGGCCCTGTGTACGGATGTCCATCGCCTTCTGATCTCCCCGTGAGTTTTCTCTTCTGTTTGGTTGTATGTAACTGCGGCTGACATTATCTAGCACGTCGAAAGCTTTCGTCAAAAAGAAGGCCGCCCTAACCCTCCTCCGATTGTACCGCAAATACCCTGGCATCGTGCAGAACGAGTGGGCCGAGCGAATAATTTCTTTAATGGACGACCCCGATATGGGAGTCACCCTGTCGGTTACCTCACTCGTCATGGCGCTGGCTCAGGACAAACCGGACGAATACAAGGGCAGCTACGTCAAGGCCGCGCAGCGTCTAAAGAGAGTTGTGGTCGACAACGATATTGCGGCCGATTACCTTTACTACCGCGTACCGTGTCCTTGGATCCAGATCAAACTGCTACGTCTGCTTCAGTATTACCCTCCATCCGGTATGTCTTCGCCTGGGTTTCTGTTGTTGGCCTATCCTAACACTAGCTAGAGGACAGCCACGTCCGGGAGATCATCAGAGAGTCCTTGCAACAGATTATGCATGTCGCCATGGATTCCCCCAAGAATGTCCAGCAGAATAATGCCCAGAATGCAGTGCTATTCGAAGCCATTAACCTTCTCATCCACCTGGATACCGAACACAGCCTCATGATGCAGATTTCTTCGCGCCTAGGAAAGTACATCCAATCGCGGGAAACCAATGTCCGATACCTGGGCTTGGAAGCCATGACACATTTTGCAGCCAGAGCGGAAACCCTTGACCCCATCAAGAAGCATCAGAATATCATCTTAGGGTCTCTTAGAGATCGAGATATCAGTGTCAGGCGCAAAGGATTGGACCTGCTTTATAGCATGTGTGACACCTCGAATGCCGGCCCCATTGTAAACGAACTTCTTCGTTACCTGCAAACTGCCGATTATGCGATCCGTGAGGAGATGGTGCTCAAGGTCGCCATTCTCACGGAGAAGTATGCCAGCGATGCACAATGGTACATCGACATGACTCTGAAACTTTTATCGCTGGCGGGCGATCATGTCAACGATGAAGTATGGCAACGAGTCATCCAAATCGTTACAAACAACGAAGAGCTTCAGGCCTATGCGGCGCATACCCTGCTTGGGTATTTGAAAACCGATTGCCACGAAAGCTTGGTGAAGATCGGGTGTTATGTCCTGGGAGAATTTGGCCATCTTATTGCCGAAAACGAAGGCTCGAGCCCAATCGAGCAATTCTTGGCTTTGCAGGCAAAGATGATCACCAGCACCGACAACACAAGAGCTATGATTCTCTCGTCCTTTGTGAAATTTGTCAACCTTTTCCCCGAAATTAAGCCTCAACTTTTGCATATATTCCGTCTATACAGCCACTCCCCCGATTCTGAATTGCAGCAGCGGGCCTTTGAATATCTATCTCTAGCAACACTCCCCTCGGACGACCTTCTCCGGACTGTTTGCGATGAGATGCCTCCCTTTTCAGAGCGGGCTTCGATCCTCTTATCTCGTCTTCATCAGAAGACCGCGGGAACTACCGAAAAGAAGACTTGGGTTGTGGGCGGCAAGGATGCTAATGCGGATCAGAAGGAGGTTCTTATGGCGCAGAACACTGGGCTCAAGCGTTCGTTTACCACCATTGTCAACGGCACCAAGACCGGAGCGAGTGGAATGACGGCGTCGTCGAGCGCATCGGGTGACCTAGCCGGACTGGATCTCAGCGCCTCCTCAGCGCCTCCCCCTCCGAACATGGCCAGCGCAGCGCATCTTACACCAGACTGGGATATTGGATACAACCGACTGTACTTTACTGACGAGGGTGTGCTGTTTGAAGACGCGCAGATCCAGGTTGGTCTCCGGTCCGAGTTCCGTGCCCATATGGGTGTGGTGAAGATTTACATCTCAAACAAGTCATCGTACCCAATTGGGTCGTTGACTACGACGCTGGACAACCCAGCATCTCCCAACCTGAAAGCCGACACCAAGAATCTTCCCGATCCCTCCATTCCGGCGGCCGGCCAAACCCAGCAAACGTTGTTCTTTGAAACACGTGGGCCATTCACCGAAGCGCCGACTATCCGTATCTCGTACCTGGCAGGTGCTCTTCAGGCTTATACGCTCCAACTTCCTATTCACATGCACCGGTACATGGAGCCGTCAGCCCTATCCGCAGAAGAATTCTTCAAGCGATGGAGGCAAATCGGTGGACCGCCGCTGGAAGCACAACACACGTTTGGACTCACGGGCAAGGCAAAGACTATCAACGAAGTATTTACACGACGAATTGTGGAGGGTTTCCGGTTGAAGATCTTGGACGGGGTGGACCCCAACCCGAAGAATATCGTGGGTTGTGGTGTGTACCAGTTTGAGAGCGGCAAGACAGGATGTCTCTTGCGACTGGAGCCCAACTATGAGAGAAAGGTATGCTTTTGCCCTCGTATTTATACCCCCTTCAATCAAATGGTAATACTAATTAAAAACATTCAGATGTACCGAGTCACCATTCGAGCCACGCAGGAGGCCGTGCCCCAGGCGTTGGCCAGACAGTTGGAGCAGAAACTATCTCAAGGAATCACCGATATGTATAGCCCATGATTAAAAGACCAAGGGCTACATTAACTGCAAGCTCTGGGAGCAAGGGGCTTATAAATATCTAATAATATCAGCGATTCTTCCTTTGGCATTTCTGTTGTATTTCTTTTCTTCCCGTTTCTTCCGTTACTTGCTAGCGCGGTCAATTCGTGGTGTATTTAATAATTAGATGGTATATAGTATTTGCATATGCATACCTTGGGAAGCCTTTGATGCTAACGATGACATCCTGGAATTGTGGAATGCTTTTGCTCTGTAACTATACAATGCACTTCTGTGATTCCTGTGCTATGGTATCCTGTCTCCCATGCCTGCAAGCTTCTTCCCTTGTACCAGTCATATAATGCAATGGTCGTGAACTTCATAATCCTACAGTATCCCAGCCCAGCTTAACCTAAACAACCCGTGCCTCTGATTTGGGCGGTCTCTCCCCAAAGATTGTTGTGCCCACACGGACCTGATCACTACCCAGCGCAATAGCACCCTCAAAGTCTTCACTCATTCCCATGCTCAGCTCCAACTCGGCCTCGGGCCCCTGCAACCCTAACTCGGTGACGATGCGATCGCGCGTCTCCCGCAGGCAGATAAAATCCTCATTTTCATTCTCGGGGGTAGTCTCCTTGGACCGCGCAATGGCACCGATAGTCATGACACCCTGCAGCTTCAACCGGGGACACTTCTCGCGGATAAACCGACAGAGCCCCGGTGCCGCGCTAGGCTCGATACCGGACTTATTCTCCTCGCCAGAAGTATTTACCTGTACGAAAACACGAAGGATAGAGTCGTGATCCCCCGCGCGAACATCGGCCGACCGGTCACTCCACCCCTTATTGAGGAGATTGGCTTTCTTTTCTGAGTCGACGCTCTCAACGGCCCACAGCCCGCGCACGTCGCGGGCCAAATTCACGCACTTGTTGGACTGGAGACCGCCGATGAAGTGCCACCGGATAGCGGTAGGGAGGAGACGGGACTTCTCGATGAGTTCTTGGAGGTAGTTTTCGCCAAAGTGGAGGTGGGAGGTGGGGGGGTTGTGCAGGGAGAGGACGTCCGAAGCTGGTTTGAGTTTAGAGACAGCGATAAGACGGATGGGTTTGGGGGTTGCTGTTGATGCGGCGGCGGCGGTGACACGGGATGTAACCGCTGAGATGTTGGAGAGGAGAGTAGTGGTTCGTGCTGGAGAGGAGGCCATGACTGTAGGTGGTTGCTGGCTGTTATCGGGGGTTGTAGAGGACATTGCACTTTCTTCTTTTATAGAATAATTAGTAATTAATCGATAGAGATATAAGATTTAGATATATGAATAGAGGGTTGTAAATAATGAAAGAATGGAAGGCAATTACCTGAAAAAAAAAAATGCTGGAGAGCTGATCGTAGTAACTTAAGATTAATATCCCAAGCTTCGTGGAGAAGAAGAAATGCGGGTGTGAGAAGAATTGTTGATGCCTGAGGACTCGTTCGACCCCAGCGCTAGGCCTGGATAGGCAATGATGACTGATTGATCGTGGCATTCCACGTGATTTCGGGAGATCGGCCCCGATAGGTTCCGTATCGGGCAAGATCCGAAGTCTCTGGCCCAAACTGGACTAGCGCGGGCTGTCTAGGGAAAGCCACTATTGCCGTTTTCGGCCAAGGCAGATGGGCAGGTGGTATAGTTACACTGAAGTGTCGGTAGAGGTTGTAGCAGACGAAAAAAAATTTGGAGAGCTCGATGCTATCTTCAGAGGGAAACAGGATTTGATTCGGGTTAGCGACTCAGTGCTTTGTTCCTTCAGCACACAAACTGCACATACGCAAACCTTTTGATGCTGACGTGGAAAAGGAACCCACCGGAGGGTTCGGCAACGGCTCTTGCACCGAATAATATCGCCTTGTAAAACTAATAAGCCTGAATCATACTGAAACTTCGATTTCATTCTGCTCCATTTTGAAGGGTCTTTGTTCGTCTATTTCCGTTCCTTTCATTTCTTTTAGTTTTCCTGCTTTTTCAGCCTAGCGTTGCAGGTGGTATTCTCTCTTTTTTTCTCAGTCGTGAAATGGTCGTAGATGTAACTCAGGCAGCGTGAAAATCTTGGTTCATCATAGATTCAGACGGAAAAGGCAAGGATACAAATCCCGATGCACTCTCCACACTGTATATCCTTGAACTACTCCATGGCCCAGCCCGTGTTGACGTCAATCATTAAGGCTAAGCCATCTGCTTATAGCCGTCCTACTTAATCCTTCATCCTTCCTGTCGCTTCCATTTCGCACCCTCTCCCATCCAGTCTCTTGCCGCTTTGGTTTAACCCATTCTAGCCTTTTTTATCTTGGCCGTCATCATTGGGCGGTTAATGCGAGGCGTCATGCAGTAACGGGCGGTTAAAAAAAGGTCATCGCTCGGCTTCCCGATCTGAAACAGAAATAGATTGAATCTTTGTGATCACCAGTCCCTTAGGGAGATTTCTTTTCTTTACTAGAAGCAAATCAGCATTTCAATATTCATTCAAACACATTGTCCATCTCAACACTGTTCATTATTTCTTCATCGTTATAAACCATCACCGCCCAATTCCGGAAGTCCGCGGGACCACCCTAAACAAAAACCCACCTCGAGCCATTTGAACGAAATTTTTGCAAAGAATTATACATCGAACCGAAAAGACACGATAATGTGTCGACAATACTTTACCATGTACGAATGGTGCCAGTGCGAAGAGGATGCTGGCCAAACCCTCTGTACATCTCGCAAGCAACAGAGCTGCCCCGGCATCAGCATCGAGACGGTGCACATGCAATGCTTCTGCCACACCCATTCGACCAAAGGCTGGAAGAATGAGAGCACAATGAAGAGGAAGGATAAGCTGTTGAAACGCCGTTCTGATACCACCATGAATGAGAAGTCAACAAGAAGCCCACGAAGATGGTATCACTTGTGCAGATAACGGTCGCAATATTGGAGTATCTTGGATATATTTGTTTGCATTTCTTCTGTCATTTGCATTGTCTTGGATTTGGAATTGGAACAGGTGTTCTAGGGATGGAAAGGACCGGATATGAATTTGGGATACTGGCGTTTTCCCCCCTTCAGGATGGATGAGTGTTGATACGTCTGTCATATGCATGTTATTTTTGTGGATTGCCGTTGATCAGCAATGGAATCCATTAGAGTCAAAACAATTATAGTCGATTATTGAATACTATTATCTGCATCCTGTAAGACCTGTAGGAATGTGATCGATGATCGGCATGAGACAGACTCCCCGCGGTAGTGAGTGACTGAACAGACCAGACTGAGAGGGAAGAATATCGGCAAAATGCATCAAAGAAAAGAGAGTAGAAAGAACCAAGAGAATCCCAAGCTTTGTGCATCATTCTTTCAGCGGCCATCAATAGCATGGTGAAGGTGGTTGAAGGAGATGGGGAGGAGGATGGGGGATGATCGCCTACCCCTTGCCCCATGAGGGGAAACTTTAAGGGATATCGATTCTTTGGCTCTCTTCAGCTCCTTCACACCCCCCCTCTTTGTTTCTTCTGGCTATCCTTCTGGTCAGCTTTCTTCTCTTTCGCTCTTCTATTGCTCATTAATTCACCACCAGCTCCAGAAATAATATCTTCTCCATCTGTGGCATTCAATGATCCTCATGGGATTTACTCCTACATCATCATGGACCCCTCCAACCGCGACGATCCTCCAGCATCGCTATTCACCACCACGACTGCTTCCTGCAGGTCCACCAACCCACCGCCATTTGGGAGCAATCTGAATCTCATGTCGCCGGATCCGAATACAACCGCGACTCCTATTCCAGCTTCTCCCCCAATGATTTCGCCCTCCTCGTTGCTGTCTCCGTCCGATGGCCCCGCGCGTTCCCCTGCCATCCAACAACAACAGCAGCACCAGCAGCAACAGCGTGCGCCCCGGCGGACTCCCAGCTCAAATTCACTGAGGGATGAGAATCGCAAGTCTAGTCCCAGTCTGCAGAAACGTTCTTCGACCGCGTCACTGCGATCTGCTCGCAACAGTGGCGGCTCTACGTCTCCCCGCCCCAGTTTGTCGCGACGCTCTTCCTCCAATTTCGCGACTTCTCCTCCCACAACAAACCACATAATGTTGGCAAAAAGGTCCTCTCTACCAGCGGCGCCTGAGAATCCAATGCCTACTTCCGCGTCCATTGCGGCGGAGCATTTCCAAAAGGAGATGGAAATGCACAAGTCCGCCGACCTTCAGTCGAAGACTCTTGTTGTTGTCCATGATGACTGCTATGGCCACCGCTTCTCGCGACCCCGGACTTCCAAAGCAGCATTGGGGACTATAGTCGAGAGGCCGGAACGTATCCGCGCTGGTGTGCTAGGTGTGTCCGCCGCCTACGTCCGTCTTGGACGCAGACACGCCGGAGGGCGTTTCGCGCCTCATCCTAATGTGGACCTCCCACGATTACCCGTTCCACCGTTCCAAATTCGCAAGACAGCGCGGTCCCTGGCACTCACTTCACCGGCTGTGACGCATGTACACGGATCTAAATGGATGGACGATCTAAAGAATATGTGCGACGTAGCTGAATCGCGACTCGCGTTAAACGGCAAGGAGTTGGCTCGACCACGCAGTGCTGGGAGAGATAGCTCCTCTGCCAGTGGCCCAGCACTTCATGAAGGTGATCTATACCTGTGCTCTGAGTCGTTGAATGCCTTTGAAGGAGCTCTGGGCGGTGTTTGTGAGGGCGTGGATGCTGTCTTCGGTCCCAATTCCACGCAACGAGCATTTGTTTGCATTCGTCCTCCTGGTCATCATTGCTCCTCGGGTCACCCGTCAGGATTTTGCTGGATTAACAATGTTCATGTGGGTATTTCTTACGCTGCCATGATCCATGGTCTCACCCACGCAGCCATTCTGGACTTTGACCTCCATCATGGGGATGGTTCCCAAGATATTGCATGGCAGCAAAATAGCAAGGCTATCACTGCCGCCAAAAATGCTGCTAGCCACAAGAAAACCATGATCGGCTATTATAGTTTGCACGATATCAATTCCTATCCCTGCGAGATAGGCGATCTAGAAAAGGTGCGTAATGCGAGTGTGTGTATTGACAAAGCCCATGGACAGTCGATCTGGAACATCCACCTCGAGCCTTGGAAGACTGATTCGGAATTCTGGGAGCTGTATGCCTCTAAATATGCGCTATTGATTGAGAAAGCGCGTGCCTTCTTACGACTGCACACCGAACGCCTTGCCAGTTTGCCCAACGGACCGCAACCGAAGGCGGCGATTTTCATCTCTGCAGGTTTCGATGCGAGTGAATGGGAGGGTGCCGGAATGCAAAGGCACAAGGTGAACGTCCCAACCGATTTTTACGCCAAGTTCACCGCCGATATAGTCAAAATGGCCCAGGAAGAAGGGCTGGGCACCGATGGACGGGTTATCAGTGTTCTGGAAGGTGGATACAGTGACCGAGCCCTGACCAGCGGCATTTTAAGTCATTTAGCTGGTATGGGGGATACAACGACGGGTACGGATAGTGCAGACGAGGATCATATTAACCATTTTTCTTCCGATATGACGGGCCGCCTGGGTCTATCAGATTCTCCTCCAACAGACTTTAGAAGTCCCAAACCAAAGGCAGCTTTCAACACTGACTGGTGGGCGCCGACTTTACTCGAAGAACTGGAGGCACTGGTGTATCCACCAGTCCTTGTGACCAAGCCTCGCGAGAAATCCACCCCCACTTATTTTGCGCCAACGCAGTCTTTCACAGCTAAAGTCGTCAATCCATCTCGAGATAGAAGGTCCAACAGTTCTGCGGTAAGCTTGGAAACTGAAGCTCCACTACCAGAAGTCGGATGGGCTACTGCGACGCACGAGTTGTCTAAGATCCTCATTCCAAGCTATCGACAGACGATGAGCTGCCGACCTGAAGAACTCAATGCAGAAGCCTCTCGCGTGCGAAAAGAGCGCCAGGCAGCAGCTGAAGGTATTGTCACTCCAGCGCCAACAGCGCCAACAGCGCCAGCAGTACCTGAAGAAGGCCGAATGAAGCTTCGCACAAGGAAGCCGAAGTCTTCTCTACCTAGTACACCCAAGATGGAGAGCCCCAAGCAACAGGTTCTGAAAGGCAACCGGAGAACCACTATAGATCCTGCCAGCGACCTTCCCGATGCCTCGCTTGACAAATCACTTGCAGCTCGCGCTGGTCGCAGAAAGAGTACACCGTCAACACCAGTAACCGATGCAGGTGCTCATGAAGACGATGACGAGCAGAGAACTCTATCGTGCACGGCAATTGAAGAAACAAACCCGGGAACCTCGCGCCCAGGAACGGCGGCAAGCAACCGATCCTCCACATCGACGACTACGCGGAGGACGAGTACAACTCGATCGACCCCCAAACGCTCTGCCAGCCCCAAGACAGTGCCTCCGGTGCCCAGAGTTCCCTCGGGATTTCTTTCCAATCCCAGCTCTGGCCAAGGAGAACAGACTGAATTGGGGTCTCACTCCGTGTCCGTGAGTCAAGAAATTTCTACACCTGACGACATAGACAGTCTGGCTGCAGGCGTACGGAAGCTCAACATCAAGCTGAAAGTACCATCACCGGAAGAGAATGCTGCCCGCGAAAAAAAGGCGGCCGAACAGCGTAAGAAGTCAATGCCCAAAGGATCTTCAAAGACACCAAAGTCTCCCAAGAGGACTAACGGTGCAAAAACGTCTCGCACATCGATGGCAAAGTCGGTGGTTCAATCCAATCCGCAGCCTAGCGCTCTTCAGACTACGTCTGCACAGCCCGAAACTGATCATAGTGTGAGGGAAGAAAATCAGGAACCAACGGTCAATCCTCCAAATATGGCATCCGTGACCTCTTCGCCGGCCATGTCCTCGATTCCAGACTCTGTCACCGTCGGAAGACCAGGCCGGAATATCCCCACGAATGTATCAACACAAGCACCTGCTTTGGGATCAGCTATGTCTCCCCCTCTCACACCTGGGACGACGAATGATACAGTCCGGCCTCAACTTTCAATCTTTTCGCCCCCAACGTCTGCAGCCCAAGCCAAAAGTGGTCTTCCCACCTTCACATCAACCGGACCCATTCCATTTGCACCTCCGAGTGCCGTTAATAACGGAAGCCAATCGTCATCAGAATCACGTTCTAACTCGCTTGGCTATGTTGCTCCTGGAAACACACATGGATCTTTCTCTTCTACTAACACGGGACATAATTTCGATACACGCCAACATTAATTTGTTGGTCTTTCTTTTTCATTTGTAACATCATCTGTCGATATTGTTTTTAATCACGGAGTTTTCTCATGTCAGAGATATCCCATGTGCCCCTTGGTTGTCTAGTCTGTCTTTTTGTTTTGATATACCCCTTATTCATGATTCTAGCAATGCGCGTTTGTGTCTACCTGTTTCCCCTCCCGCCTTTTTGTACGGTTACCTCTGTAATAGGCAATTTCCAGGATTCAAAGGATACGGGCATGTCATCCGTCAACCTTCAATTTTTTGCGGCCTCCTCTGATACCTGTCTTGAACCGCTTTCCATGTTGCGCATTTCCGTGTCGTCTCTGCGAGAATTGATGCAGAACATCCTCCGAATGAGAGAACGATTGGGCTGTCCTAATCCATGTATCACATCCCTCAGTAAGTAAATGTGCCATCAATATTAATTATTCAATGGGCCCCAACCTGGTCGGTATGTTTCGGGATGAGCTTGAAGGAAGTTTTCCAATGCAACAGGATTCGTTCGTTCGAGTTCTGCGATATCACGCCTTGGGGATATGCGTATTAGTACCAGAACAGGTAGAACCCAACGCAGGGAATTGGGACATACAGATAACGCTTCCTTCTTCGCCAGATGTAGATCGCAAGGCTTATAATGTAACCGAGAAACACCCCTCCAGCGCAAAAGGCAAAGGTAGCTAAAATGATCTTTCCGTCATGCTCAGCAGAGCATCCTTGGGGGGTCGTAGCCGGGGAAGTCATTGTCTTGGCTTAAATTGACTTCTGCTTTAGTCTGGTGTAACAAGCTCTCTTTTTCTGATAAGTTATAGCACGTAGTTAGAAAAAGGTATAGGTATGCTCTGACGTGTATATAGTGGCGAAGTAGATGGACGAGGTCTTGAGGCAGTCATTGTTACTTGGATATCTCCAGTGGAAGGAGCATTTTACTGTTCATTCAAGGAAGTCGCACCCTCAGCATTTCATCTACACGACATGTCATACTGGACTTCTATAACCTGTAACTGCCTGACCAACCATTTAATAATAACGTAGATATGAATACGACCCATAGTCCATCTCTCATAGTAATTATTATCTCCTATCGCCGAGATCTGATAAGCACCGCCACCCTAGAATCTTTTCCGCGTTGCTGCGCCTCACCTGACCTGCTGACTCATGCCTCTGCTCCGCATGTGCCAGTGGCTTCCAGCATCGTCTCTCTTCCATTTCTCTTATATTCTTTCGAGATCCCCTCGGACTCACTCTCTTTCGAGCAATTTGCATCCCATAGACACCTAACCATGTATCCAATCACAGTCGCAAAGGGCAGGTCCTCTGCCTCCGCCACACCAGAGTCCTTCACTCAGATGGCCGATGAAGACCTGGAATCTATCGGCCGTCACTGTCAATTCGAGTACTGCGGCCAGCTTGACTTCCTACCCTTCCGCTGCGAATCTTGTCGCTCGACTTTCTGCCTCGAACACCGCTCAGAATCGGCCCACAGATGTGCCCGCGCAGGGGAATGGGCCCGTCGAAGAAACAACACCAACAACCAGAACGCCGGTCTGGCCACTGAGAAACCCACCATCTACAACTCCGACCAATGCTCCCATCTCTCCTGCAAGACTCTCATTAACACCCTCACCGATCCAGCTGTCCGTTGCCCCAACTGTAACCACCAGTACTGCTTGAAGCACCGCTTACGGGAGGAACATGACTGTGCCAAGATGACGCCACTGGGCGCTCGGCCCGGAAACCAGGGTAGCCCCAACGAGACCCTGCGGTCCATGTTCGCAAAGGTTCGTACCTGGGGTAAGGATACGAGCAAGGCGGCCACTACGACTTTGACACCGAAACCGAAACCGAATAGTCCTGCCGCACGGGCAGTGCAGTTAAATACAATGAAGAGGTCTGCTAAGGGAGATGCTGGCGTCCCCGCGGATAAGCGACTATACTTGCATGTGGTCGGGACATCGGATACGCAGGCTTCAGACCCACCGCGTGGGGATTTCTTCTACGATTCAAGGTGGAAGGTTGGTCGAGTGTTGGATGATGCTGCGCGGCGGTTGCATGTGGAGAACTTGAACAACCGTGTTGGCGAGGATGGCCGGTTACGGCTCTTCCATGTTGAATCGGGGGAGTTTTTGGAGTTTTCTGATGCTATCGGCATGGAAAAGGTGAAACAGGGCAATACAATCGTTATGCTAAGGGGGGCCGGAGTTATGCTGGGGAAGGAGTGATTTATTGATGTCTTTGATCTTTTTTGCATTTGCTTGGTTATATTTTGGAATTTGGGTTGCATAGCCATGACACTCTCGAGTATTAGAAAATGCCACGGCATTTTGATCTGATATTATGGAGCGAGATGATGAATTATAAGTGATATACGGACATATTCATCAAAATCATATTAACGAATTTGGAAGTCCATCTAGATTTAATGGATACAATTAAGATTCCCTGGTATCATATATTCTATAACAAATAACATAAACCCAAGATATTACTCATGAGATAAAAGATTAAACGCTCATCTTCATCTTGATCGACTTGTGTGGTTTATACCCAATCACCTCGAATTCCTCGTCCTTCCATCCATCGACAACGCCACTGCCCCTATCATCACGCTTGATCCGCAATTCAGGGAACTCAGTGGGTTCACGAGTGAGTTGCTCGTTCAATGCCTCGATGTGATCCAGATAAACATGAGCATCGCCCATGGTGTGGATCAACGTACCCGGGTTAAGGTCGGTAGCGTGAGCGATGATATGAGTCAAAAGTGCATAGGAAGCAATGTTGAACGGCACACCGAGTCCCATATCACAAGATCGTTGGTAAAGCAAACAAGACAGAGAGCCCTTCTGTGATCCAGCCGGGTACGAGACGTAGAACTGAGCAAACATATGGCATGGTGGGAGAGCCATCTCCTTGAGAGCAGCTGGATTCCAGGCGCTCATGATAATTCTCCGGTCAAAGGGGGTCTCTTTCAACTTGCGCACCACGTCGGCCAGCTGATCAAAGCCTTGGCCAGTATAGTCGGTCTTGGCATCGACATATTGGGCACCGAAGTGTCGCCATTGGAATCCGTAAACGGGGCCCAGATCGCCAACCTCACGATGTCCCAGGCCAACACGCTCGAGAAACTCGCGGCTGCCGTTTCCATCCCAGATCTTGATACCAGCATCAGACAAAGGAATGGATGAAGTGCATCCGGAGATGAACCAGAGGAGTTCACCCAAGACGGCGCGGAGGAAGACCCGTTTGGTGGTGAGGAGGGGTAGAACAGGGATTGGGTCTGAGGAGGGGGTAGGGCCGGGTTTAGACAGGGAGAAGCGTAATTGTGGAGGAGCGAAGATCGATCGTGTGCCAGTTCCAGTGCGATCGGGACGGTGTTCACCTTCAGCGAGGATGGTGCGGATGAGGTTCAGATACTGGTGTTCTTCGTGGGAGGGGTCATGCGGCGGAGAGGGAGGGGCAGTGGATACTTTGTTTGCATCTTCGAGGGTTGCAGCAGGGACAGTCATGGTGTTTGGTTTGATATTAAATGAAATGTGGTCTATGCGCAAAACCTCAATGTTGGAAAATTATGGAGTAATATCGAGGAAGATGGAAGACGTTAAAGATTGCGGAGTTCTTTGGCGTTGGAGAAGAAACGCGTCGAGGCGACGCGCCACGTAGTCATGTGATTTTATTGGATTGGCTCGAGAAATGAATGATTATATCGGTTTTCCCGCACACAAGGTGTGGAGTTTCGCATAACACCGTTTGACCTTTACAGAGCCATTGTCTATCTCGAGCCATCATTCATCGAGAGAAATATGGTAGTGATCAAGAAAGTCTTCGAAATAAAGCACAGAAAGATCAAGAGATTTTCAAATAGAGAAGAATTGTTTGATGAAGCCTCTGTGCAATGATGACTGTGTACGATTATATAGACCGAAGAATGGCTGTCTAAGTCGATCCAATTCAAAACCGACAGAATTTAATCACTTGTGGTTGAAAACCGAGTATTGATTGGGTTCTGTCCTGCTATTTCCTCAAGTCAGGCGAATGTCCATCCAATTCGACCCATCTGCCACCATCACCTTCTCAACCCATCAATGTCCTGTCCATTCTCCAATTATACTTCCTTATCCTGATGATAGCTGATTAAATGAAAGGCAAGATCACTGAGCTGGCATAATCTCCACCACAATGAATCGTATGCTTTCCCCGGTTCAGCTCTTCCTCTGGTCTGGGCTTAGAGAAGCTCTGATACTCAGCTATGCTAGGATATTGACCACCGATCTAGACGCAATCAGCAAAGAATCGAGAGAAGTGGAGGCTTATAGCCTAGAGAAGAAAGAAATCACATACCTGGACACTGATAGATTCACCAGCTTCAAAATCAACTCCCATGGCCCAGATGCCGATTTCCAACTTCACAATAGTACCGGGAGGGATCTTATCTTGACGCCTGTGGGGATGGAAGGGGAATTGCGGATGGATGCTCTTGGATTCATCGATTTCACGATGTGACGCTCGCAATATTCCGACAGAGCCCAGGTGAAGATTCAGACTTGCTTGCTCGTTGCTTGAGATATCATCAATGGATTTCACTGGGGTGGCATGGAAGGGGAAATTCAAATGCATCAAGTTTTTGCCGTTCCGGTCTTTCTTTCGCAATATCACAAATACGGTAAAATCATCTTGGTTCTCGCAAGACATATACAGGATAGCTTTTGGCAACCCGATCAGTCGAACCGGTTTCTCAAAGGTATAGTTGAATTCAGCCACGCTGGTGCGGTCCTCGGAATTATATGATATTTGCTGATAATCGGCAAATGGAGATGTGCCGAGTCCGTTTGATTGATTGAGGAAAAGCTGGCGATATTCGGTCGTAGGAGCTGGGAAGTCCTCGAGCACAATGTCATCGATGGCTTCACGATCCCCAAATTGCAAGGCGGACCAGCGTACTTTGGGTGTCTTTTCCCAATCGTTGTTCTCGCCCCTCAGGTATCGATCAAAGAACAGAGCCAACTCTTCCATCGATTCTGGCACACTGTACAGCTCGTACCACTCTTGCTTGCTGCCCCATTGGATCCATTTATCGGCGTGAGGTACCTCGAGATAGCCGCGGATCGAGCCCATGGTGTGAATAGAACTGACGTCTGATCCGCGGATAAACACTGGACATTTGACTCGAGAGATATCTGCACGTTTGTCTTCCCAATAGGCGTTGGAGACCGGTGATCGTCGGTACATCTCTTCGAAGTCTTCAAGACCTGAGTTTTCTGGTCCACGTACGATAGCTTTGGCGATGAGATCGAAATTACTCATTGAGAACCAGCCACCCCGACAGAATTGTTCGCGATAGATATCTCCAGATCCTTCCCAAGGCGCAATGGCTTTCAGCGATGGAGGTTGCTGCGCGGCAATGAACCACTGCGAGATGGCGAGAGCAGAGTTACCAGCCATGCCCACACTTCCATTACACCAATCCATGCGCGCAATGGATTCAACCACGTCATACCCATCTTCAGCATCTTGTGTGCCCATAACACATATTTGACCGTCACTGTGGCCGGCGCCCCGTGTATCCACGCTGACGACAGCATAACCACGGGGACACCACGCCTGTGGATCGAGCCCTTCAAACTTTTCGAGACCACTGAGATCTGAATTTGGAACGCAACATTTCCACACACACATTGGCAGCATATCTAGCGCACTGTACTTCTTCCCATAGAATGACCAACTAAGAACGGCAGGTACTTTGTCCGTTGTGTTGGCTGGTCGATATATGTCCACGTACAGTCGAGCGCCATCGCGGACCACAATCTCAACATCATGGTCGATGCGGATGTCACTCTTGATGGCTTTTGCACTAAAGCCATTCCAGCCACTTGATAGGACTTCGGATTTCCCAGGCTGGAAACCCAAGTAGCCGTTTTCGCCTACAGCTGGTTGGGCGATTCTTTTGTAAGCGACTTGGACTGGGGGAGGCATCGTTGCAGGTATTCCTAGATAATATCTGTATAAAGAAGTCTTTGATATGAGTCTCGAATTATTCAAGTTGGAGATGGAGTGAAAACCTACTTCGTTCCATCGACATAATTCGCTAGACGTGACCTTTATCAGATATACTTGACAAGCTATAAGCACACAGAGAAAGCACCCCCCACATTTTGTCTATCCCCCGCAAGATCATCGATATCCCCCGTTTCCCGAGCCAGATTCGTGTGGACTTCCTGAACCCCAGCTTAGGGATGTGGGGAAGTGCTCGGCGCATCTCTATCTGATATCGGACAATCGGGTGCATTCTCTGGCGCTAGATGAATAAAATATTCCTTGTCGTAATATGAGGAACCCTGTTGGAAACCGAAATCACTGACCTTTTTCTGTCCCGAACGGGGGTGGGGGATGCACGATGTGGATCGGAAGAAGAGGACGATTCATGAAGCCGAAAAGGTGGACTTATAGTTCATGTTAAAGAGTATTATTTATTGCTTCTTGAAACTCATCCTTATTCTGAATGTACCGGTTCAACTTCAATTCTTTTTGAAACAGAATAAGCATACTATAATCTATCGCAGCAACTGTTCAAGATGTCTGAAACCAAGACCGAAACCACCCCAACTCAAGGCAATGACCTGGTCACCTTTACTCCAAGAACCTACGGAGACTGGAGAGATGAATTCCACAAGAACGGATGCGTGGTCATCAAGAATGTGATCAGTCCCGAGCGTGCCCAGTACTACTGTAAAAAGCAAATCGAATGGCTGAAGAAGTTCGGCCTTGGATTTGACGAGAACGATGAGAGCACATGGACTGCGGATCATCTTCCAGTTAGCTTCAAGGGCGGGTATGTTTCTTAAGACTTACTCGTTTGATTGATGCTGACCTCGATAGAATGTATTTTGCCTACGGGGCACCGCACGAGAAGATGGCATGGGAAGCTCGTACGGAGCCCGCCGTGATTGAGATCTTCGAAAGGTTATGGGAAACCGACGAATTGATAACTTCCTTTGATGGCATGAATATCTCTCTGCCCCGACGCAAAGATCTTCATTGGAGTCCTTGGCCGCACTGTGATCAGAACCCTGACCGCAAAGGGTATGTACCGGTCTTTGCCATACTAATAGCTAGCCCTAACAACATATTCATATAGAATGCAGGCCGTCCAGGGATTACTCAACTATGCACCCAATGGACCAAAAGACGGTGGACTCATGCTTATGAAAGGCTCATCGAAGCTGTTTGACGAGTTCTTTGCACATAAGCGTGAGTCGTACGATCACGAGGACGCTCCTCCGCCGGAACTCAAGTTCATGGATCTATTCCTGTTCAACGAAACAGACGTGCAATGGTTCAAAGATCATGGCTGCGAGCTTATCAAGGTCAACATGGAACCTGGCGACTTTGTACTCTGGGACTCCCGAACTATGCACTACGCCTGTCTTCCGGAAGGAGACCAGATCCGCCATGTGCAATATATCTGCATGACGCCGCGCCGGTTCGCGACTCCTGACGCTCTGGGGTTGAAGAAGGAATGTTTTGATAACTACATGGGTACTACTCACTGGCCACACTGGTAAGTGTTACTCTTTTAGTAAGATGTAAACAAAACAAAGCTGATGAATTATCTCTTCAGTAATATTCGCCCAACCAAAGAGAAGCCAATGCGAAATGGTGAGATATGTCCTAAGGACCGAAACGAACCATTTGAAAAGTCGGAAATTACAGAGCAGATTTTGAAGCTGGCCGGTGTTAAGGCATATTGAACCGATTATTTCAATGCTGTACACATTATGCTATATAGGAGATTGAAGTAGTTTCAGGGTAGCAAATTTTATGTCGGTTTATCAATATTCAAAGCATAGGCACTGTCTGTTGGTCTCTTTATGTGTTGTAAATGGCTGATCATCTGATTTGAGCCCTCAGTCCCTGTCCCTCTTCCTCTTCTCCTCTTCTCCTTCACCTTTCTACAACACCTACCCATTGGCATCTTAACCATCGCAACTATCTGACCCCATACAGGACTCGAACCCAGTATCATCGAATAACACTATACCTAGCACAATATGATAAAAGAACAGTTTTGCATCCAAGGGGCAATACAGGCCCAGTCAACCTCACTCTTCGGCCCCGCTAACTCGGCAGATGGGTGTCCAAAGGCCGAAAGAACGCAAATCCCCCACTTGACGACGCGACTTTAAACTTCTCCGACCTATTTGTTTGCTATATCTAGACTGACTGAAATGCGGGGAACCCTGGAGTGGACCACTGGTCCGTATAATGGTGTGTGTGCTTCACAAGCCAGCTTTTTATGTGCATTCCTTGTCGGTGGCATTTCATACAGAAGAGACTAATAGGAGCCTGTGCACTTGGTAGTGGAGGAACACGTATCCTCCGGTCTCATTCTCATCGTGGAGCCGATAAATAAATCTATCGCTATGGGACTTCCGGAGCCCAGGCTGGTGAAGCTGGCTATAAGATACGCGTGCCTGCAAAGCACAGCTATCCCACTCAATCATTGATAAAAGCCCTCGGACTATACTATATCGCATTTTAATCCATTGGTTTTTACCATGGATGAGGAGAAGGCTTCAAGGCAACACGTTGAAGCTATCAACGATGATGGCTTTGTTGATCAACGGCCTCCGGACTCCAATGTCAATGTCATGGGGACAGTGAAACTAACTGAAGATGCCATTGTTTTTATCCCTAGTCCCACAGCAGATCCACGAGGTGAGAACACACTTTTCGGTGATAGAATGAACCAAAACTAACTATGACATGCCATCACCAGATCCATTAAACATGCCCATCTGGCAGAAGACAGTTATTCTTCTGGTTTTATCTACCTGTAAGTTTATCTGATTATCGATTGCTGTATAGGAAATTTCAACCACTGATGCTATTATAGTTTCTACACTAGGAGTCGCTCTAGTCTCCGGGTTTGGAGGTCTATTGAACTTTTATATTCCCGAGTACGTCGCCGCTGGGAAAGACGATGGGGATATAACGAATTTGATGACATATCCCACTCTTTTCATGTGAGACCCGAACCTATAACTTTATAAAGTCTTTGAATAACCTGTTACAAAAGGGGAATTGGAAACCTTGTTGGAATGCCTATCGCTATCGCTGTTGGTCGTCGTATCGTCCTCCTAGTTTCCACGCTTATTCTCGTCCTCGGGGGAATCTTATGCGCCTTATCAGCTACATACGAATGGCACCTTGCTGCTCGAATGGTATTGGGGCTATCTGCTGGTCAGAGTGAAGCTCTGGTCCCTATGATCACCCAGGCAAGAAAAGCTGACCACCTTGCCATGTCTACGACATAGCTGATGGGAGTAATTGATAAACTAGGAGATATTCTTCCTCCACGAGCGCAGCAAGTCACTTATGCTTCAACAAACCATGCAAGTGATTTTAACCACAATTTGGGTTATCTTTGCCAGCCCTATTGCTGGGGCCATTACGCCTCAATGGTGGTATGGGCTGGGGGCTGTGCTGGCTGGTGCACAGTTCATTGTAGCTGTGCTCTTCCTGCCTGAAACAAAATATGATCGCAGTTTATCAGCCTACCAAGAATCGTCAAGTGATAGCGCGTCCAGTACGGATTTTGAGGCCAAATTAGGCAAACCAGCCTATCTCGTATGCAAGAAAAAACCGCCCCTTGACTATGTCCATTATCAGCCTCGGACCTGGAAATCAGACATGCGACTATGGATTGGGAAGCCAGAATGGGGTAAAGCATTGGATGTCTTGAAAGTGAGCAAAGATCTAATCATACCCTACGTTTTCCCGAGGTTCAATTCATGAATGAACGCTTACTTTCCTCCCTCCTACCAAGCAAACATTCCTCCTCCTGTTCTTCCCCAATGTTTTATGGGCTTTATGTCTAAACGGCTTGACAATTGGGGTCAACATTGCCATCCAGACTACCTACAGTACCATCTTAACTGTAGCCCCCTACAATTGGCCAGATACCAGCGCCAGCTATGTAAACACTGGTCAGATAGTCGTCGCCCTCATAGCCCTCCCTCTACTCGGTACAGGATCAGACGCCCTAGTCCGTCGAAAAGCGCAACAAAACGGTGGCATCCACGAACCAGAGAACCGAATCATCCCATTAATCCTGCCCGTCATTGTTGGTTCTATCACGGCAGTACTGTACGGGCAAGGGGGTGCTCATCCAAACAGCTACCACTGGTTCGTGTACGTTTGGGCAGTGGCTGCGTACTACTTTGCCTTCGTAGGTGCCAATATTGTTGCTATTACTTACCTCCTAGATAGTTACCCGACACGCGCGGGTCCATTACTGGTCATCATTTGTGCCTTTCGAGGATTCATTTCTTTCGGCACCAGCTATGGTATCTCCCCGTTTGTCAGTACACATGGATATGACGGGGCATTTGGGGTTTTCGGTGCTTTAACAGGCGCATTGGGTTTACTGGGTATCCCCATTTACCTTTCGGGGAAGAAGATTCGCCAGTTGACGGGGAGGTTTGCTAAGAGCAAAACGGACTGATGACAAAGGTTCGGTTGTATTTTGGCCCATTGTAAACAGTTTCGCTAGTTTCGGTTTGATGAATTATTTTTTAAAGGTTTCCTGGTTCGGCCACGAAGACTCAGTATTATTTGTGCAACCCCTATTTCAACTTTTTCAGTTTCGACAGCGTATGCTCCAGTGTATAGCCGATGGAATGCGAATAGTAAGCCAACAACACCATTGAAATGCATATTTATCAAGTCTTTATGCTTCTAATATATATAGAATGTAGTAACCGAATGCAGAATCCTGTTTCGGGGCTGCTAGTCTGATAACAGATCAACCCCAACTCCACGAAGTGCATCAATGACCCATTGGGGAGATTTTGACTTATCCCCATAGAGATCGCCAAAGAATTTATGCAAGAACGCAGGGAATTGATCCTCTAGAATGGCCTGTCGCGCAGATCCCATTAGCGACAGGAGATAGTGGACGTTATGGATCGTGAGACTGGGGGCATAGTTAGCCAGATAAAGACATGTATAGATGTTTGAGGATGGAGGCACTTACAGATGGGCTCCAACTGTCTCTTTGGAGGCCAGGTGGTGAATATATGCCCTTGTAATTCCCAACCCACCCTGGTTAGTAGGCCGGCAGCAGGCGCACGTACACCCATCTTGCACCGGCGCAAAATCTTCAGCGTAGGACTTGTGACGGAGGTTTAGGGTTCCTGTGGGTGTTACAGCATTTCCAAAACGCTAAAATGTCGAGAGTTAATAGATATTTTGGTATACATAGAGACGGAAACGTACGGCTGTTCTTGTTGGCCAGACACAGTCAAACATGTCCGCACCAAGCGTCACTCCCACAATTAGATCCTCGGGATATCCCTGATTTTGGCTTTAGCGTTTATCCGGGGAATGAGAATATTTGAATACTTACCACTCCCATAACATATCTCGGCTTGTGGTCTGGCAGAAGCTGTGTGCAGGTACCGACCCTTTTTGTAGGCTGTTAGCAAATCAAATAGATGAAGTGGTGTGAAACATACACTTTGCAGAAATCATCCTTCGCCTCACCACCAGAGAGACCTCCTATGGCAATTCCTGGAGTATCTCGGGCCACCATCTCATCACAGCATTTTTTCCGCAGATCCAAATCCAAGCCCCCTTGAATGATGCAGAAAAGATTTTGCTTTTCAGGGTTTTTATGAGCATCTATGCATCGGTCCAGCCATCTAACAGACCGCTCCATAGCTTCTTTAATTCTGGCATGATCTGGTGAAGTTGTAGCGATCACGTCGTCGAGCTGCATTATGATATCTGAACCAATTGAATTTTGTAATGAGATGGAGTGTTCTGGAGTGAGTAGCCTAGATAAAGTATCGTTAGACAAGATCTTAAAAAAATGGGAAGGTATTTTGGGACCATCGCATACATTGGAGAGCCATCGTGTGGGCTGAGAAACCTGACACCCTCCTCTGTAACAGTTGCAAGTTCAAGCAGAGACACCATTTGAAACCTGTATCAGCATTCAAATGTCAGCTTCTGAACCAATTAAATAGCATTTCATGCCCAAGAGGCAGACGTGAAGCAATTAAAACCCACCCGCCACTATCAGTCAAGATATTCCGGTCCCATCCCTGCAATTTATGTGAACCACCCACTTCGTCCAGCACCGCTTGTCCCGGTTTTAATCCCAGATGATATGTGTTATTCAAGCACAGCATGCATCCAGTCTGCTTGAGCTGGTCATATGTGAGACCTTTGAGGGAAGCCTGTGTCGCAACAGGCATGAATATCGGAAGAGGAACCGCGCCATGGGGGAGATGAAGCGTGCTAGCACGAGCTTTCGTTGTCTATAGATTCGATATGAAGACGCGGGTCAGACTAACCCCGATAAGATAGTATGAGTAAATTGTAAGCTTACCGAGCATTTCACATGCAGATCAAAGGTCAATGCAGAAGGCATTGTCTTGCGCGCTGCGGGGGATGCTGATGTTGAAGCCGACATGGCTGCGATTCGGACCCCGCACAGAGTTCTTGGGAGGGATTTCGTAGGAGCGAAGAAAGGCCTTGCTGTATTCAATGTTCTATAATGAAAAGAGAATCCCCGCGGATATCGGATGCATATCATCAAGAAGAACAGAGATCCAAAAGCCACTCTAGGGTGAATCAACTGAATGGAACTCCGTCGCAAATGTCCGTTTATCGATAAATGCTGACATGTTTGCACTGTTTGCACTTCTGACAACAGACGGTAAATGACAGTACCGTAATCTATCTCCCCACACTTTGGATCGACTTTCCCCCACATTCTTCCCCATCAACAATCATCAGGAATCAGGATAGCCTCGAGGCTAGAGCTCACGATTGCAACCGAGACTGATTGAGAGTGCTGGGGATTATCTATGATACAAGCACCTCAGTGGCCGTGTCACTAAGACACAGAACAACATAATGCATTGATGTTACACAAGACATGCTGCTAGCTGCCACACTACTCTTCGCGATGTGACAATGTGACGGAGATAAGCAAAGATCTTCTCGAGTCTCGTTTACTCAGCCCCAATTACAATCCAATTTTTCAATTTAGCCTCGAGTCCAGAATGAGCTACTCTAGCTGCATCGGTAGAGCGGTATCTTTCCCGCCATCTGGAAGGAAGACGGACTATAATTGACCGACATTCGTGGAGGCGCCCCTTTTCAGGTTAAAAACCACACCATTCCCTCAGTTCCAGCGATTCTAATGCGGGGAAGTGCGAGTACTCCAAATAACGGGTAAAAAGGGCGCTTGTGCCCTGGAGAAGTCATTATTATCAACTCAATCATTTCCCCCAAACACCGGACAGCCTTCCTCGCCTCAATCAACATGAACGAGCAGGAGAAAGTCGCCTTTGGTGGTGAACGCTCCCAAGATGTTGAAAATACGGCTTTGGTGAGCAAACATTGCTCTTTACAACAGTGAGTATTAACAATTAATCCAGGGAACCGCTTACGACCAAGAAATCGCTGAAGCAGATCTCAAGGCTCTCAGGTCCCGTGAGAAGGCCCTAATCTGGAAGCAAGATTTGCGCATAATCCCTCTATGTGCAGCGATATATCTTCTCTGCTATCTTGACCGATCGAATATAGGTACGTGACCAATCTGATCTCTCCCGAATCCCTAGTTATCAGCGTACAGGTCTAATAACAAAAAAAGGGAACGCGAAAATCCTCAATGAAGACACCCATGATGATCTCCTTTCAGACACCAACATGACTTCGTATGAGTATACGTAAGTATTTGAAGCTAAAATGGTTCCAATGTATTAGACTGACGGCATACTGCAGGATTGCGCTCATGGTGTTCTTGATCGCCTATGCACTTTTCGAAGTACCGTCAAATTACTTATTGAAGAAGTTAAAACCCAGTGTATGTAGCGAAATCCGTCTCCTTACTCAGAGCATTTATTCTGATGCCAAATGCAGCGATGGATTGCATTCTTGATGTTTTCTTGGGGAGCGATTACCATGGGACTGGGGGGAGCACACAACTATGGCCAAGTGACTGGAATTCGCTTTTTGCTTGGTGTAATGGAAGCTGGCCTCTTTCCTGGTTTTGTGTATTATCTAACCTTCTGGTATCGAGTCTCAGAGCGTTCCATGCGGGTGGCTTTGATCCTAGCATCAGCTACATTGGCTGGTGCATTTGGTGGTGCCATTGCGTACGGGGTTGGACACATGAACGGAGCCCAGGGAATGTCTGCGTGGCGATGGCTATTTATCATTGAGGGTGCTCCATCCTGTGCATCTTCAATCCTAGTCTGGTTCTTCCTCCCTGATTATCCCGAGTCAGCCAATTGGCTCAGTCAGGAAGAGAAAGAACTTGCTGCACAACGACTACGAGCAGAAGGCTCGAAAGGCGCAGCCCAAGCAATGTCCTGGAAAGATGCAAAAGAGGTCCTGACAGATTGGCGTTTATATGCGCATTATGTGGTATGTCTTCTTCTCAGAGCTCTTGGGGCTAAAATCGCACCTAATAAAGTAAAATCTAGGTCTACTTTGGAATCTCAACACCATTTTCCAGTCTATCTCTCTTCACGCCTGCAATCACCAGTGGCTTGGGATATTCGAATTTACGTGCAGAATTGATGACAGTCCCACCCTATGCAGTCGCCTACGTCGTCACTCTTGCTGTCGCTTGGTCAGCGGATAATTTCAATAGGTATTGCAGCTCCAGCACGGAAAATATCATTCAGTTCGGCTAATCTAGTGATTATATAGCCGAGGTCTTCATTCTGCCCTTTTTTCATTAATTGGGGCAATAGGTTTCCTTGCCTCCGCAGTTCTTCCAGATGACTCTTACATTGTGAGTACTAGCCTTTACCTTTATCGATACAAGACAAAACAAAAAACAAAACCTCCCACCATATCTAAAGCTAATAAACACCATCCAGCAACGATACGGCTGCCTAATAGTCGCCGCCAGCGGCGCATTCGCCTGTATTCCCCCATTACTCGGCTGGCTATCCTCCAACCTCCACTCAACGGCAGGAACCGGCTTAGCCATCGCACTGAACGTCTCCTTTGGCGCACCCGGCCAAATCGTAGGTGTCTGGATCTACAAATCCAACGAAGCGAAGAAGGGATACCCCACAGGACACTGGACGAATGCGGCATTGTTGTTATTTGTGTGTGTTGGGTCTGTTTTGCTCCGGTTGTATTATGGGTGGATGAATAGCCGGAAGGTGGAAGCGGAAAAGAAGAAATTTGCTTATTAGTAGTTTTAATTTTGTTGGATTATTGGCATGACATGATGTGTAGGGATATTAGTAGATAGCGATCATGAGTTCAATAATAAAAAGGAATAACCTGATTTATCTCGCAGTCGCAGATACTGTTACGCCAACGATGAGACCGAAAACATCAAAAATACGCATGTTCTGAGCCAGAACGGGCCTTGTTTTTGTCGGGCTGCGACGAACCATGGAACGAGCACGGCACGTGCGAGTTGGGTTGGGCAGGATCAATTAAGGTTAAGCTTATATTGTGACATCGTCGGTCCACGACGACGACAACAACGACGGAAGAAGATAAATCCCACCACTAGATACAAGATGTAAACCGTACACAGTTGCGGTTGAACAGGGTAGCTTTTATACCAGGTACAGGTTGATAATTCAGAGATTCAAAAGAGATGGAGGTGATGGTGACGGTGATGGTGATGTTTCTGTCTGAGCGTGATTCGCCGGTTTGTGTCACGAAGGAAAAATGTAAATAGAACAACAAATGACAAAAAAAGCAAGTGGTAATATTCCAAAAATCTGGTCTGATGTCTCCTGTCCATCATGACCATATAAATCATTTCCCCGAGTATTAACTCCATTACCCCTTCCCGAACTGGAAGTAAGAAGCCCTTCTCCTGCGCTGCACCTGGCTGCCTCCTATCATTGTTACCAACATTTCTTGGGACTGGTTCCCCGGAGTGGAGTGGCGCAAGAGATCGGCCGAAAAATACAAATGAAGCAAAAAAATGTATTTCACCGATAAAAAGCCAAAAATCGTAGATGTCATGATTATCTGTCGTCAGGATATTGTGGCAAGGAATTCGCATGTGTTGCCGTCTGGTAGAGAAAAGAGTCAGGGAATCAAGAAAACCGGTGGATTGAGACAATATGTCAAGTCACTGCCACCGGAAGATTCGAATCGAAGATGGTAAACAGCGGAAGCGAGCCGATCGAAAAAAGTACACATGGTCAAGGACATGAGGCTGCACGGCGATAATCGGTCATGTTGCATAGAGAATTCGGATAGTCATCGATCGCTGAACGATGCCGTATGTACGCCATGACATGTCGCAGTTTCCCATGCAAAAAAAATGCCGATAACCAGGAAATGTTGTACATATGTGTCTGCGGAACTCAAGGTGTCGGCATCGATCCGGAACGTGTCGTACGCAATAGAAAGGGGAAAAAAAAAAAAAGAAAAGGAAAGAAAACTTGAACAATAGAGCAGATAAACTCCCCAGTAGTGGCAAAAGGGAAAAAAAGGAAGAAAGTATGTATCCCCCTCTCAACGCTGCAATCGAGACGCTACATCTCGACGCTGCTAATTCTTGAATTGTCCCGCGGGGATGTATGTAGATGTAGGAGTCGGTTGGCCAATAAATTGTTTATAGGCGACTTCGGCAGCATCTTCTTTCGCATTGTTGAGGTACTGGCCGTCGTACCAGTATCGCGCAGGAAGGTTTCTGTTCTGGACTGTGACAGTGCTGGACCAAGCTGTGCGGCCTCCTAGATGAGAGAACAAGGTAGTTAGTACCACCAGGTGTCAAGTTCAAAAGTCGGTGAAGGAGACAATTACTCCACCCTCTCGAAATGCCGACACACAGTGGACAACGCTCAATCGAGAAAGCGAAAAAAGTAAAAAAGCGTAGATGATATAAAGAGCCAACTCAAGAGACAAGGAAAGAAGAAAGAGGAGAGGGGCATACCTCGACGATCGGAAACAATGTTGTAAACGGGAGGCCCGAATTTGTTTGCGTTGCAATATTCTTCGGTGGAGATGGTTAGCAAATGATAAATACCTCCTGAGTTCTGAGAGAATTGCAATAAAGTGGGGCATACGTTGAAGTTTGTCCTGCCATGAACCAGGCTGAGCTGACGACATTTTGATTCTGTGACCTTCTTTTCGAAGACAAAAAGGGACTTGATAGTTGATACTCCTGGTATCGCACGACGAAGGGGAATAGAATATTTCAATCTTGCTGAACAGGTCAAGGCCACAAAGGAACCGATGGTGAGATGAACAAACAGACAAGAATAAAAGGAGGCTTTGGGATATCCGCTTGGGGGAGGAAAGTAGAAGAGTAAACAATTGGTGAGAGATCAATTGAACAAAATTTTTGTCCTGTTTCTTCCCCTCGAAACGGCTTTGATGGATATGGGAAGCGGGGAGTCATATAAACTGTGGGCCATCACTTAACCCCAAAGCGTTTTTTCTGTGTGCAAGCAAGACTGTTTTGGCGTGACAAACATGGAGCCTAACCATCAAACCTAACAGACAGGCTTATGCATGTTACTGTGGACATGGCACAGCGTCAGCAAATTTCCCCCCTCCCTTACCCTCCACTCAAGGAACATAGGTTGCATGGAGAACATGCGGATCATTTTGAGGCTGCAAGCTGGAACGGCCCGGCGCACGCCGACCAAAGGTATACCCTTGAAGAAACGCCAGAAGACCAGGGCAAAGGGACCAGCTGTCCCCACAGAAACCAGATCTATATGGTGACAAGCAAGAGGGTAAAGGTATCAGAGGAAGCAAGATGTGGTACACAAGCAGAGGTGCCAGTTCCGAGAGGTTGGACAACTCAGAGCCCCTCTCATTTCTTTGCTTGACATTTTTTTTCCGCCCTGGCCAGCAAACGATGTTCACTGTCGGGTATGAAGAGAAAAAAAGAAAAAAAGAAAAAAGGGCATTGGCCCTGAGGGGCATCTCCAAAGTGGGATGGAGGAACTTCCTTCTGGAATGAACGATGAATGGACGGTCTCGTTGCCCAAAAGCGGAGAGACAGAAGACAAAAGGCCCCATAGGAGAGCAAGAGTGACGAATTGAAGGGTGAATGCGTCGACGTTGAGCCAGTTGGGGCCACACAAAAGACCGAAAGCGGGCCCCGGAAACCACAATGCCAGCTCATCAGCCATTAAATCATAATAGTAATAATAATAATAGACCTGGACCGAGAGGCCGTTCAAGCACAACCCGTTCTTTTCAAGTGCTGGGACCAAACAATCACAGACCGGGCCGCTCTGCATGAACAGCTGCTGTCGGGAAAGGCATTTGGGGGCTGCAAAGAAGCAGGGGTCGAGAGATATCTCAACAGGAACAGACCAGGACAGACGGGCTTGTTGCTCTGGAGAAAGCACTTTCTGCAGGGAAAACACAGAACGTTGCCAACGAAGAAAAGAAACGAGGAAATCGGATCTAATTTACCCAATCCGCACCCCGGCAGAGGCGTCGTTATGATTCGTTGCTTTCCTCTGGCACCGTGTTGGGCATTCATACCTGCATTGCCATCATCTCCGTCATCACCATCGCCGTTACCTTTGCCCTCACTATCATTAATGCGACTGCTTCTCAAGAAGAAGGGGGGGGGGGAGGGGGAGGGGGGGAGGAAAAGTGTCAAGCGCCTGTGCAAGGAACCAAGATGCGATCAACAGTGCCAACGGACCGGGGAAGACGGACCACATCCAGCAAACCTACTGGCGAGGTGAAGTGGCAAGGCGATTAATATTTTTATTTTATTTTTTCGTTTTCGTTTTGTTCCCTGATTGACGGGGGGTTGAGGGAGGGGGACACTCGATCTGCCCCGCATCGGCGACAGCACAAGCTTAATTGACATCTGCCCACTTGCATGGGCCGATAAGGTAGGATGTGTGTATGTATGTATGTAGAGAGGGGAGGGGCAAGCAAAGCATGAGGGATCACCGTGATCGTTGTTGTCTTGCCGAGTCATTACAAAAAGAGGAGGAGCAAAGGGTTAAAAAAAGAAATCATGGTGATCGCTCGAAGCGCCGTGTCGTCTGGGCCAATGAACCCAACACCCGTAGCGGTTCTTTTGTCACCAGCAGTTGTTTTCACAATATGCCCCCACCGGATCATTGGTCCATGTTGCAAGGCTGATCTGGTCAGGCAGATTGATGCTGGTGGCGCTGTTTCTCGCTATGGGAGAATTTAAAATAAAAAAAAAATTAAAAAAAAATTAAAAATACATGCAAGACAGCTTGTACGATGCAGCTCCTCGCGATGTCGATAATACATGCATCGCAAGTCACCTTGTGGGGGGGACTAAGTATGCAGACATGAAACTCTTCATATACACGCTGGTAATAGTGTCCAAAAAAGAAACCAAATTGACATGCTGGCCAAAATTAGAAAAAGCAAAATTCCAACCGATTCGAAATACAAACATCCACGCCAGATGAGAAGTGTCCGGGCAGTCGAGAAACCACGCAGAGCTAGTTTCAAGCGACCACCTAACCGAGATACAACAACAGTAGCCAAAAACCAAAAACAGACAAGGGTCGTGATCCAGATTCATTAAAGTCGTTAGGGCATGCAGATATTGGACTCGGCCTTCTGTAAACACGAAGTGATAGTGATAATGAGTCACACTGTTGAAACAAAATGGGAAAAAAGCAAATTGGCGACACGCTGTCCAGGCCACAAATATTTTTATGGCGACTTAAGCTGAACCTCGTCGATGGAACACCTCATCGATGAGGCGCTTAGGTCCCATCATCTCTATGCTTTTGGAGAAGGAAGATCGTGTGAGTTGGGCATGTCTCTTAGAATGCCAACGACGGCGGATACAGTCATCTACCAGGACAACCAGCCCCGTGGCCACAATTGCACTGTGAATCACTCAGTCAGACGCGAAAACCCAATCTTTCCAAAAGGTATCAACTTACTCTGCAATGTCAGGCATTGTCTCATAGACAGATGAGTCACTGATCCACATCGAGGAGGGAGGAATCCACCCTCCCTTACTCTCTTCCTCCACAGCCTCCGAGGGTGTCAGGATTGCCGGCACGATATGGGCGATGGTCTTGGACGCTTGCAAGTTTACCAAGTGGTAAGACACTTCGCGCAAGTCACCCTCCTTCCGGCATTCTCGCCTCCATTGATACTTGGTGGACCAGTATTCATACTCATATCGTTTTGATATCCCGGCGCCTCGTCTCTTGACTTCAACGTGAGCATAGTTGGAAAACTCTAGCAGCATTGTATCTGCCAATGCCACGGGTCGATTCAAGTTCTCTTTGAGGTCTGGGCTCTCCTCATCCCACAGATCGTCGTCCTTCCATGGATGGCATCCCGAATCATGTCGTTTATGGCCCTGGTTTTGGGCCGCTCCATTCCCACTTGACCCTGGTCGCAAACTTGCCAACACACTACTCCACGACCTTCGGAAAACAGGACGTTTATCATGACTTGAGGATCGAGGTCTTCTTTCGGAATGACACACTTCTCGACCAGACTCTCGACAATAGCGACGGAAGGAAAACTTTCTCGAAAAGAGATCGTACATGCGAAGGTGAAACAGGATGATGTCTTGTTGGTAACCACCCCTCCGTGGAATCGCGGTGTCTACACGGAGATTCATGTTACCGTCAATGGTTGCATCGTCATGTCGGATAAGCAGTCGTCGTGACGATGGGAACAATTCGCCAAAGGTTGATGGATTGGAAGGAATCGCGTCTGAAGGGAAAATCTCTGGTGTGCGCTCAACCACCTCATAGCGCGGTTCATCTTGGAGCTCATCGGCAGATGGGACAGTCGATGCGTACGTTGACCCCGAGTTCTTGGGGTTTTTGTTCTTGCTGTCGGGGTCTGTTGTATCTCTCCGCTTGGATGTGGATCCGTCACTGTAGATCGTAGGGACCGTGCTTTTCGATCGGTCCGAAGCGTCGCTGTTTGTAGAGCTGGAACTGCCTGCTGTTCCAGAAGCGACCTGATATGACGTTTTGTAGGATCCCATGGTTGCAAGGATGTGAGGGTTGGGAAATATAAAAGAAAAATATATATATATATATAAAGCTGGGGATATGCAGGAACAAAAATCCACCACCAGGGGGGATATTGATATATAAATGAGACGACAGTGACGTTTTGGTTGTATTTGAAAAAAATAAAAATAAAAATAAAAAAATGGGGAGGAAATCACATCAAGAAGACAAAATAAAAATAAAGGGCAGGGTAAATAATTAATAAGTGAGAAGATATGCTGAGATAGGCAGTCAAATCATAGCCACCATGACGGGGCTAAATATGGCAAGTAAATAATATGTATGGCTTATAATCGGATTCCAGGATAAGCCAGGGCAGCGAGAGGTGAGGCAAGAATCCCACGGCTGAGACCAAAGGGGAAAGGCAAAATAGATTGGTCATCCGATGTTGCTCCGGTGAAAGGCGGGCAGGAAAATAATAATTGGCAAAATAAATAAAATAAAAAATAAAAAGATAATAATAACCAAGGGAGACAATGGCAGGAGATATTCAGATCGGGAGAGGGGGAGAAGGCAATAAGAGAGGAGGGGAAGGGAATGCGAGGAACAGGCGTTGCCGTTGGCAGATGACAGCAGGAGGAGCCAGCGCAATGGGACGGAGCGAGACTAGAACAGGAGAAGAAGACGAGGATGACTGAGAATGAGGATGATGATGGTGATTATGATGCTGACGATGATCAATCGGGGGTTAGGAATGCGAGTGGGGTGGCGCAGGGAGAGAATGGGAGGGGAGACGAAGAAGAAGAGAGGAAGACGAGAAGTGATGCTGTTGTTGTGCTTTGGCTGTCCACGTCGATCGATCGCCTTTGGGTGCTCGTTTTCTGCTGTCCAAAACCCCTCCAAAAGACGGCCTGAAAAGCAGCATTTTTTTGGTTCTTCCTTGATTGATCGGATTTTATTCTTCGTCATTCCCTCTACGGAGTAGATCTACTCACTATTTTCTGGATCATCCTGCATACATACAACGGCTGTACAACAGAAGATCTTGCTCTCTCACTCTACCGTTATTTCTGCCTCCTCCTTTTCCAAGCCTCAGTCTAAGATCTACTCTGTAGTGGCTCATTATATTCTGGTGGCTTTGTTTGCTAACAATAACCCCGTGGAATTAATAGGATACTTCTGACGGATCATACTGGTCGTACACCACCCTGACCTCTCTGACTACGACTGCCTTCGGGTGAGATGGAGGGATTTCTACCCAAGATCAATGATGCATCATCGACCGCCTGATTGGGGGCCCGTCCCCCCCCCCCACGGCCAACTGCCCCCCAAAGATCTCTGGTCCCCGATTCGTGCCTTGCGCTGAACGCTGCAACGATTTTTCTTCCAGAATCCGGGATGCTCGAGGGTCGAGGCTGACAACAGGCGTTCATCAAGCGAGTACTGAATAGGGAACACTATCCGGGAGGGGAAAGACGGCTGGGTGGGATGCTACAAAGACATGAGCGATATCTTCCGTCTGTCCAACTGACGAGGAGTAAAAAAGTCATTCATTCCTTCGGGACTCGGTTGTGAGCTAGCACGCCTGGTCATTTCTCTGCAATTCATTTGTGCATCAGGGTTGCGTGATGTATCTACTAACTCTTCTTCGTTTTCAAAAAAGGACAGTCAACAGAGTCGACAGATGTTCTGGCTGCTGCCCCTGCAGGTCATATGCGGCTATTCAATTCGTTTCACATGCGCGATGCAAGCCGAACAGATCTGAGGCATTAAAATATGAAAAAAAAAATAAAATAAAATAAAAAAAAGCTAAGCAATAATACAGAAGATTATACTGCCTGTGCGATGGATTTATCTGACTGCGCCTTGCGACTGGCTCAGCAAGGCTAAAATAAAAGCACCATTTTGGCCCTATAGAGTCAATCTGTTTTTAGCACTACCAGCCAGTCTGCAGGATCCGGAAAAGGCCATGGACAGTCCTACATGATACAGACATGGACGAAATAGGTTATCGCCTCAACTACTATTCAATGATCAACATGGTTGTCCAACGCAAACTTCAAGACAAAGTAGACGCCAGGGACGCTCTCGACCATGGATCCAACTGGGGCGGATGTTCGTTCGTTTGTGCGGATCGGATCGAAACTTGGTCAGTGCCCGATGGAAGATATCGCCAATATTCAATAATAATACGGCCGTGATAAGTTGATGCTACTCGAGCAAACCTCCGAATCAGGGAAAAACCAACAAATGACAACGCGATATCCGCCTGGATAATTCCCTATCCGTTGCAAAATCACCCTTGCGTGTCCGATCGCCGGACGGACTTCAGCGGAGAACAACGGAACACTCGCTGGTGGATCTGTTTTTCTTTTTTTTTTTTCCCTTTCAATCCAAGAAATAAGATAAAAATATCCAACATCAAAAGGCAGCCATGCGTTGTTTTCTCGGCCAATCCGTCAAGGGCTTTGTTGTATCCACACAACTGCTACCTACATACGAGGGGAGAAAATTGGTTTCACCAAGTCTCCAGGAAATTATTGAAACACAAATCTTAGGCCAGATAAAAAGACTAATACTACTAATGATGATGATGATGATGATGAGATTCCCATCAAATCATTCCATCATCCAGAGTTGAATGGGTGTCACGGCATCAATTGACTGACTCATTACTACTTGGGTAACAATCATGATACTGGAGAGTGTGTAATTGGAATACCACACAAAAATGATAATAAAAATAATAAAAATCTAAACCTTCCACGAGGATTTGACAGCCACTTTGTTTGTGCCAGATTAGAGCCAATTTAGACTTTTATAAGGAATGTTTGGGCACTGATCGACAGTTGGATTGGTTATTGGCTATACAAATGTGCTCATGCCAACTGCCACCCATGACGAAATTGCTATTTGACTGACAAAAATCAAGGCAATAATATGCACTGTCAAGGCTGCGATGCCAAAACCGAAAAGGAAAGAAAAGAAAAGAAAAGAAAAGAAAAATTCAGCCACTCACCCCACTTGATAAACTCCCTGTCAGATTCCATTACTTGATGCTGTTATGTCATGAGGGGCACACAGTTATGCAGTACAAACTGTAAGTAGGCAGTACTTTACAATAGCTATTGTCTCAGTTCTTGCCTCATCCTTTTCAATGAATGCATCAGTATGGATATCATACACCTCCTTGCTGTTTGTTCATATATATATAGCTTCATCCGAGAACTTCGTATTCTCCGAAAACTCTGTCAACACTCACCGCAACTGTGTTGTATAATAATAGCTGTGAGATCAAATATCTCGGTACTCAATATGTTTCCACAGGGAGTGATTAACTGCCGACATCTCCATATAGACACCCAGTACGTCGTATCTACGACTGGTCTTCTGATTTTATGCCTAGTATTGGGCTGATCTAGACTCAGAGCCAATACTCCGTAATATGATCTTAGACTATATAGTCGTCGTCCCGAACAAAAGGACGCGTTTCTAAAAGTCCTTTGCATGGTCGAATGCCCAGTCAAGGCAGCAGCCTCTTCATGTGTTAGGTTCTTTTGACTGTCCGAGGCTCAGCACCAGTCAACCGTGGCCTATTCCATCAGTAGGTTACCATCTATATCCAGAGCGTTAATTTCAGCTTCAGAACAAGATGTACTACCATGTTCTGGTATATAGCAGTTCGAAATTCGACAGTCCCAAGGCGATAGACAAAGGACTGCAAGCACAATTAATTCATGTATCTTACACGAAACACCCGATTAAATCTAGTTCAGAACCGTATCCCAACTTCCGGCCGGTCTAGAATCTATCCAGTTATATCAAAAAACTGAAATCTAGATACGACTTGCAATCTAGCATCTCGCTGCTTATACCTGTACCCAGAGAGGCCTGGGAAGTTCTTCACCGGGTTGAATCATCGCCTCTTGTCGACACCCGGTCGAACTAGGCGGGTGGGATATGAGCCCAGCTCGACTACCAGGAGCTGGAGGGTGGAAGCCCACGTAGGCTTCACGGCGAGCAGGCTCTCCCACAGTGATAGACCAGGTATGTAGGCCATAGTATGATGCAATGGAGTGGACGAGCCAGCGACTGATTTAAAGCTGGTAAGCCTTCGTTCAGGGGTAAGAATCCAATTCTACGATGGAACTTACCCAAATCCAGCTGCTCGGTCATCGACCAGACTCTCAAGTACCATCTTCTCTCCATCACGTTCATTGTGAGAGCTCATCGCCTCGCGCATTTGCCGGAACTGAGTCTTGCGCGTAGGCGAGTCATGCATCTGTCCATTTCTACCGACGAAGACAACTTCATCCTCGGACTCATCCTCAGATGATAAGGGTGCATCCTCCAAGCCCTCCTTTCGAAGCAGGAGCTGCTTCTCATTCCATTTCTGGATGAACTGTCTGATACCCTCTTCGAGATCCTGAAGCATACCGCGGGCGGAACGAGCATGCTTTAATCTCGTACGAAGCTCCTTAGGAACTCGATGCTTCTCCTCCTTTGTGTGCTTGGATGAGTTGCGATCGAGGTGCGCATAGTGTACATCCCAGAGTGGCGCGAGGTAGTAGGGCACATTGTCATGACGGGGGTAGGTGGGCTGCACGTCCCAATCTTTGGAAGAAGGTGGTTCGGCCCATGGATTTTGCAACAAACGGTCTTGAGACGTATCCGGTCAGCGTTTTCATCTTCCTTGCGAAAACGTATTCTCGCTCGAGGGGGTTCATCAAGCGCGCTTCGCCATAGATTCCGGCCTATCAGGACATACCATTCTCCCAACGCTGCCTCCGACGACTACCATCCTTGCCTTTCAATAAGGCCTCTCGCCTTTTCAGACTGTCTCTGCCGAGAGACCCCCTCCGACGGAAAGACACGGAGGGAATCTTCTGGCTCTCCTTGGTATCCTGACCAGCCAGCTTCACTCGAGGAGTAGAACGACTCTCCGGTACTGAAACATGGTCATCCAAGGGAATTGACAAAGCGACAGAGGCGCCACGCAAACCCGATCGAGTCGAGGCCTCATCACCGGTCGCAGCTGGCTCTGAGAGGGTCAGGTTCTGCAATGATGCTGCTGCTGCCTGCTCTGACCAAGCAGAGATAGCCCGAGTCTGTTGTGGCGACAGGCTACCCTGGGCATCCACTTGCGAGTGTAGTCTGGGATGGATGGCCATTGCAGATGGACGCGATGCGCCGAGAGTTCCGGACAAGGAATAATACCTAGAGTGAGAGGTCCCGTCAAATGGACAGAGGGCACTCTTCCAACAGCCAACCCTGAGGGAGCGTCTTCCTGAAGATAGATCTAACTTGAGGTAAACCTCAGTATCTATCAACCTGCGTAGTTCGATGGAAAGCGCCAAAGCGGGGATGGAAAGGGGACAGATAAGAGACGCCCAGATAAGTCCGACCGTGACGCTCCGGCGCGTCAAAGGGCGAAGATCGCCTCGAAGCTAAAGGAATGCCCGGATTGGCTGGCGAGTGAGTCACGGGCCAAGAAGATGGGCGCTGATTGGTGAATGGTCAGCTGCAGCCCTAGCCCTAAGCGCTCCTTGCATTTTGCTTGGCGATAATACGAAAAGAGTCATATGGAAGAGTCATGATATGATGACTGTTCATCGAGAGGGCTTTTCCAATAAATTGGCCGTTATGACCCATTCATTTATACCAAGTGGTCTGCATATGGAGTACATATGGGGTGACTTAATTTCTTGATCTCAGAGTCATAAGACGGGAATCAGACATTGCGATCGAGACTGTCTTGGACCAACGAGAAGAACACAGCGCCATGGTTGTCTCTATCCCCTTCATCCATCCTAAGTGTCCTTGGTCTCAGTTGGATCAATTGTTGGAATACAGGATTCAACAAGAGACAAAGGGCGGCTGAAGACCTTCTCTGTAAGGTACCAGGGGTAATGATGAAGCATACCTTACATTATTTGCTGAACGACTCTTTTTCTCAATGTCTGCCAGCTGCCAAGTTCTAACGCCAATGTCCATCGAGTCAATGCATCATTGATCTCATAACATGTCCAATCATGACTGTCTGTTAAATTAAATGTCCTTGAATTCAGGAGTGATCTGCATTGAACCATTGGATTAGCCGTCATGGGATTATGGGAACAATAGTGAGGTATTACGGAGTACGGCCTCCATAGGGAGATTCTTGCAACTCATCACAGCCTCGCAGTCAATAACAATTGCATAATGAGTTGACAGCAATCATCCGATAGACGCCGTATCCTGTATATTTTGCTCTCATAATCTTTTAATATCGTATAAATTAAATCCATCAGCAACAGTATCAACTAGTTGGATAGTCCCGCTCGACTGTTGACTTTAGCTCGTCCTGTTTAGACCCTGCGGGGGTTCTATGAGATCACAGCCACATGCCACCATAGCATCCAGCAAAGAAACACCGCTCAAAGAAATTAAAGAGCCTAGTTCTTTGTTAGACGAAGGATTTAGCTCCTAGAATCGATCTGTAAATAGCATGGCCAAGGCTAAAAAAGTGGAAGCAGAAGAAACCATGATCCAGACAATCTTAATCGAGTGATCGTCTGTCTCTCCTCTTCTCGGCGGCTATTCTGCCTTACAGAAGCCCACTCCCGCGCTCTTATAACACTCCTCGGCCGCCCTCTCTGTCATCTTCACGTCTTCTTCACGCATCTCCGGTTCATCAACCTTTCTCCCCTTCTACTTTTTGTTTTCACGGCCCTATCTGATTTATCAGCTAGGCTGACGTTCATCCCTTTTTTCATCCATCTACTACAACGATTCACCAGTTGCCCACCTCCTGTACCAGTTGATCCCGCATCGGCGCCGTTTCATCCCTCAACATGAAGTTTCTATCAGCCATTGCGCTGGGCGCAACAGCTTCGACGGGCATCCTGGCTTCGGTAATTCCTCAACAGGAACCTTTGTCAGCAGCATCTGTCCATTATAACAATGAGATGTTTCTCATCGAGTTGGGTCCGTATCGGACCCGATGGGTCACAGAAGAGGAGAAATGGGCTTTGAAATTGGTATATTTTATTGAACGCATTTATCAGACAATAGGGGCTAATTAGAACTCTTTGGGTTTTAGGACGGCGTGAATTTCATCGATATCACAGCAGAGCACAAGTCGGGGTTATATCCCAAATACCAAACCGCCGCCATCAATAGCGTCCACTTCCCCGAAAAGACAAAGCATGCGGATGAGGTAGTTCCACTACTACATAATCTCTCCAAGCAAAACATGCAGCACAACCTGGAAAAGTTTACCTCATTCTACACTCGCTACTACAAATCTACCACTGGCATCGACTCGGCGACATGGCTTTATGAACAAGTTTCCGACATCATCCAAGAATCTGGGGCTTCGAGGCACGGTGCATTCGTTGAGAAGTTCACCCACCCATGGGGTCAATTCAGTATCATCGCTCGGATCCCTGGTCAAAGCAAGAAAACCGTGGTGTTGGGCGCTCATCAAGACAGTATCAACTTGTTTCTTCCTTCGTTCCTGGCTGCGCCAGGCGCCGATGACGATGGTAGTGGAACTGTCACCCTTCTTGAGTCTCTGAGAAGTCTGCTGCAGTCAGACACTATTGTTCAGGGAAATATGACCAACACAGTGGAATTCCACTGGTACTCGGCCGAAGAAGGCGGCATGCTGGGCTCACAGGCGGTTTTCACTCAATACAATAAAGACAAGAAGGATGTCAAGGCTATGCTCCAACAGGACATGACTGGTTACATCCAGGGGACTCTCGATGCTGGACGTCCAGAGTCTATTGGAATCATGGTTGACTATGTTGACCAAGGTCTGACGCAATTCCTCCGGGAAGTTGTTACCTCTGTGAGTTTGACCCTCCCTTTATGTATAAACAATCGCTAATGAAACCCTTAGTATTGCGACATTCCCTATGCCGATACTAAGTGCGGCTATGCTTGCTCAGACCACTCGAGTGCCCATCGATGGGGCTACCCATCCGCCATGGCGACTGAAGCTGAGATGGAGAACACAAACAAAAAGATCCACACTACCGAAGATAAGATCAGCAATCTGAGCTTCGACCATATGCTACAGCATGCCAAGTTGACTCTTGCCTTCGCTTACGAATTGGCATTTGCTCCATTCTAATCCTTGATTCTGAGCATTGTTTTTTTTTGAATCTTTTGATGATCACAAGGACATTTGGGTCTTGATTCTGGCGTTTTAACGATTATTGGTAATGTCTATGCTGGCATGAAGAGTGCGTGATTTGGTTTTCAGGCTCTGGTGAGCCTCGCATCATTAGCATCTTTACCTAGAGATACTCTTGTCTATATATTTATCATACGTTCCGATTTCAGAATTCGTATCTAGAGATCGCGGCCTAGAACTTTTAGCATTCTCCACAATCACCAGCTTTTGCCGGCTCACGATAATGAAAATGAGGTCATTTCCAATTTTCCTCCCGAACAGCCACTCCACCGTCTCCAGACACTCACCGAGAATGAATCACGTGACACTATCCCACAAGGTGACTCTTCAAAAGTCACCGTCGACCAGGTGGTGCAGTGCCCAGCTCCTCAATCCGGACGGTTTCTGGATCCCAACCTCTTCTACTCTCTTAAATCTACCTGATATATATCTGCTGGAATCTGTCGATCCAACTCCTCATTGAACGTCTTTGGACGACTGTCAAATAATCAGCAGATCAGCTTCAAAAAAGCGCACAAAAGACACTGCCTTAAAAATCATCCTTTACACTTTGGCGAACACGTTTCAGCCAAAAGCAAAAATCAACACATTTTCCGAGCCAGCTCAGTTCCTCGCTGGCTCCTTCCATTTGATTCGGGCCACGACTGCTATATCGGGCGTGCGGGATAAGCACGGGCAGGCAAGAACAGCAGTCGCCTTGTTCAGGTTCAGAAACTCTTGATTCCTCGCGGATTCATTCAGTGTCCTGATACTATATTCTCTTTGTTTTAATATAACGACCACCTTTACTTCAACCAATCAACATCATGGACTCTTCTAGCCCCTACTCAAAGGAGCTCCAGATTGCTTGTCTGACCGTCCAGAGAGCTACTCTCTTGACCAAAAAGCTCCTCGAAGCTGTCGACAAGGGAACCATTGACAAGAGTGACGACACGCCTGTTACTATTGCCGATTTTGCCGCCCAAGCATTGATCATTGGTGCGATTCACAAGGCCTTTCCCGATGATGACTTTGTAGGCGAAGAAGACTCGAAGACTCTGCGCCAGAATGCAGAGCTTCTCGACCGTACGTGGGAACTGGTTTCTTCCACTCATCTCGACGATGAGGAGAGCGATGCGCTGCTCTACGCTCCCAGCTCTAAAGAGGAGATGCTTGATTTGATCGACTTGGGTGCTCAGGGCTCATGTGGCCCCCAGGGTCGTGTCTGGGTTTTGGACCCGGTCGATGGCACCGCAACTTTTATGAACGGCCAGCAATACGCCGTGTGTTTGGCACTTGTTGAGAACGGAAGCCAGAAGGTTGGAGTTCTCGGTTGTCCCAACCTCGCCGTCCAATCTGGGCAACTCTACGAAGATGACACAGATCGAGACGGATACGGTCACCAACTTTTTGCTGTATTGGGGCAAGGTGCGTGGATTCGGAAGATGGGACGAAGTACTCTTCTCCCTGCGAGCCGGCTCGCCGAGCAGTCCCCGGTTACGGACGCTAAGGATATCCGCTTTGTCGACTGCGCGGCTGCCACATCGTGGAACATTCCGCTGCATAGCCGTGTCGCGAACGTGATGGGTGCACCCTGGCCACCTGCGACGGATCTCTGGGCTGCGCAGATGCGCTATGTGGCGTTTGCTGTTGGGGGATGCAATGCTATGGTCAAGATCCCGTTTAAGCCAACTCACCGATCGAAGATTTGGGACCATGCCGGCGGCATGTTGATTGCTACGGAGCTTGGACATAAGGTGACCGATCTTGCAGGCAATCCGGTTGATTGCAGCTTAGGACGGACCTTGGCAGGATGCCTTGGGATGATTGTGGCTCATGCCTCGATACATGAAAAGGTTGTTGAGGCTACGAAGCAGGTACTGGCAGAGAGTGGATAGAGGCTCGGACGGTTGTTTGGCTTTTAAACGAAAACACTTTACCTTTCTCTTGCATTGATACTGCATTGGTGTGTTTACCACCGTTATGGTTGGAATAGTATTATTGGATGTATAGATTATGGCCATAGGCTTTCTGGTTAACTGTGCCGGTTCACAGTTGACAGTAAAATAATCATAGCATGAATTAGAATATATCCGCTCAAGTTATAAACCAAAAGTGAGTAATTGAATTTATCGAATCTTTAATAATGTAATCCTGGTTGGGAACAGATGGTGACATGATGGAGTTGACTGGATAGTGTCGTCATCGTTCCAGCGACTGCAAATCCAAGTTTTACTTGCACCTCCGATATAGAAAAATACAGCAAAATTACGGAATTATGAGAGGATGTAGATAATAGAATCAATATAAGTCAGTCTAGAGGGTATTCATACCCTATATTCCTATCGTAGGGCCTGGCATAATATGTATCTACACTGTCAACACCATCAACAGAGCAAACAATCTGGATTAAACTCAACTGCAACTTTGTGTCATCTTTTGGCCACTGATCCCTGGTTCAGTCAGAAAACCTGTGGGGACCGTATGAGCACTACGTATATATGTCGAAATGCCCCTCTTCCTTCTCTGGCGATTTTCTGTAGTTGCTGGTTTGATTCTGGATATAATTGTCTGAGTATATTGGTTTAATTGACTTATTCTTATTGCTTAATTCGATTCACAATGGCTTCTTGTGAGTCTCGATGCCCCCTCACTACTATAACATATATATATCCTCCAGATCAGAATAATAACCAAGATAGACAATCCATTTGCAAAACGAGAAGCGCATGGCCGGTTCTCCTTGACGACCTATCGCTTCCTCATTCCTGTCTCGTGGCTGCTTGTGGTCATCGTTGGTATTCACTATACTGCCAACTCGCCGGGTGATGTCAAACACGGTCATCGCATCTTCAAGCAGGCCAACAAACACACCACCCCCTTCAGCCAGAATGTCACCATCACTGGTATCTACTGGTATGCTTTATATCTTCTTTCCATTGAGATAGTATTGACACATAACAGGATTCTCCTCCTCCTCTCCCAACTCAGCTATGTCTACCATCTCTTCTCCAAAGAGGCTGCCATCGTCACTGCGGCCGCCAACATCGGCACCCATTTCATTCTAAACAACCTCTTCCTTTTCGCCTGGATTCTTCTCTGGACGCGCAATTACTTCTGGGGCTCCGAGATTATCCTCATTGCCCATTACCTCAACCAGCATGCCGCCTACTGGCGACACCGGGCTCTGCCGCCCTTTGTGCACCTGTCGGCCATCGCAGGACCCTACGCTTGGACACTGATGGGACTATTTTGGAATGGAGCCGTCGCGGTACACAGTAACACCTTGGCTGCGAGGATTGTGGCAAATGTGTTCATCTGGGTGATTTTCGTGTTTGGAATTACGCATATTATGATCACTCATGATTATCTTCTGGGGTATTGTCTTAGTTTTTTGACGTTGTGTGAGTATCACCATCCACTGCAAAGTACCCCACTAATATATATTGTTTTATGTACTAATAATCTCTAGCGTTGGCTGTCAAACAGATCTCCATCAAGATCATTGCGTTGCAGTGGATCTTTGCCCTCGTCATCTTTATCGTCTTCTTCATCACCTCGATCTATCTCTCCGGCACCAAGTATTATAACCGTGACTCGCTCTTCCGTCGGGTTGTGCATCCTGAAGAGACGGATCGGGAAAGAGAACCGTTGCTTGACGAGAGGGTGTAGATTTTTGGCCTGGAGGGGGTGACAGGTGTTCTTCTTGCCTGTGACCCTTGGATTTCCTGAATCAACATTCGGATGCTATCTTGAATCCCACGTTTAAAACAATCTTCTTCATTGAATGTTCTTCTGCTGGGATTGTTCTCGGACTATTTTCTGTCGGTACTTGTATGTTGATCGCATGCGGGGCTGGCTTCCGTCTGCTTCTCTTTGATCTATGCTCTTATGCTAAATACTAATAGTATCCTTGCTTATTGTTTCTTGGATGATCCGATAAATCGACGATCGACTACTGTAGCAAGCCATTAGCTTCGGATTGAACTGGTTTGTATTCCCCACCGAGTGGGTAAGCTTTGGTATGATGTATCGTAGCTACACAGTAGGACAACAGCACAACGTGCCAACAGCAGATGGATATACTCTTTATTATCTAGAAAACAACAAAAAGGAGTCAAAGCAATTTGAAATATATCTTAAGAGTCATTACGAATTCAAGACACTCGGCAATATCTTCTGTGGCTACGCAAGGATGTTGGTCATCTCATCTCGCCCGCAAACGCCCGTTGCCCTGGAGACAAAAGCGCATCGCTTGCTGGTTTCTCCACGCTCTTTGGGGCAATGATGCGATCCGTGGTTTTAAGCGCCCGCATCCAAGGTACGAAACAAAAGAAAGACGGAGAGGAAGTGCTTTGTTTCTATCTTTGTCTACTTTGTTGTTGTTGTGGACGTCGAATCGTGGTTGTTTATAAAGACACTCTGCGGTATCAAGCAAACACAACGGCTTTCTCTCGTGATCTTCTTTATTATTGCTGACATTTTCCCACGTCAACTTGGTTGTTGTTTTATTTGTTTACAGCTTGGGTCTCTTCGACCTTTTAACTCCAGTGAGTGACTACATTCTTCAGCAATCCTCTTCGAGTAAGGCTTTGCAGGGCAGTCAAACTGACGCTGTCCCCGAATTTTCTATCCAGACAAACAGATCTTCTCTGCTTCGAGCAGCCTGTCTCACAAACTCCCGCATCCTTCTTTGTCTCCCATTGCCTGTCGCCAGCAGTCGATCTCTGTCTCACTATTTCTACAACTATAACAATATTATGAGGAACTGAACCGCCGAACCCGACAACTCAACCCGTCATGAATCGCTCCGGTTCATCGCGCATGTACCCTCCTGCGCCGAACTACGAGGAAGAACCTCCACCCTACGGTGGCTATGGAGATTCGGCCTCGTATCTCTCGGATAATGAGTCTTCTCCTCCTGCACCGGCCCGTCGTAGCAATGGTGCCACTATGAGACTTCTCCCCACGAGCACGAATGTGGATGACGACGATCTGCACGGCGACATGGGACACTCCTCGTATGGATATGATGGATATGAAGATGATTATTATTATGATGATACCACGTATGTTATATATCTTTTCTTTTTCACCCTTTTTTCCCGCTTGTTTACCCTCTGGCATGTGCTGGTGGCTCCCCCGCATACCAATGATACTACTTGGACTTTACCACTACACCAACCGTTGCTATTGGCATATTCCTACCCCTTGTTTGAGCATTCAAGTCTACCGATTTTGGATAGAGAGCTCGTCTTTAGGGCAGGTTGTGGCAGGCTTGACATGCTATCAACATTGAAGAATGCTGTGTATTATTTTTATCCCCATTGTCTGTTATATATCACTTTCCCAGTCTCCCGCAGCATGTTTCACGTTTATTACCATAAGGAGCATCGTGGGAGACTCTTCCTGGAGAAAACAGAGTCATCAATATGCCATATGAATCACCGAGAGCTAACACTGTGAGCTCTTCCGGTAGTACCGAACGCTCACGACAACCCTCCACCCGATACTACCAGTACGAAACACAGGAATCGCCTTCACGACCAGCTTCGAGTCTGCGTGACGCCCCAACGTTTCCACCTCCTTCCTCCGTGGGCGATGGCCTCGGATATTCTTCTCGACCTGGTTCTCCACTCCGGTCATGGACTCCTTCGTCTCGCGCTACAGGTTGGACAAGACCTCCAGCTCCTCCGTCGGTTACAAGCACCCATTATGAACGCGCAGATTTGAATGGTAGCCCACGACCCGGCACGCCCAGCACCAGATATGGAGGTAGCCCAAGACGACCTTTGCCGCCGGCACCTTTGTTTGCGGGCCCAGCGTCGACAGTTGGTGGTCAAGATACGAGCATTGATATTGGAGATGGAGATGACCATGACGATGTGTTTGGTGGCAGAGGAATGAGAATCGAGCCCGATGCCGACCCACGGGGCAGTATAGCCTCCTTCATGAGCGAATCGACGATGATCACGGACGAGAAAGACGATATGACCAAGATCGATTTGGAAGACGACGACTCGAGTTCGATTGCCGATCCCAACATGCACTACGGACCGGCCCCCGAGAAGCAAAGCCGTCGAGGTGTCCGAGATGCTCAGATGGCGAAGAAAGAAGTCCAATTGATCAACGGTGAGCTGATCTTGGAGTGTAAGATCCCGACTATTCTACACAGTTTCTTGCCTCGTCGCGATGACCGCGAGTTTACCCACATGCGCTATACTGCCGCGACTTGCGACCCCGACGATTTCACTGCCAAAGGATACACACTGCGACAGCAGATGGGGACGACCACCCGTGAAACTGAATTGCTCATTTGTGTCACCATGTATAACGAAGATGAGATTGGTTTCACCCGTACCATGCACGGCATCATGCGGAATATCAGCCACTTTTGTTCGCGTTCAAAGTCCCGAACTTGGGGTAAGGACGGTTGGAAGAAGATCGTGGTCTGTGTTATTGCCGATGGTCGTAAGAAGGTTCACCCTCGCACTCTCAATGCTCTGGCTGCCCTCGGTGTGTACCAAGAAGGTATCGCCAAAAACGTTGTCAACCAAAAGCAGGTTACGGCACACGTCTACGAGTATACGACGCAAGTTTCGCTCGATTCGGATCTGAAATTCAAGGGAGCTGAAAAGGGTATCGTGCCTTGCCAGATGGTTTTCTGTCTGAAAGAACACAACCAGAAGAAGCTTAACTCCCACCGTTGGTTTTTCAATGCCTTTGGTCGTGCCCTGCAGCCCAATATTTGTATTCTCCTTGATGTTGGTACCAAGCCGGACCCCACGGCACTGTACCACCTATGGAAAGCATTCGATCAGGATTCTAACGTCGCCGGTGCTGCTGGTGAGATTAAGGCTGGTAAAGGCAAAAACATGACGGGTCTTTTGAACCCGCTCGTTGCTAGTCAGAACTTTGAGTACAAGATGTCGAACATCCTGGATAAACCCTTGGAGTCTGTGTTTGGTTACATTACTGTTTTGCCCGGAGCGCTGAGTGCGTACCGATTCTTTGCTTTGCAGAACGATGCCGATGGCAACGGGCCGTTGAACCAGTACTTCAAGGGAGAAACGTTGCATGGTCAGGACGCTGATGTGTTCACGGCCAACATGTATCTTGCTGAAGATCGTATTCTTTGCTGGGAGTTGGTGGCCAAGCGAGAAGAGAGGTGGGTCTTGAGATTCGTCAAGAGTGCTGTTGGAGAGACCGATGTTCCAGGTAAGTTATCCTGTATATCTTCATCAAGAACATGGCTGACTGGGTTTCAGATACCGTGCCCGAGTTTATCTCCCAAAGAAGACGTTGGTTGAACGGTGCTTTCTTCGCGGCTGTTTACTCTCTTGTCAATGGCAAGCAGCTCTGGAAGACGGATCACACGCTGGCTCGGAAGATCTTGCTTCAAATCGAGTCTGTGTATCAGTTTACGAATTTGCTTTTTACGTACTTTGGATTGGTAAGTTGTTCTGCGATAAAATTGGGAGTCAAGTTACTGATTGTATCACCAGGCGAACTTCTATTTGGCGTTCTATTTTATTGCGGGTTCCCTTACAGACGAGAAGATTGATCCGTTCGGACATAACATGGGCAAGTATATCTTCATCGTGCTTCGATATGCTTGTGTCTTGGTTATGTGTTTGCAATTCATCATATCAATGGGTAATCGACCACAAGGGTAAGTGGCTAAAGCCGATGAGCATACGACTTATTCACTAACATGTAACAGAGCTAAAAAGCTATATCTCTCTGGAATTATTGTCTACTGCATAATCATGGTGTATACAGCCTTTTGTACCATTTATCTGGTGGTACTCGAGCTGATAGCGCGATCTGGAGGTCACTCGAAACTAGAAGTGACTAATGGCCTCTTCATAAACATCGTGGTCTCGCTGCTCTCGACCGTTGGTCTTTACTTCTACACGTCATTCCTCTACCTGGACCCCTGGCATATGTTCACCTCGTCTGCGCAGTACTTTGCACTGTTGCCCAGTTATATCTGCACCTTACAAGTCTACGCTTTTTGTAACACCCATGATGTGACCTGGGGTACAAAGGGAGACAATGTGGTCAATACAGATCTGGGAGCAGCCCGTATCATTAACGGTTCCCTTGTCGAGTTAGAAATGCCCTCCGAGCAACTGGATATCGACAGCGGATATGACGCGGCACTGCGCAACCTCCGTGATCGCCTCGAGGTACCAGAGCCTCCCCCGTCGGAAAACCAGATGCAGGAAGACTACTACCGTGCTGTGCGTACGTACATGGTGTCCACCTGGATGATTGCCAACCTTGTCCTGGCCATGGCTGTGTCGGAAGTCTATGGTGTTGATTCTGGCGGGACGAACGTCTACTTAGCCATCATTCTGTGGTCGGTGGCTGGTCTGGCCGTTGTTCGTGCTGTCGGATCTACCACATACGCTATTTTATACCTTGTGCAGAAGCTCGTCGAGGGCAAGGCCAAGTTCGAAGCGGGTAATTTCACCAACGCTGCTGCCGCTTCCAGTGTCAATGGTAGCGCTCTTGGGAGTAACAGCACGTCGCATCGATACGGCGGTGGTGCCACGTTTAAAGATCGGTTTAATGAAGCTGGATGGACTGTCAAACGGTCAGTGGGTAAGTTGATGTTTTGGCGCAAATAGATAAAAAGCCACTCCCCCCTTACGGTCTGGGTTGAGTGTGTGGTCATTATTGGGATTTTCTTTTTATTTGGTCTGGAGTTTTTATTACTTTCTTTTGTTTCATTCTGATGGGAAATATTTGTCATGAGTCATTGGTTTTGATGGATGTACTTATTCATGATTGGATGGATTTAATGATATGATAGGATGTAAATGATTTCATTGAACTCTTTATACTCATTCATGCTTTATTGCTGGTCAAGATAATTCAGATGTCTGGATCAAAGTCTTGACTCTTTAACATCGCCATCTCTCAAAAGAAGGTCCGAGATAACCTTCGCAGCAGCCAACGTCTCCTCATCCCGGAAATGCTTCCCTGCCAGCTGCAACCCAATCGGTGCGCCGACGTACCGTTCAGGCTTGTACTTCTTCCACTCGCGCGCGTCTACCTCATTGCGCGGCGTATATTCCTCTGCGAGATCCACGGCCGGATCCTGGAATAATCCACTCGGGAAGACAGCAGAGGGCAGGTCGAGGATATTCCAGATAGCCGTGTAATTCCAGTAGTGAGATTCGCCCATGACGGCCGCTGTGCCGTTGAAAGCCGGGCTGAGAATAAAGTCCACGCCACGGGATTTCATGAGCTCGTGATGTTCAGCGCGGTAGACTTCGCGCTTTGTGACGAGGTCCCACGTTTCGGCTACTGAGAGGGAGGTGGGACGGCCTTGGTTGAAGATCCATTCTGTGAGAGGGAGGATGGGTTCGCCGGATTGGTTGATTAGTTTGCGTTGGCTGAGGGCTGCGTCTGGGAAGTAGAGGGCGGACTTTGCGGGTTGTTAGATTATTTGGTACTATATGGATATGAGGTTGTCCGGGGCGGCTTACGATGATTTCCCATCCGTGCTCATGTTTGTAGGGTTCCCAGTCAACAAGTTTGATCCCGGCTGCCTCGAGTCTCTGTTTGGCGTGTTTCAGGCCTCTGGTAATAGGTGGGTGAGGACGGACATAACTATGCACTATCAATACTCGTATCTGAACCATTAAGTACCAGGTCAACATACCCATCATCCCACATTATGGCCACCGTCATGTCCTTGGTAGGCTTAACGCTTCTCCAAGGAACAGGGGGCAACGATGCCTCCATTTCCCATGGCTCTTGGTCAATCACTGCCCGTTGGAAAAGATCTAGGTCTTCGATGCTCTGGCTAGCCAGCGGCCCTACCGTGCCAAGGATCGACTCGTTTCCAGGCTCAGGGATTTTCAGACCAGAAACAGGGTTTCGCATAGCAGTTGGACGGAATCCATAAGCATTGCAGAAAGCAGCAGGCTGCAAGATAAGAGTATTGTCAGATTCCTAGAGGCTCAGATTCTATTTGGGCCTTTTCTTACCGATCTGATGCTACCTCCGATATCAGTTCCGATACCGAGGGGGGCTGCTTTGAATCCCATGGCCGCTCCTTCGCCTCCTGACGAGCCTCCGGGTGTGAGGTCCCGGTTATATGGGTTCACCGTGGCGCCGGTAATGTTGTTGTTGCAACATAGATGCTTTTCGCGGTTAGAAGTGATTGGCTTATGGATGAGCGGAAACATACCATGAGCGACTGGGGCTGGTTTGTTCGGACATGGAAGATAGCACCGGCTTCCGCTAGGTATTTGAGAAGCAATGAATCTTCAGGTGCTATATCATCCACCCTCCATGTCTGTCAGTAGGTTTGTTTGAGCTGTATATCATGAAACCTACCATGCAACGTATCCTGCATTACAAGTCAAGCCTTTCATTCCAATGTGCTCCTTAACACTGATGGGAACACCATGCTAAATATTATCAGCCTTGCGCAACTGTGTGTCATCTTATCAGACTTACCAGCGGTCCGACCAGCTTTCCCGTCCGCTTGTAGTGTCTATCCAATTCCTTGGCTCGTGCAATAGCTTTGTCGGCCAAGAATTCAGTTGCAAAGTTGAGCTAAATAGACCTTGGTTAGTGAAATCCACAGAGAACTCATGAGAAAATTACCAACTGGTGTCCCAAAACGGCTCTTTTCAAAAATGCAATTACCACCTCCTCTGCGCTCAGCCTGCCTACTCCCATCTCTGTCACAAGGGCTGTGGCGGACTTTGCCGTGATGTCGAGCTCCCGTTCAGTCAAAAGTCCGCTTTTGCGGGGAAAATCCTCCACGTTCTTTTGTGTTGCAGGAGGCAGGCTGTCTATTGGGGCAAGCCATTGCTTGGGTATAGACTTTTCGAGGGTGTCTCTGCCTCTTTTGGCCTGCAACTCCCAATTTAGAGACATGTTGTGTAGAGATTGATGGTCAATGGTCAATGTTATCAAATGAAGTCGAAATGTGAGGAGAAGCAGAGCTGGCACATGGGTGTTGGAGTTAGTTATGTATGTTCCAACGGCCACGTCCGATTACTCTTCCCACTTGCAGGGATAGATAGTACTAAACTGTTATACACCGTTAGTTTATGCATTCAAAACCTGGCAGGCTGAGAGCCCTGCTGACATAAGAAAAGGGCAAAAGGTGTATGCCTACCCTACGCACGTTAATGACCCCGCATCTTCATATTTGATATTGACATACAGCAATACGTTGCTGTCCGTTCCTGAGCAATTTGTATAGGCGGAGGATGCCTGTTCTGCGGGGGCAGGAGGAGTAATCGGAGACCGTATCAAAGGGCGTATCAGCTATCATTGTTGGATTGGGTAAGCGGAAATAGCAGATTCAAAGACTCTGGATGGACTTGGAGATGCCAAGGTAGTATTGGTTACTGCCACCGAAATTGCGATAAGACACTGACCGTTGCTGTTGAGATGAAGATCATCCTTGAGCGGAAAGATTCCGTTGCGGTGTTGATCGTGCGGGGAAGATAGACATTGATACTAAATTGATACGTGGTTGGATTCCGAAGGCAACCCAGATGAATGGGGAAGATGATGGTAGTGATAAAAAGAATAAACAGACAACACAGTCTACAAGAAGAAAAGGGAATGAATGCACTCGGTAGATGCAAAAATTATACAAAAGAAAAGCAAAAAAGAATCTCTCCCTCGGGGAATCGAACCCCGGTCTCCCGCGCTTATCAGGTTAATGACAAGCGGAAATCATAACCACTAGACCAAGGAAGATTCCAACTGGGTTATCCCAGTTGCTTGGCTGACAATTTTTCATCAATTGTAATCCATTTGCTAAGCTAGTGTGCCTAGCATTACTGGGAATATCTTTCGTCACTTGCCTTCAAATCATCCACAACACTTCAAATCCTCACACGACGACCCACAAGCTACCTTGCACTTCTCCAACGACCTCTGTTGCAGATTCTGCACTTCAAAACTTGCTTGCTCTTTCGTGATACTGCTTAAACCCATGGCAGGCTCAATCTCTGGCTGAAGAGTAATCGAATGGATCCCGTACGCATGGAAACACTCGTTGATGGTTCTGGCCAAGATCAAGAACTCGGACATGGAGTGTTCTGCAATCGTCACATGGACAGATGCCAGAATCTTTTGTTGATTGAGACTCCAGATGTGCAGCTCGTGAATGGATAAGACACCGGGAATCTACTCTATTAGCCCAATTTCAGCATATGAGGAAACAGGGAATACTGCCTACCTTTTCCAGATCGTGCTTGACATTATCTACATCGAGTCCTTTTGGTGCACTTTCCAGCAAGATGGTACCGGCACTTCGCACTGTTCATGTGTTAGCATGCCATACTCTACATGCACAACATGAAAGGGGCAATACCAAGTGGGAAAGACGTCAACATGATCATCATTCCTATACCCATGCTAGTTCCTGGGTCAGCGTACCACCGTCCCTCAAAGTCAGCCAGCCACATGACCAATGCTGCGGCCATGACCCCGATATTGTTGGCTGCATCACCAAGAACATGGAGAAGAACACCCATCGTTCCCAGGTCGTGACCATTGGGGGAAGGTTGGGCTGTCTGGTGTGAATGCCTATGATCAAGGTGCTGCACTTGATATCAGCACTACCATGAGCTGTATGTAATCTGAGTATCTACCGACCTTTGGATCTTTTTCAATTTCACTATCAACTGGCGAAACAGGAATATCCCCAGCTGCGTGAGACCCATGGCTATGACCACCGTGGCCGTGATTATGATGGTGCTCTGCAATAAGCTGATCAGCATTCCTGACTGATACCTAGTTTCGGAAGACACACCATGAAGAAAGAGGATACTGATCACATTCAGGCACAAGCCAATACACCCCATGATGAACACAAGCTTGGGATTATCGACATCTAAAAGAATCAGCAAGTAACACCAGAATATGAATCGAGACACTCACGCTGCAACGTAATAAAACGCTCTATGGACTGCAGGAAAACGCTAATCCCCAGGGCGAGAAGAAGAGCACCATTGAAAAATGCACCCAGCAGCTGCGCTCGCTGCCATCCGAAAGTGAGTCGTTTAGGGGATCCCTCAGTTTCAGACATCTATGATCATGCTTAATAACCTTGGTTCATATCCCCCTTCAGCCATGTATGGAACTTACCTTGGCAGCAGCATAGGCGACGATAAATCCCACCAGATCATTCAACTGAACCATATGACATCAGCACAAATGGCACTTCCTGCTGATCACGTTAAGATATACACACATAATGAAACGCATCAGCCACCAAAGCTATCGAATGCGTGTAGAAGCCAACTACCGTCAAAGTCAGCCAACGAAGACCAATTCCAAAAACAAGCCAACATACCCGATATTTCCCCCAAAAAGAAACAAGTCGCAATCCCAATGACCGCCAACAGGCGTTGAGATCGTGATATCTGCATCTGCATCTTCATCGAAACACTCTTCACTTCGGCGAAATATAGTAGCCAACCATCAACATAGGAAACAATCGGTCTGTCAATCAGTCAATCAGAATCCGACACGAAACCCAGTCAATAAGAACGAGACATAAAAATAAAAATAAAAAAGTGTCAAAAAAAACCCCCTCAAAATAGGCACCCAGTTTTCTTTTTCTGCTCGGCGAGTTTCAGCATCAGTGGCTGCTGTGTGACCTCATTATTTGATTGGAATGCTACTTGACTCTGCGCGAGTATGCAAGGTGCCTCCCTGCTTGGTGAGAAGTATGTCGGTAAAATCCTGATTTGCTAATGACAACCAGTATTGTTTGTAGTTTGATTTGCTGCTCTACTTTTGTTACTTTGGGTGCTTTTCATGACGATGGTGATTGTCTTAGGGAGGACCGTAGACAAGGTAAGGGGCATGTGGAGGTGTGCAACCACGATACAATTGTCCCTGATCAGATGCAGGAAATGAGGAATCTGGATCTTGTCCAATGGGCATACTTTGATTCGTAAGGCTTTTCATTCTTGTTTACGTAGTTTGAAGGGAGTTTTGCCAGTCAATGGCTGTCAGTTAAACTATATACGTAGGTGGAATCATGATAATACTATAGAATTCAATTAAGCAGCAACTTCATCAACCAAACCATCCAGTTCTCTCTGCCAGTTCCGATGTTTCGAAACCTCCCAGATGAACTTTTCTGCGAATCCACTTGCATCCTTTTCAACCTTGGACACCCTGACTGCCTCTGACGCAGACACGCCTAGGGCAGTAACAACGCCATAGCTCTCCGCAACGCCCTTACCAGAAGCAACCTTGACCTGGTCGAGGGCAATCTGCTTCGCGATAAAAGGCACCGCCTCATTCAGCCCAGCAACGGGCTTGAGATGCGCAAATGACTCGGCAATCCAATGCTTGGCGATACCGTTCTTGCTAAGCGTAGCAATATGTTTACCGCCAGGGACGAAGGTCGCGTCAAAAAGGGTCGACCGCATACCCGGGAAGTGGTGGTCGGGAATGACAACCTCACCTGACTCGGCTGTAACGCCTTTCCGCTGTGAGCCGATGGTGAAAACGAAGGCGTTCTGCTTCTGCAGGGTCTGCTTCATGCCGTTGTAGGCGGCGTTGTCGAAGCCGTCGGCGAGGAGGATGGCGATGCGTCGGGTTGCGATGGTGGGTGTCTTGGGCTGGTACTCGAGTTGACTGAGGCCTTTGGCTTTGAGGCCTTTGTTTTCTTTAGCTGGCTTGGTGGGGACGGTCTTGCCGCCTACATTCTTTGCAACGGTCTGTGCTAGGTTGAGGTCCACGACGGAAAGGCGGTCCGAGATACGCGAGTAGACGATGTTTTCGTCGCAGTGGTCTAGCTCGAATGAATAGGCCTTGGCTACGTGGGCCTTCTCGATGTCAGAGAGGGAATTGTAAAAAAGCTGGGCCTGGTTGAAGTGCTCCTTGAACTTGGACGACAGGTCGCGAGATTTGACGGCCTGGTGTTTCTCAGGGTATGAGGTAAATCCGCCCTCGGCCTGAGTAGCTGGGGGGTTCGCCTCAAATCGGTTGGGCCAGTAGTTGACCTTGCCCTTGGTGATGCGGTGTCTCATTGCGCCGTCGCGATTCACCAGGCTCATATACGGGCATACGGGCCGGTTAATTGGCAATTCCTCCCAGTTGGGACCAAGACGCGAGATCTGCGTGTCAAAGTAAGAAAAGTTTCGGCCCTGGAGGAGAGGATCGTTTGAAAAGTCGATGCCAGGCACGACGTGGCTGGTGCAGAAGGCCACCTGCTCTGTCTGTGGGAAGAACTCATCCACATTACGGTTGAGCTCCAGCTCACCAATGTATCGGATGGGCACCAGCTCCTCTGGCCAGACCTTGGTTGCGTCAAGGATGTCAAATTCAAAGTCATCCTGCTTCTCTTCGGGGATCAACTGCAAGCCAAACTTCCATTTCGGAAACTGGCCGGCATCAATGGCGTCCATCAGATCCTTGCGGTGGAAATCAGGGTCCTGACCGCCAATCTTCAAAGCTTCATCCCAAACCAAAGAGTGCACACCTAGCTCAGGAGTGAAGATGAACTTGACAAAATGCCGCTTGCCCTGCACATTCACCAAGCTATATGTGTTAACACCAAATCCCTGCATCATCCGATACGATCGAGGAATAGCACGATCAGACATGATCTAAACAAGTCAGCAACCCCATTCAACACAAACAACTAAGAGTAAAAACCAACCCATTGGAGCATATGCGTCGCCTCCGAATGAAGATACGCAAAATCCCAGAAATTATTGTGCGCAGTTTGACCCTGCGGAACCTCATTATGCGGCTCCGGCTTCACTGAATGAACCACATCCGGAAACTTGATCGCATCCTGGATAAAAAAGACGGGGATGTTGTTGCCCACAATATCCCAGTTCCCTTCAGAGGTGTACATTTTGACTGCAAATCCACGGACATCTCGGACAGTGTCTGCGCTGCCCTTGCTCCCCTGCACCGTCGAGAAACGCAGAAACACCGGCGTCTCACGCGAAGTATCATTCAAGACACCAGCGCTGGTGACATCCCCGGCGCTCTCAAACAGCCTGAACGTTCCAAACGCACCGGTTCCACGGGCGTGGACGACTCGCTCGGGAATACGTTCATGGTCAAATCGCATAATCTATGCAAAATCAGCCAGCAGTTCCAATTCATCTGGGAAATGCTGACACATACCTTTTCCCTCGCTATCTGGTCTTCCAGTAAACTCGGCCCATTGTGAGATCCATCCACGAAGCGAAGCCAGTGATCCGGATCAGATATCTTGATCCCATAATCCGTAGTCTGGTGGTCACCTTTCTGGACCTCGACCGTCTCCTTCTCCAGGTCAGCCACTTTGCTGTCTGCCGTTGTAGCCATTGTCGCAGTAGAAAAAAAAAATAATATTTAAATTATCGTGATCATAAAAGTCGTATATTCCGTCAAGGAAAAGCTGCCAGTCCAACATGAGACCCAATTCCAATATATACCAGGCATCTTCACCCCATTTCTAAGCAGCAATTGACTCTTTTACGTCCCCATGATGTAAACCGGCCATTCTGGCTGAATGCAGACAGTCACATCTTCAGTAATCCAGCAAGACAGAAAAACTTGTGGGGAAGATCGACCGACCATGGTTTGCGAGACAGGCTTGACGGAGAATCTTGATTAGCAAACACCCTGTGTAACGCACCTACCCAAGCTCGTTAATCCGGCAATCGGGATTTGGGGAAGTCAAAAACTGGATTGGGGATTATTAAGGTGGGAATGATGATGAATGTTGATGGCATGGTTGGTGATCAAAGTGGGTGGGTGTGGGTGTTGCAGGTGATGTCATAGAGACCATCAGCCTCAGCAGCAGGATTTGGGGTTTGGACAAATGAAGTCGACGATATTCATCGACGTGGTTTACTGAATTGCTACACAGCGTGTATGTGATGCAGATTCATAATCATCGAATGGAGCTATACATGTAAATGACTAGTCTAACACAAGTCTCTATAATCTACCCATGGGGTATATACACATCAACAGCTGAATCAAGGTATAAAACACGCAAAAAGTCTAGACCAACACGTTATTGATAAGCTTCACGAGCATCTTTACTCTCAGTGGCAGCATTGTCCACACTCGCTTCCAAACCCCGCTCCACCCACTCTTTACTGCCCATCTCGGACAACCGGGACAGGGCACGCGCAAAGGCGAATCGCTCCTCGTCTCCGCTGAAGATGGAGGTCGATTTCAGGGCTTGCATGGAGAGACCCAGGTCGTCCATCATCATGCGCATCGCATCTGAAAGGTCGGAACCGTCGCTGACGGAGTCTTTCACTTCATTCTCCGACATGAAAAGGTTGGACAGGGGGACTGCGGTGGTGAGAACCAATTTGGCCTGTGGAAGTCAGTGCAAATCCAACGAAATCGATACAGCAGTACTTACTCTGCCCTCATAAACAGCATCGATAAATGTAATGAATCTCCTCGCCAAATCCCGCTCGCTCAAAGTCATTCCCGGAACATCGGTGACGATAAAGGCATCGTAATTACGGACCAACTCCAGATAATCGGCCGCTCCTGTCGCTCTTCCGATCAACTGCTGGAAGCTGAATTGCGCGGCTCTACCGCTGGCAAGGGGCACTTCGATCTTTCGCCCCCATACCTCCTGCGTCGCGGGGTGCGGGGGATCATTGATCGGGTCGCCCAGGTACTCGAACCATTTCTGCACATGTTGCTCTGCATCGGCGCCCAGCGGGTGGTGGTAGACGCCAGACGGGGGGCGGGGGATTTTACGGTAATCCGTGGGCGAGTTCAAGTTGATCACATCCAAGGCGGTTTGCAGGAGTTTGATACAGGGGATGAACGACTCGCGCTGGATACCGTTCTTGTAAAGATCGTTGGGGTGTCTGTTTGATGTCGTGACGAGTACAACACCGTGGGACATGAGGAGTTCGAGAAGTCTATACAGTCAGTCTTTCTATCTCATCCGGAAACAGAAAAAGAATGCCAAGTACGTACCTCCTCAAAATCATCGCATCAGCAACATCCGTACACTGAAACTCATCGAAACACAACACACTCGATCCCTCGGCAATATCCGCGGCCACCAACGGCAGCGCATCAAAATCACTCCCATACTTCATTTTGACCACATGCAGTCGCTTATGCACATCCTGCATGAAATTGTGAAAATGAATCCTCAACTTGGCCTGGATATTCGCCGGCAACGTCTCATAAAACAGATCCATCAGCATGGTCTTCCCGCATCCCACATCCCCATACATGTACAAGCCCTTGGGGAGGTCTTCGGATATGGTATTCTCGTTGGACTTGTTTCCGCGCCCGAATAAGGAGCCGAAGAAGGATGTTTTGGGGTTCGGATCGAGCGACTCGACGGTAGGGTGGATGACCTTGGGTGGGTTATAGCCTTTCAACACTTCGTATAGACGTTGAAGTTGTTGGATGATTTCTGCCGTTCAAATCCAGTCAGTTCCCTTTTCCCCAACTCAACCATAACCACCAAAAAAAAAAAAAAAAAAAAAAAAGACATACGCCTCTGATACGGATCATCCCGTAACCTCCCCTGTCCAACTCTCGCATCATACTCCATCAACGGCCCACCAGCACCACTCTGCGCCTCCGTCGCAAACCCTCGCACACTCTCCTTCAACTTCAACGCATTACCCCTCTGCTGAACCACTACCCCGGGAACCTGTCGACGCTCATACCCCCCAGCCTGATGCACGCCCCTCCGACATTCCCTAATATGCGATGGTGACCTAGTTGCGGCCCGCGGGGTAGCCGTACTCGTAGTGGCGAGGGTTGTTGATGATCGCGGAACCGAAACTGCCCTTGATTTCAGCGCGGTGGGCAGATACTCCGCGCAGATCTTTGCGGATGGTCGGCTCATTTGTATAGTTCTATCTGTGACTGTCTTTTATCTTATTTGAAAAGAAATGTAATTTGTCGTGATGCGATGCGATGGATGATCCGTATGCGTAGCCGAGGTTTGGCAAAGAGCGGGCGGAGATAGCAGAATATGTAGGAAAATAAACAAGATTGAAAATTCCAAGTGGAAAACAGCGCTCTGGAGATGCACAATAAAAAGGCGTAAAGAGTGAAAAAAGTGAAATGCAAATTCCTCCAAACTCAGTCAGTCTCCCAGAAACCGGTCGACTCCAAGATCTTCAAGTTTCAACCCTTTCGGATCGGTTTGGAGCCTTTGAGGCGAAAAAGAACCGCACGGGATCCGAAGACCGAGGTCATGTGACTTGAACCGGCAATCGAGGCGGATTTACTCTTTCCAGCAGGATATAAATATACAGCACGGCAATAGACTCGAAGCAGACTCATTTAACTGTTGATTATAGTCTTATGTATTCTATAGTTCCAAAACTCAAAGCGTAAGTGCAGGTAGGTAATGAAGCCTACAACGTGTATATATGCAATGGAAAAAGACATATGTACATACATGAGATGGAATTTGCGCCAGTTGGGTATGAAAAAGCAACAATCGCATATTGCCCCCAAGGAAATAGAAAATGCACCAGGTGAACACGAAATAACAGCCACAGGAAAAAACAACAAGGAAATACATGACAACATAAACATTTCGGACATCTCATTCTTATCATCCAACCTCATGAACCAATCGAAAGCGCTCAAAAGGCATTATGATGATCCAAAGCATAAAAGATCAACCGTTAACACCGAATACACCGTGTCAATCGTACAAAATGGCAAAATATGGCGCCGAGTAGGTGAATAAAAGAGCAAATCTATCGCAAGGTCGACAATAATGACGTATCTTATGCAAGGCTCACGTAGAGGGTCAGTTTGGAATTCCGTTGGATGGCGGTGTCGAGATCACTGTCGCTAAGAAGGTCGACCAATGTGCCCGAGGGCTCGTCCTTGTATTGCACCACGATATCCTCGTTCACCTTCAAACGCTCCATGAGCTTTTCCTTCAGCTGGTGGACGCTGATGTCATTCGGTATCCGGATGGCAATTAGGTCATCCTGGAAGAACACCTTGACTTTGATGGCACTGCTGCTGGAAGTGGTCGACACCTGTGTCAGAGAGCTTGGCTGACGGTTCATCGATGGTGGGCTGCTCAGAGAAGGCTGCGCCCGCTGGTGCGAAGCTCGGTCTGCTTGGGCGTTCATTTGAGCTTGAGAGGACTGGCGGGATGCGGTACGGGATGCACTGCGGGATGCCTCGTGGCCTGAGGAGTGGTGAGACCCTGCCGAGTATCGAGCGTCTTCTCCAAACGCATTGGGGTCGATTTCAAAGTCTCCGGGACGCGGCGCAAAGAGCTGACGGACCAGCTGGCAGCGAGCGATGTGCGGAGACATGGCCAAGAGCTTCTTGATATACTCGTCGAGGTTTTGGCGTCGTCCGTTGGAGATGGCATCGGTGACATGAGTCACTGGGCCGGGCATAAAAGGCAACGTGCGCGGCTTCCCTCGGTTACCAGCCTCATCCTCGAACTGGGTCAGCAGAGCGATCTGGAAGTCGTAAAAGTCATGGTAGTATCGGGACAGCTCCCAGCAGCGACCATCTTCCATCTTGGCCTCAATGATGTACCAGTATTTGTCGTTGTCGAAGCAGTATCGGGGGATCGACGCAGCCACTGGAGCCAAAAGGGACTGGTAGCTCGTGGGCGGCGGGGGCTGTGATGAATGCTGCGAGATGGCTCCTTTGCTGGTATTGCGGTGATGATAGCCCTGAGTCATCAGCAATGTCCGCCGCAGAGAGGCTGACACGTTACTCACAAAAGTGTTACCATTCTGGCTCGAATGGCTTGTACTTGGAGGAGCCATGGACATCTTTTCAGCGACCGACGGGGCGGAGCTCATACTGCTTCCACCAGCCGAGTCAATCTTGCCCAGTGTGATACTGCTGTTTTTGTATTCGGCCGTCATCTTCTTCCATTCCTCGACCTTGGGCACACCGGCCCTTCTCACAGCTTCCAATGGGTCGGTCACGGCCTGACCGGTCTGCATGTCCCTCAACTCGATAAACGACACGGGGATGAGGCCCGGGCCGCCGAGACGACCGATGGGTTTGGCGACGAACCATTCGGGATTGGATTGGGCGATGACGATGATCGCCTCGCCGGCTTTGGCGGCGAGCTCATCAGGGCGCTCAGCCTGAAAATCGTACTGGACGATACCGTAAACCATGGCACCGTTACCACCTTTGCCCAATGTTGACATTCTCAGGATGGAGGGGTATCTGGGCGCGACGTTGGATTCCGGGGGAGGTGAAAAGGCTAGCGGAGCAGCGCGATCTGAGAAACCCGAGTCGTGATGCTCTTTCTTATGCAGCTCGACGGAGCCGCCACTGTCTCGCTCGTTTTTGCCGATGACCTCGAAAAAAGAAACGGGCACCAGCCCCCTGGCACTAGGGATGAGGGGATTACACGCTTCGTACCAATCGAGGTCGTCCTCCCTGCTGATGACGTGAAAGAAGTCGCCCTTGCTGAAGGCCAATTCCTGCGTGTTTCCGAACTCGGGTTGGTAGTCGTAAAGAGCTTTGATGACCTGGTTGGAACAGACGTGTTAATATTAAAAGAGAAAAAAAAGACCCGAAATTGTGGTCGGCCACGATGCCAAGAAAGGCCGGGCGGGGGAAATTGCGAGGCATAAAAGCGAGACCAAAAAAACTGACCTTTTTCGGGGGGAGAATGGCAATGGCGGACTTGGGAGTGATGGAAATATGGTGGTGGTGATGTTTGGGATCTTTCTCTCCTTTGAGAGAACGCCTGATGGCCTGGAAAGGAAAGTTTGAGTTGGTTAATTTAATTTAGAATAATTAAGATCTAATAAAAAATTGTGGTGTTGATGATTTGGGTGTTGGGGCAGCACAAGCGACAATCGAGATAAACGAGGGGCGGGGGGGAAGAAGGGAAAGGAGGTGAAACGAGGGGCGAAGGAGAACAACATACCTTCATTCTTCAGGTAAACTAGTAGAGTATGGGAGATGGTGGGGGAGGTCGGGTTATTAAAGAAATGGATGGATCGAACAAGAAAGAAATGATATGTCGAGGTCGAGGTTGGATGGAGACGATGAAGGAATGATAGATCGATACTGCGATTGATTAGTGGGAGGAAGAAGAGAGGAAGAAGAGAAGAACAGAAGAAAAGAAGAACAGGATCAAAAGATGTTCTTTTCTTTTTCCATCTTTACTCACTCTTTTTTTTTTTTTTTTTGCTCTAATAATAAAATAAGACGAGAATAATAAAAGAAGAAAATAATAATAATCAAATAACCAAGAGGTACAAGTCTGGATTGCGACGGTGGCCCGCTTTGATTTTGCCCCCTGACTGTGCAAAAAAGGGAACAATGCGTGACAGAAAGAGAACAGAAGACCGAAGAAGGGGAAGCGAAGGAGCTGAACCAGGGAGCGGCGTCCTTCTTTGCGTCTTCTTTTTTTCTCTTTTTTTTTCTGTTGCTGAGGCTATCCTTGGTTCTCTCAGGTAAGGTACACTCGTTGGTTCCAGACAGACAAAGTGAGTAAGTATTGGTGGCGGTGACGCCAGCCTTGGAGAAAGATGAGAAGGGAAAGAAAGTGGCAAGGCAAGACAAGGCCAGACACGATGAAGATGAAGATAGTTTGTCGCTCTGAGATGAGAGATGAGATGATGCAAAAGAAATCGCAAGTGGACCGTCGGTGCCTAACAGCCTGCCACTACTGCTCGGGATGGCCTCCCCGGCTGCAAGTCGAGGCATCTTGGGCATCAGATAGGATGGACTGAAAAGCATCCACTTCCAGAAATCACTCATCCGTTTTTTGGCTGTCATTGACAATGCTTGTGCAGTCTCCAATTTGCATCCTCGGTTCGTCTCTTCTCGCTTCCACCCTGCGCGTGGTGATCGTCGCTGCATCCACGGTTCGTCCCAAGTCTGTTTGTCAGAAGTCGGATACAGTCAGATAGAGACACGACAATGTATTCTGGATAGTCTAGATCGGTATCCCTGCATTTCAGCAAGGGACCGGCCACTGCATCCGCATCGCACAAGACATTCATGTACTGTCGATCTGGTTTTTCTTATCTTGTGGAAGTCGAGGTGCTTCCGTGCCTTGCTTGTCTATTTATACTAGGTATCCATGAGTTCTATTATAATACTCCCTACTATTTACATTATACAAGTAAACCTATAGATATACATAGATATAGATATAGATAGACTGTTCTATAAAGAATATAGATGCTATCAACCTCGTGTTCGGATATTTCATCGGAGGCACAAGAAGAACCCCCACATGCCGATAACCTCATCGTGATACATCGACTTTATATTCCTCATCTATCACTTGTACATCTGACAGCTCATTCAGATGAATACCTAGTATCCACTTCTCCTACAGAAGTGTACCATCCAGCTGGAACCAATAATGCACTACACACTATACGCCTATTAATACTGTATAGACAGTTACACCATACAGTAGTACAAGATAGACATGATATAAAGAACCTTCTAATCCTCCGTCACCAACTGCCAACAATTCTAGACCGTGAAAATCCCCAGATTGGCTCCTTTAATTTCCTATTCCAACCATGTGGGACGCACATGTTCGAGACTATTATTGCGGGTCTCTCCTCCGTCTTCCATCAAGCCATGAAAATGCATACAGAAATGTCATCTATCAATTAATATTAAAACATCATGCATAATACTCCGTCCGTCGAATATGATACATTCCCTGTCATTCGGAATTGCCCCTCATTATGTATTGTGTGTAGAATAATGTAGACAGTTCCACTCCACTTACGTCAGTTATCGAGATCCATTTCAGCCATGTTTCTCCCAACTTCTGCTCATGTCTGCATCGCCACGCCCACGGCTCCATTCTTGCTCCCCTTTTTACCCTTTCCCTCGATCCAATCATCCCCTCCTTCGTGTTATTTTATTCCTCTCCAACTTGTCATGCAACCTGTCAGACCGTTGATTTTGTCCGGTGGGGGCGGGTGGACTGCCGGTGGGGCTGTTGCTTTCTCACGGGCTTACAAAGACTTACGAAGACCATCGACAAGTCCAAGACAATTGAAATTACTCTGTAGAACTGGAACTTTTTTTTATTGCCAAGATAACTATTAGTTAGATGCCACCCGTCCAGCCACTGACGAATTGAAAACACTCCCGACGCCACTGACACAAATTGGGTATATGGTTCAAGCCATACTCAACTGTACGCATCCCATGCAGAAATAAATGTAGAAGAGAAGCGAATAAACGAAGAGAAAGAAAGGGGGGGATGCTGAAGAATGCTGGAGATGGATGAAATGGAAAAAATATGAATCGATCAAGTGAAATGTACATTTCACACCGGTCAGTAGGTAGTAGGTGAAATAAATGCCAGGCGAATGGAAGAATGCAGAACTTATATCTGTCCCTTGATGTCGACTACCCGATGAGCTTCGGATTTGGCCATCTCAAACAGTTGTCCTGCCCGGCCTCCCGTAAGCAGCTTCACTGCCCCATCTTTCTCCTGGAGGAGTTCCTCCGAGGTATGGTCGAGAATAAAGCGCGCACTCTGCTCATCGGACTCGAATCCAAGTTCTTCAGTAATGAAACGAATCTTTACATCCGGTTTGTACCTGTCTTCTGCATTAGCCAAGTCCGCAAAGACAGAATAGGAGTACTCACGCTTTACAAATAGCTGCCAGTGCGGAAAGTCGCTCCCGGTCGACAAACATGTCCATCAGGTAAGCCCCCATGTTCGGGGTGTCAAGGTACAACTGGAAGAACCGGTGATAGTTTCCAAGAGCAAGGGCTGAACGAACATCCAAGGCATGTTTAACAGCAAGGTCTCGCTTGTCTGCTGCTGTTAGATCCGCCAGCGCATCGTTCATGGCCGTCCAGTTCCGAGTGTGAATGAAATAGAGAATACGATACGCCTTAAATTCGGTAGGGTGTCCGCCAAGTTGCTGGCTATACAACGCTCGCAGCTGAGTCTGGCACTGATTATACTCACCAAGATCCCCTTTCTCCAAGGCAATACGGGCATGAATCTCATAAACGCTGACGGTGAAGTCGTTCCTGATATGCTGAACCGTCAAATCTTGACGCAACGACTTGAACTGATCGCAAATATAGCCATAGTTGTTGTCCCTCTTCCACTTTTTCTTCAACAGATCCAAGGTCTTGTGCAAGACTGGAAGAGGTCGAACAGTGTCAGGATTTGGTGCCGAGGTCAAGCGGAAGTAATTCTTCTCCAAGTCCTGGCATCTTCCAACAACAGGGCCTTGGGCACCCGAGACAGGCGAGTCACCCCGTGGTGACGACGGCGACGACCTATACCCCCCACCAGGTCCTTCAAACCGTTTCCTCCGCATTTCCAGATTAGCTTTTGACTTACTTGGGTTTTTGTGATCTATCCGCTGTCGTTTGTCTGTTGAAGAATAAGTCACACGTTCTTCAAAGGTATTTTGTTGGTTAGTCTGTCTCCATGGCGGAGAGCCGTTCGTGTCCGCATGCTTGTACTCAGTTGATTTTCTTTTTCTTGATATATCCTCCGCCTTCTGAGAACCAAATGCACCTGGAACACCCCACGCTGATACATGGGGGTTGGCCAAAACTTTGTTTCGCTCATTTTGAATCACAACCTGTGGCAGAGGCAATGTCTCCCAGTCAATCTTGCCGAGTCTATCATTCTCTGCTGCTTCAGTAATAACCGTCTTCAACTTGACTTCCATCTCTTCCCTGCTGACTCCGGAAATCCGATTTTCTGGCGCAAAACTTCGCTGTACGTACAATCGAACAGATGGCGGCCATTCTAATCGTTTGCGTTGGTTGGCTTCTGCTTGGGAGGCGGATGTGGATGGAGCTGGAGCTGGAGATGAAGCTGTTGCAGAACTATGAGCAAAGCTACGACGTGCCTGTACTGGGATATACGCTGGGGTCGCTATCTTAATATTAGCATCGACCTTGGCAATATTTTTGAAGAGCGAAACTTACCATGTGCTGAGAAGTGAGAAGGAGCCGTCGCTGTGGCCGACGCCGTGACACGCCACGGTGGGATGCCTGAACTCATGTTTTTGAGGATGTCTAAGATAGAGGCAAAAAGGAAGAAAGGAAAAAAAGGGTTTGAAGAGACAATAAAACTACGGGTCGAGGAAGTGCGGTCAAAAAAACATTCCTACCACGAAGGCTGAGTAGGTTTCACAAAGGGGATGTGAGGGAAAAGGAGAAAGAAAGCGAATCAGTTGGTCGGACGCAGTTTAATACGGAAGAGACAAATCTGGATAAAAATCCGCCGGTATCAAGAGAAAGAGTAATCTGATGATGGTCCTGGACAAAGGGGATGGTGATAAACTTGGGGGAGTCGATGTTCGCTTATGCCCCCAGAGCGGAGAATTCACTTGGCGGTGATGGACGCTAAGGCGTGCCGTAGCGACTGCGTATGGCCTCTCTCTTACATCAGCGACGCAATGGAGGTAACGCAGATAGAGGCTCTTATCTCTCCCACCACCGACCAACGATTGATCCTCTTGCCAATTCAAATGGTGGAGAGATGCTGGTGGGCTAACTAGATGTTCTTCAAGTCTCTGGACCTAACTACTGCTCTCCGCCCCTCACTATTACCCGATGAGACTTTACTGTTTGTCCAGGATGCGGTGGGGTTGTACGAGGGGTGAGTAGCCAGTTGCTTTCTCTGCTGTTCTATTCAAATCGCAATCGACTCGCTTTGGTGTTGATCTATTCCATTCGTGTATATATTTTGGATCTAACCGTACTGACTGTCTTTGGACGGATAGTAAATACAAGATCCCAAACTATCAGAATGGCCATGCCTACCTCACATCCCACCGGGTTTGCTACATCGCCGCGGATGAATCGAGGAAATATTCGGTTGGAATTGACTTGAAAGAGATTGATCGAGCGGACTATCAGGTATAAGATATTCTGTTCCTGTGTCCCCGTTGCCGGCTAATCCATACAAGGCAAGGTTTCTCAGATCATCTCCAAAGGTCACGCTGTACCCAAAACCCCCCAAGAAAAATCTCAAGAAATCTCAAAGCGCAGCGGCTAGTCCATCGATACCACAAGCCTCAAATCTGCAGACGGGAAAGTCGTTGTCTTCTCTTCCCCAGTCGCTTGCGTCCCAGCAGAAATCGCCGTCCCCAAAGCCTGTAAACGCGACTTGGATCTGCCCTATATGCTCGTTTTCCAACCCCGTTCCTTCAAACTTCGACCCAGCCACGGCTACGGCATCAACTCATCTACCTCCTTGCTTAGCGTGCGGTATCAAACCTCCATTCACAACGGTTTTAAAGGCTGCCATAACGGCTGCAAGCAGTCACGAAACCACCTTACCGGACATCGCTCCTCATTTGGGTGTAGAAACTCCTCTTTCCGTCGGTGGAACTCAACCTCCACCGGCCCTGAAAGCTGGTACTTCAGTATCATGTCCTCGATGCACTTTCATGAATCACCCCTATCTCCATGAATGTGAAATATGTGGCGCCCCTTTGACTTCTATAGGCCCATTAGGAGCTCATAACGATGATCAGAACCGTTCAGAATCACCGGCTCCATTTTTTGGGCAAAGCAGTATAAAAAACACAGAGATAACGGAGAGCATCAAACTGTCGTTCCGCGGAGGCGGAGAGAAAACCTTCCATGAAAGGCTGAAGGACGCGTTGGTCCAAAGAAAATGGCTACTCTACGATGCCCCGCCCGTGCCCCAGCCATCGAGGTCTACGCCCTCACCAAGTCTAACAGCGGCTGTACCTACCGATGGCAACTTGGCTACACAGGCTCGATCCCCTGGTGCTGGAATTGCTGGTCTTGAGAGACGAGGACTTGAAGTCCGCAGGATTAATGAATTTGTCATTGGTAATGCTTTTGAGGATCTCGAGGCCCTGATGGCTTCCGCAAAGCAGATTGTTGCTCTTGCGGAGACGTTGGGTAGGGAGTCGGGCATGGCAAGCGATGAAAGCTCAGCAGAGGCCAGTGCTGTCCTTTCAGAATCTGCTGCTGCCTTGGGAATGTCGACGACAAAAGACATGCTCGGGTCTGGGGCAGAGAATCTGTATCTGTCTGAACTCTCTCGAAACCTGGCCGAGTACCTCACCGATGACCGAAAGGGAATCTTGCTGAGGGAAGGCGGTATCATGAGTCTCATTGACCTCTGGGCAATCTTTAACAGATCCCGAAATGGAGTTGAGCTTGTCAGTCCTTCAGACTTCCAGAAAGCAGCGGAGCTATGGGAGAAGCTAAAGCTGCCGGTCCGTCTGCGTCGGTTTAAGAGCGGCCTTCTTGTTGTTCAACGGTATGGCTGGAGTGATGAGAAGACCATTCGGCAGCTGCAAGATTGGATGGAGGAGCTTCGACAGGTTCAACCAAGCGAACCAGTTCCTTGGGACTGGCGCCTTTTCGGGCGTGCTGTGACTGCCCAAGAGGCAGCACAACGGTTCAAGTGGAGCGTAGGAGTCGCAGCAGAAGAACTGGAAATGGCTGAGGATAAAGGGGTCCTATGTAGAGAGGAGGGCATCGAAGGCCTAAGGTTCTGGAGCAACCATCTTACATCTAGTTTAGACTTGGGAGATGTGGGTGATCTGGGTGTCTCTGCCCTTGCTGTTTAATTGAGCCTTGTAGTATATTTATGAGTACCATCGCATGAGTATTATACAATGGAGCATCTGTAAATCCTTGTTAAATTCCATGGCTTTGTTGGATGAATGATGGCCTGAGGCTTCTCCGCATTCGGTAGTGTTCTCGGTCCGTAGCCGTTGCTGATGACGATGACCCCGCGATGACCTCCATTCAAGCTTCAGACAACGTCATCTTTGTCTTTACTTCCACTTCATCTCAGGGTGTACAAATTACGCTTTGCTCGTTAAATTTATCTTCAATTTTATCTCAGATGAACAGGCCGACTATTGGAGTTGCTGATAGCACGAGCGCACGAGCTCCGAGATAAGAGCTCCACGTCTTATCACCCCAAGCTGTCAATGCACTGATCGTCATCATCCACCCACCCAGCATCCATCCATCAGCAAAGAAGGGGCTTTCTCTCTTTTCATCATCTCTTGTCAAGTTTTATCATCGAAGGAGAACGTACTCATGCGTGCTGAAAAGAAAAGGACATCATGAGTTTCCCAAGTTTGACACCAAGTACAGGGGCTATACGTTGCTACAAGGCCTCATCAAAGAATAGCTATTCGGCCCTATATGCGATCCAAGAAAAACCATCAGCTCAAAAACGTGGCTTTCGGCAACATGCCCACTTGAAACATTGCAATAAAACCGACTCCGAACGACGACGAATAGACGCATACCAGCGCCTCTGCCAATCCAGAAATCGTCGAAAAGCAGCACATCATCATCCGCGAACGCATGTGCTCGACCATAATCACCATCCATGGTGGAATTGGGGATATGGATGGAGTCGGACCAACCAAAAATTTCCCGAACATCAACATGGACGAGATCCAAGAAAGGAGTTCTGGGAGACGGGGAAGACCAGTATGCAGAAAAGGATAGAGCAAATCAAGAAACAAGTCGACGCGGATCCTTACGCGGCTTTATTTGGGAGAAGGCTTGAACCTTTTAGCCTTTTTGATAAACATGATAATATATGGTCAAGCTTCTGTCGCTCTTTTCTGGGGAGCGAGAGAGAGACCAAAGCGAAGCCTAAGGATACAGTTGCGGATGTGAAGGCTACAAATGTATCACCCAGTTCAAAGGATTATGACGCACAACTCAAGAAACCTACACCCGTTCAAAAACCGATCGAGGCTTCCTCCAAAGGGACTATCGCTAATACAGACCTTGAGTTTGATCCGATAAGTGGTCGTATGATTCCGAAGTCAAAACACTTGGATGTGACAGACCGAAAAGCGCAAGATGAGAAAGGTACAATCAACCTATCGTCTGATAATTCCAAACCTGAGATTGAGAAACTTGGTTTCCTGTCTGTTAAAGATTCAAAGCTCGAATCCAATGACGTCAAAGACAAGCAGCCCACGTCGCCAGAGTCACCTTCACAGCAAATGGCACATAACAGATTGGTCAATGAATCGATTGGGGCCATTGGCGGTGGACAGATGGCTTCCGAGCTTCCTAAACGGGTTCAAACACCACCTGTCATCGAAGAGAATACCAAAGATGAACAGTTCCCAGCTACCACGACAAAATCTGCTAAAAACGCATTGTTGGGCTCGAAACAGCAATCGGATCTTCGGATGAAGCAAGAGAAAACAGAGGACTTGGATCTCTTGTCTGCCAGTGACATCCGTGCTTCCTACGATTCGAAAACGTTGGACCATGGCTCGGATGTACAAAAACAACAAAAACGAAAAGAGTTGGAAGATGTCTTTAAATCTGCCGACCCCGCGGGTTATATTGATGCTCAAAGTATTCGTGCAAAGTTTCAGTGTCACCATGGTCTGGAACCCCCGAGCGAGAAGGTTATTGATATTGAACCTTTGAATATAAGTAGCACAAATCAGTCACAATCACAACCCTTGGAAAGTCCAGAAACAAGCAGTCTGAACAAGAATATGGAATTTCCTTTGGACAGAGCGTCATCTCCGGCAATCTATCGCGTACTTGCATATGACCCTTCCACGTTGCAAGTAAGTAAAGCAGAGACAAGCTCGTCTCATACAACGGACGAAATTTTCCATCCAGCCGAGATTCTGCCTCGTCTGAACAATCCGGCCAAGTTCTTGCCTTACTTTGCTGAGATGCAAAACGACGGTTATGAAATTGTTTCAGGCGGTGGAGATATTCTTGTGTTCAGAAGAGATCGAAAGGATAATGTCGTTCTGAACGACGAAATAAAGTCTCCGACTACTGATCCATCTTCCCCAGAAGTGAAGGCCAATGGAGATGCCAGGACTGAGAGTGGCACACCTAGTTCAGCCTCACCTTCAATACCGAATAGCCCTACTAACACGACAGATTATCCTGCAGATAATGAATCTGGTATTCGCAAAACGGTTCGGAGAATGTTCCTCACAGGTGTCATGACTGCAGCAACATGCTACGCCATAGGTGTTGTGGTCGAGTACTTTCGCACAGGTGGTAAAGACGGACGTGGAATCGACGGGTTCACCGAATTTGAGTCTGAGAGACGGCGAAGAGAAGAAGAGGCCTAGAATGCTTATTCGCAACTTTTGGCACTGATGATTTCAATGATTTAACGAATTTGGAAACCCCTCTCATGTAATCAATATCATCTCAACTAATTGTACAGTATTTTTTTGGAATTGGTTTATTTTTCTCCTAACCTCAGCCCTGCGTATCCTAATTTAGGTATCTTTCCAACTCAGGCATTATCCTAGCTATTTCTGTCCAACTGTTTGCTTCACATATGATGCTGGCTTATACAAAAGCATCCACCAATTATCAAGGACCAAGAAATACCATATCACCAATATCTTTCCCAATATTAGCATCAGGCTCGCCATCATCCCATACCCAATCCCACCATGGCTGACGAGCATTTTTAAACCCACTGATGCGATCATCAGCGGAAGCGCGCATAGACTCGCGAGCCAAAAATCGCTCTTGGTCTTCCTTCCGCTTCATCTGTTCTTTCTTCTCCAGATCCTGTTCTTGCATTACCACATCGTCCTGGTCTCTCATTATCTTCAACAGACGCGCATTCTCCTGCTCCTCCGTCTCGGGCTCGCTTTCTTCGTGATACGGGTATCGATCAAAGATCTTCTGGAGAACACCGCATTTGGCCTCTCCGCTCATCAAGTAAAAGTTTAATGCTACCAAGGCTCTCACGGCAGCGCGGAAATCGGATTTCATCCACAGGTTATATTCCTTAGTGCCGAGGAGGCGGAACGTGCGAGGATCGGGATCACCGTCGACTGTGGAGAGCTTGATACGTTCGACTTCCTCGAGGACTCTCTCGATGTTCTGCTTGGTGTAGAATCTATCGTTACTTGACGGCGGGCCTCCTCCAGTGACCACCGAACTCGTGAATAGGTTGGCTTTGGAGGGAATGTGCCTGCCGCACCATAGATGGGAGGTCTTCTGGCCCGGGAAATAGACCCGGAAGATGTGCAATCGGGAGCCGTGCATGCCGAGGAGGAAGATCTCTTGGTCGGGAAATTTGTCGGCCGGGGGATGCAATATATGAATGTGGAAGAGAAATTGACATAGGATGAGCTTGAACTTTCCTTCCAGAGAGGACTGAAGTGATTCCTGAGATTTTGTCTGGTACGAGTCAGTCCAGTTAGAGGAAATAGACAGGCCTGTCTACAAGCGTACCGTCGAAACTGGAAGAACAGGGTCACAAGTCGCCGCTTCAGGACAAAAGTCGAGAGAAATAAAGCCAGCGGTATATGGTGCATCCTGGTACCGCTCACGATAGCCAGTCCAATATTCCATCTGACAGGACAGCAATCTAGGGCTAATTATCATAAGTCATCCGTCAGTATTACCATGGTCAAGGGAAATACATACCAAAGATGAAAATACGACTTGTCATCCACCGTCTGTCGTCGAACACGCATCATCCCAAGAATCTCATCAAGAAGAGCATAAATCACCTGTCCCTGTGCTCTGGTACTGTCCTTGAGCTTCTTCGCACTCACCTCACATTCCCCACCATCATACAAACCCTTCTTAAACTTGGGCACCTTCTGAAGCGTTTTAAACACTCCTCTATACCGGATATCAATCTGCGACCATCGATTCAGGTTCTTGTGGCGTACGTCTTCTTCTCCCGATCGAAAAATCCAGGCGTTTCGTTGGACGACGGCTGAGGTTGTCAGTTTCGAGGGACAATATAAGGATGGACCAACATACGTGACTTGTCTGCCTTTTTGAGGAATCGATATGGGATGAGGTCTTCGATTGGCTGGTTCAGATAGGCTTTTGCCGTGAGACCGTGGACGTGGATCTCATGATAGGTGGAGGATTTGGACTTTGATACAGATGCTGGATCTATACCAGGGTTGGTGTCCATTTTGATGGAATTTTGTGTTTTGGGGTGACGATTCTCCATGGCTAATGAGAATGATCTGGGTGAGAGGAATTTGGAAAGAGGAGAGGGGGAAAAAGAGGTGAAGGTGGAGAGAGCATATTCACTGGAGGGAGTTTGGATACAAGAAAGAATCAGAGTGAATGGCAGGTAAGAGATTGATCATCAATCCAAGTTCATTTCCAACATCAACAATCATCACAATCAAGCATCTCAGTCATTATCTCAACTCATTCAGTTTTGAGTATATATCCTCCTCTTACAACCTCGCCAAAGGTCCATCTGCACGCACAATTCCCAGACATGCTGGGGTGATATCTGAGATGGACTGACAGCCAGTCAACTGCATGCATCGCTTGAACTCGTTGTAAAGAATATCCAGCATCAATTTGACGCCTTCTTCGCCGTTATACTGCTGATATATTAGCATCAGGGGAGAGAGAAAGGAAAGAAAAACATACAGCCAAAGCCCAAAGCATCGGCCTTCCAACAAAGACACCATCCGCCCCAAGAGCCAGCGCTTTGAAAATGTCCTGGCCAGACCTCACTCCTCCATCCATAAACAGCTTGATCTTCCCCTTGGCTGCTTTGGCACATTCTGGCAACACATCAAGGGTGGCCGCTACACCATCCAACTGTCTCCCACCATGATTACTGACAATCACCCCCTCACAGCCATACTCGATAGCCAACTCCACATCCTCCGTGGTAAGAACCCCCTTAATCCAAATCTCCATGTTACTCACCTTCCTCAGCCACGGAATCTCGCGCGCCCACGAATGCGAATCCGACGTGAACGCCACAAACCCATCATCATGCGTCGTGGAGCGAACCTGTTCCGTCGACCGTTCCTGAATGGGGAATCCCAATCCCTCGGGCGTCCGGAAATCGTTACGCCACTCGTTATACCGCACTCCCAGCACGGGGCTGTCAGCCGTGAGCAGGATGGCTTTGCAGCCTGCCTCCTCGGCGCGGCGGATCATGCGCTCTTCCAGAACGCGGTCGTTCATGGTATACATCTGCATGGCGTGTGTTATTGGGCCCACCGCTCTTCCGGCGGAGGTGATATCCTCCGCGGAGTAGTTGGCAAACGAGGAGATGCCCATGGAGACATTCCTGGAAGCGCATGCTCGACTCGTGGCCAGTTCACCGTCCGGGTGCGCCATGGCCTGAAGACCAGCCGGGGAAACGCAAAGCGGGAAAGCGATTTCCGAGCCCCATAGGGTGGTTTTGGTGTTTACGCCCGAGACATCGCGGAGAACTCGAGGTCTAATTCGGTACTTGTCAAAGGCGGATGAGTTTTCGTTGACGGTGATTTGGTCTGTTGCGCCGGAGTTGTAGAATTCTGGTGTTTTACACAGTTAGTTTGGACATACATACAACTATAAAGATACCAGACAGATTGGCTTACCTCTGGCAGAAACAGAGAGTTTCTTGTCCGCTGCATTCTTCAAGTCTGCTATAGAAAGGATTGATTCTTTGGGGAGAGCCATATTGCAATGCGCTTGTCTATCAAGAGACGGTGAGTGAGGATGAGGGGGGAACGACTAAAGAGCATATCTTTTAAAGTCAGCCAAGACCCACGGTGACTAAGACAAGTCATATTTGTAGATGGAAGGGCGTGTATCTGCATTAATCACGACTGCATATGTAGTTGAATGATAAGATGCAGAATCAAAGTGTAGCAAATAACTACTTGTCGAATTCTACAGAACGCCAATCCAAGTGAGACGGTATATAATATGTATTACATAAATCAAATCAAATCATTTCTAGGTCTCCTATCTAATATCCCAAGGATTGAAAGAAGAACAAATATTCCTGATAAGACAAATTGAAGAAATAACAAAAATCAAAATGAGGGGAAATTCACACATCGGCTACATTCCCGCTTCACGTGACCTGTAGGGCGCAGCGACAAGAACACGTCGACTTGGACAATCCCTCTCCTCTTTCAACTTGAGCTGTGACAATCATCCAGAAGAAAAGAGAAGAATCAAAATGACCAGAACAGCAATTAGTACCAAGGGAGCCCCCACTCCTCCCCCATTTCTCTCTCAGGGCCTTGTCGTGGGTGATGTCGTCTACTGCTCGGGCCAGGTGGGCGTGAACCCCACGACGGGCAAGATGGTTGAGGGGACAGTTCAGGATCGAGCGGTATATCATATCCATCCAATGTCAAATGATTATAGATGAGGTGGATGCTAATCGATACATATAGAGGCAAGTCCTACTCAACCTCAACGCCGTCCTCGAAGCAGGCGGATCCAGTCTGCACGACGCGATCAAGGTCAACATTTTCCTGTCTGATATGGCGGACTTTCCTGCCGTGAATGAGGTTTATGATAAGTTTTTTGTGGATCCTAAGCCGGTATGTTCTCTAATTTGTTACTCTGTATTGTGAAACTGACGTTGTAGGTTCGAACATGTGTTGCCGTCAAGACTTTGCCGCTGGGGACGGATGTGGAGATTGAGTGTTCGGGGTTGAGGAAGAGGACGTCTCATTTGTAGGAATGTTAGCTGTAGTGTCTGTCAGTATCAATGTCATGTCAATATATGAAGAATGCATGGTAATGTCAGAATGTATGTCTGCCACATGATGGCATGGAATGTAGATAAGATATATATCGGAGCTGTCTGATCACCGATGATGCACTCAACGTCAACACCAAATATTATCAATTATTTGTTACTTGACAACTCTTGAACTGCTCACAACTTACTGTATATACTTTATTACATTGATAATGATATCACCTAGATATTTAGGTACTCTCCAGTTGTATACTGTATACTGTATACTTTATAGACAGAACGAAAACACGTGACGATACCTGTAACGACTAGCCAATTGAACCATGGAACAGAGTGGGGCTGACAGCCGCTCCGCCAGGAACAGGCTTAGCGTAATTTCCGAGAGTGGATTCGTTGGAACTTAATATCTGAAGATATTTTCTAATATTCCCCATTGATTTTATATGAGGAGTAGATAGACGATAGAGTAGTGTTATGAGTATGTATGATGGACATGGATGATATGTTGAGGTGATATCGATTACCTGGGTGTTGTACTGTATGTAATAATCATGCAAGATCCCGAAGACGAAAATAGATGCCAATAGAGGTTACACAGTGACAACAAAGAACAATCAGTACTAATTTAAGTGCTATAGACAGGGTGACTATATCAGCATTGAATATCTAATTCTACTCTAAGAGTTATTCCGTATATAAAGATAGAACAATGGACAACAAGTACTCCAGAATACTCCATGGATACGAGATGTAGTGGATAACTGATACACCGGACCAACGACCTTATCAAAGACAAGTCTCAAGATGTCGCAGATGTCTCAAAGCCGACAAGAATGCTGTATGACACTCCCTGCAACAAAAGGGAGATGGAAAGCAAGTGCCGAGATTGTTTCAGCCTTGACAGCATTCTTGCCCAAGTCATGATTTATGACACTGAGTCAGAATTTATGCTTGATAATAGATGCACGTGAAGTGTGGTTGTGCTAAGCCAGACTGAGCAACATCTCCTAACCACTCAATAGTGTCCGACTGATGGTGGCTCAGTGAGACATCTAGTCTATATAACCTTTTATCCAAACACCTAATATCCGTACTTGAACAATATTTTATATAATAATACTCTATTGTCGATAGTCGATATAGAATAGAGTCCATACTGAGTACATAAAATATTGTACTGCTATGCACACTATTGCCACGTCCAGGAACGCGCAGCACAAGTCTAGACCGTAAGTGGTCCGAACCCTGACAGCGAGCGAAAAAGCGGCTGGTGTGGAGAACGGCGGGAATTACGATGTGCGCAACAGTCTTGCAGATCAGCACGAGTGGGAGAGAAGAGGCGAGAAAGAGGGAGAAAAAGCAAGTATTTCGGTTGTGAGCGAACCCCCTGGAGGTTCTTATTCTTGGTTAATATAATAGTTAGATTAGATGAATTCACGTAGTATCATAGCATAGTACTATGACTCTAGTACTATGCACTCATAGTAGTAGGTACTACTACGACAGCATAGCACTCCGTAGTGTATATAGTAGACCTCGATTTTGAGATTGTCGATCAAATGATCCTTCCATTAGTGTCACTATTTCTATTTCACATCTACATACTATACAACTAGATAGTTGATCCTGTCTATCTTGATTCTCGATCAACTATGATCATTCTTGCACAGACTTCTTCCATTGAAATTTGAATCTTTATTCCTGATTATTAACTTTCCACCGTTGACCACTAGACCTCACCCTCGCTCGTACCTCCAATCATCTCCCTCCTTCCTAGTCTCTTTGGGCTTAGTGCTGCAGGGAAGATGGCTTAGTTTTGCGTCCAAAGCGGTTGCCAACATATACACTGTGTATTCTTACACGGACATTACAGCCTGGCATAGCCTGGACAGGCCAGCATCAGCAGGGCCAGTGCCAGGATAACGCCAGGTACATCTGTAGAGCATAGCCATGCATTGCGCCATCTTTTTCTTGATATTACTGCTTAAGCCTCAATATCTTACATCCTATTTATTCTGTATTATATGATTCTATGACTCTATTATTCCATACCTACCTACCTAGTACCCGGGTGTATTCTACAGTACAACAGCCTGATGACGATGTTAGATTATGTGTTTTGGCCACCGTATTTACTCGTACCAGAGTGGGGCCAGCCCCTGCCCCCCACCACCAGTGCGTGGGCGTATTGCCAATTACACCGTGCTAGTGGCTGGGCTAGTCCCCACTAGCCCGTATTATTACCGATGCGTACCAGCTCCCCTCGTTCTGCCCCTAACCCAACCAGCCTAACACCATTTCATCTCCGCCCGCTCCTTAGTCTCTCTCTCTCTTCCTCCAGTCGCTCTCTCTCGCTCGCTCTGCCTTTTTCTCCTTCTTTTCTCTTTTCCTTCTTCTTTTTTGACTCTCTTTGATATCGTCTTTTTATTCTCTCTCTCTCCTTTCTTTGTATGCTTCATCGTCGGTGCTGTCGTTGACGTAGCCTCCCCAGCCTCTCTCTACGTCAACGGCCCGTTGGGACTTGACAATTCACCTTCCCCTTGCATCCCCACGGTCGCGCATTATCTGGAAGAAAAGTACCTACCTCCTCCTACCTCCACCACCACCACTTGATTCATCCATCTCAACAAACGGGGATTTTCTTTTCTAACGCGCCTGGTTTTTAGCTTCTTTTTCTTTTTTCACTCGCTCCTTACAGCACCACCCACACTCGTTTTTGATTTTTACATTCTTCGGGGAACTTTTCGATCTAGAAACCCCCCTTCCGCTCTTTTATCCACCGCTATTGTTTATCGCTCAGCCTCAGCGCTCTCGTTCTATTCTCCGTGCCCAATCAGCTCAACGATCATATTCGTCGCATCCGCTGTCATCCTGTAATCTAGGGTCCTGTTGCCGTCGAGACGCGTTCAATTAAGTCTCCTTTTTTGGGTTATATCGCCTTTCGGTTTTCGCTTTCGACCTCTCGTTGCGAAACCATAACAAGAATCGATTGGACCTGTCGCGCCTCGTCTTGCTGAACATCGCATCCGATCGCATCGTCTTGATTTAGAGAATTCTGAGCTTGGATACGTGAAAGAGGTGGACAAAAAGGAAAATTTGGACCAGACCGAACTTGCCAATCCATCACCATCAACGAATCCATGAATTTGCGAAGCTGAGAAATCGACCCGGACTATTCGACTTTTGAGCATTCGCATCCTTCGTGTATTTCGACTTGGAGGCGTCCAATTGAGCCATTGCTCTGTCCATTCCTTTTTACCACAGCGGTCTTTTTGGACCCGCGACCTTCGCTCTTTATACCGTACGTTGAATCGCCCGCAGTCGATATCGGTCAATCGCTAACGTTAGCCAGTGAGTCTTGAAAACTGTATATTTATACCACTCAAATCAAAATGCTTCCTACGACAGCATCCGCACTTTTGACTGTCCTGTCCCTCGGAGGGCTGGATTTGGCCGCGGCCAATGAAGCGCCAAACACCCAGGCATTGAAGCCTCGATACTATGTTCCTGGGGAGTTTAAGAGGAACCTCGACGGAGCCCACGTTGTTCGGGGTGAATCTTCCCAATCCTTCCAATCCTTCAGCCAACACTCGTCGAATGGCTTCGGAGGGTTCTTGCAAAATCTATTCGGTGGCCACGAAAGCTCAAGCCCACCTGCGGCCCCGTCTGCGGAAGTTGTGGTCGTGCCCCTCACTATCTCAGTCGATGCCCAGGGCGTGACACATACCATCACTGGCACCCCCACAAACACACCCACCGGTGCCAATGCCGCAGCGGCAACCACAGTGACCAGCTCGACATCCACTTCGGAGCCCGCTGTTGCCTCTACTCCTGTCAGCTCTGCCGTGCCATCTACTACCCCTTCAGAAGCCGCATCGAATGACTTGACCAGCCCTGCTGCCAGTGTCTCTTCCGAAGCAGTTACCTCTCCTACTCCTACCTCTACTAGCGGTGGCTTGCTCGCTGACGTAGGCAACTTGCTGGGTGGAGATTCGAGCAGCTCGAGCACTTCTAGTAGCTCCAGCGCTGTCCCAGCTAGCTCCACCCCTCAGCCCGCTGTTTCGCCGTCGACCACTGCCGCCCCCACCACTACAAGCAGCGGTGGTTTGCTCGACAGTGTCGGCAACTTGCTGGGAGGAGACTCCAGCAGCTCTGGCACCTCCAGCGGCTCTTCTTTCCCAGCCAGTTCTAGCGCCTCTGCTTCACCAACCACTACTTCAAGCAGCGGTGGTTTGCTCGATGACGTCGGCAACTTGTTGGGTGGAGGCTCTACCACCAGCAGCGGCTCTTCGTCCCCAGCCAGATCAAGCGCATCTGTCTCTCCAACTACCACTTCGAGCAGCGGTGGTTTGCTTGACGATGTTGGCAACTTGCTAGGAGGAGGCCCTTCTACTACTGGCTTTTCTACCCCAGCCAGCACAAGCGCATCTGCTTCACCAAAGACCACTTCAAGCAGCGGTGGCTTGCTCGACGACGTTGGCAACTTGTTGGGTGGCGGCTCTACTACCAGTGGCTCTTCTACCCCAGTTAGCTCCCGCGCATCGCCGTCAGCCACTGCCTCGAGCAGCGGTGGATTGCTCTCCGACCTTGGTAACTTGCTGGGAGGCGACTCGAGCTCTGCTGCCTCTAGCATCCCTGCCAATTCGACTACCCCTGCCAGTAAAGTGGGTTCCTCTAGCACCCCTTCCTCCGCTTCCGCAACCCCAACCTCCTCGAGCTCCGGTTTGCTCGGCGACCTCGTCGGAGGCCTTCTTGGAGACCACACCACCGGTCGTCCAGCAAATGCTACCGCCAAGAGCAGCGGTCTTTTCTCTGGATCCGCTGCTAGCATTTCCGCGACCCCAACCCCTTCATCGTCTTCTGGTCTTATTGGTGGCATCTTGTCGGATCTCCTGCCCTCTGGAAACTCATCAGGTGGTCTTCTGCCCACTATTCCCATCAGTATCCCCGCTTCGGCGGCACGTCCATCTTCGTCTGGCGGCCTCCTCGGCGGCGTATTGAGCAGCGCTCTCGGCCTTACCCCCGGAGCTTCCGGCAGCCCCATTCCCCTGAGTAGCCTGATTCCAGGAGCATCTGGTCTGCCCAGCAGTCTCCGCCCTGGATCTTCCAACTCTTCTAACATCGCTGGATTCCCTGCCACCATGATCAGCCCCAGCGTGCCATCCTCTACCAGCGGCTCCGTCCGCCCTGGAAGTTCGGGATCTGTGATTCCCTCCCCTAGTCGCTTGAGCTCAATTAGAGTATCCTCGTCCGCGGTGCCTACTAGCAAGGCTACACCAACCCCTACACCCACTTTTACACCCACACCCACTCCTACTCCGACGCAGGAGTCCACGGTCACTGAGCAGACAACCCACACTGTGATGCCGACTACCACCGAAAACAATGACTTTGTCCCTTCCACCATTCTTGTCCTGCCTCCAACCACTACGACCGAAGAAACAGCCACTCACGCAACGGCCACTACTACCACTTCCGCGCCACAGCTCCCTGGATCCATCTCGCCTGCCAACGGTATTACTAACCCCCCGGCAAACTCGACTTTGATTCAGATTGGATTCAACGGCAACCTGAGATATGACTTCGTGGCCGCGCATACTCTTTCTTCCTCGCAGATCTTCCTCTACGTGCCGCAGGGTCTTGAATACGCTCTGGAACTGCTTGCCAGCGAGGTTGCCATGTTTATTATTGAGCCATACAACAACTCTGCTGTCACCGGCTACATCGCCACTGTTGCACTGGCATACATTCCAACTGATCAAGTGGAGACCTTGAGGACCATGCTCCACAATCCAGCCTCCAGGCTCTACGAACAGCCCAGTGCATCTGTCAAGTCCTTGCTTGCCATGATTGACCCCTCGATTCCCCTGGTTGTCGGTGACATGGGCACCTCATCGAGCGGCAACGGCGGATCCAGCGATGGTGGATCATCCAATGGAAACAGCAACAACGACGGAAACAATGACTCCAACGGCTCTGCAGATGCTGGTGCTGGTGGCAGCTCCTCTACCCGTGGCAGCTCTGTCGGTATTGGTGTCGGTGTCGTCGCCGGTGCTGCTGCGTATGGTGCCGGTATGTTCTGGGTTGCTCGTCGCTACCGCAAGAAGCGTCAATTGCACCAGCGCTCGAGCTCAAACGTTGAGCAGATGAGTGAGGGCCGTGGTGGTGGCTCCCTCTTCGCAACCGGTGGACGTATCTCCGGTACCAGCCGAGGTAGTAACCGAACCCAGATGATTAGCGCACCTGTCATGGCTGAGAACTCCCTGGGATGGAACTAAACTTGGTGTCAAGTCCAACAGCCGAAGGAATCCTAAAAGCTATAAATAATGGATTACCCAACTCGGTGAACGAAAGAAAAAAAGTCAAAACAACAAGCCTGGAGGATTTGAACCGTCCGATCTCCCATGTGAGGAATATTACGTATCTATTGGTCTTACTTCTGTCTGTATTCAACTTTGGATATGAGAGACGTCCTGTGAAGGCGTTGTCTCGCATCTACCCTGAGATTTTCATTTTTATCTTGTTATTCCCCATATGTTTGCCATTTATTTCTCTTCTTACTTTCCTTTTTATGGTGAGATTGAGCGAAAACCTCCCCGCACCAGAAACCCTTTTATCTTCTTCTCCTCCGCGATCCTTCCCGGAACCTTTTTTTACTATTACTATCTTATCCTCTTAATGGTTGGGTGGTAGGTATCTGATGAAGTGATGCCACAATACTACTCTACCCTATCTCCCCTTGTCATCTACGTTGTCTTTTTATGTACAGATGTATAGTGCTGGTAGAGCCACCATGTTTCGGTGGTGAATGCTTAGAATGAATGTTAAATATCTTAAGTTAATCTACTGTCTGATGTATCCTAAGTAGACTTGGAGTATTTAGTATCTTATCCTCATGAAATAGTCGTACACTTTTGCTTGTAGAATGTGATGTTGACTTTTGAAACAAGCGAAATGAACATAAGAGTGTTATGAATTGAGTGAAAAAAAAAAAAAAAAAGAAAAGAAAAGAAAACCACACTATCAACTCCAGAGTAATTAGGTAAAGATAACCACGGATGCAGGAGAGGCGACAACACAAGGAAAAAGCCGCAGAGACGAGAATATATCTATATACATTAAAGATAAAAGAGTCGGAAGAAAGAAAATATAAAAAGGGAAAAGAAAATCACACCATCAACCAAATCACTCCGTCTTACTCTTCGAGTCATTGCCCGACTCCGAGTCCTTCAATCCCAACAACGCAAGCGGACCCGTCTTACCGGTTTGCACACGTTCCTGTTTGCGGCTCTCGCGTGCACGCTGGCGCTCCTCCTTATACTCTTCCCAGGAGGTAGAGGTAGAGGCAGAGACGGAGTTGTTCAGGGTGGTTTTGGATTCGCTGGGGTTCAAGAATCGGCTGAGCGAGGTGTTGTCTTCATCGGGGGAGCTGGCGGAGGGGGGCAAAGGGCGGACGGCGTCTTCGCCAAAGTAAGTGCCCAAGGCGGTGCGGAAGGTCCATTCGACTGCTTCGCCAACAGGTTCGTCGAAGATGTAGGGGAGGAAGGGGACGACGGAGAGACCGAGCTGTAGGAGTTAGAATGGAATGTTTGGATGAATGGATGGATGGATTGAACTCACTCCGATAGGAGCCCACGTGCGGAAGAGGGTAATCTTGGAATTCTTAAACATGCGCCCCGAATACTTGACCACCGAGTGGATGGTGAATGCGGGCAATCCCATACTGGCGAGACCCTGGAATACGGCCCGTTTAGCCATCACCACACGGTAATCCTCTAGCAGGGGAATGCTTGTCGTCGGCCATGGGGTGAGGGTATCTGCAGCTGCAGCTACGGCTCCCTTTTCCGAAGTCAGCGGGCCTTTGAGATTACCAGTGGCCATTCCTTTGAGGATCGTCTCTTCGGACAAGTTGCTGGCGTCTTTGTACGACTCGCTGGGCGGAGCCAGGACGCGACGGTTGCGCAGATAGGCTTTGTAACCTTCATGACCGACATCGCCTAGCAGGTAAGCCCAGGAGATGCCGTACGCAGTGCGCACGAGATGAGGATGCGCGACTGGCCGGAACGATTCACCGATGTCTGAAGTGTAGGCGACATAACGGTGGGCGGAGAGGAGAATGGTGCGGATGCGATTGGCGTAAGCGGCGTATCTGTATGGAGTGTCGGTGGAATCTACGGAGCTGGTATTGTTAATGCGGATTGATTATTGGGAAATAAGTGTAGCCATCGACCACGTAGAAGGTGGACATTTCATCTGCATCGTTTGTTTCAACGTGCGGGGTTTGCGGGGAGAAGAGGCGGAGTTGACGATGACGATGATGTCGACACGCGACAGTTGGAATGAAGCAGGCTTAAAGAAACAACAAAACAATATGAAGCTGAAGGAGAATAAAAAGAACATACTAGGGCGAATAGACATCGTCGTAGAAGCTGTCGTCTCGATCGACGAGTTTCTGAAGCGAAGAGGGGAGCTTCTGGCGGGGGACAGGCTTTTGCGAAGAAGCAGCAGCTTCGTCTTGGTGAGAACCCCAGAGCATGATGGTATGATGAGTTATTTGAGGATTATTGCGTATCGTGTTAGATTAATAGATAGAGGGAGAGTTGGTGGTGTTGGTTAGTTTGAAGAGGTTAGTTGGAGAGAAAGAGAGAGTAGAGAAAGAGCAACAGAGGCAGAATCGACTACGAAGAAAAAAAAAAAAAAAAAAAAACAGCGATGCTTCCAGGGCCCATCCAGAGCCTAATTAAATCCACGGAAGCTCTTCGTATAACCGTTCGTTGCAACCGAAGATCCTAGGAAGACGAGCTTCCCAGGGAAGAGAAATATTCCCCCGAAGCCGTCGGGCAGATGGGCTGGTGAGGGTTGGCTGCACTGCCACGGGTGCCCATCATATGATTTGCGGTATATACCTGGATTGCTGAGCTGTTTTGTATAGCTAGAACCGTTCTTGCAGGTTATTTTCCTAAACTCCCCCGCGATGAAGCTGCAATGCCCGTTGACATCGTCCTTGTCGCGATGATGCCGTCATACAGTCCCGTGATGCCGAGCCGGTATAGTGTCACATGATCTCCGGTCCGTTCCGACACATAACGTGATATTGACAATGACTAAGCAACATTCCAGCCTAACCCGATACGGTAAAGAGCCTCCTCCAACCTTCTTCGTTGCCGTCCTCGAACGACCTTTCGCTGTATCGACTCCATCATCGCCCCGTGTCTTGTCCTCCTCCCACCGTCCTCACTTCAAATCCGTCAAAATGGTCGTCTACTACGAGATCGCCGGCAAGAAGATCGGCTCCCACGTCGTATGTTTCCCCTGTCGCAGCCTCTGCTAGCTCCAATGGCTGGTCCCCTCCTTCCATCCGAAGCCGTGGTCCCAACCCGGGCAACCTTGGTCGTTGCGATACTAACTGTTGTGGTCTATCTTTAATAGCTCTCCATGGCCACTTTGGGAACGATTTTCACTGGTTCTTTCCTCGCCACCCGCGGTGGTGGTGCTCAGAAGAAGGAGCAGGGTCCCCCGATCAACGCCAGCTCCAAGGAGGAGGGTGACTTCATCACGTACGTACACCTTTCGGTCTGATCGGACCAACTTCTACCGGAATGGTCAATCTGGAATACAAGAACGAGAGACAAGACTAACCGCGTCCTCCCGCGTACAGAGAGTTCCTCAAGACCGCGGACTCGGGTGACAAGAAAGCCCAGCACTAGAGTATTTTTCTCCTGTTGATCATGAGAAACGAGCGGAGGACAGTTCGTCTTGAGGATACGGCCCCGGACGTGAGAATTCAGCAACTACTTACCCACCACGATGAACTTCTATGATACGTGACAATCCGAATCGGTCATGAAGCGGCTGTCCTTACGGGAATGTGTTGTGTGTGCCAGAAACTTGCTGTCCGGCTTATAGTCAGGATGGTGAGTGGAGGTGTGTGAATCTGTACATAATAGAGGTATACACCGCATCAAATTGTTCTTTTATGCTCTTGGTTCTTCGATTCACTGAATCATCCAGTGGAGGGGGAATATAGTTGATCTTGCTTTGCGTAGACCTTGAGGTCTTGAAGATATTGATCAATATGGTGCTCGTAGCCAGGCCATTCCGTTGGGATGTGGATACTGTCACACCGCTATAACGCCACTGCAATAGTGTGCTCTGTAGACTACTCTCACTAGTATGCTGGAGATCTTGTGATTCGAATTAATCAGATGATAGATAACAGGGACACTTTGTATACGGACGTACTTTGGAAGTAAATGCAATGCGATGTTGATTGGCCCAGCCATAATAAAGCCACGTGACCTCGTCTTATATCTTGTGCTGTTCAATTCAACACTTGAGCCTGATGGAAACAAAGAATACCACGAATCTTCCATTGTGGACTTAATCACCAGCAGTCTCTGCCAGGAAGAGATGGTTGACTAATTCCTACACCGCGACAGAAGCCAAACCTGAGCTCTCCCGACGTCAACAATTACTCCGTCACTAACTCTTTTTTGCTAACTGCACTCACTCTTTACCACTCCTCTGATCAAACATCCCAAAATGAGGCCACTACCATTCCCCTTCGCCCTCAACATCGGCACCGACATCGTCCACCTCCCCCGAATCGCCCGCCTCGTCAATCGCCCCGGCGGCGACTACCTAACCCGCTTCACGCGTCGCATCCTCAGCACCCAAGAGCAAAAAGACTTCCACACCCGATTCAACCTCCACCTACCATCGAGCACAAGCGCGCCCTCCCGTCCTCCATTTCCCATAACCTCCGACATGACGCGCTGGCTCGCGGGACGGTTCGCGGCCAAAGAGGCAGCCCGGAAAGCCGCGCCGGGTGGGGCGGCTATGATTGGGTGGAAAGATGTTGTGGTGCGAGTTGGAGATTCGGAGATGGGGTCTGGAAGACCGGATATTGTGTATTTGGGGGAGGATGGAGAGGGGAGGGAGGGGAGGTTGTCGATCTCGCATGATGGGGAGTATGTGGTTGCTACTGTGGTTGCGGCTGGATGATTTGGTTACTGGTGATTTCTTGAGGTTGGGATATCGATATGGCATGGGGATATTGGCTGGATGTCGGATATCGAATACTGGATACTGGACTGGATGCTAGCTATGTTGTCACCAGGCATTGTTTTGGATATTGCAGCAGAGCAAGACAGGCTGTATCAACAGGATAGACTGCTAGCAGTTGGACGATGGAATAAACTAGATACAGTCTATAGAAATAATCAAACCAAAAGAACAATACATAAACATGAATATAAAAAATAAGCAGCTACGTATTTCTTGTTGATCTCTCCGCGGACTTTCGGCTGAAAACCTGACTCCGCAATTTACCCTCTTTTCTTCATCTCTCCAACCATCCAGATCCTGGTTGTTGTCCATATCTTCTACTGTTATTGTATTGTATATACTATCACTACTTATATTCTTTCTTTCCCCTCTTGATATCTGTATCCCCTACCTTGAAGGCCTGAGCATCCAGTCCTCGACGCGGGGCAACTGTCACCACCCCACCTTCAAGTGCGCGCAAAACAAGCTGCTCTTTTCTGTCAGTTGGATCATCAATCCCTTCTCTTCTTGATTCATATAAGCCTAGTCTCACTAACCATCTCCAGTTCGAACATTAAAATGCCTTTCTCTCACCACAGCCACTCGGGCCAATTCTGCCCCGGCCATGCCAAAAACTCGCTCGAGGAGGTGGTCCAAACAGCCATCGCAAAGAAGATCCAGGTCTTTTGTCTCACGGAGCACATGCCCCGGACCCAGGAAGATTTCTATCCTGAAGAGGTATGTCTCTATATTTATCAGACTGCCATTGTATCTAACGAAACGGAGATCGAAGCTGGAAACAGCGAAGCCGGTCACATCACTAATGAAGCGGCATATTTCCAAGAAGCACTACGTATGCGAGCGAAATACGCAGACCAGATAAAGATTCTGATCGGGTTTGAAATCGACTGGATCCGTCCGATATCCCGTACGTTGATCGAGGACTCGCTGTCTCGACACCCGTTTGAGTTCTTTGTCGGTTCTGTCCATCACATGCACACGGTCCCGATTGACTATGATCGGGAAATGTATGAGAAGGCACGAGAGCTTGCAGGAGGGACTGATGAACGACTGTTTGAGGATTATTTCGATGCGCAGTTGGATATGCTCCGGCAGCTGAAGCCGCTGGTTGTGGGGCACTTTGATCTTATCCGGTTGAAGAGTGATGATCCCGAAAGAAGCTTTCAGCAGTGGCCTGGGGTGTGGGATCGGATTGTGCGGAATTTGGAGTATGTAGCTGGGTATGGGGGGATGTTGGAGTTGAACTCCGCGGCGCTGCGAAAAGGGATGAGTGAGCCATATCCAAACGGGGAGATTTGCAAGGTGAGCTATATATTCTTTGTCTTAATGTTATTTTCTAACTGTTGCAGGAATTCATCGCAAAGGGAGGTCGTTTCTGTCTTTCCGATGACAGCCACGGGGTTGACCAAGTAGGCCTGAACTTTCACCGTGTGCTGGCCTTTATTGAGAAGGTGGGCATTTCTACACTGCATTATCTGGAGCTGTCAGATGCGACACCAGCAATGGACGAACGATTCCCTCGAACTCAGGTTCGCTCGATCCAGACGGAGGAGTTGAAGACGATGTCCTTTTGGTAGGCCGGAGCAGAGCAAGGATGCCCAATTGAAGCTGTACCGATAGTTTTCGCAAACTGAAAACAAACCTAGGCAGATCCTTGTCGCAATGCACTGATAAGAATCTCTACACGTGGACAATCGGATACGACTTCGTCCACGGTACTTATGGTGGTTATGATGCTACTCGTGGAGATGACTGCCCCGCATCAATGGGCATCGTCTCTCCATGATGAAGTATCCTGATCCACAAATAGCAGTTCTCATTATGAACGATATCCACAGTTTTCTTTCTCCCCCAGTAGGAAGCGTGGCAATGCACCCAGCATCCATTCATCCAACTTGTAGATCAGGGCCAAATCAAGGACCGTGCAACGGTTTTACCCCTCATCGGCATGAATGACAGCCCAAACCCGATATGAGACGATATGCTCTGCTCTATGATATGCTATCCATGACTCCGGAGATGCACGTCTGTCGCCATCCAGAGGTTTGCTGGGAAGAACGCTCTGACCATCGTGAAGTTCAGAATCCCCGGTCGAAATAGTGATTGGGTGCGATTATCGCAGGCCATCCGAATGGAGGGCAATCCGACGACTCGCACGTCCGCACGAAACGATTCGTTGTCTGATGCCCATTTCGAGTCATGATCTGCTTCTTATTCTGCTCATATGAGGCTTTGTTATTTTTTCTCTCGTCGTAACAATAACAATAATAATAATATAAGATGTAATGGTAATAATATTGACTCCCAAGTTGCGGCTTTGTTGTTTTATTATGTTCTACCCCACCTCTGAGGTGTATTTATAACTCTCGCGTTGTCTTCATTTTCTTCTCTTTACCTTTACCTTCTTTTACTCCAGATCGCTCGCTTTCTATTTCTTTCTCTTTCCTTTATATCTGAAATGGGCGTGGCAAGAGAGGTCGTCCAACCCGGCGACGGCCAGAATTATCCCCAACCAGGCGACACCATCACCATCCACTACGATGGCTATCTGTACGACGAAAGCCAGCAGCATAACAACTTCAAGGGGACATTGTCAGTTTTTCCTATTTACAAGTTAATCCTCATAACCTGACAATGTCTAGATTCGACAGCTCCAGACAACGAGATGCGCCGTTCAAGGCTCCGATCGGGGTTGGGAAGCTCATCAAGGGTATGTCTATATACCTTCAATTCTCTATTTAATTAAGCATATTCGGAATAATACTAATTGATTGATTAGGCTGGGACGAAGCCGTTCCGCAGATGAGCGTGGGAGAAAAGGCGATCTTGACGGTAACTGGTGATTATGGATATGGGGCATCGTAAGTGCTTCATCTATACTCTATCAGAAGATGGAACATTAACTGAAGCAGGGGATTCCCTGAATTGATTCCACCGCATGCTACTCTTGTTTTGTATGTTATATTTATATTCTACTGTTGTTGTATGAAGCTAATGGCTGATTATAGCGATGTGGAGCTTATCGCGATTAATTAGAGATAAGGGAGACGAAGGCTGGTTGTAGTAATGTTTGCACGAATGGAATGATTCATGGATAGAAAATCATTGGATATGAGTCTAGAGGTATTTCGAATAGCCTGTTTCAATTAAGTCCAGCCTCGTCTGAATTGTAAGCCACCATCTTAATTAGCCTCGCCTCGCAGTCTCATTTCATTTTAGACATTCTGCATTGGCTCACAAGTAATAAACAGCCTCCTCGAACTAGACTTTAAAGTTCGAGGAACGGTGCGAGTACAGAAACCATGGCTTGATGAACTCTTCGAAGCAAAATACGGAAAGGGTCGATTTGAGAGTGTCATCTTGTCTGGGTTTGAAGACGTGGATGCGTTGAGGGATTGTATGGAGGGCGTTGATGGTGTTTTTCATGTGGTATGTATAGAACAAAACAGTCATTGAATATTTATTGACTTGATCATTTGATATTGGCAGGAATCAGACGTCTCCTTCATTTGGGATCCTAATGTTGTCATGAAGAGGACGGTGGCAGCGATGGAGAACTTGTTGGAAGCTGCTTCGAGGGCATATGTGAAACGGGTTGTGTTGACCTCCTCGTCTGCTGCGGCTGTTTATAACAAGCCAGATGTAGACGAGATGATCGTTACTGCAGGTAAGTTATAAAATTGAAGCAAAAGTGCGAAATCTAACATTCAGATACCTGGAACGACGCCGCGGTCAAACAAGCCTGAGATGAAAACAACACCGATGAAACGAAGCCTCAGATAATTTACGTTGCATCCAAGACCGAAGGCTAACGGGCAGCATGGAGATGGATGGCAGAGAAGAAGCCCAACTTTGTGTTTAATTCTGTCCTTCCCAACGTGACTGTATGTAGCCCTGGTTCTTATTGAGATCGAAAGTCGCTAACAGGAATTCAAATATAAGCGAGGATTAGGTATTGCATAGGCCTATTAGACAATCGTGTAGATTGTATTCTATCATTACCGCTGGATACTGTTAATATACTCTATCCCCGTAGCTCGGAAAGTGTCGTCCTCAACATAGCTCTCATTCATGGGAAGACGGAAGACAAAGTTGGTGGGATCTTCGGTATATTTCGGCCATCGTGGAATGTTGGAGACTGTATAGGTCAGAAGTACTCAACATGAATATCAATACTGGAACATACCACCGTGTCCATTAGGATCCAAATCTGTAACGAAAGACGTCCACATCTGGGCCGCCATCTTGCCCAGTTCAAGCCGTGCTGGGTCGGATCCAAGGGGAGTGATATCTTGAACAGGGTTGGCAAAGACGAATGGAATCTAGGAATTTAATAATCAGTACTGCAATCTCTCTCACAAATAGTACTCACCTCTGCAAAGTGTCCAACTCCAATGGTGCTCGATGAGTTCAGTGCTGCCACATCCCATCGGTATGAATATACCTCCTTTTCATATTTTCCCATAGTCTTTGCCAGTAGTCGTCGCGGAGCTACCATGGTAATATCCCCGGCCATAGACTCATATCGCTTGTACATGAGACCCAGCTTTGGCCAGGTCACATTTCCCCAGCCGTAAGGGCATCCGAGAGCAGGGTTGTTGGGGTAGTATGTGAGAAGCTTTGTGGCTTGTTCGCGAGTAAGAACCCAGCGTTTAGAGGCTGTTCGACAATTAGTGGCTGAATGGAAGACAAAAATAAGCCCATCACCTACAAATAAGCTGTTCAATGCATTCTTCATCCGTATCTGTCCCTGTTGTTCCAAAGCTTGTTCCTTCGTCGGTGTTGGCTCCAAGCAGGATTGGGACTTTGGCGATTTTGCCCTCGCTGTAGCTTATCTGGGGATATTCCTTGATGAAGGTACCATCAATTGTTGCAAACCATTCCGATCCCTGATATGCCACCTTGTATAGCGATTCATAAGGCACCTCCCGAAGACATTGCAGCGTATCAGTGGAGTTGAAGCATCTTTAACTGTTAGTATCCATATAATAATCTTCTGTCCAGACAACATACCCAGTCAAATTCACAATTTGGTCATACATGGGCTGATGCCACTCAGTGCCGTTATATGGAGGTCCGACGGCATTTCCAGACTCCATGATTGCTGTCAAGGTCAGCTTCTGTACATTTAAAGAAAGACGAGAATACCCACCAGCTCTGAAAAGACCCTCATTATCTCCACCATTGGTTACCAAATGAGCACCCACGCTATAAGCACCTCTGCAAGAATCAGCATCTTGTCATTCCGGAGCACATCTCAACTTACGCAGATTCTCCCCAGATGGTGATCTTCTCGGGGTCTCCACCAAAGGCCTTTATATTCTGCTTCACCCATCGCATGGCATTTCGCTGGTCGCGGAGTGCAAGGTTACCGTTTCCAGAAGCCTTGTTTTCATTAGCATCGTCTACCGGTTTGATATAGAAAGATCAGGAACTCATACCCTCACTTCCTCCGAATCCAAAAACCCAAATGCTGCTAGTCGATAATTGATCGACACTCCCATGACAGGTTTGTCGTTCAATGCTCCTTGCTGAACAATATAACTCATGTTATATCTTCAACGACCAAATCAGCTCATCGATCCCATCAACTAGCAGTGATGTATGCACGTACCTCGGGTCCGCTGTAGCGCCCTGCTGCCATCCTCCTCCAAGAATCCAAATCATAACAGGAAGCAGCTCATCACCCTGTGCGCCGTTGCTTTCCGACTGTACATTGGGCCGAATGATATTAAGATTGAGACAATTTTCATTCACCCGGACCAGTCCCTTATCAATTAAACTGTCTTCATCAGACCCGTAACCGGGACAATCGTATCCATATTGCGTGGCATTGTAGTAAACCGAATCGGATGAGTCTAGTCCACTAAGTGACGGGTCGTACAGGCCCGAGTCGCTATCGCTTGCGTTATAGCTAGTCTTCAGATCCGACGGGGTGAATCGAACGGGCTGGTCCGCATATTTGATGCCCAGGAATACATCCTGATCGAACTCTGACAAGGACCGACCGACGAAGACAGTGCTTGATCTTTCAGCAGCACTTGCTTTGAGAGTAACAGTTGGAGGGGATGCGCTGGCTGTTGACAATAGCCCAGCAGCTAAAGTGAGCCAAAGGGACTTCGAGAAACGAGACCAATTAGCCATTGTGAGCCTCGGATACCCCTAAAGTCTCGATGGAAGGCAGAGAACAGGGTATTGCAATGGATTAAATGAGAAATCACATCAGATCATGTCTCAAACTCCGGAAATATACCGACGACCCTGGAGGGGTTTAAGAAGGAGAAACCCCATCAAGCTAAGATTTAGCCAGGATCCCATAATCAAGGACCCACGTGGAGTGTGGAGATGAAAAGAAGTAATTCTGGAAGATTTTCCTTGAGGCCAGGATGGAGGGAGAATGTTACAGGTGGAAAATGGAGGAAGACGAACGACGGAGGATGTTGGCTGACCAGTTAGCCCGGGTTGTGGGACGCATTTTTCCGTTGATCTCTTCCTGCGTCATGTTATATCGGTTTGGCGTAAATTAATGAACTTGATTCAAGTTCCATACAAGTTATGCCAAGCTGCTAGGCTATCAACTATTGAAATTGAATTGATTTACATCTATGGCCCCGGTAAATGGCACTATATTTTAAAAGCATGGGTATAGCTCTCCTGCAACAGGAGGCAGAACGAAGGAAAAGAAACAGGTATTCCAATCATCAACGAGGAACCATCAATTATAGCCATATGTAAATAGCGCTGCCCTTTCACGCCATGCTATGCTCAAAGCGTGTATCAAAAAAAATATACATTGGACAGGACTGAAGGCTGATCAGCCAAGTCACCGTCAACGAGTAGAGAACAAAACAGATCAGAAAACAAAGGTATGCTCGTGTGCATGCGGTCGATTATGTACTTGCAGGCACTTGCAGATGTCAATTCAATCAATCGTCCTTGACTCCGTCCTCACTATAGTTTGATCTTTGACGACCTGTGTCACGAGTCCGGCTCGTCGCGGATGCCGACGGACGTCCTCTCAAGGATGTCGTATCTTGAAGGCTTGATCCAGACCGGCTAAGCTCGGGTTTCCGCCGTGTCTCTGCGAGACCAGAGGAGCCCCTCGCTTCCAACCCATCGTCCAACTCAATCAAGTCGCCCATTCCTCGACCCCCGGATATAGGACCCCGGCCATTGATCTGGTAGCTCTGTGTGCTAGGTTGTTGTAGCTCGTTGAAACTAGCCTTTGCTCGCGTCGTCATTTTCTTGACCCAACCTTCAAATGCACCGCCGAGATTGTCGAGACTGGTTGGTGTGTTCGAGGTTGCAGTGGACTCAGATGCTGCCTGGAAGTTCGGGGGTGCTGGCTGCGGGGCCAAGTTTGGTAAATGCTGCGCAAAGAATTTACTAAACCCGTCGAGAGCTGGCCCTGGGGCCATTGTATCGCGATCTAGGGTGCCAACTCCTGGCCCCGAAAGTTGGACATTGCTTCGTTGACGCTGGTGACGGGCGCTAGGCTTGGGATTGTGGTGACTCGTCGACCCCGACGATCCTGCGTGAGGCCGATTTTCTGGAAAATCTGTATATCGCGATGCTGATGGCTGAACTGGTGAGGATGATGTCGAAGTACTAGCTGTAGTCGCCGGTTCTCTACCGGATATCGAAGGCGGTGGTTCGGAATCGGTATAGGAGACAGATTTTCGGCGCGTGCGTGGAAAGAATCCTAGTGCTCTTCGAGGAACTCGACCAATCTCAACTTCTGATGGAAATCCATCTATTTGCACAAATGATTCGTGCTTCCAAATCCGATCTCCTTCGACCTCGGATGTCGTACTTGCGGAAGCTTCATCTTTAGATGTGCGAGTCTCTGCAAATGCTTCTGGTGCTATTGAGCTGCCATTCGGGTCTTCTATAGATGCGCGACCAGGGGTTTCATCACTGAGAAGATCTGGGGTATCTGCAGGGCGTATGGGCCGTCCTTTAACCGAGCAAGAGTCCACAGGTAATAGGACCGTCTTTCTGCTTTGGATGCTGTCACTAGGCCAAAATCCATTGGCCTTTCTGAAAATTGCCGGCTGGCAGCCATATTTTATCGTGACACCAGTAATGGTGTCGGTCGGTTGAACGTGGTGGATGTATGCCAAAGCGTCCTCGTCTTGCTCGTGGTCAATCGACGAGTAACCCGTCTGATCGCTGGAATCTCGCCGTTTATGCCGGGTATTGCTGCTGGTACTTGGGCAGGTGTCTGCCAGAAGCAGAGCCTCCCTCTTCTTTGCCTGCACATAGGCTTGTCGTTCCTCCTTGGTCCCAGCCCCGATTTCTGACGTGGACGGACCCGAAGGGCCCCATGATGACTGCTGTTTGGAAAGATCTCTGAGATACGGATCCGGGCGGGATGGCTTTCTTTGATGACCTTTCGCAGAGCCATTAGAGGCTGGCCGGGCGATATCGCTCCCTAAAACCGAAGAGGCCAGGCTCTGTAGCGACGACCAAGATGCATCCAGAAAGTCTGCGGCAGCCCGCGACGATTCAGCCAAATTTAACTGATCCTTCCCGTTATGACTAAACCCACCTGAAGAAGCACCACTCCCATTTATCCTACCACGATTGTTCGGTGATTCATTCGCGCGGGAGGGATGTCTCCGAGGAAGGGGTGACACTCCGCGGGACGGAAAAGGCGACGGCGTTGTACCTCGAGAGGCGGTCGTGGACAGATCAGGGGTGACCACTCTGGACAGCCCAGAGGAAAGCTGCTGAGCCCCGTTACTGGTATTCACATCATCTTCGGACGATGCTAAGCGGCGAGTGCGTGACCGAACCGTCGACGTGGATCTTCTGCTCGTATTGGTCGTACTGGTGATACCAGGGCTGAGGGCTTCGAGAAACCCGCCGTTGGAACTCATCCCCGTCGGCGAGAAGCAGAGTGGATAGATGTACTGCTTTCCTTCTTTCGTTTTGGAGAAGGGCGTGTGCCGTCAACTCCTCTAAAGAGCTCAGCCTGTGAGGTCGCCAAGGCACGAATTGCCATCGGAGGTCGTCCTAGGCGAGACCATTCGTCATCCAGCTTCAGTATCGCATCCGCCTTTGACAATCGAGATAAGCGGCTAAAAAACAGGGCGAAAGAAAAGTCGAAAATCCAAGGTCAAACCCCGTTTCTGTTGGGTAATCGGGGAATTTTGGCGCACAATTCAAATGATTGGGATTAGTATTATTATTATTCGGCTACTTCGAAAGCTGGCCAGATCGGAGCAGGGCTGGGGAGGTGCGGGATGCTTAGTACGAAAGCCTCCTGTGATGACGGTTGACCCGCAGGAGGAGAAATGGGGAGGCGGGGCGAGTTGCAACCTGGAGCGTTTCGAAGGGAACAGCGAAGGAAGAAGGGTTCAGACAGGAGTCAACGGTAATTGAGGAGGAATAGGAAATATTAATATCGTGAGGATGCGTCGTAATGTTCGTGCTGGCCGGAGGAGTCCGATCGGCAGCGCAGAGAAACATTTGCCAACCCTGTGACTCGCCGCCCGCCAAAAGTGCTTGACGTAAAACAGAGGGACGATGGATCGGCAGTTGGGTTTTCAAGGCAGCAGGAGATTCGCTCAAAGATGGTGTTATCAAAGTTATTACGAACATCTATCGTACTATACAATGATAAGAGGTGTTTTCTTTTTTTAAATAGTGGTGGCTTTAGTGTGAACTATCTATCTCGTAGCAAAAGCAATGAAGGCAGCATTCGATGACATTCTCACCAAACGGTAGCAGCTGCAGCTCATGATAATACAGGGGGTTGGCGATATTCTATAAACAAGAATAAGAAAGTAATAATGTTAGAAAAGCATATCTCGTAGAAGAAGATTAGTTGCAACGTGGAAGTCACAAAATAAATGACCACAAAGGATCCGAGATATCCAGAAATTAACGCCATTCCCCTTCGTGTTGTATATAACGGACATGTATGGGCGATACGTCTAGCAATCTCAAACCATCTTATTCAGGGGGCTCCGTCATTTCAGGTCGTGTATCAACTTCGGATACTGCGTCTGATTCGGTACTCCAGTCCCTTTCGGAGTTGGCTTTGCTGGACTGTGCCGGCAGCGAAGACGGTGGTGGGATGACTCGCACTCCTCCAGCACGACTGAAAAAGTCTTCGGTCCGAAGACCACGAACTTCCTTGGGATCAACTGCGTTCATTTGTTGGCCATCTGCCGTCTTTTGCCGAATCAACTCTCGGACAGGAGCCATGGCTGCATCGCGACAGGCTTCCTTGATGTCACTACCTGACATCCCCGCCATCGCCTTGACAAGGTAGTGAAGATCGAAATTCTCCCGATCCACCTTGGTATCCTTGAGGATGAGACTGAGGATGCGTAATCGCTGTTGGGCCGGGGGAAGAGTCACGGGGAATTTCTTGGGCATTCGCCTAAGAATTGCCTCGTCGATATCTTGAATACGGTTGGTAGCTCCCAGCACAACCACACGTTGAGGCTCACCAGATGAACTGGCTGATGTGAGTCCATCCCAGTGGGTCATGAACTCAGCTTTCACCATGCCACTGGCCTCGTGCTCTCCACTCCGTCTTGTACCGAGCACGGCGTCGATTTCATCAATGAAGACAATCGAAGGCTGCAGTTTCCTGGCCAGAGAGAAGACAGCATTGACAAGCTTATTTGAGTCACCATACCACTTCTCAGTCAACGTCGAGATGTGCAAGTTGATAAAACATGCGCCGCTCTCGTGGGCGAGGGCTTTAGCCAGCATCGTTTTTCCGCACCCGGGGGGACCATATAGCAGAACACCAGAAGGCGCGGTAAGAAGCGAAGACGTCGAAGAGTATAGATGAGGCATCGTAAGCGGGTATATAACGGATTCTTTCAACTCCTCAATGATGTCGTTCAAACCACCGATATTCTCAAACGAGACCGGTATATCCTCTGCGGCGACAACATCCATCGCGATCGACTGCTCATACTGGTTGAGGACCAGATCTGCTTTCCTCGGCCCCTTGCGCCCTCGCTTTCCCCCTCTGCGCGGCGAATCATCATCCGACTCTTCTGTTCCATCGAGTTTCCGTAGGATCGCCGCAGATTTGCGTTTCTGCTCCTCTTTCTTCTGGCTTTCGGGGTCAAAATCGAGACGGGACAAGAGATATCGGATGAGGAAGTATGCAGAGGCCGACTATGAATAGAAGGTTAATATGTGTATCGCGACTTCGCGACTGTTGAACTCACTGTGCCGGCAACCATTACCAACTCTTGCAGGAACTGCTGCCATCGGGGTCCGCGCGCTGAAGCCATGATTAAAGACCAATTCAATAGATTCTCTTCAGAAAAATGTAGTGGTAGATGGCCAGCGAATGTAAAAAGAACAAATTCGGGGATCTTATCCCAGTCAAATTCCCGAGGTCCACAGCGGGATTCAATCAGGACAGTCGATGATGGATGGATGCGGTGTTCGTTCTGGGGAAGCCAGTTCGGGTCGGCAACAGCAGCTGTGGCGGCGGTCAGCAGTCACATGCTGTGTGTCTTGATGTTGTGCTTTTTCTCATATCCATCACTTTGACGATATAACTACAGAGTATACTAAATGGGTTATAAGTTATATTTACTCAACTAAGACATCGAATAAGATGCACGGTTTTTAAATCGCTGTATGACTATCATCGGGGTAAATGGAGGCAGAATCTTGCGGCCATTTACCGTTGTCTGACCACCCCCCCATTTGATATGCAGGATATACAGCTGATCGCAGGCATTCTTACTGCATCATGCTCGTCAATATGATATCTAGACTATTTCCCCGATTGTTATTGAATGATGGCGATGCCAGATCAATAGTGTATTCCCACTGCTGGGCTGTGAGGCGGTGAGTCGCTGTGATGCATGGAGGCCGACGCGCCGGCCCATTCCAGCTCTGTGTTGTTCTGGCCGCGTGGAGCCAACCCCGACACCTTGATTTTCTTCCCATTTTTTTCTCCAAATTATTTATACAAAATGCCTAAACGAAAGGCGCCAGCTAGAATTTCTGGCCTTGTTGGCTCGGATGATGAGGATGTGATGAAGGTCAATGGCAACGTCGCGCCCGCGCAGGAGGACAATGATGAACGCCCCGTCAAGAGAGCAAGAGGCCGGCCGAGGTCAAAGTCTGCGGAGATAAAGCCAGCAAACACCAAAACCAAAACTCGCGCAGCAGCAGCAACATCGCACGCGCAGGAAGCACCCCCGAAGAAAACCACGAGAAGGGGGAGGCCAAGGGGTAGTGGGGACAGTCGGGCCTCGTTCGATGCTGGAGCGCAAGAAACCACGCCAAAGAAAGAAGAAGAGCCAACAGTTGAAGAAACTGCAGATGATACTCAGCCTGAGACGCAGGGACCCAATGATGAGCAAGATGCGCCGGCAAAGTCAACAAGACAGACAAAGAAGCCCGCTGCCACGCGTGGTCGAAAGGGTGCAGCAGCAAAGTCACTGAAGAAAGATGGTGAATTCGAATATACGCCATCTAGCTCCCGTCAAACCAAGGCCCCAGAAAAATTCAAGGAACAGAGCGCGCAGCCCGCACGAAGAGGGCGACGGAAGGCGGAGCCGGAGCCAGAACCTGAGCTAGAACAAGCAGAAGAACCAGAACCAGAATCAGAGGCAGAGGTGGAAGGCGACACGGAGGAAGGCGAAAGGTCTGCGCCAGAGGTGGATGAAACAATTCTTCAGGAGGAGCCGGTTGCACCTCGATCCGTTTCGGCATCACCATCAAAGGTTGCACGTAACAGGTTATCGATGCATCGGCCCTCGCTATCACCTCAAAAGCGAAGACTTGGAGAGAGCGCAGAGCCAGAATTGAGACGTAAAATTGGTGACTTGACGAAGAAACATGAAGCCTTGGAAAACCGGTTTCGTAATCTCAAAGAGATAGGGATTGTTGAAGCGAACGCGAACATGGAGAAACTGCGAAAACAGTGTGAAGCGACGACGGAGGGTATGATATCTTCTTTTACCAACGATTTGCCACTTGAAATGCTAACTGTTCCCAGCTTCTAAAAATTTGGTTGCCTCTCTCAAGGCGGAACTTGAGGCACAGAGGGCGCTTGGACAACAGAGCCGAGCACTTCAGAAACAGCTGAAGGAACGCGATGCGGAAGTTGCCCAACTAAAGACAAAATCTGAAGAGGCGACAACTCAACTCTCCTCTGCCCAGTCCGAGGTCAAGGCCTTGCAAACCAAGCTTGCTGCCGCTCGAAGTACAGCAGCGAGCCTCGAAAGTGCGGCAACCAGAGTCCCCGGGAGCGCAATTAAGAATAACGGTGGAAATCGTGCCAATGCTGCTGCATCGGCAGAAGCTGCGCATGCGGCTCAATTCGCGCAACTCAAGGAGGATCTTTACAGTGATCTCACAGGACTCATTGTTCGAGATGTAAAGAAGAGAGAAGACGATTATTTGTATGATTGTATCCAGACTGGCATCAACGGAAGTAAGTTCTCTAGCACCTCCTGCCCCAGACTACATCTAATAAAATGGCAGCTCTACACTTCAAACTGGCTGTTCCCCATGTTTCATCCGCCAATTTCCAAACAGCAGAATTCCAATACATTCCGCTCTTGGATGAGAACCGAGATCGTGACTTGGTCGAGATCCTGCCTGATTATCTCACGGTGGATATAACATTCTCCCGCCAGCAGGCGTCCAAGTTCTATACCAGAGTCATTGATACTCTTACAAAGCGACGCAACAGCTCATCTGCTGCATAGTCCGATCATATCTTGGCTATCTTGACTTTCTTTTTGGATTATTGTGACTATATACCGTCATCGCATGGTAGGAGTATCGGTGGTACAAGGATGTTGGAGTCCGGGATTTTGCATACAGCTCTCAGACGAGTCTTAAGCCTCCCAGTTATAATATTTCTATTATTATTCTCTTCTGTACTACTTGACTCGAGCTTTATAAACTCCGCTCTCACACTAAGAACCGTAGTATATCCAGGGGTTCTGCAATACGTGGCGTGCAGCCCGCCGTAGCCACTTGCCGTGCCGAATCGAGCCCCTCCGATTGGCTGCCGGCGATCCCCAAGTTCCCCAAAAGCGTCTGTCGGAGAGCAGCAGAGAGCAATGCTGCAGCCATCTGCCAGATCGCTGTTTTCTTCTTTCTTCTCTAATTTTTGTAATTATTATCTTTTTTTTTTTTTTTTTGGTCTCTTCTTTCTTTTCGGTTCATCGGTCGGAGCAGGGTTTCAATTGTACCGCTTTCCCCTGTGTCTGGATTTCCGGGCAGGAAATCATGGCGCGTCTCGGCCGCGTTGGGTTTCTGACCCTCGCGGTGGTATTCCACCTAATATACTGCTATTCGATCTTTGACATCTACTTTGTCAGTCCGATTGTCTCTGGAATGAGGCCTTTTGGGGTCGAGCGAGAACCCGAACTTGATGCACCAGCTAAACGTCTGTTCCTATTCGTTGCGGATGGTCTACGTGCCGACAGGGCCTTTGAAGCATTGCCTGACCCATCTCCGGAAGAGCCAGCAGAGCTGGAGAATGATGATCTGATTCATCTAGCGCCATTTATCCGATCTCGCGTCCTTTCCCACGGAACCTTTGGCATCTCCCACACACGAGTCCCTACCGAATCGAGACCGGGTCATGTTGCGCTCATTGCGGGATTATATGAAGATGTGTCGGCAGTCACAACTGGTTGGAAGCTGAACCCGGTGAATTTCGATAGTGTATTCAATCGAAGTCGGCATACATGGAGCTGGGGAAGTCCGGATATTTTGGCCATGTTCAAAGAAGGCGCGGAGCCTGGGAGGGTTGACGTTGATATGTACCCAGAGGAGTTCGAAGACTTCACTACGGATGCAACGCACCTTGATACCTGGGTGTTCGACAAGGTTAAAGAGCTCTTCCAATCTGCTAAGACAGACCCGGAGCTGAATGCGAAGTTGCGCGACGACAAGCTAATTTTCTTCCTGCATCTGCTGGGTCTCGACACCACCGGACACGCCTATCGCCCTTATTCCAAGGAGTACCTGCATAATATCAAGGTGGTGGATCAGGGAGTCAAGGAAATCACAAAACTTGTCGAGGAATTCTATGAGGATGACAAGACGGCCTTCATCTTCACTGCGGACCATGGTATGAGCGACTGGGGCAGCCATGGCGATGGCCATCCGGACAATACCAGAACTCCTCTCGTCGCTTGGGGATCTGGTGTGCCTGGCCCGAAATACGCAGAGGAGGATTCTCCATCTGGACATGAGGACGGGTTTTCGTCGGGTTGGGGTCTTGGAAACATTCGACGCCACGACGTCGCACAAGCAGACGTGGCTGCCTTGATGACCTATCTAGTCGGACTTGACTTCCCTGTCAACTCCGTGGGCCAATTGCCGCTAGAATACATTGAAGGCAGCCCGAAGGAGAAGTCCCTGGCCGCGTTTGCAAACACGCAAGCGGTTTTGGAGATGTATCGTGTCAAGGAGGAGCAGAAAAAAGCAGTGTTACTTCGGTATAAGCCGTATGAGCCTCTTGCAGATCACGGTGAAACATCTCTAGCAGAGCATCTAGCTGAGATAGAGGCTTTGATTGGCAAGGAAGCATATGAAAAGTCAATTAGAATGTCTTCCGAACTACTGGTTACTGCCCTGGAGGGTTTGCGCTATTTGCAGACATACGACTGGCTCTTCTTGAGAACGATCGTTACTCTGGGATACTTGGGCTGGATCGCATATGCGTTGACAACTGTGATTGACTTGCACGTCTTGCATGGAACCTCAAGCTCGAATCGGTCAATGTCTAGTACCATTTTCTTCTCCTCTGCCCTGGTTGCTCTTTTCTCCGTTCTGATGTATCAGCAATCTTCATGGAGATATTATTTCTATGGGTTCTTCCCAATTTTCTTCTGGGAAGAAGTGTTTGCGCGCAGGAAAGCGCTGATTGCTGGCCGCGAGATTCTCCTCAGCCATGTTCATTCTTTCGGTGGATATATGAAACTTGGTGTTCAAGTGTTGGCGTTTGTTGGCGTGTTAGAGGCACTTGTAAGTCGATATCACCTCATCAACAATACATAACTGACATGACTCACAGGTTCAATCCTATTTCTACCGAGAAATCTTCACTGTATGCTTTATTCTGGGCGCCTTGTGGCCTCTCGTGTATGGCATTAGCTTCATTACCAGGCACCCCCTTCTGTCCGCATCGTGGACCATTGGTTGCTGCTTGATGAGCACTTTTACACTGCTTCCTGTTGTGAAGGTGGAGAATGTTACTACGATGTATGGCCGTAATATCCTGGGCTCATGAGAATTTTTCTGACCTTATCACAGAACCTATGGCGCTTTGCTCATGGTGTTTACCGGCATTCTATACTTGCTTTTCGAGGACGGTATTTTGAAGAAGACTGCTTCTTCGGAACAATCTTCACTTAGCTTTAGCAGTTGTGGCTCGCGGGTTGTTATGGGTGCGCAGGTAAGAAATAATCTTGGCTATTCCGTCGAATGGAGTTAATCTTGAATAGATTGGGATGTCTCTACTTGCCCTGATTGTCACCAGATCCAGCGTGGCATCTCTCCAGGCCAAGCAAGGCCTCCCCCTTGGCAATCAAGTAGTTGGGTGGTCGGTTCTTGGTAAGGATCACGGCTATACTGTCAATATAATATGCTAATATTATGGCAGTTGTTTCGCTTCTGCTGCCATTCCTCCACCGGCTGTATCCAAACAGCCATTACATGCATCGTCTGATGGTGCTCTTTCTCACTTTCTCGCCGACATTTATCATTCTCACTATCTCCTACGAGGGTCTTTTCTACTTTGTCTTCTGCATGACCCTCATAACTTGGGTCCGGCTGGAACATGCCATGTATGTGCATACTGCAGCACCCGTCTCCACTGAGCATAATCAGAATAAGAGCAACGGGTCTGCCATTCCAAAGAAGCCAAGCATGGAATCCACAGCGACGGTGGACGGAGAGACATACCGCTACCGTACACTGAGTATTTCCGACGCCCGTGTGGCACTTTTTTTCTTCTTCCTCCTCCAATCCGCCTTCTTTAGTACTGGAAATATCTCTTCGATCTCATCCTTTTCACTGGACAGTGTTTACCGACTTATTCCCGTGTTCGCTCCGTTCAGCCAAGGAGCATTATTGATTCTCAAGATTTTGATCCCGTTTGCCATAATCAGCGCAAACCTGGGTATCCTGAACCGCCGGCTAGAGGTGGCGCCTAGTGCCCTTTTCATGGTGGTTATGTCCATTTCGGATGTGATGACACTCAACTTCTTTTACATGGTCCGGGATGAAGGGTCCTGGCTTGACATTGGCACGACGATCAGCCACTTCTGCATAGCGAGCTTCCTATGCACATTTGTGGCGGGACTGGAGTTCCTTAGCGAGGTGTTTATTAGCGGCGTGGACTTTGGGCCCACGGCGACAGCGACCGGAACGGCTGTCACGCAAGCCGTCAATGGATCTGTGGAGGGGTGTCAGCCCGGGGACAAGACTGGGGCTGGGGATCAGCCGAATGGAACGGCGCGGTCTGAAAAGACGGGCAGCGATGGAGCTGCCACCGAGCGCGATGGTTAACCGGGATGACAGCATCGCGATGTATTGTGATAATAGATTGTTTAATACTACCCATGTTGATAAACCCATTTCCTAGCATTGCTCGTGGACAAACACAGACACGCGTCATTGCACTGTAGTAGATGCCCAATACCCACCTGTAAACCAGAAAGACGACACTAGTCTGGTCGTAGTCTGGGATAGTCGAGCGAGATGCCTCGGAGTCACAAGCCAACGCTCCCATCTTAGTAAGACCGGGCGGGACGAGTGTCTAGACCCGCGTCACCACAAGGGAATTTGTGATCGGAGGATACGGGAGATGGAATGCGGGGAATCATGGAGTTGTATGGAGTTGCGGGGGATTTAGTATAGAATATAGATATGGTATATTTGGTGTTTATGTGATGATATCTTGTTGATGAATTGATGCCAGCACTATGATTGTATGTATGCCTATTACACGCTCTCCACTGAGTACGCCTTTCCCGACCACACCTCCTATACCACGTATAAATATTAACTAATACTATCAAATATCAACATCATATACCTACAATAATAAAAAGAAACGAAAGAAAAGAAACAAGAAGCCGAATCTCCCCGGCCACAACAGCACGACAAACCAACACAATTGGCCTGCATTTCCCCAGTTTCTGATATCATAATCGCAAGCACGTATCCTCTGGGACTAGTTTAACAGCCAAAACACCACTAGTGGCTGTCAGGGGTTGCATCTAAGCTGTCGAGTTAGTTAGTCATTAGCATGAGGGTCAAAGGCATCAAGATAGACGATGGCCTGGTATGATAGATTCCTATTAGTCAAACTAAAATCCATTGCTTTCTCCGCCAAGTGTTCTAATCCAGGGTTCTGGTCAACGTCGATCATCAGCGGATCGTGGTGTGTGTGTATGCCGTGGAGGTAAGGGTGGTGGATGATTTTTGGGGATAGTGGAAATGATCTCCGTGATGGTGATAGAACGAAAGAAAGAGAGAGATAGAGTCGTTGGTGGTTTGTAGAGTGGATTCTGGTGCATTAGTTGGTGGAGAGAAAGCTACCTTGGTGATGTACATGAGGTATAGAGTGGGTGGGTGCATGGTGGTATATCTCAGTCATCAACCGGTGTCTGCTATACCTGCAGGTAGCAAGGGACTCTCGTGCCTGCCAAGTTATCCAACTGGTATCTGATCTCAAAGGGATAATATTCATCTACTAGAGTACTATACAGCTATTATATCCATATTTATATCATATCCATATATATTCACTTATATTTACTTATATATCCATAGTAATCGTAGTCATGTAATCATGCTTATTGCCACTCGCGCCCGCCTCTTCCCACTTTCCGGGGTCTGCGAAAGACAACTCGAGCCATCCAGAATCCATCCAGTTCTGATTATTTCTCTTATTCGTTCTTATTCTCTCTATTATTATCCCAATATTCATCTTCTACTCTCTTCATTCCATCTATTATTCTTTCCCTGTTCCGATCCTTTTTCTTCTCCTTCGCTGCCTGACCTGCTCTCCCGTCCCATCCATTCTTATTCGCAAAAGAAATCATCATAACTCCGCAAGTTGTAAAATAACTTAACCCAAAAACCAGGAACCAAAAAAGAAAAAAAGCGAAGATCCATCCAGACACGAAAAACCCACTGTTCAACCGTCATCATCATTTCCCTTTTGCTTTTTCTGGCTTCTTCGTTCTTATTCCCTCGCCCCTCTTCCATTTGACCTGTCTCGTTCGCTATCCCTCTTCACCCCTCTCGTTCCCCCCCTCCCCCCATCTCCCTTCTCTCCCGGACGCTGTTTCAGTCGTCTCTTGATGGATTAATCCCATCTGGCAATGAGCACTGCAGCAGAATCACGCCACGATCCTGCCGCTTCCAAACCCAGCCCAGCTCCGAGCACTACGGGCTCGACGGGCACTTCGGGAATTACTGTACGCAGCGGACCAAACGGACACATGAGTTTCAGAAGGTGCGTCGATTATCAATATGATAGCTCTCTTTTTTCCACCTCTGCGTTGTGCTGTTCGCGGGGTTGTCGATGGCGGGCGCACGAAAGGAGTTGACCGGAGGCGTTGTCCCTCGAGAGAAATCGAAATACACGAGAAAATTTATATGAATGCTAATTTGTTTTATCTAATCTTTTACAGGCAACGTGCGTCGCGCGCTTGTGAGGTATGCTTTTCGCCTTTCTCTCGTTCTCTCGTTTTTTTGCCTTGCGAGGTCGACGCGACCTAGGTGTTACACTGCGAGCCTCGGCACCTCGGTCCAACCCTCTGTGCCTATCGCGAGCTGCATACAATGTGGCATACAGCAAAAGAAAAGCGAACAAAAAAGCAAAGTATATATTTCCGATGAATGATTGGCTGACGTTTTTCTTTTTTTCTCCTTCCGACAGACTTGCCATGCTCGAAAAGTAAGTTCTATCTTCACTCTCCTTTATACGGGCGCCCCACTCCTGAGAATGCGACCGTTAACAATCCATGTTGCTGGATAGGTCCGTTGCGATGCTGCCAGTCTTGGTGTCCCATGCACCAACTGTGTAGCCTTTTCGATCGAATGCAAGATCCCCACGCCGAAGCGCAAGAAGAATCAAAATAAAGCAAAAGAGAGCGTCGCCAGTGGGTATGTCGCGAGGTTTCCCGTCATCGCCGACTCGACCCAACATGTACTGACCTTCTCTTCTTTCTTTTAGAGGCGAAGAGCGCAACGAGGAAAAAGACAAAACGGAACCTTCGCCCACGGACGACAAAGATGCTTTTGGTTACCAAAACAACCCGATGGCCGTCGATGGTATGCCCGTTACGTCCCTCACGGAAACCCAAGCAGCCCAGCAGGCGACTCACGACTCAGCCTACGCCCAATTCATGAAGCCAAAATTCGCCCGTGCCCCGATTAAAGAAGCCGGAAGGGTTGCATATTTGGGAGAGTCCTCCAACCTGTCGCTCTTGGTTCAGGATCGTCATGGAACAACGGATGTGGTGCACTATCCCCTGCCGCCAAATATCAAAGGATCCCGTGCCAGACTGACCGATTTGGATAACCTCGAACTTGACATTTTGCACCAACGGGGCGCCTTCCTTCTCCCACCGAAACCACTGTGTGATGAGCTGGTTGACGCATATTTCAAATGGGTCGCACCTGTGGTTCCAATTATCAATCGCAATCGGTTTATGCGTCATTACCGAGATCCTAAAAGCCCGCCATCCTTGCTACTTCTCCAGGCGATACTCCTAGCTGGCTCAAGGGTCTGTAACAATGCTCAGCTTATGGATTCCAACGGCTCGACAACTCCTGCGGCCATGACATTTTACAAGCGGGCAAAAGCTCTGTATGATGCCAACTACGAAGATGATCGTGTCACCATTGTACAAGCATTGGTTCTCCTGGGCTGGTACTGGGAAGGCCCTGAAGGTTGGTCTTGTTCCTTCTGCTCAAAATGAAAGAATGGCTTCTGACCTGATATAGATGTTACCAAGAATGTCTTCTACTGGACTAGAGTCGCAATGGTTGTAGCACAGGGATCGGGTATGCACCGGAGGTATGAAAAGACGTCTACACAGCACCTTGACCTGGTTTTCTAACAATGTACAGTGTCGAATCGTCCCAACTCAGCAAACCGGACAAGAGACTGTGGAAGCGAATTTGGTGGACACTTTTCACCCGTGATCGCTCCGTTGCAGTGGCTCTTGGACGACCGATTGGTATCAACACTGATGATTCCGACGTCGGGATGTTGACGGAGGACGATTTCATCGAAGACGAGGTCGATATACCCGCGGAATCCCCATTAGACCCAGTTCACGTGCAGTTTTTCCTCCAGTATGTTAAGCTCTGCGAGATCATGGGACTGGTCCTTTCGCAACAATACTCGGTGGCTTCCAAGTCTAGACGCATGAACGCTATGGACCTCACCCATTCGGATATGGCGCTGGCCGATTGGCTCCAAAACTGTCCCAAGGAGGTGTGCTGGCAACGATCACGGCATCATTTCTGGGCTGCTCTTCTACATGCAAACTACTAGTATGTTATTTCCGCGATGTTGAATCTTGTGCCCAAATCACTGACATCTCTCAAGTACTACACTTTGTCTTTTGCACCGAGCACACATGCCGCCAGCTTCGTCAGCTCCCAGCACCTACCGGGTGGAAGAGATGGCGTATCCGTCTCGTACTATCGCCTTCCAGGCCGCTGGAATGATAACTTCTATCGTCGAGAACCTACAGAATCATCAAGAACTCAAATACACACCCGCCTTCATGTAAGCTACATCACGGTTCATTAACTCATCCTGATACTAACTCTGTCACAGCGTATACAGCTTGTTCTCGGCGCTGATCATGCACGTCTATCAAATGCGATCTTCCGTGCCTAGTATTGTGGCGACCTGCCAAGAGAGAATTGGCATCTGCATTCACGCACTCAAGGATGTATCCAAGGTTTGGCTTGTGGCCAAGATGGTCCACACGCTGTTTGAGTCCATCCTGGGCAATAAGGTTTTAGAAGAACGTCTTCAAAAGGCTGCAGGTAGGAGGCACCAAAGAGCGCGACCCGAGGCCCACATGCCTGCGAAGAGGCAGGACCACCCACCCAAGCGCAAATTCGACGACATGGATCTTGGCTTGCCAAATGGAGGTCCCACGCCCCCTGTTTCTTACGAACGATCTCGCCCCCAGACGCCAGCTGTTACGCCCTCCAGAGAGATGGGCCAACCCCCGGCTATAGGCGTACAAGGCTCGCCGAATCCACCCCGTGAAACATTGCCTGGAACTGGCGCTTCTCGGGGCAACACACGGCCTACAACACCCTTTAATGGCCAGTTCTCCCTACCCGCGACACCCCCAGACCTCTTCCTCGTCACGCGTACCTCCCCCAATCTCTCTCCGTCTCTTTGGGAGAACTTCCAGCCTGACCAACTATTCCCCGATGGAACGGCCATCTTCCCAGAGCTGGCCTCTCCACAAAATAACCCGGTTGACCCTCAGTTGCAGATGCAGACGCACCTCCAGAACCAAAACATGCAACGGTCTATGATGAACCAGGCTCCGATGCCGGGCCGTAGTCTCTCTGGTAGCCAGGGAAGTCCTCAACTTCTCTCAAATATGCCTCCTGCAATGGGATTGCAAACACCTCAGCAACACCCTCAAATGTTTGGAATGGAGAATCAGCAAGCATGGCCAATGCAAGGACTGGATGCTCCTTTGAGTGGCGCGGCGCTGGACGCTGCGAGCCAGGACGACAATTGGAGCAGCAGCTCTCGCAGTGGACCAACTGCGCCCACAACCCTCAATGTAGAGGATTGGTATGTTTTTATCACCCATTACCCATTATCTTCATGCTCGTATCGTCTAACCAGTTAGGTTCCAATTTTTCGGTATCAATGGGAGCTTTGGTGACTTGGCGGCGTAAGCTGGAGGGATAATTCGCAGCTATTCAAGCATTTTTAGTCCATTACTTCTGGCCTGTATAAACATCAACAATTTTCGATTGCAATTGACCGCTGGCTGGCGACTTAATTCGATTTACCGTTCTATCGGAGGTTTTCTCCAGCTGTTGCGATTTTCTTTTCCGATGGTAACATATTTGGATTCGACGTGGATCCTCCATTGCATATACATCTGTTCTACTGTCGCTGTCTATGGGATATCTTGCTATCTGCGGTATGTGATACCACTTTGTCGACTGGGATTTCTACTAGATTTTGTCCTGTCTGGACTTGCTTTATTCTGGGTGATTCGGATGGAAGTCTGTCACGGCTTAGGGTAGCGCTGGCATATGAATGTACTGTCTACAAGACAGACCTGATCAATCTCATAGACAATGAATAACCCAAACCATATCTGTGACACTGAATTTCTGAATAGTGGCATATCAGCTCCACTAATAGATTTCCTAATCTGGAGCGATGGTGTGATTGCTGCTTATCCCAAAATGGCCTAGTGCATGACGAAATTCGCCCAGCGGGCCGGTCGGCCAATGACAGCGCGGGATTTGCATCGGCGACGATCCAGTCATTCGCATTCTTCGAGTGACTCTTTTTCTGGGGATCCAAAGTTGTTTCTTCCTCTTTATTTTCCCATCTCCTTCTTCCTATCCCAAACTCTCTGCATTGACTCGACTGAATTGCCATCGCGAGTCTTTCCGCGTTCTTCCTTTGACTTTGTCGTTATCCTCCCCATCCTTCCTCTCTCTTCTTTCCCGCCTCCCGCATCCCCTTGCCGACCCACCCCGCAGCGATGTCGGCCTCAGGTTCAGAATTGCCCACCGCTGGTTCTTCAGCAGCTCCCAATGCTTTGAAGAAGGCATTCCCTCATGTTGACGTCGAGGGTCACGATCTCCCTCCTTCCCCTACTCCTTCTAGCCCGCGTACGGGCAAGCGCTATGCCATTGCTACTGAGCTTGTATACACCGACTCCAATGACCAGTACAACGCGAGCAGTGTCCCGATCTACCAGGTATGAGTTGCATATATGATGTTAGTTTCATTAAGAGTTCCATTTGGCTAATATATGTCGATACAGAGTGCCACATTTAAGCAAACTTCCGGTGGTGGAGGTGGAGAGTATGACTACACTCGCTCTGGTAACCCGACCAGAACGCATCTCGAGCGACACCTAGCCAAGGTTATGTCCGCTCAGCGTGCTCTGGTTGTGTCCTCTGGCATGGCTGCTTTGGACGTTATTACACGATTGCTTCGTCCTGGTGATGAGGTGGTGACTGGTGATGACCTGTACGGCGGTACCAACCGTCTCCTCAAATACCTGTCGACCAACGGTGGCATTATTGTGCACCACGTTGATACCACGCAGCCAGAGAAGGTGGTTGAGGTGCTGAGCCCGAAGACGGCGATGGTTTTGCTCGAAACCCCCACGAACCCGCTCATCAAGATCGTCGACATCCCGCGCATCGCCGCGTCGGCACACGAAGCCAACCCCAACTGTCTTGTGGCTGTTGACAACACCATGATGTCTCCCCTTCTGCTGAACCCGCTTGAGCTGGGTTCGGACATCGTCTACGAGAGTGGTACCAAGTACTTGTCGGGTCACCACGACCTTATGGCGGGTGTCATTGCCGTCAACGACTTGGCTCTCGGAGAGCGGCTGTTCTTCCCCATCAATGCCTCTGGATGTGGACTGTCGCCCTTTGACTCGTGGCTGTTGATGCGTGGTGTGAAGACACTCAAGGTCCGGATGGACCAGCAGCAGAGCAACGCACAGCGCATTGCTGAGTTCCTCGAGTCGCACGGCTTCAAGGTGCGGTACCCCGGACTGCGGTCACACCCGCAGTACGATCTCCACCACTCCATGGCGCGGGGTTCCGGAGCTGTCTTGTCGTTTGAGACTGGCAATGTGGAAGTCAGTGAGCGCATTGTTGAGAGCGCCAAGCTGTGGGCGATCAGTGTCAGCTTCGGCTGTGTGAACAGTTTGATCAGTATGCCCTGCCGCATGAGCCATGCCAGTATCGACGCAAAGACCCGACAGGAGCGGGCGATGCCTGAAGATATTATCCGACTGTGCGTGGGTATTGAGGATGTGGACGATCTGATTGACGACTTGCGACGAGCGGTAAGTTCTTCTCTATCTGATTAATTGGTTGACGTGATTCTAATTCTTTGTATAGCTCGTCCAGGCTGGCGCTGTCAATGTGACATTGGATGGCATTGAGGCGAACACCTCTGTGTAATGATCTGATGTCGGTTTTTGTAGTCGCCACAAGGCGACTCATGTCTTTTTTTTTTTTTTTTTTTTTTGTTCATATATCATCCACGGCGTTTGGGGAGTCAAAATTTAGCACGATCATGAGCAGTAGTAAAAGCATACCATGTATCCTCATCATCTATATCTATATCTATATCTATTATCTATCTTGGTATATCTCCATCTCCACCCCCGGAATCTCCATCGGGGCTAAGGCCGGCATCGGAGCGACTTCCGATCCGGGGCGTTCTCGTCAGCCCAAGATTCGGCATCGCTTCGATCGGCTCTGCGTTTGCCCTCGCGGCTTTTTCTTTTCCCTCGTTCCTGATGAGCAATCGATCTCGATGATGTTGTAGCTTCTTTTTTTTCCTTTTCTTCTTTTGTGTAATATCTATCTTTCTCTGTATCTTGTTGCCATATCTCCATCCCGTACTACCCCCATCCCGTCTTCCGCGGGTGTTTATCTTGTTATCAATCGTTATTAACGGAGTCGCGTTCATTCGTGGGATTCCGGCCTTTGCTTTTTTTCCTCTTTTCTCTCGTCGCCTGTCGACTTTAGATTATGTCTCGCGATGCTGTTTCTCAGTGTGCACCTCTCGCCATGTCCACAATCTCTGAACGCCCCTTGTCGCCAACGGCAGCAACGCCATGGAACACCAAGAACCTGGGGATGCGCCTTGGTGTAGATACTGCCAGTGCTGCCGCGGCCGGAGCTTTAACGTGTCCGGTCATCACGGTCATTGATCGGTAGGATTTGACTGTGTTGAAAAGAAAACAATCCGGAAGATACTGACTGTGTTTGCTTTAGAGCTATCATCGAGAAAGCCGCCAAGGGACTCCCTATCGGCCAGACTATTTCGTCCTGCTTTGGTTCGATGCTGCGAAAACCCAGCGGATTCTTCCTGAGCACACCTTTTCTCCTGATTTACACCTTGTACACCTCGACCTATTTGACCGCCAATGTCATCGATACTGTTACCTCGACGTTGCGGAATCAGTCCTTTTCCACCATCTTCCCAGGCACGGCGAAATTTATCACGACGACGGCGGTGAATATGGGTATTTGCGTATACAAAGATGCCAGATTTGCTCGGATATTCGGGGCACCACCACCGCCATCATCGACACCGAGAAGCGCGCCGCCCCCTGTCAAGAAGGTCCCCAATGTTTCATATGGCCTCTTCTGTCTCCGCGACAGCATCACCATTTTTGCATCGTTTAATATTCCAGCGTTGATTGCGCCCTCGATACCCGATTACGTTGCCTCCACACCCGGCATGAAAGCCGCGATTGCTCAATTCTCGTGTCCCGCGCTGATGCAATTCGCCAGCACACCAATGCACCTGCTGGGGCTGGATCTATACAATCGCCAACCGGCGGGTGGACTAGGGTGGCAAGAACGGTTATTGCGTATTCGACGCGATTACGTCCCTAGTTGCTTTGCGCGAATGGGCAAGATTGTTCCTGCGTATGGTGTTGGTGGTGTTGCTAATGTGCGGATGAGAACGGCTCTGATGGAACGATTGGAGCAGAGCTCGTGATTGTCCCATTACCATTTACATTACCTCTTGCAGCGCTTTATTTTTTCTCGTTTATTTTTTATTGTAATTTCTTTTTTTCGACTGACTATTTACTAATCCTGGACATGACTCCCCTCACGGTTCCCCTGACTATCATCAGGCATGGATTTGGATATGGATTCGTTTGGCATATAAGACTTGAGTATATTTGCTGTTTAGCTGAGATAGACATTATGATTTGGGCTCGCCTTGTTTTGTTTTGTGTATACATTGGATCTGGCGATTTGTTTTTGTCATTTACTTACTACTCGTGTATTGGGTATCTGGTCATGTTGGCGTTGGTGGATGGATATATCTGCTCTGTCCGTGATTTGGACTCTTACTATTTGGGTTAGGATGGTATTCGGTAGATAGATAGATTAAGTTGTCTTGTACGTAGACTAGATTAGACGTATTCGATACTGTTCATTCAATAGAGATCTGGGTTTCGCTACCTCCAACAACTACGCAGCACATGAACATAAACATGTATAACTAACAGGATTTGTCTAGAATGACATGGGGATAGTTGATACCACGTGACATGTGATCATATACAGCATCCTCAGGCTGGCCTCCAGAGCTCGAGAGAACATCTACGGCCATTTTTTCGTTTATGGGATTTCTTCCCCTCTTGATCTCCATTATTCCCAAGTGCCATGTTCTCTATCCTCAGAACCTTCAGAGCAATACAAATACACCGCCATCAACCAGTAGCCAAACTATCCATTTCATGTCGAGGTGATTGTGACCAAACGCCAATACATGGGAATTGTTCTAACAATTCCACCAGGCAAGCCAATCAACCGTGAAGACCTATTCACATATACAAATGGTCACTTCCTCATCAACGAGAAACACCAGCTCGAGCGGCGCTATGTGAAATTTGACATTGATGCCCTTTGCGACGCAGCCAGCAGCAGCAGTAGCGATGGCGCATCATCTCGAATAACAAGTATCGAAAAGATGGAAGGAGGATTCAGCAAAGCTCTTTAAATGACAAGGGAAGATGGGAGGGAGGTCATTGCGAAGATTCCCTTTCGGATTGCCGGGCCGGCGTGTTTGACGACTGGGTCTGAGGTTGGTGGAATATCGTATGCACTCTTTCTCCCTCTATATGGTCCAGATTATTGATGTGGGATTTAGTGAAAAAACACACAAATATTCCAGTCCCGCGAGTCCTTTCATGGTCTTCGGATGAAACGAATCCTGTTGGTGCCGAATACATTATCACGGAGAAAGCTGCAGGGGTTCCATTGTTCCAGCGATGGGGGGAGATGAGTGACTTCAAGAGACTGGAACTCATAAAGAATTTGACGCAGCTGGAGGCTCAGTTCTCTGCTATTTCGTTTCCTGCGTATGGCGGGCTACTCTTCGGTCAGCTACAGACAACTCAAAATATCAAACCCTCGACGAGAGTATCGATCCATCAAACTCATTTTGTATTGGGCCATCCTGTAATCGCTCTTTTAAGGCTGATCTAGCACCCAAATCCGACATTGGTCAAGGGCCTTGTAAGTTTTCGGAGTCTTAGTTTACCTAAGCTAATCCACTCGACAGGGAGCACAATATCAAATCTTGGGATAGCTATTGCTGAGCGAGAATTATCTCGAATTTCAAACAAGCATTTCGATGGACGGGCAATGTTCCATCAAGGAGGCGTTGAAGAACAAAGCCAGCTTCTAAAATCTACCATGGACCTCATGCACACATTGGACTCGAACCCAATAGTCACACGGTCTGCCCGACCCACACTGTGGCATACGGATCTCCATATGGGAAATATCTTTGCTTCGCCCGAGGAGAGCTCGCGGATAGTTTCCCTGATTGATTTCCAGTCTGTGTCGGTGTTTCCGTTCTTTCTTCAAGCCCAATGGCCCGTATTTCTGAAACCCCGGCAGAATTTTGTGAAAGGACTCGTACAGCCAAAGCTTCCTGATGGCTTTGAGGAACTCGATGAATAAGGCAAGGCTCTTGCTCGACTAGAGTGTCTCAGGCAAAGTTAGCCAAGGCATACGAAGTTTCAACCTACCTTGAAGACAGACCTGCGCACAATGCCATGAAACTGCCTCGTGTCTTCCGAGAGCTTCTTATTCGCTGTGGAGAGGTTTCCGAAGTTGGAATCGTCCCGCTTCGAGAATGCTTGATAGAAATCTCTCAGAACTGGTCGGATCTGGGCTTTACTGGGCAATGCCCCTTTTCATTCCGAGAAGAAGAAATCAATTCACACCAACGCCAGTTTGCTGAATACGAAGCCTGGAATGAGGCCCAGCATCTTGCGCAAGAATGTCTGGATACTGACGCTGAAGGATGGGTGGCTCCAGAACTAGATATCAAGGAAAAGCAAAGGCAGAATAAAGAACTGCTGTCCATGTACATTGAACGGATGGCTGGAGAGAAATCACCAGAGGAGGCGAGAGAGATGTGGCCATTTGCGGACCAAGTATGAGCGTTAAGATTTTGCTCGGTTTTGTATATACGAGTAGATATTGTACAATTGATATTTTGATATTTTGATATGTTGATATTTTGTATGGATAGATTAATAACTTGGATAACGATCTGGAACTTCAACTTCCCTGATAATCTAGCTACTGGTGATTCTATCGCTTTAGATACATGAAGCTTTTGACACTAGTAATAAGTGACCCCTACTCCTATACAAACAACCTGATATTTAACACTCCTGTGCCATCATGTATAAGACTATGATGGAATGATGAGAGGCGTAGATTCCAGAGAGCCACCGATCAGGGCAGCTATGGCTATTATATAGACATCGCCCAACAAAGACAAAGTAATAAAGAATCAGTGCAGATGACAAAGAGAAGGCTTCAATAGGTCTGTAGGGGCAAGTCCAGTAGCAGATGGCAGACCTCCATTGCAGACCAATCACGTTCACAATCAGCTGGTTTATCATCTTGCAGACTGCAGATGGCAATCGAACTGGCTTGGCTGTTCATTTTATGCCGAATTCGTTGGTCAGTGATGAATGGGACCACTGATAGGTGTATTGATGTCATTTTGAGCACTTTAAGTCTTCAGTCAGCGACAGCTATCTATATGGTGCTGTAAAAAAGGACAAGAGAGTGAATATAAGGAATGGAAGCTTACTTCTCGACCATCAAAATGGTATCATGGCATTTCGGTGAGACACATATTATCATCATAATAGAGGATTTATCAGCGCTCTTGCTAAGTATCCTGCGCAGCTAGTGCGAGTACTATCAGCCCCAGCGTCAGCATATGATAGTCCTTGAAGATGTGACCCTTGTATACGTAGGGCAGGTTATTGACGACCCTAGTTTGGACTCCAATATCGGTAGCGAAAATCTGTGGTGTTGTTGTTCGACATGATGGTTGCTTTTCATCGTAAAAAATTCCGTTTGTTGTAAAAGATCCTGCTTAATGAGTATCGTTTGTTCGTAGGTTGAGATGAACCCGAACTTCGTCCCCCCATGCTTCATGTACCAATCCACTTGGCCTGTGTAGAAAGAGTACTTCAGGTAATCGATATACTTGGGGTCACATTCTGCCTAATAAACATAATTTGTTCATAATGTTGGGAGAACATGTGGTATCTGATGATGTTTGTCAGTATACTCTTGTTCATATTCAGGTGTTTAGTCACATACCGTTTCTTGTATATGCCTTTTTTATGGTAGTCAATGATATATATCATTATTTCCATTGCCATTTGAGTGAGTTGGGATCATGAGTTCTTGAGGAGTCGGAATGGCTTTACCTCGACGATTGCAAGGACATTACCAGTGCCTGTCTCGTAGACATCCGTCATTGATGGCACTGAGCTGAGCATAACCAAACAGAAACACAAGCCTCTTTTTAAGGAGCTCCCACCCAAGTTTACTCTTGCGGCACCTTGTGATAGCTGAGAGCAATGCCATCAGGGCAGAGTTCACACCAATCCAGCTCGGGGACAAGTGCAAGCATGGTGTCAAACCGGTCGTTCGATTGTAGACAGATATGACGCTGAGTGACATGTAAACCCTATGTCGAGCCATACGCGGGGAGGGAACGTCTTTGGTCGCAGACCAGTCCCATGTTATGAGAAACTGTCCCCTTTGGATCTCTGATGTAGAAATCCCCGATCGATTGTAGTGTGTGTTTGGTGAGATAAAATCTGGGTATGTCTTGTGATTCTTCACATTCGTGTCTCGATGAATCCCGGCCTTGAAGTCAACCCATTGGAAGGGAAGTTCAAGTGGGATCAACTGCGAAGTATCTCTGGCTTGGTGATATCAGGAACATTTCACCGCGATCTTGTGATATCATGATTCGACTAGAAGGTAGTTAGCCTCAAGAAGCAGTAAAAGCATGGTATGTTAGAACACTTATTGGTCGTTCAAGGCCAGGACTTTTCGGACATGTCCACACGACGCCGTTGAATCTCTGCTTCGTCTTCCCATGGTATTGAAGTGGAAGCGAGCATAAAATCTCGGGGGTGCTTCGAGTCTCTCTAGATGGTGTGCATGATTGTCCTTTCGATACCGCTCAGACAGAGACCTGGTTCCTGTATCTAAAATGCTGAATATCGACCGAAGACATTGACATCGCTGGTGGATCTGACGCCATCTTCATTGCCTACGCAAGAACCTGCTCGTTCAGCTTCAAGGCAGGGAATGTATGTCAGTATTAAATTGACCAACAAAACAGTAGATGAGAGATGAACTGCACATACCCAAATGCTAAATTTATTCTCCGCGAACTTTGATAGGATTATATGCTCAGCATAGAGTTTTTATCCATATTTGGGAGACCAGCAAGTGACTATCAAATGTTAACTGCAATTCTAAGACGGAGGCGTGATACTCACTACTTGTACTCCAATCCATCCGGGTATACAGCAAGCCATTGTATAACTATCCATGTTTATATCTCATGTCGTATTTGGGAGATAGCTTCGGCCCTTTGTATGCTTTTGAAGGCTTCCCGAGATATCTGGCTAGCTGACCTGGGAAAGATTAGCATTTCAACGAGCTCCAGAATTCAAGATAACAAATACCCAGGCATTTATCTCTGGCGATGTAGGCCGTATGTCTGCATTTTTAGTGTGCAGATCCAGGCTTGTATGAAACAAGCTTCTTGTAATCTGCCCATCTGGTATTTGGGTGCTGACAGAATTGGATAGCATCGTTTTGAAATGTTGATGCAGACTATCCACTCCGGTCTTCAGGTACTCTGCATATCCCGTACCGGGCTTTGCGAATGTGAGATATATCTCGTCCCTGTCCTGTGATACTAACAGGCGACTGAAAGGTGATGCACATTAGTAGACTCGCTTGGATGAATAGAGAACTGCACTTACATGCCGTATATAGGTACGTATATGTAACTCGGTTTTCCTCGGCATCAAATGGTGCTGAAAGAGTCAGAACCAGATTTAATCATGAGTGAGATCAGTTACATACTGTCCATCGTTGTATCTGAAGACTTCGCTCTCTGCATCGCAGGGATCCTTGGGGGTGAAACCCGAGGCAGAGCCGTTCACCCATGTGGCCATTGCACCATGCTGATAAACCTGCAAGGTTATGGATACGAGGTATAGATGCGACTGTAAAATTCCATATTAGCAAGAGGTTCAAGATAATTTCGTACGCATTGATCGCGTGGTTCTGAACGTAGGACGGGTTGTCTGGTGGAACACATACGTATACTATACTATCTGTACACGAGAGATTAGTATTCTGTGTCTCAAAAAAGGAGTGAGAAGGAAACATACATAGTTGTATATAAAAGATGAATCATATATACGACAAGGAGAGGAGCCCAAAACTCCAACTCTGCCCTTCCCTGAATCCATGAGAACAGCAATTATTTATCTGTGAAATTTTCAAATGAGGGAACAGATTGCATCAGTCTTTCGTCTTCGACGATCAGTTGGGCATCATCTTATTATCTGCAGGTTTCCGGGTTCTGTTAGTTTCATGCAGTGTGATGATCCTATGTAGTACAGGTCATCTCTGCTGATTGCTGCGTCTATGAGGAGAGTCTTTGGGATTGTCATGTGGCTTTTTGATCAGCATCCTGCGTATGCTGTGTGACGAGAGATGGTGGTCAGCTTTGGTTGGGGATTGAGGATTTATGGATGGTTGCATTGGTGAATCTGGCTATTCCTATTCTTGAGTCAAGCATGGTGAATCAATCAGATGAAATGATGACAGATTATTGAATTACAGTACCTTTGTAATAGGTGGAGACTACTGCACAAATCTATGTCAAGCAAACTGCATTAGCCCAAGCCATGTTGACTGGGATGAATCAACCTCGCAGGTAAAATGTACATGAGAAGAGACCTGGTATTTTGAGACATCTAGTCCCGAAGAAAGAAACAATTCCCGCGGTATCCCCCTTTACTCCGTAGATCAAGCCAAATTCATTACCAACTAGGACGGTGAGCTTCGTCTCGTAAACAGGCCAGAGAAATACTTACGAAAACGATTCGGTGTGCAGATACACATCCTCGACATTTCCTTTTAGAACGTCGCGTTGCGCCTCTGCTGCAGCATTCCGCGTATCATGCAGCATAGACGAAGGACCGCAAACGAAAACGCCAACGTGCTTGCCCGTCTCCCCGTTTGTCGCTGACGCAATGATCTGGGGCAGATTGGGCCGGAATTTGTTGTGGACGCTAACGCTGGTAATGTCGGGCTTGGGCAGTTCCTTGCTGCCATCGTTGGCTGGGTCTGAAGTGGTTTGGTTGGATGACTCGGCCTGCGACGTGATGTGAACCGACACTGATACCTCCTTGGCTGCATCGTAGGTTGAGATCATCGCTTCAATGGCTTCGATATACCACTCTGCCACTGCGGTGTTCCGGGTGGCAAAAATAACATGGATGTGCTGTCGTTGGGCCCCGCTGTCGACATTCTGTTTGTCTACTGGGAACTGACGGAGCCTAAGGGCCTCCTCGATAATGGCCAGCGAGAACCCGCCTCCCGAGCCACCAGAGATGACAAGGATTTTATCAAACTCGGCCAGAGCTGTAGGTGTCATTCCACCATAAGGCCCCTCTAACACGACCTTCTTCGATGCACCCGGGCTTTTGGCTGCTATTTTGGCTAGACGTCCTGTGATGCCACGTCTTGGCTTGATGTAGAATACAATTTCAGATGCCTTGCCGACCTTATCGGGGTCGTAGGAGAGTGAGCAAATCGTGAACGGATGGGCGGTTAAGGAGTGCAGGCCTAGTGTGAAAAAGCGGACAAAGATGTGCTGACCCGGACGCCACGAAATGATGGTGGGGATCTTGACCCGGACGAAGCCGCAGGGGAGGAGGTCGATCGAAGCATAATGCACGCCGTGGAGAAGGTAGGTACGGATCTGAGCCGCGAAGAGGGAGAGCAGGTAGACGGTACCCGTTGCGACGAAGTAATCCCTGTTTATCTATTAGCAAACGCATCGATTGGCAGTCAGATGATACCTGTAACATACCAGGAAGAGAGACGGAAGTCGCAATGGAAGAAAAAGAAAATAAGAAAAAGCAAAGCAGCCAGGAAGTGCGTTGCTTTGAAGAATTCATAAAAGCGGTTCCTATATCGGTTAGATTTTCCACCAAACCTGCATCAGATATCGTACCGAATAGATGGCAATGACATAAAAGTCAAATAGGCCTGGGGAATAATGGCTGCAACTCCAGTCCAGTAAACGACACTTGTGTTCCACTCCTCGACCATGTCTCCCTTGTTGATATGATAGATGATAAAGGGGAAGGTGTGGATCAAAGCCAGAACAAACATGGCATAGCTGGTCCAGTGGTGGAAAACCTATCACGTTTAGCTTCTATATTTGCGTCGAAGACGGTAACCCTACCTGCAGTTTCTCATGCGGAACTCCAGTCAATGCTGAAATCAGATTGGCTTTGGCTCCTAGGGCCCTGTTTCAATGTCAGCATTGCTGTTATTGATTAGTCTGAAGGATACTAACATCACAAATGGCAACAAAGCCAAAGCCATCCATCCTGTTCTGGTTGCAATGGGTGGACTGCTTCCATAAGAGACGCCCTGGTCAGTAGGCCAATAATAGGGCTTAGGGCCAAGTATCATGGCTTTCAATAATCAGCAACTTGTTTCTATCCTATCTTGAAGGGAACAAACCGAAAAAGAAAACCGTTCCAACGACCCCCAACAGAATCACACCCAGCGAAGGGGACCAGTACCGCAGCGCAGGCATACGGAATCCCTTGTAGGCCAGATACCGCATCGTAGCCGTCGCCTTTCTCCAGGCACCGCTTTTCTTGAGACTAACCGGGGCATATTTGGAGAGAAAATGCGCAATGGCAAACACTCCGACAGTCGCGCAGAGGAAGTAGATGGTATTGAGGGCATACACATGATCCGATTCATACCTAGATATAGATATTATTAGCACCGTATTCAATATCAAGTCTATGAGAGATAAGTACCAATATCTCCAGTGGTAGTTGCGGTAGGCGCATTGCTCCGAAGTAAATTTGCTGCAACTATCAGCTCTGGACGAGTGAAGCATCACCGGCTGATCGAGCCATGGCAGACCGACAGTCTTTTCAGACATGGCCATGTCCATGCTGCTGCCACTGTCCATGTTCATCATCCTGGGCAATCTTGACACGCGACAGACAGCCCCTATTGGGAAGAGAGACTGACTCGACGATCCTCTGCCAGATACCTGTCTGGCTTGAACGTGATGATCGTCAACCTGTCAAGCTGATTTAGCTCTGGGATGGAAAGGGAGAAGAGAAGAGCAGGGAGAAGAAGCGAGAGGAAGAGAAGAAGAGGACATGATTTCTGCTGGATGCAACCGTGAGTGAATGCTGTATCATCCTCTGCCCCCGTCGAGTAACGCAGCCTGTATTGAGTGTATCCAAACCGGTAACCGTACGGTTTGGCATGGATTCGGTATTGCAGGGCTGTGATTGGCTGGTATCCCTGTACTCCAGTGCCTCAAATAGGAATAGCGGCTGTTAAATGCTCACAATTGAGCACATTTCTGTGTCTCAAGTGGGTCCACGTGCATATAAGCTTTATTTCTTCCTTTTTTTTCGCTTTTCCAAGGGGATTTTTTCATCCTGTGAGGTTTTGATTATTTGATATGAACTCGCGATGGACAGACCGTTTAATATCAGATGAGCAGATTTGCGTGGGATTGGCCTGCTTGGACCTCCTCGTGGACGGTGGACGGTGGGCCATAGCATCATATCTCCCTCAAGCGCAGGGCATCGTCATCCCACTCATCTACGGCTCGCAGCACGAGGCATTCCACGCGGTTCGGAGATTTATGCGCATGTATTGACAGCTGGCTATGGCGGGTGATAATCAAATAACATTAAATCCAAAACTAATCCATATCGTAAATATCGTAACAGACATCTTCATCCAAGGTATCTAATCTAGTTCGTTTGTTCCACGGAAATTGGTGATACAGAAATAGTAGCCGGATATGGCATATCAGACTTGACAGTGTCCACACCTCCATCGCCCCAGAGACCGTGATCTCTCAGTGCCTGGTATCCCCCTCGCAGACTATCGGCCTCGATGCCCTTGGCTCGTAGCACGCTGGTGGCCACGCGGGCTGTGTCGCCATTATAGCAAATGACCAGTACATGGTGATTCTGTAGTTGCGAGATGGCATTATCTTTTGCGAAAATGGACTCCAGTTCCAACCACTGCGCTTCCAACACGCTAGGATCGGAAAAGGGCTTGGGGGTATGTGAGTCGACGCTGTGGAGGGGAATATTCACCGATTGTGGGAGATGCCAGGTGGCAAAGTCGGTTGCAGTTCGCAGGTCCAGGACGCAACATTGGGGGCGGAGGACAATATCATTCAGGAGACTTTGAGAGAGGAGCTTAGGAGGCTCGTAGAAGTGGGTAAAGAGGACGACAGGACTTCTTTCCCAGCTCTCGTCATATCGGTGGAGGTCGACTTTAGTCAGTCTCTGTTGATGGACAGATTAACAAGTGCAATTAGATTGAGCATTGGGGGTAAGACGTACCTCGTTGTGGATGGGATGGAACTTTTCCGGCGCCACCTTTTGGAAGTATTCACTAATGTACTGGTATGGCAAGTCACAGCAGAGGAAAACGCAGTGAATCGATCCATCCGGTCCAGCAAGCTCTGATAGAGTCCCCGCCGTCTTACGACCTTTTAGCATCTGGAACAACCCTTGCAAGTTGAATCCAGATGAAGGACCACAGACCAATCCCTCACGGCACAGGTCAAGAGACAGTGTGAACGAGTCTGGCGAATTGACCTCTTCAATCGCGTCCACGGCCGCCTTCCACGGAAACTCGACGGGGCGCATGAGAGCAAAGGAGCGTGGTCCCGGTACACGATCGCCAGGCGCCGTGCAGACACCTAGCCGTAGCACCGACGGTTTCACATCCTTGAAATATGTTCCCAATCCAGTCATGGTCCCCGAGGTTCCCATTCCGGCGCACAGCACGTTAATCTCAGGGAGCTGTTTGAAGATCTGCGGGCCTGTCCAACGGATATGTGATTGCCAGTTATCATCATTCTCGTACTGGTTGGGATTGAGAATGTCATCAGACTGCATGGCCATCCTGCGGGCATTCTGAATGCCACCCCGCTCGTCAAAGGGTTCTGGCTGTGACGGTCCACCGAATAGGGAGATGTCGAGGCCAAAGAACTGCATGAGACGCAGTTTGGCTTCGCTGGTCTTGTTGCTCAGGTAGGCTCTGGTGTCTTCGATCCCATGAATGGCTCGGGCAATCATGGCCATCGAGATGACCGTCGAGCCTGAGCTATATTCGATGATGGTTTTGGTCTTGTCCGGCACGACACTTTTTTCAAGCATGTTCATGGCTACTAGGGTTAGTCTGGCAGTGTAGTATTGTATCCTCAAATGCATACCTGGCATGGATTTCACATTGTTGGCCGGATGCATCGTCATCATCTTTGCGTAGATCCGGACGCCATCTTGGTGATAGGGATTCAAATGGATTGGGAGTTCCACGAGAGGAAGAGGAGGTTGAGAATCAGGGTCAAAGTACTTCTTGACCGCATCAGGTCCAAAATATACATTGCGTTCATTAAAGGTAGACATGTTGAAGATAGGAATAAAGAAGATGAAGAGTCCATCTGCCTGGAATCACGAGGGGAAGCCACCAAATTATAGCAACACCAACACCGAGCACAAAACCCCTCATTTCTGCCGTCAACAACAGACACAATTCTAGACCCACAGAAATCAAATTCGACAGTCAGAGAAATAAAACTTTGTATTCCTGCTTCAGGAAGTTCTTGCGCCTTGACAAGACCACTAATGTCTCGACGGCCGACGGATTGTCGTGACTGCCACTATGAATGGCACCTTGAGAGGACCAGATATCCTGGAACAAGACAAGATCTACAGACCCTGTATTCTCGTTTGGTGGTTCTTCTTCAGTTCCTACACGGGTATCCCCGATCGTCCGTGATGCTTCTTTCCTGCCAAGTCATTCAGCATCGTCAAGAGGAAAAGTTCCTCTCCCAAGGTCCCTGGTGACTCGCTTCTTCTCGTCTGTACAACATCGATATAAACATCCGCAGGTCCTCGGGCCAAGTCGACAAGAATATTGGCATTCGATAGCCTCAAAATACGAATCTGCTTTTGGCCCTAGTGAGGACCTTGATGAGTCTTTTTGAGCAGGTTTATTTCCCACAGATCATCGTCGTGCAGATCGCCCCCGCCAGACTACCCATGCTCGCCATCGCGTTCGGACCTGTCACCGAGACAGAATCATGTCACCTTCGCTTATATTCAATTCGGGTTTGGTTCTGGTTACTTGAAAAGTCATGGTAATAATGGAGAGTGGATCTGAGGAATCGGATGGTTCTGGCACACGGGCGGTTGGATGCGACGGTTTAAAGGCTCTGGCGTTGCTCGCCAGAGACTGAAATCAGCGCGTTCCCGCGACATTCAGTTGAGTTTCGGCTGAAAAAGAGAGCATCATGTCTCCTGTTGCTGTCAATGAGCTGGGGCAACCCAGCCCTTCGGCTTCATCGCCTTCTTCGGATAATGTGGAGGCAAACACAACAGGGCCTGTCTTCAACGAGCAAACCAACTATGTTCCCAAACGGACTATTATCACGGTAAGCGCGGCAAGAATATCTATTACATACTGCCTCTGGTTACTGACTGGCTGTGAGATTTTCCTGGCATGTTCGACCGTCGACTTTGTCGCGTTGATGGACCAGACGACCCTGGCCGCCAGTACGTCCATCATCGGCAATGCCCTGGGAGCCAGTGACCAAACATCGTGGATAGCCGGAGGTTATTTTGTGTGAGTTCTAATCGTCTATGGGTCTTCTTTTACCCGTCATTCTTATTAATATTAATATTGTGCAGTACTTCCACATGCTTCCAATTGCTCTACGGACGTCTGTCCGACATCTGGTCTCGAAAGCTCGTTCTCTTCGTTGGCCTCGCCATCTTCTTCTTCGGGTCCCTAGCTGCATCTCTCGCCCAAACCGTCACCCAGCTAATTGTCTTTCGAGCTTTCACTGGTGTAGGCGGTGGTGGTTTGATGACCGTGGCACAGATGATAGTCAGCGATGTAGTCCCGCTCCGTGAAAGAGGAAAATACCAAGGCATCCTCGGCGCCGTGGTAGCAATTGCTAACGGTGTCGGTCCTGTCGTCGGAGGAGCCCTATCTTCTATCTCAGAAGATTCCTGGCGATGGATCTTTCGGTTGAATCTTCCTCTCACTGCGCTGACGACTTTGTGCGTGTTCTTCTTCATGCCCTTGCGGAAAGTCACCGGAGACTGGAAGGTCAAGCTCAAGGCCATTGACTTCTTTGGAGCCGTTCTTGCTCTGGGTGGGACAGCTGTGCTTCTTCTGGGTTTGACCTGGGGTGGTGGCGAGTATTCTTGGAACTCAGCACATGTCATCGCAACCATTGTGGTTGGGTTCGCCATCTCAGTGTGCTTTGTTCTGTGGCAGTGGAAGGGGACTTCGACGCCTTTGGTGCCGATGCATATCTTCAAGTCACGCATTGTAAATGGCGCTAGTCTGACTATGTTCGTCAATGGATGGAACTTTCTCGTCCAGGTTTACTACATTCCTACCTTCTATCAATTGGTCTTTAACTATTCAACGGTTAAAGCTGGCGCAATGCTGCTGCCAATCACTTTAATGCAGAGTATGTCTTGCCTTTCCCTATTTCCTTTACATACACCTTTTGAACTCCTCGCTAACTTCTCAAAGCTGTAAGCAGTACCGTTTCCGGTCTCGTAGTCCACTGGGTCGGTCGATACCGAGAATGTATCCTATTCGGCTGGATGATCTGGGCCATCGGACTAGGTCTTTTCTCGACCCTCGATCGTGACTCGGGGATCGGGAAGCAAATTGGATATGGAATTCTGACCGGCGCCGGTGTTGGCAACACATTACAACCGTGAGTTTACATGTTCATCGACAGGCAAACATTGTTTCGCTCACAAATTCCAGTGCCTTGATAGCCGTCCAGGCCGGTGTCGAAAGACGAGATATGGCAGTCGTCACCTCCTTCCGCAAGTAAGCAGTCTACCAAACTCTCTGATATAAGCATCTCTAACATCTGAAACCCAGCTTCGTCAGAAACCTCGGCGGAACTCTCGGTCTCGCCATAGCCGGTACAATCATGTAAGCCCCATAGCCCTTAACAAGAACCATAACCGTATCTAACAGAAAGACAGTAACAACCTCCTCTCCACCTCCATCTCAACTCTCAACCTCTCCAGCGAAGACTCCCGCTCCCTCCTCTCCAGTCCAAGTAACTACCTCTCCAAACTCTCCGACGCCGAATCCGAACACGTCCGTTCTGTCCTAATCCCCGCATATAAAAAGGGGTTCATGATTATCTTCATCGTGGGGGCTGCGCTATCGGCAGTGGCGTTTGGATTGGCGTTTTGGCTAATGCCGCAAGTTACGTTGAAGAGGGCGGATGATGAGAAGTTGAAAGAGGAGGGGAAGAAGAGGGTTGAGGGGGAGTTGGTAGATGAGGAGAAGAGGTGATTCTTTTTTTTTTACCTTCTTTTTTAGACTTGAGGTATTATATAGAACCGTCTAGATGAGGCAAAAAGGTACTTTTGTCCATGCAATGTAGTAGTACTCTTAGGATTGAGGGTACATAGACAGTTGGGATCAAAAGTGGATTATCTGGTTGATGAACAGGTTAGAAGAATGTAATGTTTAATACACGCCAGGTGGTTTTTTACTTAATTGTAGTCCATTATGAATGAGAGTAGTATGTAGATTAAGTAAAGGAACGTCATGTCATCACATCATGAAAGGGAGAGCATAAATAGTATAAAATATGCAAAAAGCCAATTCCTTTTTGTCTCCCAATCTCATTATCCTACTCCATATATACCAAAAGTCGCCATCAATACGCCAATCGACAAACTGAGCAATGTATCGGCTCATAAGAAAGGGCCATCAAATCTCAAATCTCCTCGATAACAATCACACTTTCCACCACCCAGTCCACAAAAGCCTGGCCTTCCAGTTTCCACTGACCATCGCGCCACACATCATCCGACCAATATCGCCAATCTTTGCCCCGGCCATGTAGAACCCAGCCATGACGATTGCCTTCTGCCGCTGAGAATTCGTGGTTGACATGGCGGGTGTTGGCGCCCATTTCGACACCAGTCATACCCTGTCGTGCACGCCATTCACGTTCTGCCCTCTCGCCAGCTCGTCTTGCAACTTCTTCTTCATCCTCGGCTTGGTAGAGGTCGCATTTGTTGCATTCCGTACAGCGGGAGCCGGGGTTAATACGGAAATGCTCGCAGAAGTGTTTGTAGCCTTCGGTTTCTTCGGGTTCGTCTTCTTCATAAAGGCCTTCATCGTTATTATACCCTTCTGCACCGGTATTCGGGTCGATGTTCTCTTGGTTTAAATATCTAGCTCGACGTTGTCGAGGTGGTCGACGGCGGGCAAGTTGCGCCGCTGGGTTCAACGGTGGTCCCAATGCCTTCCGGCAAAGATAGCACATGGAATACCCGCATACACACGTCAGTTTATTACAGCCCGAGGACTTCACAAAAGATAGCCCGCATCGAGGGCATGTACGCTTCACTGCGGCCGTTCGAGCGGCTTCAACAGTCGCGCGCAGATCGAGGAGCAATGGCTCATGGCAAAGGTGGGGATCACGCCACGGCTTCTTGCAAGTAATGCAGCTCACGCGCCTACAGGATGGATGCGAACAAGTAAACCGTTTGGGGCGGATCTTGAGGCACAGGTTTCGGAGAGAATTTTCAAAAATCGCAGATAAGGCCGGAGGGTCAAGAAGGTAGATAATAAGTGCAGGAATAATAAGTAATGGTATCGAATCAAGTATGAATATGAGCATCAGTATCGTAGATAAGGCCCCATCGCGGCGAAAACGCCAGGTTATGCCCCGGGTTGAAGGGTGGTAGACAGGGTCGGCCTCGGCGTAGGAGCAGAACGGACAGCGGATGAGCTTCATTTGCGATTTGAGCAGAACATCGGAGAAAAGCCGATCTTCAAACTTGAGATAAGTCTCGAACCCAGATTTGTTAAGAAGAATGGCCTGTTTTACAATCTCCGGGTGCAAGGTTCCATCGCAGGTTCCCTGACTGACAGGTGCAAGACACTTCAAAGTTGACTTCTCGATGTCCACCGACTTCGTCCATCCTTGACCAAAGAGCGCTTCTTGGGCAGTCCGCTGGATGCAACTGTGGCAGATGATGTGGGAGCTGGATGAACAGGCCGAGATTTGTTCGAATGTCACATCCGACAAACAGCACTCACATTCATACAATGCATCAACAGCCTTGGCCTCAAGCTCGTTCATCTCCTCAGCCAGCTGATAGTCTCGTTCTTCTTGCTCATCCTGTCTTTGTCGGAGCAGCGGTGCTAGCAACATCCCATGTAACTCGCTATTCAGCTCGTCACAACCCGTCTCCTTCAACCTAGGCACCACCCCGCCATCCGCATAGCGCTGCCACACCAGCATCGGGTGATCATCTCTATCTTTCTTGCGTTTAAAGGAAGGGAAAATGCTGTTAAAAGTCGCCCGCCACGTCTTCCGCGACAGATCCCGAAGCGTCGGTCGTGCTCGCATATAGCAGAAATTTACCTCCGCCAGAACCGCATCCACAGTGCTCCTGCTCAGACCACTGAATTCTTTCCCCAGCACAGATTTAACAGCCGCTTTGTATTCATCGCTTCGAAACCGTTCTTCGGGGGGGACTAGGTTCTCGTCTCCGTCACCAGGGGGCACAATAGCAGCATCGCCTTCGTTGCCACCAGTTCCATCCGGGACGTTCCATCGACCTGCCACCCATTCCTGCTTATGTCGTAGTAGTTGTTCAACGCAGACCTGGAGCCTACTCAACCCGTCGAACCGGACGAGCAGCTCCCGGAATACCTCAACTTTAACATCCGGAAATATCCGAGCCAGTGTCTCCAGTGCATTATTAAGCTCCTCTTGCTCTCGTCTCTGCTCTTCTGTCTGCTCGGCCGACGTATCGACAATAGCGTGGGATCGTGACGTGCTTCCGAACGGGTTATTGCGGAGAGCTTCGCTCAGCGTGGTGGACTGGTTGCCAGTAGAAGACGCGAGTACTCCTGCCGACTTCCATGAGTGTCTGTTCGCGTTTGAGCCAGTTGAGGCTCGATGAGGTCTATTTGCATTGTTTTGGTTTCCATCGCTGGAACGAAGCGGGGGGGAGGTCGTGGTGGATCTGGAGAAGCTAGGGAGTGGGAGCGACAGCACCATCGTTGCGTTGCAGGACAGGGAGGGGGAGAGGGTCCTGCTACATGATCGTAGAAAGATAAACTAAAACTCGCAAATTTTGAAGATACCGTGTTCACTTCCGTCGAGGGGAGGGTTCGACTTGTCCGTGTCGAGTCGAGTCGAAGGTGGTGTCTTCTGCCTGCTTACTGCGGGGGAAGTCGTTGGTCAATACTCTGTGTTACATAACCCGACGCTGCGAGAATGGCGATGGTGCTCAGAAAAAATTCATCATCCCAACAGAATAAATTTTAAACATCCTAGACTGCAGTATTTATGTCCGGGCTGGCCGGTTATGTCTGATTAGCTCCTTGTCATTTAATTTCCCTTCCCGCTGCACTGACAGCCGATCATCCTGGCCGACCTCCGATCGAGCGAGATAGACCTTGGGGTAAGGTTTGGCTTGATAGACTTAGGTTTTGTGGATAAACTTATGAATCAAATCAAATACATTGATGAAATTGCTTGCATACAGACGAAATCATGATATTTATATACACATTCTGGAAAGAAATTTCTGCAGTCATGAAAATGACATTGCTCAATCGTGAGCCACATCCCGTTTTTTATTCTTACAACTTAGCCTTAGCACCCTCCAAAAGCTCGGCGCCAGCACCCGAGATCGCGGGCTTGCCGGTCTCCACAACAGTGGCCTGGAAGAGGACGGTGTTGCCCTCCTTCCACATCTCAGTCTTCAGAGTCTGACCGGGCAGCACAACACCGGCAAAGCGAACCTTGAGATTCTTGTAGTGGCCGAACTTGGCAAAGACGTGCTTGGCAGCGACACCCAGGGAGCAGAGACCGTGCAAGATGGGGGTCTTGAAGCCACCGACCTTGCTGAACTCGGGGTCAATATGGAGAGGGTTGCGGTCACCGTTGAGACGGTACAACGCAGCCTGGTCCTCAGAGGTCTTCTCTTCGGTGATCGCGTCAGGCTGGCGCTGTGGGGGCTTGTAAGCAGCAACAGCAGCCTTGGGGCGACTAGCAGTGGGCTTGGGAGATCCTCCGAAGCCACCGCTACCACGGATGAACACGGTCGATTCGTTGTAGAAGAGGTCCTCGCCGGTCCTAGCATCCTTGGTAGTGAAGCCCGCAATAACAAGGGCCGATTTGCCCTTGTCCACCACGTCAATGAGCTTGGGGTAAGTCAGGGTGTTGGCGGTGGTCGGGATGGGGAATTTACGGATCTCCATGTACTGTTCGCCGTGCAGCAGCATCATCGGAGAGAAGTTGGCCACGATCTCATCCATGTTCCAGGGAACAGCGGTGTTGAACCAGGGGACCACACCGAAGCTAGGAAGGGCTTGGAAATGATCGTTGTTTTCGTACACCAGAGGGAGATCAGTACGTCTGGCACCCAAACTGAGGTTGTAGAGAATGATGTCGCGGTCGACATAGTCAAAGCTGGTTCCCTCGGTGGTCAGGGTCTTGGACTTCTCAATAGCTTGCAGAATGTCATTGCCACCCTCGGATTCTCCACCACTGCGGTTAGACATGTTGGCCATGACCTTTTCGGCACCGGCCTGACCATCCTCGGGGTGGTCTGCGCGACCATCTTCGAAGTTGGTAATCTGCTGCCATTTGTTGACAACCTCCTCGGGGGTCAGCTGAACATCCACGGGGAATCCGTGACCACCGGAGCGCTGCCAGCGAGTGCATGAGAACCAGCCACTGCCGCACTCGTACAGACCCTTAGTGCCTGGCTCAGGCACCAGGTCAGAGCAGAGAAGCACCACCAATGGAGCAACATAGTCGGGCTTGAATGCCTGAACCATCTCCTCGGGCATAATGGAGCGAGTCATGTTGGTACCGGCATTAGGAGCGATGGTGTTAACCTTGATGTTGTACTTGGCACCCTCGAGCGCAAGGGTACGGGAGAAACCGAGGATACCGAGTTTCTATTTTCACCGTTAGCGAAATCCTAATACACTGGGCCAAAATTCCAGGGACATACCGCTGCGGCGTAGTTGGCCTGGCCAAAGTTACCGTAGATACCACTGGTGCTGGCGGTGTTGACAATACGACCATACTTCTGCTTGAGCATGTGAGGCCAGGCGGCCTTGGTTACCTTGTAGGTACCACGCAGGTGAACGTTAATGACAGGGTTCCACAAGCTGTCATCCATGTTGGTGAAGGCCTTGTCACGCAGAATGCCAGCGTTGTTGACCAAGATGTCAATTCGGCCGAAGGCATCAATGGCAGACTTGACGACACCCTCGCCGTCCTCGCAAGAGGCCTTGTTGCCAACAGCCTTTCCACCCAACTGCTTGATTTCATTGACAACGGGTTCGGGGTCAACAAGGTCGTTGACCACCACAGCAGCACCGAGCTTAGCGAACTGAAGACAGTATGCGCGTCCGAGGCTACATGAGAGTTAGAACAAAGATACAGATATTAAAAAGCTTGGAGGGGAATACGCACCCGGCACCACCACCAGTAACCAGAGCAACCTTGCCCTTGAAGTCGGGTTCTTGTCCAGGCTGAGCACTGGGGGTCTTCAAGCCATCCTCCAAGAGAGTCATGAAGTCTGCAGGGCCTGTAGGGTAGCTGGGTTGAGAGAAGTCGTTGACGTCGTTCCATTTTCTGGCGATAGCACCAGGAGTCAATGAATCGTCGGTCTTCAACAAAGCACCCTTGGCACGCTCCCATCGCAGCTTGGCCATGTGGCCACCACCAACCTCAAAGATCTGACCGCTCTCCTGAGTGTTCGATGAGTGGACCAATCTGGCCACCAAGGGGACAACCCAGTCGGGCTTAAGGTTCTCGAGGACATCTGGGGGCATAACTGTTGCCGTCATACGACTAGCAGCTGGTTGAAATTAGCCATGTTCACAGTGGTTGTTATATGTGAATGGTTTTACATACCAATGGGTGCGATGACGTTTGCGAGGATGTTGTACTTGGCGCCCTCCTTTGCGAGGGTCTCGGTAAATCCAACTTGACCAAGTTTGGCGGCTATTATAGTCAGCATGGAGTCAGATTATCGTATCGTGAGGGGCAACCACTCACCAGAGTAGTTGGCTTGGCCGAAGCTACCAAACAGACCGGCTGCGGAGGCAGTGTTAACAACACGGCCATACTTTTGCTTCCGGAAATGAGGCCATGCAGCTCTTGCGCACTAATAAATAAATCTTTGTCAGTCCACCAATCCCACGCGATAGCAATAGCAGATTTCTTCTCACCTTGTATGCGCCATAGGTGTGAACTTTGGTAATGAGATCCCAATCCTGGTCCTTCATGTTCTTGAAGCTAATATCCCGGAGGATACCGGCATTGTTGATGAGCACATCGACACGGCCAAAGTTCTTAATAGCGGTGTCGATAATGGCTTCACCGTTCTCGACGCTGTCGTAATTGGCAACGGCCTTGCCTCCAGCGGCTATAATCTCGGAGACCACGACGTCTGCGGCCTATAAATTTCAGAAATGTCAGTTATTATCAAGTATTGAGTTTTCCAATTACTAGTGGTCATACCTTTGATGAGTTGCCCTCACCAGAGTGGGAACCACCCAAGTCGTTCACAACAACATTAGCTCCTCTCGAGGCGAAGAAAAGAGCATATGCCTTTCCCAAACCACCACCAGCACCAGTGACGACGACCGTTTGGCCGTCAAATCGCAACTCAGACATCTTAATAGAATATATTTAGATTATGAGGGAGGAGTAAGGGAGAGAGGAAAGGAGGTGAGGAGATGAAATATGACAGGTAAGAGTGCTTTCCGCACGGCTATTCTCCGCTGTGCAGTTGACGGAGAATGAAAAGAAGAGGAAAAGGAGAGAAGATGGATCTAGAAATAAGAAAGTCTGGGGAAAGGAGAAAAGGTATTGAACAACGGCAATAAGAAGACTGCAGATAGTCCGGGGGATGGAAGAGGTTAAAGAGCAGGACGTAAGGCGAGCGTTACAGCAGCAGCTCGGCTCGCTGGGAACCTCGGCATCTTGGAGGGGAAGCTCGGTGGTTTGGCTGCGACCCGCCAAGCGACGGACAGACACGGATCTCGCTCAGCTTCACATGCCGATGGCTTCATCATTTCTGCTTCGATTCATGGAGAGACGAATGCCACTTGCTGGTATTCTGCTGACTCAGGCATGTGATCGCTTGCTTTAATTTTCTGCAACAAAAAAGAATGTGATCATCATCATGTGTCGGTCTATCCACGTGGGTACAGAACCCAGGGGTGGTAAGTGGCTAGGCTCGACTCTCAATCTTCAGTTCTGATCATATTCTCATCTTAGATGGATAAATCTCCATCAGAATAGTGTATATAGCCGTCAGAAATAGGAATGAAAGAATGTTCAGGCAGAACGTTTGGCCTTGCGGGGAGAGGCTCGACTTCCCCAGATTCGACGGTCGGCTCACCTCCGAGATGCAATGGGATTTAACCACCACATCGCTCTCTATTCGTGTTTTATGATAGTTCTGCAAGACAAGGACCTATAGACCAGGTACATATCGGACAAAATGCCCGAAATAATCGACGACAAGTCTCAGCACTGTATTCCTTTTCTTCTGGATCGGGTCAAAGCCCACCAGGCTCGCCATGGAAACGATCCCAGCAATACCCCGCCCTTCTTCCTGGGCTTGAACGGAGTCCAGGGAGCAGGCAAGACTGTGCTGGTTAGTTTTGCTTTTATAATATACTACTCACTCTGCTGGGTCGAATATTGACTTGAAAAATCAATCAGGTGTCAACTCTTCAAAATACTCTTCGTTCCCCGCCATACTCTCTCCCCGTCGTCACCCTCTCTCTCGATGATATCTACCTCACGCACGACGACCAGGTTGCGCTAGCCAAGGCACATCCTTCAAACCCCCTTCTCCAGCACCGAGGACAACCATCAACCCACGATCTTCCGCTGGGGGAGCAAGTTTTTGAATCTCTCCGCACAGGCCGTCCTACCGCAATCCCGCAGTATGACAAGTCGGCGTTTGCAGGACAAGGAGACCGCGTGCCTCAATCGCAGTGGGAAGTGGTCAATGGCGATGACCAGGAAAAGGTCCGAGTGGTCATCTTCGAAGGATGGTGTGTTGGGTTCCGTCCATGGGATGACCAGACCCTACGAGAGAAATGGGAAGCTGCTGGAAAGCAAAAAGAGACAGGAGATTACAATGGGCGATTGGGACATGTGAAACTCGAGGATGTCCAGGCTGTGAATGATGCACTCAAGAAATATGATGCTATAACTGAGTTTGTGGCCCCTGCTATTTCTGGAGATTCTATGATATCGAGTTACTGACTTCCTACGAAGCCAGCTGGATGCTTTAATCCATATGTAAGTTTCTTCGCGGATTTATATAACACGATGAAGCAAAAACCTAACATTCCATAGCGATGCCCAAGATAATCACTACGTCTACGAATGGCGAAAGGAGCAAGAACGAACCCTCCTGGCCACCAAGGGCAAAGGTATGACGGAAGAACAAGTCAACCACTTTGTCGACGGCTGTACGTTGTGATACCCCACTGTCCTATAATGCGCATTTCCCGTGGGAACAAAAACTAATTATCGCAGATTACCCCTCCTACGAACTTTTCACCGAAAGCCTCCGAGACGGTGCCTTCAGACCATCGTCAAGCAATATGGCAACATCTTCCCAGTCAACCTGGGAGGGTAGACAGCTTCGTCTAGTGGTTGACAGGAATAGACGCGTTCAACAGGTCTTCCAAATCTAGGACTATCGTGTAATCTTAGTGTTGATCATATAAGATGTGTTGGGTGTTGCGAATATATTTAGATGCAGGGTACAGAGTAAAATTCCAGACACCAAGCCCTGGATTATTCCCATACGGAATATCTATTGAGTCATTGATAGAAACAATATAAATGATACAATCTACTATGCAATGCAATACAGATGGGATAGGGCTGTGATAAGATGACCTTCCATTGAGCTCGGCTTATAAAGGCACTCGCATGCCAAAGCCACCAAGGAAAAGGATTTTTAGAATAGCATCGGCTATCACCCATGTTTTAAGAAAGTACGAATAATGGATGAAACTACGTCTGAACAGCGTAGATTAAGTTTACATAGATATCAAATCAATGAGTTGCCTGAACTTTTATTTTTTCGGAAATCGTAGACTATTGTATCATTATTCTAAAACAAATAGTCCTCGCCAAACAACCCTACACGACAACCACGCCCTTAACAGTGAATCTAGTTCATCTGTCTGATGAGAGCGTTGATGTTCTCCTCACGGTTACCGTAGTCGCCACCCTGGATGAAGTGCTTGAACTTGCGGGCGTGGAAGCCACCAGTGGGGTTGGAGAGCTTGAAGGGCCAGAGGAAGTTGTTGGCCTGCTTGAAGTTAGGGCCAACGGTGTAGATCTCGTGGATCAAGTCCTCCATGCAGACAATGCCGAACTTGCCGAGGTTCTCCTCAATGATCTGGTTGTCAGTGAGGGCGACACGCTGGCGGTTGACCTTTCCGTATCCGCGCTTGTAGATGAGCTCACGGACACTCTTGAGGTTGGGGTAACCGTAGGCGATGTAGGGGTTGATGATGGTCAACATCTCCTGGGTAGCCTTGGTGAGGCGGATGAAGCAACCGCTGTTGATGTGGAGCAGACGGAGCAGCTGCAGAATCTTGCGGGGCTGGGGAGCGATCTTGTTGATACTGTTTCGAGTTAGAACAAAGTTCAATGTACAGCGAGTTAAATGAGGAACCTACCCCTTGATACGGGTAACGAAGACCAGCTTGGGCTCCTCAGGAACGTAGTAGTTGCCCTGCTGACGAGCGACACGGGCGAGACGGATCTTCTCACGCTCATCATCGCGGTACTCCTTGACGTAAGCCTCGGCGCGCTTGAAGATAGCAGTGCGCTTCTCCTTGTTGGCCTATAGTTATCTCAAGTCAGTAAGGATTCCTTCAAGATTATCATGAAACAATCATTTAGATGAGATCAATATCAGCCCCGAAAGATGGTTAACGAAGCGACAGCATCGACCCGTAGGTCTAGTCGCAAAGTTGGTGAGTTGTCATCACTTGATTGGTTTGGGAATAGTGAAAAAGAAATGGGGAATACTAACGGCCTTGCGCTTCTCGAGCTCCTCACGGCGGATAGCGCGAGCCTGCTCCTGGCTCTTGCGCTTCTTGAGGAGGGTCTCGGGGACGAGGACCTGGTCCTTGGTGGGGACGGTGCTGCGAAGGTCAGTATAGTCCATCCGCAAACAAGCGCAAATTTTCGCCGAGTGTAAGAATTGCAGCTATAGCGCCACATTCTCTGACTGAAGGCAATTGATAAAAGAACTCGACGAAATAGATTTAGTTGGTGAGGATCATATTATCTGGGTCAAGCGGCCACGCCATCTTGCTACTACTTGCACATTCTCAGTGCAAATTTCGCGAAACTTGATGCATGGCATTAACGCAAATAGAATCCTCATCCAACAAGACCCCAAGCATTACGCTCAGGAAATAGTGTTGACGCTTTGTGTTCCAATCCCCTCAACCCCAGGGTCTAAGAAGATTGGAACGATAGCTCACAACAATCATTTTCAAGGAGAAAGTGTCATTTGCTTTCAACCTCAATACCCTATGCCATTCCTCAACCCCAATCTCTGTCTCCGACGATATGTAGGACGGGAGTGTGGTGAGAGGAAGGCCGTAGGAAAAATCGAGCTGGTGCCCAGCGATCGATTAAATCGACCGCAGCATCTCCAGCGAGAAGGACGACTATAATCTGAACCCTTACAAACTCATGCAGCGAATTTGCTGAAAGGGATCAGTCAAGAGGTATCATACGTAGCAGTAGAGGCCATTGTGACGGTCCTTTGAGTTCGCGAGTTGGGCGTTGGGCGAAGGTTGTCGTGCTGGAAGAAAGTCAAGAAGAAAAGCAACGAGGAAGAGGAGAAGAAAATCTCGCTTGTGTGGGCGGCAGAATATGCACTATCCCGGGAACGGTTAGAGCGCCTTGGCACTCTCACCTTTCCGCTTTGGAACCATTGCCCTTATCAGATCAGGGTATCACCGCATCACGTGACTATGAATGCGCTTAACCAGAATGGGCACGCTATCCCGGTTTTGGTAATTCGGCGTCATCCCAGCCTCATCTGAAGCATGGGAGTTCCCCTCAGATCCAGGTTTCCCTCCCCAACTCTCGCATACTAAGCCAGCCAGTTACCATTATGTCCAGCCGTCGCGGTGTTGGTCTTGGGGCATTTGCCCATCGGAATCAGGCCACTCAGTCCTATGCCACCCATGGCGCGAATCTGCGATCCACGCACCTCTCCTCCCTCCAGACCCAGCTATCCGTATTCCAATCACTACTCCACACCTTTGCATTGGAGCATAGCTCGACAATAAAGTCAAATCCAACATTTCGAGCCGAATTTGCTCGCATGTGTAATGCGATCGGGGTTGACCCTCTCGCAGCCAGCAATATCAAGGGCAAAAATGGCCGGAAAGGACTGGGCGAGGGCGGCAGTTTTTGGACTCAGATTTTAGGTGGAGATATGAATGACTTCTACTTTGAAGTTGCTGTCCGAGTAGTTGAATTGTGCCGAGAGACGAGGAGCGATAATGGAGGCTTGATAGGAGTTGAAGAGTGTCGAAAGAGGGTAGGGAAAGGAAAGGCCATCGGGAGCGGGCTGGAAGTTACAGAGTATGGAGCATCCCCCAACCTCTGTCTCTTACCAAGTCGGGAAACAAATACTAATCACTTCCATTCTCTATCCTGTAGTGATGACATTCTCCGCGCCGTGAAGTCACTTGAACCCCTCGGCTCTGGTTTCTCCATCACCAACGTTGGCAACAAGCAGTACATCCGATCGGTTCCCAAGGAACTCAATACGGACCAGGCCACTGTGCTTGAAGTTATACAGATTTTGGGATATGTAAGCGTATCGATGCTACAGTTGAATCTAAAATGGGAGAAGGCTCGCGCACAGACAGTCATTGACGACCTTGTTGCCGATGGTCTTGTTTGGCTGGATGCTCAAAGCGAAGAGAACGAGTACTGGTCGCCCCAAAACCTATTGGACGACAGTGGATGAGATGCTGCAATGGGATTGCAAAGCATCTTATTTCTACCTCCAAAGAGGAACGCCTATTCTATGGCATGCCCAAACGATACCCCTGGGGAAAACATTCATTCCCAGCCCCGACGCCGGTCTGAACCGTCCACGTTGGCCGCTTGTTTGAACAGCTGCAGTGTGAAACAGATATTTTTCCACTCAAATCCTTGTTCATCCTGATATTTCAATGAGAGTTCAGACAAATGCTGCCAAGAGTCCGCAAGCTTGTCCTTGTGATACTTGAGGTCATCTTGAGTCAAGCGTCAACGATGATCTCTTCCATGCATCAACGCAGAATTTCTGCTATTAACCCAAATTATATGTTATTAAATACACGAATTCCGTGTTAATATGTAGATATTAGCAGTATCTCAGCGTTATTTTCTCTGGTTTTTTTTGAAGGACCACATTCCTACTCCGATGAGGATATATATGCTAGTTAGAGCACCGAATATACAATTGACATCGAACGCAATAACTATAGCAACTGTAATGGATAAGGACTCCATAATTAGCCCAGGAAATCTAGAGAGAAAAATTTGAAATGACTTAATTCTATACCGACTAACTAGAAACCTTACTTCCAATTATAAAGCCATGAACGCCTTGAATATAGATACTTTTTTTTTTCATTCTCTTTTTCTTCTTTCTGCTTCTCTCTTATTTCATTTCAGACATGAGATTCATCTGCAAATGTGATACGGCATACATGACAACAATGAAGAAAATGACGGAGGTCTTTTTGTATTCCCGCCAGACAAAAGAAAATAAAAAAAATTTGAACAAGTGACCATAATGGAACAAGGGGTCATACGCAGTTGAGATTTCCAAGAGGAGCATTAAAACCATGAGAGAAAAGAAAAAAGCGAAATGCCATTAAAACATTTTTTTAAGCCTTGATAGCTCCACCCAATGCACCACCGCCGAATTGCTGTCCACCTGGTCGACGGCCTTGTTGACCACCAGGCAGTCTGGGGCCGCCGCGAGCACCACCTCCACGGCCACCCCCACGGCCACCACGGGCGCCGGCGCCCTGATCGCGCTGGAAGGCGTTGGCCATACCTTGAGTACGCTGCTCGAGAGTCTTCTCGTTGGCCTCCAGGAGGTTCATCGACTTGTCTGCAAGGGTGACGATCTGGGACTGGAGACGAGACAGCTCAACACCCTTACGGAAGACGATGGCTCCATTGACCTGGTCGAGGGCAGCAGCGAGCTCTTCGTGCGAGATCATACGGCTGATGATGGCGGCAATCTTCTTCTCGGGGAGCTCGAACATGTTGGCGAGGGTGGCGGTAGACAGGCTGTCGTAGAAGGGAGCGTAGGTGAAGAGGTAGGTTCTCAAGCCTTCCTCCTGGATCTGCTCGGACAGCATCTCCTTGATCTTCTCAGGCTGGGGCATCAAGTCCCAGATCTTGATGGAGTTGAGCATCGATGCGGCCTTCTTCCAGTCTCCACCGGCAAGGAACTTGGCGCTCATGATAACACCGTCACGGGTGTTCTCGGCGGGACCGGTGAAAACCTGTCTCTCGTTGTAGTCCAACATGCGGCGGAAAGTCTTGGAGATGACACGGCGCTTCATCTCAGGAGAAGATGAAGTCTGAGCCATCAGAGGAACCTCCAAGAACATGCTTGATGTGAGGTAAATGCACTCAAGCAGCTCCAAGTTGATGTGCATGTGGAAAGGCAGCTGGCGCTGACGCTCAAGACGCTCCTGCTCGGGCGAAACAGTGGAGTAGCGCTGGAGGATGATACCCTGAGCCAGCAACTCCTTTTGACGTCCACTGCCGCAGACTTCGGAGAGGGTGTTCTGGGCCTCGTAGATGAGACCGGCACGGAAAGCACACAGACCGATCTGGACCAAAGTTCGGTTGAAGAGAATCTGTGTGCTGACATCAAAGTTGGAGATGTTCTCCGTCAGGTGGGACATGAGCATCAGGTCACGGGAGCGGTAGTACTGGTCGTGCAGGGCAAGGAAGTAGATCTGGCACAGCATGGCACGAGCCTTGAGGATACCGTCGCTGTACTTGAAGAGGTAGTTGCAGACGGTTTGGACGAGGTTGGTAACGTCTCCAGTAGTTCCACGGGGAGTGGCGGCAGATTCGAGCTCAGCGGGAAGAGCCTTCGAAGAGGACTCTTCCAGAATGGTAACAACTTGAGAGGGCTTGAAGTAGATGTGCTCCAATCTCCTCATCATGACTCTGTTAATGCCGTCCTGGCGGGGGTCGTTCTTGTCGGCCGGGCTGAGACCCTCGACGTAGAATTGAGCACGGACAAGGTTGTTGTACAGCTGCTGCTCATCACTCAGACGCTCAATGTATTCGGCAGTGTGGGGGTCGATGTGTTGCAAGGATCTGGTGAGCTCGTCGTCCAATCGCTCGACGTACGAAACGATGCTGCCGGGAATGTAGAGGGTCTCGCCCTCTGCAACCTGAGGCTGTCTCTCATCATCCTCCCATTCTTCAGCACCCTCAGTAACGACGTAGGAGCGGTTGTTCTCGAGAACGGACAGAAGAGTAGAGAACTCCTTCTCGGCAAGCTTCCATTGCTCCGGGCTCATGTAGTTGGCGGTGGACGAAGAGGTAAGGTCGAAACGAGTGGAGATGAGGGTCAAGTAGACACGGATGCGCTGGTAGGGGTTCTGGGCAACCTCCAAGAGCTTCTCCATGGTACGAATCTGCTCAAGGCGGTCGGTGTTCTTCTTTCCGCGAGATTCGACGATAACGCGGAGGTGCTTAAGAATGCTCTCTGGGGTGTATTGCAGGGTCTTGCCACCACGACCAACGGTTGCGAATCCATCATCATCGTCAGCAGCAGCAGCAGCGACCGCAGCCGGAGTAGGGGCCTGCACCCGCTCGGCCTTGGCCGGACGGGGGGTAGGGGCGGCGGCAACAGGCTTCTTCTGCTCTTCCTCCACGGCGTTCATGTAGTCATCCTTTGCTGCACGGTACTTGTCGATCTGGGCAGCATATTCCTTGTTGTTCTTCTTGATACGTTGCTTGACGGCGTTGAAACCCTTGGAGTTGCTACCGTTCAACTTCTTTCCAGCCTTAATCTTGCCAGTGGTCTCTGTCACCAAATCCTCGAGGTCTGCAACGGCCTTGACGTAGACTCTAGGTGTAGGACCGGCCTGCGTAATCTTGACAATCTGTCGGTTCAACTTGTCGAACTCTTGAGAGACAAAATCAGCACGAACCACTCCGGGTCAGAAAAAAGTGATATCCCCCCCACTAGGTGGCGTTTTAACTCACCTGCTGAGATGACTGCCCAGTCACCGATCTTCGAGGCGTTCTCGATCAACTTGATGGTGCTCTCGAGTTCCTCCAGCCTCTTGTCCTTTGCACTCTTGACAACGGTGACCTTCTCTTCATCCTCGCTATCCTCACTATCCGAAACACCCTTCATGAAACGACTGGCACCCTTGCCAGCATCCTCGTCATCGGACGAGGAGTCCTCCTCAGAGTCATCTTCTTCCTCGCTAGATTCCTCCTCAGACGACTTGTCCTCCACCTCGTCGCGATCGCTGTAGACCTCCTCCTCGTCGGAGCTGCTGTCGCTGTCGCTACCGCTACCGTAGAAGAAACGCGACATGTTTGCGGTTTGGGGAAAGTATCGGAACCGAAAAGTCGCGAAGTTGAAAAACTGGCCCTCTGGCTGATACGCGGGGTTAGAGGCGCGGGGGCGTTAGGGGATGAAGCGTTGATGCTTGTGCCTGATAGGAAATTCAGTTGTGAAGTGAGGGTTCGGAGCCGCAGAGGTTGGGCTGCGCGAGCCACACACGAAATTTAAGCGAGGCGGCGCCTTTCCCCATTTGGCAACCGTCTGCCTCAGGTCCCGATCATCGACAACGCGGAGATACGGACTGGGGTAGAGTTGATCTTTAGTGTTTTTGGGGTTTGTAGAATGGATTTACGATGAGGAGATTACGGGAGGAAAGGTTCTCGAGTTTGTAAAATGTCAAAGAGCCAACGATGTAACGCTCGGTAATTTTTGTTTAAATTCATTGCTCTCCTCATATCACACCCAAGTATCCAAGGTATGGCAATGCTTCTCTTGGAATAAAAAGAGAAATATAATAGAAAACAGCAACGCATGGGGATAGATGTAGCGGCACTGCCGTGTAATAGCAAAAGGGGGAATGGACGAAAACAAACATGATAATGCAGCAACGACTAACGCGATCTTTCCAAGTACTCCGAGCTATGCCGAAAAAACAGCCACATACATGAAACTGGGAAGAGCCGATATCGAAGATTGCTAAAGTTTGGACGAGCGTTCAAAAACAATGAAAAGCAGGGATATGGGGCGAAAGGGAGACTCTGTACCGTGAGGGCTTTAGACTCGGTAGGTAGCCTCCATCTTCCCATTTTCATCCTTTCATTGCCATGGAGGTTTTATGGAACCCCATTCAGTCTTCTCCCCAATAGGCCTGTTTTATCCGTCCTACCCAAGTCTTCTTCTTTCCTTCATCAAAGACACGCCGAAAAAAAAATCAATCGTGCCGTAAAGAGAGATTCAAAATTGTGACATTCATTACATGTCGGAAGAGCTGGATAGTTCGGTAGGCGTCGTGGTGAAGGGACTGGGAGATCGAGCAAGAACTTCTAAATACCAAGTAAACATGACGATGACTTGGAGCAGCTCTGCGTTAATCTCACATGGAGAAACGCACCTGGAGCATGTTCTTGCGCGAAAGATAAATGGTTAATGCACGATGTTGATGCATCTTCAGATGCCACCCAACCGCTTGAAATGCCCTGACGCTCAGTGCCACTGGTTCTGACCCACAAAACCTTCGCCTCCAAGAACACCGTCTTCAAGGGTGCGGATAAAATCCCTGTTTCGTTGATTGCCACCTGTACGGCTCCCTCGCCGTCTTTGATTAGCGGCATTGGTATCAACGTAGCCATCTGGGGGCGGTGGATAGTATGCCGGACTAGGCTGCAAGCGGATGGGTGCATTGGGGTCGAGGTGACTGGCGACTCTTTGAATGGTCGGGGGAATGCCTCCATTTTGGTGGTCCATAGTGGAAGCACGCTGACGGCCAGCTCTTGTTGTTGCCTGTGCATAGAGACTTTGAGAAGGTGCATATTGTGTTTGAGGAGGCATCTGGCCCGGCATGATGTTCATCTGATGGCCGTAACCCGGCGGCTGGGTGGGGTACGGAGGCGGGGCACCCTGCTGGTGACCAGTAAACATCCCGTTGTACATGGGGGGAGGCTGAGCGTGAGGAGACGTGTGGAATTGGTTCATCTGCATCGAGTAGGCAGTTTGTGCTGCAGACTGTGCATGCGCCGCCTGTGCTGCCCTCTGCTTACTTGCAGCCTCTGCTTGCTGCTGTTGCTGGATGCCTGGGGCAATGGTCTTGTTGAGCGACGAGTACTTGAGATTCATCGGCGGCACAAATGGTCCAGTGAACTTCTGTTGCGTAATGAAGGGGTGCAGCTTGGCTTGTTGCGGCGACCAACGCTCAAGGGGATTGATGGACAACAGGCCACGCACGAAGTCGATGAATGCCACCCGGTTATTCAATTCTATGATTGTTAGTATGATAAGAATGGTATGTGGTGAGAACATGTCGTACCTCTCTCGATTTCTGCCTGCTTCATGTTCTTTCTTGGCATTGGGTAGCTACGAATGATTTCCTCCAGTGTCGATGCCTGGAAATATTTCTTGCTCGGTTGCTCCTTTGTGTTGTGCTCCCTGGAATATTGTTCCAGACTCTTGAGGCGGTATGTCTTTCTTCCAAACTCGTCTTGTGTCTTCTCGAAAAATTCACCAGACTGCTTGCCCATTTCAAGCATCCATGTTGGGGGTAGACCCAACATCTCCACAATACGACATACTTGATTATATTCCGAAGATCCCGGGAACAGTGGCAAACCAAGGAAGAGCTCGACGACGATGCATCCTAAAGACCACATATCAATTGCGGAGGAGTAACTAAACCAATCAGTCAACAGCTTGTACCAGCAGTATGTGAGCAACATACGGTAAACCGAGGAGAACCTCGGGGGAACGATAAAATCTCGATTGTATATAAGTGTAAACTGTTTGTCGTTCATCGCAGGCAGATCCGAAATCGATGACTTTGATGATCGGACTCTCCAAACTGTGTAGATGGTCTCAAGTCAGCCAGTAGAATTGCAGTCTAGACAAATGGTCACCAACTTCTTCAGCAATATATTTTCAGGTTTGAGATCGCAGTGGATTAGATGTGCCTTGTTCAGCAGGCTCAGTGCATTAAGAAGCTGCTGTGCAAATACGCGTACAAGTGTTGTACTCAAACCGCGGAACTGGTTTTGTTTAATCAGTTCGTAAAGATTGACACTAAGCAGTTCAAAGACAAGGCATAAGTGTTGTCGATGGATAAAAGTATCCTTCAACCGGAGGAGATGATGATCGTCGTTCTTGTCATATTTGCTGTTGAGCTGTAATATGGTGGTAAGCGAACATTTAAAAACCGGGTATCAAGGGACTTACCAGATCCAAAACAGACACTTCCATCATACTTTGGTTAAAATATGCCGTCTTATTTTTGATGACCTTGACGGCTACAACCTCTTGCGTTTTCAAATTTTGGCATTTCACAACTTGCCCGAAGGTTCCTTGGCCCAAAACATCGAGAATCAAGTAGCGATTCCTAAGTGAATAGTTAGAATCAATAAATTGACCGGAATGAATTGCAAAGACTCACTTGTGGCCTGCTTCCTCGCTACCAAGAATATCGTTCACGTATAAGATGTAATCGCTATCCTCGTTGTCGTAGCCATCATTCTTCGAACCTTTGCTTGGTTTGGTCAGTACTCGCCGTGGATTCCTAGACGACTCGTAGTTGAAGCCGGGATTGCATATCCGATAGGTAGCCGGAAGGTGGGTCGTCAACGCTTGGAGCGGCTGTGTGTGGATTAGACTTGGTTAACACGATTTGACGTATTATGAACACTCACACTGATAAAACCTCCCTCAGGATTGGCGCGTCTATACGGCGGTTGCGCATGTATGCGCGGTTGCAAGTTTTGAACAGATTGTATTTTTTGGAACTTCGGAACTGGACCACGACCTGGTGCTGGTTGGTGACTTCCGCCAGATACAGATCCAGAGCGTGGAGATCGTCCGTCATGTCCAAATGGAGCACTCAGTTGAGAGCCGGCCGAAGGCGGGTGATATTGCTCGGGGCTCATTTCAGCAGCCTGCAGAGGGGGAAGCCTAGGGGCCCGGGATGCCGCTATCACAGGAGTATAGGTCAGCAATAGATACTTTAGAAGTTCACCGTGGAATTGGAAAACGAACAAGGAGGTTGATACGCCTGAGGAGGCGAAGAGTAGTTGGGCGCCCTTGCCGGTGACCTTCGAGAGTTGTTCGGGCCCGGAGGAAAAGCATAAGAGTTGGCATTCTTCCCAGGGCTTGTATTATACGACATCGATGACGGCGGCGAAGACAAGACATTCATCGGGGAGTATCTGCGAGCCGCCGAGGATTCTTCATTAGAAAAGAACTGGGAAGAAGGTCGACTGTTGTGACTCGGTCTCGTAGAGTATTTTGCCCGGTTGTACGGGTCTGCATCCTCCATAGTGGTGTCCGCATCTGTGACATAATCCCTACTACGTGGCGTGGCGACCGGGGACGACGCCATGGACATGGATTTCGAGTTGGAGCCGATCGAAGGGGGTTTGGCAGCGATGCCGGGAGTTTGAAAGGGTTCGTATGTGTATCCCATAGGCGGCTGTGACTGTGGTGGCTGGCCGCCGTATTTGGAGGCTAGCTGTTGGCCATTATTGAACTGGGCAGGACGGCCCATCAAGGGATCCTGATATGGCTGCCACTGTGAATCCATCTCTCCTTTTTTTCTTCTGATACTTGTATATCCTGCTGCTCTGTCACAGTTCCTCTCTGTTTTCCGATGTAAATTCAGGTCGAGGATAGTCAAGACCGCCTGTCACTGTCGCCAGCGCACATGCACTGCGATCGGAGGGGGGGGATTATCAGCGGGGACGGCACACGCACGTAGTAGTAGCGCAGGCGGAGAACAACACGAGAGGCAGGAAAGCCCTGGTGCAATTCAAGATATAGGAGAGCAAAGGGATGAATTGATGCTAAATCCAGTATGTGCCGGACCGCATTATCCGAACGACGGGTGGTTTTCGTTGTCAAGAGACCAGAGGCAAGGCAGCCAGTGTGTATCGGGGGCGGTCGCAATTCCAAGCACGGGTGCGACGCAGCCAATATGGGTCGTTGCGGCAGCTGACGCGAAGGGATCGGTCGCCTTTTGGGTTAGGGGGAGAAGTGCTAACTGCTGGAAACCCGGGGGAACGGGAGGTCCAAACAGATGCACAGTCAAAAAAGAAGACCGTGTGAAGGTATAGAAAGAACGTCCAAAAGGGCGAACAAAAGCTATACGGAGGGGGGTAGGAAGAAGAGAGGAAGACGAGATGAAGCTGGTGGAGAGCGGAGAGGAGAATTGATGCCTCAATTTCGAGGGGAGTCTCTGCCAGAAGGCCTCAGGCTGCAGTTGGGCCTTGAAGATACCGCCCGGATCTGGGGAGAGCTGATCTCACGACTTTGACATGGAACAGAAACAAGATGTAGCAGCGGTAGATCAAGGTTTTTAAGAGCAAATATGGATGATTGAATAGGTGCGTTCTATTCTGCTTTGATTTTGCTACTTGGTATACATATTATTATTATTTTTGTCTACTACACACACAGCCATGTAAAGAATACCAGTCAGTGTCTTTCCTGCCAGCCCAGCCTCTTGGACGATCTTGCTTGGGTGGAGCTGGCGCACATCCCTTGAGAACTGAACTCGTGGACAATAATGTTACGACTAATACTTGGTTTTGGAGCACGGGGAAATAATCACAATGCATGTCATTTGATATAACATGACAAGCATTGAGGATTTAGAGTGCCTTAAAGGATTATCAACCGTTGACCATTGCTTTTTTGCTGGGAGAGGATAGAGTAAATAACTGTGCATTGCTATTCACGTACTACTGGGCTAGCACTACACAGTAGGGCAAGGTAGGGCAGCAATCAACAACAACAAAAGATTGAGCAAAAATAAATACTGATAATTATCGACAGTGTTAGTAGCATAAAATACATAAATAGAAATATTAGCACGGTTTATGAGTCAACTAAAAGTGCGAATAATGCCCAATGCGCACTGCAAGTGCCGAACGAAGGGCGATAGCGTCAGTCGCGAAAATGGAAGGCGGTATCCCCAGGGCGGTCAGTGAGAACTTTCTGCCGCCGAGTCCAGGCGTTCTGGCTTTGTATTCCTTCATCCTTGCGATCATGAGACTGAGGCTTGGAATCACGGCTTATCCAAGTCTCACACCCACTTGTTGATTACACTGCAGCAAGCTGCGTGCGCAGAAGAATTCAGAGACTCTATTTATCTGTTTTTTAGAGGATTTTCTTAATATCTCACTTTAATTGAAGGAACCCCGCAGGGTTCGCCACCTGCTGCAGGTAAATACTACTGTGACATGTTCTTTAAACCTTTCCCTCTGATCTTGTAGCTGCATATTATGTATCCGATCAGTATCTGCATGATAATACAGAAGATTACCTGGTGACTCGCAGATTAGTACAGAATACTGCTGTCACGTCCTGTCCTTCATTCTTCTGCTCCGCCGCAGATCCATCTACAGTTTCTCTTAGCGATGGAGCGAGAGGTGAAACAAGAGGAATTAGTATCCTCGGAGGATAGGAAACAAACAGAACCATTGGACACAGAACATCTGGTGGAGATAAGGACTACAACGAGCCCTGGGGATTTACCCCAAGGCACGGATGAGGCGAGTCGCCTACGCGAGCTCCAGGCTGATGTTCGTGACCAAGATGATCTGGAAAGAGATATCACTCGACAGGTATAATGATTGGCAGGTTCCGGTTTGATCCATTGCTGACCCGCTGCAGGCTGACAAGCTGCTCGCCGAGCAAGCTGACGAACGGGACAACAAGAGACTGGAGCGAACCAAGCATGAAAAGGAGTATGTCAATGATTTCTCTAGATACAAGGAATGTGTTCTAATCTAGATATTTTCTAGGAAGCTCGAAGTGCAAATTTTGAGGTTACACCAGCGCCTTTCACAGCCCGTCGGCACCTCCGCACGAGTCCGCTTACAAAATGATCTCGAGAAACTGGAGTCACGTAACACGTCATTGGCGAAGGACTTGGAAGAAATACAAGAGCGCATAGATGCAAGGCACGTTGAGCAGGAAGGCAGTGCACAGGGTGCAGGGACAGGGCGGATGCCCAATGAATCCCGCAGGGACTATCTTATCCGGACCGGAAAGATTACCCCATTTTCGAGAATGGGAACCGGTCCAAATGAAGGACCCCTTGCCAGTCTTCAAGATGCACTTATCGATGCGGAGGATGAGCGAGACGAGAAGGAGGCCCTTTCGAAAGCAAAAGGTAGATCGGTTGTCTCGCACCGGAATCTTGTGCGTCCTGGGTTCGGGTTTGATGAAAGCACCGAAGCTAGCACGGGAGAAGAAGAAGCAACTCCTGGTCGCCCTAAGAAGCGAAGACGGTTGGAACACGGTGCTCGTTCGAGACAGCACGTTGCCAAGCAAGAGCAGCCTGACTTGGCTGCGGCCAGTCCTTCGATGGATGTACCGTCTGATGACCAGGATGATTCGGGAAGCTATGTAGCATCGGAAGAGGAGGCTTCTGTATCAGAAGATGAGGAAGAATTCCTTCCTGACGAAAAACAGGCGAAACCCACAGGAAAGAAAAAAGCACCGAAGACGGAGGATGGCGTCGAGGATTTAAGTAGCCTGGATGACGGGAATGAAAAACTATACCAATCTAGACTCGAAAATTGGGTCAACCGGAGAAGTGCGGCTCGAAAACGTACCCTCAGAGCTCATCAAGCTGATAAAGAAGACGGCTCCGATGCGCCTGAAGATCACATGGATGATGTCGAGAATTACGACCAAGAAAAAGAGTGGTTTTCACCACACCCAACTGTGCCTGATGTAAGTTACGATAGTGGATATCGCTTGCCAGGCGATATATACCCTTATCTATTTGACTACCAGAAAACCGGGGTGCAATGGTTATGGGAGTTACATCAACAACAGGTAGGCGGGATCATTGGTGATGAAATGGGACTTGGAAAAACGATTCAAGTCATTGCGTTTTTGGCCGGGCTTCACTACAGTAAAAAATTAACCAAACCGGTGATTGTCGTTTGTCCTGCAACAGTCATGAAGCAATGGGTGAACGAGTTCCATCGATGGTGGCCGCCGTTCCGTGTGTCGATACTGCATACCTCCGGTAGCGGCATGATGAATATTCGCAGTGAGAGTAGCAGAGAAGATGCTCTGACATCTCAAATGTGGGATCCACGTGGTTCTCGCGGTCTTTCTAGCGGACAAAAGGCGGCAAAGAGGGTTGTTAAACGAGTGGTAGAAGAAGGGCACGTTTTGGTAACGACTTACTCGGGGCTGCAGACGTATGCTCCCTTTCTTATTCCCACAGAATGGGGGTGTGCTGTTCTTGATGAAGGCCACAAAATTCGGAATCCGAATACTTCGATCACTATTCATTGCAAGGAACTTCGAACTCCGCATCGGGTCATTCTATCGGGTACACCGATGCAAAATAACCTCACAGAGCTTTGGTCCTTGTTTGACTTTATTTTCCCGATGCGCCTGGGAACGCTCGTCAATTTTCGAAATCAGTTTGAGTTCCCTATCCGTCAAGGCGGATACGCCAATGCCTCAAATCTACAAGTGCAAACGGCTGCCAAATGCGCAGAAACACTCAAGGACGCCATCAGCCCATATCTCCTGCAACGATTCAAAATAGATGTGGCGGCGGACCTCCCGAAGAAGAGCGAGCAGGTGCTATTTTGCAAGTTAACGAAACAACAGAGGACAGCCTATGAGGCATTCCTTGGCTCCGAGGAAATGAAGTCTATTCTCAATGGCCGCAGACAGGTTCTGTACGGTGTTGATATACTACGCAAAATCTGCAATCACCCAGACTTGCAGAACCACAAGCTTATGTCTAGCACAGCCGGGTATGGCAACGGCACCAAGTCAGGCAAGATGCAGGTTGTCAAATCATTGCTGGAGCTGTGGAAAGATACAGGCCACAAGACACTGTTATTTACGCAACATCGCATCATGTTAGATATCCTCGAGAAGTTTGTGAACTCACTTTCCGGGTTTAACTATCGCCGGATGGATGGCACGACACCGATTCATCACCGACAGTCAATGGTGGATGAATTCAACACGGACCCGGATTTGCACGTATTCTTGCTTACCACCAAGGTAGGCGGACTGGGTGTGAACCTTACTGGGGCAGATCGAGTGCTTATCTACGATCCCGACTGGAACCCGTCAACCGACGTGCAAGCACGAGAGCGGGCATGGAGACTTGGCCAGAAGCGTGAGGTGACTGTCTACCGATTGATGACGGCCGGGACGATCGAGGAGAAGATCTACCATCGTCAAATTTTCAAACAGTTTCTCACCAATAAGATTTTGAGAGATCCCAAGCAACGACAGACTTTTCAATTGAGCGACCTGCATGATCTCTTTGCTCTGGGAGATGAAAAGCAAGGCCCGACAGAGACTAGCAAACTATTCAAAGATGCAGAGGTAACATATGATGAAAATGGTGATGGTGCTACTCAGGGCAACACAACATCCAGTACATCAAAAGCTGCATCTGCTGGCCCGGATGAGAAGAAGGACATCAGCAAAGTCGTTGGTGTCGCATCAATGGAGACTTTCCAGGGCGAACCGGAGCCGAGCAGCGACCCGGGGACACCAGCTGGTGCTTCAAATTCAGAGGCCCGCCTCATGGAAGGCATCTTTGCACGCTCTGGGGTTCATTCGGCGCTTGAGCATGACCACATTGTGAATGGCAAGCGGGTTGTTCGAGCTGACCCCAAGATCATCGAAGCAGAAGCCAAGAAGGTTGCAGCAGAAGCAGCCGAGGAGTTGCGACGAGCAGGAGAGGCCGCACGATCAGTTCCCATTGGGACGCCAACATGGACGGGACAGTTTGGGGTTGCTGGCCGGCCAGAAGAGAGACCAAGCCGTCCAGGTGGTGGTGGTAGCAGCAGCGCGCGGCGGGCAGGAGCTGGACCATCGTCCGCCAGCATATTGGCCAACCTTTCTGCTCGTACGCCGTCGTCTCGCAGCGGCAGTAACAGTCCAGCGCCGTCGCGAGGACCTAGCGGAACGGATTTCATGACGATGCTCCGGGACTATCTCATGGCCCATGGCGGGTCCGCTTACACACAGATGTTAATCGATCACTTCAACCGGTTCTGCACGACGCCACAGCGATCGGCCGAGTTCAAGGAGATGCTCAAGACGATAGCGGTGCTGGAGAAGGGGGGCCGGAACGGGCGAGGGAAATGGGTGCTGAAAGCCGAATACGCCAAGCGACGATAAATCTGCATTTTCCAAATTTGAACAAAGATGCATCAAATATACGGCGCACGGGATATGCATGGGTCAGGTGTTGTCATATTGAAACCATGGATACTGAAGTAAGGGATCAGGATAGCCGGTGTCGGAGGATTAGTTTTAGAGTATTTTGTTAATGCATATAATAGTCAGCCTCAGGGAGCAAATGCAGTGCTAAGCTGAGGCTTAGCTATGTACAGTAGCATGAGGTTACATTGCTTTAGTACAATTGTACTACGAATTTAGGCGATCACCATTAGATTGTAAAATGTAGACTCATAGCGAGATAGTAGTCAGCCATTGAAGATAGAATTCGAACTACTTCTATGGACACTGTATTAAGTGATCGTCTCAGCAGTCCCACCTGGATAGAGAGTATGGGTCAGGAACCGATGAAAAAACAAACACGTACATATTCACTAATCCAATATGTAATCAGAAAATCAGCATGCAAGCAAGAGATCCTTCGCACCCCGTGAGGCTGAGTGAGCTAGTTATGTACATACTACTCGGGTTACACCACCGGGCGAATGCTACAACATCTGCAATCTGCATAACAATCACAGTGTGATAACGGGACAGCCGGCGTTGGTTGGATCTAAAAATAAAACATACAAAGACCAAATTGTCAGTCAAGTTAGGTGGGGGCTGAAATATGGATGAACAATAATAATTAATTTAACAAAAACACAAGTTCAAGAACAATGGAGATTATGATGAGATGGTGATGGCATGGGATCCTCAAGTGGGAGAACCGTGGATGGAGAGAGTGGGAGATGATAATCCCTTCAACTGTGGTTCGAGGATAGTATGATGTCAGTCAGAGTGGCGTACGGAGATGCCGTGGATAATATATCCTCTTTAATATAATAAAGAATAAAATATAATAGAACGTAATATACAGCAAAAGACAGTGGATGAACAACTCATCAAGTCCAGAATGGATTTATTCTTAGCATGGATTAAGCCCCGACAACTGTAGGAGGATGCAGACAGCTGTACATGTACAGTACAGAGTACATTAGACGTTATACAGTGTTATACAGTTGTTATACAGATGGAGTGAAGACAATCCACTGACATTCCGTGGATCATGATGGATGGCATTAATTAATCAAATATGCTGTTGTCGCAGATTGTATCAGGGGTTTGTGGAATGATCATCTTCTTGGCATCCACAGTGCCTACTTACTCTACTACACCCTCTACTACTACTACTCTATGTACACTACCTACACTACACTACAATATTATTGTCTATACAGATACTCTACAATGTAGATGATGACATGTTGGATAACTCTACCCTCCCATTGACCAAATATCAATCCTTCAAAATCAGGATTGATCCTTTGGATAGTGTCTCATCCCCACTTCCATCCCCCAGCAACCGAGCCCCGGTGATCGTCGCCCATTCTCTCGCTGTGACTGGAAGATGGCATCGCCGTCGTGTCCACTAGGGATGATACTACATCGTAGCACCATCTCATCTGCATCGACTCAGTAACTGGCCTGTCGATTATAATCACCACAATCAAGGATCATTCGTTGTTTTTCTGCTCAAGATTCATTCTGATTGTATGATCCATAGTACCGAGTACCACTCTGTAATAGTATCTTTTCTGTAAACTGGGGATAGGATCTTCACTGTTTGCTGTTTCTATTCTTGATCCTTCTCAAGACCAAGATGAACTTGCGATGATGCTAGCTGCCTTAGCCCGAGCTCGTTCCTTTTTGTCCGTCGAATATTGGCCCAATCCTGGCTTTACGATCCACTTGCGATGGTGGAGAGTGAGTCTTTTCTTTTTGGCTGGAGAGGCGAAATCCAAGGCATCGTCCTTCTTCGCTTTCCACATAAATACAGGCCGCTTTCCCCTGCTTTCACTGCCTCAGATCCAAGCCCATCCCTTTCTCCCTTTCTATCTCTACTTCTACTCTCTCTCAATTAATCTTAATCGTCTAATCTCTCTCTTCCTTAATTTTCTCCCATCAAAATGAAGTTCCTCGCCCTTTTCTCCCTCATCTCTGCGGTCGCCGCCACCCCTCTCTTCCACGCTCCCCGCGCCTCCAACGCCACCTCCAAGCCCTTCCATCTCAAGACCGCTGAGGCTTCCAACGAGGAGCACAACAACCTCTACGTCTATGCCTACCACACCGGTGCTGCCCTGAACGATGCCGTCCTCACTTCCGACAAGGAGACTGCCAGCACTGGCTTCCTGAACGGCACCCACGTCCAGTTCAACCTCAACAACTTCCCTTACGGCTTCCAGATGTTTCAAGAGAACCCTTACGAATGTGAGTTTTACTGTCTTGTTTTTTCAGTTCTCTAGACTAACAGTTTCCAGCTTGGTCGCGCACTTCCATTGACGTCGGCTACGGTGACGATGGTTTCTTCATCAATGGTACTGGCCTGCAGTGGTCCGAGACTACCTTCCACGGATGGTTGGGTAAGTTATCAGTTATCCTCATGAAGTGAAAAAGAGAACAAAGCGCTAATAATTGCTGCAGTCTGCGACTGGAACCACAATGCTCCCCAGCTTTTCCACATCAACAGCTACACCCAGCCCAAGCTCCCTTCGAGCTGCAGCACAGTTCACCTGGTTACCGAGTCCACGGCCTAAAAACCTAATCGCGATGCGGATATGAACTCCAATATTTGTTGATGATTATGCGACCGGGCCATGATGCAAGTGGCTATGAAATAATACTGCAGGGGGCGAAAAATAAACGAAAAAAACTGATAAGGAAAGAAGAAAAAAAAGACCAATCAAGGGAGGTTATGGTCTACTCCTTTGCTTTATGTGAGATTTGAGATTTGGAATTTCTTGTACAAATATACGCAAGGCAAGTATGGTGTATATGCTGCTTAATCTGTAATGATAGTTTGATGATACTCTTTTGATACTCTTGAATGATGACTATTCTATTCTGTTTACTTGCATACTCGTGCTGGTTTCCACCAACTTCTTCAATATATCATGCACTCCAGGAGATTTGATTAGATTCGACCGAGGCTGGAGAGATAGTCTAGATACTCCTTTGGGTGTTCGATTCGTGATGCATCCAAGACCAATAATTGGCAATAATGCAGCCGTAGTGAGCCTGGCGGGTTCCACTGGCGACCGTGGTTTGTATACACGATGAAGACGAGGAACTCAACGGTCAACACACACAGTCAAGGTAGATATTGTTGTAGCAGATAGATTATCGAGATAATTAACATCCAACTTGAACCGACCAGAAAAAGAACCGCCGTCAGACAACATGCGATGGTTCCGCCCAAAAATAGACGATGTCTCACATGTGGCCAAGGAATGAACCTCTAGTCGCTTCGATCGCCCGCCGTCGTCTCGATCATTGTTTCTTTTTCTTTTTTCTCTGACTGACTCTGTTTCTGTCTTTGCACAGTTTTTCTGATTTCGCTGTTCTTGTCTGATTTTTTCCGCACCGTGTCACCAGTCGCTCGCTATCGACCTTGTCCCTCGTTTTCGCAGTTGAAGTCTTGACTCTCGCATTCCCCACGATATCCGACGATCTGCGTGTTTCAGGGTGCTGTCAAAACGATTGGCGACAGAGAATTTGTCTCACAGCCCACGTTATCTATCTCTATTTTTTCGTCTTCTGGATGAATCGTCGCTATTAAATCACTTTTACTTCGTCTGAAGTTTTCACCAAGAGACTTATCTTTACTGTCTGCCCACAACAGCGGTCAGATCATAAGGGTCTCTGCTATCAGGAAATAAGCTTCGTCGAGGGATCGACCCGTTCTTGTTATCAGTACCAGCGAAAAGGAGTTGAGCTGTTCAGCTTCATTGACCATGCGGTCTTTTATTCTACTCAGTGTGTTGTTCACACTGCTTCTGGGCACTCTGTCGACGGCTTGGGAATTGGAGGGATTGAAATTGGCTCGTGATGAATTTTTGGGTTTGGGGAGACGAGATGGTGAGTTTACCACCATCATCTATCATCTATTGTGTTATTATATCGTACTGACCATTGCAGAAACTACGGCAGCAGATTCAGCAACGACTGGTTCTTCCCCCTCTACTACCGAGACGGCCTCAGAAACTGGCACGGCGACCGACACCGACACCGCAACTACAGGAACAGGAACAAACACCAACACTGGTACCGAGTCTAGCTCAGAAACAGGAACTGCTACAGGGACCGCAACCAAGACAAAGGGCACATCGACTTCGTCCACCTCTATCGATGCCCGTCTTCCAGCGGGAGGAATCTCGATGATCACCCCCTCCAACGGAGCAACCACATACTACAAAGTCGGTGAATACGTGACTTTCAAATGGAACTACACTTCGCTCTCTGTGACCCCGTCCGCCGTCAACGTCGTTGCATCCTGCAGTCTGAACGATGCTACTTACACTATCTCGAACAATATGAGTGTCGAGGCTACCGGTGCTGTGACCTGGGATACGGGTGATTACCAGGCGTCCGCTACGATCCCGTTGCTAACGGCGACGTATACATTGATCGTGTATGACGTGGACTCGTCTATCGGTGATACTGCCAGTGCGGGTCATCTGGGATCAAGCACTCAGTTCAACTTTGGCATGTATCTTCCGCAGCCATACACGCCTCTCAACGGTACTTACTCCCTCCCATCTTCTTACAGAGCCACAAGCTAATATTGAAAATAGAATACAAATGTGCCACATGCAGCGGTGCCATGTCCGGTATCGACCGCCAAGCCATAAAATTCGCAATGGGCATGGCAGCAATCACCATCTTCTCTTTCACCTGGTTCGCCGGCAACTTTGGTGTCTTCGCTACCTAACCTACCACCAACACCACCTACTCTATCTCCCTATCATCTTTTTCGTCCGGCTACATATATTCTATCTTCATTCTCCTTACAAGCGTCGCATTAAGCCTCGGTCAATTTTACGATAATAGCAACTTCTTTCTTTCTATCAAGTCAATTATGGTTACGGCGTCATGGGATTTCGGATTTCAAGTTCTATGTCATGTTTGATATGCGGGTTGAATTCGGTTGTGATATAATGGATTTTCTTTCATTTTCTCTTTATGAGATGGCATTACAGTAACTAATAGCGGGCTTTTTATATCTTTGTCAGTACCTATCTACGACTTACATTTCCAACTCCCTGGTGACATGGCATGTAAATAAATACTTAGGTAGTATTTATCAATTGTTAATTATGGCAAATCAAGATAAAAAGATTCCATCCAAGACCAAAACTAGGGATATGTATCTGGCTGGCTTTAGATTAAAGTATTCATGGGTATATGCATGAATGACATGGCTTTGATCTAGTGTAATCTGAGCTCAGTTGAGGACAAAGAAAACAAGACCTAACAAAGATTTTATCATCCCATCTTGTCGTCTTGTCTTGTTTTGTCTGTGACATATGCATGTACTATCATGGATGATAATGGGATAAAGCAAACAAGTATAATGCGTACAATGATGGGGGCGTGTTTTAATGACAAACATGGATTGAGACTGTCTGATATCCATCTAGTCTAGAATGTTTGATTCATTCTGTCAAAGAAAGAAAAAAAAGAAAAAAAAAATATATATATATACAGTAGAGAAATAAGGTATAAATACATCGTTTAATTCCCTTTTCATCCTATCACTAAACGTACATATTCATACTTCATTTCTCCTCTAATCTATCTATCTATTTATATCAAAAATGGCACCCGAACCCACCCTCGGCTGGATCTGGCCCAAAGACCCTCGCCCCGGAAACCCATCCCGATGGCCACGACGCTGGCGCCTCTTCGACGTCCTCACGAACCGAGGACCGGATATTTACGTGGGCAGGATAAACAACAGTCCGCACACACGCGCGCAGCCACAAACCACACAGTGGTCTCGATGGGAAGGAGACGGCGAGAGCAACGACTCACCCTTTCCCTGCGGGAGACGAGGGTCGGAGAAATACGATTTCAGACGGAGGAAGTACCAGGTTCCGGATCGGGGGACGTGGAGTTGGGTTGAGTATTGTGATGGGGATCGGGAGAGGGAGAGGGGAGGACGAAGAAGAAGGCATTTGATTCCGCGGAGATATTGGGATCGGAATGGCGAGGTTTATCCGGCGGGGTGTTGGCATGATGCTATGTATGGGGCGTATTGTGATCGTGTGAGATGAGGTTGGTTGAGTTGGTGATTGTTATGGTTTGTGTTGTTAAGTTATAACATGTCAGATACACCCTGGATGGTATGCTTCCCAGATGAAGACTCGCTGGCCTTGGGGCGATTGGGATGGCTTGGATTGGCGGATTGTGGGAAGTTGGGCGGCGTTATCGGTCATTTTGTTGCACTTGACACAGGGTGTTTGTTTGATGTCCGAGTAGGAAGATATCATGTCCTAGAATCAAGTCTTAGCTCTGCAAACATTGACAATGCATACTTCTACTCACAAGCAAATAAGCAAGGTCCCACTGCCGTGTCCGGGAATTCAAGCAATCGGCTATCGCAATCTCAAGTTTGCTCTTGGGAATCCCGGGCAGCAGCTTATTTGAAACTCGCCAGTCGGGCACACCACTTCCAAGTCCATTGATGGCTTGAGCCTGGAGGGCCATGCCCGCCTTGACAAGCACGGCGGTAAATGATGCATCTTTGTTGCTGCAAGCAATCCGAAATCCCGGAACGTTCTTCTGCAGAAAGGTCTCGACGATTGTTTTCCAGTCGCCTTCTGATGACTGAATCTTTGAGCGCTCCATCTCTTCCTCGGCCTTTTGCTGCTGTTCTTGCTTGGTCTGTTCTTCCTTGACCAGCTCTTCCAATAGCACATTGTAATCTCTTTCCCACATTCCAGTAGGTTGCAGCAGTTGGCCACCGTTCTCCCTTATTTGCGCACTAACGTTATCCCAAATACCCTTCATCTCAGGACCCCGCCACATGGACTGAAAGTTGGCAACCTCAGCGACACCAGCCCGTGCCGTCTGCGATAACTGCTCATACAGAATCTCAGGTGACTTTGGCACCGCAGAACCCTTTCGAGGATTAACAATCGGCACCAAAGGTTCCAATAAACGCCCGGGAAGTAGCGTTCGAAGTTGATGGATCTGCTCTCCATTAGTCATGTGATTTGACGCATAGACGAAAATCATCACTCACCATTGCCTCCATCTTCTGCAATTTCGCCAGAGAAGACACCAGCTGCATCTCCGAGTCCCCTGCATCGCCGGCCGTATCCGTCTTGTCGACATTCTCCTCATTTTGGCCGGAAGTCTGGCCCTCCATTTTTGGTACCACAATTGTCTCCGAAGAGGGTGGTTTTTGAGAAGCAGGGTTTGGCACAGTAGCCATTTTCTTTTATCAAATTCCCTGAAAAGCGTAGAAAACGAGACAGACAGAAACACTTTTTTTTTTTTCTTCTGCAGCTAATGAATGGGTTGCATTCACTTCAATAGATCAATCGCCGGACGCTATGCAGTTGGCACCAAAAGATTCAAATTAAACCAAGCAATGAATCATAAACAGGAGAAAAATAACTGTCTTATTATTTATGCCAGGTCCTCATCCCTGGACTAGCGCGATTCTGATGGAATTTGGAGGGTGTCAAAACTCGCTGAATCAAAAAGTCGCTGGACGCCCTCGGATGCCACAGGAGCCCTCACGAGATGGACTGACAGTCAAGATGAAGAGATCTGCGATGGAATCTGTCACCAAGGATGCACGAATAATGCGGAGTCGTGAGATTCTTTGGAGGATCAAAAGAAGGCCAAGTTGCTGTCGCTGTCGCCGTTGCTGGTTGGCGGCAGAGGCTGCGCCACATGACCCAGCCAAGCCACGTGTGGCCGTGCGTTTTTACCAATTTACCAGGCAAGGTTTGCAAATTGTATTAATTCATGACTTGCAGGTTTGTAGGGTCTATTAACGTGCATTAAATGCATGCCTTGCATATTATTACCTTGTAATCTTGATTAAGACTATCGATGTGGTGCATATAATGAAACGTCTAGTAGAATGGTTGGTATACACAATTTGGAATAAGGCTTTTCGAAATAGACTGGACAAGTAGAATCGATTTCATATTAAATTCATCACCAGATGTTTTTTAATCGAACATTCTGTGCCAATTGACCTTTGACCATTTAATATCCCCAAATATATACAAAAATCATAGTAATCATTCATAAATCGCAGACTTTTCATGAATAAAGTATAACCCTCAAAACAATCATAGCATAAATCTAGTAAGCAGCCTGGGATGAAGACAATCTAATAATAACTCCCTTGTCATGCGACATGGTGAGGTTCGATTGCTTCACTGGCTCTTCTTCCACTGTTGGGTCGGCGTTCTCCAAGCAATCAAAGTGCTGAAGCAGTTTAACTACCGTGTAGCTGGCTTCGGTAAGCGCGTATTGTTCTGTGCATATTATGGTTAGAGACACTCAATTATAGGGAAGATAGAGTGAGAACTTACGGCCCAGACAGATTCGCGGCCCTCCGTTGAAGGGAAGATACTCCCAGCCTCTCCGGGTCTTGGTCTCCCAGCGCTCCGGCCTGAAACTGCAAGCATCCGGGCCCCAGATATCAGTCCGTCTATGCATGGCGAAAACAGTGTACGCGACCGGAGTGCCCTTTCGAACATATATAGGCGATTTTTGGTCAGGACCGCCACCAGTTGGCAGAGATGTATCCTTGGTAGCCACGCGGAAGTTGATGGGCACTGGTGGTTGTAGACGAAGCACTGTGTCGAGTTAGTAATCTCGAGTGGTGATTCGGTTACACAGGGCTGTCAGAACCTACCTTCATTCAAAACATGGCGCAGGTAAGGGATGTCCTTCAATTTAGTTTGTGTGATTTCGGCCTTGGGCTGTCGACTGTCTCCAAATTCCTCAATGATTTCCTGACGAAGTCGGTTCCAAACATCAGGGTGACGGGCTAGATAGTAAAAGGTCGAGCTGAGCAAACTGGCCGTGGTATCACGGCCTGCCAGAAGAATGTTGAGCATGTTGTCTCGGAGAACCTTGGGATCATCGTTGTCCTCCGCAAGTGCCTCGAGGAAGATGTACCGGCCTCCAGACTGCTTCCTCTCGGGATGTCTCTTGGACTCTATGGCGAGCTGAACGTAGTGGTCGACAACTTCGTGCACACGTCGGTTGGCCTCCCGGAATTCCTTGGGATTGACCATCCAGTAAAAGGATTGCGCTCTCGATCGCGCAGCCAGGTAGTCCTGTGCGGTACCGAATGCCTCTGCGAATCCCTGTGCATTGCCGACTGTTGACTTTCCAAGAAGACCCGTGTTTGTCGAGACTGGGTGCATCGAGCCTACTGACTCTCCGAACAAGAAATGGGTTGCTGAGTCGATCGTGAGGAGAAAGAAAAGACGCTGGATATCAAACATGGAACGATCCTTCGGGATCATGTCGATCAGACGGGCGATATGACCATCGAGTAGCTCCAGATCGGCAACCTTGATAGTACAGTAAGCAGATGAATCATTGCCGTGAGAAAACAATCACCGACTCACCTGGTCTCGAGTAAACTGAGGTCGCAACAGACCCCGCGCATGCGACCAGCCAGCACCATCCAGCGTGAAAATCCCATCGCCTAGCAATGGGTAAAACTCTTTGTGTCTAGTTCCCAGGCTGAAGTCGTTGAACTGAGTGGCCAGCAGTGCTTTGATGTTATCCGGCTCGATGGTAGAGACGAGATTCCGATTGAAAAATGACTGGGCGAATGTGTTTCCATGCACGCCGTACTGTTGCGTAATGTAGTCAATCCATCGCTTTTCCTTGACAGCCTTGGCCAACCGCAAGAAGGCAGGGACTCCAAACCATTCCGACGATCCTTGTTTTGGAGGTTGGCAGTGAAGCGATTTTGCCTGTTTGCGATGTCGATAGGTCTGCTGGATGTATTGTAGAATCTGAAAGGTGATGAACAACGCACCAAGCAGGGCGAAAAGAGGGACCTGCATGGTGCCGACGATAAAGTGACTCCTGGAGGCTGATCAGAGAGAAGAGAAAGGTTATAAAATATACTATACAGATAAAATGTACCTGAAGTATTCAGAAAGAAAAACGCTGCCTCTAAAGCTGGTGTAATGGCTAGACCACGAGGATTCCTGGCTTCTTAAATAAAATCCTCAATAGCAGCAGTCGATCGCGAGCTCTAGTCACCAGTCGTGCTTCATTCATTAATTTAAAATGTCCATCCGACGATGAATGACGATGCCCACCTCGGTTGAGACACACGTGAGGCAGGGGAACCGGCTGCATTCACATTGCAGCGTGAAGTGTTGATCACGAAAAACTCCACCAACAAGCTGTTATTGGAAGATAAGCAACAAGAAGGGGACTCTATTTCGGTAGATCGCAAGCATGTATGAAAAGGGTTAGTGCCAACAAAATAAATCACAAGAAACGAAGATTTCTCCAGCCAACCATCTCGATCCTAACCGGGTTCTGGAGACGATCCCGCACCAAACCGGCCATCACTCCACACTGACATCAAATGGCCCAAACTATCTATCCACACCCTGATCCAGATTTCTGATTACGCTCGGCCCTTGAAGCACGACAGCCATCTCGTGAGAGCCTTGGTGAAAATACCCCGCGATATCGTACCGGGGATCGAGTTGAGCCGGAAGTCAAAGCAATGCTCCGAATCCTCCAGAATGTATCCGAATAGCGTATTCTCACTCGTCTGCACATCGCATTCCGGGATCTCGGTCGTGAATGAAATTCCCTGAGGTGCAATATCCTCGGTCGAGAGAGGCGACAGCGTTCTCCATGGGTCAAACTCCCCTCCGCTCCAGTACACATTGGATGGGCGCATTGTCCAGCCGCCGAAATCCGCATTGATGGAGTTGGCTTGAGGTTGCGATGGGAGAAGGTCACTCTCGGCAGCGCTGGAGAATACTCGGTTGCATATTTCTTGTTGGTACTCCAGGGTCTGATATTTGGACAGCAGCGAGTGAGGACCAACATTGTTGCTCTGAAAGTAACCCCATTCAGAGCAGTACTGCCAGGACCAGCTAATACCATTGGGATCAGAAGGGGGCTTGCCCAAATCACACGAAAGTGGAATTGACTCGTTTTGACCATTGCAGTTCGTATCACTGTTCAAGTTCACCAGCGGGATATAGACGGGCCACGATGCCCATCGCTCAGCGACGTACTTGCTTCCATAAATGGAAGCCAGTCCATCTGGACCTGCTGAGCTTTTCGTCTCCGGGTCATACTCGATATAGTCGCAAAAGGCCTCCAGACTTCCCTCATCTCCGCCGGTTCCGTAATTCTGGAAAAAATGGAAAATGCCTGCTAGACCCGCGGTAAAGTCCCCATTGGTGTTCTTTTCTGCACCTTCGCCTAAGAAAGCTTTCTTGATGGTAGCAGCTGTGTCGTTCTTGGACAACTGGTCGTCGATGTACTCCAACGCACTGTGAATATCCTTGGTGCAATTGTCGAACCCATACTTGTTCATCCCTCTGTAAACTTGGTCAAAATACATAGTCATGTTGACTCGAGCCTGAACAGGAGCCGATGAAGCAAATGCAGCATGGAAGACATCTGGGTATTCTTTGCGACTAAGGGCAGCGCGTATACCCGCATATGACCCACCAACCATGATCCATGGTGTCGATTTCGGTGTCACATCGACGTCGGGGTAAGCCTTGCTGCTGAAGTTCTGCGCTAGATAGGGGAGATCCGCCAAAGCTTGCCTCGTAGTATGATACTTGAAATGCTCCGGTGGCGTTTCCAGGCTTACAGGATAGGGAAGGGACTCCCCATAATACCTGTAACTTGTTAGCTGATGAATTCAAGGCAGTTGCTGGAGATGTACCTGTGCTCCCACCCAATTCCAAGCCCATGGAATTCCTCGAGCATATTTCTGAAGAATGACGACGTATTGGTCAAGTAAACTTTCGCCGTTTTCTCAGCATCCGCCTCCCCAACATCATATACAAAGACTGGTCCTCCTGGGACGTAGAAGTCTTCAGTTACCCAGTAGCGATTTTGGTAGGTGCCGACGGAGGAATCATTGTGGTCGATTGGGATCTGGTCACAAATTCAGCATCTGATGCATGTACAGAGAGCCGTCTAGTTGACCCAACTGTCCATGAGTGGTGAGTAGATGAACTTACTGTAGCATATTCCGTCGGAATATCAGAATCAATCGACTCGGATACCAATTTATGGAAAGCCTCACGGTCTTTCCATAACAGATTTGGGTCCACACCGAGCTGGGCGGATAGTTGTAACTCGTGTGCCAAAGGTTGCCTGGATAGCCCTATACCTGCAACACACTGCGATAGTAGGCCGACGACCACAACAGATGGTATGTACATATACATCCTGGAGTTGCTCTGACGAAGTGCAATTTCTTCGTTTCCAGCACATATAACCGGGCAATGAGGATGGAATGTACAAAACGAATGGCTTCAAGGAGGAAGAGATTGCCGCAGTTGGAAACTCAGGATACCAACACATGGTCATGTTGACGGTTATATACATGAGTGAACATGAGATTGGGTTGTTAGTCCTCGTGGATAGTACGGTTGCGTCCACAAGACTTGCTGCCGCTAGATGGATCTACCATCTGATTAAGCACGAGGCAAAAACCAAACAAATAAGACAAGGCTTCACTGCAGCCGAGACAGGGTTACCGTGTGCGGCAATATGTTGTGATTTCTCAATGCGTCTGTACTCTGTATATGTATTACGAACATATCGCGTGGGTCTGATGGCTTCGGCTTAGCAGGACAGAGATAAGGCTCGGGGCGTTCGACGGCTACAGGCAACGCTATAAAAAACCCCTAAGCATCCAGTCGGTGCTGCACTGCTGAGACGTCGGGTTGCCGCATGCCGAAAGGTGCCCGTCGATCATTGACCGTTGCGGCATGTCTGCTATAGCCCAGCCCCCCGAAGAAATCAGCGCTGTGTCTCTGTTTAAACATTGCTTAGTACAGTCTAAATTAGCGCTGACCTCTCCTCTTGATCTTGTTATCCTTATTTGGAATCAGCAGAAGAACAATCTCTTCGGAGTGCGGGGACAATAGGAATTTCGAAAGAAATCAGAGTGCGTCGATAGAGTATGCAGTTTCACACCAAATTAAATCGAGACAGGGATAATACAGTGTGCAGCATACACCGGAATCTGTATGTCTTGTGTCACCCAGGTGTTTATCTCGCGAGGATAAACAAAGCCATCGCCAAGAGGCCTAGAAAAACACTAGAACAATAGGTGAGAAGTCAGATATTATTCTTGGGCACAAATAGGATGACCTGTCACTATTGCCATCTGGCGACTAAATTTGGATCCAGGAACAGACCCTAATCCCACTCACCAGGAAGAAGATGGGGTGTTTCATGAAACCGCTGCCAGCCCCGAGACAGGGACGAGATGACACTTGCTATCAGGGGGCAGTGGGCTGGATGGAAAGATCGACGCAGCCAGCAACGAACCAAACACCGTATGCGTTCAAGGGGCAAATCCTAAGACTGGAGATTGCCAGGAAAGATTCCAAACATGCTGCGATGCTTTTGGGGGAGACGAAGGGGGAGACTGGAATGTGTCCTGCGCCTAATCGGGCTAGACAGGCCCCGTGACTCTTTGAGTGCGACACAACCAACAAAGAGAGACGTGAATCAGCATCATCTTCGATTCACAGGGGAATCAGCTGGATGAAATGGCAATTGAGAATGTGCAACACCCCTGATGTGATGGCCATCCGTCCTCTACTCGGTACTGTAGAGTGAGTCTTGGGATATCCCCTTACTGCTGACTGCTTTGCTGAGGGGAAAGATTAACAGAGCTCCAGGTTAATCCAGTACAAAGCCTAATGATATTCTGGCTGTGTTGACCGTAATTCGCTGCTATCTCCAACAAGCAAGGAAACAAGTCACGGTTGAACTGAGATCATTGGAATGCTGCGCCTATCAGTTGACGTCCTACCTCGACCGGTTGGAAGTGGCACATTGCAAAGATATCGATGTCACTGATGATACAGCCTCGTTTGTTGTGCGAAAATATAGGCTAGTGTTTGATATTACCATGATTTGGTTGCTGTGATGCACAGGCCTAATTGGAACGTGATTTGGACTGCTTAAACAACCATAGTGGGTTTGAACCCATGGAGGAATAAAAAGTGTGACAAAAAGACGCCTTGAACATGCATTTACTGCGAGGGACTGTGCGACTTGCACACGTTCCTGGAATGTATCAATCCCCAAAGATATGGGAGAGTCGCCCACAGAGGTGCTATCTGATTGGTTTAGGATAAACCAGGAGTCTCTCTTTCAAGATATCGCACCCAAGGGAAAGTATTTACTCTGAACAAGAATTACCCATCGCTTTGTCAGTCGTGCAACTGGTTTACTGGATACGCACCGGGTAATTGGGGTTGACTACGTGCTTGTCTCGAGTGTTCTTCAGAAAGCAACAAAAGACTCCGTTGTTTTGGACGTCCCCAAGCAGAATTTTGATTTGCTATGTCTGAAAGACCAGGTGTTCTTTTTGCTTTGCTGCTTGACAACTCAATTGCTCCTGCTGGTACTTTTACCCGAATTAACTCCGACATGGATTGATATAGACTCATGTCGAGAAAATGCACTATTTATTTTGGAATATTTGTTTCTTGAAAAGCGTTTTGGACACATTGAACTGAAGCATACTACTGCTATACCGGGGCCCACTGATGGTGTTTCACAATCGAACCACCTCGACTCTAAGCAACAGGTGTGTTTCCAAAATATTTAGTCACCTTGGCAGCTTGACATAGCGAAAATGTACCATTCATTTTGCTCAAAGGTGTGAAGAAATAAATTCTTCACGGCAAAATTGCAGAGGCCCCATTATTGCTAGACTGGGAATGAACAGGGTCGGTTCGGCTACCCGTCGCGAATGTATCCGACAATAGATTGCTCGATTAAATATGGTGATTTTCGAGTCATGACGATCCTTGATACTTTTGATGAAAGCGTGCTCCGATCCCGGGATGTGGTTGGGATCAAGTGCTGGCGAGTGCAAAACTGCAAATGCTGAAACCGCCATGCGATGTACCTGAATACAACAGCCAAAGGCCAAGAAACTCCTGCTTGGCTCTTCGGAGGAGACTCCTGTATGGCGCCCCCGCATGAACTCCGTATTAAATGCGGATCCTACTAAGGACGCTGTTGCTTGCTAGCGCCGGTTGTCACAGTCCGTCCACCATCGAGCTGAGACTGTTATATTGCGGTGGCATTGAGATTGGTGGAACTTGATGCAAAGTCCAGGGCCCAGGTCTTCAAAAGAACAATTTAATATAACAAGGGATGAAATGGGTGTGATATCGGATTCATTTTGTCCTCCACCGGCTTCGCTTGCGCCGAAGAAGCAACAATGATCATGAAATCCATTTAAAGCCATTGACGGTCCACAGACTGTTGGTCAATTCCTTTCTTTCATCAGTTGTAGCCCCTCAAAACCCTAGACACCATGTTTTCGAGATCTTGGACTGCCCTATCTCTGCCCCTCTGGGTCAGAGTCGCCTCTGCGGCCTTTGGACTCACAACCAATGATGGTTCCTACGTGGTTGATGCGGGATCACCAAACCCACTCAAATTCACGGTGGATCGCTCGAGCTGCGATATCACGTCGATCAATTTCTATGGCTCCGAGCTTCAGTATTCAGGCAAAGGATCTCACATCGGCTCAGGTCTCGGAAGTGCAACGGTTTCTGCTACTGAAAGTGGTGAGTTACCCTGTTAGAAAATCGCAGAAGACTTTGTGCTAACAAGTTATTTTTGCCAAAGGCGACTATATAAAAGTAACATGTGAGACGGATACCTTGATTCAGTACTTTGTAGTCCACAGTGGCGACCCTATCATCCATATGGCGACTTACACTACTGCGGGTGCGTATTCTCCGTTTTGAAAGCCGAACAAAATCTAATGCCTATATAGAGCCTTCCATTGGCGAGCTGAGATTCATCGCTCGTCTTAACTCTGAATTGCTGCCCAATGAAGAGCCCTTTGGTGACGTTTCCACCACGTCCGGCGGCACAGCCATCGAGGGCTCTGACGTGGTAAGTGGCATTCGCGATTAGAATTTGAACATGCTGTCTGACAAGATCATAGTTCAACGTTGGTGGGGAGACCCGTAGCAAGTTCTACTCCAGCCAGCGATTCATCGATGACCAGAGACACTGTAAGATGACCGATGAATTCCTTCAAAGCACTGATGTACTAACTTTTACAAGGTATTGCCGGAGATGCCCATCGCGTTTGCATGATCCTTAACCAATATGAGACTTCTTCTGGTGGCCCATTCCACCGGTGAGTATATCTATGAGCAATAACCTACATCGTAGTGTGCTAATCTTGTCTAAGTGACATCAACTCCAACAACGGCGGGGACTATAATGCTCTTTACTGGTACATGGTAAGATTAGAAAGATACTGAAAGGAATTATTGCATAATGCTCACGAATAAAAGAACTCTGGCCACGTTCAGACCGAATCCTTCCGCCAAGGACTCCACGGCCCATACTCTATGTACTTCAGTCGCAGTGGAACACCCAGCACCGACATTGACACTTCCTTCTTCGCGGACCTCGATATCAAGGGCTACGTTGCTGCAGCTGACAGAGGAACTGTATCTGGAACCGCATCTGGCGCTGACTCTAGCTTTAAATGGGTGGTGCACTGGTAAGACAGTCAAACTACACGGAATACGGATATCCGGTGTTTGCTAACATTCATTTAACCAGGTACAACGATGATGCACAGTACTGGACATACACAGCCTCTGGTGGCAGCTTCACATCCCCTGCAATGAAGCCCGGCACCTACACAATGGTGTACTACCAAGGCGAATACAAGGTCGCAGAGACCGAAGTGACCGTCAAGGCCGGATCAAAGACCAGCCAAAATATCTCCGGATCCGTGAAGACCGGAACTACCATTTTCAAAATTGGCGACTGGGACGGACAGTATGTCCCCTACACCCATTGACAGAACTTGAAATATAAAAACATCTAACACCATTTAGACCAACAGGCTTCCGCAACGCAGAGAACCAACTGCACATGCACCCCTCCGATTCGCGCATGTCTAGCTGGGGCCCTCTCACGTACACCGTGGGCAGCTCCGAGTTGACCGATTTCCCCATGGCAATTTTCAAGTCCTCCAATTCACCCGTGACTATCAAGTTCACAGCGGCTTCCTCGCAGACAGGAGCTGCCACTTTAAGAATTGGAACGACCCTTTCTTTCGCTGGCGGCCGTCCCCAGGCCACGGTGCGTTACCCCGAATGAAACATGTCATACACGGGATACAAGAAGACAAAAGCTGACCGATAAATACAGATCAATGACTACACCGGAAAGGCACCATCTGCCCCGACAAACCTCAACTCCCGGGGCGTCACCCGTGGTGCCTATCGGGGCTATGGTGAAGTCTACGATGTTTCGATTCCGGAAGGGACTATTGTTGAAGGATCTAACACGGTTCGTACCGAGAAAGCTTGTTGACCAGCTGAATTGTGCTAACGAGTTGCAGATCACGATTGAAGTTCTCTCTGGAAGCAGTGGCGATGAGTTCCTTAGCCCTAACTTTGTAAGTGGTTCTGATACTCAAGTTAAAACATGAAGCTGACTGTTTTATAGGTCTTTGACTGCGTTGAGCTTTTCCAGTAAGTAGCAGTGAGCTGCGACGGGGAAAGTATGAAGACCAAGGAACCAGGAAACAGCAACCAATATGTAAATTATGTATTCGGTGATTTGAGGATATGAGCTACCTAGGAATAATACAAACCATTTATCTTCATTACCTCATATATCCACCAGACCTAACAACCCACCCAGCAAGAAGTAACCCAGCCCCAAAAGCAGTCATAATAGACTTGCTTTTCCAGATGGATGTAAGACCCTCCAAACAATCCCCATCAACATCAACATCACGTCGACTATGTACCAGTTTCCCAAGAACCCACACAGACTTGACATTCCGATCACTTCCAGTCCACACCCACTTGTGAACCTTCTCAGACCAAGACTCCCACCCAAACACATCAACACTGCCGACTGTCTTTGTCCCGTCCCATCCCACAGAACTAGCTGGGTAACCGAGCTGAATCAGTTGTGCATCCCAGGACATCCCGAGATCGAACCCGCCGATTTCATTGGCCATATCCACGACTGCGGCACCGCCTCGTGTAGCGAGGTAGAGACCGTCTTCCACGCTGAGTATTTGGCTTTGACTTTCGTCTTTCTTTCCCTCCTCGTCGCTGGGTACGGTGTGTGGGAGTAGCCGCGAGACGAGAAGTGCTTGACGCACCGCTTCGAGGATACTAGGGCTATATCCGCCGCTAGTGTCTGTTCCAAGACCAACGGTGATGCCGGAATCAAGTAACCGGCGAACAGGACATAGCCCGGATCCCAAGGCGGAGTTGGAAGCAGGACAGTGCGAAATTTTCGACTGGCGGGATTGAATGAGTGTTCGTTCGGCTTTGGTGAGATGTACGCCGTGAGCGAGGATAGTGCGAGGGGTGAGGAGGTTGAAGCGGTCGTAGACGTCTGCGTAGTTCTTGCTCTCTGGGAAGAGCTTGTGGACGAGGGATATTTCGTCTTTGTTTTCTGAGATGTGGGTTTGGATGTGTAGAGGTGGGCTGTACGATGCAGCGAGCTGGCCTAGGTTTTTCATTGCGGTGGTTGAGCAGCTTGGGGCGAAACGAGGTGTGATGATGGGTTTGACGAGGCTTCCGAACGGGTCGATGGTGTGGATGTGTGAGATTGTAGTCTGGGTGGCTGATAGGGATTCCTCGGGGGAAGCGTCACGGTAGTAATCTGGACAGATGTCTGGATTGTCCATGCAGACGCGGCCGATGAGGGCTCTTTGGCCTCGTTCGAGACAGAGGTCTGCTAGAGCATTCGTCGCCGGAACGTGGATGGTTGCAAAATAAGCAGCACATGTAGTGCCATGCGCGAGAGTGCGCGAGACGACCTGGTTGTAGATTTTCCTGGCGCTGGAAATAGACTTTCCAAAAGAACTTTCCAGAGGAAATGTATATGTTTGCAACCAGTCAAGAAGAGTAGACGACCCAAAGAGACCCGAATTGGGATATTGCGAAGCATGAATATGCGTATCTGATAATTGTCAGTTCAGCCTATCAGAGCTCAAGCTTCACCACTCACCAATAAACCCCGGAAAGAAGAACTCATTCTGATCCTCCCTTGCGATGATTACTTTGACACTCGAGATGGACTTCTTGTTCTCGCCATTATCCAGCACCCATTCCTTCTTCTCGATCAGCGCTTGGAGATCACCCTCATCTCGAACATTCCAGTCGAATCCCTTGATCAGGCCATCATATCCCACCCAAAGGGCACCGTGATGGATCGAAAGTTCATGCTTTCCATCTGCAGGTGTCCGTGGAAGATCAATAAAGGTACCAAAGAACAGAGTATATGCCGCCATGTTGGGTATCGATGTAAACAAACAACAAGAATTAATCGCGAAAGTAAGGATGACACAGATGATAACCAGACAGCAGGATACAATAGAATACAAAAGTAGGATAATGCGTATATCTTCAAATGTGCTCACTCGATCTCAAAGAACTGGTATATGGATAGGGCCTCCCTTGAACACACCGCTTGTATTATCGACAAACACACCGTCTGCAGTATATGATCTCAGCCGACGAGTGACACGCAAATGCAATTCAAATATCGTCAATCGAAGCAGCAGCACACTTTAACGGGACCTATACCAATATATAAGCCGGTCTCGCTGGCCAGCTGAGGTTTGTTGTAGCTGAAAGCCAGCGGTCCCAAAAGGAGCCCGGGATCATCCGGTGGGGGCACTGGTATCCCACCAATCAGCGTGCTTTGCTTCTCCATGCATCGGCCGGCTCCGAGACCGCCGAGACTCCGATAAGACCAAAAGGGCTTAGCGTATTATAGACCAGATGGGGATTCAAAGACCAGATAAGTAGAGTTTACTTTTCAGGACAACTTGATATAGAATAGATTTATTTATATACAGAATCTAGTTTGAACAGGTATGAATATTCTTGTCATTTTCCGACTATCTAGTCGTCTTAATTATAATATGAATCGAGGAAGATGGCAGGAGACTGCCATCGAAAACAATAAAACGCCCCCAATGTCTAATGTTGAATCTCGCTTTAAAAATCATTCATCATGACTCAGAATGCCAATCCAAGAGTGTTGAAAATCATTAATGAAGCATGGGTATCATATCTACTCCGAGTCCTCGACAGGTCCGCAGGTGCAGAAAAGGTTTTGATCACCGTAGGCTGTGCATCGTTAGCTTGGCTCTTTCATTATAATCGGGAGTAATAACTTACCATCATCCACTCGAGTCACCGAAGGCCAGAACTTCTTCTCCAAAAGGTAAGGCAAGGGGTATGCCGCCGCCTCACGCGCGTAGGGGCGGTTCCACTCGCTGGAAAGAAGGTCCCGTTGGGTGTGCGGTGACATCTTGAGAACATTGCCTTCGCGGGGCTGCTCGCCGCTCTCTACGGCAGCAATCTCCTGGCGGATCGAGATCAGAGCATCACAGAATCGGTCAAGTTCAGCCTTGTTCTCCGACTCTGTTGGCTCGATCATCAGGGTGTTGGAGACGGGCCACGACATGGTTGGGGCGTGGAATCCGTAATCCTGGAGACGCTTGGCGATATCAATGGCTTCCACACCGCAGGTTTCCTTGAACTTGCGAACATCGAGAATGAACTCGTGCGCGCAGCGGCCGTTGTCGTTGGTGTAGAGGATAGGGTAGTGGGGCTTCAAGCGGGAGAGGATGTAGTTGGCGTTGAGCAGAGTGATCTTGGTGGCGTGGGTGAGACCCTTGGAGCCCATCATGTTGATATAGTTGAAGGTGATTGGCAGGATGCTAGCGCTACCCCATGGGGCGGCACTGATCGGCGGGGATGAAGTCTCGCCGCGCTTGGACTGGAGGTACTCGCTGGTTGGGTGGGATGGGAGGTAGGGGCGCAGGTGCTCAGCAACACCGATGGGGCCGACACCAGGGCCACCACCACCGTGGGGGATACAGAAGGTCTTGTGCAAGTTCAAGTGGCACACATCAGCACCAATCTCACCAGGAGAGCACAGTCCGATCTGAGCATTCATGTTCGCGCCATCCATATAGACCTGACCACCATGCTGGTGAACGATGTCACAGGCTTCCTTGACACCGGGCTCATAAACACCGAAGGTGCTGGGGTAGGTGATCATAATGGCAGCCAGTTCATCCTTGTGCTTCTCGCACTTGGCCTTGAGGTCTGCAAGGTCCAAGTTGCCGTTCTTCATGTCGCACTTGATGGTAACGACACGCATGCCTGCCATAGCAGCACTGGCGGGGTTCGTTCCGTGGGCGGAAACAGGGATCAAGCAAATGTTGCGGTTCGATCCCTGAGCCTCCTGGTACTTCTTGATAACTCGGAGACCAGCAAACTCACCCTGGGCACCAGAGTTTGGTTGAACAGTAATCTCTGCCATGCCGGTGATGTCTGCAAGTTGCTGCTCCAGGTCGTCGATCATTTGAGTGTACCCCTTGGCCACGTCTGCGGGCATGAATGGGTGCATCTGTGAGAATTCGGGCCACGAGACGGGAATCATCTCGGAAGTCGCATTGAGCTTCATGGTGCAAGAGCCTAGGGGAATCATCGAGTGTGCTAGCGACAGGTCCTTCGATTCCAGGTGATGGATGTAGCGGAGCATCTCTGTCTCCGAGTGGTGGGTGTTGAAGACAGGGTGGGTCAAGTAAGGAGATGTGCGCTCCAGGCTGGCAGGAATGGGAGCGATACCGAGGTTCTCATCCAAGACAACCTCGCCCTTGGAGGCATGGGTTGCGAAAACCTGGAGGATTCCCTTGACCTCGTCACGGCCGGTGATTTCGTCCAAAGAGATACCAACCTTGTTAGGCGAGACACGGCGCAGGAAGATCGACTGTGCGCGAGCAGCGCTAATGATAGCATCCGCTTCCAGGCTGTCCGAAAGCTCAACGGTAACGGTGTCAAAAACAGCACCACCATCAGTGGTGTTAGTTCGGATAGGGGCGTTGAAACCCAAGGCAGCAAGCTTCTCGCGAAGTGTTGCGGTCATGGACATGACCCGCTGGGCAATGCCCTTCAATCCGGTGGGTCCGTGGTAGACGGCGTACATGGCGCTCATGTTTGCAAGAAGGGCCTGGGCTGTGCAAATGTTGCTGGTGGCTTTCTCACGACGAATGTGCTGTTCTCTAGTTTGCAGAGCAAGTCTCAGGGCACGGTTACCCAAACGGTCCTTGGACACACCCACGACACGACCGGGAACCTTACGCTTGTACTTGTCAGCACAAGCGAAGAAGGCGGCGTGAGGTCCACCATAGCCCATGGGAACACCAAATCTCTGGGCATTTCCAAATGCAATGTCGGCGCCAAATTCTCCTGGTGCCTTGAGGACAGTCAAGGCCAGCAAATCGGTGGCCACACTGAAAGTGCCACCAGCGCCGTGGATTGTTTCACCCAAGGACTGGAAATCATAGATACCACCTTCGGTGTCAGGGTACTGAGCGAGGACACCGATCAGGTTGTCGCCCTGTTCCTTGACCAGCTTGAAGTCATCCGCCAAGATATCACCAACAACCAGATTGATGCCGAATCCCTCCGCACGGGACTGCATCACAGCAAGAGTTTGAGGGTGGCAAAGGTGGGAGACAACGAAAGCCTTGCCGGGCTTCTTTTGTCTGGGAAGAGGTAGACTGGCCAAAGACATAGTCATGGCCTCTGCGGCCGCAGTAGCCTCATCCAAAACCGAGGCGTTGGCAAAAGGCAAGCCAGTAAGGTCCGCGGTCAAGGTCTGGAAGTTCAGTAGAGATTCCAAACGACCTTGGCTAATCTCCGGCTGGTAAGGAGTGTAGCTGGTGTACCAGGCTGGGTTCTCCAGAATGTTGCGGAGGATAACTGGGGGAACCTTAGTGGGATAGTAGCCACTGCCGATGTATGTCTTGCCCGAAACATCAATTTGCTTCCGATATGTCTCCAACGCCTTAAGCATGTCCGTCTCTCCAAGACCATCGTGCACACTGTCTCGGTACAGATTAATGTCGGCATTGAGGGGGGAAACGTGCAAATCCTTCTTGGAAAGGATGTCTGCCGGAAGGACCTCCTTGACGAATTCGTCTAGCGATGCTACGGGAGGGTCGAGAGTGGCGAGCATCTGCTCTGCAGCGTCTGGCGATGGGCCAATGTGACGTCTGGGGAAAGTATCGAGGGGCTGGAAGGCATCGCGGGGGTGAGAATCACCGTGATCGGCAAGGGAGCTGGTGTAAACCGTCCGTTGCGAAGTCTGCTTCTGCTGTGCGGCTATCGTCAAGCACCGTCGGGTGGCATTGAACGACGGAGAAGCTTTCCGGAAAGCAATTGGCGAAGGAGAAATGTGAAGGCGCGTACGGAGAGCCAGCTGGCGAGTGCCGCGCAGGGCGCACCAGGACGCAGCCATACTGGAGAATAGGGAAAAGTTCCAGTGGACTGGAACGGAGATGGCGGGCGAGGCCAAAAGATAGGAATGACGTCTGTATAGTTCTGCGGGGAGGATTGAAGCAGAAAGCCCAACACAAGAACACAGGAGGATGTAAAAAGGAGGAGAGGGAAATTGAGCGAAAAGACGGGATAAAAGACTTAATAAGAAGGGCCAGACGAAAATTGAGGCCGAGATCATTCCTGATCGTTGCCGTCGCTGCTGCACTTGTCCGACACGAAAACCGCGGGCGATACGGGAAACTGCGTCAAAAGGCCCCGATAACGCTGTGCTCCGGCCAATCAGAGGGCGGACTGCCCCGCGGTGCCACTCACACAGACAAAGGCGGAGAACTGATAACGATAAGGGCGGAGGGTTTCCCGCGGGAAAGTGAGTTTGTGGCTCCACGGAGCGGATATTCGTTTCTTTTGGAAGAAATTTCTCGATGTGAATGGATCGGAGATTTCATTTGAATATTCCAGGTTCTATGGAGGGACGATAGACAGCAAGAAGTTCCCCAGACTCTATTGTCCAGGCCTGCAGCAGAAGACGGATGATCAAAAGCATGGGCCATTGGCAGCGCAGTCCGACACCGCTAGACGTTTCTTATCTCGCACTGGCCATTACTATTACTTGTGACTCTAATTGGAGATTTACCTCGGCTTTATTATATAGACAATTAGACATCTCTGATGGAATCATTAGACTGAGAATATAGATATATTCTATGCTGTATGAATAGAATCAACATGAACTTGGTGTTGATACCTTCATGTCAGTATGATATCACTGCCATGCTGCAATATATTATCCGCATAAAAAGCCTGAATGTCACTACAAAGTAGAGCTCTATTCTAACATCGTGGACACTACTTTGTAAAATGCTTTAAAATGCATCAATCGTCACTAAATAATAGAAATGGGAATGTAATTTCTTCGTCTGCCTTTTAGAAGGGCTTCAAATAAGCTATTTGCACATGACCAGACGCGTTCTTGTCTGCCTCATCATCACCAAACACTACGGGTAGTTTAGTCTCTAGACTTATCTTCTGTTAAGTGTTTTGAAATATCTCAAATTAAAATATACTATCATGACTTGCTGACAATGACACGACCACTGCAGTGGCGACATGATCTCATATGATTTCATCTTGAAGAAAACCTTGAGCTTCCACCAAAAGCCTAAGCTCAGATAGTATAGCGAAATTCGGCGGATCCTTCGATTATACGCTTTCCACGGTCTGCCTGCCTATTGCAATACCGAAACCACAAGCTCAAAATAGCGACGATGATCAGAATAAGGATGTTGCATCTGCAGAATTTAGCAAAGTTCTAGAAGAAGTTAATTCGCCGCCATGAAGAGAAAACTCACATAATGGTCGTATACATTCCTGGCCGGTAACCAGGAGCATCCTGTGATCGAAACACCAAGCTGCTTGCAATACCCCCAATGCCACCAAACCCGACTAGTGTAGCACTTGATAGAGCGCGAGTCCATTGGCCTCGAACGTTGTTGGCTTGGTAGGCCATGCAAGCGGGGATATTTGCATTGGCTCCAGCCGTGCTCAAGAAAACGCCAACGTATCGGGCAGCATTACCCTTGGCAAATCCCATCATGGGAAGACCAATGATGCAAATCAAGGCGTTGAAGACCAGAATTGCACCGCGCACGCGGTACTTGTCACCTACCCAGGCCGTGCCGAACATTACAATACCAGCGAAGCCAAAAGGAGGCGCAACAAGGCATTGAGAAGCACCGATCCCATATCCCATGCCCTCCCGGAGGATAATGGGAAGGAAATAAGCTATGGCATATGTGACAGTAGTGATGCAGCTGATGGACGTTAGCTATCTTCTGTCCTGTGGCGATTTTGTATACAACCTACAAGAAAATCATTGCAAACCCCCAGATTTTGAGGTCCAGAGCAGGCGAGAAGAAGCGTTTGAAAGTGAAAGGTTCCGAGTCACCATCAGATCGATCTCGGTTGATACGACGGATAACGAATGCGCACTCTCTCTCGTTGAGGAACTTCCACGACTTATGCGCTTTGTCCGGAAAGTCAACGAGGAAGACGAATGTCAGCAAACCTATTGCGCCTGTGATCTATTGGAAACATTAGTTCTTCCGTTTATCTGCCTTGAATCGGATTACTCACAACTCCCTCGAGGATGAAGATCCAGCTCCAGCCCCCGAGTCCATGGGCTCCTCCCAGTTGCATTAGCCCGAATGCTAGGATTCCAGACAAAGCCGATGCAACGCATCCAATGAGATAGAAGATTGAGAAGCGTTTTTGGACGTCAACTATTATGATCAGTTCCTAGCAATGTCGGATCTCATAAGATTGCTCAACTTACACCGGGCGTACCAGGATGAAAGAAGGTACACGCATGCGGGAAAATATCCTAACGAGGATTAGGAATATGACCATGAGTAACGGTATGTGACCTTACCTGCTTCCAAAAGACCAAGAAGTATACGACACACGAGCATTTGCTTCCAGTCTTTTGTAAAACCCATTCCCTTTGATTTATAGTATTAGAATGGAAACTCTTCAAAAAATGGACTAGGACAACATACAATCATGATCGCAGCCCAGCTTACAATGATACTGCCCAGGAATATGGTAGGTCCCAGCTTTCTGGTGATTATCGTCATGGGAGGCTGGAATATAACATAGGGAACGAAGAAGATGAGAACAACGACGGACTGTTCAGCCGTTAGTGGATGAACGCTCACTACCTGGTAGTGATGATGAGACTGACATATCGCGATCCAACGTCTAGCTCAAGGGCCTCTTTCATGCTATCAAGCAGTTAGCGACCCACACAGTGAGCTGAAATAATCTCAAAATTCCATCGACATACCCTGCCACAACTGCCATACTGAGGTTTGTCCTGTCCATCAGAGAAATACAATATGCCAGACCAGTCATCGTGACCAAACGTCGGTCAATGCGATGAATGATCTTGCGTTGCTCTGCCGGAGTGAACTCTTCATCTTCATTATCGTCAACAACATTCTCAGCTGTAGGTTTCTCGATATCTTCAATTCGATCCTGGCTAGCGCGCTTCTCGCTGTTCGTGGGTGACATGACGGGATTCTGAATTCTCAGCAACAGAACCCTTGATGAACTAGGAGGAAAACGAGAAAAACAGACATGGGGAAGTCGACATTATCTAGGGGCTAGCGTTCCAGGGTAAATATGTCGCCTGCCATGGATAAAACGCTAGTAGTCCTGCTAGCAAAGATCTCTGGCGTCTGTCAAACGAAAGTACATTGCCCCTCCCTCATAGCTGCATATCGGCAGAAAAAGCCACACAATCCACCGGAAGCTCAGCTGATTCGACCAGACCGCGACATTACCAAAGACTCCCACAGAGCAACAATCAGAATAGCCGGGCGAGTTTGTCAAACTGCCTCGGAGATGGCCACAAAAACAGCGTGTAAGGACAAAGACCCACGATGATACCCCGGATTTGGCGATAGAAATGCGGGGGAGTGGCGGGTGGAGAGACGATCCTGAGATAGAATGAATGCGGGGATGGAAGAGGTCTGACATCAAGACACGCACTTGGCAGCTTGGCAAGGAGTGCGTTACATTCGAATGCCCATTCCCAGTTTTACGAGTTTTTATCGTTGCTAAACAGGTGGCTGGCAGAGTTCACCACATCCGAGTCTATCGACCGGCCCAGATGGTGTATACGGCTTAGTTTAATCTTGGTTTCACGCGTGCATCGAATGAGATTTGTTTCTCGACTTCCGGGGAATTCTTTTGAAAGGCACATTTGAGTTTTCATTCGATGGAACAAGATTATTAGAGTCAATTGGTGCGAATCTCAAGATGCTCCACGCAGGACTACCTTAGTGCCCAACATGACCTTTTGATCATTTTCACCCTTGCCACTAAGATAAATCTAGATTGAATAGGCGATTTACCATAGCTATACGTACCAATTTAAAGGAGAATTTGCCAGCAAATCGGAACATCTAAACTGAATTACACTAGTCTGAACCTTGGCTCTACGATGACTACGCAGAAAAACACACTGCATGCCTCGGCAACTGAAAATATCTTTTGAATCAATACATCTCCTACAGCTTTCATTTTTCATGAGTCGTAGAAGAATATGCGATGCTAACTACCCTCCTAGACCAAGGATGTGAAACGATCCGGTGGAACTTGTTGGCTATGACTAGGCAGTCAATCATCCCCGGAAGTAGTAATCATATACCGATTGGCCTGCGACGAACAGAAACCGTGTCTGCTAAATATACCGCCGATCCCCCTCAATTGCATGGGATCAATGCTGATTCAACTAAGGTACTTATCGGCTAATATAGCGAATAGAACAGCTCGATGTCAATAGATAGGATGGATTACACGATAGAAAGACCAATTCAACCAACAAATATCAAGGGTAGAGTGAGTTATGTTTAAGACCTGCATTGCATATACTCGTCTGATTCAACTACCGTATTATCATTGTTAACTGTGAGCTATTTCATCTATTCTTCAACATTATTTGACCCAGGAGAAGATGCAACAAGACACGCTGCGATACTTGTCACTCTTCCTCTTCATCATCCTCGGGAATCAATCTCTGCCGCTCTTCATCATCGCCTTCTTCCTCCTTCTCTTTCATATCCCTCCCAGACAGATAAACAAACGCAACTAATGCAACCCCGACTAGAAATCCAGCACCGGTCAGAAAAGCATTAATGGGAATTGGGTCGTCGTGAAACAAGCTGTGAGTAAGGGTGTCCAGGCCGTATTGTGAGAAATTCACCAAGCCCGAAAAGCAAATGATGGTCCCATATACACGGCCGAATGTTGCGAAGCCGAACACTTTCGTGGCATAGTCACTAAAATGGGGATAATTAGAATTTGCCAGTTGTTATGTCTGAGATGAAACTTACGACATGGCGGAGTAATAAAGTGGTCGCAACAGAACGAACAAAGAGACAGTTATGTACCCAGCCCATATTGCTGGTACCGAATTCAGCGCTCCAACGGCAGTGGTCAACACCACGATTATGGTAAGCGTGGCTGGAACGCTGAGTTGATCTAGCAAGATCCCTATCAAGGGAGTGGAGATGACACCGCCCACCGGCAATGCTATATCGAAAACATTGTTAATCAGACTGGCCTGCTCTTTCGAGCCCAGCATATACTCGTACTGCGACCTGATTGTAGCGATGAAGTAATTCATTCGCAACATCTGCAGCACAGTCATCAGCGTGATGAGAATGAACCACGGCGTGGCCATTTGCTTGTGCGCGGGCTGGCCATGGAGAGCGCCCCAAACACCACTTGTTTCTTGGCGCTCCTCTTCGTACACCTCTCGTTGCTTCCTTTCGTCCTTGCCTCCAAGCACTTCGTCGAGTTTGCGCATCTTCTTGTGCCGCCGTTCTGCACGCTGGCTTCGGACCCGCCGGAGCTCTGAGTCACTTTCGATATCCTCGTCTGACTCGTGGACATCGCGGGTGGCATCCGCAGCTTTATCAATCTTGACCTCGAGTTGCTGGACCGATTGGTAGTCTCTAGAGGGCATAAAAGTCAATAAAGAGACAAGAATAAGCGCCGGTACGATGAGATAGCCCAGGAAGAACTTGGCTGGCGTGAAACCTTTATCAGTTGTGTAGTAGAGTACCCCATAAAACAGATAAACTGCAGCGGAAGCATCAAAGGCGCCAGTAACAAGGGCAACAATCGTTCCTGCGTATCTTGGGAAGGCGTGCGCAATCTGGAACGAGGGAACAAAGATAAAAGTTCCTCCTAAGGCTAGGAAGATGTTGCCAATTATATATCCATCAAAGTCAGGCCGGAAGAAGGAGTATGCCATTAGAAGGCTACCTGCGGTGAGGAGGGCGCAACTTGCAAATCCACAAACGCGAGAGCCATAGCGATCGAGAATGGTTCCTACTGGGAGTGCGGAGACGTTCGCAGTTATCGATGCAACGGTGAAGAACAAATTCAACCTGTCGCGGTATTAGAACATCGTTGATGAGTGTGCGAAAGCCAAAGGCTTACCTGAGATCCTGCTTATAGCATACATCGACATTATCTTGTAATTCTTCGTCCGTACACAATTCACGGTAGACACCCTCCGATACCAAAACAGGTTTGAGTGCTGCAAAGCCGAAGACGATTCCTGACGCGAACCAGCACGCGAATATTGTGGCAATCACCTGGGCTTTACAGGGTTAAAAAGAGCCATTCTACAGAGGAGTGCAATGTTCTCACCAATTCTTCTTGCTGTAGAAACATTATAGGCAGCAGTTCCCGGCTTGTCGTCTGCTTCAAAGTGAGGTTGTGGGAAAACGTCATAGCTTATCTCGCGACGAATGGGGGGGAGCTGCTCAGTTATCTCTGGAAATTCTGGTTCACGGTCGACGCCGTCAATTGCAGAAACATGCTGCACCAGAGACATTGTCCGTGTATAGCAGGAATTGACTATACAAGTAACAGAGCTCTAGGTGGGAGGGTGTTGGTGTTCTTAAGGAGAAGAGATAAGGCGTATTCTTGAGGCTGGAAGCTTCTGGAGCTTCAAGCTTTGTTGCCAAAAGAATCTCGCCACGCAAGGGTTTCTTTTCTTGTTCGGAACTGACTTTGCATTCTATGAGACACGAATTATCAGGTGATCGATTGTCTTATATATAGCCATGGTAGCATAATGAATTGATATATTGAGAACGAGCGATCCATTGAATCAAATATTTGTTCCTTGGACCAGTTTCAGCAACAATTCAAGCCAAAACCGACTGCACTCAAGGCTGGAACCAAGACTGAGACTGTATTGGTATTACCATCCGTGTAATAAAAACCACGTGGACAGGGCACGTGCCAGACCGTTTTCTGTCATTTCCTATCATTTTGAGACTGTCAGTTTGATCGTCTCCTCCAACTTGCAAGACACTGAGTCCATCTCGTCTTTCAGCATTTATCATGAAACGAATGCCCCAGGCACACTGAAAGGGCATCAGATGATAGGTTATCCCAGATCCCACCATCCTGTCATGCAATTAATTTATCCTTGGATCCCGAGACGCGATGACGTCGCGGGTGGGAAGCATTGAGTGCCAACCCCGGGCAAGTGACGTATGCTTATCCCGGTCAGATGAGAATCTACAAAAGACTTCTCTGATGGTGGGTTGGCAACGCTTTATTATACTATTGTCTCATTTCAAAGGCTTATCTTCGATCTTTTCTTTTTCTTATTTCCGCTAAGAGATTTGATATTTATATTGTTGATAGATCTGTCCGATACTGACCCACGGGAAGCCCAGAAATGGCACTGATTTCCATTAACACTGGTGGTTCCAGTGGATTTCTGTATAATTCTGGATCAGGAACCGCTCGTCTCTGCATCACCGCAGAAACACCTGATTTCGACAATGAGACACTGCGTAATTGGAAGGATGAAGGGTTCGACGTAGTGTATATCGCATACAACAATGGAGGGAAGGAATACATTAGCCAGTTGAGGTCGGTCAAGGAGGGACTGGGCGTGGGTGAGAACTATGCCATCATCGGTAAGTTGATCACTCTTCGAGAGCCTGATCGAGCCCTGCTGATTTGACAGCCTTTGGTGATGCTGCATCTTTCTGCCTCGACTATTTTATCAAACCCACAGCCGCCAGTCGTCTCTGCGCTCTCATTGCCTACTACCCAACGAATATCCCAGACACAAGGTCCCATTTCCCACCTACCCTCCGCGTCCTGACACATCTAGCGGGTTCGACAGTGGATGTCACAACAGTACCAACTGCACTTGGGTTGCAGGGGAAGAAACGTCGAACGACACGGCGGATTCAACCTGGAGTCGGCACTGGAGAGCGTATTAACATTGGACACCCTGCCTACACCTATGAATACGTACAGCCAGGGTTTGCGGAACATGATCTGGATGAATACAACCGGCTGTCCTGTGATCTTGCTTGGACTAGAACTCTACAGCTTTTGCGGAAAGGATTCGGAAAGGACCCTGATCTAGAAGCGAAATGGGAAGACCACCAAGAAGGTATGTGGAACAAAACCTCACTAGTATTAAACTTTTCAGAGACTAACTACGGTGTTCATCCAAAGGCAAATTCTTCTCGTCAGATATTTCGGAAACAATGGACCCCTATGCGACTCATATTACTTCAACTGTCACATATACGCCCACTCAGAGCGGCGGTATTGGATGGCATGCTCTGCGTCGCTTCTACGAACAAAACTTTATCCGCAAGCTACCTCCTTCCATGCGGCTGCGACTCATCTCACGTACTGCCGGCGCGGATCGAATTGTGGATGAGCTCTATGTAACCTTCGACCACACGCACGAGATTCCGTGGATGCTCCCTGGCGTACCCCCAACCAACCGGAAAGTTGAAATTATTATTGTCAGCATCGTTAGCATACGAGCTGGAAAGCTATGCTCGGAGCATGTCTATTGGGACCAAGCCAGTGTCCTGGTTCAAGTTGGTTTGTTGGACCCAAAACTTGTTCCCCAAGGTGTTCAAGGTGTAGATCGTCTGCCTGTTGTTGGCAGGGAGGCTGCAAGAAGAATCTTGCATGAAAATCCAGAGACCGAAGAAGAATACCATAATCGATTAATTCGAAGAGCTCGCGCAAAGAGCAAGAATAATGGTAAACACACTTTGGTTGAGGAGTCCGGGACGGAGTTGAAGAGCGAGACAGAGGCTACAAAACCACCCAAGAACAAAGGAAAGTCTGTTCAGCGAGAACCCTCTTCAACTGAGAAGGATAAAGGAGAAGAGACTGAAACGGAAACGCAACCAAGAAAGGAGAGTGCTGCGTATGTGGAGGATGATAATGCTGAGAACGACGCCTGAGCTGGAAGCAAATCCTCCAATTTCTTCTTCTTTTCTCTCCTTCTATGTTGGCTCCTTTTGCAACGATATACTTTATATATATTTTCTTAATAAATTGTTTATTACAGTCATACTATATCGCCTTATCTCATGATGCTTGACGGGGGTTTACCATCCCTTCCACGGGACCCAAGTCTCCCTCACCGTGTCATTCTCATCCACCACATAATAAACATGATGTGCCGCAGCTGTAATACAAGCATGTTGGCAATACAACATCACTTTCTGTCCCACCCGGAAGGTCTCTTCTACCTTTGTACCCGCTGCTGAATTATCCACTCCGAGGATGCCATGCTCTTGCGCCATGCGAACAACCGCCCACCCCGGGAACTCTGGTGTAGCCCCAAAACCAGATGATGTACTCGTTTCTTTGGACAGAGCGACGGTGCCCGCGTTTACAAGTGCCTCATTCCGCTCCGGATAGACACTGCAGACTTCGGCAAGGATGCGAATCGCCTGTTGCTTGTTGGTGACCAACCCTGTGCAGACTTGCTGGATATCATTTGTGGGGAAGTTTCCTGTCCATTCATCAGCATTTCTTGTCATAGACATAGAATCCATAATATGCATATACGAACCAGCATGCAACTCCACCTCCATATCCGTCGGAATCCCATCCCTCAACGAATCAACCACATGAGCCGTAGGAGTCGAACCAACAGAAACAACCACCTTCCGCCCCTCCCTTCTCGACAAATTCTCAGAAGCCTTAATAACACCCTCAACTTCAGCCTTCAGTACACCCTCCGCCGCCTCCCTCGTCCGACACCCATACGAGTGGCCCGCGTGACAATAGAACCCATAAACAGACGCAGCAGGCGAGGCCTCGATACGCTGAACGAGCTTCGGGAGCGCAGGCGAAGAATTCTCCATTCCGGCTCTGTGGGATCCTACGTCGACTTTGACGAAGACTTCCCAGTGGGGAATGGAGGGGCTGGAAGCGGCGAAGTCTTCGAGGGCTTGGATTTGTTGTTCGTTGTCAACCATGAGGAGGATTTTGAGGGATTGGGATATTTGGACGAGGTGGGGGAGGGCGCTGGGGTAGATGGGGAGGCCGTAGAGACACTTTTATCTGTTAGATTTGGATTCATTTTGAAACGAGGGAAAATGGATATAGTACCTCATCTAGTATCCCCTCCTTGACTAACGGAAGAGCACCTCTGATTTCACACAATGTCGATGCGACAATTCGACGATGAAGTCCATTACCGAGCATCGTTCTGGTAACTTCAATTGACTGCCATGGTATTAATACAGTGGTTCTGCTGGATAGAGGCGCAACTCACCTTGAGCGTCTTGACATGCGGTCTGAACGAAATATTCAAGTTCTTAACATCTTCATGTAGTCGCTGAATATTTCTTTCCAGAACTGGTTTGCTGAGAATAAATGATGGGGTAGGGAGGTCTGAGGCCGGACGGCCGATGAAGGACGCGTGGTTTTGGAGGGAGAAGTCCATGTTTGTCGCATTGATATGTGTATATTGCTTACAACTGCTTGGCCTGCAATTGTTTCGAGAAAAAGAGAGAGGAGTAAACGGAGGAACAGAAGATAGATATACTTCCAATGTGTTTTGCGTGCGGGGCCATCTCCGCAGGGAGTTGCTGCATGTTTTCCGCAGGAATTTGTTATCTGTTTTCCGCAACCGAGTGCTACCTCGCTATACAACGGCATTGCGATTGATGGTCTACTAAACGTGGGGTGGATGTCGTGGGGGTACAAACGGTAGATCGGCAGTTTGTTATCGACGTTGTTGTTTTGCAATTGAGAGACGCTCACTGACGTTTTACATTCTATTGCTTGACAAATAAAGGTATATTCAATTGCATATTGCTGATGATTCATATTTATGTACAGGACGCATATAAAACAAATATACTTAATAGGCTAAATCATACAGTCTCAATGTATCGCTTAAACTCCCTAGACACACTGTTAGTTTGTATTCAAAATGCTGCTTGAATGAAGACTTACCAATCAGTCACAGTTTCTCTCCACAGTCGCAATTCATGCTCCCGAGTCGCGGTGAAGAAGTCTACAAACTCTCCATCCAAGATCTCCCGTGCGATGCTATCAGGAGCGGAGAAGCGCTTCAACGCCTCTTCCAGTGTAGATGGTAGCAGCTCCGGACGAGGATCATTGGGTTGACGTGCAGACATGGGCGGGACCTTGATTTCGAGCTTCTTTTGAATACCCCGCCATCCAGCAGCAAGGATAACACTCAATGCGTAGTGAGGGTGCAGGTCTGCACCGGGGATTCGAACCTCAATTCGTGTAGCACCGGGCTTACAGACAGGAGGCGTGATGAGACGCAGAGAAGCAATGCGATCCTCCAATCCCCAAGTGACATTCACAGGAGCCCAAAAGTTTTCAACCAGACGCTTGTATGAGTTGATGGTAGGAGCGAAGAGGGGCATGATAGACGGCAATGCCTCAAGGATACCAGCGAGGAATTGTCGACCCATGTCCGACAGTCCAGCTGCATCGGGCCAGGGGGCATTGGTGTCTGGTGTTTCTCGGGCAAAGAGGTTGCGCCCTTCAAGATCGCAGAGGGAGACGTGGATATGCCCGGAGCTACCAGGCTGTCCCTGGATTGGTTTTGCCATGAAGCAGGGTGTGACGCCGTGTTCAATGCCTATGGATTTGGCCAGAAGCCTGGTATTTGTTAGTGAGGGCTGGTAATAAATCAGTAGTGTTCCAGGTCACATACTTGAATAGCGAGACTCGGTCTGCCATTTCGGTCACTTCACAGACTTTGAGTGCCTGTAATGCATTAGATATCGTTATAAGCCATCGTACCAGGAAGCAACTTACTGCTTCATAGACACCCGGTCCGCCTTCAGTGTGCCACCCCTCAATACCACAATTGAACTGCGCACTGGTGTTGAAGATATCGTAAAAGTATTTCTTGTGCGCCACGGGCCGCGTTGCGCTGTATGAGAAACTGCCTGTGGTCAACGGGCGCAGGGCATGGGGGGCGTTCTTTTCGAGGAAGGCAGCAAGGTCGTGGTGTTGAGAGCCAATGGCACCGTATCCGTCTTGCGAGGGGGTTTGGAAGTTCATGAATTCCAGCTCAACTGTTAGAAATCAACATGTTAGAAAAGACCCGGTGTTGAGTAATGGTGTCAAACCTACCTCCGGCCATTGCCTGGCAGTTCGAACTCGCCAGTTGGTCACATAACGACTTCAACATGCTCCGTCCATCTGCAGAAACGTGTTTGTTGTCACCGTACTCAAAGCGAACCAGGAAAAAAGGAATTTCATCCTCCCATGGTATCCTTCGGAACGAGCTCAGATCTGGAACAGCAATAAAATCCGCATATCCTGATTCTGGCGGGGCAATGCGCGCATCTGTTGTGTACAGCATATCTTGCATGTCCCAGCCAAAGACGGCGGAGCTCATGCCGAAGCCCTTCTGCGCAATGCCCAGGAATTTCTCCTTGGACATCACCTTTCCGCGGAGGATGCCATCGCAGTCGAGACCAGCGACTTTGACTTTAATGTCGTTTGCGAGGAGGTCGGGGAGAGTCTCCACGGTTACTGTGTTGGTAGACATGATTATTCTGAGAGCATTCAGGGTCACAACTAGGGTACAATTGAACCTGAACTGTCTTCAATCTTCAAGATAGAATAAAATAAAAGGCGAAAGGAGGAAAAAAAAAATGCGCAGGGGAATGCGCTCTTAATAAGAGCCCATTGAAGCGCCCGGCCTCCACTGTAAAGTCCATCATTGCCTCGGCGCAATGGCTCCAAACGACGCGACTCGTCATCGCGAGCAATTGAAACTATCCACAATGGTCCAGCTTCCTGATAACCGCTCCTGATGATGATGATGATGCTGTTGACCGCGTCGAGGAGAATTGGAGAAGCTCCACGGACCGCGCTGCGGGGATGAGGGGCAACGTGGGAGCGCGCTTATCGATAAGGCGATAGGAGAGGGCGATAGCTTCTCCAACAAATACAAAGACACGCTGGAATGTTATTACTTGACATTATTACTATCTCACCACTTCTTCTGACTGATCAATTCTATTCAGTATTATCATAGCCATCATGCGTGCTATTCGTATCGCTATTCTCGAGTGTGACACCCCTATCGATCCGGTCAAGGCTCGGTATGGAACATACGGCGACAGATTTGAGCATTTGCTCAGAACGGAGCTGAAAGAACTGGATTTGGATCCTGAAATTGAGCTGCAAGCTACTAAGTGGGATGTGGTTAATATCCAAGTGTACCCAAAGCCAGAAGAATTTGACGCAATTCTTTTGACGGGCAGCAGTAAGTCTGTGGAGCGACAAGAGGAAGTTAGGAACGAGAGTGCTAACGATATTAGAGCACGATTCTTTCGCAGATCATCCATGGATAATTAGCCTGACAAATTTCGTGCACGACGTATATCACCAGCATCAAAAGCCTATCGTCGGTATATGTTTCGGACATCAGATCCTCGCACGAGCACTGGGGGCACGAGTTGGCAGAAGCGATGCGGGATGGGAAGTCGCAGTGAAAAACGTATCGCTGAACGAAGCTGGGAAGGGCCTATTTTCAAAGGATACTCTGGTAAGCTTCAATGGGAAACTGGAAATGCAAGCAAGTTGACTGACTGGGATCAAAGGCTTTACATCAATTGCATCGCGATGTTGTTCACGAGGTCCCAAATGGATGCGTGAACCTGGGCTCTACTGACCGGTGTGGAATACACGGGCTATATCAACCAGGGCGGGTTATTACGGTGCAAGGCCATCCAGAATTTAGTGAATATGCCATTAGTAGAGTCCTCGAGATGCGACATGAGCAGAAAATCTTTGACGACAAGCTCTTCCAGGACTCCATGTCTAGGGCTGGAAATGCGCATGACGGTCGATTTTTTGTACAAACTGTCTGTAAATTTCTGTTGTAATGAATATTGGTATGGGATAATTTAGTATGATCAGCATCAATCTAATTTCTAAACATCAAGATATTCCATTTACAAGATAATATTAAGAGTAATAATGAGGGGGACTGGAGATAATTGGATTCGCCGTCGATTACCGCGCACTCCAGTTGATCCACACCCTCTTTATCTCCCCAGAGCGCGGCAATGCAGAAGCTGTGCTATCAGACAGCTATAAAGCTCAAGACCCTCTTCTCTTCAGCAATCGTTGTCAAGATCTCTCAATCAATTACAAACTACTACAAACAGATATCAAAATGTCGAACCAAATCCGCACCATCTCCCCCTCCACCAACCAAGTCATCTTCGAGCACCCCGGAACCTCCGTCGAAGAGGCACGCAAAATCGCCCAGGCTTCCCAAGATGCATTCAAATCCTACAAGAAGACTCCCTTTTCTGAGCGAAAATCTATCATCGTCAAGGCGCTCGATCTGATCGACGCTAACAAGGAGACGCTGAGCCATGAATTAACTACGCAAATGGGACGTCCCATTGCTTACTGTGCAAAGGAGATTGACACCATGCGGAAGCGTGCTGAATATCTTCTCAGCATTGCAGAGGGCTGCTTGAAGGAGATCCCAGGTCAGGCTGAAGCTGGCTTCAGACGATCCGTAAGAAAAGAGCCGGTTGGACCCGTTCTGATCTCGTGTGCATGGAACGTATGCTTTACAAACCCGAAAGCAATGTGATTTATATCTGACAAGATAGTACCCATACCTGATCGCCATCAACACCATTGTCCCGGCCCTTCTGGCCGGAAACTCCATCGTTCTCAGAGCCTCCCCTCAGACACCTATCATCGGCGAAAAGCTCGTCGCTTACTTCAACCAAGCTGGCCTCCCTCCGAACGTGCTACAATTGATCCATTGTGGAAGCTTGGATGTTCTGGATGAGATCGCCAAGATTGATGAGATTAAAGTAATCTCTTTTACTGGCTCCACAGCTGGAGGAATCCGGCTTCGCGAGGCGACTGCACGAAGAGTCGTGCCTCTCAACCTGGAACTTGGTGGTAACGACCCAGCCTATGTTCGATCAGATGCGGATCTAAAATACGTCGCTGGACAGGTTGTCGATGGCGCTGTCTTTAGCTCGGGACAGAGCTGCTGTTCCATCGAGCGAGTCTATGTTCATGCGGATGTGTATGATGCATTCGTGGGAGAGTTACAGGAAGAGCTGAAAACGTGAGTTATTGGTTCCATAGTCTCTGTCACCCCGATAACTTCTAACAACACTAGCTACAAACTGGGCGACCCTCACGACAAGACCACTACAACCGGTCCTGTGATCTCGAAGCAGGCAGTGAAAAACATCCAATCCCACATCGCAGATGCCCTCTCGAAGGGAGCCGTCGACGCAACACCAGCAAATGCAAGCTTCAACTCCCCGCCCGCTGAAGGGAACTACGTTGCTCCCACGCTCCTTCTTAATGTCACACACGAAATGGTCGTCATGCAAGAAGAGACATTCGGCCCAGTCATCCCAGTCATGAAGGTAGCAAGTGATGACGAGGCAGTCTCACTCATGAACGACAGCGACTATGGCTTAACAGCAAGCGTGTGGACTAAAGATGTGAAGCGCGGGGAGGAGTTGATCGAGGAACTAGAGGCCGGAACAGTATTCATCAACCGATGTGACTACCCGAGTCCAGTTTGTCTCCCTTATTTATGCAGTCCTGTCAACTCAGATACTAACAATTTCTCTAGGATCTTGCATGGATTGGTTGGAAGAATTCTGGACTGGGTTGCACCTTGGGACCTCATGGATTCGAGGCCTTTTATAAACTGAAGAGCTTCCATATCAAGGAAGCCCAGGCTTAGTTAATGTGTTAGGAATGTCTGTTGCTAGTTCTCATGTATCGTTATAGGAATTTATGTTGAATGACCACTATTTATCAAAACATTTAAAGTATCATGTACTAGTGAGTATCTCATGTCAATAATTCGCTCAGAGTTGCTTCATCTGAAGCCCGTAGTGACTATCAGGACTTTCGATGTTACATATCGATCGTGAATATCGATCGTGATATTTTTCTTACCCAAAAGGGAAATAAATTGAAAACGCCCAGCTCTCTCAACCTACAACAACTTCCCCTCTCTTTCTTCACTCTCCCCCAAGCCAGCGGACCATCAAAAATGTCTCCCAAATTTGACATCAAGATCATAAAACCGCTGGTACGCGTTCGTCCAAGAATTGAGGCAAATAAGCTCCTGGTAGAAGAGCCACCGCAGACTCGACGACTTCCTGACCTTCACTCCGATCGCTACGAGCCCTGTCTCCATCTTCACAAGGCCGGGATCCCCTACAAAATCTGGAGCGTTTGCGACATCTTGCAACTCCACGGATCACGCAAACAGCTTGGTCGTGATGATTTGGAGATCATAGTGAACAACACTGAAGACGCTGCTCGAGTCCTAGGGTCACATGGATACCTCCGCACGCAGAAGGGCACTCTGTATAACATATACCGCAAAGTGATTCGGCTCGTGAGTCTGAAGAACGTGTATCAGACCTTTGACGTTCCTGGCTCACTGGAGGCGAACCCTACTTTTATCTCTGCCCTGATCAATAGCGAGGACCTAGACACAGAGCGTGCCCATTATCATGAGCATGATGCAGTTTCCATCCCTGGAGTATACCTTTTGAGCGCTGCAGAGTCGAGATATCACCTCCTCGAGGTGGCGGCCCCGTTGCACATGCCTAAACCCGAACCCCAGCTCCATGAATATTTCGACTGGGCCGCTACAGTCTGGCTAGATACGAGGCAAGGCAGATTTTCTGGCCCGGTAGGACCTGTCAGCCAAGTGTTAATCGAGTTGGTGGAAGATCTTGACATAGTGTGGACGACGGAGTTTGAGAAGAAGATTCGGAAAGAGCACCGCCAACTGCTCCTTGATCTCATGTGGTGGAAACAACGTGAAGGTCATACCTGGCCTTACTCATTACTCGCATTTATTGCCTTCACCATTCGCATGCGAACAAGAGAGAAAACTATCCGTGATCGAATTTTGACCGGTAAACACGTTCCGAAACCCAATGCTGCGCTTGTTCGAAAACGACCTTCTACGCCGTTCACTCTGTGGATTCCTGTCGCAACGGAAGGCATCTCTAAATACGATGCGAACCATATAAAACGGAGCCTACCAAAGCTCACATGGCTAGTAGAGTCCCGGCTAGCAGGTGGACATGTCGTTGTGTCTTTGAACATACCCTTCATGCACCAGACGAGGAGAGACGAGAATCAGAAAAAGAGCCTTGAGGTCAAGGACGACAAAGGCAAACCATTGGAATTCTGGAGGGAGGATGCAGCAATCTATTACAAGGAGTGCATTCCTGACCGTATCAGGTTTCCTCCAAAAAAGCGAGAGCTGAAAATTCTCCCCGATCGACGATATCCATATTCGCTCTTCGAATGACTCAATGGATTTACGAGATGCATGCATGCATGCATGTTGAATATGTGAGATAGATGCACTAGTTTCAATCATGACACGATAAAACAATCAGACTCCATACCTTGTAATAGAATTGCTCATATGATCTTCGTCCATCCCTGACTTCCCCAAATTCCTCATCGCGCTCCCACCAACCCCCATAGCGCGCTTCCGGACCGCGGGGTATCCATACCCACTTAATCCCACTTTATCTCCCAGTCACCGCCGCCTATTCCATCTCAGCAAATCAACACCCGTGTCACCATTCTTATCTCCATCGAAGATCCACCGAACGCGATAGCACCCTGTCGAAAGTCGAAAGTTGAGACCTCAAGCTGTGGTGGAGCCTTTCACAAGCTATGCTGGCTGAATGACTGATTACCGCGCGGCACACGCCACACATCCCACTATCGCCCAGGGTGCTTATAACTAACATATAAAGGGCAACACACTGAATTGATCTCATTTGTCTTTTTTCTATCATATCTCACATCTCTTCAATTCTTTATTTTTTTTTACTTCTTTCACGATTACTTCAATTTCTACCCCCATCTCATATTATCAGACACCATGGTTGGACGTTTGGCCGGAAAGAATGCCATTGTCACCGGCGCTGCGGGGTATGTGTTCCTTTTCGCTCTTCCCCCAACACGACGATTTTCTAACCAAAAATGTTCACAAAAACAGTGGCATTGGCCTTGAAACCACCATCCTCATGCTCCGCGAAGGTGCATCCGTCCTGATGACCGACATCAGCGGCCCGGGTCTCGAAAAGGCCCTGGCAAAGGTGAACGAAGTCGTCCCGCAGCGCGACGGCAAAGTCGAATTCAAGGTCGTCGACGTCTCCAAGGAATCCGATGTCGAGGCCGCGGTCGGTCACTTGGATAGCTGGGGCGGTCTGGATGTCATCTTCAACAACGCTGGTATCATGCATGCCCAGGACGGAGACGCGGAGGCTACTCCTGAGAAGATTTGGGATTTGACCATGAACATTAATGTGAAGGGTGTTTGGTATGGATGCAAGCATGCTGTGAAGAGCTTGAGGAAGCACGGCAAGACAAAGGGTAGTGTTATCAACACTGCTAGTATGGTCGCTTTGGTTGGTGCTGCGACTCCCCAGCTCGCGTACACCGCCAGTAAGGGTGCTGTCCTTGCTATGACGCGGGAATTGGCTATTGTGCATGCTCGTGAGGGTAAGATATCTCGCTCTGCTGGTGCTGTTTGGGATAAAGTCGGCTGACATGTGCAGGATTCCGATTTAACTCGCTGTGCCCCGCTCCTCTCAAGTAAGTTCCATCTCCCGATTGTTTCGAATATCTCAGGTCGCTGACAGATTCAGCACTCCTTTGCTGCAGGACTGGCTCGGTGATGACAAGGAGAAGAGATTCAGACGTGAAGTTCACTTCCCCACTGGCCGATTCGGCGAGGCCATCGAACAAGCCCACGCTGTCATTTTCCTGGCTAGCGACGAGAGCAGCTTTGTCAACGCCACTGACTTCGTTGTCGATGGTGGCCTGACAAAGGCGTATGTCACCCCCGAGGGCCCAGCGACCGCAGCCCCCCAGAACTTGGGCCACTAAGGGGTGGTATTCCCCACGGGAGCATCTGACTGAAGCTCTCTCCAGGAGTGAACGGAGGATGCTATGAGTTGATGAACGTTTTTTTGTATGATTATTATCAAGCCATGAATGATTTTTAAACCCACTTTATGCAAATGATATCCAAATTTGGTTCTGTTGCATAGCTCTGCAGATGTTCCAAGGTCCAGCCTCATCTATCGGCATCTGCCACATATGCTCAAGTAGTAGTAGTGTTCGCTGCATATTCCCCAAACCAAAAGTATTCACCATCACATCTAGCCTAGTCCTTAAACAAGCTTGCTGTTCTGAATCGGACAGGCAAGAGCCCACGACGGCAATGGGCCAGCAGAGACCCGAGTTGATCCGAGCGGTGGCTGACAGCTGATTGAGATACGACATTGCCTCTGCAATAGCCGTATCAACCAATCCTTTATGCATGCCATTTTCCGATCGACGGAAACCGCCCAGAGATGTGTAAAGATAGAGAAGCATCGCTTGTTGAAAGATTCTGCCTGCGAGGTAAACCTCTGGGGTGACGAAGGAAAACGGCGACCAGCGAAGTATCTGAGACTGCAATGAACCGAACATAGCGATATCATCGGCACTTGGCATCGCGGGTTCTCCATCAATCATCATCCATTGTCGACCCAGGTCAAAGATGCAAGGTATCAATAGTAAAAGCTCGAGCCAACATCCGCAGAGATTTCCCACGTATTCCGATTCGAGCAACTGGCGGGCTCTTTGTTCCAGGTCAAGATTCAGAAATAGCTGAGGGCTGACTCGTGCGTCTATTGATATCATGCTCACGGCAGCGGTATATGTATAATATTCAATAACAAAGTCTTTGAGATCTTTGGGAACTGCAGAATCACTTTGCGAAAGTAAGCGGATCAATAAAGAATTGGCGGCAGAGAGGTGGTCGAATATCGTTCCATTCATGTCGCCTTTGGCTGTCTTCATCGCCCCATTAGCCGCTTAAATTCAAAATAAGAATATACGCCATACCTCTGTGAAGCACATTACAAGAGCTCCGACCGTCAGCATCAAGGGATTCGATTCCTTTCCATCAATAAACTCCGTCACACCCTTCCGAAATAGCTGAAGGGCTTTCGTGTAGTGAGTCTGAGCAATTTGATCGGAATCATTCCGACACCGAAACGCCCGATGAGCCGCACTCTGCGTCAAAACAAGCTGAAGCAGAAGGTCACTTGTAAATGCCAGAGGAACAATCTGCACCAGAAATGGGTTGATCGGAGTAGAGCCATTGGCCATGCAATCGGCTGTCGTTGCCAGATAATGACTCAAGAGGTGGAAGGACTCATTACTATGTCCTGGGAGCATGGATAGGCTGCGTGGCATCAAATTCCCTATTGCCATCATCCCGGGTGCTTCTGGTTCTGGAACACTGGCCACTGGGGCAGGGAATGTCTGATGATGTACTAGAACATTGTCCACTTCTTGTGGGCTATTTTCCAAATTCATGTCATCATCTAGATCCGAAATGCTAGATAATTGTGTCGTTGAGACTGTAGAAGTGGCTGGCGATTGAGATGGTCGGGATGGCCGACTAGGACTTCCAACTGGCTCTGGGCTGTCGTGTTGCTCTTGCACATCGGTAGTATTATTATTGTCATTAGGTTCATTCAAAATCTGATTCACCAAGTCTGCAATAACATCTCGCCGCTCATCATTCGATCTAGTCGCCGTTCTGCCAGCAGATGGTACGTTGGATGGCCATTCGCAGCCAAGTTTATTTCGCACGCATCCACCACAAGTCGGCCGGGATTCATCGCACTTCTTCTTGCGCCGTCTGCAGGTCAAGCAACCGGTTCGGACGCGAACGATCGGCTGGGTCCGTGGCCGTTTATTGAGCGGCATCGGAGGAGAGAAATTGGCGTTAAAGGTCGTTAGCGGGAGAAAGATGCAAGTTCCATCGTTCGTGGAAGAAAGAGACGCAGAGGCGAGTGGCTGATAAGAGACCGAGTGAGATAGGGGGAGATAAGAGAGTGTGGGGTAATTGGGGCAAGGCGGTGTTCGGTACAACGTAGATCGACGAAGATAAAACAGTTAAGACAGAATTAATTGTTCAATAATAAGGGATGCAGAGTATCATTTATCTATATATAATGAAGAAGCGCACTTCTTGTAGAATGTGGAATAATAAATGGATGTGTGCGGAGTAAAGGATCATGACGGATCCCCTCTCTTCGTGTCATAAAAAAATACAACAGCCATTCATAACTGCGTTTCAACATGCGTGATATATATATACAAAAAGCAGACCAGGTGGTTATTTTATGAGGTGATGGGCGATAACACATCAATGAAACAGTTCAAGGTTGCTTATTGTGTAGTGCCGGTCTCGACATGGCCTCCCTGTAGAAAAAGTAACATCAGTAAAGTTCAGAAACAGAATGAGTGGTGCTACTTACCACCTTCCGGCTATATTTAATACCAACGTTGGTTCCACTGGCGGAATCGTAAGGGATAGGGCTGGTGTAGTTATAGGTAGCAGTGAGGTTCTTGTAGGTGTTCTTGACAATGTCAAGAATACCATGGCCTGCAGAGCAAGCACCCTTGGTCGTGGGAACAGGCCATCTAGGCAAATAGGTTGAGTATTTATTTCCAGACAAGGGGCCCGGGTACGAATGATTCAACTGCAAGTTGCTAGTGTCAACTTGATAGTTGGTGTAGCCAGTCTTTTCAGCCAAGAAGCTCAGAAGGTTGGCACCGCAGTCCCAACGACCCAGAGATGGAAGACCCCAGTTGGCTGACAAGGAGGAAACAATGGAGTAGTGAGTGTAGAAGGTGTCATCCGTGGTGTTCTTGAGCTTCTCAGGAACAGCACCACCAACCAAGAAGCTGTAGATCTTGTTGCCGATTTCATAGGTATCATTCTCATCGAAGGTAAGGAGAATCAGAGTGTCCTTGGTGAAGTACTCGTTTTCAAGCAGATCAGCAAGGAAGCGGTAGGTCCAGGAGCCAGCAAAGGTGATGTTGGTGTCGTGTGCATCGTTGGTCATGTTGGGGGTGATGAACATGTACTGGGGCAAGCGTTGTTTCTCCAAGTCATCATAGAAGTTGGTGAAGTTCTTGATCTGGCGGAGCCTCGTAGCGTTCTGGGTCACAGAGTCGAACATGATCAATGGGTTGTGCTTGCGGACATAGTCTTTCGGACCAGACTCTGGGTATTGGAACCCTTGGTAGCCAGGGTAAGGCAGGTGCTCCTGGTACTCACCCCAGGCGATGTGCTTGGTGTCGAAGACATCGGCAATGGTAGAGACATTGGCAGGAACTTGACGGAAGTCATCGTTATCCATTCCAAAGTCATCACCACCAGCAGAGGCACAATAGTTGGGCTGAGAAGGATGGGTGACGGCCCAGAGGTTGCTCAACACAACGCCCTTCTCAGCCAACTTGGAGAGATGAGGGTCTTTGGAGGCGGCTTGGTAGTCCTACGATGAGTCAAAACTTGGTCAGTTCCTGACTATTCAACTGCTTGCATAAGAGAATACTCACGGTGTTTTCCAACCAAATGTTCACGAAACGGTTGAATGCCAAACCCTCGACATTGGAGACGGGGGAATAAGGCAGCGTTGTCGCTTGAGCGGCCTCAATTTCGGATTGCGATGGGTACTGCTCAGAGGAAGTCTGAGCAGCAGCCAGCGACAGACCTCCCAAGAGGGTCACGAGAGTCTGTTTGGGGAACATTTTGCTGATACTGACTTGAAGATCGCAATGGAGGACAAGGAAAAAGTTGTATGTCACTGGGATATGACCAATATATACCCAGACAGTGAGGGGAAGGCTGTCGGAGAGCCCGCAGTCAAAGCAGCCCGCACTTTTTCTTCTCCTCACGACCGGGATGGACGGACCTGGACCCTCATGCACTTTCCAAAGGAACATCGCAATTGCATCGGCAAACACGTTGTAGTCGGACAAGCGCTGATTGGGTGGAATATGTAAAGCTAATCCATAATGGGGATAGGGTTCAGTATTTGACCCACATATCCACATGCCGTTTGCTTTGATTGGACATCATGAGAAGTCCTGTCAGCTGTTCTGGCCCGCACGTGCTTGCGTTGCGTTCAACGACCGGCAGAAGCATGAATAGCATCAAAAGTGGATATATTAGATCTCGGCTCATATTTGACTTGCTTGTGTCAAGGCTTGTTCATATCCCTATCTACTTAGTGCCGTCCGGCTGTTCAATTGACGAATCATTCATGTCGGATTATATATTTTGATCATCCTCATTATAAATCGTCAAATGCATGTCAACTTGTAAATTTCCGAGAATATTCCATCACCAACACTGATCATAGTCTAGAAATCACTCGTTTACAAACGTGAATCCCGTCAATCTCGCTATCGTATCCTGCCGAATCTTTCCCAGAATAGCCCCTGCATCCTGAACTTCCCCGATCAACCCAACGGCAGACCCGGCATACGTAGGCAATCTCCCCTCAGGCCCCCATCCAGCATCTCCCTTCTTTGTCTCCTCTTGAAATCGTCTCTGGAGCTCCTCAAAAGACACACCAGCTTGATGGTCGTCCCAGGTTCGATTCAGAATCGTACGCGGGCAAAATGGTTCTGGCCAGCCATAAGTGCCTTGGAGATGGTTGTAGAGTAATGTCCGCGTGGTAGACTTTGCTCCATCCGTGGCACGTACAACCTCATCCTGATATCCCTTTCGAATCCGTGCTTCCGTAGCAGCCAGGAACCGTGTCCCCATCACAACACCAGAAGCACCCAGACACAATGCTGCGGCCGTGCCGCGTGCGTCAGCGATCCCTCCTGTGGCGAATAGAGGAATGTCATGCCCCCCAAACACATCTGCTACTTCGGGAAATAGTGAGATAAGTCCCATGCCATCCGTAGCTCTGCCGTGACCACCAGCCTCTGACCCTTGCACGACCACCACATCCGGGCGAGTCGGGCTTTGAATAATCTCCTTCGCCTCAATGACGGTTCCAATCTGAATCCAGACCTGAGTCTGCGATGATGCAGCTCGTATTTTTTCCGTCCATAAATCCAAATCCTGCTGTCCATTTTGTGGTGCATAGAGCCAGACAGCGCAAGGTTTGTACTCTTTGACCGCAGACATGGCGGTATCAATATCATCTTTCCAGAGCAGGAAGCCCGCACCAACCGGCAGATTGGGGTAATCAGACGGCAAAGACAACAGCTTGGACGTGGACGAAGCACGGGATTTCTCGATCAGTCCTGCCGCTTCTTTCAGATCTGCAATTGTATCTGCGGTTTTGATATTCGGTCCGATGAATCCAAGACCGCCCGCTCTTGAGACAGCGACAGCCAGCGCTGGGCCCGCCATGACACGCATCGGAGCGTTGGCGATGAAAGGTGCCGAAAGCCATGGATACCGGGCCGATAGTTTAGTGGCTAGACTGGCAAGTTGCGACATTCTGCACGCTATATTATAGACGAAACCCTGGATTATATCGTGTAGTCTGCAGATAGAAGAGTGTTAACAATGTAATATCGTGACTCAATGATGTCCGAGGATAGTGGAAGCTGGGCCTGTGCCGGTTACTTCCATGCCAGTAGCCATTGGGCAATGAACGAATGCTGTAACTTACTATACCTCTTCAAGATCCTGTTTGGTGGCGGAATATATCCGGACAGGATGGAAAAGAAAGGATTATTGGGGCTTTGATGATGAGGTTGCAATGGCACTGCAGAGCGCGGAATTGCGGGGATACGGAGCTCGGATGTGTCTCACATGCAAATGATGATTTGTCGCACAATAAGTATTCGAAACAATGATAGTAGGTTGGGTCAACAGATATGTTGTGTTGGTTGGTGGGTGCAATGGATGATATATATAGTGATTGTGGCTTACTTTCAAACTGAGTTTATAGTAATAAATGAAGAGCATTGTCATATCCCATCAAAACTTTCTATTGATTCATGTCTCCGTAAGTCAAGAACAGCGCTATCTATCTATATACCTATGCAGGTAGCTGCAAGGTCATGCACATGTACTGTGTGGAGACTTTTAAAAATGAGAAGTCATGTCATAGACAAAGATAAAAAAAGCGTTAAGACATCACTGCATCCATCTAGAAGTTCTTGACCTCTCCCTCCTTGAGCTTGCCAGCACCGACAAGTCTCTTGGCCTCTTCGGCATACACACCCTTGACGGCAGCACCGTCCTTACCAGCAGCGGTGAGACGCTCAGCCAAAGAGGCAAGCTCCTCGGCCTCGAGCTTACCCATAAGGATGTCCAAGTCGGTCAGGACAGAGTCAACCTGGGCGGCAGAAGCGTCGCCAGACTCAGCAAAGTAGTTGACATCCTTGACAGAACCCTTGACAACACGTTTGTTCTTCTTGGTAGCGTTCTTGGCAGCCTCCTTAGCCTTCTTGGACTTTTCACGGTCAGCCTTGGCGGCCTCCTCGGCCTCCTTCTTGCGCTGCTCCTCCTCCAGACGGGCCTTCTCCTTCTCCTCAGCGAGACGCTTGGCCTCAGCCTCCTTCTCGAGACGCTTCTTGTCCTTGCCGGCACGAGCCTGCTGGCGGAACTTCTTGATTCTCTCATCCAGGGCGAGACAGTCGTCGACGAGGTGGCGGAGACGGGCAGTGTCTTCGGTCTTGCGCTTGCGGCGGGCGTTGGCGTTCTTCTTCTCAACGTGACGCTTCTGGTCACGGTTCTCGTTGTCATCGGGGACATCCTCGTCGAGGTATTCGAATGTACGCCAGCTGTCCATGTGGTACCAGAAGTTGTAGAAGGTCTCAACCTCCTCCTGGGTGCTGTTGTCGTCACCCAACTGAGGGACGGGCTGGGTCTTGGAGAAACGACCCTCGGCCTCGAAGACAGGGCCCCAGAGCTTGAAGAACTTGCCGTTGGCACACTCCTTCTTGGTGGGGGGCTCGACCTCAGCGGCCTCGTCGACGGAGTCGAATTGACGACGTCTGACGGGGTCCGACAGCAGCTCGTTGGCAATCTGGATGCACTTGAAGAAGCTGTCGTTCTCGTCACGGTCGCCAAGGGCAGCCTTCTTATCGGGGTGGTGACGAAGGACCTTCTTGCGGTGAGCACGCTTGATCTGCTCGGGGGTTGCACGCCAGCGGTATCTGGTCAGACCCAGAACAGCGTAGTGATCTTGGTGCTGTAAAATGGTCAGCGCCGTGATAAGAGCTCCTAGTTTACGAATAGACTGACCTTCCAGTCCTTGGCCTCTCTGGCAAGGGTCATGGGATCCTCAGGCTCGGAGATCTCTCCATCATCCTCATCCTCAGTCTTCTTGACATTGTGCTGGGCCTGGATTCTGTCATCCTCGGAGAAGGTACGGTTGTGGCGCCTCTAGAAGATTGTTAGGTGTTTGATTTTTGCATGTGTCTTTCTTTCACCCAAAAAAGACAAGAAAGAAAAATATATCAAGTGGAAAACATACTCGGCGAGCGTGGGCCAAGAAGTGAGGACCAACAGCCTCCAGGTTTCTCTGGGTGGCGCCAGACAGAGAGCCAACGGCCTTGAAGTCCTTATCGGCACTCCAGCCCTCAGGAAGGGCTGGGAGAGTGACATTGACGACCTGTGCGGTAGCCATTGTGATATATTCGAAGCTGGGTCGTTACACCTGGCTGTGCTTCGATAAAGAAAGATGATGGATTGAGGGGTGTTTAACGTTGTGCGCCGCTGGCGATCGAAGAGGGAAAAACGAAGTGCAATTTTTATTTTTTCTGCCCCGACTTGCCGCATCCAAATCGGCCAATCACAGTGCCACTGTTTCGGAAGTCGTCGATTCTCACGCAGTGGTCTTTGATTCCATCTGTCAACGATAGTGTTTTTGATTTACCTCTGGTTTATAATTTCAATCTCATTTCGCCTCATTGATTTGCCTTTTCATCGGGAACAGATACTGAGTTGTGATTTCTGACTTTGCTACCCTCTGTACCCGATCGATACGCTACGTCCTTGGTGATATCCGACTCTTCCCTCGAGGCCAAATACATACGAAATCGCATATATACCGTCCTCATATCGCCCTTTGATAATATAATTCTTCAGATCTTCCAAGACCATGGCCACATCAACCGGAGTTTCCGCAAGAAGCGCTTACAGACAACTTCTCCGTGCCACTCGGGTTGCTTTCCATAGTCAGTCTTTCTTTACTTTTCTTGTGATAACTGAAGTCTCGAAACACTAACATCTTGGTCTCAATATAGATGACGTTCGTGTCTTGATTGGGGCTCGCCAGGAAGCTCGCCAGAACTTCGACCAGCACCGTCGCCATGGCATCGATACCCCAATGCAGATCAACCATGCGCTCGAAGTGGCTAGTATTCTCAAACACAACATTGTTCAGGGATCTAGAGAGGCGGGTGATGAAAGTGCGAAGTGGGGTATGTTTCCTCTGTCTTTTCGAGCCTTTACCAGGAGCCTATGCAGGCTTCCCGGGCGGATATTACGGATGAAACTAATGATTGAAACTTGGTTTGCAGAACTCAACATTCACGACAACATTGAACGCGGCGATAACGACTCGATTAAGGTTGCAGGGAAGAATGTGAAGGTTGAGAAGGCGTGTTCGTCATGAGAAGCATCCGACTCGTATACAGACCCGTTAACCGCAATGAGGCCCTTGCAATTTAACCCACGCAGAAATCATTGCGGTTATACGAGAAGGCCTACTCCGGCGATTGTATTATAGTATACCCAAACTTTTCTGTTCTCCTATTTTGGCGTCTCTTGGGGTATTTTATTCGACATTGAATGTAAAGAATAGATCAACAACGCCCGCTCTCTAACATACATGTTATGCCTCCTTGCTTCCCAATTAATAAAAGATAATGGCTATCATATAAACATGCAATTTAATCACCAGACAAGCTTGAGTACTGGATATCACCGGTGCCCGGAGGAGGGGCGACCGCATAACTGCGGGGTTTGGCTTCCTTTGCGGGCTCTTCACCAGCAGTAATAGCTCTCTTCCCCTTGTCTGCACCTCCCGCCGGAGGCGCAACTTTACGGCCATCCCGGGCATTTCTCAAGCGTTCCTCCCGATCCAGGTTGTCCAAGGGCTTGGGCTTTCCCCATCGAACACGGAGAGGGCAACCTTCAATGACTGCTCTACCCTGGCACTGCCTCGCGGCGACTTCAGCTGACTCACGACTGGCATAGTTGACAAATGCACAGTGAGAACGGTGAGAGCAGATTAAGGATCGGAGCTGGCCAAATTGTGTGAAGAAAGAGCGGACCGCGTGCTCAGGGAGATCATCTTCGACACCAGTAACAAAAAGCGACGTGACATTTGGGTCTGCAGGGGGGAGAATGTCTTCCGCCGATGGTGGAACCTGGGCTGTACCGGGGAACGGACGGCCTCCACGACCACCCCCGCGGCCTCCGCGCATGTTTCCCCCTCCTCGACCAGGTAAGGGTGTGCCTCTTCTGCTTTCGCTTGTTCGGATTGGGCCAGGTCCATTTCCGTATCGACTGTGTACCTGAGGGGCTTGAGACGATTCGGCCGCTTGAGTCTCGGTTTCTCCATCTTCCGAAGGGCCTTCCAGTCGTCGTGGCCTTCTATAATAGGGTTCGCTATTTGCGAGTCGTCGCAAAAGTTCGCGTGCCTTTTCGTCCGTCTTTTCGTACTCTTCCACCGCGCCGCGGCCTTCTTCCAGCTCCTTCTCGTGCTCTTGGGCATAATATTCGCGGTTGATTGTGCTCTCAGGTCCCGGAGCTACCATTTTGAGCGCAGCATCACGGACGACAATTGGCAATCCGAATGACAGGTCAAGCATGCAGCACTGGCAGCAGTTCTTTAATCGTGCACATGTTAAGCAAATGTTGGTCCGCTTGGTGCGCGCAGTCCGATCGGCCTTCCAGCGAAAGATGGTAAAAGGACGTGTACACTGAGCTGTTAGTAAACTATTATCGAATAAGGTGAGAATGGCAGAGCGCGTAAAAAGGACTTACAATCTTGCATTCTGCACCATGATCTTCCTTGATCATTTGCACATAAGGATTCTCCGGGAGGCAATTTTCACAAACCGAGGGGAAATCGGTTGTTTCCCACCCGGACCGGTTAAGGTCCTGTTTAATTCCGGGAGGCATATTGAATGATGTTGGTATGGATCTGCTCAGATGCAGCAGATGAGCAAGAGGAGGTTGCAGCAAAACCGTTGCTGTGGCCAGTCCTCCGGGCGTTTATCGATATGAATCTTGCCAAATGTGGCTGGTAGATGTGGCTGATGTATTACATAAACCGAACACGTGACTATGTGCTTCGTATCGCGTATTCACGTATGGAGTACGAGGGCAGTAACTTGGTAAGACAGTTCCTGCAACTCGATAACGAGGCACAAATGGAATAAATTCCAAGTAATCCTTACAATTGAATAATTACTAAACAACTACATCAGATAGGCAATGGGCTGATCCCCGGTTCTCCCCCATCCATTCATACCCCTCCATTCCAAGATCTCGACCTCACATCAGGTCACTCCAGCATCTTCTCGGAGGCGTCTAGATCCGGGCAACACACCGTCACAGCCACTCTCGGAAGGCACTTTCTCCGGCCAAAACCCCGGACCACCTGTTCGGGTTTAGCGCCGCGTAATTTGGTTGGTTGGCCAGTCTCAATGTCGTGATTGGCTGGGGAATTGTCAGTGCCTGGGCTCGCAGTTCCGCCTCCTTTCTTTTGACGATCTCGATTTTGTTTGCTGGCAGGAAATTATCCAGTCTTTTCTTTCCTTTTTCTTCTTCTTCTCGTCTGCTCGTCAAGTCCTTTGCTTCCCAAGTCGTGGTCTGGCGTATATTTAAACTCCTCGAATCCCCTCGTTCAATTGCTGTTGTCCTCCCCCTATTTCTCCCTTTTTAATTCCCGTCCTCACGGATTTCCTGCTCTTCACCGGTTCACCCCCTTAGCACTACCAACAACAATTCTTTGATCATGGCCCCTTCCGCTTTGGAGCAAGAGAACCACAAGCGCGATGCCGAGTTCAATCGCGCTCTGCATGGAAAGTCCTCCCAGGCTCAGGGTGGCTTTGCCGCCATGCGTGGCAAGGACGCCGCTGCGCAAAAGGCTGCTGTCGACGAGTACTTCAAGCACTGGGATAACAAGTCCGCAGAGGAGGAGACAGAGGAGACCCGCGCAGTGAGCATAACCCCAGGCTATGAATTACGGCAAGTGATTGATGCTGACTGTCGGTGCGACATTAGGCCCGACGAGCGGAATATGCGACCTTGACCAGACAGTATGTTTGACCATCAGAGAACGCCTTGCCACTGAGGACTCGGCTAACATTGATCTTGTTTGAAGCTACTACAACCTTGCGACCGATTTTTATGAATACGGATGGGGTACCTCGTTCCACTTCTGTCGTTTCGCCTACGGCGAAGCTTTCACCCAGGCCATTGCCCGCCATGAGCACTACCTCGCTCACACTATGGGCATCAAGGGCGGTATGAAGGTGCTTGATGTTGGCTGTGGTGTCGGTGGACCTGCTCGTGAAATTGTCAAGTTCACTGATGCTCATGTGACCGGCTTCAACAACAACGACTACCAGATCGAGCGTGCTACCCGTTATGCCGAGCGCGAGGGTCTGGCTCCTAAGATGGCCTTCGTCAAGGGAGACTTCATGCAGATGAAGTTCCCCGACAACAGCTTCGATGCAGTCTACGCTATTGAAGCCACTGTCCACGCCCCTGAACTTGTTGGTGTGTACTCGGAAATCTTCCGTGTGCTGAAGCCCGGTGGTGTGTTCGGTGTCTACGAGTGGTTGATGACTGATAACTACGACAACGACAACCCCGAACACCGCAAGATCCGTCTGGGTATCGAGCAGGGTGACGGTATCTCCAACATGGTCAAGGTCTCCGAGGGAATTGAGGCCATGAAGAACGCTGGTTTCAACCTTGAGCACCACGAGGACTTGGCGGAGCGTCCCGACGCGATCCCCTGGTATTACCCTCTGGCCGGTTCCTTCAAGCACATGTCATCTCCCTGGGACTTCTTCACAATTGCCCGTATGACATGGTGGGGCCGTGGTCTGGCTCATCGCTTTGTTGGTGCCGGTGAGCGCATTGGATTGTTCCCCAAGGGCTCTCAGAAGACCGCTGACAGCTTGGCTCTGGCTGGTGACTGTCTTGTCGCTGGAGGTGAGAAGAAGCTGTTCACACCCATGTACCTCATGGTTGGTAGGAAGCCCGAGTAAACATGCTCACTTGCATGTTCTCGTTCCCCCCTGCATGACAGAGCAGAGTGAACTGTACAACCGGACAGTTTAGCACCTGCATCCTACTTTGATAGACATGGCGGCTTTTATTTCTCCCTGTACTTCCTATGTCTTTCTTTCTTACTGTTATTATTATTGCATGCCGCCCTTGGATGCTATGTTTCTGCTTTGTTTTCTTCTCATGTCCTGCCCACCTGCCCGGGCGGTGTACGAATCACTGCTGAGTATACGTGGATGGTGATGATTTTTCTTCTCTGTTTGTCCCCTTTGAACCAGAATACATATGTAATACTCAACTGAGTCAGGAATGAACGAAAAGGAGTTTGTTTTTCAGTGGCATCCTATTTCAATACCAGGCGAGAAGTGCTATGTTTAGTGATTATATCAACCATATAACTGTTTATTGCCTTACAACTTCGATCTCTCGAGTCTCTCCTTTGCCTTCCTTTAACTTTTCCCCGTTATCCAGAAAATCCTCCGCCACTGGATTGACCTGTCCAACAGTAGCATCTTTCCCATCGAAAAGCAGAGCAACCTGTTCCAGACTCGGTCCTTTGGTCTGTATGTGCATTAGCACGCCGAATCCAAACGGAGATGTAAGTGTATATAATGCAACTCACCTCGATGAAGAAAAAGTAGACCACGACAAACTCAATGATAATCCAGACCACATAGAAGAAGTAAAACTTCCACGAAAACGCATCGATACCGAGTGGATTGACATACGTGTTGAAAGCACCGGTGGCCCCAGTAATAAGCCAAAAGAGCGCAATCCCTTTGGCGCGAATGGAATAGGGCAAGATCTCAACCACTTCACCTATCAGTCAGCTCGACACCTACACAGCATCCGACAGATAAAACTCACCGTACAACAACATCGCCCCCGTCCACCCAATATTATGAACCCCACTGTAGAGATAAATAAACGCAACCGTCGCATACGACGCAGACTGATTCCCCGTTTCCACGAACACGCCCGTGCAGGAGGTGATCAGGGCAAAGACGAGCCACATCAGTGCCATCGACCAGAGGAGAAGAGGCCGTCTCCCGACGCGACTGGGCAAGAAGGAGAAAGCGAGCGAGCAGCCGAAACTGAACATCTGACTGGTGGCGGTGATGAGGGTGGTGTCGATTTGTTTCGTGATGCCGGCGGATTTAAGCATGCTGCTGAGGTAGTAGCTTACGAGGCCGTTGCCGGACCATTGTTTGCAGATTCCTTGTTTTGTTAGAAGATATGATACATTTTTGGCTGATTAAAAGATGGGAGATGATGTCTTACCGCACCAGATGAGGATGAAAGATCGCCAGCGATTTCCGCGCGTGTTGATGAGGGTTCGCCAGGTGGTTTTGTTGGCATTGATTTCCATCTCAATGGTTTCTTTCATTTCATGGAATTCAAATTGGACGACTGGGTCATCTGGGTTGCCATTACCGTGATATTTGGCTAGGATGTTGAGGGCTTCTTCTTCGCGGTTTTTGCTGACGAGCCAGCGGGGAGATCTGGTATATTAGTTACTTTTGATCATAGATAATGAAAGGCCAACTTACTCGGGCAGAATGATCGAACCGATTATCTGGATAACGGATGGGAATGCCTGGAGGATTGTTGGAACCCGCCATGCCCTGCATAGAGCTGCTGGTTAATACCATGTATAACTTCCCGAAGAGAGGAAAACAGAATTACCAAGAACTGGTCAATCGAAAAGACCCAAAAGTCACCCATGCGGCGATAATCGCCCCAGCACTATACGTAGAATTCGACAAAGCTGTCGCCGTCCCTCTCTGATCTGGATACGCCAGTTCACTCATCCACACTGGCCCAATGGCAGCGACAACGACACCACCAATTCCCAGTAAAAGACGACCGGCAATAAAAAGACCGGCATTGGAGGCTCCTGTTGCCAGGCCAGTGCCGGCGAGACATACGATCGATCCAAAGAATAGACACCATTTTCGACCGAATCGGTCCGAGACGCTGGAGATGAAGATGACGCCGACGATGTTGCCTGTGTTGCGTTAGTTGGTGTAAGCATCCCAGAAGGGCGAGAGCACACCTATCCAGTACATGGCACTCATAGCCCCCAGAAGACTGCCATGGGGATGATTGAAATCTGAATCGTGATATTAGTCGCGTGCAATAAGAGATATATCAGAGAGACAAACCTGTTTCCCAGACTTTCAATTGCTGCACATTATTTATCAAGGATGCATCATAGCCCTGTGTGAATTCGCTGAACATGAGGAAGAAGAGCAGGAAGTTGAGCTTGCAAAGGCCTGCATCTTTCCACCACGGCCCTTGTTTGTTGCTGCTGAGTGTGGTGCTTTCTAGGGCCTTGCGATCGATGGTTCCTGTCGTGCCCATTTTGAGGATTATTGTATACGAAGTAAGAGAATAGTATTGGCTTATGTTGTATCCGTGGAATCCGAAGACTCATCTGGCACTGCACAAGGGCATATGTTGACAGAGAAGCCCTGAGATAACAAAGCCCAGCGAATGCATTGGATATAAGCAGCTATATGAGATATTATGCTTCAGAGATATAATCTTGGTCAGACGATATTTTTGACCATCTAAGCGTCGTAGACGTCAACAGCAATCCCTGTCCCACTGTCTGGGGTAGAAGTCTGGGGATATGCGGGGTTGGTTGCGAACGATGTTGTATTCTATGCTGAGATCGTCCGGGACATTGTATACCGAAGGGAGATAAATACGAAGATCCTCTGGTGGAAAGAAGAGCTGACTTGTTTCCTGTTGGTGGAAAATAATCGATTAGATTGAGTTTTACGCATGGAAGACAGAATGCTTTATCACATGGAAGATGCTGGCGATGAATAAAGGGAGAATTAAGAAAGGATTAAGAGTTTGAATTGCTTGGATGTTCTTGTGTTTATAAGTGATATTATTATGCAAATAAGATGGATTGTATTGCCTCTATACCACATCCATCATGTCAAATTGTAAGACAACGACTTTCCTATCATCGGCATCCTCATGTAGTATCAATATTGAAAGTAAACCAGCCTGGGAGAATGACTCTTCATCCACAAGTGGCTCTCCAGTATATCCTTCGCCCCTCCAGATAATCTCAAAATCTCGATCTGATCCTTGTATATTACTTCGAGATCGCATAATGACCAGCTCCCGCTCTGTATTCGACGGAAGAATGAACAAGACCGTATCCGCTTCTGCGTGGTGAAGGACCTTCCCTCGTGGCCCGGTCGTAGAAGGATGCATAAGAGGCAGTACAGAGAATGACCATGCACCGTCAGCAGGTGAGCAATAATAGTGCATCCAGATCTCTTGGCCACTAGTATTCTCGCGATTCAGCACATGAATCCCCCCATCATCGTCGACATATTGCGCCTCTTGATTCATGATTCCACTATCTCGAGGAATGTCTTTCACCCGAAGTCTGCCATCCTGAGAGTCGAGCCCGGAGCCTACTTTAGAAGAAAGAACAGCAACAGGTTCTTGGATGCTATTTGTCCAGGTCACCCCTCCATCTGAACTACAAGCATGATAGAGCCCTTCGTTATTCTCAGGTCCATTAGGACCAGCTTGTGCTTTATGTGCTGTGGAAGTCTGATCATCTGCTCCTTCGTAGGCGATGAAATGTCGGTTTGTCCATGTGACATGGAGGCAGTTTGTTTTTCGATCAAAGCTGAGGCCATTTGGGTATGGGTTGCATTTGTCTCCGATGAGGTATGTTCCTAGGAGTGTATAACGCGCTGGTCGAGAATCGTAGCGATACAGGATATCTGAACCGGCACCTGCTCTGAATACCATGACTGTTAGAAACACCATATATCTGGGGTTGTGGACAGACTCACTTCCCAATGCGACACTCAAAGTACAATTGATCTCCAGCAGGGACGAAGCGAGGATAAGTGACATTCGCCAGGCCTTCGCCTCCACTACTTCCCAGATTCCCAGGAAGATGACTTTGGATAGGGGCAAAATTGTCGGCCTTCCAGCTTGATTTCCTTGGATCACCTGCTAAACCAACCCGTGATACTCGGTATTTTAGCGTATCGCAATGGTGGTCAAAAGCAACATGGATTGTCCCATCGCCCTCGCAAATCCCGATAGATATGGTATTGTGCCCATCATCGGTAGTTTGCTCATAATCTTCAAAGGTTAAAAACTGCCATGACGAGTGGTTCTGAATATTGTGACGCGCGATTGTCACGAATCTAGGGCCGGACGGGGATTTGGAGGTGTAAAAGGCGACATACTGGAGGCCAGCAAAGGTCGTGATGGCGGATTGTTGATACGCGCACGCGTTTAAGCGATGCGTCGTGCTAGGGTCGTTGCCTAGGATATACACAGTTGGAGTGACCATGATAGCTGGATGCGATAGTCTTGTCGTTAACAAGATGAGGTTTTTTCTGTCTTGTCTGACAGACTGGGAATATCAAGACAGTCAACCCTGGAAGACACTCATTGCTCTCGGTTTAGACGTGCCCGTGATTGCTTCCTCATCCATAATACTTCATACAGCTTACACCTCAAAAACAGAAAATAGATCATGCCCTATTCCTCCCGATTGTCGCCCAATCTGATGTTTGGTGGAATAACTTTTCCGACTCCAAAGATCGCCGCATCCCCGCCCCCGCCGTCGTCTTCCTCCGATCAACGCTGATCCTTCGTTTATCCACTGAGCAGTCAGAGCACTAGGAACAAGGTTGATGCAATGCTACATACCAAGAAGAGCAAAAGTCCGCTGGAACTGGGTTACTCGGGCTTCTCGATGTGCCTAGCACCGAGACAGTCAGGGATGACGGGAATGTCTCAGTCTAGATAATTCAGTCGAATATGGTCTGATGGCAGGATAGAAATAAGTCGACGCTGGGATCTGATCTTCGCTCTCGATTGCAGACAGTCTAGATACATCCCAGAGTCTATTACAGTCGTCAGCTATGGGTCTCACGAAGGGCAGCTTGCCATCTCTGCTGGCAATTCTACCATTAATCTCTGGACAGGCTGCTTATGGACTTGAATTTGCCATTCCATCATCACCTCCATCGAATTCAAGTAGCCTGATTGACTCTACGCCTTTGGGGGTTTCGTGTGTGCTCCAGTGCTCTCCATCAATGATCTCACACTAATCATTCTTACAGGCTTGAATTCTTCGCCTTCCCGGATTACATCGAAAAGGTACCATTGACGAATTCATGCCTAAGTGCATTAGGGGAGGTGTTTGGCACTCCTCCCCCGATGCGAATCGGAGGGACGACACAGTAGGTGCCATTGAATCTTTGAAATACAATGGATGCTGATTCTATAGGGATCGCGCTACATACAATGCCTCCTTATCATTGGCGGTGTCTTATACTGTCGCTTCACCGGATGATGCCCCGGATTCTTTGACATTCGGTGACAAATTTATGGATTTGGCAGCTGGATATGATGGAAAAGTGACAATCGGTACGTCGACATTTTCGTCATGCACCAACTGGCTAACAATATCTATTATAGGAGTCAACCGACGGCTAGACGATATCGACAACACCATCGCAGCCGCAAAGGTCATTCAATCAAAACTTCAAAATTTATACGCTATAGAGCTAGGAAATGAGCCAAATTGTATGTTCCAACAACATCCTCACGAGATGCAATTCTAATATCAACAAGTTTTCGAATCCAGCGACCCTATCGCACACGGAAACGCCTGGACAGCCGAAGCAGACGCAGAATCACAAGTATCATGGCAATCATCCGTGAGCAAAGGTCTCGGTGATCTGAAAGACTTTGTACAAGCAGGCGTGTTTTTTGACTTGGAAACATTTACCATATCGTATCTGGTGGAGAAAGAAGAAAATACGGATTCGACTCAATACGTCCACTCCTTCTGCCACCATTACTATCCACAGTCGTCGCCTTCATTTAATCTGAGCAAGCTGATGGATCATACAACTATCGTTGATGGAGTGTTGGCATTTGAAGAGCAGGTTAGGGCCGCGGAGGAATTACAGAAGGACTTGATAATGGGGGAGACGAATTCAGGTATCTCATAACTTTGATATGGCTGATAGTAACTGAACGGAAAGGCTAATCATCAACAGCAACCCAAGGAGGAGGCGGCATAAGTCCCACCTATGGCGCCGGTCTATGGATTCTCGACTACATGATGCAAGCCACGATTTTGGGAGTCAAGGTAAGCCATAACACATATCAACGATAGCATACTGACATCCCTCTAGCAATTATTCTTCCACCAAGGCACAATTGGTAACTGTGTGTCTCCTCCTCTCCCTCAAATATGTATGATATGCTAACGACAGCACAGGCCAATACTGCTGGTGGAACAGCAACAACACCGTCAACGCGCCATTTTACGGCGCCTACTTTGCCGCCCTCGCCCTCGCCAACGCATCCCAAGTTGCCCAGCTTGATAGTGGTGATACGCGCTACGCCGCGTACGTTATTTACGATGCTGATTCTAAACCGTCCCGGGTTCTTTTGTATAACTCAGACTACTATACAGAGGGAACGCGGGGTAGTGTTGACGTGACGCTGACTGCGTTAAGTGGTGATTCAGTCTCTGTGAAGAGGTTGACTGGAGATGCAGCGACGACGACTGTTGAGGATGGAAAGGTTACGATTGCCGGACAGGCGTTTACGGGTGAGACGTGTGGGTTGAGTGGAAGTGAGAATGTAGAGAGTGTGCAGGTTGATGGTGGAGTTGGGAGCTTCAGCGTTGGTGCTTCGGAGGCTTTGCTTGTTTACCTCTAGAATGGAATAACCTAGCTTGATGGCTATCATAATACATTGAAACATGATATCTAGTGAGAGTAGAGATTCCAAATTGATATAATGTACAAAGTCAAGTCCAGTTCACCATCCCCGGCACCGAGCCCATTCACCAACACAACGCCCATCATCCTCATCAACAACAACATAAGAATCATGCATCGCACCAGCAATACACGCATGCTGCGGGATAATCCGCACCCTCGATCCAACAACCACTCCATTGACCATCTTCATCCGTACATCCGCATCCACCGTCCGAGGCGCAATAATCCCATGTTCCTGCGATATCCGCACGACATCCCACTCGAACGACCTCGACCCGGCCGTCCCCTCTGATACTAACATAGCACGACCCCAAACACCAGCCTCGCGGCCTGGTTCACGGCCTATGCCCAGACAGCCTAGGTTGATGAGGACTTCGCCGCGGTCTGGGTAGACGCTGTTCACTTCAGCTTCGATCCAGCTTGCCACGTGGCTGATGTCGACGAGGCCGGTTGATACCTGCTGCAGATCAAGTATAGCGAAGTTCCCTGCATGGAGCTCTGGGGTACCGGGAAGGTTTGCGAGTTTCTGGGTGATTGTTGAAGAGGCGGCATGTGCGGTTGGTGTTGCGCCGACGGAGAGAACGAGGTTTAGATCTTGTTTGGACTCCAGACAGAGGTTGGCAGCGGCACTGGCGCAGGAGATCTCGTTGAAGAGATGCTCTTCTGCGTCGGGGAGGTTGTTGCTTCTGTAGGAGTGGCCGGAGTGGCAGTAGAATCCGTGAATGCTTACTTGGGTAGATTGCAAGGCGTGTGCGATGAGGCAGTTCAATCTATCTGATCCGAGAGGAAGACCTTCGCGTTTTGTGCCGCAGTCGATGTTGATGAAAATGGGCCATGGTTGAGTAGAGAAGGAAGAAGGGATAAGGTCGATCTGAGAAGGATGATCGACCATGAGGATGTATTCTGCTGGTAGCCGTTTTCTCATGGCGGCTAGTCGTTGGATGGATGATTTGACTGGCGGAACGCCGTAGAGGATCTGTATACTTGTTAGTTACTTGTTTTGGGAATGGGTTGAACTGATATACATACACTGCGAACTGTCCCCTTGCGGATTAGAGGCTGGATGTGTTCAATCTCTTTGATAGTGCTGCATGCAATTCGGCCATCGGTATCTTTAACCTCCAACTCCGTACCCTCCACCGTCTTATGGGTCTTGATATGCACTCGGAACTGAGCATTCAACTCCTTCGCTCGTTGATGCATACGCAGACAGTTATTCTCGAAAACCCGACGATTTAAATAAAGCGAAGGCGTAGGAATCTCAGACCGCAGCAACCCTTCACAGCCAAGCAACGGACGCAAAACACTCGGAAGAGAAGATCCCTCAATGAGTGGCGCAGACCCAGGCAAAGCTGGCAATCCAATCCGATTATGCCAGACGACTTCCATACCGACACCGGCTGCACCGACGACATCGCCGTTGCTACCAGCCACGAATAGTGCGTCGTGGGCTTCCACGCCTAGTTCGGATAGAATCCTTGCATACGCCTCCGGGCGAGGCTTGTAGAAGCCCGCATCTTCGGCCATGACGATAGCATCAAAAGAAGCTCCGCAGCGAGCCACAGCCTGATAACCAAGGTCTCTAGAGCAATTAGATACCACGCCCACACGATAACCACGGGCCTTGAGCCGATGAAGTACATCCGTCACTTCGGGCCAGGGTTGTAGCTGGTCCCATGTATTCAACAAAGTGTTGGGTGCGGCGCTGGGAAGGCCAGTATCTCGAGCAGACTCTTGCACGAGATCTGCATAAGGACGATAAGCGCCACATCCAAACGTCAACTCGAGATATCGTTTCCGCCATCGAAGACCTGCGGTTTTGTCGCCTGCGGCTGTATCCCAGAGGCCCCAGCTGTCAAGCAGGGCTGTGAGGAGATCGAAAATGACAGCTTTGGGTGCCATAATGTGAGTTATTGTAGTTTGAAGATAAATTGAGATGGAATTTGACATTCGATATGGTTGAATCCATGTCTAGATAAAGGCGGGGAAATATGCATGTCGAATGTTTCGCCAGATAGTTCAGCCGAGGATCGGGTGGTGATTGAGTCACCAAAGCGTGCATGGTAGAAGATCATCCTAGATTAGTTGATATCGATAATCCTCATTCCTAGATGATATTATGATTTTCGAAGTGTCGTATCCTGGTTCTGCTCGTATTATCCCGATGGATCATAGAGTGTGGGTTCCGATGTCTGGTAGGTTCCATTCTTGCCGGAACCATGCAGGCGGGCGATGAAATATCAGCCGATGACAAATGGTCAAATGATGGGTTGTTGATGAAAGATGAATCCATGGATGAGTTATAGTTGTGGTGGTGGTGATTGTTACTTGAACCGCTTTTGGTGCCTTGTGTATAAGGCATCAAGATAAGGCATTTGCAGCTGCGAGGATCGACAACCAGCAGAAATCCTCTACTCAATCAACAATTAGCATCAATTCTGCATCGGACAAAAACAACTAATCAAGTTGGTTATCAGATTAGATGATGCGAGTGACATCACAATGTGACATCCATGATGTGTTCATCATTAACAAACCAACGTTGCACTCTGCACCGAGTCGATTATTGCAGCGTATTGCATTTACTGATTGACAGTTTCCTCGTGGTTTCGCGTCTTCGCCCACGCGACCGTCCGAAGATGCCGATTGAAGAACCCGATCTTTCCCTGCTTTTCTTCTGAAATGCGCCGGAATCTTCCTTTTGCCTTCGCCTGGGAATTTCCGCCTGGATTTCTAATATCCGACTCGGGATTTCCGGAAGTAGCCAAAATTCCGATTGTCGTCCGAGTGGCTCTTCGTCGTCCTGCTTGAGGATGTGATCTTAATATTCATATTAATCCATCCCTTCGGCCTCCTGTCTTCATCCCCATCGGCTTTCAAAATTATCCGAGTTGTTGACTATCAAACGCTCATCATGGCAGCCAATTCCGACTCGGAGAATGGGGTGAAAGACACCGCACCACCTGCGCCTGTATCGTTCTTTGATCCCGCATTGAAGTCCGTTCGCCGTGCAGTCTTTATACAATGGAGTCGCATGGGTAAGTTAAGCTTATTTCAAGATAATTGTATACTAATAAATGCGTGATGTAGTGTTGATCCTCTGCGTCTTCATCCTCACCGTCCTGTCCCTCTTCTGGGCGTCTCAATATACCGCCGAGAGGAACATGCCCTCTTTGACCGTCTGGATCGTCGACTTTGATGGGCAAGTCGACCCATACCGATCGAATGATACTATTGTTGGACCAACAGTTACTGAGGTTGCCGGTCAATTGATTCATTCGACGACAGAGCGTGTGGGCTATACTATTAAATCACCGGCCGACTTCAACTACGATCCTTGGGCCGTTCGACAGGGTGTCTACGACGAGCATGCATATGCTGCTGTCGTTGTGAATCCGAACGCGACGAGTCTTTTGCGTTCAGCTGTGTCTAATGGGAATTCATCCTATGATCCAACAGGGGCTGTGCAGTTCATCACCATCACTGCGCGCGATGAATCCACCTACCAGGGCTATATTGTACCAGCCTTTTATATAATCCAGAATGCAGTTCAAGCTGCATTTGGACCTCGCTGGATAGAAACCCTGGCTCAAGAATCGGCCAATATCACACGTGTGCCACAGGCTGTCAACCCCGGTATCGGGTTTACCACAATCGACCTGCGACCATTTACTCCCGTTGTAGCTACGCCGGCCGTCACAATTGGTCTGATCTACTTGATCATTATTGCATTCTTCAACTTTCCATTCCTGATGCCGATCCACGCCCAGTTCATGAAGGGTGACCATCCACCTTTGAAGCCCGTGCAATGGTTGATCTGGCGTCTTTCGTCCAACATCGCGTCTTATTTCTTCCTTTCACTGTTCTACTCTTTCGTCTCCCTCGCTTTTCAAATCCCCTTTTCAAATGATCCAGTGTCGGGTACGACGCCAGCCAACAACCCCACTGCATACGGCCATGGATCTTTCGTGGTATTCTGGATGTTGAACTGGGTGGGGATGACCGCCCTGGGTCTTCCCTGCGAGAACATGGCCATGATTCTCGGTTTTCCCTGGAGTTCATTCTTCCTCATATTCTGGGTCATCACCAATGTCTCGACTGCATTTTACTCCTTGGACTTGGCACCGCAGTTTTTCGCTTGGGGCTATGCCTGGCCTCTTCATCGGAGTAAGATTCCTTCTCTACTGTTTTGTATGGATGACACTAACGATAACAGTTGTCGAGGCACTCAAAACGATTCTCTTCGGAACTCACTCCCGCATTGGTCTGGACTTTGGCATTCTATTCGCCTGGATCGCCGTGTCCATTGCTCTCTTCCCGATTGCCACCTTCGTCATGCGGTGGAAGATGAAGAGGGGATTGTAACGCAAGAAAACTACATATACCCAACTATTCGAAATAAAATGTATATAGACTTGTTTATAAAGCATATAGAATACATCACCTAATTTCTATACAACACAATTTCATCCATCACATATCTTCATTGCACTCGTATATACATACACTATCTATACACAGTACACTTCTAATCCTCCGGCTGCTCAGGATGCTCGCCCATCTTCTCCAACTTATCCCTGGCCTGCTTCTTCCCAACATCGGTGTTGTTGGGGTTATGCATCGCACTACTGAATTAGCAAAATCCAACATACTCAATAGAAAGAGTGAAACATACGCCTTCAATCCACGCTTAACATTTCCTGTGTGTCTAGTCTCTTCTTCACTAGAGCTCTGGTCGGACTCGTACTTGTCGAGCTCCTCTTTGGCGTGCTTCTTGGCTTGGTTGGAGACGTTAGGGTTCTTGAGGGTGCTGGAGTATATTATTTCAGTATGCCGTATATAAGTGACAGTAGGGGCTTGGTAAAACTCACGCCTTGTACCCACGGGCAACGTTCTCGGCTTTAGGCGAAGGCATCTTGATATAAAATTCGATATGAGTATATATCTTCGAAAGCGATCAAAGAAATGATATATAACAAAGATATGTATACAGAAGAGAAAGTAAACACATCCATCAATCCAAAAGGGCGGGTTTAAGTATACAACAGCGGCAAAGGCAAACGCCACATAGCCACCAGCCACTTTGATGCTGTCGTCGGTATGACAGCAATATGACTATAGATGATAATAGATTGGAGTTCCATGGTGGAATAGATTGGGGGAGAATGTTCTTTGCTTTTTAATTGTTAGGCTGCTAGGGAAGAAATACGCAGGCAATCCTGTCGGCGTAAATCTCCGAGAGGGTTGGTTCTTATCGGTTGTGGAATGGACTGGATTTGGAGATTATGTTGTTGGGGATATATGGAACTAGAGATAAGAAGGCTGATCTTCAATATATCTAACTACCGTATGTGTATGAGAGATAAGATAGGATAGTTTTGTCCATTGGGTTTGTTTTGGCTTGGATGTCAGTTTTTTATATCACTTCTTCTGTCTTGAGATAGTGATTTTTCATACTAGGTCTGTATGACGTAAATAGAGGATGACCGACAAATAGTACATGATCGAATAATAAAAATCAAATGAAAGCGAATACGTAAATACAAGCCGAGAAGTAGGATATCCCAGTGGCTACTTATCCTTTTTAATCAACATTTCACCGAGCAGGGCGTTAGTTTTCATCCATCTGCTGAGACTGCCTCCAGGAACTGCTACCGCCCACGCCCTGTACGAATGGTTTACTTTTGCTGGATACCATCCTCTCTCTCCAGATGTTGAATGAGAGAACATACGGGTTATCTTCTGTGATAGGTTGTGGATATCTTATTGGATCGATGAAGTTCATGAAGGCGAACTCGATAAGATACCTATGATAATTAGTACAACCACCGATTTAGCAGTCAGGACCTTACAGCTTATCGTTTGCTATGTCATATCGAAGGAAGTCTGGGTGTTGTTCTGGTAACGTGAATCCATTCTGTCACATGTGCTTGAATGAGACAGGGTGAGAAATGACCTTATAAGTCCCATGTTAGGACGAACTCACTCAAGGATATACGTGAGCTGTGTTCGAACGCTCTGGAGCTGGACTAAGGAGAGATCTCGAAAAATAGTCCCAACCTTTTCCCAAGGGACCTGGCTCATGATGATGAAATCCATAGTGCCATCTGGGTAAGGCAAAGGGGAGTCAGAGCGCTGGCTTTCACAATTGATGAACTGAGGCCCATGGCTGATTTGACCGACAGCTTTGATGCCTGCATGGATGCCTGGGATCGGGCAAGCATCCCATCTTATATATACAGCTCAAACGCAGCGGCCCACTGGTTATAAGCTTACCAGTCGACCATCCAAGATACCAGTAGCCTGCTGTCGTGGAGGCTCTGCTAGAAGAGGCCGTGCCAGTGGAGGATCTCCAGCAAAAAGCAAACCATCTGAACCAGGAAGGGCCGGTTCCAAAGCTGGGGGGAATTCTCGACGAACGGGGAAATCGACCTCCAAGGTGAAATGTCGATCCAAAGGAATAAGCCATTTGGATATCTTACTACTTCATCTATCCCTATGGATTTTTCTTTCTTTGTTTGGTCATGTTGCCGCTTTTTTATGTAGTTACTGTGTTAGACTTTCCATTCCAATACCAGCATCCAGGTCTTACCGAGGAAATAGAACTAAGAGAACTGTCCTACTAACTTTCGTCTACGTATTCCCTGTATATATCTTTGTCGGTGCCCTCTTTCTAACCGCCTATTAGCGTGCATACCTTATTCTTGCTTAAACGCTGCCACTACCAAGTCCAGGTACTCCAAGGGAGTTCCATCGATGGAGTTATATTGCCTAGGCAGTAGCAGCAAATCCAGGCATCCATGCAGGCATCAAATCATCTTCCCTCTTCTGGTTCCTCATTCACCTTTCTCTTCCATCAACTTCCATCTTTTCTTCCCTCCTCTCTTCCATATTCAACCTCCCGCCAGATCTAAGCACTAAACTTCCAATCATCCATACCGAACTCGCAGAAAAAAAAAATCAGGATCTCTCATTTCTTACACCATGCCTCCTCCGTGGCGCTTTGACTGGACGGGCCGTATCTACCTCATCAAAGATAAGTACGTCCTGATTGAAGAACAGCTCACAGAGGCATTTAACGAAGCTATGGGACAGTACCATATCTTGACTCTGGCCCGTTATGTTGATACAAATGAACCTCTTATGCTCAAAATCGGCTATGAGTGAGTCTGCAAGAAATCCCAGTGAGCTTGACTAATCTATTTCCAGAATCGATCCTAGCACACTCTCACTGCCCCCATTCTTTCAGAGGATCAGTCGTGTGACAACTTCTTGGATGAGATCGAATTAGTCAAAACAGTCGCCCAGATTGGCCATGGGCCTCAATTCATCGATCAAGTCAGCCAGCGCGGAGGATCACCGTACCCAAATGGTCTTGTGGACTTTATCGTCATGAGTCGTGTTCCTGGGGAAAATGTTGGGGAGATATTCCTTGACCTTACATCCGCCCAACTCCAGAGCATCAAAAGACAGCTTACGCATATACTAGAGTGAGTACCCAGTTCTAAGTCAATAAACCATACACATAGTTTATTTCCAACTCCTTGTTAATCTAAGGTGGATGCGACAGAAGGGCTTTATACTATCACATCAAGACCCAAACTTCCTTCGATACGACATAGAAAACGATAAGCTGTAAGACCGCTTGCTGGCTAATCATCCATTAATACTGACAGCCCCAGGTATATTGTTGACTTCACTTTTATGGACTTCATCGTGCTAGACCCTTTAATGGAGTCGATAGAAGAAGATAACATGTTCGTTCTCGCATTCAACATCTGGAGAGAACATATGCCGGGACCCCCTTTCCAAGGTAGAGGAGTAAATCCATCGGGGATGGCTCAAAGGTAGCAGCAAACTGGTACTGACATTCCCATCCGGCCACTGCAATACTCAAGCACAAACGTGGCGTCGGGGCAAGGTCATGAGGGCTCTACCGGCGGGAGCAATAGCAGGGGAGGTTCTATTGGGGGACAGCAACAAAAAATCACCTGGACAGGGCATTGGTAGTGCCGGGCCTAGAGGATCAGGCGCACAACAGCAAAATCGATATCTACCTCGATGATATGGCGACTAGAACGGAGGTTCCAGTATCCTGGAAAGTGTGAAAACTTCCCTTGAACTGCTAGTGCTTGCTCTTTCGCTTTGATGGCTTCATTCAGCGCCTTGCTTCTGGTCTACTTTCGGCTTGTTTTTGACTTGTTTTCGAAATTTTATATTTTTCGAATTTCCTTCCCCTTTCATCTCCGTTTTGATCATTTGATCATGTGGCCATTTTCATTGTCTATGACATTCTGGAGAATCTTTCCATAAATCAATTCATCTATCGCGTTTGAATTTTATGTCTGTAAAGCCTTTGTGTGTGACAAATATGGTTATGCTGTTGCTTTCACTTCCACTCGTAGATAATAATCTTTATATCATACACCTCGCCTAAAGGAAACCATAGCCACCTGCTTAGATTTAAATACCAACATAGACACATGTAGATAATCAAAAGAAACACTTTTATAGCAGTCCCAGCGCATATCCATGATTATATATCTCCGGTATCAGACACCGAAAATCACCCACCCTCGGGGTTTGAACGGCCTTCGCAGTGACGGAGTTCGGTCATTGATGTGCTCGGCGCACCTTATAAATATTTCGAAATTGCCAGATGAAAATCATCAAACAACTTGGATTGTTCTATCTCAAATATCAAAATGGCTCTGAATGGAAGTTGCATGTGCGGCGCTATTGCGTACGCTGCTGAATGTATGTCGACTCTTATACATTGGAACTATCGATACTGATGAATATAGCTGAACCTCTTGTGACGGCACTTTGCCACTGCGTCGACTGTCAAAAGGTATGCATTTGAGAATAACTTTGGATCAAGGCAATTAACGCATACAGTGGACCGGTGGCGCATATACCTCTAATGCGGTCATCCCCCGAGACACCTTCAATGTAACCAAAGGTATCTTATACGAGTTCAAACGTCATATATCCAACACTGACTCATACAGGACAGCCCTCATTCTACGACCTGACTGGCGGATCCGGCAGGATCAACCGACACTTCTTCTGCGGTACTTGCGGATCGAGTCTGTATACTGAGTTGGAGGTGATGGCCGACAAGACCATCATCAAGGCTGGGACGTTGGATGGGGGAGAGACCAACTTGCGGCATAAGGTGGATGTGGAGTTTTATACGCGTGATCGGGTGTCTTATCTTGGGAGTATTGAGGGTGCTAAGCAGGAGGTTCTTATGTGATGGATATGTTTACATGGGGAATTGGTGTATATATTTGAGTTATTGAATCGAGGCAGTGATGATGATGTGATATTAAAAATCATACTATCCCGATTTGGTTATCAATGCAGGTCATGTCACTGTTTCAGGCAGTGCAGCTGAAACACTGGCAGAGTGTATGACAATCAATGAACGCACAAACACGTGGGCCGAATACGCCAGGATGACTGCCCAGGCAAGGCTTCGACAAGGCTTATACTTACAGGCCAGACGCTGCGACGGTCCGCAAATGGCAGGCAGTGGCCCCACGTGGGGGGAATTAAGGTTCTGTCACCCACGGAACACAGCCCTTTCCCGATCGAGCAGTTCCAATCCCTCTGGCACGTTCTCAACCGCAGCCTCTGATTGGCCTGGAATATCAGCAAGTCAAACGCAGAACCCGCCAAGGAAATACGAGAAAGACCAAGAGAGCTTGGACAAAGCTTCCGTGGCTTGGCGATGGGCATCCAGAGTGTCATATCGCCCGCGGTTGTCAGCGTGCGAGTGTTTGTTCCGTCACTAGGCAAACTATCGTGATATTAAACAAGGGATTCCGGCGAAGATGCATGTCATCCACACCCTGCCATTGGCCTCTTTGGCCTCCCATGGCAGACATTGCGCTTCCCGTGGCAGTGGATATGGTAATGAAGGCCATTCGGTCGTGCTTTCATCGATACAGGGTCTTTGGCCGTTGCCCTACGCTGACAGCACGTGCACTCCTTTCTTATATACCAGAGGCTCCCTCTATCTGCCTCTCCTCTGTCTGAACAAAAGCTTCTCACCACAAATCCTGTGCAGGATAAGGCAGGATCACCCAGTTCCTTGACCAGTCGACCTCAACTGCAAGGATCGTGATCATGGCTCACACATCTGGCGGTAACTCTGCCTTTCACAACTTCCACAATGACTTCTCCCACGTCGTGGACCCCAATGAGCGTCGTCGTCTCGCCCTGGCTGAGATTGACAAGGCGAAATTTGGCTGGTACCACGTTCGTGCGATTGTCGTAGCTGGTGTCGGTTTCTTCACCGATTCCTACGACATCTTCGCCATCAACCTGTGCTCGGCCATGCTGGGAGTTGTCTACTGGCAGGATGATGCGTCCAGCCCTGGCAAGATCCCGTCCAGCGCGGATACTGCCATCAAGGTCTCGACGTCGGGAGGTACCGTCATCGGTCAGCTTCTCTTTGGATGGCTGGCTGATCAGGTTGGTCGCAAGCGCATGTACGGTATCGAGTTGATGATTATCATCTTGGCTACTCTGGCGCAGGCCTTGTCGTCTGACTCGCGTGCTTTGTCGATTGTCGGTATTCTTGTCTTCTGGCGTGTCATTATGGGTATTGGTATCGGTGGTGACTATCCCCTGTCATCGATCATCACTTCCGAGTATGTCTTCCTAACCTCCAATATGCCAGTCACTAACCGCTGGGTCTAGATTCGCGACTACCAAATGGAGAGGTGCTATGATGGGCTCCGTCTTTGCCATGCAGGGTTTTGGACAACTGGGTGCTGCAATCATCGCGTTGATTGTGACTGCCGGCTTCAAGAGTTCCTTGGAGACTGCCAGCTCTGTTAGCAAATGCGATGGAGTCTGCCAACTCGCCGTCGACAAGATGTGGCGTGTCGTGATTGGGTTCGGTGCTGTTCCTGCATGCATTGCCCTCTACTACCGTCTCACCATCCCCGAAACCCCTCGCTACACCTTTGACGTGGCCCGGGATGTCATCAAGGCGGATGTGGACGTGCGTGCTTACATCGAGGGCAAGAATGAAGGCCACCCCGACGAAGTGCAGCGAGTTGCTACCCGTCAGGACAGCGCAAGCGATTTGGCCATTCCCAAGGCTAGTTGGTCTGACTTTTGGACTCATTACCTGCAGTGGAAGAATGGAAGGGTCCTTCTTGGCACTGCTGGTTCCTGGTTTTTCCTTGATGTTGGTAAGTACAACCGGTTCTTTTTCATGTATGATGCTGATTTTGTAGCTTTCTACGGCCTTGGACTGAACAACTCCATTATTCTGAGCGCCATTGGCTGGAGCGGAGGAAGCACTGTCTACGAGTACTTCTACCGCAATGCTGTTGGCAACCTCATCCTGATCTGCGCGGGTGCCATTCCTGGATACTGGATGACTGTGGCCACGGTCGACACGATTGGACGCAAGCCTATCCAAATCGGTGGCTTCATCATTCTGACAGCCGTGTTTATTGTCATTGGTTTTGCCTTTGAACCCCTGAAGCACTCAGACAACGGCTTGCTTGCCTTGTACGTCATCGCGCAGTTCTTCTTCAACTTTGGACCGAATGCTACCACCTTCATCGTTCCTGGAGAATGCTTCCCGACTCGATACCGATCAACTTCACACGGTATTAGTGCGGCTGCTGGAAAGGTTGGCGCCATTATCGCTCAGTGTGTCTTTGGGCCCCTTGTTCACAGAGGCGCGAAGAACTCGTCTGATAGCCCATGGCTCAACCATGTCATGCAAATCTTTGCCTTGTTCATGCTTTGCGGTTGTTTCACGTCTCTGCTTATTCCCGAGACTAAGCGGAAGACTCTGGAGTCTCTGGCCGGCGAGGACGTCGAGAGTCCTCTAAGTGATTCGTTGCCAGCTAGCCAGGGGACGGAGAGGGAGAATGTGAATATGAACGACCACAAGGCTGACACTGCCAACGGCCACTCCCAGTAGCTAGATTGAGTGCAGAAGGGCATTTGACATCATCATGTGTGTAGATAGATTACTTCTTGATTAGTGTGGATAAGATAGGATAGGATAGGATAGGACAGATCAGTTGAGGTCGTCCCTTAATAAACCGGTAATCCGGGATAGTAATAAAAGCATCATAAGTCCACAGTCCATAAATAACTGTTGAATTCGTATTGATAAGCTATTCAATTCCAGTATTAGCGCAGTCCATGTTTTCTTTGGTTTAAATCACGCTTTCTCGCCTACCGTGGATCCCATTCTTTGTCTTTTCTTTTCTTCTCTTCCTTCTTCCTCCCACTCTCCTTCACTCACCTCCAACCCTCCGTCTCTTCCATAAACCCTCCTCCAAAATGTCCCAACCAGAAACCACCGACTCAATTCCCCCATTAACCACCTACCCAGCAACCTCTGAAAGCGAGCAAATCGCCGCCCTCCGCCTAATCGCCGACAGCATCGCCCAGCAACGCCAAACCGCCTCCTACGCCATCATCTCGCACCCTCTCACTCTATCCCTAACTGCAATCCCTCTCGCCGTCATCTATAAATACCTATACAATGACCGAAGCGACTGGCCGATCATCGGGACAACGTGGGCGGGGTGTCTAATGGCGGGGTTACTCCTCGTGCGACTCATGACGAATGCGTATATCGAGTTAGCCGAGAAAACAGGGACGTGGAGATGGCTGCGCAGCACCCAAAAGCAAGACGCAGACGCAGACCAAGACACAGAAGATGATGTGGTACTCGTGACGAAATACGGCCAAGAAATCATCGGTGCGTTAGTGTTGCGCGCCCCAGACTGCATCTCCAGCGCAAACGCAGACGCAGACGCAGACGCAGACGCGGACTTTGCATCGCGCGTGGCGAGTATCCGCGCGTGGACTGTGGAATTGCGATATCGACGCAAAGGAATCGGGAGGGGGTTGCTCGAGGCTGCGGTGGGTGTTTGTCGGGAGCGAGGATGGGATGGGGTGGAGTTTGCGGTGGGACATGCGCATTCGGGGAGGTTGGGATATGGGGGGGTATTTGATGGGGTTTTTGAGGAGAGGGAGAGATGGGGGAGGGGGGTTTTGGAGTGTATACAGAGAGGGTAGGCAGTGAGGGATTTGTTGAACAACGCATGTTTGTATTGAATCAATCAGAAAATGACAAGTGAGAGCGACAAGTTGTTACAGAGTAATTATTAGCAATAATCATCAAAATAATGTAATGCCACCCTGCATCACCCACGCATGGCTGCCTCATGTCGGAGATATTTTCCATCCCTTCAATCCCAGATCACATGTTCTGAGTAGATCTCGCACTGCTCGACTGAACTGTATTGCTGGAGTAGAGGCATACTCAATTGGAAACAGCAGGTTTTAACTGAATCAAGGGATGTCAGAAATATCGGTCAGCAGCGACAGGGCACTATTGAACTCTGCTGGCGTGGTTGCAGCTGCTGGTCTGTCATATGACAGATCACTCTGGATAGTTAGTACCTAATAGCCCCAGCCCTTCAGGGTCAGGTTCCTGCTATAGCCAAGATACAGTAAGCTGAGAAAAGTGGAAATGAGAAAAAAAAAAGACACAAATAGATGCGCTGTCTGCATCGCCACCAATCAGGGCCAAACACACCCTGGCTTGGAGTGAGACAGGAAGTGGACGGGCTGAACCAATCAGAGTGTGTCGTTTCCTGTTCGTTCCGGACTCCGAGGCCCACTGGTGATATTCAATGGGGAAGGGTCTGGCTCTCCTTGGGTCTGATTGGCTGGGTGTGGTGAGGGTGGATATAATTAGGTCGGTGGGTGGGGGCCATGATGCAGGTTGGAATGGGGTTTTGATCATTTATTACTTTATTTCTTTTTTTTTTGATTCCTTTTAATTTATTTGGGCTGGCAATAAAAGGGTTTCAGTCTCCTTCTTCATTTCTTTTCTTCATCATCTTCATCATTCTGATTGAATCTGCATTTCATTCACTTCCTGCCATCTATCTATCTATCTACACATCTACACACATCACAATGTCAACAACAACCACCTCCGCCGCCGCCTCCTGCACAGGCAACATCTACGTGATGCCCATCCAAGACGCCGCCTGCGCCGTCCCCTCCAAGTCAAACTACACAGACGTCATGGACAAATGCTGCAAGCCCGCCTCCGTGACCTCCTACAACGACGACTGCGCCTACTACTGCCTCGCGCAGGAGCAATCCGTCGGCGCCCTCACAGACTGCCTCACTGACAACGGAGTCGGCTACAACGACGTCTGGTGCAACAGCGCCAACAAGTCCTCGACTGCGACGGCATCGGTGTCGTCGGCGACGAACACGGGAACTGGAACGAGTTCGGGACAGAGTGCGAGTAAGACTGGGGGGGATGATGAGAGTGCGGGTGTGGTTTTGAGTCAGCCTGTTACGAAGAGTGGGTTGGGATTGTTGGCGGTGTTGGTTTGCTCGGTTGCTATGGGGGTTGTTGTTTGATTGATTGATCCTATTTGGAGGATGGATTATTGAGTACGGATGCATATAGTAGAACTAATTAATACCCTCATGACTGATGAAGAAGGACCAGTAGATCATTCATGTATGCACCATGTAAGGGATAAAGTATGCAATCACATCATCTACATCATCGCCATAGCTGTCGTCACACAGCATTACATCAGACAAGAAAGCCTCCCCCAAACACCTCGACATCTCCAACGCCAACGTATCCATCCTCATCAACTCGCCCGATACAGCGCGCAGATAAGTTTCGGGGAGGGGAAGATGGCAGAAATAACCACGGGAGGTGCCTATATCCTAGAAATGCTAGATCAACCTGCCATGTATATAGACGCTTAATCCAATATCCTCAATCCCACAAAATCCGCCCCGTAAGCCTGCGATCCCTTCTCCCCATTCACATTCCCAATCACAACCTCATTATCCCCATCTTTCCACCCATCTACCAATACCCCCAGCGTAGCACTATCCCACCATCCCAGCCCGGGTCCGAATAGCTCGCTATGACGGCCGGACAGCGGGACTTCCAGTCTGACTGGGTTGCCGCCGTTGAGCTGGATGGTGAGATTGCGCGAGTTCGTGCCCCAGTCAAAGGCGGATGCAAAGGCAATGTCGTTGTTGATGTAGTCGATTTCGAGGTACTTGGTTGTGTTGGAGGAGACGGTTGCGGGGATTGTGATGCTGGCGGTGCTGTTGGGGGTGATGGAGGTGATTTTTGAGCCGGTGGGTTTGCAGTAGCCAGAGCCGCAGGTTGTGAGGTCTGCTGATCCTGATAATCCGAATGAAGTACTAGGATAGTAAGTTCCTTCTGGAGGAGATATCTGGATAGAGTCGATGGGAGTGTCATGGTGGATGGTGAGGGTGTTGAGGCCGGCGGAGAGGGGAATGGTTAGGGCGAGGGTTTTGCTGGAGCTGGGGAGGGGTTTGGATGTGTTTCCTGATGCTGTAGAGATGGTTATGTTGGAAGATGAAGATGGTTGGGAGAAGTTGATCTTGATGGTGTAGTTGTTGCTGGAGGTGATGCCGTAAATGGAGTCGAATGTCGTCGATGCCCTATATCAATCAGCCAGTGAATATCATCAACACATCAGAAAGACTCACCCGTTTCTCTGTCCAAAAAGACTGGATGGATAAACACCAGCCTCAGTCGTATTCCGCAACTCGACCAACATCGTCCCATGCCCCTCGACACTCGCCGAATATCTCGACTTGACATTCTCCGCCGTCGAATTCGCCCAGATATTCCTCACCAACCCAGCATGCTGCAATCCCACATCCGCCAGATCAAGACTCAACTCCCTCTCCTCCTCTCTCCAATTAATCAAAGCAGCAACCGTCCTATCCCCAGACAACCGCCCACTCCAAACCTCAAACCCCTCCTCCGTCCATCTCCTCCTCAACCGCACACTCTCACCCAGCTCGTCCTGATTATACGAAATAACATCCTTATTCTTCAACACCTCCAACGAATCCCCGCCAATAGCAGTCTGCTCATCCCTCAACGCAGCCCCAATCACCAACGGACTCTTCAGCACAGCCCACATACTGAAATGCGTCTCCTCCTCCGCCCGACTCAACACCCCATTCCCCACCTCGAGCATATCCAGATCCGGCCACTGGCCAGGCCCAGCAAAGTCAGTCTGCGGAACGGCTTGGTTGAGTGTTCGCGCGATGCTGCGCCACGCGGGGATGATATCGTTGCCTATCCGCCAGGTGTGGCCGAGAGAGGGGGCCCAGAGGGCAGGGAAGTCGACGCCCCATTCGCAGATTTGGAAGAGGACGGTGTGGGAGATCGCGTCTGAAAGGGCGGTGGACATGTTGGCGTAGCGCGGGCGAGGGGATTGCGAGGGCGAGTAGTTGGTGACGGGGTAGTTTGTTTCGGCGTCGGAGAAGCAGTTGTCATCTGTCCGCGTTAGTAAAGCATCATGTCAAACAGGAGAGCAGAGGGGGTACATTTCAACGCATCAATATCCCACTCCGCAAACGTCGTTGCATCCTCCTCCTCATGGTCTACATCGTCAGCACACCCCCATAACCCTCAGTAAGGCAACATACACAAACTCCCCACCTGATCCGGCGGACTCCCACAAAGCTTCACCCCCGAATCCTCATAAACCCCAAACAACAGCCCCCTCTCATGCAACCACCTGCCCAACGCGGGAAAGCCGCTCGGAAAAGTCGTCTCGTTCCAGGTTACCGAGCCATTGGGGAGACGGTCAGAAACGGTCCAGCCGCAGTCGGTGGTTACGTAGCGGTAGCCCAGCGGGGCGAGGTCGAGGTCGAGGAGGGCTTGGGCGTTGGAGTGGACGATGGATTCGTTCGGTTGGCAGTTGTAGTGGTTGTAGGTGTTCCATCTATCACTTATTAGTGTTTATTTGGATAAGAGGGAGGTTGGATGGTGAGGGTACCCCATTGGTGGTGTTTTGGCGAGGCCATCTTGGGCTGCTGTTATGAGGGTTGGGAGAGTCAGTAGGAGGAATGCCATTTTGTCTGTCTGCTTACATTGAAGCTTGGATTGATTTGGTTTTGATATTTATGTATATGAATATTTATATCGGGAATTTTCCTATTCAGGAATATCTCATCAATAGTAGTGTCTACCCCGCGAATACCGCGTATGCGGAGTCTGCATGCTTGAACTAAAATGCGGAGAACGGAGAATTTCCTAATCAAGCCCGGCGATCAGGAACATATTTCTGCAATGCAACCATATGATGTATTCTATATTATAAACCAATATAGTAGACTATTTCTTATCCCGCTCCGGAGCATCGACAGTAGCAGCCTGCTCCCGTTCATTCTCCAATCTCTGCGCCAGAATCATCTGCGAAATCGCCTCCTCCGTCTGCAGATACGTTTTACTCCCCTGGATAAACCAGAACCCAACCGCAATAACCAGCATGACTCCAAACACGGCAATGGCGTAGTTCATATCCCCCGGGGCCGGGTTCGGCGAACCAGGGAAGAAGAAGAATACCGTCGTAATAGCGCAGTAGATGATACTCACCCAGTTGAGGAGGGGACCCATTCGGCCAAGACTGAACTGGCCCGGGGGGAGTTTATCACGGCCCACCACGAGGAGCGCGGTGATTGGCATGCCGTAGGAGATGGTGAGGGCGATGGTGGAGACGCTGAGGATGGCTTCGAGGACGGTACTGGCGAAGAGGTAGAGGATGCCGACGAGGGCGATGATCACACCCTGGAACCAGAGGGCGCGCGCGGGCACTTGCCAGGTTGTATCGACGTGGCTGAGGTAGCGACTCCAGGGGAGGCCGCCGTCGCGGGCGAAACCCCAGGTGAGGCGGGAGGCGGTGGTGAGGATGCTGATGCCTTGTCCCAGGCCGTTGAAGATGAAGAGGGCGATGAGGGTGGCGCCGCCTTTGAGACCCACGGTTTCCAGCATGAGTTCGATGAATGGCTGGCCGCTGGGCGGGTCGACGACTTTGTCAATGTCTTGGATGCAGAAGAGACAGACGAGCATGAAGATGAAGCCTGTGATCGCACCAAACAAGACAGCCAGATACATGACTTTCGGGGCGTTGCGGCGAGGGGCAGGAATCTCCTCGACCATATGGATGACCGAGTCGAACGCCGTGAGGCCATACGCAGCCTGCACCAGCCCCGTAAACCAGATCACCCCATCACTCCAGCCAGTCTCATTAATCCACTTCCCAAACACAAACGACGCAGGCTGAAACGACAGCTCACTCTTCGTGCCCACGGAGATCAGCAACGCCAACGACAACACCACAAAAAGCCCCGTAAACCACACCCCGACGAAGTTGTTCAACCACGGCAGGATCTTCTCCCTCCGACATCCCACCACGTTAATCAGTGTCAACACCAGCACCACCGCAATGAAGATGAGAAACTCCACCCAGCCCTTGGCCCCGTCCCAGTCGGGGTTAAACATGGTCTTCATGCCCAGCAGGAAATCAGACATGAAGGCGACCTGCGACGCGGTGAGAGTCCACCATCCAAACGTGTTGATCCACGCACACATGTACGAGACGAATCGGCCCAGAGGGGTATTCCACAGTCGGAAGACCCAGTACGCCTGGCCTAATGCGGTGGGCATGGCGCTAGTGAGTTCGCCCAGCGATAGAGCGACGCAGATGTTGCATGCCGTGACGAGACACAAGCCCCAGAGAATCGTGACTGACGCGCCGTTGCTGAGCCCGCTGCTGAGATCCTGGGCAAAGGTCGAATACGTTCCTGTTCAGTTAGCACAGCTATTCAAACATCCAGAAGGAAACATACCTAGCACACAGAAAGCCAGCGCAAGCATACTCCACATATTGAACTTGCGCGAGAGCACCTGGTCATGGCCCAGGGCAGCGAGATCGCGAGCATCCTGAACATCCTGATCGGTCGACTGCGTGGGTTTAATAAACTGCGAATTGGTTTCCAGATCCATCAGATGTCGATAAATCAATGGAGGGGCTAATTAATTGAGTGAAGTAGTCGAATAAAGTCAAGAGAATAATATCATTAACCAGACGCAAGGATAAAAACAATCAAAATCCCCAAACGGCTGTCCATTTTCTGCTATAAAAAAATCAAACCATTAAAAATGCGGGGGAATCCTCGATTCAAATATCCAACAATCCAGGCAGCGAGAAAGAGAGAAAGATGAGGAGAAGAAGAAGAAGAAGAAAGGACGAAAGAAAGCGAGGTTGGGAGGCACAAGAGAAAGTGACAGCCAGTTTCCCCTCACGTCAAGCCAGATTCTGGTAATCGATTGGCAGTGAAAGTTAATCAGCACAATTGGTCATTGGAATTTGATATTCAGATAATAGTTGCTGATAGTCAACTAGTTCGTTGAGATAAGTTGTTTCAGCCAATCTAGGCTTTGGTCAGATTCTGGCGATTTCGTGCCGATTTTTTTTGCGGGGTTTTTTTGGCTGTTCGGCAGGACTTGCTGAGTGGGGATGGATATGGACGATCATGATAACACTCAGATACGATTATACAGATGCTCAGATAGATATACAGCTCCTATCTATGATTGTAGAAATAATATTCATACAGATAGATATTCAGACGAATATTCAGAGATTCAGCGACAGTGAACATCCCAAATAGGCAATTCCATGCGGAAGCGATAAGCACAGCTTCCATCGATCATCGCCATCATCATTGCCTATCAGTATGGAAGAGGAAATACGACACGACAATTATGCGGGGTATGTCACTTCTAGAAGCCGTGATGATGCAACTACTGCCCTCCCTCGTCTGCTGTGGTAGGTCCATCACGCCGAACGCATGTTTGATTATGGAGCACGCGGAATATGATTTGATTCGATGATGCAATGCAATTCAGAATGACTAAGGGTACTAACGTCGTATTAAATCACACATATACAGGTTACCAGTTACATGGCTGGTCCTTCCCAACCTGTCTGTCTATTTAGCCTTTGCCAGCTTCAACAAAGCCTCAAAGTTAGGCGTGCCCAGCCCAGTCACAGGATCCCAGCCGTGCGACGCATTCCAGCTAGCAAACGGCACAACAGGGCTGCCGTTGGGCTTGCCTCCGAATCGGGCGCGTCCATCGCACCCGGTGCTACCGCCCACGGTGATATCGTTGAGACCTTGGCTACCTTCGCCGTACAGCCAGGGGTTCAGGAAACCCAGGGTCTTCTTGTTGTCGCGGAGGCGGGCATCGTTCAGGAGGGCAATGACACCAGCAAAGGTGGGTGCAGAGGCAGAGGTGCCGTCGACCTCGCCGAGAGCGCCCTTGTCGTAGATGGCATAGCTCTCTCCCTGTGCGGAGACGTCAGGGAAGGCACGGCCGGAGCCGTTGTATAGACCCTCGAACTTGTCGCCGATGCTGGTGAGGTAGCTGGCGACAGCGTCGTGCTGCCAGTCAGGACGAGGCCACAGGTCGGAGAAGCCGCCCGAGGAGAAGTAAGCGGCGCGCTCAGGGGAAGTCTTGTAAGTCGCACCGACGGAGGTGACCCATGGGCAGGAGGCAGGGAATTGAGGTGGGAAGTGAGTGCGGTTCTTGCCATCATTGGTAACACAGGCCGATCCGACGCCGGAATCACCAGACGAGAAGATCACAGAGACACCACGGCTGCCTAGTTGGGCGTACAAGTTGCAAACAGTGCGAGCATACTTTTCAGGGATGGTCTGGAGAGTCAGTGTCAACAGCCTAAAAAATTGGATATAAGAGACTTACCTGCTCATCCTCACCATAAGAGGTGGAGATAACCTGAGGAAGCTCGTCCTGGTCCAGCTTGAGAACACCCTGCAAGAATTCCAGATACGGCTCGTTGCTGCCAGAGGACGGGTCGGGCTGATCAACATCAGGGATAAGAGGGCCACGGCCAGCAGTGCTGAATTCTGTGATGGGCACCGGAGAGCTAACACCGAGGATGTACTGCGCATCCAGGTTGGCTTCACCGCTGTCGCCCGCCGCGTTCTGGTCATTCAAACCTCCGTTGAATTGGACGACAGAGAAGTTCTGACCCTTGGCATACGGGGCCAGGTTCTTCTGGAACAATTCAAAGTCCTGGTAGCGGGCGTACTCCTCCAGGTAGCTGGCGAAACCGACCTTGCTGCCACTCTTGGGGTCAGCCTGGTAGTCACCAATTTTGTAAAGACTCTTGAGACAGGCCGGGGTGATGACCGAGTCGCAGTGCGAGGTGTTAGAGGCAGCAGTGGCGGCCGCAAGGCTCCCCTCATCGATCTGCTTGGGCTTCATGCGAAGAGTCGCGCGGTTTGCGTGAATCTGCCCGAACCGAGTAGTAGGCTGGATCATGTTGACATGGGCAGCGACCGACTCAGGGAGAGAGTACGCGAGGGTGCGCAGACGCTGGAGATCCTTCTCGTCGCTTTCATACCATTGGAAGTCGGCATCCAGCAGGGTGTTGGCGGTGTTGACAGTCGTGCGGAACTTGATCCAGTCCGCGTCCTCGTTGATATCAGTGACACCGGCTGATTCGAGCCACTTGCGAACAGAGTTGACGGCCGAGTCGGAAGGCAGCAACATGCGCTTCATCTCGTCATGGGTGGGGAAGTGTTTTCCATAATCGGGGTGGTCGGGAGTCGACATGTCCAAGACGGCCTTTTCGAAGCCCGCGACATCACCCTGCTGAAGGGCGATCTGGAGACGAATCTGCTCATTGCCCGAGGGGTGGTGAGAGAATTTCCAACCTATCCAGTTAGCTCATGATCAAATATCTAGCAGTCGTAGAAATACCCTCAGGAACAGCGCGCAGCTTTTCAAAAACCTCCCCCGCAGCAGCGGAGGTGAGGAGCGAAACGACCGCGAGCGAAAGAGCTCCACGGCTAACGAACGACAACATGACGAGAAGCCGACCGACCAATTCAGATGAAAGCACGAAGAGAAGAAGACAGAATGACAGGCAAGATAACAGACGAGGGAAGGGATGCGGAGACTTAAAAAGAGGGACCTCGTCCTCATTCCAGTGCCAACCCCATCTGGGCTGGGTATGCCAATGCCATGGCCCCGATCACGACGACCGGAGGCCCGACGGACGGCAGATCAGCGAATCCTCCAAAACCAGCGGGATCGATTGGATCCGATCCAGAAAAGCAGCGAGCGAGCGGGCATCGTTACATGGCGCGAGGAGTGGTGCAGCGCAGGCTCTCTTGGCGGTGGAGGGCGGCGGTGGGACAGCACGCGATCGTCAGGGGTGAGTTCGGTAAAAAGTGAACACACAATAGTCGTCAGTAGTCGTACTGGCAGGCCGATTCAGCTTCCAAGAACATTGGCAGGCCGATTATTGCTGTATGCTGACTCTGCTGACTGTCTCGTGTCGGATGAGACTTTGTTTGTTGTTGTTGTGGTTGGATTCCACCCCTTTCTTGGTGTTGCATCATCAGGCCTGCCATCAACAATGCCATTATCAGAAGAGATATCATCAGTCGGTGTAGCAGCACTAATGCATCTAACAATGCATTATATTATCATCGCCTCGTCTATCAGAGATAGCAAATGATACTATCTTATTATCTCCCACCCTGGTCAATTTGACAGATGAGGTCGCACAGCCGGCGGCCCTATCCGCCACTACAGATGCAGTGCTGAATAGCCTCAATAATTAAAACAAGGACAGTCACACCGTGTCACTCTATAAAACCCCTTTCCCAGTGCATTTATTCAGGTTGGATTAAAACTTATCAACAGGAATGTGTGTCCATCTATCAAACATGTTGGAATGTTTCATCTGTCAGGAACGGTTTCATTCCTTGGTTGAGTGTAGTTTATTCCCATACGGAGGACATCTCCGGGCACACTATATAAATAGTATAATCATCGATCAATCAGATCTTAAACATAATATCGGGTATCAACCAACACCATCAAAACAAAAAACCAACAAAATCAACAAAACAACCTCTCCACCTCCTCCATCCCCCTCTCCAACCGCCTCGTGTGACTCTCTCGCCCCGAGACTCGTACATCCGCATAATAAGGATCGTCAGAGGGCGCACAGTCGCGGAATTGCTGCATGGCATATGTAGTCGTTGATGCTAATTTTGATTTTGACTCAGGAGGTTCGGATGTGTTTGTGTTACTGCTGCGGCAGTTGGATGTAGAAGTGGTGGCGGCGGTGGTGTTTGAGGATGAGGTTTTGGTGGTACTCCTATTTCTTGTGAGTACACGACATGATGACGCAACATGATAAAGTAGTAGGTGTAAAGTAGTGTAAAACGGTTAGTGGTGGTTCAGATGAAAACAGAGGTTCTTACCAGGGAGTTGATATAGTAGACATTATGATTATGATTATCTGGTTTGGGTATACATATCTACTCAGGTAAAAAGTCATATTTATACACCGTTGAAAACCCACGAGCCTCAAAAGGCAACCATATGGCATCCATCCATCATCTATCATCTCGATTCTCGACAGAATTTGTCAGTGGAATAACCAACTAACGAGTTAGTTAGGCTGTCAATCGTTACCATCCCTCATCACCCAAGGCAAAGCACAACCCATCCTGCACGATGATACCAACCCAAAGCATAAGTAGGAACGAACGACAGCAGTCTGGACTCAACCTTCACGATAAATCGAACAAACAACGTATAAGAAGGTATCAGAAGGATGCAAGGCCTAATTATAAGAAGTGATGATCGCAAACGACCACAATTCTAGACCACATCGACCCAAATCTAGAATCGATCCGAGGGATTGGGTTGAGTCGAGAACGGGCCGAAGGATTGGGATCGCGGGATGTTCTAGACTTTTTTGAATGAACGGAATGTGGAGATGTGATGTGACGATGCTTTTTTGGATGTGTTTGTGGTTAGAGATGATGCGAGGCTGAGGAGGGGTTGGTTCGAGACCGTTGGCTTTTATGCAGTACATAAGGGATAGTGCAGATAAGTATTATTATGCAGTAGTAGTCACTTTTCGATGGGAGAGTCCAGTCATTATTTTACACGTAACGTCATAAGAGTAGTTTTGAATATTTTCAGAGAAAAGAAAGTGGGCAAAAAAAGATCAGGAAAGAAAATCACCCAAAATTCGTCTCACTCGGTTTGGAATGTCGCCAAATCCCACCAGGGAGGAGATTCTGTCTCATCACCGCCATCTCCTTGTGTAACCGTTTATTCTCCTCCTGCAACTCCTCCATGTAGGAAATTGCATTCGAGAGGATTTCCGACTTCTTGAGCGAAGCCGAGCCCTTGGTCGCGGGTTTGTGCACCCCGCTGCTCCCGCTCCCCGCCATGGCTTTTTCCAACGAAACAAACTTGGCGTTCATGTTGGTGCGGTAGCGTTTTTCGATGATGTTGTGAGCTGCGCGTTTGGCGGCATTGCGCGAGACGGGGTTGGTGCCTGCGCCTGTGGAGGCGTTTGAGTCGCCAGAGAGACTGCGCGTCATTTTCTGATTCGAGGGGGAGGAAGGAGTTGGTTGGGACGAGGTGATGAGTTCGGGGTGGTATTCTTGGGGTGTGATTTCGGGGCTGGAGGAGTATCTTGCTGGTTGTTGGCGTTTGCGGGGGTTGGTTTTGCGACGGGGTTGGGATTGAGATTGAGGTTTTTGGGACATGTCGGTGTCCAAGGAGGAGATGGCCCGACAGGTTGGGGACCAGAGTTGGTCGTCGCTTTCAGGGTCCTGGATCAGTTAGATGGTGTTCTATCATGAAGGTGATTGAGACATACCGATGAGATGGAACCGCATGAAGCAGCGTCCTCGCCTGAGTGGTTGGAGATGGAGAAACCGCTGATTCCCGGTGGAGGAGCAAAGGCGTCAACAGGAACGTCTCTGGGATCGAAGTTCATGAGATCTTCCGGGAGATCCAAGGTGAAGGGATCCGGCATGGTATTCAACGAGAAGAGATCGATAGCGCTATCGTAGGTCCAGTTGTCCGAGAGAGGATCGGGGTTTTTGGGCTGAAAGGGCTGGAGATATCGCTGGTCTGGAAAGGCCATAGCAGGAGGCCTGTTGAAAGCCATTGTTTGATAGATAGTTGGTTGAATGAAGTTAACAGACTGAGTAATTGTAGATCAAGTATGATGTGGCGATAAGTATAAATAAGGACTGCAACCGCGGTAGAACTGACGATATATAAGGAGCAATATTGATCCACGAGGCCGAGTCGCCTGCCGTGATGTAAGACATGCAACTGGCAGCCAGAATAGAAAAATCTGCCCGGCCAAAAGCAGCCGAGATCACCCCAGGCCAGGCACAGATCGAAGTGAAGCTGTACAGTTCAACGGTCGGCTCCGAGCAGCACGACCGTTGGACCCACTGGCAGCGGCCGAGTCTCGGAGCCGACAGTCTATCATATTGCTGCTATTACGGACCAGATTTTATCCACTGCTTTTGGATACATAGTTATACTTGGTAGATGTAGCTGAGTTATACTATTATACTACTATGCTATACTGTACACTACAATATACCATATGTATGTACATGTAGATAGACACTGAAGATAGTAATGACTGACGCCCAGTATAAACTCACAGTAGTATATGAAACAAATAACAAATAACCTAAGCACACCTGTCACATTCACAAACCAATCACATCCTCTCTAATTCCAATAGTCATCACAATCATCTCCATCTCGGATCGCCCCAGTTCTAATGGGGCGAGCTTCATCCATTCCCAGCCAGTCAGTCCCTGCTCGGCGCATCAATTCCGCCTGTCACTCTGCCAGTGTCATCGGATCCCAGAATCCTGAATATCTGCAAGAAATGGCAGTGGTGTGATCCGGCAGGAATAATCCCTTTCACTAGCGCTGCTGTCATCGTCATTTAAAGTTGTGGCCGTGATTGTTTTAAGCAGGAATTCCCGTTTATATCGTCCGAAAGGAGTCACGGTTAAACCCTTTCGATCGGGCGAGTATATCGGTCGAATCGAGGATTTTTCGGGTGCTAATGCGGTAGTCTTTACTCCTATACAATATACGGAGTACTAGACTGTGTTGTTGTCTGATTAGCCTTACCGGATGGTGAGATGGATAATATGCCGACGTTCTATAGCCAATGCTGTTTGCAAGGGTTACACCGTTGGCCCAAAGGAGATGTGAAACTGGCTGTGATTGTCTCGACCGTTTTTCTCATTTGGTATTCCTGTTTGGGAAGTTTTAGCATGTTGGAAGAGGTCTAGATTGTGATGTTGGAGTCATTAATGTCAAGTCAACAATTCCTGGCCAGTCAATGCGTTGGTGATTGTAATTGGCGCTGGTGGGGTTGCTTAGGAGGTACTTTTGACAGATTCATGAATATCCTCATTTTATCGTATCGCATGCCTATTTAGAGTCCTTCCAGACAGATAAACTAAGTCCGTGCTGGAGCTTAATCCCGTGGCGTGCAGTAGCATCGACTCTATACCTTACTTTAATGCGGATGAGACAATTGCCGCTCTCTCTTTCTCGCATCTATGATCTATCCTTCAACCGCCTCACCGTCACCTCAAAAGCTTCAGGCTCTCTCCCCAAAATCTCCCCCAAAACCGGCGACACCACCGCCGTCTCCCCCTTTCGAATAGCATCCCAAGCCGTCGCCCATTCCCGCGATAAATCCACCCCGTGATACGTATGTCTACCCTCATGCGGGAGCTTCGCATACTCCTCCACCGAAATCTCCCTGATTTTCGTATCCTTCCCCCCCACTCTCCCCAACACCTCCACCGTCTCCGCCAGCGACACCTCCCGCGGCCCAGAAAGCAGCACCACCCGATCCAGATACGGAAATCCCTCGGGGTTTTTCGCATAGCTCGCGATCATTTTCGCCGTCGCTTCCCCGAGTTCGTCGCGTTTTGCCCACGCCACGCCCGGGCCGGTCCCCGGGTGTGGAATTGTAATTTCACTGCTGGGACTGTTCACGTCAAACCAGTTTGTGTAGATCGGGTAGGACTCTGAATACAGGCCCTCGCGGATGGCAGTGTAGGTGATGGGGGCGTCGAGGTCGGCGAGGTATTTTTCGGTGGCTAGGTGGGCGCCCATGACGTGTGCGGTGCTGGTGGGTTGCAGGTCGCCTCCGAACGCGAGGGAGGAGTAGAAGATGTGTTTGACGTGGGTTTGGAGGGCGGCGTCGATGGCTTTTTTATGAGCCTATCATCATCATCAGTGTTGTCGCAGTGTATGTTTTGTAGTGGTGGTGGTGGTACCTCAATGCGATGCTCAATCTCAAAGGACGCATACGAAATCAGCATCAACACGCCAATTCCCTCAAATGCGCGATACAGCGTCTCGGGCTCATCGTAGTCGACTCGGCGGACTGTTGCGCCCGCACGCGACACATCTGCGAGCTTGTCGGGGTGTCGTGCGAGGAGGACAAGTTCGGAGGCGGGGACGAGCTGGAGGAGGTGGTTGACGATGCTGGATCCGAGGCCACCTGAGGCGGGGAAGACGCCGATTTTGGACATTTTAACTTGGTCGGGATTAGTTATTAGATACTGACGTTTGGATGATAATTATTATGATTATGTTGTGAGGGGAATACTTGGGAATATTTGAGTGTGAGGGTGATTATAAATCATGATGCAATCGATATTCTTTTGTCTTCTTTGTTTTCTTTCTTCTCCTTTTTCTCATTCTGGCTTATAAATGTATATTGCATTTTTGATAGCATGCGTCACTTTTACTGGCAGATAGACATGGACTAGCGGCTTTGAAGATGCAGCTTATGGAAATTTGTTCTAAAATTTGAACCATGGTAGCAGTTGACTCGTGTTGTATAGCTAGATGAGTAGATATTCTATCATGCAGAGTTCTCTTGTACTTCCTAATGTTTCTGAACAATCAACACGCCCACATAAAACCTGCAGAATATATAAACAGTCATCACAATGAACTCCACAGGGCCAACGCCCACCTCTACAAGGCTTTTCATACATTGATTGCTGAAGTGAATAAAGGAAAAGGAAGTGCTGCATATTAAGAATTTCGCATTGAATGGGATAAATGTATAGGAATATTTTCATAGCTCAGTGATGGTGAATTATAGGAATATTGTATTATAAATACCCTCGTCTTCAAATCCTTTATTCTACTCTTCTCATCATATCATTCTTAGTCTATAGAAGCCTTCTCTTTGTCATCTGCATATCTAGACAGACACTGGACAGTTCTTTATAGCATATGGCTATATAACAGCCATCATCTGCCCATCTACACTTCCCATCCATACAACCCTCATATATATACTGTCAAACATATCAGAACAGTAAACTATTTCCCCAAAGTATGACTTCTGCTTGCGATACTTATCGCAAGACCATCGTCTTCTTTAAATTACAGGGAATGTGCGTTGTGATGCCCCTTTCGACTATTGTTCCTAGACTCGTCCACTGACATATGCAGATATTCGGCAGCATAGTAGGAAGCAGTTGGATAATCCAACTCAGCAGAACATGTAAGTCTCTCCGATTGATTCCGATCCTCTTTCTGATTCTGACTGAGCGTCAACCAGCCTAGTGATACTAGCCCATTAGTACGCTGTGAAAGCACAGCTTGCTATCGCGCATTCAGCCATCAGCATGGACTGAGGCCATCCGGTCGAGGTACAAGACTTAGGCTTGGAAACTGAGAAAGGTCTGAACGACACACCCACCTCCTGCTGCCCGCAGAAGACCAGGCACATGAGCAAATCAGGGCCGAATGGCTCAGGGAGCTGGGTGGCATGAGTGATTCGCTCATCTTGCTGTCGGCTCCTGTCGAGGCAACTCTGAAAGACTTTGTACATGCCAAACGCACGTACAAGACAAGAAAGTAATCATATTTGGTTGCTTTTTGAAGTTCTTGATGCCCTGGCCGTGGCCTGAAATAGGAACTGGGGTTGAACCCTACTGTTTGATGGAACCGAAACCTGGAGAGACAGGCCTACGCCCGGTGTTATCGACAGGGCCAGCAAAAGATTGTGAAAGATTTTCGTCTTCTGGCCAAGAACAGCCCCATTGACATGAATATCTTGGCATCTCAGTCGAGAAAGGCCACTGTCAACGATCGATTGATTAGACCACTGGTCCGCGATCCTGATGCGCAATTACGAGTCCCACCACTGAAGACTTGAGATACCGACAAATAGGCTGTCGATTGACACCCCCGTTAAGAAGTTTGTCTATGTTTCTTGTACTTTTTATCTTTAATTATATACCAATTCCAGTCCACCCCAAGACCAGAATGTCGGATTGGCCCCTGAGGCATCGTGGAAATCGCTTTAGAGGACCTTGGCAAAATCAGTGGCATCATTATTGACTTATCCTTTTTGGCCCTGACTACAATGGCCCATGCTATATAGATCTGACGGAACTAGTCAGTTCTGATCAAGAGCCGGGTTATGCTTGAGTCGCTACAGCCATCAGAGCCGATACTGGCTCACCAAGCTCAGTCAGTAACGTCGGAAAGTCCAGAACGTCGCTCAGAAATCGTCAAAGGGTTTTAGAATTTCTAAAGGACGATACATGCTGGAGATCTCGGTGAAATCACTGCATCCCGAATATTTCTGTTCTCCATGGACAGAACCCAGACCACGAAGGGCCCAAAACCAATCAAATTATCCGAATTTATATCTTCCCTACATCCGAAAGAGACAGTGGGAGAGGTCAAAGACTGTATGAGTGACCAGGATAGTCTTCTTTCTCTTTGGGACAAAGGAATGGTGTTTTTTTCAACCATATCGTGCGACTTAAAGACAGCCTGGATGAAGAAAAACTCCGAAGCGCCTTCTGTCGCGGAGCTGTACCTTCCCCTTGAAGGGTACAAAGGTTGCGACGTAATTTTGCCGGTTTATCGCTTGGATACTGACAAGATTGTCTTACCTTGTGGTACAAATCAAGAATAGAAAATAGGAGACACAGACGACTTCCGCAATGAAGCGAAAGACGCCCTTCGACCACCAAAGCCAGCATAGGCGTGCGGGCTCAGACTTCCGCAAGGCGGCTGATGAACCTGAAGGTACCAGTTATGAAATGGACACAGGATCCGAGTAAAGTGCGGCTATAAGAGAAGGGTTTGGCCCCAACAATACTCTTGTCTTCTCTTGGCATTTCCAACGGATCCATGTGTTTATCAGATCTTCTTACATCGCGATCTTGACAAGTTTTCTGTTTGTATATCTGGAAGAATTCGATGGATAGGTTTACAGTTTTCCAGTTCCCAGGCATCGATAACGTAATGGATAGAGTTCATAACCGAATAAATGTAGGCTGCTTTGTCGATTATATTATGATAGTACAGTAAACAAAGATTAAATAGGTTATCTCTATCTGATATAGTAATAATATCTTTAGCCTTTATCTTTTTATATATAACAAAGAATAACGAATAATATTAGGCCAGAACACATATTCTATGCCCACTCCATATTAGTAGAATATAAATGATCACATCTTATAAGTCAAAATAAACCGATCATCCTGATACTCGGTAATCGTATACCACTCCTTCTTCACCGGATTATAACTCAAATCCTCATTGCCCGCCATAAACCACCCTTCCTTGAGCTCGCTCTTCTCACCAGGCTTCCACTTGAACAGATCACCGGTCTTGGGAGCCTTGCCGTTACTCCGGGACAGGTAGAAGGTGTTGTCTGTGGAGAAGCCGCCCTGGACACGGAGAAAGTCGACGCAGTGCGCGAAGTTGGCGGACGCGATGCCCTTGTCGTTGGTTTGGAGTTTGCGGGTGTCGGCGTTGAGGGGCCACTTGACGAGACGGATGGGGTCGCTGTCTTTGCGGACGAATTCGCCGATGAGGAGAGTGTCGGGGGAGTCGCTGCGGTCGAGAGAGACCCAGGAGAATCGGAAGGGAGAGTCGCTGCCGGGGGTCCATTTGTAGGATCTATCTTGTCAGTATTCCGTATAACTTCAAGTATTCTGGAAGGAGTGGTCTCACCGAATCTGGGGAACAACATAGCGATATCCACCAGCCGAATACCCATCTCCGTCCTTCCCGATCTTCTCCCCCTTACCAACCTTCCAAATTCTCCCCAGATCAAACACCCTCAATCCATGCTTCGTGTCAACGACAAACAACTGATCCCCATACCACGTAATGCCCCCCGCATGCACAGCAACAGCCTCAAAGTCATCCTTCGCAGTCGGCTCAACCAACAAAACATGGCGGTACTCATGCGTCTCCCGATCCACAAAGCTAATCCTCACATTGGTGTCTTTCTCATTATGCCAACTCACCATCCACACCTCGCGGCCGTTCCACTCGCCCTTGCCCAGTGCGTCCGCGGAGCTGGAGATGCCCTGCGGCGTCCACTTGGGTGTGGAATCGTCGCCTGAGTTCCAGGCCCAGGCTTCGGCGGGGTCGCCGTTGCCGACGGAGGGTTTGCCCTTTTTCAGAGAGCGGTTTGGGGTGGCGAGGACGTGGGTGATGGTTGTGTTTTTGTTTTCGAAGATTTTGTCCAGGGAGGGGAGGTATTGGTTGTCGGTGGATTCTTGGAGGGTGAAGTCTGAGGGGGAGAGTTTGGTTTTGCCGGTGCAGGAGCGGGGGTCTGCTCCTAGGGCTAGGGGGAGGAGGGAGAGGAGGGAAAGGAGTGAAGAACGCATTTTGAATGTGATCGAGACGATTGCTTCGATATTGGTATCATGGTGTAGAAGAGGTATTTATGCGTTCAGTTAAATTGTATCGCGGATTGAGTCCTTTTTGGCAGGCATGACGGTATTCGGGATATAGATCGAATACGAGGATCGACAGACGCCACTGCCCATCTGTTTAGTATTCGGACGAAGACACCAAAAGTATATTCAAGATCAACCGAATAAGAAGTCAGCACTCAAAGTAAGCGAGATATTTCCCCGTATTACGGACAGCTTGGCTTCGTATCCGGAAATAGGCTGACCAAAAAAGGAAGATGTCGCGTGGAAGAAAACAAAACATTCAAGTCATTATTATTAGAGGAGAGAGGTATCTAAACATAAGAATAAAGGAGATGTCTAATCGTCTAATCATCATAGGTGTGGGACACCGCCGGTGCCGAATAATTCCATCTTGATGCGATCTGCACCCACGCCCTTGGCCTTGAGTCCGGCATTCAGACTAGTCATGAAGCTTTCGGGTCCGCAGATGTAGTATTCTGTTTGGGGGTTGTCGAGGAAGAGATCCTTGTTTGCGTCCAACTGTTGGACGTCAATCCGTCCGACATGGTCATAGTCCTCGCCCTGCTTCTCTGTGGCTGATGGCTGGGTGGTGAAGAAGGTTGCGTTGAGGTTCGAGTGCTTATCCGACAGTGACTTGATGTGGTCCTTGAAAGCGCGTACGCTCGAACTGTGCGCACCGTGGATGAAACTGATCTTGCGCTCAGAGTCTGAAGCCGAGGTAAGGGTGTTGAGGATGGAGGTCAACGGGGTCAAGCCCACACCGGCAGCGAGCAGCACCACTGGGTGCGAGGGATCCGAGTCGGAGAAGAAGAAGTCTCCATACGGGTGAGAAACCTTGATGGTATCGCCCTCCTTCTTAGTATCGTGCAAGAGGTTCGAGACATACCCCGGGTGAGTCGAAGCATCAGGCTGAGTCGGGTTCAACCCAATCTCCTTCTTCACACTGATCCGGTAGTAGTCGGAGCGAGGCGCATCACTGAGCGAGTACTGACGGGCTTGGGGATATTTCAAATCAGGCACATAGACCTGCACTCCGATGTACTGACCAGGGCGGAATGCAGGGAGCGGCTTCTCGTCGACGGGCGTGAGGTAAAACGAAGTGATGACATCCGACTCGGGGACTTTGCGGGCGATGCGGAACTCGCGCCAGTCCGTCCAGCCTTGACTCTGCTGGTACAGATCATTCTCGATGCCAATCATGAGGTTGGCGAGTTGCCAGTAGGCGGCGCCCCAGGCCTCGTGGATGGCGGGGGTCAGCGCATCACCCAGCACCTGCCCCATGGCCTCGAGCAGGTATTTGCCCACGATGCCATACTGGTCGGGCTGGATGTACAGAGAGGCATGCTTGTGGCAGATGAGCTGCACGGCAGGGCTCAGGACACCGAGGTTGTCAATGTTCGAGGCGTAGGCGAAGAGCGCGCCAGCCAAGGAGCGGGGTTGATGGCCATTCACCTGGTTAGAGGTGTTGAAGACCGCATTGAGCTCGGGATGGGCGTCGAGCATGTTCTTGTAAAAGACGGTGGTGATGGTAGCGCCATGCTGCTGAAGCACCGGCACAGTGGCCTTGATGATCTGGATCTGCTCTGGAGATAGCGACATGATGGTGAGTTCAATTCTTCTATAAGACGTGTCTATCCCTGATGGTGAACTGATGTCAGTTTAAATAATCCTGAAAGAAATATCAGTCGGCGGGTATTTCGGCCGCAATACCCGCTGGTGGCCATCATAAGATTCTATTCTCTTCCTTTTTGTCTCATGTTTGACTGTTTACAGCGACATCTCCGCGGAGTGAAGCAGTCCTCGCAAGGATAAGATAACCGTTAACCCGGATAGGTCCACCGAGAAGAAGGCAAATGCGACGCTCTGCATTATCAGCAAACGCAAATTACGAACATCAACATCCAGATTGGCTGAAGCAGACTGAATGTTCCATCCCATGCATCGTCACTATCATCTTGATGTTTTCTTTGTTCTTTTCGTCTTCTGAACGGAATCTTTAGGAATGAGGCCTCGGGGCATTCTCGGCTCCGGTCCGAGTCGCCACCGTCCAATCATGGCGGTTTGATTTATGGCATCGGATAAAATCCGGGAAGGTCACGCGAGGTCATGTGCGATCAGGTGAGGTCATGCGGGAGAGCGGTCTAGCTCGGCAGAATAGCCGTCAGTGACACATCTAGGTTATCTTAAGTTGACGGAAATGATGTAAAGTCACGCGCTGAGTCTGACATCGTTCTCTAACTCTATCGCTGCTCTGCCGAAGATTCTGCAGAAATTCTGGAGAAGATGACCTATACCATTTTCTCCATAGATTTGCTGTTAGATTTGACTGACTAACATGCAATCCAGGATCTCTGTCTCGTATTCCCGATTTCCCCGGTTCTGTCCTCTTTGAGATTCTTCACGGAGTTCTCCGTACGACTGTACCCATCGTCCAGCAGAATCCCATATAATGCTGGTTGTCATCGACAATGTTTACATCTTCAATCTCGGTCGATCGATTCTTCTAGACTACATCCTGGGATAAGTGGAAGCTCCTAACCACCGGAAATACTGCCACTGACTTCGCCCAACCGAACATATCTCTCCAATCAGTCCACTGTTCGTCCCCCGACTCCGGAAAAGGATATCCTTCCTTTGTACTGGCCCTATCATGTCTTCGACCATTCGAAAAATGTCTCAATTAGGATCATCTCGATGACGATGTTACTTTTTGGATTTTATACAATGGAGAGGGTCACAATGCCAGTGGTGACGTTTGTTACGCTGCAGAACGAGTAGTCGAAGGATGTCTGCATACACATATGTTAAAAGGCTGAACTGTCCGAATCGTCATGGTCTTTTTGATCGATTAAAATACTGACTTAATTGCTGTACCTTATCTGAATCTCCTCAACTGACCGGCAGAATGCGTCCTGTGGTGGTCTCTACGAAGAGCCAGCTGCCTATGCTGCACCTGGCTGACAATGTACGCAACAATCTCATCGCAGTCGTAGGCGAGTTTGTCGGGACGTTTCTCTTCCTCTTCTTTTCCTTTGCTGGTACCCAGGTCTCCAACACCCCCGCGCCCCAGGAGGGTGCTCCTCCTAACACTCCAAATCTTCTCTACTCTTCCCTGTGCTTTGGATTCTCCTTGACGGTCAATGTGTGGGCTTTCTATCGAGTTACTGGCGGTCTTTTCAATCCCGCTGTATGCTATCTAACCCAATATACAAGTCAAGGCTCATGGTCATAGGTTACACTGGCGCTATGTCTCGTCGGAGGCCTGTCCCCAATCCGAGGTGTATTGGTCTTTATTGCCCAGCTTGTGGGAGGCATTGCATCGGCTGGTGTTGTCAGTGCTCTCTTCCCGGGCGATCTCAATGTCACCACCAGACTTGGGGGTGGGGCATCCATTTCCCAGGGTCTATTCATTGAGATGTTCCTCACCTCGCAGCTGGTGTTTGTTGTTATAATGCTGGCGGTGGTTAAACACAAGTCTACCTTCCTGGCTCCCGTGGGCATTGGTCTATCCTTTTTCGTGACCGAGATGATCGGTATGTCTACAATCATCCCAATAACAAATATCAACAACTGACCAAATAGGTGACTATTACACCGGCGGCTCCCTTAATCCTGCTCGTTCGCTGGGCCCCGATGTCATCAATCGGAGTTTCCCTGGTTATCACTGGATCTACTGGGTTGGGCCACTGCTGGGCTCACTACTGGCATCTGGATTCTTCACCCTGCTGAAGCTGTTTGAATACAACACCGTCAACCCCGGGCAGGACTTTAACGAGTGGGAGGATAAACTGAGGAGAGAATCTCAAAGTAATGGCGAAAACAATGGTCCTAAAAATAACCGGCAAGCTTCTGATACTACGACTCTGAGCGGCGGGCTTAGTGCGCCTCACAACTTGACTGGTGAACGGCAAGTGTGATTGATGGGTTAAGTTAGGATAGAGGTCAGTATGCTTGGAGAGTGGGCTGTAGGAATTGTTTACTGTGTGATTCAGTAATATAGTCGAGTACCTACTGGTATGAGAGCTCATAGTAGCAATGAAATGATCATTATGCCTCAAAGCGGTGAAATCAGGCAGTATCCCCACGGTCGCAGCCTCGCAGTCGCAGGCCTTTTGCAGCTTGCAGTCGTATCATCTCGTATCATTAAGACATGAGTCCACTGTCCACTCCCACAGACACTCTGGAGTCGATCGAGTATGGATGAGACCCAGTTAAGAGCTTGTTGTGAGAACAGACCATGAATCCAGCCGGTTACACTAGGCCCGTTGTTCCTTCATTACGTGGAGGACGGCCGTCGGGATCCTCGATGAATCAACCCCTCACCAAAGACACAGTGACAGCAAAGGCAGCAGAATGCCAAAAGGCAAGCTACATCTACGCCTTCTGCATTCTACTATTCAACTGCAAGAAGAATCACATTATAAGGGGGAAGGATGATTAACGTTCATCCACAGAAGATGGTGAACGCCCCCTTACTCCACTCGTCTTGTCCTCTTAAGTCTAACGGACCATCGTCGGCAGATCCCACTCCCGACGCCCCCGAACGACTCGCAAGTCGTACCAGAATGCTAGTTCTCAAACTCTCCGGTCTGGAGCTTCCAAATGGGCTCTGCCAATGATACACGCCAGGCCATTGGCCACCCAGCCTTGATCATTGATCGTTCTGAAGACTTCCAGGTTTGTGGGACGCAACCGTTCACGACCGCAACTCTGTCGGAGTGTCCCGGTCAAGATTCAGCACTTTGCCCGGAGGTTAATGAAGCAGTAGTCCACTGCGCGAAGCCTGGAAATTAAATGGTACATGGTTAGTGTCAGTGTGCCAGTCTCTTCTCCACCAAGTGAGACACTGTCTATTGTCGAATCTCGAATCTCGACTGACGATCTCTCTTTTTTTCCCTGTCGCATTGCGCATACTTCCGTTCAGTCCCTCCTCCTTTTTCTTAGCTTCTGCGCGATGTTCGCGTGCCGATGCTAAACCACCGCTTGGCGAAACCTAATGCATATAACTAATTTGACCCAGTGCCCGTGCAGTCAACAACTTTTTCGGTCGTATTTAGTGCTTTCAATCGCCGGCTTGTGCTTTTTCTGTCGTCACTCATCGTCTGAAGTGTGAATTGCTGCGACAGACAGGACCATGAGCGACAAGATGCACCCCGACATGGCGGCGACGGCCGCCAGCTCGACTTATGACGATTCTAGTCTTGGAGAGGCGGGGGATAAAGATTTGTTGGGTATGTGGCAACTGGGGTAGAATGAGGGATGGTGGGCTGATGATTCGACAGCGAAGATGGGATACAAGCAGGAACTGCGACGACAATACACAACGGTGCAGATTTTCGCGGTCGCATTTAGTATCATGGGCTTGGTACCTTCGATCTCGTCAACACTCGCGTTCAACCTGCCCGCGGGGCCGGTAGGCATGGTTTGGGTATGTTCTCTTGAATTATTCAACGCAATGGATACTGACTGTCGTAGGGTTGGTTTACAGCAAGTATCTTTATCCTTTTTGTCGGACTATCGCTGGTAAATACCCCGGTCGCATACACGATTGAATGATAATAACACGATACAGGCGGATATGGCATCCGCGATGCCTACGGCGGGCGGTCTTTACTGGTGGACACACTATTTTGCTGGGGAAAAGTGGAAGAACCCGTTGAGTTTCTTGGTCGGATATAGCAACACCATGGGTTTGGTTGGTGGCATGTGTTCTACGGACTGTGAGTGTCGCGTGACCTGATTTTGAGCTGTGCTAATGGTACAGACACTCTTTCCCTGATGATCCTTGCATGTGTTTCTATCGCTCGCGATGGCGAATGGTCGGCTTCTCGAGGAACCATCTACGGTGTCTATGTCGGTATCATTATCGTGCACGGTCTCTGCTCAATCTACGCCGGGCGGATCATGCCGAAGATCCAAACGTTCTGTATTTTTGTCAACATCGCCCTTATTGTCGCGACTGTTATCGCTCTCCCTGTGGCCAAGGTGACGAGGGGTGAATCGCTCAACTCGGGAAAGTTTGTGTTTGGAGATCTCCAAAATGTCACCGAATGGCCGACGGGATGGTCGTTTATCCTCTCCTTCCTGGCGCCTATTTGGTCGATTGGTTTCTTCGACTCGTGTATTCACATGAGTGAGGAGGCTTTGCACGCAGCCAAGTCGGTTCCTTTGGGTATTATCTGGTCTTCTGGATGCGCCTGCACTCTGGGATTCTTGGTGTTGTCTGTGGTTGCGGCTACGATGAACCCGGATGTGAACCAGACCATTAACAGTGTGTTTGGACAGCCCATGGCACAGGTTTACTATGATGCGATGGGCAAGAGAGGTGCTCTTGGATTCATGGGCGTTTTGGTCGTGAGCCAGTTTCTGATTGGACTCAGTTTGGTCACTGCTGCGTCGAGACAGACATGGGCTTTCTCGCGTGACGGTGCCCTTCCTTTCTCCAAGTTCGTCCGCCATGTCAGCAAGCGTGTCCAGTACCAGCCTGTCCGTGCTGTGTGTGGATTTGTCGCTGTGTCCATCATCTTCGGATTGCTCTGCCTGATCAACTCGGTGGCCGCCAACGCGCTCTTCTCGCTGTTTGTTGCCAGTAACTACATTGCATGGGGAGTTCCGATTCTGTGCCGCTTGGTTTGGGGTAAGGAGCGGTTTGTTCCTGGCGAGTTCTACACGGGTATTCTCAGCAAGCCTATTGCAATTGTTGCGTGTGTGTGGTTGCTTTTTGGACTGATCTTGTCCATGTTCCCTACTACTGGACCGAATCCATCGCGTACGTTCTTCCTAACTTGTTTTGGGGGTATTGCTAACTTGAACAGCGGAGGACATGAACTACACCATTGTTATCAACGGATTTGTGTGGTTGTCTGCGGCAGGCTACTACATTTTATTTGCGCGCAAGTGGTACACCGGACCGAAGATGACGGTCGACCCTCGCGAGTACCAAGAGCACCAAGAGTAAGCTCAAGCAAAAAGCTACAGGCTAATGTAGATAGACTAGACAGAGCACATAAGAGAATGTTTAATATTGTTTGTACAGAGACACAATGATGTTTTCAATGCTATTAACAGGGGACGGCGAGTCGGCGTCCATGGTATCTTTCATCCATTCAATCCAACGCAATCAATCAATGAATCCAATTATCCCAACCCATCAACTAACACCCCTTACAGGGCAGCCATGACACCGAGGACACCAGCGACACCGGCAATACCGTATCCCAGAGCAGGAGCGGTAGGGTGAGCACCAGCACCATCAGTGGTGGAAGAGGTAGCCTCGCCACTAGAAGTGGCAGTGGCCTCCTCGGTCTTGACAACAGTCGACGGGCCGGTAGCGGTGGCGCTGCCCTCGCTGTTGGTCAGGGTAGCGTCGCTGATAGTCGAGGTGACGATGACGCTGGAGGAAGAGGCGGCGGCGGAGGGAGAGCCGGAGACGGAGCCCGAGGCCGAGGCGCTACCAGAGGCAGCACCGGAGGAAGAAGCACCAGTCTCGGTGGCGGTGGCACCGGAGACGGCAGAGGAGGCAACGCTCTCGGCGCCAGAGACGGCGGAGGAAGCGGCGCTCTCAGCACCGGAGACAGCGGTGGAAGCGATGCCCTCGGCGTTGGAGACGGCGGTGGTAGCGGCGCCCTCGGCGTTGGAGATGATGCTGTCGACCTGGGCGAGGGCAGTGGTAGCCAGGAGGGAGGTAGCGAGGAAGCGGAACTGCATTTTGATGATTGTCTCGGGTAGAGATGAAGGAGAGATTAAGTGGTAGATAGAGTGGTAGGTAGTAGATGGATTGACAGGTAGATAGATAGATGATAGTGATGGACAGATCGGAAGGACGATAGGGGGTTTATATGCGTACTCGCCCATCACAATAATAAGCAAATTACCCCATAGCCTCAACGACGACGCGGCTCCACAAGGCGCAGCGATCGTGGCAAATCCTTCGGATGGCGTTCGGGGTACGTACGCACTTCTTCACATGCCGATGTCAGTATGTCCCTGTCTATACATGAATATTCTTAAAAACTCCGAATCAATCAATCAATCTGACCTATCTACTATCTATCCATCTAATCTCTATCATCAATATAAAAACCCCTACATAAATCCCCTACAGAGTCCTGGACAATGGAAGATGTTTCTATTCATAGCGCCCAAGACAAGGCTTAGAAAAGTCTAAAGGATCGGCAACTCCGGACTCTCCCATTGGCCGACCTGAAACGCAGTGGAGCCGCGCCAAGAACCAACAAATCCATTTCAGGGTCTGGCAGGGCGACGCCTGATTGGATCCCGCGGTTTGATGACGTTGGAAGGCTATTGCGAAGGAATCAGGCTGGAGAAAGAACAATGGTGATTTGAGGGGAGATTCGGGGGTTGGATCTTGGCGGATGCCTTGAGTTATTTTTGTTAGGCGATGGAGAGCCTGAGAGGTTCGTATTGTCGGTTGGGATTATGGAGCTGGATTGGGTAATGCAATGGGCGTGGAGGATGAGGTGATGGTAATGATCTTCGTTGGGGCGGGTGAGAGGGCTGCTGGAAGAGGGAAATGGGCAAGTGAGATTGATTCCAGTGTCTTGTTTGTTTCTGGGTGTTTTGTGTTGATTATTCGAGATTGGGTTGTTAGGATGAGGGATTTACTGCTACTGGGTGTGTTTCATTGACGCGGGATGGCGTTTACGTGGTTATGCAAGGCATTGCGAAAGTAAAATGAAACTATTAATGTCAATTCGATGGAACTATCCAGTCAAGTGGAAAACATTTCCCATGAATATACTTTCTGTCTTTGGATATTCTGGTTCGACTCGGTTGGTTCCTATTCAGCCCCAACACTCAATCTCAATCCGTACAAACACACCCATTATCAACCCTCTACACAGTAAAACCCAGTAAGCAACATCAAACAGACCCTGCATCAGGGTCCAACCCTCCATCCCCATCCCAAACGAAGAACACCTCAGATTCAAATCCAATGCCGCTCGAACCCACACTATGTAGCCAGCTGGACAGTTCACGCCTGAGTCAGATGGCAGGGGTGCTTGGTTCGATCTTCATGTTTTCCTTCCATTGTCGTAGCTACAAGGCTGGGCCGAGACGATCTAGAATGAGGGATCAGCCGAGGTTTACACGGCACGGTGCCGATTTCCGATTCTTGGGTTCCAGAGTTCGAGGTGATGGGTAGTATGGCATGTAGGATACGGTTTTAATTTGGATAATGTAAGATAAATGTAGCTGTAAATGGAAATGCGAGGTAGATATATTGAAAAGATCACTATATGTTGGAATATATTCTGATCATCGCTGTCAGCTAAAACGCCTACAATGCCAAGTGGAGTTTGGGTCCGACTATTCGGAATTATTTCTAGTACCTTACATAGTAATATATCTTCATTTAAATATTCAATAAATATATCATTATGATAGGTCTTGTATCACTGTGTGGCAGAAGCTTGTTGGATATCCACGTGTTACGTGGCTGCTTTGAAGTTAGGGGATTTATAGCCACAGATAGAGATATATACTGGTCCATTCTAACAATGGAAATAACAAATGTACAATTATACATCAATAATATATACATCTAATATATCTATAATAAATATCAGAAAGTTAAGCAGCAAACTGCCGATAAGCCTGCACAATAGCCTCCCACCCCCCCGGATGATTCGTCTCATTCGGATCACTCTTCCCATCCAGCACCATCACATCCGTCTTGCGCGTGCTAATCGAATACAAAACCAGGTTCTCCGGCTCATTCGCCACCCGCATCATATTACTCTGACAGCTCCCGTCACACTGGTTTTTGTAATCGCCGTTCCACTCGCCGTCGAAGAACGCCCACGCGGCGGAGTTGTAAAGCAATATATCCTTTCCGCCATCGACATTTGTAGCCAGCGACGTGCGACACTTTTGGTCGTCGGCGCTGCACCAGGAAAAGTCGGGGTCTCCGTACGCGGACTCGGCGGTCCAGGGGGCGGGGGCGGTTTCGTACGCGCCGTTGCCTTGCATGTAGGGTGATTCGGTTTGGAGGAGACCTGCGTAGACGTTTGCTGCGTTGTGGAAGTTGTAGTTGTATAGCCAGTGGTGTTCGGAGCCGGTGCCCGTGAGCCAGGTTGGCTTGGTGGATTCGACGAGGATGCCGCGGCCGGTGGAGATGATGGTTGTAGGGCCGCCGTCGAGGTTATGGTCTGCTGTCCAGCCCCAGAAGTTTTCGAGATAGGCGGAGGAAGACCTGGTCAGGTGCAGGACCATGAAGGCCGCCATGCAGGACTTGGTGTCTTGGGCTGTGCAGTCGGTTGAGACGCTGGTGTCTGCTGTGCCGCCGACGGTGACGATGGTGTTCCACAGCCCGACGTCGCCGGGGTTGGAGCCGGCGATGTTGAGCTCGACGATGGTTGCCCCGGGCAGGATTTCAGAGACGGTGAAGCGCATGTCTTGGATTTCAGCGACGCCGACGTCGTCTGCGTGGCCGATTTGCACGACGGGTTTGGGGTTGCTGGCGTCTTTGAAGGCGTCGCCGGCGCCGGAGATGACGGCCCAGGCTTCGCCTACGATGCGAGAACCCTTGGGGATGACGAGGGTGTCTTTGACGATGTAGACGCCGTAGGGGAAGTAGGTGATTTTGCAGTTGGCGGCGTTGTCGGCGAGGATGGCGTTGAGCGAAGCACTGTCGTCTGTTGAGCCATCGCCTTTGACGGTGTGACCGGAGACAGACTTGACGTTGACGATCTGGTCGCTGGCGTATTCGGCGTAGGTGGGCTGGGCCTTGGTGAAGTATTTGCCGTTGGAGAGGAGGGCTTCCGGACGAGACGTGGTGAAGTCGGTGCCTTTCTCGTATTGGCCAGGGGTGACATTGCCCCAGACCCAAGTGTCGACTTTGTCCGTGCTGGGCAGACGGACGTTGTTGTTGCTGTCGACGACAATGTCATTCTTCGTATCGTGGACGAGGTTCTGGATCAGCAGCTGGCTGTTCCGACTGCCCGAGTCATTCGACGAGTCGTGGAACCGGACAACAGTGCCTGAATTGGTGGACGTCGAGTCGAGAAGCACCAGACTGCCCAGTCCGTTGCCGGTCATGTCGATGCCAACGCCGCAAGTGTCGAAGACGGCGCCTTGCAGCAGAGCAGTATGGCCGCCAGCAGCCTCAAAGGCCGTCGTGCAGTCCTTGAAGGAGATGTTCTTGAAGTTGACCTGCTGGTTGGAGTTTTTGATACCCACTGCACCACCGGTGATGCTCACATCCGTCACGGCAATGGTCGAACCAGAGTCGATATCGATTCCCGTATGTCCCGTCGACGAAGTGGGCATCTTGATCTGGATATTGGTCAGGCCAGCACCCTGCGCAACGCCCCATTGCAGCGCAGCAATCTTAGCATCACCACCGAGAGCAGTCGTATCGAGGATAACATTCTTCACCAGCGTCATGAAACTCGTCTCCGGCTGTCCGTTGTTCTCATCGAATCCCTTGACGAGATATTCCCCATTGAAGCTCGACGACGCCTTAATCGTAGGCGGATTGATCGGATCGCCGACGATGATGGTGCCCACGCGCAGTTCCAACGTGCTGCCCAGCTGATACGTCCCAGCAGGAAGATAGACCTCGGCCGGGAACCGCGTGACGCCCTGATTGACACGGCTGCCTCCGTTGCCATCGTCGTTGATGGCGTTCTGGAGGTTCTGAGTCTGATCGCCTGATCCGTCGTTGGAGACGGAGTAATCGAGCACGTTTCGCCAGACGGGATAGTTGTCGTTGCCGTTGGTATTGGGGGCGTATCCACGGGCGTTGCCTTTGTGGTCTTGATCGGCCAGCCAGTAGGACGATGGAGAGCTCTTTGCAGGGCCGGTGCAGGATCTATCTATATTAGCCAAGTCAATATAGATGGTGAAGTACATACACAGAGGTGGAAGAGGATGAAGTAGAAATGGCCGCCGCCGAAGCAGAGGCCACTACGCTGGCCAGCGCAGCGAAAGAGAAAAAGTCACGCATTGCAATATACAAGATGAAGAATGACTGATACGATAGTCAGACCAGCCGGATGGTCGAATATATAGCCATCGTCAGATTAGACCATTTAGTTCCATAATAAGATGAAGAAGAGGAGTTTCCCAAAAGAAACAAGACCATGGGGCTGAAGAGACAGGATTACCCGATTAGGGAACTGGTATAGCACACTGGCAGATCATTGGCCCATTTACAGGCTAGACAGAAGCAGTCATCCAGTGCGAGGCAGTCTTATTTCTGACTGTTTGTTCTTGTTTATGAAGAACAGCAGAATCATCTCTGATTGGCTGGGATGGTCAGGGGCACAGCCTTCAGACCCACTATTATTCTGCAGCTAAACTAGAAGGGGAGTGATCGACATGTATACTATTTCTGATTGGCTCATCCTTCGCACGGTAATTCTACTTTGGGAATATCGATCGATTCATGGAATCTGGGCGATTCTTTTCATATTCTCATCTCTATTCATTCGCTTATTCGAGATGATACTAGCTGCATAGCATGAGGATTATCCGGATCTGACTGATCTCGGCGTCCCATTTGCGAAATAGAGCCAGATAGCTGTGAATGACGGCTGCATATTCACGTTAATAATAGACAACGATAGATCCATCCACGTCAGTCTAGATGAGTATGATCAAGAATACATTACTAACATCAGTCTCATCATCAGATAATCTATCTACAGCTCGACTCGGCCAACAAAGCCAACTGCTCCATCGTCGCCCTCCCAAAAAGCTGCTGCACACTCAACACGATATTCCGCCCCCGACAGCGTCCCACAAACGCCATCGCCCCGATCGAATCACCCCCAATCGACAAGAAACTATCATTCAGTCCAATCTGCTCGAGCGGGATCCTGAGCACCTCCCCGGCAATGGCTTGCAGTTGCTTTTGCATTTCCGTCTCGGGCATGCGCTTCTCCGCACGCGTCGCGAGATAGGGATCGAGATCGGCGCGGTCGAGGCTTTTCGCGATCGCCTGGAGGGCCTTGCGGTCGACTTTGCCGGATTTGGATAAGGGGATGCGGGTGATGGGGAGGATGATGGAGGGGATCATGTAGGTGGGGACCATGTCTCGTAGTCGGTCTTGGATGCGTTGGGTGAGAGTTTGGAAAGAGGCGGATGGGGGGAGGAGGGCGATTTTGTCTTCTGGTTTGTGAAGAAGCGCTGGTTCGGCGGTGGCGACCTCGACGAATATCATCAACGCCGACTGCAGGCTGTTGTTCGTCGCGAATCGAATCACTTCGCCGGCGACACCGCGGCAGTAGCTGGGAGCTTCGAGTTCAAATGCCTGCAGGGCGTGGTGTTCCACCTCGCCCAGTTCAATCCGCTGCCCTCGTACCTTGACCTGCATGTCCTTGCGGCCGATGTATTGCAGCGACCCGTCCGGATGTTGCTGGACCAGATCGCCGGTTTTATACGCTCGGACGTGCGTCTTGCCTCGAAAGTCTCGCAACCAAGGCAGCTCCTCCACGAAGGCGGCGGCGGTTTTGTCCGGGTTATTCAAATACCCCACGCCCACGATGGGACCCTCGATGACCAACTCGCCTATGGCTCCGATGGGGAGGAGGCGGTTGTGGTCGATGGGGTCGGTGACCCAGCACACGCACCCGGTGGGATACCCGATGTTATTGGGGTCGGTGGCGGCGCCGATCGAGGCCTGCAGGGTAGCTGTGTAGGCACACTCGGCGGGACCGTACGAGTTGACGAGTTGCAGTTTGTCGTGCCATCTGTCCACGTCCCGGCGGACCATGCCCTCGCCGCTGAGGTTGAGGGTCTGAACGGAGGATAGATCGTGCGTGTCCAAAATCCGAGAGACAGAGGGCGTCAGTTCGAGCGAGGTGGGCTGGTATTGCTGAATGGCGGCGGCGAGGCTATTCCGGACTTCGTCCTTGGATGGGATGCAGACGCAGGCTCCGTGCATGAGGGGCGTTAGATGGTCGGCGACACTCACGTCGAATGCATACGACGCGAACTGGAAATGGCGCGTCGATGCGGTCATCCGAGTCCTCTCGCCTAGGTCTTTGGCCATCGTGCAGTAGGCGGAGTGGGAGTTGATCGCGCCTTTTGGCTGACCCGTTGATCCGCTGGTGAAGATACAGTATAGGGGGTCTTCTGGCCGACAGACGGGGAGCACCGGCGGGGGTGACGCCGCCCAGGTCTTCAGATGCGGCATGGACACGGTGAGCGTGTGCGGCAGGAGCTCAGAGGCGAGACTGGCGCATTCGTCCGAGGCGACAACGAGTGGTGCCCCGATCTGCTGGCAGAGGGATTGCAGGCGCGCGGTGGGCTGCGAGGAATCAAGAGGGACGAAGACCCCCGCCGCTCGCATGACGGCCAGCATCGCCACGGGGGTGTACTTGGCCTTTTCAAACAGGAGGGGGACGAACGCCCCCGGGCGAACGCCATGCGCGATGAGATGGCCAGCCATGCCCAGGGAGAGGTCGTCCAGTTCGTGGAATGAGAGCTGGCCGTCCCACGCGTCGACGGCGAGGGCATCGGGTGTCGACTGGCTATGCGATAGAATCACATCCTGGGCGCAAGCGTCCATGGGCTCGGGCAGATGGCCATTCCATTCTCGCAATTGCCCCATGCCCTGGGGGCTGATGGCTCTCAAGTCACCGCTGAATTCACAGCCGTCCAGAATGCGACTGGTAACATGGCCGAACTGACACATGATACTCTGCATGGCCGCCGGAGTGACGACTTTCGGATCAAACGCAGCGTGGAAGGCGATAGTATCCGGAGTCGGATGGCAAACGATATTGATCGCATACGAGTTATCTGCCGCGCTGGTCGAGTCGCGATCCATCACGTCCTCGAGGATACTCGACAGGTCCGGTCTCTCGCTCTTTGATGGCTGCACGACCAGCAGACTCTGGAACTGACACGCCAACGCGGTCTCGGGGCTGAGTGTTCGAATCTTATGCAGCCCCGTCTGTTGAACGTCCACCAGTCGGCTTCCCTTCGTCTGGATGGATTCCAAGGCGTCCTGTGTCGTCTGCTCGGGGTTTGTCTGCACTCTGAACGGGACCGTGGCAATCGTAGGGCCAGTCATCTGCGCGATATTGGACACGGGGGCGTCTCGTCCAAACCCGGTTACGCCAAACACCACGTCGTCGGAGTCTGTGTAGGTGGAAATCACTGTGGCCCAGGCAAGACGCAGGACCGTCGAGATGGTATACTGCGAGGCCGACTGCGGGATGTCGACGCAGTGATCCACACGCTCCGTGACGGATGGAAAGTAGTTGTCGGATGGCAGCGGAGGGAACGGCGAACAGGAAAGACCGTGGAATTCTTGGGTCCAGAAATCCGCGATGGCCTTGGAGTCGGATCGCGAGATGAATGCGATGAATGGAGAGAACGGTCGAGGGGAGAGCGGCTGTCCGTTATAGGCAGCTTCGAGATCTCGAAACAGGAGAGACAGCGTGAAGCCATCGTAGAGGGCATGATGCAGAGTGGCAGCGAAATAGACAGAGCCTTCCTCACGAATGATGGCAAACTGGGCCAATGGTCGACCCGGGGAGACTTCTCGCTGTCTCTGGCCGGCCAGGTACTCCTCCAAGCACGATGCCTCGACCCAGTCCACCTCCGCAGGGGACATGACCACTTGCAGCATTTCATCGGACCCGGACTGAATGATTCTCGTTCGCAGGATGGGGTTGTGATCCACGACCGTTTGCCATGCTGCCATCAGGCGCTGGACTTGATCTGCTTCGCGCAACCGCCAAGCGTACTGTCCAACATAGAGCCCTTGGGCCCTCATCGTCAAACTGAGCAGGCCAGTCTGAAGGGCGGTGCAAGGGTAGATGTCCTCGATCTCGCTGCTATCGACACTGCAATCCTGCTCCGCTTGGGAGCGCACAGCCTCGATGTCGTCGCCGGCGGGAATGAGAGAAAACCGCTGATAGTGCTGGACGGCGTGATCGTCTTTCTGCAGATTCTCTGCCAGCATTGACAACGTGGGACGATTAAACACTTCGGCAAACGTGACGTTGAACCCACGGTCATGCATCCGAGACACCACCTTCATTGCCGCGAGTGAATCACCTCCCAACGCGAAGAAATTATCGTGTCGTCCGATGTCCGCGGGCGAGACGCGCAGACATTCCGCCCACACGGCCTGGACGAGGGCTTCATTCTGCGTAGCTGGCTCAGTGGTGTCCCGACGAGGCCCAATCAACGCATCCATATGCTCTCGAGAGTGGCCCTGCACCATCTGCTGCAGGCGACGTCGATCCACCTTGCCTGATTTGTTCCTCGGAATGTGCGAAATCTGCAAGAAGACCGGAGGCATCATGTACCGCGGAATCGTATCATGAAGCCGCGAACGAAGCGTCTCCACGCTGCAAATAAACTCATCATCCGCAGGAATCAAGACCGCATCTTCTATGCCAGCCGCTCTGGGTGCGACGAAAGCAACCAGCATCTTGCTGTTCGGCTCCTCGGTGGGCTGGACAGCCTCCACGACGACATCTTTCGTGCTCGACAACACCCCTCTCACATGCGCCTCGACTTCCTCGAGCTCGATTCGCTGTCCCCGGATCTTCACCTGGCGGTCCTTTCGACCAATGAACTGCAGCGAGCCGTCGGGATTGTGCCGGGCAAGGTCGCCAGAAAGGTAGAATCGATGCTGCTGTTCTTCGGGCGTCGCAGCGGGCAGCCAGGATGGTCGTGGGATGAACGCTGCTTGCGTCGCGTCGGGTCTCTTCAGATACCCACGCGCCACCGTTGGGCCCTGGATCAGCAGTTCTCCCACGGCACCGATCGGCAAGGGTTGGTTGGGATTGGAAGGATTCACAATCCACAAGGCGCCGGGGATGGCCTTGCCGACATCGCCAGTCTTCCATTGCCCGGCTTGGACCGCGACGTATGAAGCGATGGGGCCCCCTTCGGTCGGTCCATAGGCGTTGATGAGGTTGACATGCGAGGCCCAGCTATCCACCACGTCCTGGGTCAGCGGCTCGCCGATCAGCGAGATGGTTTGCACGCCCGGGAAATCCTTTGGTTCAAAGAGGCGCAGCACCGAGGGAGTAAACGAACACATGGTCACCTGGGCCTTGGCAGTAAACCGTCGGAGGTCGTTCATCATCGTATCTTGAGAGGGAAGGCAAAGACAACCGCCGTGGACCAGGGTGGTCAATGATTCCACCATACTCATCGACCATAGGTACGAGGCGAATTGCAAGAGCCTCGTCTCTTTCGTGATGTTCGTGCACCGACCGTACACTTGCACGCCCGTGTATATGCCATTATGCTGGGCGAGGATCCCCTTCGGACGACCTGTCGAGCCGGACGTGTAGTAGATGAATGCAATATCAGAAGGCTTCACGGCAGCCGGCGGACAGGAGTTGACCGCCACCAACCCCGGGAATGTCTCGGGGGATACGACAATCTTTTCCGCCGCGCTGTGAAAGTCGAGGTGTGCTGCCGACGCGGACAGGAGAATCAGCAACGGCGGGTTTTCTTGCATGATGCCGCGAACCCGTTGAATCGCCGTCCCCGGGTCGATCATGACGCAGCTTCCCCCCGCCATGAGCACGGCCAAGATGGATATGATGGCCAGAGGCGACTTGTCCATGCAGATGGGAACGGGCATTTCAGAGCCAATGCCTCGACTCCGCAGGTACTGGCACAGTTGGGACGACCGGTCCCATAACTCTCGATAGGTCAGTTGGCCATCCCAGCTATACACCGCTGGACGGTCTGGCTGTCGGCAGCACACCTCGTAGATGGCATCATGAATGGTGGTATCAAAGGGGCCTACCAGTGAGTCGTTCCATTGCAGCAGTTGATCGTAATCTGAGGAACTCACCACCGGGAGAGCAGAAACCGGTTGCTCCAAATGCGTGGCCTTCTCCAGAAGCACTCTGCTGAAGCTTCCCGCGACACTGCGGGCCATCCTAGCGGGGACTTTGGGCGCTCTGTACATGAGACACACGTCCACCCCGCTGCGGTCCACCGAGACGTGCAAGATCAGATCGAACTAGTACCATGGTGAGGATTTCCCCGGTTCCTATTTGAGATGTAAGCTCACCTTCATCTGCCATTTCGTCTCAAGTTGGGGCAAAATCTCCCCAAACGCCCTATGCGACGTGACCAAGGTGTTGAAGAGTGGACACTCATTGCTTCCCAATCCATATACCTCCCCAAATGGACCGTCCAGCCGATTGCAAACACTGCGCGCCAATCGCTCTTGAAGCGCACGCAGAGCATCTCGCACAACCGGCCGCTCCGCAAGATCAACCCGGGAAACAAGCAGATCCATATCCTCCGTCACAAATCCAAAGCAAACATCCTCATTCCCCGTGTAGCATTTCAGAACAATGGCCCAGGCCAGCTGCACCGCAGCGACAGGGGCGATATTCTCTCGCTCGCAGAACGCAACGAATTCCAACCCCCGGTCCAATCGCACCTTGATGCTTTTCATAGGACTGTCGTCGTCCAGCCCATCGCTAGAGTGTGTGGGGAACAAGCACTGCTCCACTCCGTCGAGGTAATCCTGCCAGTACGCCATTGTTGTTTTCTGCCCTTTGACTAGGCCGTTCGTGTTGACTGCATCAAGGTGATTGATTCCGTTCATTTGGCTGGTCTGCAGGGATGACGCCCTTTGGCGAGGAGCCATAGTGATTTCCATGGCCTCTGAAGCTGTATAACATAAGCAATCAACGCAAGAAAAGAATAAGGTGATTGCGATAAGATAAAAAGTTTATAAGAATCAGATAAAAAGTCAAATAAGACGACAATATATACCAAAACGAGGGCGCGCTATTTCCACATCCAGCCTTGCCTCGAAAGCATGGAATACCCCTAGCAGCCCAAATCACAATACCTGGATCGAAACCAGAATCTCAGCCTGCTGCTTCCATTCCATATGGCGATTATTGGCCGATGATTGGCTCAGTTATGGACCAGGCTGAGATGTCGCCATCCGCCCCTCGCAGATCATTGGCCAGAAGTTCAGCCTCAGCCAAGCCATCCGCCAGGAAAAGCTAAAGGCCAACTTTAACGGGAAACCCGTAGATGGTGTAACCACAGAGACAGGGATCAGGGTTCAGTGGCGTAGCTGGGGTGGATCAAGGTTCACCACTCCGCATATAGTTATGCGGCGGATGATATAATACCGAAAGAGGAATACGAAGCTATTTTGAATAGAGCAACGATCAACTGAATCGCTAAAGTAGGAAAGGTCTCCTCTCAATGAGCTGAGAAAGCAGGCCGTCTTTATGCACAAAATAAGCTATTCAACTAGCTAGATCCGGTAAAAAATATGCGTAGATCAGAGAATGGCACCGTAGGATTCAAACGAGGGGGTTTTGCTACAGAACCGGATGTGGAATAGCGGTATTCTACCATGACACATTCATTCTCTCGACCTTTCCATGGCCCTCGATGACGCCATTCAACCGATAATCAAGAGGATTAGTATTATCGTATGTGGATAGAGAAGTCCAATAGATGACAAAAGGGAATGGTAAGAAATTCCAGCTGAAGATTTGCACTGGCTATCTGTTTCATGGACACTGACAATCGTAGGCGATGACATACTTGAAGCATGAGAGCATTACCCTGTACAGTATACAAGTGTAATGGTAATTAACGGAGAATAAGGTATAGTAGTAACTCAATTAATACCCTAGTCATTCTTGGTATAGAGGTCAGAATATCATCATTTGGTAATCGGTGCCCATTAAAGAATGGTCCGTGGGTACCTAAAATATGAGCAATATACCTAATTCTCTGCATCACTGTCACGTTTTCTATATCATCTACACTTTCTCCTTGCTGATCTTTAAATGTCTCGTTGGGGTAAAGTCACTGATCCTCCCATGGCTCTGACAGCATCTCCATCCCCTCAGATGCATCCGACATATCCACTACAAAATTCTTCCTCCACTCCTACTACCAGGCCAAAGACAAAAACAGCGCATAAATTACGACGAGATTAAATAAGCTCTGGCGAAGGGCGGATCCAATATTCCGAGCCATTCGTAGAAGAGGGGGATACGGGGGCATTTATCTTTGGCCGATTTGGTGAGGTTATTGGGTTGTTGTTTGCGGGGCAAACCGTTAGTGGAAACTGTTTTTTCACGCCCATTTGAGGATGTTTTTGAGGATATCAAGGAGGTGACGGGGGCTGTGGAGGTTCGTGTCAAGGAAGAGGGATATCTGGTGATAGATATGATCAGAGATAATTAATGGATATATCGCTATGAATCAAGACAGTTTTCCAGGTCATTTATTGGATCAATTATAATAGACAGGCAATACAGCTTATATAGAGTAAGAGATTCTCAGACTGGTGGTGGAACACTTCCAGGCTTTAGGATTTATAGAAACCACTTCATATACAAACAGGGCTTGCTACAAGCCATGTCACGGTGTTGACAATAATAGTCTGTATAACACCATTTTCGATCGATACAACCATGCTAGTTGTTTTGGAACATGGAAAGAGGCTCTTATCATTGCTTTTGTGTATAACGAGCATCAGTCTTTCCTTATGCTCCTATGCCTACCCATCCATGCCTTCCACCCGTTTCTCTGACTCTTTGAAGCGCATTTCTTCACCTTTTGTGCTTGGTTCTTTGTCCCCGAGAAAGGAACGATTGATGAGCATAAGATACTGCTAGACTGGACTATAGTAATCCATTCATCTCAAAGACACGTGATCTACCATGGGTGGCAATCACTGCCTGTTCCTAACCAAAAGTCAATAACCCTAAAGCAGGCGGAATATCAAACTGGGTGAACCGTATGTCCTACAGTAGGCGTCAATCCTGGCTCTTATAAAGGCCCTTCTTCCTCTGTGAAGGCGATTCTATCTTTCTCTCCTTATCATCTACCTTCTTCTTGAATATCATTATATTCGCATCATCTACTCTATCATCTCCATTCACTATCATGTCTACCATCGTGCATCCCACCAACACCACCAAAGGAGCCGACCATCTGCTCGTCTACGCTCCGCCCCTCTCATCTTCTGACCCCATCGAATTCTCGGATATCTCTGAAGCAGATTTCTTCATGGACTCCCAGCTTCGCGCTGGTGGTCCCTATCTTGTTGGTCTCCCAGATATAACCACTCCTATCCATCCCACCCATCCTTGCTATGACATATATCTAAATAAGGAACTCCTCATGGATGGTGCCAAGGAATATCTTGATGATGCGAAGATCATGTATACAGAGATTAGCATACGTCAGCGCTGGTCTAAGATATACCCTGAGGCTATCCCCATTCCCACCATGGTGATCTATGCCAGACGGCAGAGTCGAAATGAGCAGTGGCGCGAGGTCGCCAGGGAGATCTATGCGTATTTTAAACGGCAAGGCTTTGAGGATCTCCGCGTTGATATTATAGATGAAGAGCTTCTCAAGCCCAAACATGGCGGTGCAATTACCAAGTCAGATGAGATCTTCAGTCAGCAGGATCAGATTGAAGAGGAGATATGGAATATCCTACCGAGTGAGAAGCTGAAAACTGTCTGGTGTGGTCGACGCGGACGAAAGGAGAATAATCCTCCATCCATAATAGTCGTTTTTAGTCTGTGGACAAGTGCGCTCTGGCAATACGACAAGTATATCGATGACATTCGGACCATTCTTATCTGCCATGATGTGACGGATACGGCAATTCAGTTCTTCAAGGGTGATATTGTCGGGGGGTGTGATTATGGAACGAGATTTTCTTATGGGTGCCATGTGCCTAAGAAACCTCCATGTGGATGTTAACTGGAGTAATTGACGTATCTATCCTGGTCTGCTTTGCTTGTGATTTGATGTACTTAGGCTCAATAAATTTGCTCTTTATTCTCAATCTGAATGGAAATCTCTGACAAGTATTCACGAAAACGGGCTGATAACCATCCAGGAATGAAATGACGCTGCAAAAACGCTTCGACAGTTTCAACTCCAAGGCAAACACCATCTGGGATATATATTTAACTTGGTATTCTTATTTCAAGAGTTCACAGCTGGTGGGCTGGGGGTCGTTGCATATTTTGGGATGTCCTTCAAGGTCAGGAGATGAGGTTGGAAGAAGATGGATACAGTGCTAGATAAGAGGGCTTATATAGATAGGGAGGAGGGAAAATTTTACATCTTTGTATAGATGGAGTATAAAGAGCAGCAAATATAATGAAGCCTAAGTACATCAGATATCACACAACAAAAGGTTATTCATAAAATAATCAGCCGTAACTATTTACATGAGCAATACATGAGAAAACAAATTCTCGAATCCTAAACCCATGATCCAAAAGAAAAAGTCGGTCCACGTGCCGGTCCCCTCCAAATCTCATCCTTGCGGAAAATGATCGCAGTATCTGTGATATCGAACCGTGCCAGTAAATCTCGAACATCGTCTATTTCCTTTTTATACTGTCTGAATAGATCCATATGGAGGAAGAACAGTATCGTGATAGTTGGAGGGTTATCCTCCTTCTCCTCCGCTCGCCCGCTTTTGGAAAACATCGTGGTGATATAATCATCACGGGGGATGATTTTGCTGAGCTCCTCATCCAAGGTGTCCTCGATTTGACAGACCTGATCTGACTGGTCATGCCAGGACCGAAGAGGTTTTCGAAGCTCTTCGTCTCTTATGTCAACACAGACATCTCCGAAACCGTTTCGTTGGAAATATGCGTAGATCTCTCTGGCTGTCTCACGCCACTGCTCATCTTGGCTCTGTCTTCTCGCATAGATGATCATGGTTGGCACTGGGATAGCTTCAGGCCAGTACTCTGACCACTGTTGACATATTATAAACTGTGTGTGCATGATGCCAGCGTCGTTGAGATATTCTTTTGCTCCCTCAATGAGGAGGTCCTTATTAAGATGTATGCCGTAAGAGGGATGTGTTGGATGAATCGTAGTGGATATCGTTGGAATAGCACAGAGATAGGGACCACCGGCGCGGAGCTGGGAGTCCATGAAAAGATCTGTTTGAGAGATGTCGGATGTATCAATCGGAGCGGGGGATGAGAGTGGTGGAGAGTAGATGAGCTGGTGATGGGCACCATTGGTGGTATTGGTGGGATGCGACATGTTGATATAGATGGAGATAATAGAGCAGATAACGTCGTTATAGGGAGTGATAGATTATATGAATATAATAATATCCAAGAAAGTGGAAGGGAGGAGAGAAAAGACAGCTTATATAGCAGCCAGGATCGATTCCTGTTTGAACATTTTTATGCTTCGTCAGGCATCTGATACCCTGCTTGCTTGCCTGCCTAGTGAATATTGATGCTTTGGTTAAGAACAGGCAGTGATGCCATCAGGGTAAATCACGTGTCCTTCAGACTGTATGGATTTCGGTTCAATATGGACTGACCATTGAAATGGCTAGTATAGACTGCTGATGTAGAGATGACCAGGGTTCTCGTTCAGTCTAGCGGTAATCTCTGCTCAACAATTGCTCGTTTGGTCAGGAATAAAGAGCTAGACATACAAGGAGAAACATGCTTCAAAGAATCAAACAAACTGGATGCCACTTTACAGTCCTTGGACTGACTGTGCTTTACGCCTTAGGCAGTAATTATAGAATTGCTACAATGTATCAGAGCACGTGCTCTCTCCTCCAGCATCTTTGTTTACCTCCTCCTCTCTTCCTCTCTTCTCTCTTTCCTCTCCCACCTCCATCCAGTTCACCACAAGACGTCAGTCCAGATACTCGTGAGCTCGTTTCAGATATTCCGCCTTCGCAATGAGTGGAACTGGCAATACAAGCAAGAGGCGAGGCGGGGAAGTGAGCAGACCGTTTCACATAATCCTTTCGAAAGACACGATGAGACTAACCATGCTAGATGGAAGAAACAAAACTAACCCTAAACCTATCAGCGGAGGAATTGGATGATTTATTGAGACTTGCCGGTACTATTCGCAGCAAGCTGAGCAACGCTACCATGGGTACATGGGAGGCCTATGATCTATTCCAGCAATACAAAGGTATGCATTTCAAAGTATTGTCTCGCCATTATGTTAAGCGGTCATTTCGTTTAGATCTCCAGGAATACAGAAAGATGGTCGCAGTCGCGTACGGTGTCCGGCTTGCTCGTAACTTTAGTCCAGACTCCAAGGCCGAAACAGCTCTTGCGACAGAGCATCAGAAAAGACTTTACTTGATGATCTGTGAGAAGAGGCATAGTGTAGGAGAGCTTTTACCCCCCATGGTATATAGAAGAACTGACATGACGTATCAAATAGTTGCCGTTCACACGACCACCAAGCCAGGCGATCAAGCGGGCATCTGCCTAGCCGACAGTTATCTGCAGCTGACGACCCCAATTATGGCGCAGATAGAATTGGTTTATCCTATGGCATACTCGTTCCTGGTGGGCTGAATACTGGTGGAAAATGGTCGATGGTCGTCTTGTCGCGATATGGACACCTTGATACTTGATGGAGAAATAAAAATAACACCAAGAATAATCTCATTACGGATGATACACAGTTTCTAAGTCATTGGTTTTAGGCGTAGACTGTATAAGGATTGAATATCGGAATATCGACCAAGTATTTGCACCCACGTCTTTGACTTCAACTCTTCCTCTTTTCCCCACGACAGCCAAAGCCCAATCACTCTCCAATCTCCATCTAACAAGAAACCTCACTGATGAAAATATAATCCTCTACCAGTTTATCCAAATATATACGGACTGACAGACAATATAGCTAGATCACAAAGGTCTCCATTTAAACCATGAAAGATAATTCCATCACAAATACATCGAGATACATTGAGATAGAACTCCTGACTGTATCCAAATCCTAAAGATAATATAACAGAACAGCCATCAGGGACCCGGTCCCCGCCATAGCTCGTTTTTGTAGAAACGAACCGCCGTGTCCGTAATACCAAACCGAGCAAGAATTGCTAGAATCTCATCTATTTCCTTGTCATATTCTCGGAAGACATCCGTAGCAAAACGAAACATGACCAGCAAGGTGGGAGGATTATCGTTCTTCTCTTCCGCTCGTCCTCTCATGCACAAAATACATGATACATTTCTGGTGAGTGGCACGCTGCTGACTTCTTCCAATATCTCCATCCACTTACTGAAAATCTGGTCGGATGGGGCAATCGCCCATGCCTGATGGGGCTTCAGAAGGTCCTCATCGAGGATCTCCACGCACATATCGCCAAAGTCCTCCTGCTGAAGAAATCCGTAAAATTTCCTAGCTGCCTCACGCCACTGTTCCTCTCGACTGCGTCTTTTGGCGACAATCAGCATGGTAAGTATTGACTGGGGCTCAGATCGAGACTGTGAAATCCGCTGTGTGATTTCAATGTCCGTGTGCATGATTCCAGCTTCGTTGAGGTATTCTCGAGCGCCATTGATGAGGGTGTTGACACTCTCTTGAATACGGGCGTATAGTGGATCTTGTGGGCCGATCTCCTCTGGACACTGCTGGGATTGCGCAGAGATAGGGACCGCCAGCCCGGAGTTGAGAGTCCAAAAAGAGGTCTGTCTTGGAGATATCTGAGGTTTCAACAGGGGCAGAGAATGAGAGAGGGGGGGAGTAGATGAGCTGATGATCGGCACCACAGGTTGTATCGGTAGGATACGGCATGTTGATAATGGATGGTGGATGCAGAGTAGCAGGGAAGTGATAGATAGGGGATGAAAGAAAAAGTGAGGTGGGAGGGATAGAGAGATGGAACTATTTTCCAAGACAAGAGACGGACTTGATATACTGACTGGTGCCTATGGAAGCCTATCTTAAAAACTCCAAATGCAGGCAGTGATTGCTACCACCCTCCATGTCGCCACAGCCAGATTCCTATCCACGGCTCTGAATTATTGTGTCGCATGCGACTGACAGTTGGGGTTGCCATATACCCAAGGGCTGGGGATAGAAGATAGATAAACATGGACTGAAAGATGGTATTTCTGAGCCATCAGAGTCTCTAACTTCAGTGTTGCCTAGGTATCTTCTGTATGGGAGTCTGCTGTGGGAGTTGATATGCGGATGACCTGCCAATGACGTCGAATCGACGAAGGGCATAACGCCTCAAAGTTTTGGTAACTACTGTTTTTGATACAGTAGATAGCTTCTGAAAACTAGGATGTGTCTATTGGCCTGATTCTACATGTGCTGATAGAAGCACAAGGCTGTTGTTCCAGATATGTGTGCACGTTGACGCTAAATAACCACATTAACACCAAAGGTATGCAAATAACGACTTCTATACCATTGGAACAACCAACTAACATCATAGATAACCCAATGTCTCTCGAAAGAGAAGACAGTGAATCTTCAGCCATAACCTACCGAAGCACCCCAGAGCAAGACACACAAAATGGCCACGAAACACAAGACCAAGACCCCAACGTCGGCACCGACACACCCCATCCATCTCCACAACGCGTTCGCTTTCAATCTGCCTCCGATATTCGATACAATGCGCCTCCCAGTGAAGATGCGGAAAATAAACATTCAGAACGAGAAACGGCGCAGCAGCAAGGCCAGCCGCACCGTCCGTCGGAGCCGTATTTGCACGAAGGTGCTGATATCGCGGATGCGCCGTTGAGGGAGCGTACACAGGTACAGGAGGAGGATCAAACTCACGAACAACAAGCGCAGGAGGCGCAGGAAGCAGTTGAGGCTACGGAGAAGGTTGTCAAGACGTCCAAGGCGAAATTCCAAGCAGCGGGGTATACGTTTGTGGGTAAGGCGCGGAGTTTAGCTGCTCGACTTGGACGGCCTGAAGCGGCGGGGGATGATTTCCATCCGGGGGTTTATCATCCTGAATGGGCGTCTGGTGGTCAGGTTCCGCTGGGCGATATGACCGACAACAAGCACAAGACGGACGAGGAGAAGCGAAAACACCAAGCTACGTCTGGGTCTGAGGCTCATCGGTTAGTTCGGGAGGTGACGCAAGACCAAACTAGTCATCGTCGTAGGGCTAGAGGGAAGCCTTATCCTCGACAAGGAACAGATGTCCGGGATGGGGGTGACCTAGGTATCGACTCGGGGCTGCGGTATCGTGCTGGTGGAGGAGGAATTCTGTCACAATTGATGAAATTGAATAATTCCCAACAACAGCACAGCGGGGCGTCATCTAGTCAGCCATCTACCCTTGGGACACCGAGTGGTAATGGAAGACAGGGAGAGAAACCGAGATGGTACAACAAAACACCAGATTCATCTCCCACGATACCATCGTTGAACGGAGGGGCTGGATTAAGCGGTGCAAGTACGCCAGTGTCAAGCGATATTCTGACTGCAGCCTCCAAGCGACGCAGCAAGCAGTCGAAGAATAATACCAGGCTGGAGGACGAGATCCGAGTGACAGTCCACATTGCAGAGATAATCGCCCGGCAGCGATATATCATGCAACTGTGCAAGGCGTTGATGAGATTCGGAGCACCAACACATCGACTGGAAGAGTATATGCAAATGACAGCCAAAGTCCTCGAAGTGGACAGTCAGTTTCTCTACCTTCCAGGCTGCATGATCATGTCTTTTGACGATGCCTCGACACGAACGACAGAATTCAAACTCGTCCGAACAGCACAGGGCGTCGATCTCGGCCGGTTGGCAAGCACACACAGCGTGTATAAAAACGTCGTACACGATGTCATTGGCGTCGAAGAAGCCATCCAGGAACTCGAAGACATCATGAAGCAAAAGCCACGATTCAACAAAATCATCATCGTCCTCACCTACGGACTCGCAACCGCAATGGTCGGTCCATTCGCCTTTGACGCCCGCCCAATCGACCTCCCCATCATCTTCATCAACGGCTGCTTCCTCGGCCTCCTCCAACACGTCCTCGCACCCCATTCCGTCCTCTACTCCAACGTCTTCGAAGTAACAGCCTCAGTCCTCACATCCTTCCTCGCCCGCGCATTCGGGAGCATCCCGCACGGCGTCATCGACGGCAAACGCAACTACCTCTTCTGCTTCTCCGCCATGGCCCAATCCTCCATCGCCCTCATCCTCCCCGGCTTCCTCGTCCTCTGCAGCAGCCTCGAGCTCCAATCCCACCAAATGATCGCCGGCTCCATCCGCATGGTCTACGCAATCATCTACGCCCTCTTCCTCGGCTACGGCATCACCGTCGGAACAACCATCTACGGCCTCATCGACCCCAACGCGTCCTCCGAAATCACCTGTCCCAGAACCGGGTCCTTCAAAAACCCCTACGTCGCGCGGTTCCCCTTCGTCGTCGCATACGCCTCCTGTCTCGCCGTCGTCAATCAGGGGAAATGGAAACAGGCACCCGCGATGGTCTTCATCGCGCTGGCCGGCTACGTGGCGAATTACTTCAGCACAAAACGGCTCGGCAGTAACTCGCAAGTCGCCAATACCGTCGGCGCGTTCACGATCGGCGTCATGGGGAATTTGTACAGTCGGATCTGGCACGGGCATGCGGCGACGGCGATCCTGCCTGCGATATTCGTGCTCGTCCCGTCTGGTCTTGCGGCGAGTGGATCGCTCATCTCGGGCGTTGAATCGGCGAATGAGATACGCACGAATGTGACGCAGCATGGGGGAGGGACGCAGCCCGGGGCAGGGCTGGCGCAGCGCAGTTCGGTGTTTAATTTGGGGTTTGGGATGATTCAGGTGGCGATTGGGATTACGGTGGGGTTGTTTTTGGCGGCGTTGGTTGTTTATCCGTATGGAAAGAGGAGGAGTGGGTTGTTTAGTTTTTAATCAGTCTTTAGATTCGTGTTATTTGGGTTATTTTGGTTGATTGATTATTGTAGTTCTATGTATGTATTATTATTTTGCACAGCAAATCGATGTATATCCATACATGATCGAGTGACCTGCACCACATCCAGCACCATAGGTGAATAAGATCATGGATCAATCCGAGGTTCCATATATTAAAGCGACTCCTTCCAAACCGCATATCCCACAACCTCCAGCAAATACCGCTCGCGGTACGCAAACAATTTCCTCCCCACGACTCTCAGAAACCGATTCGACCGGTCCAGCATCAGCCGCACATTATCCGGATGGCGGATTCGCAGGATATCCTCTGGCGAGAGAACGAGTTCCGCCTGGGACGCGAAGATGGTTTTGTAGATTTTCGTATCGCGCAGGATGAACTCGCAGTACGCGTCGAACATTTGGTGGTGCACGATGAATTGCACCACGGAGTCGAGCGAGTCGAGGTTGATTACCGTGCGTGGTAAGGGGTTATCGCTGGCGAGGGCTGTGTGGATGGATGAGACGCAGGCGAGGTCGTCCATGATGGGGAGGAGGGGGGTGGGCGAGGATGAAGCCGAGGAAGGGGAGGAGGTCGACACCATGGGTCTGTCGTAGCCGAGCTTGTGGCGCCAGAAGTAGTTGCACAGGATGAGGGAGATGATGCAGGGGATGAGCACGGTGTATCCCCACCACATAGTGGCAGTGACCATGGAGGCAGCACCAGCGACGAGGCCGTTGACTGCGTTGGCGACCGAGTGCCATTGGAAGCGGCGGAAGCGGGTGTGTAGACGTTTCTTCTGGGTGGCCGTGAGAGACTCGTTACGCTTGCAGACGGTGTCGTGGTGGTGGAATCTGACAACGAGATAGCTCGACCAGACGGCATTGACGAGCCCAAACAACGCAGCCATCGCATTGCCCACATATCCAGAAAGCAAATTACTCGCCTCAAACACCGTCGGATTCTCGCCCCAAATCGCCATCAACGTGCCCACACCAACAAGCAACGACCCCGTCCCCATCAGCGAATCCATCAACATCCGATCCACCACCTCCGTCCCAATCTCCCTCACCCCCACCCCGAGCCGCGAATGCAACAACCGCAACAAATCCGGATCATCAGTCCCATCCCGCAGTGCATGCAACATCCCCCGCTCCGCCCTCAACAGCTTAACATTCCGCCAACTCAGCCGGAAATCCTGCAGCGCAACAAACACCATACACAGCGCCACACTGCCCCCGATCGCCATCAGGATCACCGCAAACTGCGGCGGGGGTGTCTCATTCCATACATTTGCTGCGAAATCGCCCGCGTTGGCTAGCTCGAGATAGCCCACGCCCGCGAGGAGGGAGTTTTTGAACTGGTGCTGGTCGATGAGGCGGGGGTGACGACGGCCGCGGGAGCGGGCGAGGGTGACTTTTTCCGGGCCAGGGTGGTGGGTGACGGAGTCGTGGGAGGCGAGGTCGCTTTCTTCACGGGCGAGTTTGGGGATGGAGGGGAGTTCCATGTTTTGCCATGGATGGGAGGATAGAAAGAGGAAGGATAAGGGAGAGGAAAGGAGAGAAGGAAAAAGGAGAGGAGAGAAGAAAAAAGGATGATGACGAGGAGAAGAAAGAGGGACAAATGCGGGTTATATTGGGAATGTCGGTCTGAAGAGGGACGGGCGGTGATTGGCCCAGCAGGATTGGCAGGTCCATGGACAGGAGGGGTGGGGCGCTTGGCACGCCTTGTAGGGCTGAAAGTGATCTATACGCACTTGGTCGGGGTTGACAGAGACTATCAGTTGGAGAGGTGCGTTATTGGAGCTATCTGTCTGTTATTATTAGAAGCTAGAGGGATTCCGAGTTCCGGTTCCGAGTCGAGGCTTGTTTGGTGCCTATTGTGGATCGACAGGTCATCCAGGTGGGGGTGAAGATTCTACAGAGCACATCGAACACGCTACAGAGTAAAGATAGAGGGGGTTAACATATCAAAGTATTGGTCAGAATGTAAGCTGTAACAGTCTATATCACATCTAGTCAAGTGTTTTTCCCTTGACCTTCATCTTCTTCTCCGGGTCGGAACTCAACGCCCGGATCAGCTTGACGCCCGCGTCTGCCGTCTCCCACTCGTGCGAGCCCCAAAATTGCGCCTCCCGCTCGTTCGAGTACAGGATCTCGCTGTCTGACAACTCTTCCTTCTCGTCTGTCCACACGGCATCCGTGCCAGTACTGTAGACGTTCACCCGTTCGTTGAACCGGACACGCGGCCGCTTCACTCGCGTAGGCGAATCACAGACGCTGCCGTGCATGGAATCGTAGTAGGATTTGCGAAAGGCGTAGCGCTTGGCGGCTTCACGACGCAGGGTTCCAGAGGTCACCTTGCGGATACCGGTGCGGATGGCGAATTGGAGAGCCAGGTAGGCCTGTTCCGCGACAAGGATGGTGAAAAGGAGGGAAGAAAGTTTGACCTCACTCATTGGGCCGCGATACAGATGCACGATCGTTGCGGTGGACAAGGTTCCCAACCACGTGAGGAACTCCAATCCCTGCAACGACGGTCCGATCGAGTCTGCCCGGATGGGCGGGGGTCGCTGACATTCCAAGCTCAGCTTGAAAAAGTCACCACGTAGCTCCAGCCAGTTGTTGAGGAGGAAGCCCAGCGGGACGAGGGGCCACGCAATGCCAAAGAGAGCCAGGTATCCAAATTGCACGCACATCTCCAGGATGTCATCGTGCACATTATATTCATCCGCCTCGGCCTCGGTGCGGACACGTTCCAAAAAGGCGGATTCGTCGGGGGGGTCGATCAGGAGCAGATCTGTCACACGGGAGTGGCTCCGCTTGCGGTTTGCCGCGGAGCTCTCGAAGCGGTAGTTGCGCCACTTCTGCCAGAGGACCCGTTTCACGTAGGGCAGGACCAGCTCCTCACCGAATCCCAACACCTGTGCGGTGATTGACAGGTAAATCACCTCCTGCTGCAGGCGAGAGGGATCGACGTGAAAGTCGCCCACATCAATGGACGTTTTGATGCCCACCCAATGAAGAATGTTGAGGTAAGGGACGATCTTGGCGCCAAAAGGAACATAGACAAACGCCGTAAGGATCGTCGGAAGGAAGGAGGTGATGAAATTCATAACAAACGTCTTTTGCGTCTGGGCCAGATCGTACTGGTCTTGTGTGCGGTAGTTTTCGTAGTTGGTCAACCGAGTGGCCATGTTGGTAAGGAAAGCGGAAATAGCTGGTAAAGAGAGCGAAAAGATCACGGTCGGCAGGAACTCGAGGTATTCCTTGAACGGACCATTGTAGACTTCGGAAATAAACACCTCGAAGCCAAAGGTGACGACAATCAACGTGCCCAGTGCCAGACAGGCCACGGTCGCAAAGGGAATAAACAACAGCTGGCGGAGGAATTGCTTGCGGGCGGGAAACACCTTGTTCATCCGACCGGTGTCGGGGTCTCTGACCTCCTTGTCCCAGACATATTCGATCCGGTCGACTTTAAGGACTCCCACGCCCTTGACGTTCCACCGGAAACTGAGGTCCTCCTCGCGGACCTTCCAGTATTCGACAAACACAATACACCAGATGCAATTGACGATGGCGGAGGTGATGGAGTACGGCCCAAAGTAAAACCAACACAGGATTCCCCAGGCCGCAGGGAAGATCAGAAACCCAGAGTAGCAATGGATAAAGGCGAAATAGAAGGCGACCTTTTCTCCAAACAGCGCCCGGATGGCGTCCAAATCCTGATCCGTCAAGCGTGTGGTACGACTCCATTTCCGCAGCAGCTCTGCATTGGCCGCCTGGTTATGCAGCGGAAAGGCTGCCGAGACATTCTCCCACTTGCCATGGCCCGGGTGGATGCCAGCTCCTCCCAATTCTGGTTGCCAGCTGACGGCGTGATAGACCGATCGGAGTTCTTCGGCGGGGGTTTCAGACTCGGCGATTGTGTCGGGGCCTCCGGTGGGAAATTCGTGGATGATTCCGTACAACCAATCCTTTACTCTGCAAAATGATATCAGATGTCAATTACCGTAGAGGGTGAAGAGTGGAGCAGAGGAAATACCTGGACTTGTAGACCATGTTTCCCAGGTGGTCGCGGGGGACTTTGATGCAGATGAGCAGGGATGCCCCATATCCATGTCGGACTTGAGTGCGTAAACCGGCGGCTTCGAGATCGTGGATGAGCGAGCGGAACTCCTCAGTGGCCTGGGAGGAATCTGCCGGAGTCAATAAGATGCAACCGAGAGGGATCATCGCACACGTACCGACATCTTCAAACTCGTAATAGACAACCCAATCGACGCCAAAGTTGTCGTATTCCTCCTCGTCGGCCTTGGAACCTGCAAACAGAGCCATCTGGCTGCAGTGAATGAGCGGTGTGTCAAAATGGGTGACCTATACTGGTGTTGAAGCTGGAGAAAGAGATGGAAGAAGAATTAAAGGGAAAAAAGAGTGAGTGGAAGAAGCAAGAAAGATGGAGAAGAGAAAAGCGGCTGGACGAGCAGGGCGTGTTCTCGCTCCATTTCCCGTGTTATTCTTAGCAGCAGATCCTCTGGGGCGTATCCTGTATTTATTGGCGATCGGATCAGCTTAATATTATCTGGCAAGGGGTACTACCTGTACAACTTCACATTTTGCCATCGACTATTTTCAACTATTGCCTCTATTCTATTACTCCTATTGATGATGCACCTTGCATTATTTCTTCCAGAATCATCGTCTCTCAATCCACTTGCAACATCGCAATCTCCCAGCGCCAAGCCTCAGCCCTACAAGGCGTATGTCTATCATGTACATCCGTTGCATATCTACATATATTTGTAGAGTGTGGTAATAGTATCATATCTGTATATTCGATTATCTGTACTCTGCAGTCTGTACTGTGCATCTCCTCCTGCTCATGATTTCATTTAAAACTCGTTGCTCATTGTGGATAACCCCACCACCGCTTATCCGATCATGCGGTGAACCACATCATTCTGACTTGTTGAGCATCCTGCCAACAATAGAACACGGTCATCACTTACAATTCATATAGCACCGCAGGAATCTGACTCGAGAGAGCGACGCAATATCGAATGGCAGTGACTATTCCGACAACCACCAGGACGATCAGCAGTGGAGGGAAGATTATCGCAAAAACGGTTCCCAGTGCAACTTGGACGACACGACCTGCTTTGGACACGAGCGTTTTGCTTTGACCGTTAGATTATTGCTTTGGATTAGTTTATTCTGACTTACCCGAGCATTGTGGCAGAGGCATTTTCAATTTACAGTTGTTGCCTTCGGTCTGTACTATGCCGCTGTGCTATATATATTGTGGCAGAGCACCAGCATACGTATTGTACCACATCATGCTACCCCAGATTACCTGTCACTCGGAACGATCGGATCTTCTTCATCAATCAATATCTTCTTCATCTTCTTCATCTTTCTACAGAGTATTCTAGCCTATTCTCTATACTGTATCCTTCTTCAATTCTGCTGCCTGAATGCCAAGGCCAGCCTTACTTGGAATGAGCCGGAAATTGCATCATGAATGATTGGGTGGATCCTCCTCTTGGCTGGCACCAATCAGACCCTGCCAATTCCGCCCTACGGCTCCACTGCCCCACCCACCCAGCAGGCATCCAAATTCTCTGCGTTTCCTTTTCCCGTCATCCTCTTTTTCCCCCCCCCCTCCTCTTTTTTTTTGTTTTAATTCCTCTAATTCTCTCCAGTAAACAATAATCATCATGACTATCAGGGATCTTCAATTGAATTAAAATAGACACGATAATCGTTATTAAATCATAATTCTCCTTTTTCTGTTGCCAATACTCCGTACTCATGGCGCGGCGCATCACCCCCAGCCATGGCGTCGCTCTCGGCCTCAGTTTCGTCCTCTTTACGTTTATGTTCCTGCCCACTTTGGTCGTGCTCTTGGCGGTGATTGTCTTCTTTGCCGTGTATTATCCGCGGTTGCGGAAGCCGGTTAACTCGGATGTATGTCTCCTGGAATGTACAGTCGGGTTACTACGGTAGATGCTGATAATTATGATGCTTAGGACTGAAAACGATATGATCTGTATAATGTGTCGATAATGTGTACAATATGACTGCATTTAAATTAGTTTTTTCTTTCCGTAGTATTTATGATTGTATGGTCCGCCAATCAGACAGAAACCTTTTCTCAGCCCTACCACTCCGTAGGGCTGATCTCCGGCTCTCTTCTCCATCTTCTCCATTTCTTTTCTTCTTTCATAATCTTACACCTACTAACCTGCCAGTCTACAGTCTACGTAGATACGTACAGTCACTCTATCATGGGATGAATCAGGATTCCAGCCCAGATTCCTGAACAAATGAAGAATCTATCCCAAACCACCCAAAATGCCCTCCCGGTTCAGCTTCTTCTCCTCCAACACCCAGTCCCAGCCCCCCTTATGGGATAAATGGGACGATCTACCGGGGAACATCGACCGTCTCACCCAGGAGGCAAAGCGACCGGATACCCGCATCTGGTGGTTGGACATCCGCGACGCTACAGAGGAAGACGTCGATCTGGTCTCGCAGGCGCTGTCCATCCATCCCCTGACGGCAGAGGACATCGTCACCAACGAGACGCGCGAAAAGGTGGAGGTGTTTCGCCATTATTATCTGATTTCGTTTCAGACGTTGATCGCGCCCAAGGACGGGCGGGTTGAGTCGCCGTCTATCTTTTCCTCAACGCCGTCGTCGGCGGGGTTCTACATTCTTGTCTTTCGGAATGGGACGGTCACTTTTTCGCCGAGCGGGTGTGGCCATGTTGCGAGGGTGAGGGATCGTATTCGTCGTCTGCATGATCCCGGTTTGTTGTCGAGTGATTGGATTTGTTATGCGTTGATGTTCGTTTGCACTTCTCCCCCTGTCTGTGTCCATACTAATCCAGATAGTGACGATATTGTCGACAGCTTCGCGCCGTACATGCAAGCCGTCGAGCACGAGTCAGAAGCCATCGAAGACCAAGTCTTCATCGTGCGCGTCGACGACGTCAAATCACTCATTCCGCGCGTCGACAACCTCCGCAAGAAAATCACCCATCTCATCCGCGGCCTCAATGGCAAAGTCGATGTGCTCAAAGGCTTTGTCAAACGCTGCCAAGCGCGTGGCAAACACTCCTTTTCCCCAGACACCAACCTCGTCATGTATCTCGGCGACGTGCAGGATCACCTGGTCACCATCATGTCGAACCTGACGCATTTCGACGAGATCGTTGGGCGGTCGCAGGCGAACTGTCTCGCGCAGCTGAGCGCGACGAACCTCCGGCTCAGCTTCACCATTACGTCCGTGTTGAGCAAGGTGACGATTCTGGCGACGATCTTCGTGCCGATGCATATGGTGACGGGGCTTTTTGGGATGAATGTTGAGGTGCCCGGGCAGGAGGCGCATGGGCTAGGCTGGTTTTTTGGGATTGTGGGTGCGTTTGTTGCGTTCATGGCGATTGCGTGCGTCGCGGCGTCGAGATATAAACTGTTGTAGATGGATGAATGGTTTCATTGACGGGTGGATGCAGTGAAGTTATTCCTTCGTCACTGTATATTTTCATTACGGTTGCCTGTTTATATTCATAGCCATAGTCATAGCCATACATATTCACTCTGCAGCCTATTATATATATTCTTCTCTCTTCTCTTCTCTTCTTCTTCCGTATATCACCCTTCTTATATTTATATATACACTATCTTTCCAGAATAATGTCTTCCTCTCAGTCCTTCAGTCTGATCTATCCAAGCACTCGATTACATGGCAATTATGCATCATCCTGGATCATCAAAGGTAAATCCCTTCCATCCCTTCTGGACTATACTAACACCATCAGGCCACGCAGATTACAGGGCCTCGTTCATCGTTTTCGTTCAATGGCCATGTGCCTCGTTGGTCGAAATGTTCCTAGATCGTCTGATCGCCTCGTACATCGGTGATTCAACCCCCATCCCCATCCCCATCCCCATCCACCGCGAACCAAAGCTAACAATCCATCCACACAGGCAAGATAGATGCCCGACCACGTGGATATCTCCTCGTTTATAAACTTTGGCCACCTTTTTTCACCTGCCACGTTGAACGTCAGAATCGCCGATTTTCATGACGGAAGGAAAAGCGTTCCCATCACGCGACCGAATGGAGGCTACGATGATGATGAATATCCGACAGACAATTCGCCCGCTACATGGATGATATCCTTGCATGCATGGGTTGAGGTTGCGATGTTGTTCTGCCTATCTTGCTTTACACTCATGACCTACTTGGGAACAGACAATATCGATGTGGTCCATGGCACTTGTTTTGCATCTAATGGTGTCTGTTCGCCAGTGATGTGAAGGTTTTATTATCCATTACGCCACTTTCCAACAAAAGCCTGGGCGGTTTGATTCTGATTTCTGGAAAATGTGAGTCATTTTTCTATGGAGGCATCGAACGTGGCTAACAAGAAGCAGATCAATAAGGAGTTGAAACGATGGATGGTTATATATATATGTTCGTCTATAACTGACCCTGGCGGAATAGGGAAAACTGTGTGTCTTTCGTCGTCCAAATGAAGAATCGAGACTGCTCGGAGGAAGGCTAGTAATCAACGTATGTTGCATTTCCAGAACGTCTCATGGATACATACTGATATACGCTTCAGCACTACCAAGACATTCTATTTGGTACGACGTACCATGATGGACCGATATTTCAAACCAGCACTCCTAAAGCCATATATATATTGACCATCGCGACGCCTGAAATCCGACAGGGCAGTCTTCCAATCTGGATACTATTCCCTGGGGACCTTTACATTGGCTTGCATATATATTACAATCCACAGTCCAATCAAGGTCTCGCCTTGACATCCGGTGTAAGTTAGGTTGATTCTGATCTTTTGATGGTTCTGACTGTCTAGTCGGTACATCAATGTGGTGGCAAGATGCCCAAGCATTTACCTTGGCCAAAATGGCGAAACAAGGCCTGTGTGTTTCTGTTCGCAGGGTATGTTCCATCTGATTATGCTTTAACAGAGCTGACAAGTATCAGGATGGCGATCAATCCTATCATTCCTATATTTCGTGTTTCTGATGACACAAACTGCATTTGACTGCCCGGCGTGGTTCAACAAACCCCAAGCCGGCTTTCCAACGGTTCAAACAACGAAGACTGGAAATGAGATACATTGAACTACACTCGGCGTCAATGAGCGGTTTATGGAGCAAACTGAAGGTGTTGTTGGCCCTTTTACGTTTGACCAAGCCATGGTGATAATAACCATGTACGAAGCAGTTGTTCTTCATCCTTGCTAAGCAGGGTGTGTTACCGCTTGATGCACATGCTGAAGCCACAGTGCGGGCACAACATTGCTGGCTTACAGGTCTTGCTTCCACATCCGATACTGGCCGGGGAGTTTATCCCGGTTCAGAATGAATATCAATGGACGAAATGTGATCTCTCCACTACTGATGGTGGAAGACTTGAGGTCGAAAAGACTTTTGTTGACGGACCGAGTGTCCCAAGCATCCATCGTTAATATATGGTAAGAGCACATGAACTGATTTAGACAACCAACTAACATCCGAAAGACACAAAATACACGCGCGCCTACAAGCGAATCCCACCAATGTTGCAGAAGCCAGCAGATTGCCTCCTTTACGCTGGACAGATCTTAATGTCATTACGACGCATGCACCGACTTCCACCAAAGCCAGATGTCACAATCAGATGTGAAGCCTTTCAATTGTGGTACATGGCATCACTCGACTCTGTCAGATCTCGCGCACTGGTCGTCATTCCAAACACCAATTGCACGACATTTGGTACAGAGCATCGATTCTGACAAGCTCCTCAACATGCAAGATGCAAGATGCAGCGTCTCAGATCAGAAAGCACCCTTGATACTATTTATTCTCTTGCCAGACACCTCATACTACCAATATAAGCAATCAACTGTCTCTCCATCAGAGGATTACGTTAATACGTTCTGAAAATCCCCGCGCATTGTCGAATCGAAGCACAGGCAACAACTTATTTCGAATCCCACATCGCCAGATTGTGGGCTTTGGGGAGTAAAGCCAGCTGAACACGATCTGAACATTGGATGCACTCTCCAAATGATTTCTAATCCAAGCCACGAGCTGGAACAGGTCAGTGAGGTATACCAATATGTTTTCAACGATGCTAATTGTATACATTTCACAGTAATGCATTTCTACAGACAATACGAACCAAGACCATGGCATGATTAACCCAAAATCTCATATCGAATACAACATCGCCCAGAGTCATACCATTCTTCTATACTTGGACACAGTATGTTCATAACACGATAGTCATAAAGGAACTAACAAAGGCATACAGCAAGAATTCAAGTACCATACGAGGAGACTAGCCATGCGCATATCCAGCGCAATGAATGACCACTGCCTTGTTCAGATCTTCTGCGAGACTACCGACAGCGGAGAGAAGTGCAGTATCTGCGGATTCGGGGTGTATTGAACAGACCAATATCCTGGATTGAACACATTGCTTCCATCATTCAGACGGATATATGATGGTGGAATCGAAACTAGGAGAAACAGGCCCATGTGGGGGTTTTTTTGACGACCAAAGACGAATTGCATACTCTGAACCAAAGAAGGCCAATACGAAACAATCGTAAACACGAATTGCTCGTCGACTGGATTGGAACACGAAGAGGCAGGCAATCTACAGAAGGATGGACTCATCTGCTTTTCTCCGATATGGAGTGCAACCTGGCGATTGTGGAAGCCAAGCAATTCGTGGATATCTACTTTGGCGTCACCATTCCTGACTGGTCTGATGATGATATCAGATATCTACAAGCCATCCGCTATATGGTGAGTGATGATACTCTGCCGCATGATAGCAAATACTTACTGGAAATAGGATGACTGCAGCACCAAGTACCGTTTCCTACCAAATCACCGTAAAACCTCAAACGGGTTGGAGACCACACATTCATTTTATAAACATCGATGGTGTTAATATACGTGACAATGGTTGCTTTCGAACTTATGCTCCGCGTCATTTGACCTATACCAGAAACTGAAAAAGACACGGCGTCGCCCTGAGACTTCCACCCCTCCTTGCATGTCCCTTTCGTCTTGGAGAGATACACAACTCTTTTGGAAAGTGACTATAAATTCCCAGAACAGAAAGTAACAGGCACGTCAATCCAGCGTCGATGATGTCTTTCATTCGTCCATTCGATTGAAACATATCTCTATCAGTCCCCTTAGCTGCGTTATGTACACAATGAACCAACAGCCAATTTCCTGGCGTCGTATCGATGCTTTAGATACCAACTTCAATATCGCCGCTGAGATGAATCACGGAAAACCCAAAACACTCCACAAGCGGATACACTTCCTCAGGCGTGAGGGCTCTGGCAAGAAACATCAATTTCTGTCGGAAGAAAAAATGCCTGCAGGACTTGCAGATGCCGTGGGCTGGTTCTGCGAGACTGAGCCCGAGCGACTATTGTCGGTGCAACCTCTCTGGGACGATTGGATGGTGCCTGTCTTTGAGACTCATATCCTATTGATCTGCTTACGTTTAAAGAGACGATGAAATGTTCATTACGATAGTCGAGGAGAATGACTCTCGGAGAATAGAAGCACGATCTCCAAAGTGTCGTCCTTTTCATCGTCAAAGCAAGGGTCCAAAGCCGATGACAAGAGGAAAGCGATGCTGCCATCTTTACCGTGAGTCGAGTATCTGACACTATCTGTGCTTTGCTAATCTGTATACAGAATTAACAGCAACAGACGTCGTGTCGTATGACTGTCGCTGGTGTCTGTTCTCTACGTTCAATGTTCAGACTGCCAATGCACCTACCATACCGTGAAGTATCAAGATGTCCGATTGGCCTATCATCTACGCTTTCGGTATGTCGCTTTTAACACAGCGACAGCGGACTACACCTTGTGGTACGGTGTGCCGTTGTGCCGTCCGTCAATCATTGTCTTGGCTCATGAAATTCTTGACATTCTTGATGCCCCCAGCGAAGATGAGAACGCTATCAAAAATTGTGCCTTCAGTATGTTGTCGAATGGAAGCACTCCGTGGCATCGCCCAAAAATGACAGAACATACGCATTCCATCCAGTCAGTGTCGGCTTCGAGGCTTCGAGGTATCGTGGACGATCTTTTAACTGGATGATATAGTAACCCAGAGCTCAGCCGTGTGTCAAAAGTGACATGATACCAAGCAATCCGGTGTTCATTCCCATCTATCACTGTCATGCACTTGAAAATACCTTCAAATACCGCAAGCTACGCCGTGGGAGCAGAGATTGGCTTTCTTATCCAGGGGGAGTATCTGGAACATTCAGAGCTTCCGTCAGTTCATTGCAATAAGGGCATTATGACGAGCAAACCGTCTAAGACGCGAGACTATGTACACATTTGTGGCATCGCCCGTTCTGTACCACACGGAGAGCTCAACGCCAGACCCTCATGGGCGAGTACAGGCAAGACGTCCCAAACTCTCCGTCGACCGCTTTTTATGATCTGGCCTGGAGATGCACGTTACGGGAAACGGTGGATAAGACCTCATGAATAGGTTATGCTGTTGTCGTTCAAACCGTTCAAACTGGTTGACACATATTCTCCCAGGGGGTCTACAAAAAGATATCACAATGAATATATAGAGCTACAATCAAACACGGCGCTTTTCGCTCTTGGGGCGACGACCTAGATGGGTTTGTGAAATTCAAGATGGTGACAGTCATTTATACCACCGTGCGCCATGGTCTCAAACATGAAGCGGTATACTCTATACATTTCGGAAAAGCCTCCCGCAAACATTCTATTCAGTCTGTTGCCTCAGAATTCATTCCGAGGCTGGTCATTGTGGGCGCTGAAGCCTGGGAGGCGATACAGGCTCATCAGAAGATCGTTGGGTGTTTGTGAGTATACATCTATCTGCATTGATAATTGTATCAACCAACCTCGATTCTTCGATCATAGTCTATCAACAGAGTTATCTATCATGGTCGTAAAAACTTGGAATCTGGATCATTTTGGGCCATTCGACATATTTGATCCCTTCAACCATCTTGTCTCTCAACAAGGTCTATCGATCTATACATCTCTTAAGCTGAATCCGCTGGCCGTGTGTATCTCATATATACACTTCGAGCATCATCAAATCACGGTTTACGCCGACCTTCCATCTTGCGGTCTGACAGGGACGAACCCAGATGGACAAATACCAGATATCTTTTGTATAGAATTCCGCGTCTCCTGGCCATATTACTTGACAGACAATTCCATCGTGAATATAACGCGGGGGTATAAACTCATCGAGAGATATTGGCCAGATAATATCATTTTTTCCTCAGACTGACAACATATCGGGATCTTCTCCTCGGGCCCATCAATAGGCAAGATGCACTATCCTGTGCCAGAATCTTCAAACGGTTTTCCGGCATTACCTTGCCATTGAGGGTCTCAGTGATGCTGTGTACGGATGTCCCATTTGACTGGACCGGAGAGTATGTATCCAATCTTGGTCTGTAATGGTTGCCACGGTGGTCAAACCTAGATCATTTTGCAATTATTCAAGAGGCTGACAACGCGACGGAAAGATGCCATGCCCAGCTGCCTTTGCGGTATTTTTCTCCGATGTCGAAAAGCTCCTAGTATCACGAAGGGCCATACGTCGTCGAGTTGTGGGTGCTTTCTGCAAATATGACGATGCGATAATCACGACAGCCACTCCGATGTTCAATCCTTCGCTCGACATCTGCGAATACCCTGCTATTCCGCGCCCTCCAGAATTTCGCAGACACAGATATGAGCCTTCTGCGCGAATAATGAGTTCAACTCTACCGAATGGGGCCTTGAAACGGCGCTGGAAAGAGCTAAAGAGCTTCTTTACGAGGATTGTAATTGGTTTGCAGAGTACAATCCCATCTGGAATTATACTGGCGAGTATATCTCAACAAGGCTATGATCCTCTGCCAACCGGGGTCTCACTTTATAACTCCTTGAGTGAGCATGGCATTGGAGGGGCTGCCTTTTGACCTGCTCGATCCAGAAAAAGACGACACATGGCAATGGCCGATGGGCAAATGCAAAGGATCCCACATGCAGAGGAAGCATGGCTGTCCGTGGACCCAGCCTTCATACCATCTCCTCGCGCCGACGAGATTTGCCGTGCTTGCAGCGCGTTTTCATTAAAGGAATATCTCAGTACACAATGGCAAGTCAATTAAAATTCCTGCAATGCAAGCACTGCTAACGTTGGACAGTAATACGCACTCATTGTCTGACGCTGCATTCTTCCCGCCTCCAGAACCATCTTCGCCATGACGTCCCGCCTAGATGTCATTCTAAACTGGGACGTCTTCAAGAAGAATCGGTTGTCTTGGCCAACTCAAGACAAGAATGCCCTGCCCTCTGGTGGGATAATTACACGCAGTGCATCAAGCAATCAAGACTCTCGCCATAACCGCAAGTCCCAGCGGAATGTATTGACCCAAGTGATAAATATTCCAAATGAAATCATGTCGTCTTTGAACGAGTGGCTGTGGTGAACTGCATGTTCATCAGAGTTTGTGGGTGAGGCCTCATGCTTTGATAGCGGTTCCCTTCTTCCTTCGCCTGATTCTCTGGTGAAATTTCTCTCGGGAAAAGACTTCGACATCGAAAATGACCGCGGCTCCTTTTTCTAACACACAAACTTTCTGTTGGCCGTTCGATCTGCCTCGCTGGATTCGTTGATGCATGGTTATTCCTTGGACAAACATCCTCTAGTATCTTTTACGACAATCATTGTGCCCATGGACATAGTCAATCTTCTGAGACAGTTTCGGCCTGGTGCTCAGGTCGATGCAGTCCCATCTTGGTATCACTATTTCTAGAAGATACCTTACTTACTACCCATGTTCCAAGAATCCAGCAATTCAATGCAACTCACACCGCGGACCATGTTGATGATGAGATCTTTCAAGAATCCTTACAGTTTTTCAAAATCGAGGCAGATGCTTAAAAGGCCAAGGATCCACAATACACTGTACAGATTGATGGACTTCGCCACCAAGATGATCAAAGCACCACTGCCACCTATTGGCGGTCTCCGCTTGCAACGACGTAGCATCCCTCATTGGACCGTTGGTACTGGGAATTACTTTGCCTTCTGTCCGACTCTCGTCGGTCTGAAGACCCACCCGCCACCCCCTGTTCGTCTATCAGACATTCGCTGTGTTCTGGATGTTCAGGACCGAAATGGACTACCAGAATGGCGGCTGGCTTGCCGACGAAATGGGGGCAAATCTGACAACCAAATGAACCGCTACATCGTTGCAGCCGGGCGTGACGCACAATATATTGCCGAAGTTCTGTTCTCGCCCCGTCCAGACTGTTCCGATTTCGACAGAGTGCGGGTTTATGTGGACTATGGAAGAAGAGTGGAGGAGACCGTGGAAGGAGACAGATTGGCCTGGAAGCTGGGAACGGTGGTTTCGAAAAAATCGTTTTAAGAAATCTTATTTTGAAATTTGGACGATGCTACATGGGTGTGTTAACCTGACTATATGTTGAATGAGCTAGCCATATCCAGGGAAAGCTCATGAAGAATCCAGAGGAGCTGATAAACGCCTTCAGCTCTCCACAATTCAATGACCCTGGATAAGTTTCAGGAAAACTGTGTTCTGTATGAGCCGGTAAGCACTGCGGTCGGGGCGGTCTCGGCCGCAGAGCTGTCCCGGGAAAAGCTGGCGAAACAGACGGATGGGGGCGCAGTGGCCAGTCTCATGATGGGAGATCAGAAACCAACAACAGATACACCGCGTCCTTGATTCTATATATACGCGTTCCACTGGAAGAATGATGATCAAGAACCTCCGATGTATTGAAGCAATGCGTGTAAGTCTTCGTGTTGAAGAATAAACTTCCGCTGACATGTTCAGATTATATACGCCTTCATGAATATAACATACCACCCAACCGATTGGAGAAGACGTGGTCAATGCAGACTGAAAGTCCGATTTGGTCTGCATCAAGTGACGATTGCATTGTGGCTGCCAACTTTACACCCATTAAAATGACACCGCCAGATCCAACGCCGACCTATGAACTGTACTTATATACGCGACGATATCAATCTGGTGCATCCAACGGCCTTGCAGTTAAAGCTCTCATATATACTGTCGCCATCAAATGAAGTGGTTGGTTCGCTTGCTGAAGACTGCAACAGATTGTGGAAGAACTTGTCAGTCATATTCCGGTAACTCGATGCCACACGATCACGGCCGAGGACCAATGCGTCTTGCACAAGACAAGAAGAATGTGGTTTTCTCCGATGAAGCTGATGACCGTCGTTCCTATCCTTACAGTGGACCTTGGACATCGAGGATGATCCATACGTCAAGAAGCTGAGACAAAGTCCCTTTGAAGCAAAGGAACTACAAAAGGTACTTTCGACAGGGAAAACCTATTGTAATGAGCAATTGAGATCCTATGTTGGTGCTTTCCCTGGAAGCATTTTCGGGTTGTGATTCGCAACAGATGCACACTTGGAAAAAGCCAAATTAGATGGCGTTTTACAATGCAAGAGGGTATGGAGTATACTGACACAGGCTTGGGAAATTAATGGCAGAAAGCGTTGCAGATGACCAAATCATAGATCGAGTCTACAAGCCAGTCAATTAGTATGTATGCCTCCCTGTCTATCGAGCGATGCTAATATGTTCTGTTTTTTAGGGTAATTTCATGTCTAGACTGGACCCTTCGATTCCGCAAGCATCTGGCTAGAAACCATGTCTTCCCACTATTCCAGACCCATTAGCCTCCAGAGGAAGTCATTGAGACACGGAGCATATATCTCAGTCGAATCCATATACCGCTTTCCACGGCACATCTTTCTCCACGGGCAACAAAGAAAAACTACAGGCAAATATATATACTGGGTTAGTTATTAGAGGCATCATAATCCCAAAATACTAGCTGTGTCTGTGCTGGGCGCCATTCGAACACCCCGAAGCATAGTACAGCTGCTTCTCATAGCCCGCAATTACCCATTGCCAGCAGCTGAGAGCATTGGATTTACACGATTACGGACACCCACTTGGTATTTGGATCATCAGACTTGCATCCGGGTTTCCCGCTGTTTCCCACTTTCTGCGACATGTTATCAAGGGCACGATGCAACGGAGAAGTGTTCCGCCGGATACAAAGGATGTGACCTGATCATTCCATCCCCTGCCGGATGCAACAGTCCTGTGCAATTATGTGGCATCTACTATGTCTTGGCCAGGACATTCGCTGATGTTCAGTCAGTCTACCCCATCTAATCCAGATATGAACAGCAGGCGCTTTGCTATCTTCTTTTCCAGAACAACTCTTCAAGTATGTACCATCCTGCTCAGAATTGAAACCTTCTAACCATATTTGAAGTTGAAACACGGCGTACATGTTAGCCAGCCAATGCCGAGAATATAGTCCAAGAAGATATTCTCCGTTATTCATGGCCTGGAAGCAAAAGCACGCCACGTTGCATTATTTTAGGTGCCGGATTACTGTGCGATGTGCTCCCTGATGACTCGATTGGCCCTTACCAGACGATGATAACAGCCGCCGAACAACGATTACAAATTCTACTTCAAGATACCGATGTTTCTATCTGTACGAGAGCGGAGTGAGCCATTGCTTCCAATACGGAAACTGCACGCTATGATGTTTTACACGAAGGTCCGGTTAGTTGACCTCCAATGTCTCTGGCTATACGCATTGTCCCTGTGACGGGTGTGGCGAAATGCACTACACACCACAGTGCGAGGTAGTGCCATAAGTCTTCTCGGTATTCAAAAAGGCGAAGAAGGAGGGACTCTCGCATCACTTTTGAATTTTGAAAGTCACAAACAGATGGCGCGAGTCCTAGCCGACCGCTCCTTTTCATAACAGTATTCAGGCAATCCTAACAGTCGAATTGAACAATATTCCAATCTCAGGGGCTGGACCAGAATGGAATGCATCTGTAAAAGCATCCAACCAAAAGATCGATCTCGCTATCTAACCATTTCCACGAAAAAGGGGGAATCGAAGGAAGGGTTTCATCGACTTGTCTTCAAAAGTGACAATGGGAAACGGGAAACGGCGGTAAACCCAACTGCTATACACGCCTTCCCTAGCAATCTCTTCACGCTATCATAGCGTGTTCGAAGAGTTACAGAAATATGACTGCCACAGACACACCCTCAGTAGGCCCTTCCAGTCCAGCTCGTGTTCAACATCCCTGCTGCTGCTGTGGAACCAACTGTTGGGGCCCCACCTGAGACTTTAACCCCGGTTGCTTTTTCAGCCCCTCACACTGGAGCTTTAAAACACCTCCTACCCCCCAAGATCGCCTACCACTGACCATAGTGCCATAGTGTTTGCGCTCCAACACCATGATGAAAGCAAGCATTTCAGACCAGCAACATCAGGCCCTGTCCTCCGCTCAAGCCCGTGAACCCCCTCGCAACCCTGCCCTACTTTGTGCCTCGAAATATGCGTACTTGATCCTACAGGCGTAAGCAAGGCTCTCTTGAAATGTTTGACAGTAAAGACACTCATATTGATGCTAGGCTCGGCTACGCTCTGCCTATCCTGACCGCAGGGGTCTACTTCCATTGCTATTTCTACCAAGAAAGAGAGAAAGCAGTTTGTCGATGGGAGGGCGAGAAAACGATGATAATCCTGAGCGTTCTCATTATGGTTTGGTGGCCAGTGAACAATGCCCTATCCTATTATGCCCATTGTCACGTTCGAAAGCCTACCAAGTGAGTTTACCTGAGCAGGGATTGGTGATTATGTATCCGTTATATCAGTCACTCATGAAGCTGTGTGTTGAGAAACGTATGTTCTTAGATATTGGTACGGAGCACTTCACCTACCTGACTGGTTCTTCCCCTACCCTGCTCCATCTAGATATCCTAGCTAGACAGCTATCTCCAATCCATCACGTTGTCTCGCATCGGGCCCTTCAATAGAAGATTCATGCTAGTTTTCCGTCCAAACTTCTTTTTTTCTCGCCGAGGAACCATCCCGTTACCATATTTAAATCTTAAATCCGAAGCCGCTCCTTGTCATGTTCAAAAGGAAGCTAGGGCGATGCCGACTGGTTCCTGCCAAGAGTAGGCTGCTTGTCGAAGGCTTGGGTGAAGCTCGGTCCTCGCAGACTGCTAATGGTCTAATGGTAGCAATGCGCCCTAGTGGGTTAGTGTCTGCCGCCATCACAAAGTCCATCGTGTTAGCCTCATGAAAACATGGAAGATGAATTCTTTCCGTCCTCTTCTGGGCGGCGCAGTCACAGAGGCTTATCTCCATTGAGCTATAGAATCCAAGGTGCACTCAGTATGTCCGAAGAAAATGTCTGACATGTCTGATAATGTTGATGTTGATGCCTAGTCAAAATGGTTGGCGAAAACTTGATAACTGTGGCTATGTGCAGATGCTAAGCAGCTTGGTGTTTGAGGGTGAGACCTGGGCAGCCAATGACTGGAATTTATAACTAGCCAATGTGACAAATGCCGGTGATATGATTGAAAGGACCGGGATTCTAGCCAGGATTGGGTTTCTGAGACGCACAGGCAACTCGCGATGGTTCGGCCACCCGGTCATCAGTGGCAACTATCAGTCGGCTACTCGCTTGTCAGCGCCATCGTCAATGCAGTGGCATTCACGTGTACGTGCCAGAGGATGCCAATCAGATGGGGATGTACCTTGCCCATTTTGTCTGGCTGAATCCGCTTTCTAGACCCGAAGCAGAGAGAGAGGAAGCTCGAGAACTATTGTTATTGGAACGGACTGAGTTGCAAAGACCCACGAGAAGTTACGTCGTATTGCACGTCTCGAACAGCTGGAGAACGAGTCTACCGAGTAGAAGCTAGAGGGGTCCAAGCAGGAGAATGTAGAGATGAATCACAGGATAAGGCGATGGAAAAGAAGATCGCGAGGCTGAATAAGGGTAACAAGAAGCGGTGCTCTATCAAGCGTGTTCGGGTACAATCATCTATGTTCGTGGGCAGTGAACTGGCGAGTATGAACAGGCACATGTATTTACCATAAGAACTTGATATAAAAATGCTCTTTGTCTATTCAGATTATCCTTATTACTGTATACATTCCAATGAATTAGATTAGTCCTCAATCCAACCTCGACCCACGAACAGCCCTCGCATATCTCTCAGAAGTTGCCGAAAAGAACATATTCCCAGACAAAAACGCAATAAATCCCCTCGCACACCGCAACTGCTCCTCCGTCGCACCATCAGCTTCAAGCAACCGTTCATAATCCGCGTGAATCTGTCCCTCAATATCCAGAATCATACGACGTAGTATAGACTTGGCCGCTGGCGCAGAAACGTCAAGGAGATTCTGCAATACTCGGACAGCGTTGATGAGGGTTTCACCGCGTTCTTTTTCTGCGATGTACTCTTTTGCGTAGGAGTATAGATCGTTGGTTAGGGCGAAATGTTTCGCGGAGGCGGTGCGGATTTGGGCGAGGATGTGCTCGTCGTGCGAGGATAGGGTGATGTTACAGCCGAATTCGACACTTCGTAAGATGAGACTAGGCACCGTTAATATTGTACTGTTAAATGAATGAGACGGAGTACATACTCAGAGCCGGAATCCTCCATTCTATGCTTGACGTAGTCATCAAAGCTATTGAAGGTCATTTCTGGTTGCGATTTTAATGCTGACCAGGACAAAATGCCATCTAGGAAGCGTTTTCCTTGGATTGGGTCTTCGGCGAGAAGTTCTTGAGTAAGGATACTCAAAGCAGTATCACTTTTCTTTTCATCACTAGATCTTGGAAGTGCTGCCTCGCTTTGTCCTCCTGTCTGCGAAAGTCAGTTAAGCCTTTAAACCTCCTTGTTGACATACATATCCCGACTCCATTGCATCTATACCAGTCAGTAAAACAAAGCAAGGCAAAAAAAAAGAAAGAAAGAAAGTAGTGTACCATCATGCATCGTAATCAACCCATAAAACTTGGTCAAAATGAGCAACCTCCTTAAACTCGCCATCGGCATCCCATTGACCACGAACGTCAAGGCCGCGCCAACCGTCGCATCAACATATTCTTTCTGCACAGGATTCCGATTCTTAAGAATATACTCTGCAGTGAATTCTCTTAAAGCAGACTCTGCCTCTCTCCAGTACTTTGATTGAAGGGTGTACTTGATCGACGAGAACCATGGGACACCGATGGTTGGTGGATCGATGAGATTCGCGTGTTTGAACTCGGGGTTTTTGGGTATGTTTTGTGGGTGGAGAAAGGTGAAGTTGTTAGTTTGATCTGGGGTATCTGGTGTATCCACTGGGTCGAATGCGTAAAAGATCTTCCTTGTCTCGATTTTGAGGACGTGGTTTTGGTGAAAGCCACGCTGTGCCAGGGTGCTGAGCAGTGGTCGGAATATATGGGATGATATTCGATTTTGATTTCCATGACTGAATGCCAATGGCCTCTTGAATTGGAATTGAATTCCGAATGCCAGTCTTCTGCATTGTGCATGCATGATTGGTGACACGCCACGGTGTTTGGCTTCATCTGACGTCGCACAAGAATTAATTGGTGGAGCGAAAAACGGGGGCGATCGGAATTCCGCCACATTCTTCCACTTCGGAGTTCCGACGCTGCATCGTCCATCTTACTTCAACATCACCACGATGCCGACTTCACCATTGCCATCGGGGAATACGCCTTCAGGACGCAGGAATAAAGTGGCCAAAAATCCTCCACCACGTAAAAAGGCTTGCCAGAACTGTACAACGTCGAAAGTGCGCTGTGGGCTGGAAAAACCGACTTGCTCGCGATGCGCGTCTCAAGGCCGAGTATGCGAATATCCTGCGGGAAATCGGGCATCTGAAGGCAGTGCGAGATCAACCAGGCAGAATCACACCTCACCTTCTTCATTTTCTGTTTCTATCAACAGAACAAAAACACCAGCAAACCCGTTGGAAACTACACATCTCCCAAATCCCTCAACCCCAACACCGACTATTCCACCCTCTCAACCTCAACCCGGACCCATCACCAATCAACCACCCCCAGCCCCAGCACCACCACCAGACGCAGGCCCCAACCTCGACATCCCAGACCTTAGCTCCCCAGATGACATCGACGGAATCCGCGACCGATGGATGAGGCCGTATCTCACCGCGCCCCCGGAACGGCCCGAGATCCCCAAAGTGTATAACCCATTTACGCTACAGTATATAGCGAGCGTATTGAGGACGTATCCGCGACGTATGCTAAAAGATGGCGGCGTACCGCCTATCATCCATCCGATGCAAGTTTCTGGGGCTATGCCGCGGTCGTTGGCGAATTGTTATAGTCTGGTGAGGATGTGGGATCAGGCTGTTCCGGGGAGTGAGGAGATGGTGGTTGATGTTGTGAGGAAGGAGATGGATAGGCTTGTTACTGTGTGTATTTCCTGTCTATGCCTTTTGGTGTGATAGTATACTGATGAAAGGTTGTAGACGGAAAACTCGACAGATCCTGAGCTTGTAGCTGCCTTTCAAGCATATCTCATCTACGCGATCATGATGTACTTTTCGCCAATCGGAGGCTACACCGTCATCAACGAGGCATCCATCATAAACCTCATGGAGCTGGCTTATCGAACGACCCGCAAAGGATTAATCTGCCCAGAAGAAAGAAGTCGTACTCGACCACGCTGGGAATCGTGGATTACCGTCTCTGCCAAACGCCGCGCCGTCTTCACCATGTATCTCTTCACCAATGTATTCAACGCCGAACAAGGGTTGCAGAATTATCTCTCCACGGAATTGACGGGGAATCTCCTCCCCGAGGGTCGGGAAGTGTGGGAAGCGAGAGATAGAGAAACGTGGGAGAAAGAATACGATTACCATCTATCAGTATGGGGGAAGGACGGCATGATCGAGATATCAGAACTCTGGCGATCAGAAGAGACAGGAACACCAGAAAGACGGAAACGAGTGGATCGGTGGGTTCAGACGGTGGATGAATTCGGGATGATGCTGTTTGCTGTCTGTGTTCATATCCATGGATGTTAGCTGTGCTTCTTCAATTGCCACTCGGAATTCCGACATCTCCACCCCGGCTGTCTCCATAGTTCAGGATGTATGATATAAAGAGTCGATCTTCCTCAACCCAATTCCAACTCAACTTCCAACTTTCAATTTACAATAATCAATTAAACAAAACCAACTTACCAAGTAACAAACAATAAACCAACCATCAAAATGCCAGTCTACACAACCGACCACTCCACCACCGTCCTGCAAACCCACTCCTGGCGCACCGCAACAAACTCCGCCCCCCACCTCCTCCCCTACCTCAAACCAGACATGAAAATCCTCGACATCGGCTGCGGCCCCGGAACAATCACCGTCGATCTAGCACGCCACATTCCCACCGGCCACATCACCGGAATCGAATACACGGATGACCCACTCCCAGAAGCCCGATCCCTCGCGGCAAGTCAAGGAATCACCAATATCGATTTCGCCGTGGGGGATATCCACGCGCTGGAGTTTGAAGATGATAGCTTTGACGTCGTGCATGTGCATCAGGTGTTGCAGCATATTGCGGACCCCGTGCATGCGCTGCGTGAGATGAGACGGGTTGTTAAACCAGGTGGTATTGTCGCAGCCCGTGAATCGGCCGATATGACCTGGTATCCGGAGAATGAGGGCATCGCGGGGTGGAAAGAGTTAACAATGCGGGTGGCGAAGGCCAAGGGCGGGAACCCGCATCCGGGGCGGATGATCCATGTGTGGGCGAAGCAGGCTGGGTTTGAAGATGGGAAGGTGAAGAGGAGTGCGGGGTCGTGGTGTTTTAGCACGGCTGAGGAGAGGGCGTATTGGGGTGGGTCGATGGAGGGGAGGATTCGGTCGTCTGGGTTCGCGACGATAGCGGTTGAGGGGGGATTTGCAAGGGAAGAGGAGTTGGAGGGGATTGCGAGGGGGTGGAGGGCGTTTGTGGAGGATGAGGAGGGGTGGTTTGGGTTGATGCATGGGGAGATTTTGTGCTGGAAGTAATTAACCATTATCTACTGGACTACTGCCTTGCAAGTGATTGATTTAAAGCATCAAACTATAATATGGTCATGATAATGTAGATCAGTCGATCGGGCGATCAGTAGGTAGATCAATATTTGCTAAATGCTATGCTAATATCAACAGCTAAAATACTTCAAAACAATGCCGAAATAGTGGAGAGCCCTTAAGCAGATCACCAGTCTTCCACGGGATACTCCTCGGGAGGTTCCGAGTAATGACGTTCTTCCCGCTCTTCTTCGTCCGACGAGGAACTTTCATCTGTTGACAGTTAGCTTCGATACCCAAACCACGCCACAAATCAATAGGATTAAGAAAAACTTACGCATTTCATGAGTGATGAATGCACCGCCCGCGGCACCCAACGCAAGACCAGCCGCTCCCATAGCAAACATCTTCTTCTTGTCGCTCTTTTTCTTCTGCTCTTCCGCCTGCGGATCATATCCGCCCTCCTGCGGCGGGTATCCTCCCTGACCGTATCCACCGTATTGCTGGGGAGGGCCAGGCGGAGGGCCTCCGTACGGCGAGCCGTATCCGTTGCTAGGAGGTCGAGGGGGTCCGTCACGGTAGTAGCTGTCAGCTTGTGGGGGAGGGCCCATGTCGCGCGAGCCGAGCTCCGGTCCGTCCACGGGTGGCTCCCACTGAGAGCGGCCGGTTGCTTCTTGGAAGAAGAAAGCTCTGCGGACACTAGGTTCCCAGTATGAAAGCCATCCTTGGGGAAGGGGAGCAGGAGGGTTTGGTGGGGGACGGATTCCGCCGGGAGGGCCGGTGGGAGGACGATCGTAGGGAGAACCTCCTGGTGGTGGGCCGGATGGTGGACCGGTGGGAGAGCCGTATGGGCTTCCTCTGTAGGGGGGACGGTCGGATGGAGGGCCTCCTGGAGGACCAGATGGTGGACGATCGTACGGAGAGCCGGGTGGAGGGCGCTCGTAGGGCGCTCCGGATGGGGGTCGCTCGTAGGGAGGACGATCTGAAGGAGGACGGTCGTAAGGAGAGCGAGGAGGTCCGGGAGGTCCAGATGGTGGACGGTCGTAGGGCGACTGGCCGTATGGAGGACGCTCGTAAGGTGGCTGACCGTATGGAGGGGGGCCTGAAGGAGGGCCGCCTGGAGGACCAGATGGAGGGCGCTCGTACGGAGGGCGGTCGTACGAAGGCTGCCCGTAGTATGGTTGCTGACCGTAGTAAGCCATGGTGGATAGCCAAAAGTTGGATGGAAGAAGAAAGAAAAGAAAAAAAGAAAAGTCCAGGGAAGAAAAAGACAGCTCTTAAATTAGGGAAATGAGGGGAAGACAACGGCATCGGCGGAGGCTAGAAGAAAAGCCATCGTCGCGACTAAGCAGCGCGTATCCACCCCGCGGTCGATAGTCGGGCAGATCTAAAGAGGATTAGGCAGATACATTATCATGAGTCAATAGTCGAGAGTCAACGCCCCTGATTCAGATGCAAAAAGTGCCCATGTATCAGCATTGGCGCGTGAGACAGACTATGGCGGCTGCTGTAACAGCCAAGGCAATAGACTGAGCATGGCTGGTGAGGGATATTCATGTAAACTGAGCTTCTCCAGCAGACTGCGTGATGCATCATATCCAGTTCTTTTGATTCTCGTCTGTGTTGGCATCAGAACGAAGGAAAAGACTGCCCCTCAGTCCTGAATGCCGCCAAGAAGTGTCGGCTGATTGGCCCATCAAGCCACAATAACTGTTCTGCGCACCGCCACCGCAGCCCAATAGGGACGATGGAGTCAGACATGTCAAAAGGAAGGGTCAAATAGTCTGATGGAGAGATGGAAAGTGGATGAGAGTGGATAAGACATCTCCAGCGACTACGTGTGTTTCCCCCAGTGGCTTGACGTTATGTGTCCTTTTTCCCTATTCGGGATGCTCAGCCACAGGTGAGGGGACGTTGGGTTCCGCATTCCGGAATATTCTGGGGATTTCCATCAACCTTGATGTGATGAGTATGTCCGATCTACACAATATTGCTCTGATATCCCAAACGGGTTTGATTATTGCATGATGCATATTGACAATCTATTATTGCAGCACAATAGGAAATAAACCTGACAATAGTCAATCATTCTCCTAAGCTCCTAGCAACCCCTATTCACAACCCATAAATGTAGCATAGTCCAGTTGTCACCGTCAACCAGACCAGCTCTGTCAACTAATATCCAGCACCCGCAACCTGGCTGGACTGTTCACTGCTGGGATAGAAGAAAGCCGCAACACTGGGATTTGTCAGCAACTGCCAAACTGAAAGCACCAGATAAAACTTACGCGATGATCACATAGGCGGCCATAAGCAAAGCTCCTTCAAGATAGTTGCTTCGCCCGTCAAGAACAAGGAAGTTCACCACAAATGCCGTCACGAACAAGCAAATGGTTTCGAACAAGGTGAAGTACAAGGACATGTCCTTATCCATACACCATCCGAGAATAACGACCAGGGGAGTGACGAAAATTGCTATACAAGTCAGATGAGTTCGTCAAGTTTCTTATACTTCAGACATACCAATTTGGATACTACTTCCGACCGACACACCAATGGACAAATCCATTTTGTTCTTCGTAGCAACGCTGACGGCTGTTACGTGCTCGGCGGCATTACCAACAATGGGTAAAATGATCAATCCGATAAACGCTTGGCTGACATTTGAACTCTCAATCATTCCAGGGATGGCGTCGACCAAGAACTCGGCACAAACGGCGACAAGAGCAGTGGAGAGAAGCAACATGACAACCGCAGAAGTACGGGACATCTGGGGCTCGTGATGCTCAGGCGTAGTCTTCACAGCTGTGGCATCGACAACGTTGGGTACACGAGCCGCACCTCGAGCGAACTGAACGGCATTTCCGACCGGTGGGGGGCGATTGATCTTGGTTGGAAGAGAGTTGGTGCGTCTCAAGCCAGTGCCCGGGGCGCCCGGCGGAGGAGGTTGCTGTGCGGCGTTGGGCAATGCAGCGGTGTTGGAGAAGACAGTGTTTGACATAAACGATGGAATGGTAGGACGGAAAGGCGAGCGTCTCTTGGGTATATCGACGTTGTCGTCAACAATGGGTTCTCCGCGGTCAACGAAAGGCTCCGATATGTGAGACTTCAGGGAAGGTCGAGCAGGAATAGGGGCGCTGGCCACAACGGCGTCTTGCTTGGCGGTATCCATCTCTACCTTTCGCTGTTTCCGTTCCTTCTTCTCCTTCTTTCTCTGCTTCTTCTCCCGCTTCTTGGCGTGATGGTCTTCCCGGGAAAGATCAATTGCTAGCTGTCCAAAGTCTCGAGATCGAGGGACAGTATCCCGCTTTCCATCATCATCGGCATCATAGCGGTCGTCGCCAAAGTCAATGGCACAAGATCCGGCTTCATCTAGATGACTGGATGACGACCCTCCAACAGAGTTTCCACGATCACTCGTGCCTGGAACTGGGAGATCAGCCAAAGCACTCTTGCGGATCGCTTGACGCGCCGCAGTTCCCTTGGAACTAGTGCTAGACTTTCGGTGCCTACGGTACTTCATGGCCTTCTTGATACGCTTAGCAGTTGACCACGAGGTGGTGGTGTCATCCGAATCAGAGGATGAGCTGCTGGATGAATCAGACGAGCTGTTCATCAGGTCCGCCAACACTCCAGGGTGTGATTCCTCATCAATAATCTGCTGAGGGATACTGGCGTAGAGGTACGAGTGAGATTTCAGCTGGAAGATGATGTACAGAATGTAGACCAGCAGCAGAACCTATTGAAATTAGCGGGATGCTGTGCTTCGTCAGTAGATACTTACCACACTGGTTCCGCGGCTGACTTTCAGAGTGTAACGATCCGCGATTGCACTGTCAGACCATGATGCATGGAAAGCAGTCTAGATGGTTAGCATTGTACTATCAGGCGGGTAGTGTGCTACTAACCGGAAGAAGTAAACTCATAACACTCAAACTGAGCAGACATGCACTCATCTGAGTGACGGTGCTGTTATAGATCTACAATAATTAGATTGTGAACAACATTATTTTGTTGGATGCCTACCTGTTCTTGGAAACGAAGGCCTCCCAAGAGGAATGCCATTCCCAGAATCAAAAGCAGGTTCGCCAAGATGGAACCGAGCAGTGAGGCTTGAACGATCCGGATTTCGTTCTACACTGGATTAGTTTTATGTGGAGCCATGGAACGGGTAATTCTTACCTTGACCAATGCAATGCTAATTTTGATGAACGTGATTAGTACCTATTTGACCTGTGGCAAAATTCGACAATTACTCACATGCTGTAAAAGAAATTATGTTAGCACATGTCAATTATGAAATAAGCTTTGAAACTCACAAGATGATCAGCTCTACTGCATTACCAAAGGTGACGTTGATGAGAGCCCCGAGAGAGTCGCCCAAACGGCTGGCAACACACTCCGTAGCAAAACTCAACATTCCAGCCAAAGGAATAATCGCCACGGCATTCATAGCAAAGACGATACCCGGGCTTAAGCCGGCCGCCTCGACGGCGATACCGGCTGGGACAAACACCAGCAAGACATTCACCCAGCTGTGGCAGAGGGCGTCTTTGAAATGGCCGCAGAAACGGATGGATCCATTCTTCATGCGGGCTGGCAGTCCCGGTTTGGATTTGTCAGGTTCATTTTCGATTGTCTTTTCCCCCGAGGATGACCCCGGGGTCGACGAGGACTCATTCACTTGTCCATTTCGTATCGGTGGTTCCGTCTTTTCCTCGGGAACCTGAGTCGTTGGTAGGCCGCTGGAATCTTGAGAGGAAGTACCGCGGCTAGATGCGTGAGCTTTCGCCCACGAGTGAATCCGGTCTAGAGGGGAGGGGGTCATCAGCAACGGTCTTGGGAGATTTATTGGGGAGTCTGAAGCGATAGAAAATGGGGGAGATAAGAGAAAGGAAAGATGGCAAGAGAGACTCACGCATGTATTTCAGGAAGATAGCCTGCAGGAAGTAATAAAAGGCTGGGATGCCTGTAGAGTGAGGGCGTGTATTCCTTCGAAGAAGAATAGAAGAGAAGAAAGAAAAAAATAGAAACCGAAACAGAAAAGCTTCAGAAGCACAAAAGACGTGCGACGGGGCGGGTTTAAGAGCGGTAGCTTGGCGGGCCCCCTTTGGCGCTGGTGGGAGCGACGATCATGACGGGCTTTTTCTTTGCTCGTTTCTGGGCGGGTTTCGGACGGTCGAGATCCATGGATAGAAGCAGATCGGAGATGATGGACGACTACGCCACAGGGTTATCAATCACGACAATGATGATTCATGGCCAATTGTGGGGAGGGAAGCCATGCTGACTCCCGGTTGATCAGGATATTATCCAGGACCGGATTTCAGGATAAGATGACGCTGCAGCTCGACTCTTGTGGCATTACGTGGCAGCAGAGCATCGCCGGTGCGGTTAGCGACAGTTCTGGACAACATTCTGAAGTCATGATCTGCTGCCGTGCACCCCTTCCTTATCTGCTGTCCCACGGTGCACTTCAGCCTGGGGGGTTATTTAGGCAGGCGATTAATTCATGGATCGTTGCAGACAGCATTCCTTGCTACGTACGACTGTAGACAAGCTCAGGTGTCAGGAATTCACCAGAGCGCCATTGTCCTTATAAGGCGGGTTTCCAATAATTCATTCCGTTTATCTCGAGTCGCCTCACTATCGCGTGATGCAGACATGCTGATTGGTGGAGATTATGTCAGGGGGGCTCCACCGGGATCGACCGACCAAAAATGCATTTGAGGATTTGTTCTGATTGGATTTGCTGGGCTGGATGCAGTGTAACTGAGGTTATTTTGGAATGGAATGCATACATCTCCAGTATCTAGGCAGCCGTTTCCTACTGTTTTGTGTCTGTCTAAAGTGTCCAAAGCATTGTTGAAGAATGGCGATCAGGTGTCAATCGATCAACTCCACCGATCAGTCCGCGTGTCTCCAAGACTTCATCGTCCGTCAGTCTAGAACATCCCTTTTCATCATCCTCGAGAGTACGGGGTACAGCGTACACAGAGTACAATGCATGAGGACTAATTCGTATACAATCTACATCATACATCATCATTATACAATTAATATGAATACGATATCTGCCATTATCAGCTCGTGTCAATTTCAGCGAATCCACGCCAAGCTTCCACTCCGGACTTACGCCGAGTCGGTTACTCCATCCAAACCAGCAACTCCACTGTGGCTCAGTCGAGTAAATATAGCATCGCCACATGTTGGATTGTTGGGATTCTGACAGCCTGTAGTTGAGAATCACTCTGAGGATGACCTGCTCTGCCAGGGCTGATGCTTACACAGTTCCAGCATCATCATGAGATCATCATCCACCAGAGCTTGGACGATATCATGTGTCTTTCCTATTGGTAGATATCCTCCGCTAATCAGAGTCACCATGTTGTACAAGACGTTCGATGCTATCCATGGATATTACTTTTAAGTAGAAATACCCCGTATGATGATCAATATTGCTTTTGTCAAGTAGCAAATTGTTTTACTCTATGGTAATAAATTCATGCTAAAAAATGATACCGAAATCATTGTTGATATGGAACAGGGTGGGCTGTCGAGAAATATATAATGCTAGGGCATCCGCTAACTCGCCTTCAAAGCATTTGTCAACAGTTTCAACCTCCTTCCAGGTTATTCCTTTGCCCCATTAATTAGAATGTAGGACAATCAAATGATGGAAATTTACATTATGGTTTTATAACCAGCACTCGTCGCTGAAACTGGCTTCAGCTGCATACATCCGATGAAATTTGCGATGCAAGGTTCCAGTATTACAAACGAAGTGAAATAGAACATAATAACTGTATTAAACATTCAGCGCATTACAGTAAAATGTAAGATAGATGGTCTACCATATTAGGAGGAATTTGTTTACGCTATGAGAAGTAAGTAAGCGTACCTAGATGCTATATGAAGCAGCAAGGCGGGAGCCTGTTTTATACTGTGTCCAACATGTAATATGAAGGACGCTGCGTTATTATAATTAGCTTCCTATTTTCTGATTATTGTACTGTTATTTCCACACCATCAACGATGAATTTGAAAGATATATTTCGTATGATCATGGTAAGTTGAAGCTCAAGGACATTCCGCTTCCCCGTTTGTATGTACAGTGCCGTGGTAATCGCATTGTTTGCCATGTTGAAAACCCCACAGCCTGAGCATTAAGAAGAGAAATCCAGAGCATTGCAAACATCAATAGATAGATGAATAATCGAAAAGCATTTCAATTTAGAGACCAGAATATATGGGAGGGTGACTAAGCAAGGACCCGGGCAAGACTTATTCCGGCATCGCGATACCCTCTGCAGTCGACAACAGCCAAAGACCTCTATTTCCATCGCTTACGGGGCCATCGGATCGTCGAAACAGAGATAAACTCCAATAATGGCCGTTCGGGTCCTGCACTCTCTTGATCGGAAATGGACGATCGTTATCCATCCAGACTAGGAGTCGTTAGTCCTCAGTCGGCATTTACTTTCGGCACGGGTCACATGGCACGGCAACCCGATCCGCATGCAACGTCTTTTAACGTTCGGGAATTTTCTAATTCTTCTTCAGATCTCTTGCTGATGAGGATGATCGGATTGAGTTTCAGATACACAATTATTCGTTGACTGGGTGATCATTGGCGATCCTGCGTGTGTAGGACCGCGACGAGCAATCGACCATGACTCCCCAAGGGAGCTCTGGGGTCAAATCAAATGGGTTAATTGGGTAGGACATCCTTTTAGTCATGCCCCCAAGACACTTCTAACACGATCAATAGAAGATTAAATCCAGCAACATGGTGGTCCCGTCTCGAGCTGGACTCTCAGACAGTCCTGATGCTGCTGAAAGGTGCTTTGCCACCTACTATTGTGATTGCCATGTGAGCTTCTATTTGAATTCTACTATATGTAAACATTTGCTAAACCTGCCCCATAGATACCAGAGTGATGCCATCTCCGAAATCACCACTACAATCGGTTATCTGTCAGCTTTGATATCCGTCCTGTCCCAAGCTTTAATGCCTCGTGCCAAGTTCATGAAGATCATGATTTTTGATCTTCTCTCAACATGCATCTCGGCCTCGCTTTGCTGTTTGGCGATATTCTGTGCAGTGGAAGCAAGAAAACACAACACCCCTGCTGATGCCAGCGAAAGTGTGAAGAATGGCTTTAGCAGTGACGCATGCGCTGTGGCTGCAATCTGGTTAATCTTCATGATATGGTATGTATAACATCTAAATTTAAAGACGCCATGCTGATCTAGACAAAAAGGGGCGCCAACTCACTTCGTGCATGGCGACCCATGGAATTACAGGATCCCATGGTTGCATTCTCCATTTTCGCATCCGTCACCATCACACGAGCCGGAACGTTCACGACCCTCGCCGAAGGCCTGGCATTTGTATCGAAGCTATTGAAAGGGTTCATGATTGGATTCGCCATTGCAACCGGCGTATCGCTACTAATACTACCGATTACCAGCAGAGGAAACGTTTTTCACGATATCAAAGGCTATGTCGCCCAAATCGACGCCCTGCTTCAGGCTCAGATATCCTTCGTGGAGGGAAGCTCGTCTACTGGCGTGTGGACTGGGAGTCAGGGTCTTTTAAAACGGACACGCACGGCTCGTAGTGCACGAGAAATGGAAGGCAGAGCGGAACCTGCCCCGTCAAGCTTGGAGTCAAAGCAGAAGCATCTTGGGATGCTGATGACCAAACTGAATGGTTTACAGGGAAAACTACAGTCGGATCTGTTCTATTCGAAATACGAAATCGCATGGGGTAAATTGACCGCGGACGACTTGAACAAGATTGGGAGTCTATTCAGATGCATTTTGCTTCCGCTTTCTGGAATGGCCATGCTACCTGAGATCTTGGAGATGATTGTCAAGAACGAAGGACTAAGCGACAATGCTAGAGACTCGTTCGAAGGCCCGGATGAAAGGGAATCAAAGAATTCCGAGATGCAGAAAGTCGTCGAGACACTCCATGATCGCCTTGCCGATTCTGCCAATCTCATGATGATGGGATTGCAGTATGGTCTTTTGGTATTTGAACTCGTCAAACCAAAACAGTTGGACAGGCAGCGAAAAGCGCGCAATCCCGCAGGAGACGAAGAGTCAAGTGGTGAAGGTATCAATCCGCTGCAGTCGGATTTTACAGCTCGTTTTGAACAGGGATTGCATCAATTCTATGCCCGTCGCAAGAACCTGTCGAGTGCACTTGCATCGCTCCAAGCATTTTCAGGCTCGGAAAAGTTTCCTGATCTTTCAGCAGCAGAGACAGACCCTAACTTACTCGCGTCCGATCCAGACGTACAGCAAGAATTCTGGCTGATTATATACATGAGTCACCTGCAGGAAAACCTTCTAAACGCAACTCTAGACTTTGTCAAGTTCGCAGATAGCAAGATCGCAGATGGAACAATGAAGCGGAGCCGTCTGATCTTCCCGAAACAGAAATCCATCCGAGAATGGCTATCACTCAGCTCAGATAAACAGCCAAAAGAAGAAGCAGATAGCAGAAATTCCTCGAACGTGGATCCCTCGCATGTCTACGAAGGCCGTGAGGCTAGAAAGCTGCCGGACCCCGAACATCTCCCTCCGGCTAATATCTGGGAAAAGGGGAGTAACGTTCTTCGTTTCATATCGCACATTATCAGATCTGAACAAAGCATATTTGGATTCCGTGTCGCGGCTGCTGCGTTTTGTGTTGGGATTCTGGCCTTTTTGCACCAGACTCAAGAGTGGTTTGTTCGACAGCGATGTATTTGGGCGATGATTGTTATCGTCATCGGAATGAATCCGACTAGTGGACAGACCATGTTTGGGTTTGTTGCTCGCATTGTGGCGACGGCTATAGCTCTTGTTCTGAGTTTGATCGTGTGGTATATTGTTGATGAAAAGACACCTGGCGTGATTGTTTTTCTCTACCTTGCTAATGTGTTCGCGGTAAGATATCACTTTCTTCTGACTGGGCTTTGCTAATGTTGTGGCCTAATGAAAGTACTACTTCTATGTGAAAGTTCCTCAATACTTTGGTGCGTCAATGATAGCCATTGTCACCTTAAACGTCATTGTTGGCTATGAGCTTCAGGTACGTTCGCCTTACCACATATCGCAGCATATCTAACAAGAACAGGTCCGAAAACTCGGCATCGAACTCGCCGAATCCAACGGCCAACCATACTACCCAATCTACCTCTTCGGCCCCTACAAACTCGCCGCCGTAGCAGCCGGCTGCGCCATCTCCTTCTTCTGGGTCATATTCCCATACCCCATCACAGCCAAGTCAGAACTCCGCCGATTCCTCGGCCGCGGGCTCTTCGGCCTCGCCAACTTCTACAGCTGCATGCACGTCACCATCGAACTCTGGCTCAGCGGCGAACTAGGCTCCGTCCAAGATCCGCACTCGGCATCGCACCGTCTCGAACAATCCCGCCACAAGCTCTACAAGCAGGAAATGATGCTCCTCAACACCCTCCGCATGCATAGCCACTTTAGCACCTTTGAGCCGCCCATCGGTGGTAAATTCCCCAAACACGTCTACGACAGTATCATCGCCGAAATCCAACGCATCCTCACCAGTATGGCTCTCATGGCGCAAACGGTGCAAAACCTCGACGCCCTTTCAACAAGACAATCCGAACATTCCCAGCAAACCGACGAAGATAAATGGCTCTCGCGGCTCGCGAGCATCGCACTCGAATCCGCAGACTTTAACTCCTACGCCATCACCTCGCTTCTCTGCCACCTTTCTGCGTCCGTGACGAATGCGCAGCCACTACCGCCGTATCTTGCCTCGCCATCTTCTTTCCCGCTTGCGAGACAAATGCAGAAGATTGATGATGAGTTGCTGAATATTCGACATGTGGAAGATCCTACTTTCTCGGCGTTTATCGCTATGGAGGTTCTGCGGTCGGTGGTTAGCTTTAGTTTGCGGGATTTGTTGAGGTATTTTCCCCTTCCCCCTTCACTTTCATTTTGAGGTTATATTTTGCTGACGTTGTTTATAGTAATGTGAAGAGTCTTGTCGGGGAGCTGAACTTTGACTTTCATGCGAGGGAGGCACGCGACTCCGAGTCCACTCGATTGATGTCTGCTGTTAGTGAGGAGTAAAGATGGCTCTTTAGTGTGACGAGATACGATATTTAATTCTGTACATGAAAAACTGGTAGTTAGCATTAGGACCCATATATTATCTTCAGCAATTCAACAGCGTCGATATGCTCTTCTAGGGTGTTGATAAGATCGACCCGCTCTTCAAAGTGAAGCTCTTCGTCCGCCACTCTGATTTGCCGACAGATCATTTGGATCTATCGATTTTATTGTCCGCCTATCGACTCGCTAGCAAAGCAATAATTACGGGTCTTGCAGATCGAAAGAGAGAGAAGTTCCAGGAGGTGGCTGGTAATACGGCCCTAGCCCTAGCTACTCGCTGTTTTAGACAATGATTGGCGGGGTCAAATCGGCTATAAGAACCCCTTTATTTCCGACGTTTATTCTTCTTTCTCTCCAGACAAGATGCTGAATGCAAGCATCTATTTCCTTTCTTTTATTCTTTTTGGTTTATTTTTTTTCCCCCTTCCCATTTATTCTTTGTCCACTTGTTTTCTGAAATCCGTAGTGGCTTCAGGGTACTACACCCGGCGACGCACACTACGGATGTCGATTGCCGTCTGCTTATTGAATACCCAAGATCAACTTTGGACTCGAAACTGCGTGGTGGCATTCGATCAAAGACCCATCTCCCACCCTACGTGTCCCACGAAAGGTGTTTACCTACATTTCAAATCTCTCCCGGGTGGTGCGTGATAGGCGCACTGGGTGGCCTGAAGATTCCAGCAGTCAGATGGCCGTGGGTTCGACTCCCACCCCGGGCAAGGTCCTATCTCTTGTTCGACTCTCGAGGCATAATCCAGCGGCCTAACTCCCCGCTGGTTGTCCCCTCACCTCCCATGCTGTGTCAAGCCTAGCCAGCTTGATGGGTTTAAGGAGTCAATTGAAGTTTTATTGGATATGACCCGGTCGCAACTTCAGGATGGCTTCCTGATGCTTGAACCGGTGTTGAAATGAAACGGTTGCTGGTCTTGGTATCACGATAGAGGACGCTCGTTGGTGTATGTGATCGTATGAGCCACAAAAAATTAGTCGGCCCTGATGTCGTGCGGAAGAGACTGAAGAAGTTCTCATGCAAAGCTATAAATGCCAAATAATGTCGATCATGTCGGCACCATGTACGGAAGGGTCACCTCCCATGGCATGCTGTACTGATCATTTTGAAGTGGCTATTGTCGTTGTTGATCCTCGGAGAAAGCAGCTTTACTAGCAAATAGAATATACTCGCACAAACCTTTATGGCAAAGTAGGACGGGAAATGTCTGTCCACGTTAGTAACTGTCGCGCAGAAGTTGGGAAATGATGGTGTTCTTGTGGGATACTGCCCCCTTGTAGAAGCCAGAGTTCCTCAGATAGGGCTTCGTCATTGCAGCACAACAGCGCAATGCAAGCAAATTGTACATCGGCCTATTCACGATAAACGCAGGATGGTATCGTCCTCAAATTTCGTAATAGCCAAAGACGTTTTGAACTTTGCTCGTCATTCGTGCAACGACGAGAAAAAAAAAATTGTATTGGACTTGTTTGGCTTGTTCGTCGGTCGATCATATGCCCTTGACATGGCCATCGTAATGACAACTTGCAGCCTTTGGTCCAAGAGGTCATCTTCTGACTTGCGGTACTGCTGCTGCTGCGCTCTGAGAGTCCGCGTTCGTGTTGTTCACGCTCATCATGGGACGCTCGTGCAGGGGATTGCGGTTTCATCCTATGTTCTGTCGCAGCGACGATACTCGAAGGCCTGGTTGTCAGTCCTATTTCACAGGCAGGGGAAGCTGTTTGGTGGAATCAGACAGTCTCAACGTTCGCTTTCTCTAGTAGCACGGTTTGTTTCGTCGCCGCCGCGAAGACAGAGAAACAGTCCAAAAGGAGGAGTGGCCATCAGGGTTCGAATCTCTGGTCGCAGTGGCCAGTCGGGGCAAGTGCACCTCCTTCATCGGGTAAATGTCCTCAATTTTGTGTGAGGATACGCTGGTAGTGATCGCTGAGGGAATAGTAGTAGTCATCGCAGGTGGCATGTGTCCGCCAGGACCGAAATTATATCCGAGTGAGCGATGATAGAAGTCCCTGGGGATTTTACCCTCTTCAAAATATTGGTCGACAAGAAACCCAATACCAGTGCTTTGAGGTATGACTCTAATCTCGTCCTGAATAACATAGGCTGGGTCGTCAATCGCTTCAACCAACTCATCATAACCGGCCAACCAGAACAGGCTTTTGGCCGGTCCTATAAACAAAGCGCATTCTATTGCGAGGGCAGTCAGAGGAGAAATGTTGACGAAGAATTTCGAAATTCATGTCAAGGTACTTGCTCCGACCTCCATCGTCGTCCAAGTACTCTGCTATATCATCAGGGACTTTGCCAGGATATCCACTCCATCCAGTCCACACAAGTCGCAGGTTATGCCTTGGAAGATCATTCCAGTTTCTCTATCCCCCCGTGAAATGATTACATTTCCATCTTCGGTATCGGTGTCGCTTTCGTCGCGGTTTGCCTGCTTGTGACTGTCATCGGCAACCGGTTCAACAACAGAAGAGCTATCAGGGCTTTTCTCGACCCGCGAATGGCCCATAATGCCTAAAAGTATTTCGGTTTCAGCCAAAGGCAAAACTGGAAGGTGCTGAGCTAGGAAGAGAGAATAAAAAAGACGAGAAATACGAAAGAGAAGGGGGGTTGTGGCTCAAGCGAGCTACGCACGCTATTCCCAAAGAGGGACAAACAACTCTACACTCAGGTACCTACTATACCTATGTATCATTAAACATAGTAAAGTCGTTCCTTCATCCCAGTGAAGTTCCTAGATCCGAAGATGCATAATACCATCTTAGGTAGCTGTTCTCCGAGTTGTTAAGAATGTTGATCTATGTATATCCCAATGTTGACTGAACATAGATTTAACTGGGGCAACCGGTTTAGGCTCATTTATCGGGTAGCTCATCTATCGGGTAGAAACACCAAGAATTATAATCGTGAGCATGGTTACGCGATGCTTCAAGCACAAGACTAAGCTCATTCGTTGAAAGGCACAGCCACGTTACGAGGAATCTCCCAGGCAACTGATCTACACGTCACCCCGCAGTAGATAAATCAACGTATCTCCCCCACAATTTATCTCATCAACAACAGCCCAAAACTAAATTGAACAAAATGAGTGACCAGTCCACGATCGACACCGTCGCAAATCTCATCCGCAATGGTAAAGCCACTCGCATCGTCGTCCTGGCTGGCGCAGGCATGTCCACCGCAGCAGGAATCCCCGACTTCCGCACCCCAGGAACAGGTCTCTATGCCCGGTTGCAAAAGCTGAATCTACCCTATCCCGAGGCGGTCTTTGATATCAACTACTTCCGGCATACACCAGAGCCATTCTATGCCCTAGCGAGGGTTCGTCATCCACGCAGTCTCACGCCGACATTATCGCATGCTTTCCTGGCATTACTGGCGAGAAAGGGGTTACTGCACATGCTGTTTACCCAGAATATCGATGCTCTGGATGTGAGGGCTGGAATTCCGAAGGAGAGAATGTTCGCAGTGCATGGAAGCTGGGCTACACAGCGGTGTATGAAGTGCAAGGTTCCGTATCCCGATGATCGGATGATGGAGGCTATTAAGACTGGCACTGTACCGTACTGTCCGGTTGATGGATGTGGAGGCGTTGTCAAGCCGGATACTGTTATGTTCGGAGAGGCCCTTCCATCGAACTTCGAAACTGAAGAGCAGAAAGTGGGCGAGGCGGATTTGATGTTGATCATGGGCACCAGTTTGAAGGTTCATCCAGCAGCTAGATTGCCTGGTCGGGCCGCAGAAGGTGTTCCTAGGGTCCTTATCAACCTGGACAAAGCGGGAGATATTGGGAAACGACCGGATGATATGTTTATACTTGGGAAATGTGACGAGGGAGTGCAGAAGCTGGCGGATGCACTTGGGTGGAGGGAAGAGTTAGAGACGTTATGGAAGGAGATATCAACGAAAGAAGATGAGCAAGTGGATGTGAGCAAGGAACTGGATGCTGCGATTGAGCAGCTCAGCAATGTGATGAAGGAATCCAGGCAGGTTTCCACTGGGCATAAAAAGATGCTGGAAAATCACCTCGAGTCCAAGTTTGCTGGACTGTTATCCAAGAAGCAATCTTCTGGTTGAAGTGGTACACTATTTCTATATGTCAGCAAAAATGATAGAATGGCCGAGACCAAACTGCTTCTAAACGTATTTTAGGAGCCGAAATTCTTCCCAGTCCAGGATAGTGGCAACCGCATCGCAGATTCGACAGAGGCAAAGGGCACTTGACCATGGCGATGCTAAACCTATCTGCCAAGAGTTTCAGAATCTTACAACTGTGCAATGCCGGATGGCCTACAGAATTTGACTCTCTTCTAAAACGACTTGACGATGATTGCATCTTGGGAATTGGGAAATTTGTCTTATAATATATGTCTGGATTCTATCCACATTTTATGCGAAGCCCCTCATTATCTTTATTCAGTATCCCTCTTGCGAACAACAGAATCCTTGAAATATCTCTGATATCGCACAAGATCAAATTGCCCATCCTCCAACTCTTTGCTTTTTGGATCTCCTCCCCAGCAAAATGTCTGCGAATCCCCCAAGACCTCCCCACTATCTAGATAGACTTCACAAGAACACCGTGTATACGCAGCCGTTTCATACTCACTCAGTTTCCGCAACTGATCCGCCGTAGATATCCTCCAGACTGTTCCTGGAACCTTGCCTTCTTTCTGTGGCACGACCGCGGGGTATATCCCCCACATCTTGACCTTAAATCCGTATATAGACCCAGATTGGGTTTTTGGTGGCTCAGACAGATCGAGGACTGTTTGGAGGACTTCGGGGTCCATGAGGGAGCCGTAGAAGAAGAAATTGGTGTTTGGTTTGAAGGGTGGCGGCGGGTTTGTGGTATTATTGGAGATGGGTTTCGGTATTCCGGTCGATGATATTTTCGATGGAAAGGAAGAAATAGCACGAGGAGGGGGAGGTGGTGGGATGACGCTTTTGTTTACATTTTGGTTTGTGGTTGTTGTGATTGTTGTTGTCCATGTTCTAGATATATGGTATGTAGCGGACAGTGTCACAAGAGGATGCATGCAATATTTGCTGTCTCAAATGGATGCTATCGATGCTGTCTGAGGTCGAAGCCACGTATCTGACAAGTGATGGAAAACGATCTGATGATCTGGTGTTGCGATGCGCTCATGCGTTGTCGCTATCGCGATTAGCCATTTATAAGTCGACGCTAGCGCCTCCAAGAGAAAAAGCGTGACGCCTGCTATGAGCATCGGGGATCCCCACGTCAGTTCACCGATTTTTTTCATCAGTTGCCCTGGTTGGGTATATCAACGCTGGAAGAGTCGTTGAACCTGGATTGGAATATATAAACACCAGTCGAGTTGTTGAACTGACGGATATCCCAACTCAAATCCATTATGCGTGATCCAGCCGATCTCCCAGCTGAACTCTTCACCACCATCATCGACTACGCAAAGGATGGCTGGGAAAGATCTGCCCCCCAGCCGATAGGCATGTGCCATGTGAGCCATCGCCGGTATGATGCTGCTATTGAGCATTTCTATCATACGTACGAGTTCTCTGCCCAGACTCGTCTGTCAATCAATGTTCCGACACTAAGGAATTGCGAAAGATAACCTGTGAACTGCTCTAGTCAAAAAATAATAAACTGACTGAGCTGTGCATCTACAAGGAGAGTAGCACACAGTTGCCACCGACAGATATCAGAGATTGGAAAGACTCCGTCGAATGCAGCCCTCTTCCAACATTCAGCAAACTCACATCCGCATCTTTTCCCGGACTACCTATTGGCTAAATGTGACCATTCCAAGCAGCCGTTCAAACTGGCGAACCATCTTCCACTCACTCTCGAACACCTTACTTTGTTCCCAGCGGGAACTACGGAACAAATAAAGAGAGATTTTTTCGACCAGCTACTTTCGGTGGTGGAAAGCGGAACTGTCCCTCTGAAATCAATAACCATCAGCACGGAAGATCCCCAAATCCCAACTGTCTCTTTGTCAACCGACCGACGGGGTCCGTCCTCAGCCCAAGGACTCGCAGAGGCATGTGCCGAAAAGTGAATAAAATTCACAGTTAGACGAACAATGGTCCATTCCCTGGCCATATTCGATCCCGAGTTTAGAGCATCATGCGTGGAAGAGACAAGATTATGAGGAATACTGCGCGTCCAATATTCACGGGCTTGCAATGTACGGCGGATTGAGCCTAGCTACCAGTACACGAACTCCGGGGGAGGCGACTAGTACGATGATGACTCTTCAGATGATAGCTCGTTCATGTTTTTAGGCGGGGCGTTTATCTCCATGGGCACAAACACAAACGCAAACACATACAGACCTCCAGTGCGGACGACTATGCCTCCAGCGGGAGCATTCTTGCCCATGGGCGGAGCATACATGCCACCTGCGGGGACTTTCATGCCTACTGCTATTGACAGGGCTTTTACGCTGTCGAGCAGAGAGAAAAGAGTGCGACGTGGTGGTGGTATTGAAGAGAGCTCGCAGTATTATATCGATGGGATGAACAAGTTGTACCAAGACTACTTGGCTGACATTGGATATTGAGTCGACAGTGATGCATTATTATCGCATGACAGGTTTGGTTCGTTTTTGAAAAGATATTGTCTTTGGATCGAGACACGATGGCTGCACGGAGTATATTGAACAGGAAAATTCCACTGAAACTGGCGGGATGTATAGGGGATACTAACAACGACAAGCAATTTTCGGGGCTATCAGTATTATATTTTAAATTCGAGAATCCGGAAAGAAATTACTGCATAATCAAAATCTCATTTGTATCACCGCTACTCTGTAGATCGATGGAGCCTATCCAGCACAGGCCTGATATCGATCAATTGGTTAAGCGAGTAGACTTGGCACCCCTTTGTTACACCCCTTCAGCATCGCCACCAGAACAGGATTTTAAGATCTGGGAATTTGTTTCACGGACATGTTCTTTTTCATCTACATGCCTATCTCTTGTTGACACCCTACTGAGTCTGCTATTTCATTCAGATCGCAGTATCCAGGTTGTTTGTGGTCTCACTCTCCCAAGACCTTTCATTAGCAAGGGACGACCAGGCATTCCAGCTTCACTTCCATCATGCCCGACCCAGCTCAGCTACCAGTAGAGCTTTTCAGCAGCATCCTTGAAAATGTAATCGATAGACGGAAGAATACCCACCCATCGCCCATCGTCATGCGCGGTGTCAGCCATCGATGGAACCAAGTTTCATCCAGGCTATTCTACCAGTCCTACCGGTACCGCAAAGGCGATAAAGCGCAGTCTGTATGGGATTTCATGCGGACTATCTTCACGAATCCCGAGTTGGCATCGCTCGTGAAAACCCTTGATATCCGGGCCTGGGGATGCTGCGACAATCATCGGGATGCAAAATCAACTCATTTGTTTGAGTTCATGTCTGCTGATGATGAGGACTTTCTTCAAGAATGCCTTGTTAAGGCTGGATTTGGGGGCCTCGAGGCGCAGGCTCTTCGATTCATCGCGAATGAAGATTGTGCCCCTATTATGGCGCTTCTTGCTGCTTCCATGCCGAATCTGAGGAAGCTGTTTGTGCAAGTGCCGAAGAATGATCCCTTCTTCGGAAGGCTGATTAAGCTGGCAGTTGGCGACAAGGACAGCAAGTCTTGCACGAGGCCACTGCAAAAGCTAGAGAAAGGTTGCTTTGCCGTTCAGGGGGATTACGATGAATACCGCAGGATGTGTTACAAAGCAGACAACTTGCTTCACTTTGACATTTATCATACTCCTCTCAAGGAGATGGCTCCCATATTCTACCTGCCCAGATTGAAAAGCCTGACGCTTGTGAGCTCTCTTTTTGCCAACGCAAAGGAGATTCTGAAATTTCGCCCAATAGAGTCTCTCACCCATCTCGCCGTGGCGCTCGACCATAGAGCGAACCCCAGCGATCTCCGGGACATATTAGAGCTCACCAGAAACCTGACTAGCTTGTGGATCAACGCCCCAGATTGGAGCAATGTGCCCAACCCCCATGAGACCAGACACGCAATTTGGGAAAGCGCCGCAGTGAGAAAGGATACCTTGACCGAGCTCCGCATCTACGAAGAACGACAAAAAGAACTAGTGGAGCCAGCAGTGACTTCTCGGGGACAAGGATGTGTGTGGTGCTGTCCTCTGCTATCGTTCCACAACCTTACAACGATCTCCATTTCGCCGGAGTACCTGTTTGCCATTTGCGACCATGAGAAGCAGCCGTTCAAGCTTGAAAAGCACCTCTCGTCATCACTCGAGGCTCTTACTCTGTATCCAGTTGGGACACCCGAGAAAACTTCAAACAATCTCTGGGACAAGGTTGTATGCGTGATGTAAAGCGGATTGTCCGATATCGAATTCATCAAGCCGAGCACAGAGGTCGAAGGGATTGTGCAAATTATCCAGAAGGGAAATATGGTTTCCCTAGGATATCGATACGACCCGGCTGCCTAAAAATCAGTACGCGTCGCCCTGGAAAAGGGTATTGGCTTTGAGGTAAAGAGGCTTGCATCTATCAAGATGGCTGCTGTGCAGTCATATTTCCTAGCAGATTTGGGAGATGTACCCTGGAGGACTTTTGCGAAGGTATTGTCCCTTGGCGCGCAATAATTCCCGAAGACAGCCCAGTAAAGTTGCATGGGCGAGTTATATCTCAACCATTGGGCCGATATTGAATATTGATAATGAAGTGAAGGTATAATTGTATGATAAACATGTCTTTTGGGGGAAGCCATTATGGTCGCATGGGTGTGTGTATGCGACAGAAAAATCCACGGGAATGGGAATTAGCTATATCAATTGGCAATTTATAGTCGAATCTAAGTACACTGGACGAAGTTGTTGCCACTAGCTCCGTTATGAGTGATGAGACCAGCCAGCTCGCCATCGCTGTTGAACACCACACGGTCCGCGCCAGGCGAACCGCCACTGTAGACCTTCCCTGAGCTCAGGATAGGGAACTCATAATAAGTGCCGGAGACGGGAAAGTCGAAGCCCTCATAGTCGTGGTATTCGTGGGGGTAGTCATTGCTGCCAGCGGTTTCGCCTTCGGAGTAGAGCTCGTAACCTCCTTCTTTGGCGGAGTTGGCGGCACTGCTTGAGTAGCAGGTGCTACCGCAAGTGTAGTCACAAGCACGGGTGTCGAGTCCGCTAGGGGCAGCCAGGGAGACAGGCACGAGCAACAGGGAGACGAAGGTAAGGAGCTATGACAAGAATTAATGAATGCCCATGAGGATATGTACACGAAGTAGGTCATACCTTGCTGTATTGCATCTTGATCGACAAAAGGTGAAATGGAGGGTGTAGATCGGTGTAGATAAGGTTCAAGATGGGATCTTCAGCTGATCATCCAGTGCCTGAGCTGTGCAAGGCTGAGAAGAATGAATGAGATATTGTCAATTTCCTGCGACCGACAGCGGGTTTAAATAATTGAAGTTCAGCAAACTTCGCCAGGAGATCATGAGCTCCTGATGAGGAGGTCCTCCAGCATCCCCTTGACTGCCTCCTATCTGCTTACATCTCGCAGTTAATAATTGCCGATGTTACATCTTCGGAGCTCCCCGCGAATCTGAAGATGGCTCTGGGCGACGGGATTGGCAGAGACATCATGCAGGTCCCAGCATCATACGGAACATCCCCAATCAGGAACTTGCACCGTCCAGCTGTCCAGCGGTGTGAAACGATAGTCGAGGATATAGTGTTATCAAACATCAACCCACCACTGGCAGCGAAGACGAGGCGTGAAGAATCGAGTGGCCATCACAGCGTGAAGCTCTCAGGGTCTCTCCAGGGTCTTTTTGGCTGGCGATAATCCGCCTGTGAGATAACACCTCGTGACCTCGTTTTCCACGGCCGTTCCTGATTCGTCGCTCGGGATGGCCAGGGATAAACATCCGATCGGCCAATCAGAGGCTGTGTTTACGGCCACGGTCTATCATGTGCTTTTGCACTTTTGCATGGGAATATCTTCAGTTTCTCCGTTGGAGTATCATCTCTCGACGCGTCGCTTTGAGCTGTTCATTGCCACAGAGCATAATCGGCTATTATATTGCCCACAGGAAATTATCTATTCAATCCTGAAGCATCATTTCAATTGCTAGCGCTATCCACTATCTTATCCATGGTCATGCCCCGGGGTTTTGCGTTTCAGACGGAATCCGCAACACGGCCCGTCCCTCTACCTCATAGCGTTCCAGCTTTTCCATGACCTCGTTGATTTGCTCGAACTCAAAGGTCTCATAATGACTGGAAATGCGTCCCTCTGCGGCCATTTTCAGGAGATCCTGGACCTCATCCTCCGTCCCGACTGCGCTGCCGATAATTCTGTATCCACGATCCACGCAGGCCAAGGGCGAGATGGGAATGTGATAGTCTGGTGACGGAAGACCGACGCAGATGAGAGTACCAACTGGTCGTAGCAGCTTGACACTTTGCTCGTACGCACTTTCAAGACCCACAATTACGATTACTGCGTGGGCACCGATGCCATCTGTCATTCCCAGGATTTTCTGTTCCGCCTATGGAGATAAATCAGTAAGGGGTGACAGACAGGATGGGAAGCGTGTCGAAAACCTACATTGTCTTTGAAATCAACGAATGCCGTTGCACCCGAACGCATGCAGATATCCCTCTTAGATGCACTGGAACAGATTAACAACAATTTGAATACATTGGCAAGGAGGATAACTTACCCATCCACTGCAATTATGCGATATCCCATCTCTTTTCCAATTTGGATTCCTCTGTTGATTAAACGTAAGTGGGAGAAGATCGAAATAAGAAATTAAAAGTGACTCACAAATGTCCCAGGCCACCGCCTGCGCCCATGAGAACAACCCAGTCACCTTTCTCGCAGAATTTCTCGAGCTTGTTCAATGCACCATACATTGTTACACCAGCTAAATGACATCAGAACCTGAAGCAGACACCGGAGGAGATTGCGGACCATACCACATAGCAAAGGCGCAACAGCTTGGGGCTCTAGGTCCTCGCGGATGATGGATGCAAAATCGGCAGGAGATACAATATACTCTGGGTCAATTGTTAGCTTTGATTAAAATTTTCTCAAAATGGTATATTCCATACGTTGAAAAGTTCCCGGAACACTCTGCTTTCAATTAGCAACAATTCTTCGAGGTGGAGGTGGATTTGGAAAAATAGCTTACCCTCCCTGGGTTCTTCTGGTTGGGACAATTGGTATATTGAACTTTGCAAGTTGGGCAATTCTTGCAGCTGCTATAAAGCCACCTTTGAAACTGTCAACATGACTTGGATAAATGGTACAGGTTAACAACAAACTTACTTCACACCAACCCGTTTTCCCATCATCGTCGGAGCAGTATCGGGACCCACTTGAAGAAGTCAGGCTTTGATGATGAACGAAATGTGCAGTATTCCAAGCCACAAACCTTGAACCACTCTGCCAATTCCTTCATGGCCCGCGATGTTAGTGTTCATCGGCAGCTCTCCACTAATGGCGTGCAGATCCGAATGGCTGCAGAATTGATTAGCGATAGAAAAGAAGCGATAAAACGAAAAAGCCAATGAATATTACCAGAATCCTGTACATTCCAACTTGATCAATACCTCGCCTGAAGCTGGCTCGGGAACAGGTACATCATGCCGAATGTCCAATTTTGCATGAGGCCGAGGATTATCGATACAGGCCGCGGTTTGGTATTTGGGAATTGCCATATTGGTCAATGGTCCAATGGTCTATGGTTTGCTGTCCCCAAGGTTGGTAGATAAAGCAGAGTGGAATTCTTCAGCCAATTTAATCTGTGTTAGGTCGATTATCAATTCGTTTAACCCCGCATCGCAAGCTGCAAACCATTATTTCCGTAAATCCGCTACGGCAAAGATGAGGTGGGACCGGAAAATGGATTTGGGGGATTTCCGACATGGCCCTATCATTCTGCACATTGAAAGAAGACGACAAAATCATTGGAACGGTTACCTGGTCGGATATAAACTGGTAAAGCTGGGGTAGATGCTTTGTCGAAAAATCTTCATCATTCATCACATGCATGGGCTATTTACAACGATCAGCCGACAAAAATCTTAACCGCCCGAGACCTCCACGTCTGCGGTTTGGGAATCTCCATCTCTTCCTCAGGGACATATCTACTCCCCGTCCAAATATCCATTTCCTTCGCTCTAACAATCCGTGTCTTGTTCCAGAATTTGTACCCAACGACGAACAAGACAAAGACAGGAAGCAAGATATAATTGATGACGAAGTCGTTGACGCTAAACGGGTTGAGGAACGCCGTGTATCCCTGGAAGAAAATCAAGAATATGTTTCCTGCAAGAGATATATATGTTCCCCATGGGTAAAATGATGCTTGGTAGGGCAGCTTCGAAGGATCTTGTCCTTGTGCAACAAGCGCGTTACGAAATCTGATGTGACAGATTCCAATAACAGCCCAGACGATGAAAGTTGCCACTGCAACTGTCAGAAAAGGGAGCAATACTGGTTGGGAAAAGCAGCTTACCTCCAGAAAGTGTGATCAGGGCATTGTATATCACCCCCGCGTTTGAACCGAGTGACAGAAATACAATGCAGGAAAACACGTTGGTAAAGATCAAACCAACCCATGGTACACCGGCAGCGTTGGTTCGCCCGATGAATCGAGGGGCTTTGCCGTTGCGTGCCATGAAGAGCAGTGTACGAGAGCCGACATATAATGACCCGTTTCCTGCGGAGATGACACTGATAACGATGAGAGCGTTGATCAGATGCGCAGCGGGCAGAATGCCAGCGTCTGACAAAGCGATGGTCAAAGGTGAGCTGGCTGCATCTGAGCTCGAGCCTAACAGTCTACTGTCACTGTATGGAAGTAGAATTCCAATGAAGAACATGGTTCCTAGAGTTCATTACTAGGTGCCTTCGCGCCAAATCAAAATGGGAATGCTCACCAATATAGAAAATCAAAATACGCCAGAACACTTGGTTAATCGCCGTCGGAACCGCTTTCCTCGGATTTGCCGACTCTCCAGCAGTAACACCAACCCTAGAACTGTCAGTCTTTGTCGAATACAAGTCTTGGTTTGAACTCACATCTCAGTACCTGCATACAGAGTCCCAGCAACGACAAATGTTCTGGCAACCCCATTGATCGAATCCGCAAATGGCCCAGGATCATTCCAATACCTGAACCCAATCGTTCCGGGCCCGATCGCGCCCGCGCTGATGCAGATGGCCAAAATGAAGAAAACAAAGAGCGCAATGATCTTTATTCTGTCCGAGGTTTAGCCGATATCTGGGAAGTGGAGTGATGGGACTTACAATGAAAGCCAAAATTCCATTTCTCCATACGCAAGGACGCCCAAATTGGAAAGACCCAGGAAAAGTACCCAGAAGATCAGGATCCAGGCCCATTGGGGTACGGCGTCCGTCCAAAACCCTATGACGAGGGAAACGGCGTTATATTCATTCGCGAGGACCTTGTCTGTCAGCGGTCATCATATAAAGAAACGGAATGTACTCACAGTCACCCAGAGATACCAATAAGCCCACCCAAGTCCAAAAGCAAGCGAGTCATCGACAAATCGTTGCGCATATTCCGTGAATGAACCTGTGACTGGAATAGCCGTCGCCATTTCTCCAAGCGATTGCCTATAGTCCGTTAGATAAAAAGCGAACACACCCGTGGTTTGGTCTACCTACATGACAAAAAACACAATAATCCCGACCAAGGAAAAACTGATCAAGACACCTGCTGGTCCACCCTGACTGAGAGCACTGCCCGATCCAACTAGCAAACCTGGTCCGATAATCCCTGAATTAAAGAGTTAGCTTGAGACATACTAATCTCAGACATGCCCATTCATACCTCCAATTGCAATCATCTGCAGATGCCGCGATTGCAGCTTCCTCTTCAGCGGAGCTCCATCGGGATCGTGGTTATTTGACGTCTCTTCGTCCGGGGTAGCTACCCCCGCATTATCACCATTTGCATACTCATTAGCAGAGCGCGTGCGATATACGAGCCCATCTTTCCCCAATGAAGATGTCATATCCGCTAGTAGCAAAACCAAAGAAAGACACAAAAATATGAAAAAAGCACCACCGCAAGTCCACTGTCGGGACAGTACGACGTTGCGGAAAATTTCAAGGACACGTGAGTGCCATTGTGGTGCGACTGCAACGGGGGCGGTAATTCCAACCTCGAAGCCGAAAACGACAATTCATTTGTCGGGGATGTCGTGATATTGGGGTGACACAGCGTCAGCGGAGATCGTTGGTGTTTAGTGGCATTCCGGACCCCGCAATGTGATTATGCTGTTGATCAGAATAATTGCGCTGGTATGAATATGCGGAGTACGAAAATGTTTTATTTGAATTATCTTCACTCCAATTATGAATAGGATACCGGACGATGGCTTCATATTTTATGCTGACATGGTGAAATGAAGGCCTTTCTCAAAAAAATGGCGCTCATAACCTAAAGAAGTTTATTCAAATGTCATTATCTGGTCTATAAATAAGTGGATCAATAATGGCATTTATCTAATTGACCGAGGCTTTGGGACGACTTATCCCCCGAAACAACATCATATGCTGATGTCTAGATTCTCTTGTCGCTGAGGCCGAGAACGCAGCCCGTGGAAAAACCACGGATCACTATACAACGGTCAATATTTCCTTTTTAGTAACAGATGCCCTGATATCACTGAGCGCTTCATAATGATGTTTTGCAAAGGGCCAACTAACAGATTTTTCTCAATTTTTGCACGGTGATTATTGTCAGCAATCCCGATTCAACTGAACAATTTTTGGACAGTCCCTATACCAGTGCAAACGAAGATGAAAAAGCTAGATACACTGCGACGAGATGGTTGGACGATGAACGACCCGTTCTGTTATCTGTGTGGAATGCACCTGGTAGGCTGGGACACGCGATATCAAAGGGATGCAGAAGCCAGCAGAATCTTCACTGAAAAAGAAGAGTGGACTGAGGAGCTGAAAAATCATCAGCGTGTCCAGGGTAAGCCCGGTGATCTGGCACAATTATATTTCAGGATTCCCTGGATATGGCCTCGGCTTTATCGAACAAGTGGGTTTTAATTACTCCTTTTTGCTGGTAATTCTGGACAAGACACTGATGATCCTTGAAGTCTTCCAGCACCGAAGCCGTCATAAAATGCAATTCCATCTTTCAGGTGTAGCATTGTTCAATAAATGGAGCCGTGAAGTCCTGATTGCCCCAAGTGATCCAAACGAAATGATCCTTGGAAATCCTGGGCCATGTCGCGATAGATTTCTCGAGGCCTATGTGAAGAGTTCTAGAATGAATGAGCGACAAAAGTATAGCAATGCATTCGCATATCCAATTCACGAACGATGCTGGTCTCTGATGACACGAATTCTTGATGTTGATCTTATCCAACAAAACCTGGACCTGTTTGTGGAGGTCCTACTGATCAGGTCCAACATAAAGATATATAACTTGTACAAGATCTTTTGCGAAGAGCTGTACTGGATGGGATGGCTTGAATATGTTAACTACTCACCAAAAACAGACTGGAAGCCGTATACTGAATGCTAGGGGAAAGGTTTGGAATGCTCGGATCGTGGCTATGCACACAGGGACCCGTTTAGGATCGCGGAGCTGCGAGATCTTGCCAGAGATCCAGAGGCTTTCCAGCGGAAGCACGTAAAGAAAAGCAATAACTCCAGCCAGATGAGTGTCCGTAAGAAACGGAAAGATCAGAAGGAAATGGCTACCCAACAGAAGCCAAAAACTCATTCAATGGTTCTTCGTTCGAAGTTTGAACCCGAAAGTGTTATCGTCCCGACGGAAATCATTCTGACGATTGCCGATTTTCTCACGGACAGTGCTGATTTACGCATGCTTCTTTGGGTCTTTCCGTCCTGGGGTGAAAGTATCCCACCAGGCTATTGGCGTGCTCGATTCATCAGGGATTCCATGTTGGAAAAGGAAGAGCTCTCGAGCGATGGTGGTCTGAATTGGAAATATATTTATTTCAACATGGACCGTCTACTTGCAAATTCGCATGGATGGAGGAATCGACGACGGAGTATGAAGATCCTTGAAGGAACAAAGGCCCTTTTTCTAAAGCACCTGGCGTCATACGATCTGTCGTAACGAGGCCAACCAGGCACTGCTTAATTTCTCAGGTGGATTTGATTGCGAGCTTCCATATCGTCCATGATTCTCACGTTCATCCTTATTGACGCATCTCTTTTATCTGCTTGTCTATCTCCGTTTCCTTTATTCGCTGGTCGCGATCGAAGAGCTCTATATTTAGTTTGTAGATTCCACCAATCCGCCCCCAAATCCTCGTGAACGTTGATCACTGCAGAGCTGGTGACGTATTCCCCATCGTCTGTTTGATTAGAATAAGTCGAGTTGAGCGGAGGGAGGGCTGAAAAGGTGAACTAGAAGACCGAAGGTCCTGTTGGGAGAAGTTGGTTAGCGACAGACAGACAGTATCATTACACAGGAACAGACCAGATAATCAAGAAAAGACTGAAAGTTTGTCTGGAGGGCTGCTTTGGTGAGCCTATTTTGAGGTTTGGAGAGCGACGTAGCGGGGGTTTGTTTGCTGGAGGTTGCCAGCAGAAATTTGGCATACAATCGGTCAAAGACGACATTATCCAGGAGAACATCCATCAGGCAACACGATCTCTACCAGGATGAGCCAGTAAATATTAATATTCAGGATATGCAAATCCGGATCACGCGATGAATGATATTCCCTATAGCAAATATAGATAGCCAGACTATTTAGCGATTCAAGAGCAAATCCGAATTTCTATCCTGCAAATACAGGCTACTGATCCTCCCCATTTTACGCTCTCAGAACCCGGTTGAAAACAACACGAACAGCTCTCAGAAATTGCACATTGCGACGCCGAAGCTGAAGAGAAGGTGAATCTGTGATCAGCTTCGCATTCTCGATGATATACGGCCAGTCTATCTCCTTCCAGCGGATTTGGCCAATCTCAAAGCCCATCTCTCGTGGAAAACGACCCTTCCAATAGCTGTCTGGAATGTACCATTCGAAACCAGACAGCAGTCCGTTTATATCCTTTTCACGTTGGAGCGTGTCCAGAATCAAGTATTTTATCTCAAGTGGTAAACTGTGGTAAACATGATTTTCCGAAGGACACGGAGATCGAGTCTCACCCGTGCCCCTGTCGTTTTTCTCTGTTCTTCCTCGCCTCGTTGCAGTTAGAAGAATATCTTTCAGTCTAGGTACATACATAGGATCGTTCAGATAAGAAGGAATATCGATTGGTTGTAATGTCCAGTCCCACCTGTACCGCGTATACTCGTAATGATACCACGTGTCGCTTAATAGTTCATGAGCGCCCCCGACCCATTTGAGCCGTAGGGCTTGCACCAGAAGATCCAGGTGCTTTTCCACCTGGGGCCCAAAGACGTGCTCTATCAGCTCCCAGCACCGGCTGTGAATGGTAAATCCGTGCAAGCCTTTGTCGTAGTTTCTCGATGTCCGGAAGTCTGCCGGATACACGTCGATAACTTTGGAACTCAATGACGGTTGTCCGATATAACCAGCGTTGCGGTTTGGAGGGACACGAAGAACGCCTTCCTCTTGCTCAGTTCGAAGAATATGGTGTGCAATCCCTGATAAATGATAGCCTGCTGGGATGGCGGAGCTGCCGTCGCTTTTGAAGACTGGAATACATTTTCAGATCCATCACTTCACTTGGCATGAGCATAAAGTACTTACTGGCTCGGTACAGAGAAGTCCGAGTCTTGAGATTTAGAAATTCACGCTCAAATCGAGTGTCTTTCGAGTGATAGACATACATGTTCGTTTTTCGATGCTTTTCGGGAGAAGTCGATTCTTCATCTGTGTGAAATCGTCACCTCGCCGATGTCTACCCCTCGGGGGTTTAAAAATCCGGATACCACACACGCAGCAATGATATTGAGGCACTAGAAGGCCGTATTTCTGATGCTCCTCTATCATTCTGTTGGTGTCCGTTTTCTCGGTTATGATCGCAGTTCTTGTTCCGTCCTGTTGAGGTTTCGATCACATTGCCGAGGTATATCAGGTGTGTTGAGGTCATGCTGACCGGATGACTGCAATTCTAGGCACCGGTTGATGTTATTCCTAAAGTAGCCATCAATATTTTTAAAAACGTCAAATATTGTCATCATTTTCTCCCTCTTCTCCTTCGAGTTCGTTTGATCGCCCGTTCGGCAATTGTGGAGCATAAAAAACAGTCGCGGATGTCACCAGAAGGCGCTCGACATCGCCGAAATTGTCCACCGCCACCGGCGAACATGAATCTCGATTGACCAGAGTATTCACGGTGGAGATCGTTGAGTTTTGTTTTATTCTGCTGCTGTCAAGGGAAGGCGTCTTTTGTATGGAAATTGTTGTTGGGAGGCGTAGAGAGAAAGAAGATAAATCAGAGCTGTTGGTTGTCTTCTGCTCAACTGGCAAACCGTCTTTCTTCTCCCCCTCCACCTTTCAACATGCGCGCAACCAAAACAGCGGCCCGACTCGTTTCTCCCCACTTCACCCGAGATTTATCAACAGTATCTAGAGCTCGAGGATCAGGTCTTCAGATAAATTCAGATCGGCTATGGGAAACACTGCACGAGACATGCAAATGGGGTGCAGCGAACCGATATGGCGAGTATGTCGCATCCGTCGTCTAATCCATCTTTCAGATATTAATAAAATAATCGAAACAGCAAGCCTACGGACACTGGCATGTCCCGATTGACACTATCAGATGATGATGCGCGCGTCCGACGGTGGTTTGCCAGCGAGGTCGAAAAGTTGGGATGCACCCTCACCGTCGACCAGATGGGGAACATGTTCGCGCGTCAAAGTGGTCAATTGAAGTCGCCAGCACCGATGACAGCGATGGGAAGCCATCTTGACACTCAACCCCGGGGTGGTCGATATGATGGGATTTTGGGCGTGGTTTCTGCATTGGAAGTTCTACGAACCATGCACGAGAACGGGTTCAAGACAAACTATGATGTCGGAGTAGTCAACTGGACAAAGTAGGTGTTTTTCTGTTTTAGACTTTTCTTTCAACCAGCTGACTGAAGCGTGCTACAGCGAGGAAGGGGCTCGGTTTCCAAAATCGATGTGTTCTTCTGGCGTTTGGGCTGGCGCGATTCCGATCGAAAAAGCCTGGAATTTGACCGACATTCACGACTCAAAAGTCACACTAAAATCTGAATTGGAACGCCACGGATATCTTGGAGCAACTGCGTGTTCGAGTGACCCAGCTACTGGCTTCCCATTGGGCGCCCATTTCGAGTTGCATATCGAGCAAGGGCCCATATTACCTGAGAACGGCAGATACATAGGAGTAGTCCAGGGAGCGCAAGGATACAAATGGCTGACTTTCACCGTGACTGGGAAAGATGCGCATACGGGAACGACGCCTTTCAGTGCGCGTCATGATCCGTTACTCGCAGCATCGAAGATGATCGTGGCTTCTAACGCAATTGCCAAACGACACGGCGCGTTGGCCTCAACCGGAATTATCAAAGTACCCTCGAATGCCTCTACGAATACAGTTTCTTCGGAAGTTGTTTTCACCTTGGACGTCCGCCACCCAGAAGATGGTGTTGTGCATGCCGTTGAGCAGGAGTGCCTAGAATCGTTTGCTCGCATCGCGACTGAGGATGGGAAAGGCGTCACCTTTGAATGGACGCTGGAAACGGACTCTCCGGCAGTCAAGTTTGATGAATCGGCTGTTGGGGCTGTCCGTAGTGCTGCAGACCAGCTTGTAGGAGCTGGTAAGTGGATGGAAATGACCAGTGGAGCTGGTCATGATAGTGTGTATACCAATCGACACTGTCCCACTGCGATGATTTTTGTTCCGTGCCGTGACGGGGTCAGTCACCATCCAACTGAATACTGCAAACCCGAAGATTGGTAAGTTCCCAACGAGATATTTTCTTCGTATTTGCTAACAAATCCAGTGCCCTTGGTACCCAAACTCTACTAGAATCCGTTGTAAACTACGATCAGATGCGGATGGAGAAGAGATAAATACTTTGGTCGGTTTTATTTTTAGCAAATTTCGGGCATTACAGGATAGCCATGTTGTATTCCATAGTTTGACCATGGAATAAAAGGAGCAATTTTCGTACAAGCCAACAATGCTTGAAAAACAAGATCACTCCATGTGTAGGAAACCGGTAAAGACAGACACTCGCTTTGTCGCAAAAACAAACACTGCGTGTCCAACGAAGGCGCACCCACAATTTCCTTTCATTTACGTTTCTTCGACTCAAACAACAAAAATTGATGAAATGTGCCATGGAAAGGCGCAAAAGTTGATAGAAGGCGCTTTTTTTCCCACTTGTTCTCTTTGCCCCATGGCCGCCCCTCATCGGATCATGTCGCTAGAAGGCGCCCAAGCCAGGCCATGCGTGCTCCAAGAAGGGTCGCATTTATTCCGATCTGACTATCGTGACTATAAATCAAACTCTTTTCCTACATGCTCTCTCGAATTAACCATCTCTGCTTCAAACCTAGATTCAATAAAGGCAGTGTTGCCATCCTCCCTCCAAATACCACCACAACTCCCCCGCAATGCCCTCCTCCCGACGACCAATCTATCTCAACCCAGCCGCTGCAAACGAGCGCTGCACTTTCCCCGCTGTCGACGGTCTTGAGCAGTTTCACAAGTCTCTCCCAAATTATAATCCCACACCGTTAGTCCCACTTCCTCAACTCGCGACAGAGCTCGGAGTGCGCTCAGTTTTCGTGAAGAATGAAAGTAACCGGTTTGGTCTACCATCTTTCAAAGTCCTAGGTGCTTCGTGGGGATGTTATCGAGCCGTCGCATCGCATCTGGGACTTTCGCCCACTGTCGACTTTGATGAGCTATCAGCCAAAGCAAAGGCTGTTCCTATTAGCTTGTTTACGGCTACGGAAGGGAACCATGGAAGGGCTGTCGCTTTTATTGCCAGACTTTTGTCTCTCGATTCTCATATCTATGTTCGAAAAACCATGGACGATAAAACACGCAGTTTTATCGAAGGTGAAGGAGCGCGAGTGCATAAGGTGGATGGGGATTACGATACTGCCGTGCAGGAGGCGACCGATGCTGCTAGGAGGACTGACGGTGGCCTTTTGATTCAGGATACAGCCTTGGAAGGATACAAGGAGATTCCTGGATGGATTGTGGAGGGGTACTCGACCATGATGGGGGAGATTGAGACTCAATTATCTGAGTTAGGTCTGCAGAGCAGCGTCATAGTTACTCCCGTTGGGGTTGGCAGTCTTGCACAGGCTGTGACGATGCATTGCAAGTCCCAATCTAACCCGACTACTGTGGTTACAGTCGAACCTGACTCGGCACCCTGTCTTTACTCCAGTTTGAAAGCCGGGAGTTTGGTCTCCGTCAAAACATCTTCAACGATCATGGACGGCATGAATTGTGGAACAGTCTCGCTGACTGCTTGGCCATACCTGCAACGTCTTGTTGATGCTTCTGTGACGGTTTCTTGTCATGAAAGCCATTCCGCGGTACAGTATCTTGCATCGACGTCGGTGGCCGCTGGTCCCTGTGGGGCTGCATCGTTGGCAGCATTACGACAGTTAGCTGCCACCAGAGAGACTGGATCTCCTCTTGCTAGCGACTCTGTCGTCGTTCTCCTCTGCACTGAAGGTACACGCGAGTATGCCACCCCTCTGGATGTATCTCCAGAAGACGCAGTTTCCCTCACACAAATGCTCACGGCTATCGACTCATCGAACCCTACGCTCTCGGTTGCGGACGGTGTTGGGGAAAGCAAAATAGTGGAATATATGGAGGCATGGTTTCAACATCGAGGGATTGAGTATCACCGGATTGAAACAGTCCCGGGGCGGCCATCAATTGTGGGCGTTTTGCGTGGAACTGGCGAAGGCAAGTCGTTGATGTTCAACGGCCATCTCGATACTGTCAGCCTCGCAAGCTACGAGAGAGACCCGCTTTCCGGCTTACTGGGGGAGAAGAATGGTCGTCCGGTCGTCTTTGGAAGAGGTAGTCTGGACATGAAAGGAGGCCTTGCCGCCGCCCTCACGGCCATGTCTGCAACGATTACCAGCGGCCGCATTCCGAAGGGCGATGTGATCATTGCTGCCGTTTCCGATGAGGAAGACGCCTCGCAAGGGACCCAAGACGTGATTGCTGCTGGATGGCGCGCAGATGCAGCTATCATTCCCGAGCCCACGATGGGATCAATCATCACCGCCCACAAAGGATTTCTGTGGGTAGAGGTCGACATCCTAGGCGTCGCTGCCCATGGATCCATGCCATTTGAGGGAGAAGATGCAATTTTGAGTGCTGGATGGTTTCTGCGAGCAATTGAAGAATATCAGAAACATCTCCCAACCGACGAAACCTTGGGTCCAGCATCTCTTCATTGCGGCTTGATCCGGGGTGGCGAAGAGCCATCCTCGTACCCTGCAAACTGTACCATCACCATAGAATTCCGCACTGTCCCCTGTCAGACACAGCAATCTATCCTTGATGACATGAACACCTTGCTGGCGGATATTTCAAAGGAGAACCCCCGTTTCCGATACGCAGCGCCTCGGGTCACCATGTCTCGCCCGACGCAAAAGCTCCCCTTCGATCACCCTCTGGCTCAGAGAGCGGCAGACATTGCGACTCCAGTTTTTGGGTCCCGTCCTTCCGTCAAGAGCCAAGCATTTTGGTGCGATGCGGCACTGCTGGGTGAGGTTGGGGTTCCGTCAATTGTATTTGGTCCGGCTGGCCATGGGTTACATGCGAAAGAGGAATATGTCGATGTAGAAAGTCTCAGGCAGATGGAGCAGGTTTACATCAGCCTTATCTCAGACCTTTGTCAGTAACATCTTGTATTTTAGATATAGTCGTGTCTTGAGTATATATATATTTTTCTTGAGGAAGAATGGAAGTCGTGCGGAGCTTTCGAATATGGCCCTCAGTCCACTGATCCCGCTTTCGAATACTTTCCGAAAAAGTAAATATGCATGCCACCGCCTTTATCGTATCTTATTTGACATATAAAGCAGAAGAAGATTGAACATTTTATACTCCTGTTAATGAGTAATTTGTGATTGGCTGCTGGCCCAAAATGAAGGATCCACATGCCCCATCAGGCTAGACTGAGTCAATGACTCAGCGATCTTGGTCTTTCATCTCCAGAAAGTCAACTTTTCTCAACTTCCACAAACATTTCCTGGACTCGGAGTTTCCAATTATCGACATGTCATTCTTATCCTATCGCACCTAGAGATCATCCATAGCGGAAGGAGCATTTTTGGATCATGGAAGGTCACCATGGGTTCGACCAACGACATCCTCCACCAGAGGACCCGCAGAATCCCGCCTTCGAAGCCGTGGCCGATGGGAATTTGTCGAATTTATCCAACGAGTGGTCGCGGAACGTAGACGTGAATTTCGACTGGGATGTATTGAACGACACTTATCATCCTTTCGTGGACTTTCAAAATGGAGAATGGCCTCATTTGACGATACCCGATGATCCCAGTTTCTATCAAAATCTTCCAACATCAGCAGTGCCAGATCAAACCCAATATTCCCAGAATTTAATGAACGATGATATCGGGAACCCTCAATATCTCTCCCACAATTCACAGGCTGCAGTATACCCAGACTTCAACAACGTGTCACAATGGCTTGACGGAGCTTATTCGCCACCAAAACCCTGCAGCTACTGTCGGCGGCACCGGCTCCAGTGTCTGATTATTCGCACTGCTCCGGCTAACCCAAACCCCATCACTTCGTGTTCTAGCTGTGTGGCCTTGTTTCGAGAGTGCAGTCTTGCTCGAGGAGAGAAACGTCAACCATCGGGGTTTGAGACTATGTCTCCTGTCTTTGGTAATCTCCATGGACTTGCGGAGGATGTGGACGATGTGGTAAGCATGTCAGGTTTTCATTAGAGACGTGTCTGACTTTAGGTGGCAGGTAGGGCAAGTGGAAGGTTCAAGGGGAGTGGTAGGGCCAGAAGAAGACCGGAAAGAATCGAAGCAGTTTGTGAGAAAGGGGGCAAGGGTGTTGAGGGATTGGTACCGCCAACACCAAGAATATCCCTATCCGTCCGAAGGGGAAAAGAGCGCTCTTGCAAACGAAACTGGATTCTCAAAGCAGCGTGTGTCAACGTGGTTTGCAAATGCTCGCAGGCGACAGAAGCAAAAGTTACAGTCTTCACGGCCGCCGACTCAAGTCTTCCGTTCCGGCTCACCTATGCCTTCCATGACACCGATGGAAAGATGGCAAGCATCTCCACCGGAAGATGAAGCCGTTCCGGAATCGGCTATTCAAAACGCTATTGCAACTAGTGGGCCTGGCGTTGACATGAGCTCGAGCTTATCAGAGGCCAATGATTTCAACTATCTTTTTAATCTGGACGAAAGTTCGTCCCATCTCGATTCCTCTCTCCCCAGTGTCGGGAGCAGACAATCCGAAGCATCATCCGACAGTCAGTCATCTGCTTGGAGTCATAATTCAGCAGGAGAAGGCGGCTTACCGTTTCCTTCACTCCCGAAGCGAACACGGCTAAGGCATAGACGAGGCCGTCAACGACGAACAACAGAGGAGGGTCCCTATCAATGTACATTTTGCACGCAATCGTTCCAGAAAAAGCACGACTGGTCAAGACATGAAAAAACTGTACATCTATCGTTAGAATCATGGGTTTGTACACCGGATCTGCTTAACCTCCAATCGTTGGCACCGACGTCAGCTGAATGCAGGTTCTGTGAGACCACATCCCCATCTCAAGCACACTGGGAGGATCACGAATTTAAAGTCTGTGCGGCGAAGCCTATAGAGGAGAGATCATTCACACGGAAAGACTATCTATGGCAACACTTGAAGAAATTTCACGGATGCACAAAGTTACCAGTCGCGCGACTGGAAAGTTGGCGATGCGAGGCCAACAATGTCTCAAGTCGATGTGGCTTCTGCGAAGCGACATTACCAAACTGGTCAACACGGATGGACCATCTAGCTGGGCATTTCAAACAAGGGTTACGGATGACACAATGGGAAGGCGACTGGGGGCTGGAACCATCCGTTCTGGCATACCTACGGAATGCGGCTTTGCCTTCTGAGAGGATGATGGCAGCTGGACTTTCAGGTGCTACTTGAATTGGAAAACCTTCTGCCTCTATCCATTTACATGATTGTGCCGCTGAGGGCTGCCGGCCACGAGTATCAGGCTAGGCACTATGGACCCTCAAGGGTATCGTTTGACGCGACATTGAATGTTTATCGGATCGCAAATTCAACGGAATCATGGATGTCTGACCCGAAAGCGATTAGATGATTCTACGACTTTGGAGGATTGATATCCCCTTACCTTGTGTCGATACTATCCAACTGCCAATCTCTTAGATCAAAAGCTCCATCCCTCAGCAGTGACTGGTCAACAGCCCATTTGAAGGTCCTTCCGACAACTGCTTTGCCGCCTTCTAACTCAATCACACACGGGCTATTGACGTAATAATCTGATTCGTACGCCTCAAGATACCTCTGCTCCGACAGCGATCGAACTTCGTATGCCATTCCTATCACCACAGCATCTTCGGAGCCGTCCAGTAACGCAGGGTACGCTCCCCAAAGCTTCAACCTGTACCTGACTATTCTGGCGGGAATAAGCTCTGGTCTGTGTGGTCGTTTGATGACTCTAGCGAGGGTGGACTGGTCCATCAGTGAACCGTAGAGGAAGTAATACTGTGACTGGAAAGGCTGCGGCACTTCCATTCTGATTATAGCGTCGGTTGTCAAGTCACGACTGAGTTGGGGTGTGAAGAAAAGATAGGCAGCTATTGCGTAACTCTTCCCGTTAACCAACCATGGCGCAAAATGCTGTCCTTACTCGGATCCATGGTACCTGTGATCGGAAATAGGTCAGTCTAGGCAGACCTTGGGTGCCTAAATTGAGCTACTTGGCTGTGCTTTGTTTGAATATCATCTCACTCACATTTCAATTTCACCTCGGCTTCATCGCATCCCGACCAACTATCTTCAACTTCCATCAAGTAACTTACGAACCAAGCAATTACAATGAGTCAAGACTTTACACCAGCCGCCCTTCTCATTCCTGAGCTCCTTGAGCTAATCCTTCTAAGTGTCGACATGCAAACCCTCCTCACATCTCAACGAGTCTGCCGTCTGTGGCACAATCTGATCAATATCTCCAAACCTCTCCAGAAAGCACTATTCTTTCTCCCTATCGAACTAAACCCAAACACTGCACGGAAAACGTACACTCGCAACCCGCTTATCAGAAAGATCCTCTGGCCGAACTTCATCTGTTCCACGCCTCTCAGCGAAAGCACAAGATATCTTGACAAGTACCAACGAAAAGAAGCCAGTTGGCGACGGATGCTAATGCAGCAACCACCAACATCGATAATCGGGATTCTCGAATATTACCCACCCAAAAGAGGAAGATGGTACAGCAAAATATCAGTCAAGAAAACTGGTGATCATCTGCGCATGGGTGTTCTCTGTGATCCTATTCTGGGTGGTGTGCTTCGCCCGTGTCCAAAGCCGTGGCTATTTGGGGACCAGCCGCGGCTTCTTGGGCTTTTGAAAGTATACTGGCAGGATTGTGAATATTTACTCCACCATGTTTGCGATGTTGTGATTTTTGTTTCTTCGCTTCATTCTCTCTTTTCTTCTGAAGGACTGTCCTATGGTCAAACCTCCCCGGAGAGGTGGTTGGAAGGGCTTCAAAGAGCTCCGACAGAATACGATATTCAAGCTTTGGATAGATTTCCATTGGATTGTAATTATGGCCTTTGAATTGATCATAGTCGGAAGATTCTTTAGAAGTTGCTTAAGTTCCACGAGTGTACATAGCCCGCATCAACGAAAGCATGAATGATTTTTTCTTAGCCAAATTGAAACACGGGAACTGATGGGAGAAAAAAATTATCAAAAACTTCTTCTGAGAGCTGTATAAACTGCCTCTTGTAATGAAGTTCGCGGCGCCAAAAATACCTCGACGTTCTAATCAATGTGTATACCGATCCAACTCCCTGACCGACGTCTCGATACGATACGAAAGCAATTCGATCTCCTTCAGTTGCTGATCGGCGTTCTCTGAAACTCTTCCAGTTTCCAATACTTCTAGATCTTCCAAAAATCCTTTGATCTCTATTTGTGTTTGAGAATGCCGCCTTGTATGTAAGCCTTCGATATCGCACGCTGCTCGAGGGTCGGAAGGACAAGGGCTGTGCCTTGCAGCCCGTCTCGATGTAGCGACACAAAGAATCTTTCGATTTTAATACCCTGTCAGTGAAAGGGAAATGTTAGCCGTGTTGCCATAGAAGTGGAATGGGTCTGGTTTAATATTAATCGAATACCTGCTTTTGTCGTAGCAATAGCTGTCGTCAGCAAGACCTTGTTCCGCATCCATAAGCGTCATATCAACGGCCTCAGGCTCAAATACCTCTTGCTGAAGCTTGAAACAGTGTTATTCCACGAGGCTTGGACTCTGTACGCTTTCACCGGATGACTGAGTGTGCTAGTTCCTCCAGACAGGGTCATATGAGGGTAGATGATGAGCCTAGAGAGGTTCTCGACATTCTCACCTCGAGTCTGACCTTCTGTGAAACAGCTCCTTGTTCTCATATTGCTATATCCTTGAGTTCCCGGGACGCTGTCACCTCGCGATGAGTACCCCTCGTAATTTCGACTCTTGCGCGAAAGGTCTCTGCGTCTGAACCATCTTGTACCTTTTATCGTTGGGATATAAGACAGTCTCGACCTGGGAATTGCTTCAGGGTTAGTCTATGGAGCTTATTCTGAGGTGTGAACCCATGAAAGAGCGGGCAGGAATTCACCACTCGTGGAAGCCGTTGTTGACTGCGTGCTCACCTGGCGAAAAACTGAATCCGTGAAGTAACTGTAATTTCCAGCTACCACACCAAACTTGAATCCCTATATGAATGAGAATGACAGATGTAAAGGTGGCTTTGTTTGAGAATAAGCGTGTGGGTGGTCAAAGTCGAAGGACTCGCTCGTCTGTCCGAGATTGGGAAGGCGAAGCCCTCCCACGCCAGATTGTTCACATCTTCGCTCGTGCTGGTTTCGATTTCCATTCATGAAAAAAATTATTTGCCAAGAAACCGCAATGCAGAGAGAATATGTCTTTGTCGATCTTTTAATTTATTTGGATAGTGGAAGGAATTTCTTTTTATTGTTTCTTTGAACTTCTATATACAAAATTTGGAAGGACCGAGGACTTCAGAATACTAGAAGCAATGTTCAAGTCAACGCGCACAAGGGCACTTTAGAGTTGTCTCACGGTCGAGAGGACTGAAGCTGCTTTGTTGCTCATCATGCGTCCATGGCTCCTTGTTATGGTTAAGATTACTCAGAATTGACAGAATTGACCAAATTCAAGCCACACACAAGGACTTCAGAAGGGATGAGCAGCATTTGTCAAGTCAGCGCACCCGAACGCACTTTAGAAAAGCACAGTCGAGAGGACTGAGGCTGCTCAATCGTTTCATCACTAGTCCCTGTCACCCTGTTATGATTTTTTTGAAATAATGGAAAGGAGAGAACGGTGGACTCAGAGTATGGAGCAGAAAGTGTTCAAGTCACCGCGCCCGTCGGCACTTTAGAATCTCACAGTCGAGAGGGCCATGCTGCTTTGATCTCATCATGCGTCCGTGGCACTCTGTTACGCTCGCTTCGCGCAAAGGCGAAGATGTATGAAAAAGGACTTCAGAAAGAATGAGCAGCAAGATTCAAGTCACCGCACGTGTCGCAACTTGAAGTTATCACAGTCAAAGACTGGGCTGCTTCATCGTCTCATCACCAGTCCATGATACCAGAACGATTCCATCGAAGGACTCAGCTCCAGTGTGGTGCCCCGATCTCCCTTTATGTCCTCCACCTTATTCGTTGTTTATTATGTATAGTATCCTCCGCGGTCTGTTCAACTATCAGCCAAGTCCAGCTGCAAAGCACGAAAACAAGGAGCCCTTCCTTCCGACACCAGCTCTCTTCCACCTCGTTAGAGGGGCCTCTCTCTGAGCATACGTGGGTGTCCGGAAGAGGCTGCATCCGAGTTTGAGGGGGGCAATGACGATGAAGGAGGGAAGGAATGGGCAGTGACAGGAAGGGGTACTTAGCTTCTCCTTGTATGTTGTCGATGTTTTAATATGTTTCGTGTGTGATGGTGATGGGAGACGAGGGGAAGAAGAGAAAGATGAAGAGAGGGCAAGGGAAGGGAAGAGGGGAAGGTGATGGGGATATTGTGTAAGAAGCTCGTAGAGATCCCGTAGAATCTCCAGATGAGCTTTACTGTGTTAGTATGAGCTTGTATAGGTACCTGTGTTAGTAGGGGACGGTCGAAAGAGGTCGAGATATACAGCGCTGGCGCCAGTGCTGACGAAGCCGAGGAGGAGTAGGAGGAAGCTGCAAAGGTTAGTGGTACCTGCTGTGATATTAGCAGTAATTATGGGATAGAAACCAGCAAAGCAAACCCCGCAGAGAACCAAAAGGCAGCAAAATATGAAGCAAAAACCAAAGGAAAAAGTGTGAAGTGGATGTGGGAGAGAAGGAAAAAGAGAAGAAGAGAAGAGAGAGGAGAAAAGCAACTTATTTTCTGGTGGTAGAGCCTCGCTTAGGCGACAGTGAATGAAGAGGGAGCCTGGGGCAGAGGGGGGTTTCCTTTTTGGGTAGGGCTTGTTGGGGGACTCGTGCTCAGTTGATCGATATCGATATCGATATAGGAGAAAACCAACAGAAAAGCACGAGTAGTACTGGCTACGGCGACAGCTAACACTCTTGATGTCTTGGTGAGAGATCATATATGTAGACTTGAAATTATATGGAGTAGATGAATATCACGAAGATATAGTTGTGACTTTCTAGGCTAGTAGTTGCCTAAATCTCGCTGAGCAGGCATGACGGTCGAAGATAGAAAGAGGTACTACGTTATAGGATCGAGCGGACCGAGAAGTATTCGTGTTTCCGTAGATGAGAGATATTAAATTGGAATTATACAAAACAGATTTCTAGCTATCATATAGTCCAAAGTATATAGCTACAGAAAATAGAGTTAACCCATATCTGTCGCACGACGAGTTCCAGGATCACTAATGTCGAGCCAGCTGAGGGATTCAGGGCAATTCTACAAGCGCTGTGACAATCTTTTGATAAACGTCTCTCCCCATTTAGCACTGCGAGTAGACCGTTAGCAAGATTGGTATCAAGAAAATTCCGACATATCAACCTACCTCGTATTATCTTCAATGAAGAGCCGCAGGTTTTCATGCTTTCTCTTTCGCTCCTCGTCACGCATATTCACGGCCCTGTTGATAGCCTCCGACAGCTCGGTTGTATTCGCTGGGTGGAAGGTAACGGTTCCCTCTCGCATGAAGGCGGATGCCCCAGCAAATTCGGAGAGGACCAGCACACCATGTCGCTCCTTCTGGCAGGCGACGTATTCAAAGGCAACCAAATTCATTCCGTCGCGGGTGGAGGTGAGAAGACAGATATCGGCGACGGAGTATAGCGCAGTCAGTTCGTCGAACGGGACCGAGCGGTGCATGTAGAGAAGGGGCGTTCCATCGGGGGTAGCTGAAAGAGAAATCAGTTAGAATATAAACCCCAGCATCTAGACTGAGAGCTTACCATGCTTCCCGTTAATCTTTCCTGCAATGGTGCTGAGCTCCGTCTCCAGCTCCTGATATTCTTTCACATCTTCACGACTTGGGACGGCGACTTGAATCAAGACAATCTTGTTCTTGAGCTCTGGGTGATCATCCAAAAACATGTCATAACCCTTCAATTTCTGCGTCAAGCCCTTGATGTAGTCCAACCGGTCCACGCCAATAATGACCTTTTTATCCTTGTAAGTGTTCTGCAGCTGTTCGATTCGGTGCTGGACTTCCGGTTTCTGCAATGTGTCTATGAATTTCTGGGGATCGATTCCGACGATGAATTTATCGGCGCAAACGAGTCGGTCTTTGAAGAGAATCTTTCCGGGGATTTCGGTTCGCGCGCCCCTATCTTCATGTTAGCAATTTTGCGCGATCGGAGAGGATGAAAGTCACTCACAAGAGACGAGCGCACGTATCGGTGAAATTTTGCTTATATTCATCCGTATGGAATCCAATCAGATCACTCGATAGCATTCCCTCAATAAGCTCATTTCGCACAGGAAGTGCCTTCCAGAAGTCTCCAGCGGGGAAAGGCGTGTGCAGTGAGAAGCCAATAGCACATGGTTTGTTTTGTTTGTTAAGACGTTCGCGTAGGAGGCTGGGCAACAGCATGAGATGGTAGTCGTGCACCCAGATCAGACTGCCCTTGGTGGCTTCTTCCGCGATGGTGTCGGCGAAGATCTCGTTGACGCGCTTGTACGCCTGCCATGGGCCGTCTTCGTAGACCACCCCGGATTGATAATGCAGGATAGGCCAGAGAATAGTATCTAAGGAGGAGTTAGAACATTATCACCAAGACAGCCCAAGGCATGTGTACTTGAAAACTTGTTGTAGTGCTCGTTTGCCAGATTGGTGTCTAGGAAAATTGGGACTGCATTATGCTCGTCCAGACTGTGACAGACTTGCTCGCGATCCTTGGAGTCCTTGACTTCAATCCCGGGCCACCCAAACCAACGGAATTCTGTCGATTTCGTCAATCCGGACAGCGAGGTAACGAGACCTCCACTTGAGAGACTGGATAGATATGCGCCATCTACCCTTTTGACGGAGAGGGGAAGACGGTTGGAAACGATGATAAGGTTGCGTTTGTTGTTGCCGTCTTGGATGTTGGGTGCCATCGTTACTACGTGATCAGGGAAAATCAATATTAACGTGCAGTGCTTTGAGTAAAAGAATGTTTAAATATGGATTTATAGAAGAATTTATCCAGCTCTCTAGCTGAAAATTCGAAATACGTGTCTATATTCGTTATTTGTATGTCACCGCCTCCAATGTATATTCTACGTCAATATGAATAATTCAACGGGGAGGCGTCTATTCGACAGCCACCAGGATGATTGTCCCAACCAACCAGTCTATTATGGGAAAATAAAAACGACGAACTTATTTTCCTTGGTAGTCTGTCAATGTCAACCTGGCTTTTTGACAAAGATTATTGATGTTGACTGCAATGAGGTTACCATATTCTGACGTCATAGCAACTGTCGGTTTGAATAATGTCAGGAACAATATTACGGTGTAATTTTATTGAGATATGAGAAACAAAGAGAACTTAAGTATGTATAAGACCGCAAATACTCATGAATGGGTAGAAAGACATCACATGTTAAAGTCTTGTTTTTGTTCATCTTCAAGATCTAGTTCTTAGCACGGCCGTATAGCTCAGGCATCAAGGCACCAAGGCTACAAGGCTACAGCCTGCCTGAGGCAGATTTGACCAGTGAATGCACATGATCCATAATTGCATCTGGATTTTTCTCCGAGTTCGAGAACTGATTCTCAATAATATCCTGGTGCCTTGGCGATCTCACTATGAAGGAGGCCTCGAAAGGCAGAGGGCCTGTAAGTGAACTCTGCGTGACCTTTGAAGAATCAATCTCAAATTTTTGACCATTCTCATCACAAGCGTGCTGGATATTAAAACCCCAAAGAAGACGGCTGACGACAATGAACAAAGATCGACGACCGAGATGCTGACCAGGGCAAGATCTTTTACCAAAGCCAAAGGCGGCTGTGGGGAGATTGGGCGTTTGCAACCATCGCTCCGGTCGAAATTCAGATGCATCTGGGAATAGCTCATCGTCTAGCTCCATGGCCCAGTTATTGGCCATGATGGTAGCGCCCTTGGGAATGTGGTAACCGCGATATTCATCATCTTTCACTAGTGCGTGTGGAATGCCCAGTGGTGTTATGGGTCGCCATCTCACTACTTCCTGGATAAAAGCATTCACATACGGGAGGTCTGGGGCATCACTGCAATCCGGGAGTCTGTCTGTTCCAACAACCGTGTCAATCTCCCGCTGCGCATGATGGAACTCTGGTTGGTGTAGGACACATGCCATGATGAAGAATTCAAGGATTTTGTCCGCTGTCGAGTTGCCTTCCACCAACGTCCCAAGGACAAAGGCGAGTTCCGTATCCGACAATGCATCTCGCTCATCGTTCGACTTGGATAGTTCCTTGGACCAGTTCCACGAGCTTGTCGACCGTCCAAGCTGTAACAATGATTCGAATAGCTGACTAGTCTCTTCATAGTGATGATCTCCCATTCGCCTCCACGGTGCGAGTAGGCGAGGCAGCCGGTCGAGGAAAGGGAACGCCTCGACGATTAAAAACGAAGGCTTTTGAAGATTCTCAGCAACAGCCTCCGCCATTTCATCGACCTTCAAAATAGTCTCATCGTCGACACTGGCGAATCGTTTTCCGTATGCCAGGGTGAAGACAGCGGAATAGGTATACCGGTGAATAATGTCCTGAAAGCCATGGCCTCTGGATTGGAGGATATCATGCAAAAGCTGTCGGCTCTCGATATCCTGTACATACCCATAGCTCTTCACAACCCGAGGATTGAGAATGACGGCGTGAAGGGCTTGGTGCGCTTTCAAACGTTCGCCGTACAGCAGGAACCCTGAATGAAGACCTCTGTTCATGTAATTCGCGACAATTAACTGAGGCCGGGAGCTATAGCTGGTACTTCGTTTATCGAGGAGATCCTTGCAGACCTTGAAAGAGCCGATGCTGACGACGGTCTTCTGTCCGTATTGCATGCTGATGATGGGTCCGTATTTGTCGTGCCATTGCTTGTAGGTTTTCCACATATCCTTGGAAGGAGTCTGGTGTATATTCCCTAGAAGGGGGAGAGGCGGTGGCCCTGGAGGCAGAGTTCTCTTAGGCCAGCGGCGGAGGAAGAGAATACAAGACACACAGAGGGCGAAGAGCAGTATTCCCAAGTTGGGCTGAATACACTGCTTCCACAGGATATCATCAAACGCCTTGACTGCGAGAGAAGCCATATCGAAACATGAACAAGAAATTGTCAGGTCGACGCAACTCAATTGATGGATGAGTGTAGAAATAGTGTGACCTATGCTGTAGCGTTCTTACAAATAACTACTTAGAAATGGCACTACTAGACCACCCCTCATTAGAGAAAGTACCAAGTACCTACTTAGGTAGACTGCATGACAGGCAGCATTGAGTTCCTCGGAGAAATGCTTCAGTCCGGCCATATTAGGAAGGTGTCTTCGAAACAGCGCGGAAGTCGGTCAACAATCCCGCTCCAGTCAATTGGATTGTGATGGCCCCTTCTTATTGTCGAATTTCTGGAATTAGGTCTACTGAATGGTGTGGCTTCTTGTCAAGTATGCAAATGTCCTCATCTAGACATGGCAGTTTCAACCCAGAGACAATACCTGGTACCGGCATAAACTCGTATTGAAGCATCGCGCTAGTAAATAACATTGCTCACTTATTCTCCGGGAGAATTGGCGATCATGATTGGATTGCAGATCCTCGATTATGCCGTCCAAGGGACTGATACACTGCCATCTTCGAGACGTCTATACAGATCCACTTTTGACAGTCTGACGTGTCAACACTAATCCTGCCGTCTTCTATACGAACTCTCACAGTGAATGACTCGAACACGAGCAAATGCCGCAGGCCATATCGATTCTTGCGATACTCGGTGTTTCTCCCTTTGAAACGATCCACTCTCTCTTGTCTTCTACTCTCTTGTTTTCCCACACCGCCACTTGTCCTCTTCGACGGTGGCAAGATTGTCCATCATTTCTCTGCCTCTCTCTCCCGTTCGACATTGGAATAAGTTGACTCGCAGGATCAGCACTGCCAGGGAGCCTGCATTGGCGTCGACATTGTGGAAAACTTTATTCGCGTCAGCCAGTCTTTCTTTGCTCATATAATTCTACGGTACATGTCCGATGCCCTAAGTCGAAGTGGCCTGATAGGAAGACATCGTCATCTCTCATTACAGCTTTCCCTCCCCACCATCCTTGAAACAGGAGGGGTATCATCACCCAAGCGGGCAATGACGCATCCAGTAATTTCCTCGATACGGGTCTGCGATGGCGAGGTAGCATTGGGAGGATGGGGATCTGTCCCGTCGAGATCAAAGCAGGGTGGAATAGGCTCTGCTGACGCTATTGAGAGCATCGCCTTCTTGAGGTATTTAAGGGCCTTTTGCACCTGTCGAATACATACCGTCCACAGCCATTCTTACGGAAAGCATCAACGTTCCAGGCGACATTTCATCAGTTCTTGTTCACGATGATGATCGCGACACAGACAATCAACCTGTCTTCGGTTAAAGGTAGATATGCCCTATGCCCGAGTCAAGTCCCTCTGTTTAAGGTATTCCTGCTAACAAATCAACAGAGGGTCTTTCCTCACCGATAGATCAGGAATACCAATTCCCTGTCAACTATGCCTACGACTACCTCAACGGTGGAATCAAATACCTGTCCCTGCCTACCTTGAAGTTCAACGATTACCTTCAATCGAAGCGTTTCCTCCGAATGAGCCAACCAGAGACCCAGGAAGAGAGTGTCGAACGTAGTGAACACGCGATCGACATCTTCCCCGTCCAGGCTGGCCTTCCCTGGGCCACTGGAATTCTCTCCTGTCGTCAAAATCGATACTGGCAACTAACTATCGACACTACAAGGGTCTTCCTGGCACACTTTGCGGCCGACGAGTCGGCCCAACAAATATACAAATCTGGACACTCGATTGCGGAGATCTCTCGCAAGGAGCTGTCTACAAAGATGGAAGAGGGTTGGGTCAAGTTTCCAACATATCTGTTTTCTGAGGGGGGCAGAAATCGCACACGACTTCTGGCAATTGTCAATGTTTTCATCTTTGTGTTTGATGGTATGGCTGTCCTGATTCCACGGAAAAACGCTGAAGACCTGACTTGCTAACCAAACAGATTTCTGGGAGATGCACGATATGGACTCGGTAAGTCAATCCAAGAAATCTTAATTTAGCTTCACAGATTCTGACTGCTTTCCTGCCAGTTTACCAGTGTGCAAAATCAATTCGTCGCCCGTATGCAGCCAGGTTTCAAGAGCAATGATGAACCAAAGTCATTCTTACAGATGATGATCGACCAGGCAATCGAAGAGATTCAAGAATTGGACCGCGTTTCAGGGAATAATGGAGGACAGGAAATGATTGATCTCATGGTGCAGTTTTTCACAAGACCGCCTCCGCCCAAGCAATACAAGGACCTGGAAGAATTCCTGTTATACAGACATGAGGATGCAGCAGTTCCGTAAGTGAATTTTGCTGAGGTTTCCTATGTTCACCATCTAACCTAACTTTAGATACGTCTTGGGATGTACCAAATTTGGCATGAATTCGTCCGTCGACCTCAACAGCCCTCGGTTAGCCAAATATATCCGCCTACTCAAAGACCATGTCTCCATCGCCAACGACCTTGGGTCCTGGGAGAAGGAAAAACGAGCGTTCGACACAGGGAAGGTTCTGTATATGATCAACGCAGTGGATGTAGTCAAGAACCTCTTTCGTCTGCCGACCAACGCATCAGCGGTGGCTATGACGCAGGCCCTTCAGCTGCAGATCGAGACGGAGATCGACGACGAGATCCAGCGGATGATGTCCGAGGATACCCTCACCGCTGAGGAATGGCGGTTTATCGATGCTACCCTGCATGTCATGAGTGGCAATGTTTTTGTCTCCACGGTCATGTCCCGATACGGAGGGGAAGGGTTCCGACTTGAATAGTATGCGATTGCCTTAGAGCCATATTGGCATTGTAAATTAGCGGAATGTTTTGTCTTTTTTCTTTCATTGTATTGCTCTCGTAATACCTGAATTAAGTTAGGTACATATCGTCGACACGTAGCCCGGCAGGTTTATGAAACAGATGGTTTCTCAATGGCATTGAAAGGCCTAAACAATGTAATTTTGCGGGGCATTTTCATTAATTTCAAATGGAAATTCTGCCACTGTGCATTTGCTTACCGACTTTAAGTAGAGGACCGTGTTGATATTCCTATAAATTACCCCTCCTTCGTTGTCTGAAGCAGGAATTTCCATTCAAGTCAATTCCACTCGTGCAGTCTCGTTACGAAAGCTCAAACCATCTTCATCAATTTGACACCGCTCAACTAAAGCGGCGTTCTTAGGCATTTCTCCAACATGTTTCCTTCCACGATCAGAAAAAGAACATGCAGGTCTACGCCTACAAATCAGGACGCTACACAAGAGAAACCCACCCTCCTGTACGGCCCTTTCGCCTCCCTATTTCTCATTATATTCACTCTCTGCGCTCTTGTATCTAGCTGATATCTGCCTTCCTTGTCGATATACGACATCTTCAACTATTATCGTGAAAACAAGCTGTTTATGGGAGTGGGGATGGCTTCCTTATCCCTGGCCGTGATCACCTGCTGTTCATCCTTTGCGGGTATCGATATCTTCGTCTATGCCTCGAAAACTTCAGATCATGGTGCAATATGCGACCTCTGCCGATATACTGAACAGGATTGGCATTAGTAAACATATCTTTTTCTTGGTGTTCTTGCTAATTGCTCTGAAAGACCCGGGACAGCTAACGTGCTTCAAAAGATAGGAAGTCAGTTGCAATAGTGATATATATTGGGGATTACTGTTGCTGTCGGGAAATTACTATAATATGCTCTATGGGCGCGGTGGTTAGGCTGGATGTGCATAGACGGAAGGAAGTGCTGCCTGAGGCGAAAATTATGGGTGTGGTTTCCTAGGTATCATCAACTGTGCTTCAATCGAACTTTCTTCCAAAGCTTTAACTGTTTCCATCTTGTCTCCCGAGACGTCTTTCCTCTACATTTAAGACTGCCTTCAAGGGGATATCATGATAACCAGCGATTCTGACGTCGCTTTTCCCACAAAAATGCCAATACCAACAACCGCCTATTGTGTCTCCCCCGAGTACCAATAAGCTTCATAAACATTGACGACGCAACCGCCTTTATGGAAAGCAGATATCAAACGTTCCATCTCCATCAAGGCTCCCAATACATCGCACTGACTGAGCTTTCAGACCAAAGCTACCAAAATCTCGAACACAAGCGCGCCTCTCTCCCCAGTATGCCAGTTCAATACACCCAGCCACGCTACCGGGATAATAAAGTTAGGAAGTTATTACGAGGTGGTGGGAATAATGCCACTTGCAGAAAGGGGGCATAGGGTCTCTACATACCACCTCACACGCGACGTTCTTACACCTACTTGGGCTGGGGCACGAAGGACGGAGGATGGAGCCAGCAGAGAGGCAGACGTTTCCTGCTCCGTACGGGAGGCTCGCGTTAGGCAGGGTTTTTATTCCTTTCTCATTATGACCAATATGACTGAATCCATCGATCAACCGCGTCCAGACGCGGGAGTTGGCTGGAAAATAGCGGCGGATTGACAAGACTTGTCCTGATTGTTACTGTTGATTATGGAAACAACGAGACTGCCACGAATGTACCGTTAATACTCCTATTCATTTCATGTTTGATACTCCTGTCCAGCCTCCTTTAGCTTTGCCGCCTGTCCCGACAATGGCTTTCGGCCTTCGAGGGATTGAAAAGGAGGTGTTTAACTGAATGTTATATTCTACCATCATAATCATCCAGATTATCCCGAAGGATCCCGCATCACAATTTAGTCTTTCCCGGCATGCCCCCTGACTTCGGAAAATATAACTCCAAAAGCTTCATCTTTGCAATCTTTGCCGAGTCAGTCATGGGGACTTTTTCTTCGTCACTGAGGAGTCTTAGCACAGTCGGAAGCATATGAGAAGCAACTTGTGCTTCAGCTAGAGCATCACGCAGCGTCTGCAGATCGTAGTTTGGAGCACTGACACGAGCCAAAACTCCCACGCGATTCCCAATTCGAGCATCGTAAACTGGAACGACGTATGCTTCTTGTATATGTGGGAGTTTTGAGATTTGGTTTTCAAGATAGACGATGGGAACTGGACTGGCTATTGTTTTTATGACTGCGTTGGTTAGAAAAGGATATAGAGAGGGGATGAAAGGGGCATACAGTCCATAGAGGCACGACCGTCGAAGAAAAAATGATCGCCCTTGCGGTGTGCAATGTCACCGGTTTTGTAGTAGCCGTCGTGTGTGAACAGATCTTCTCGAGATATCTCGTCGTTGAGGTATCTGGATGTTTAGTTACATTCTCATTCGGTGTGGCGAAGACCTTACCCGATGAAGGTCATTTTGCCCCTGACAAGGATTTCACCATGGTCCCCGCGTGAAAGAATGACCTCACGTCCTGGTACCGACATGCCAATATACCTCTGAGAGGTTAATAATGGCATCTAGCTTGTGCAATTGCTGATCTCACCTCCATGTTAACATCATACCCATCCCTCGAAGAAAGCACAATCCCCCCCGTCTCACTCGATGCATAAATAACCACCAACTCCTTCCCAATCTCGTCTCTCCAGAAACGCAACAACTCAGGCAACGGCGTATACCCACCTATTTCCGGATTCCTCAGTCTCCGCACACCACGTCGATACTCATCCCTCTTCTCATCCGAGAGATGGGAAATATGATCTCGGTAATAAGCCGCCAAGCCATCCCATAAAAGCACAGTCGACAGGATTGCCGTCACGCGGCCTTGTCTCAGCACCTCCCAGTACGCCGCCATACTAGCCGCCGTGTCAATGACTTGCACAGCCTGATCACGTAGGATAGCCTTTATGAACACCATCGAGCCACCGGCCCAGTAGAGAGGGCGATGGAGGAGGGCGCATTCGTCCGGGTCTGCGCGGGGCAGATCGTATAGGAATCTGCGGGCGTGGACGACGCCTTTTGGGATGCCGGTTGAGCCCGAGGAGAAGAATATTATGCCTGGTTGGGAGGCAGGGACGGTTGATAGTTCGTGGATTTGGAGATTTAGAGCAGATAGACTAAGAGGTGCTGGAGTTTGGCTTTGGATTGGGATGACTGTTACTTCTTGATTGTGCTGGGCAGCGTATTGCTGGATTTCCTTTGCCTGTTTGACAAATCCAGCTTCAGCGAGGATATGTTTTTGTGGGCAGGTTCGAAGAAGATGCAGCATATCCTTTGGAGATAGGTGAGGAGCTGAGCGAACCAAAAAAAAGTCAGCATCTCATATCAATCCTTAACATAATATAATAACTTCATACGCAACGGCAAATAAACACCCCCCAACCCCAGAATCGCAAACGCCGCAACACACGCCTCATAATTCGCCTTTCCAAGCACACACACATGCACTGTTTCCCTCAGCACACAGCTCTCATCGCGCACCCACGCGCTCAGCTGCGAGAGCAGCTGGCTTCGGGTTTGCAAGACATCAGCCCAGAACTGGAGCCAGCTGGCCTCGAGTCCCGCTTCGGGATCGCGAATAATTATGCGATGGGGATTCTGAGCTGTGAAATGTAGGAGGCCATGGAAGAAGGACTCGTTGGGGAGGTAATTTGACTCTGGCATGGTGGGATGGGAGGTTGTTGTTTTTGTGTTGGAGATGAGGGGTTCGTCTGTGTGACTTGGAAGTGGGATCCCTGCAGGATGGGGTATACTGCAAACGTGATATTTCTAGCATGGCAGAGTAACAGACAGGCTATTTGCTAATCAGTTACACAACATCTTTACTCTTCCAAGCTAAGTTACCGTGTTAGAAATTGCCAAACCCCATTCATAAACATTGCACTAGCCATGCATAACGTTAAAGTTAGTATATACAGGCCGAGGGCGAGCCAGTCCAGGCCTCTACGAACAATGCAATCAAGGTCAAGCCACGCACAACCACTAGCAACTGTAGGAAGGGCGAGTACTGTTTGAATGACCTCTGCGAACCGCTGCCGGAAGCTTCACGTTGAGAAGAGGGTGAGTATGATAAATGTGTATATTAGAATCCAATTGACGGTGATGTGCGTATCAGTGTGAGCTTGCACCTTGTGGGGGAAACAGTGGGCAATACTGTCTATAAATCTACTATAGCCACCGTGCGCCCTGATTATACTGATGATGATCAACCACAAGTATTGTTCTTGTTATTGTATTTTGTTCAAAATAAATATGGGCTTGGTAAACATTGAATGTAGATACCCAGAGGCCTTATGATGTCTCAGGTTCAGACATCACGACAGCCGTGCAAAGCAGATGTTTTATTGAAGACATCGTTGTAAACCCCAGCTGATAAAAAGATGGTACATACGACCACAGGGTGTGGAGAACAGGGCTTCCCGTCCGCTCAGCCGTACTTAAGCCACACGCCGGCAGGTTAGTAGTTGGGTGGGTGACCACCAGCGAATCCCTGATGTTGTATGTTTTTCTTTTTTATATCCCTGGCTATGACCTAATATCCCAGGGCTTCTGAGGGAAAGAATACAATAGAAGATATATTTTACAACTTTTCAGAAAGTGAGAGTATTTTGACGCACCGAGTATGTAGGTCTTTGTACACGAGACCATGTCGTTTCGGTCGTTGGAAAAAAAAAAAAAAAACAAAAAAAAAGAACCATAACTACATTAGGAACTTGCAAAGAACTCCAATTCATATCAACATCAACTAGCCGATCTTTAAAACTCCTCAGGTTCTCCAGCGGCATTTGTAGATCATCTTTTGTCAAGACTGTAGTAGATCTATCAGTCCGGCTCTTCTCCTTGTACTCTTCCTAGAACTGGAGCGTGAGCCCCATCTCTTCTGCCCATCCGGTCCAGATCATGCTGTAGTCTGCCATGCTAGTCTGGACGTAGACAGCCCGCTTGCCGGTCACCTCGGACTAGTCACTGAGTATCCGGTCTAATGTGGTGTTTTCGGTATGAGCCATGACCGTTTCCCTGGAAGGGCTGTGGCGGGCTGGTTCAGAATAGCCAGGGAAAAGATCCCCACATTCTTCCTTGGCTTACCGACTGTTGGCAGCGGGGTGAAACCTTTAGCGGGAGATAGTTGGAAATAGATACCAGAAGTTGCCCGGGCATTTGTCAGTTAAATAGTGATGGATATATATTTATATATTCTTTCTGCTCTCGCCTCAAGCGCCTTGATGAGGGAAGCTTCATCGTCCAGATCAGCTTGGACTACCTCCACACCCAGTGCACTCAAGGCAGTTGCTTTTTCGCTGGACGGGTTTCGGGTGATGCTTCGGATGCGATATTTTCCATCCTTGAGGGCAGCGTCGATGACGGAGTGGCCCTGTGTTCCAGTTGCACCAACCACAGCGAGGAGCTTCGACATGATGGTATGTATTAAAATGAATATCAGATGGGCGTTTAACTCGACGTTCTGGCGAACCAATATAAAGTATTTTGACTTTTGGGGCCTGGCAAAGTTTTCGGGCCGCCGTGGATCCAGATCTGCGCTCGGCCCGTTGTTTGTGTCACCCCCAGCATCATCGAGATGTGATCGTCACTAGCAGAATGAATGGACTTTTAACCTCCTATTGACTCTTGATTCAGTAAGTTACAAGAATTGGTTATTGTCTAGATAAAATCCTATAATCACCATCGTCTATCTGGCTAGCTTCTCACTGACATTCGCATCATGGAGTCGGAAGCATCTTCCACTGGAGAGATTCGCAGCAGCAGTGTCCAATATCTACATCCCGCTATATTACACTCCGCTGTATTTTCAACTCGTCCATGGAGATACAGCTATCAAAGTCGCCGTGCGCCTCCTTCAGTTTATCTTGATTCTCGTGTCCACGAATATGGCTTCTGGCGCCTCTCTGCCTAAAATCGGCTATTAGTACGTACAAAGGAGCTCTCAGAAACTTGGAGCGGTTGTTCTGGCTAACTCAATTCCTAGCTGGGTATTATATCTTGCCAAGGGCATCTTGATGACTACTGGCGGTGCGCTTATGTATACCGTTGATTCCGACACCCGCAGGCAATGTATACGGGTATAGCGTTCTTTTCGCAGTGCGAAGCGGGTTAACCTTCCAAGCGGGCTATACCCTGGCAGGCATCAAGCCACCCCTCCAAGGCCTTACCAGCAAAGACGCTCAGGGCGCCATTTCTCTGCAGAATATCTCCCAAATCGGCGGCACACCACTTTGGCTCTTGACATCTGGGCAGATCTTCCAGAGCCTCGCTTTTGTGAATCTCGGAAAAGCCCTAGGCGGCCGTGGATACACCACCGCGCAGATCTGCAGCGCGGTTGCCGGTACGCAGAGTTCTTTGTTCAAGGAGCTCTCCGCAGAGCTTGCTGCAGCAAGCGCCATTACCGAGGCCATCAGGCGTGTGTACGTCCTCAGTATTACGACTAGTGGTGTGTCTATCATCGCAGCCTTGCTGATGAAGGAGAGAGTCTTTGCCTTCCTGCTGGCGGCGCTGGAGGCGGTTAACCATGTATCGGGCTGTGCTGCTGTACCTGATGAGCGTGGAATTGGTGGCTTCTGCTGCCCAGTAGGGTGTCAGCACTGTTTAACAACGCATCCCACTCCATTTACGGTCTGAACTTTGACTAACCTTTCTCTTCCTTGGTTCTGTGTTGCATTTAATTCTTCGCTGTCTTTGTTGTGTTATATCCATTCACGATTGCCTTGCGGAATGTCCTTCTCAGCAGAAAATGCTGTCGCAGTACTCTCTAAGAGGCATAATAAATGGTTTAAAGCGTTTAAAATTCCATTTTACATCTTGCCTATCTATTACATTTCTCCGGCTTAGAACCCTAAATTAATGGGATGAAATAGTAAAGAAAAACATGAGACTGATTAAGTTGACAGTCTAAATGATTCGAGTATCGGGGATTTTTTACTCGTATATGTCAAGGAGCAAGAAATTTGCCTGCATTGGAGTTTGGAACAATTCAATGCAATTGATAAAAAGACACGATCTCTAGTTGCTTATACCCAGGTACATTTGTGTGGAATGGCCTATATGAGGCTATAAGGTAGCAGAGCCAGAGAGGGAAATGCTGCGACCTAGGAAAATCGACAGCCTGCTGACATTTGCTGAGAAATTAATATCCAAACTTGATAGAAAACTCGGCGAGTGGCGGTGTGATATCCCCCCCCTTCGAATACACAGTTAATAGGCTAGTTATCCAGAACTGAAGATAAACCCACAGTAATAATCACTTATGCACGAGAGAGCACAAAGTTCCATATTTAATGACGCGAAATCTTGGTTACTAGCGGATCGGCCCCACGATATATTAGACTATTGGGTAGATCTAATGCGCTAATATTAGGGCAACACACAGCAACTAGAATAGATCGGCCACGGTGCCCCTTCAGCTGGAACATACCAGCAAAATGGCGCAGCTGAGATCGACCAGCTGGCTGCGGGGTTGCCCAGGTGGATGTTGAGATTCTGAAATGTTGAGTTGGGATGTTGAAAAGAAAAGACGGTGGGCGGTCTCGTGGGATGAAACAATGGGTTCTGTCTCCAGTACTTAAATGGATGGACAGCCTGCGACTGCACTTCTTCTGTTCCAATCTCACAGCGGAGGACGGACGAATAACCAGCAAACCGACAGAATGGCACGCGACCAGGAACTCGTCTCCCTTTCCTCCTTTGCAAAAGACCTGCTGGCTAGCGGCCACTTGACATCCCTGGGCTCAGCCAGCTTTCCCAAAGAGAAAGCCCAAGCCGCCCCTCACAGGACCCTGGATGAGTCCTTCTCAACACAGCCAGCCAGCCCGGCCCAATGGATGAACTTGTCGACATTTTCGGCTGTGACGTCCGTATCTGCAGACTCTCCTGACTCTCCCGAGCAGCTCATCGTCGGACACGCTGAGGTGCAAAACGTCGCGCTTGTTGTGGGAGACCAGGATGGCACTTACAATGACTGGAACGTGATGCCTGTCCCCGTTTCTGGGGCCAAGAGCAGTGGGGCTCCGTTGCTTGTTACACCGGTCGGACAATCCAAGCAGATCGCTGCTCAGCCGATGCTTCTGCTCCCTGCTCATATGGATTCCGATATCTCGTTCCCCAAGGATAGCAAGGCTGTGCCGTTGTCTGAATTGGAGAAAGGACTGAAGGAGTCAAAGGGGAAGGTCGGTGCAGCCGCTATTGATTCCTACGTTCTCAGTGGTGAGATCAAGAATTTCTTCGGTGTTGAGGGAGTTACCGGCAAGCTGTACTGTTTCAAGAGCAATGCAGATGGGAAAGACAGTGAGAAAGACCAAGATATCAATGAAAAGGTCAAGCTTGAAGACATGGAATCTCCCCTAGACATCTTCTTCCCAGAGATTGAAAACAAGATGATCCGAGGCTTGCCTCTCAAGAACCTGGAGTTTACCTTCGCAAACACGAACAAGGACACTCTGTTTCCCGATGGACTCCGTCTGCAAGGTGATTTGGAGTTGAAGGATGGACTGCAGTGGATCTCAGATGGTTTGAAGAATGTCTTTGGCAGTGACAAGGCCACAGAGCTACCCTCGAAAATACGGCTCAGTGCTCTTTTGGCAAAGGAGAGAGACTGGAGCAAGAAGCCCAAAATTGAGGGTATCGTTCTTCAAGCTTTTTTCAATGAGATGAAGTTGCCTGCTTGGGACGTCTTGCAATTCCAAACAGCGGGCATCGAGCTCTCTGCTAGAAGGGAAACCATAAAAAAGGAGGAGGAGGAGGAGGAGAAGGAGAAGGAGCAGGAGGGCGATAAAGAAGACAAAGACAAGGCAAAGGAGGAGAATGACGGCAAGTCAAAGGAAATTATAACCAAGAAAGACAAAGTACGTCTCGCACGACTCCTCTGTGACAGATGGCTAATGCAAATCTCATCACGAATAGGCCTCCTCCAAAGCCTCCACGATGAAGTATGGTGCCGCAGACGGAATGGGCAAAAAGGAAAAGAAGGAATGGAAGGTAGGTTTCGGGCTGTTTGGCATGCTTCACATTACAAAAGCTCCCAAGTCACCGGTGCCGCTGGAGGCAAGGTACTGGATTCGTATGGGAGACTGGAAGGAGGAAAAGGAGGGGGGAGAGGAGGGTGAGAATGGAGGTGAGGATGGAAAAGGCGAGAGCGGCAACGAGGAAGAGAAAGAAGAGAAGAAAGACGACGACGCAGGTAAGGAGACTGACGAAGCAGATGCCAAGGATGGTGAGGCAGACGAGGTCGCAGAAAGAGGAAAGCAATATGAATGTGAGTTCCATGTTCCGTGTTCACGGCGGAAACACAAAGCTAATTGTATGACAGTGTTGATCGCGGTGGAAGAGTGGAAAGATTTCTGTGCGATCTCGAATCTTGATGTAAGTCGGATGCAACGATGGTTGGGGATGAGTGGCTAAGGACTTGATACACAACAGATGAAAGAAGCTCGGTTGCACGCATTCTTCAAACCCGGCGGATTTCGCAAGTCTTGCACTCTCTCTGTAACTGGATCTCTCGAGTTTGCTCAAGGGTGTCTTGACAAGAAGGAAGATGACAAAAAGATTGACGAGGGGCAAGTGGTTAAGGAAGAGGAGAAGCCGAAGAATGCAACTCTCGAAATCGAAGGGTTTCTATCGAGACGTGAGTATGGTGGATTTTCCAAACGGAATGTTGATTGACCCAATCCTAGAGGACTACCATTTTGACGCGAAAGTCGGAAACCTGAAACTCGACTCGATATTGAAGATATATGCTCAGATTACCGGAGGCGAACCATCAAGGGAAGCCAAAGAGCATGACCTGGTCTTTGAAGAACTGCATTTGAATATCAGCCGCAAGCTGCAGAACAAGGAAAGCAGTGACGAGGAAAAGGAAGAAACGGAAGAAAACGAAGAAGAGAAGAAAAACGAAGAAGAGAAGAAAAACGAAGAGAAGAAAAACGAAGAAGAGAAGAAAAACGAAGAAGAGAAGAAAAAGGAGGGAAAGGTGGAAAAGGAGGGAAAGGATAGCAAACAAGTGGAGAAAGAAGATGGGGAAAAGAAGGGGGAAACGGAAGAAACGGAAGAAAAGAAGAAAAAGGACGAAAAGGAAGAAGAAGAGTCTTCGAGTTCCCTGGAGCTCTCTGGCAAAGTCAGCTTCAACGATTGCAAGAGTGTTCATGGTTTGATCAAAATAGACAGCATCTCAGGCCTCACTATCCAAGGTGGAGTCGAGGACTACGAAATCAAGGATGCTGGGGTCACCATCAAAGAAGCCAGCATCGATATCTTTATTGGAGCAAAGCCAGAAAAGTCCAAGGATGCCTCCGGGGATACCTCCAAGGACAAGCCCAAACCCAAGGGAGAAATAAAAGACAAAAAGAAAGCTGGAAAGGACAAGGTTGAGGTCTTCAATCGAGCCAGCAAGTTTGCCATCAAAGGAAAGGTTGATTTCAGTGGCATCACCGTGACGGCTGCGTTCATGACTGAGCGGAGCGAAACCAACGCCAAGTCAAAGAAGAAGTCTGAACGAGAATGGGTCTTGTTTGGCATCTACGAGGGACCTTTGAACCTTGGGAAGATGTGCCATATCATGGAAGGCCCCATGGCCGACCTGCAGCTGGAGAACATCGCTCTGATCGCGGCATCTGGCGAAAACAATACCATCAAGGAATTGAACACGCTCAAATATCCAGTCAAAAAGGGTAAGTTGGGATATCATACTCATTTGGGTTTCAGACTGACGACTCGATGGTAGGCATCTCACTGTGCGCGACGGTGCCACCTCTGCCCGAGCTGAACAATTTCGCCAAACAGAACGTGGATGGTCTGGTTCTCGTCGCAACTATACAGAACAAGCTGGAGCTTGACATCCACTTGCCCAAAGCTTTTGATGTGAGGAATTTTCTCTTCTTCCACCCGAACAGTGCTAAGTACCGAACAAACAGGTCACGATCACTGATAGTGTGAAACTGTGCGAGATTGGAGTTGGCATCGAAATCAGCCAGAATCCTAGCTTGATGGTCACGGGCACTTTAAACATCTTGATGGACTCGGACGAGGACCCCTTGCTGCTCGAAGGCATGGTGAAGGCTGGTCTGCTAAGTTCATCGGCTTCGATGTATGATTTCTTTAGTATTACCCCTTTAGACTCACAGTGCTAATATTCGCATCTAGCGCCACCAAGTCGCCGTGGGTGAATCCGTTCAACATCAGCAGACACGTTAAGATCGCCGACTTCAGAGTCGAGATTGAAATTACCTATGCAACGGTCATGGAAGCTGGACCTTCGTGAGTCAATCGCTTCCCATCCCAAGATGGCTACTATTTGGGAGCCGGCTAACAGTATGGGTAGCAAGCTGGGCCTTGCTGGAGATATTGAGGTAGGAGATCTTACTGCTGGAGCTGCCATGCAGATCAGCCACCACCCTGGTGAGCAAGTCTTATCGGCCAATATTTCCAAGGTCGATCTGGTCGAAATCATCCATGTTGCCGGCCAGATTGCCGAGATTCAAGTCTTGCAAGATATCCACGGCGGCGATGATACGTTTGTCTTTACCGATGCCAATATGTACCTCTCCACAGGGGGGACCATCGCCGGAAGAGAGTACCCGCAGGGTATATCAGCCGGTGGGAAGCTAACGGCGTTTGGCAAGACGGCCAAATTCGACCTGAGCATTACAAAAGCAGGTCTGGATTTCCAAGGACATATCGACAATTTTAGTCTCGGCCCGCTGGTCGTCTCATCGGCGAATGGAGATCCCAGAGCCAGCATGGTTGTGGTGATGACCAAAGACCAACAGGTGATCAAGGTAAACGGAATGGTTACCTGCTTTGGAATTGGCTTTGCCGCCTTGATCGACATCCAAATGGGAACCAAGACCCCGTCTTTCGATGCGTCCATCGCTGTGGCTTTTACTAACGCGTTCGCAATCAATCTGCAAGCTACCGTGGAGGACTTCAAGGAGGTCAAGGATCTAGCAACAAAGGATTTATATTTCCACGCTGAGATCAAGGGTGATCTGTTTGACATGATTTGTGAAAGTATCAAGAGCTTGCTCGAGACAATCGAGAAGCTCGGTACGGAGAGTATCGAATCTCTTCAACAACTCATCGGAGCACAGGTTGCCATCAGGCAGGCTGAAATGGACCAGCTCAAGGAGGGACTGACCAAGGCAGAGGAGGAAGTAAAGGCAAGGCGCGAGCAGCGCAAACGCAGGATGACTGAGGAGAAGCAGAAACGCACCGAGGCAGCGAATGAAATCACTCGGCTGGAAGACGAGGTGACCAAAGCCAGGCAAAACAAAGCCAAGGTCGAACAAGAGCTGAAAGACGCGGTCGAAAGGGCCAAGCAGGAAAAGGCATCTCTCATCCAGCGCAAGAGAAAGGAGTACGATGACAAGCTGCAAAAGGCCATAAAAGAAAAGGAAGACTATGAGGCGGTGTTGGCCCGGCTGAAGAAAATGCAGCAAGATCGATTCGGCTTAGATTTTCTCAAGAAGGTTAATATTGCCAAAGGAGCCTATTATGAAAAAGAGAGGATTCTGGAAGCTGCGTGGAAAGACGTTGAGTGGTTGAGATGGAAGGTAAAAAATGTATACGTGTAGGTCCTGACCCTCGGTTCCCATGAAGCCCTTGGATAGCGCTGACACGTATTAATAGATGGGAGCTTCCTTACTGGGTAGGTCATTACTATTCCTTCTTGACAGCAATCATGGATGTGTTGTGGAAGCTAACTGATGTATGCAGCTCCCCCAACTCGGGGCGGCCGAATTGTTCCATGAATCTGCCAAAATAATAATGGGCGGTTATCTCGAAGCGGCAAAGGCACTTGAAGACACCCTTAATTCCGACGCCTTCCAACAGCTCGTCAAGGGTATTGAAGATGCAGAAGCGGCGGTGGAACACACGGCCAATGGAATCAACAGCCTTGTCAACGGAGGGGGGTTCGACGGGTTTATCAGATCCTTTATTGACACAGAAGAAGAGAAAATCAAAAGAGCCATAAAGAATCTCGAGGCGATGCAGAATGAGAACAACGAGTATCAGAGGGCTATCCGGGAGGCGCTGGAAATCCTGAACCAGAACAAACCAGGACTCGAAGATGAGATCGCCAAGGCCGATGAGAAGCTCAAATCGCTGGAAGAGGATGCAGTACTGGCGGAGCTCGAGCGAAACTACAAAAATCAGCTTGAGATGCATGAAAAAGTGAATAATGTCATACAAGGAATGCAGGCCGGTCTGCAGACGCTCAAGGAGAATTGGCAAAATGGAATGCATGCGCTGGAAAAGGTGGTCGATGACATCCAAAAGACAATCAACGCCGGCTTTCACATCGAGCAAATTGAGGTGGCAGTGCACACTCATGCGCTGGTTGACAACAAGCCCCTGCTGTTCAAATTCCATGGCACGGTGGTGAGCAAGCACTTTGACATTGAGGCAGAATGGACGCCTGGTAAACCGCTCAGTGACTTTTACAAGGGAGTGACCAACAAGATCCTGAAGCTTGCGGTGTGATATTAGTAAGGCAGGATCTATATTCAGCGTGGGTTGTGATGGTTCTAAAATGTTGTTTTGTCTATTTGTTCGTGGGATCGAGGATGACGATGCTTTCCCCACAGCATGTGATAGAGCAACCTCATGATGCATTTCGTGTTTCTCCGTTATATAACATGCGAGACTAAGATTTCAAGAAAATAGTCCTGTCACTGACGTGGACAAAGATTGATCATAACACCTTCTTGCTTGACAAACCACCTATACAATTTTCATCAGTAAACTTCAATACCACAGGTCCATGTCCCTAGAGCCAACTTACCAGCATGTTTCCTTCCAAGGGGTATCTGGGCTCGCCAGCTGAATCTCAAACCGACTGAGCAGAGTCGGGATCATCTATTGCGTAGCGCATTAATTAGCAGATGAGAAAGCATTTGCGTTAAATAAGATATCTTTTTTGATTACCTTGCTCATTTCCATCCAACTGATATCTTCAAAGGGATATGTCAGCTATTCTATAATGTGACTGTCTGAAGGAGCGGAATACATACTTTTACCAAGGCAAACCCGAGCACTGCCACCGAATGCGAAAAAGAATCTCTCTGTGCCATGAAATGAGCATCGAGGATTTCTGTTGGTTAAAGGGCCACATACTCTTATCACCGTTATCATCCTCCAACCATCTTTCCGGCCGAAAAGACTCTACATGCTCGCCAAAAATGGTTTCATCGCGATGCACCACCCAAGGGTTTACACCCACCGTTGTCTATGCAATTTCGACTGTTAGTAGGATGTACGGAGGTGTATTCAAGGATAAACTTACTCCTGCTGGCAGGAAGCACCCATCGATCGTAATACCCTCTGCGGGTACAACCCGGGGAAGGCTCATACCAACAGCCGGGTGGAGTCTTAGAGCTTCATACATACAGGCCTGCAGGTACGGCATGCTGTTCGCCTCGTCTAACTTTACCGGATCGGAGAGCCTTCCTTGGTTCTTTCTGTCTTGAATCTCGTCCATCAGCCTAGATATACAAGCTGGGTTCTTCAAGAGATAGTAAATGATCGAGCGGAGAGATATGGCAGTCGTGTCGGACCCGGCAAACACATTCGACGTTGCCATGGAGAGAATATCGTCGTCCTTCAGCTGCTGACCTTTTTTGGCCTGTACGTCGAAAAGTTTGGTTAGTATATCATGCTGCTCACCGACGTTCCCCTGGCGGGCAGTGACCTCTCGGGCAGCAATTTGTCGAATCTTGCCATGGCGCGCAGCGATAGCCAGGTGGCTTCCGATGAGAGGAGAAAGATAGTCATGCAGCCAGTAGAGCCACGGCACCTGACCAACCCAAGCAGCACAGCGGAGCGCATTCTCGATTTGGCTGAATGCACCACCATCTGTCCCATTCTCCAGAAACGAGAATGTCTTTGAGAACGTGATTTCGCCAATTACGTCTTCTGCCGTTAGCAGCCTTTCACTTCATATGCCAACGTGTAGAGAGAGATGGAGGCCTACCAAAAGCAAAAAGCTGCACCCACTTTCCAATATCGACTGTCGCCCTAGCGTCCTGCTTGCTCATGCACTGCATGAATTTTTTGATGACATCATCCACTCCATCTTCGAAATCCTTCAAGCTGTTCATGGAATAAACGCCGTTAACCAGTCTCCGCTGTGCACCATGAATGCTCTCGTCGCGTTCTCCGAAGAGATCGAATTTCCGGTGGCCTTGCCAGACAGCTTTGCATACTTGTAAGCGACCTAGGTTGCTATATATGCAAATAGATAAGACACTCACAATACCAATCACTTTTCCTGAATTTCGTACCCGCACCTATTTCAGTTAGCAGCGGTATATACCCAACTTCTGATGACTATTACCGTAAATCATCTTGATAGCATCCAGATCAGCCACACTGACTTCCGTCGGGCCAACCCTAACAAGCTTCCCATGTTTGGCGTGCAAGTCAAGCATGACGCGATGCATGCTGCCCTTGTTAGAGAACCACACCATCCATAGTCTCGAAAGACATGCTAAAAATGGGCCTGGTATTGGAGCTAGAGGTGTGAGGAAGCGAATATATAAGATGTAGAGGGTAAGCAGGAGCAGTGATGTGCATAAAATGCTTGTAGATGATCGGCTGGCTGTAGTAAACGTGTGTATGACCTGTTTGGGCGAGAAGTCGAAACTGGTGAAACTTTCCATTGCGTTTGAAGTAGCTTGGTGTATCAACTTTGATTACTCTGGGAGGACTGAATAGTGCAAGAGCAGTTACTTTAAATATCCAAAGCCCCTGGTCCAACAGCCATTGCCACTTGGAAGCAACAAGATAAGGTACAACTCAGCGCACCGGAGACCGCACATTGGGGCAGGTGCGGGGCTGGGGTATGTATCGGGTACGGTAATATCACCACACCGATACACCATCAATTATGCAGGCTGACTGGTGCATAACAATGTTCCCTTTGCAGTGCATTTGTAGGCCTGTTGAACACTTTGACATAAAGCGGATATCGAATGTATTATTCCAGCCATAGTCTACCTTTTCAAGCATAGTACGGATCAAAGCGAAGGCGCCATCAACCAAAACTCATCCCACAGCATCTCGGGCAAAGGGTCGTTGATATCTTGTCCCCATACATAGCCAAATGGATCGGACTCCAGAATACCCAGAAAGTCCCGGTTAGCGGCAACGTCTACGTCTCCTGAGGGATGTGATGGGGATAAGGTAGGCGTGTAAGTAGACGATGCGGCATGGCCTACGCCTGGCCCTACTGTTTCCGGTGTGTCCTCAGCGGTACTTTTGGTATTGGGGCGAGGAGGATGAACGCTTTCCTGCACAGCAACGGCCAGGGCCTTGCGAAGATTGCTCGCACAGGTTTTGGCGGTGCTGCCGGGGGCGTTCATCGTTTCCAGGCAGTCAATGCAGGCTTTCCAAGAATCAGAAAGGGCTTGTTTCGAGAATATCGACTCGATAGCTGGATATGTCTGGGCCAGTATGAGAACAGCCCCAGCTGTGAAGGTGTCTAGACATTGTACCGGACTTAGCAATGGGAATTTGTATGTCAATGGTCGTGGATGGCCACCTACAAAAGATATTATACCACCATACACTGGCCAACTCGGTCCTGGAAATTTCATTCATAAGGAATGATAGTTCAATTGCAGCTTCAATGCAACTAGTTGAGCAGCCAAGACTAAAGTCGGAGAATATCTTGCTTCCTGTTTCTGCATGCAGCTTTCGAGAACGAAAATGCGCGGAGGATTCATCTGGCTGCCCTTCTCGGCAGAATTTCACGAGGGTAGGACGCAGCAGCAAAATCCTCAAGTGAAGAAACCTGGATAGATAAACATGTCAGAGATAGATAAGAGGCTTTGCATAGTCTACCTACCTTGCTCTTAGCAGACTACTCTCGCGGGAAGATTGCTGCGGGACGCTCGAGGACTCCTGTGACGTATGCCATTGTAGGTGCGCTGGAAGGTTCAACTTGAAGGCTTCCAGCTCTGCGTCCAGCTCGATTAGTATCTGAAACTGCTGGCTTTGTGGTTGGATATTTTCTTGCATTCTCCCATCTTCCCAAGGCTCATAAACCTCGGACAAAATCTTCCTTAGAATCTTGTATAAATGCAGAGTGTGGACATAGAATTCGGTCCGTGAAGGCGGCCGGCTGGGTATCCGGGAATGTTGGGTATTGGTATCAAGAACCTCATCATCCACGGCCTCGGGAAGAGGCACTGCTGAAGCACGAGTCATAGGAGGCCTGCCCAACATCATACTACTCGCTCTTTGAAAGCCTGTCAGTATGCTACAATTATTCCACGCTACTGGAATAACTCACAAGTCGAGCATGATGCATCCATGCCAGACGCGACGCCGCATTTGTATTTCACCCGGCAGTTTCTTTCTATCTGCTTTGAGCGAATGCATTCCCACTGCTTGCGCGACTCTACATGCAAGCCCAATTATATTCCAGCATCTCGAGGGCGACTCGCCTCCTTGCAGATACTGCGATGTCAGGAGCAATGTTTGTACAAGTGCCAAATCTGCCTTATCAAGGGAGATGACGTCAAGCAGCCGCTAGGAGCGCTGGAAGAACTCCTCCGACATCGCTTCGCGTGCTGCATGGTCGAGCTTGGAGAATTGGCATCCCAGAGCGAAGATAATGTTCAACGAGCAGTGGAATATAGGAGCTGGTATCCTAGCATCTCCTAATCCCAGACCAGACCGGGCTCTCTGCACATCTGCCTCAGCGTGAGAGGTCCATAGGTCTCTGTACGCGCACAGGAAACTTGGCCTGTGAACGAATGGATACAGGCTATGGATTTTGTCGAAATAGCACGTTAGAAGATAATCAGCCAGTTGCCGAGGTGGCATCTGGTACGTTTTGACGGCTACAGAACGAGACGATTCGGGAAGCCGTGACAGGCAAGTTGGATCTGCACTTAATCTCGCACATGGATCTGAATCTGCAGAGACTATCTGCGTAGGGCTTTTGATCTGTTTCAAGAAAGAAGCAACTGATGAATCACCAAAGAATTCGTCTTGGCCTTCGGACGAGTCGATCGGTCGGTTGGATACTATTCCCATTGCCGTGACTCGGCTCTCGGTCAGTCCCATTGATTGACTAGGTTGACTGTGTGAATGGGACCTCGTATTCCCTTGAGGATAACCAGATGTGACGTGGAGGCCGCGACTCTCAGGTCCTCGAGAAGATACGCGCTGTGATGTAGACGGTTCAAGCAACGCGTTTAAATCTCGCCGAACGTGATCCCCTCTCTTCTTTAGGCTTTCTTTTTCATAGGCACATGAGGTCTCCCGCCGCCAGCATGGCCCACAGGTAGGCTGAATGCCGTCGCAACGGATCTTTCGCGCGCGACATGGATGGCAGGCGATGGCGATCTTTTTTCGTTTTCTGTACGGCTGTGGCTGATAAGGAAGTGTCAGAATTTACAGGCTGTGGGAAATGGATCAGCGATGTTTTACCATATTCTGAACGTGCGGTCTGCAATCGATGCCAGGGAATTGTTTAAAGAACAACTTGATGGATGACGTCGAAGTGCTTGGATACACTCCGATACAGTATATTACACATCCCGATACATCCGATACATCATGGTACCATCCCGATACGCTGCATTGCCATTTTGGAGATTGACAACATGTTCCAGTGATAGAATGCTTTATACAATATTAATAGTCAACTAAAGACATTATTAATATAAAATGATTCCTTTGCTTATCTACTGTTTCTGACAGACGATCATCTGGGAATTTGCTTGTATGTCTCCATGTTTTGCTCGGTAATGGCACCCGGAAAGGTAGCAGCATGTCCATCTTACCAGGTTCAAGCATTGGCCAGCAATTTGGCTGATAACTATGCGTGTGGACGCTCCAAATGTTGAAACGCTCCAAGCTAGTCTGTTTGATTGATTATTGATATAAAATAACAAAAAAACAATCCAGGATAAGTCATATAGTCAGATATATATTGTGAGATTTTCCTGTCGATTAAGCAAGGAAACACCATCAAGTAATCTTCATGAACTATTAATTCAGCAATATACAAGCCTTGAATAAAAGGTTCCAGCTGCTACATGCCTCATTTACAGCTAATTATAACCGAGTTTGATGAGAGATCAAGATTATATATCGACTGTTGGCATTCATGATCACTAAACATCAAATCCTCGGCTATATTTAGCTATATATACCCAGTACTATTCAAGACTGGCATATAATTTGAATTAACAATCATCCTTGAATCCATATACATCTATCACAATGCCTCGTTGGACTTTCGAGACAATCCCAGACACCCTATCCGCGACTGAAAAAGACTCTCTCGCACAACACATCACCGACATCTACGTCGAACTCGGCATTCCCGCCTTCCTTGTCAATGTCTTCTTCCACGAGAACAGAGTCGGCTGCTTCTATAGCGGTGGAAGAACACCGCCCAATGCCATCTTCTTCGGCATCGACCATGCCGCGCGAACTTTTCCGTCCGAGGAAGCGCGGTTGACGTTCATCGCTCGAATCAACAGCATCGTGCGTCCGATTCTGGCACCAAAGGCGATCAAGTGGGAGTATAATATCTATGAACATCCGAGGGATAATTGGAGGGTGAATGGGATGGTGCCGCCTGTTGATGTTGATGGGATGCGAGAATGGTTTGTGAAGAATGAGCCGGTGGCGTATGGGCGATATCTGGAGGGGGATGTTGATCAGAGTGATGTTTCGCTGCGGAAATGGGCGCTATAAGCGGTATCTGGATCATTGCTATATTGTCCTTGAATAGCATCAGGTAGATTATGTGGATGTGTATGGGATATCTGCTCCACCGGTCACAATGGCAACATGTAGCGTGCTCGACGACACAATAACATGTGTGTTTTTCACTCTTGTTCCGACCTAGATACAACAGCCCTCAAGGGAAAACAACATCTACTCAGAAGACCGTCTACCAAAAAGAGGATAAAACTAGCCTTATGGCAATCGCCAGTTGACGTCATCGTCCACAGAATAGCAACATCCATGGAAATGCTACCAGCACTAAACTTTATTATCCCTTCCAATCATGAACTTCTGTGCTTGCGCTTGGATCTCTCAAAGCATTCAAGCCGATCCGATCCGATCGGAAGAGAAACAGTGCAGCGATGCAAATCCCCAGAAATCCCGCATCCGATCTTCGTGATGTCCGTATTTCCGAATCTCCACGGATCTCCCTAACCCCCGCATAGACCCTCGACAAGAAATGCAAGTTTAAATGGAGCATCACCCGTCAGGATGATTTTGAACAAGATACTCTGCAATATCAAAAATTGAAGGCCACCCATCCACCATGTCCTGCACAACCGAAGCTTTGGTGGTCGATTCCGCTGGGGCTGATCCTCAGCTCAAGACGGTTTCTTTGGGCCCTCTCCAGGACAAGGAGGTGCTGGTCGAGATCCACGCGACAGGTATTTGTCATACGGATATTGCGTGTATGGAGGGTAAATTGCCAGCTGAATTTCCGAGTATTCTAGGCCATGAAGGTTTGCTTATAAGTCTCTATGCCGTCGATGCAATTTCTAAGACAGCCCAGGAGCCGGAGTCGTCCTCAACGTGGGACAAAACGTCAGTGATGTCCAAGTCGGCGATAAAGTCCTTATCAGCTACAGTTTCTGCGGGAACTGTCCTCAATGCACATCAGAACATCCCGCATACTGTCAAAATATGGTTCAAATGAACTTTGGTGGAAAGCGCCTGGATGGCACCAGAACTATCTCCTTGCCTAACGACCCTACAAGAGACGTTTTTGCCAACTTCTTTGGGCAAAGTTCGCTGTCTCGCATTGCGCTGGTTAATCAGTCGTCTTTGGTTCCTGTTCCTGCTTCGACGCCTTTGGAGCTTTTTGCGCCGTTGGGGTGTGGGCTGCAGACTGGTGCAGGTGCGATCCTAAATACACTCAAAGTTAAACCAGGGAGCTCCGTCGCAGTCTTTGGAGCGGGATGTGTTGGACTCAGTGCCATTATGGCTGCCAAGGTCCGTAAAGCAGAGATTATCGTCGCCGTTGATCTGCAGCCGGCACGACTTGAGCTCGCAAAAGAGCTAGGCGCAACACACACCTTTCTGGGCACTGATCCAAATCTAGCGGAACGCATTCGGGAACTACGCGAGCCAGGAATGGACTTCGCGCTTGATTGCTCCGGTGCACCAGCCGTGATAGAGACAATGATTGACTGTCTGGGAATTCGTGGACGAGGGGCAAGTGTTGGGGCTCCCGCACCGGGAAGAAAAGTGGGTGTGGATGTATTTGCGCATCTTACAATGGGCAAGGAATATGTGGGTTGTCATCAGGGAGATTCCACGCCGCGGGAGGTACGTTATACTATTCATTTTCGTCTCTGATGTGGCTAACGAGGGAACCAGATGATTCCGTCTCTTATCCAGCAAAATGAAAAAGGAATGTTTCCGCTGGAGAAGATGGTTGAATACTACGACGTCAGGAACTATCCGCAGGCATTTGAAGACATGAAGAAGGGGAGGGTTATTAAACCTGTGTTGAGATGGTTTTGAGCTTTATAGCCCAATGAGATAAGCATCCAGGATAGTGTGAGCATATATTTGAATGCCATGAGATAAATTGCCCTTGCTCGTTCCTTATTACCATTGAACCTGTAGATCTTACAATCCCGATCTTCTATCCGTTGGAACAGACGAGCGGGGCGGAGCGGAGCGGGACGAAAGCCGAGCGCCTCCACGATCTAATCGTTTGGCATTTGCATTGAGCAAAGAGTCACATTTCAACTAGTTATTAAGCTACAAGAATATCATAAGCCTACTTAAACATCTTATCAAAGACGCTCCCCCCCTGATCCAAGGCATTCGCCTCCTTCCGCAGCACATCAGCCCGGAACTTTCTGAATGCGCTTTCTATTCTCTGGCTTCTCTCTGGGTCTGAGGTGATGCTGCTGCTTGCACGGGCAGCTCCGCCTGCGAAGCCTGTAATGGGAGAATGTAGTTAGCATTGGACAATGATAGCTATGCGAAGATTCGTACCGAGTTCTCCGCCGAGGAACAGTCCACCAGCAGAGGCGAAGAGATACGTTGCGACATCGCCGAATGTAGTTGGTTTCAAGAAAGGTGTGATGTCAGGGACGGCCTCTATATCTGTATCAGTATCTGAGTGGGGCATATCGTGGTAGGTCCTTACCAGTTCTTCCATCCGCAAAAACAACCTTGGTGGGTTTTTCCTGTGCCCGGAATGCTTCAAAGAACGCCTGTCGCGAGCTTCTCAACCTAAAGGCTACGTAGAGTCCCAGCCCGATTCCTACTGCAGATCCAACGGTTGTCCAAAGGGAAACTGTCTTAGCAGCGGACTTGAGAGTGTCGCGGTCATCTTGTTGGAGGTCATGTTGGATGTGCTGATCGGCGATCTTTGCCAGGTCGTCAGAACGACGAGCGCGGAGAGCAGCGAGAGATTCGGACATTTTGGACAATAAAATGGAGATATATGAAGATAGATTGAAGTTGAAGTTGAAGTTGAAGCTGAGAGTTGCAGTTGTATTTATGACATTATCTCATTGTGATGTCATACCGTGTGATGTGGATCGGTCCAGACTGGATTTTGTCAACAAACGTTTGCATCATGATTCTATACATCTTCATTATTATTCCAGACAGGTAATAAGTAAAGCTCTACAAAATGTAGTTGACATTTGAGGTACAGCTCGTATAAGCACTGCCACGGTGGGGCTAAAAAAGATCCCGTTGAGTCACTTGAACAGATTTCATCGACTTCACCTTTCTTGCATTTGAGAGCTTCACGAACATCTCAACAGCAACAATAATGAAAAATTTAGATGATTTCCAGGATGAAAGGTCAACACGATGTATCAAAGTATTGAAAATGCACAGCTAACATCTTACAGCGCCTTTGCTTCTCTGCCCAACGAGTGCTGGTTGCAGATTGTTGATCTGCTCGATTTGAAAGACCTCTTGTCCCTTTCGCTAGTCTCAAAGGGACTTCACACATCAGTAGAGCATTTGATATACAAAACAGTAAAATGGGACTGTTCCCCCGTTCCAACAACGCGGGTTTTCCAACTTACCCGAACCATTCTGTCAAGACCAGAGCTGGGACTTTGCCTACAGAACTTCAGCATGGTCAACAGCTTCGACGTATTCTGGATTAAAGAATGGCGAGATCCCTGGCTTGACAGAGAATGGAGCGAGATTTCTGCCGATTATGGCGATGTCGTGGAGATGGCTCAAGCCATTGTGCACAGAGCGGAATTCCCAGATGCTGACAGGTGGAATAGGGCTATCCAGGATGGAGATGTGTTTGCCGTTGTGTCAATTTTGCTTTCTCAACTGCATAACCTTAGGACACTGCAGCTCGACTACACATTTATCTGGAAAGGTGGCTTTCCCGGATTAATGCTGAAGCATGCGTTGTTCTCTGCGCCGAAAGGAGTTTTATCGAACTTCGACTCTTTAGTTAGTGTGAATTATGGTAGCGAAGTCACAATGTCTGGCCACATCAACCATGATGGTCCAATTCAGTACGACGGCTTCCCCGATGTCGACCTAGATCAATTCATGGCCTGGTTTTATCTGCCTTCGGTGCAGGTGCTGGGGGTATGGCTACGCAGCTTCAAAGACGTGATCACTGAAGATAGACAGCCAGACCTGCACAACCTGCATACACTCATTCTCGCTCGATCAACAATTGAAGAAGTTGAAGTCCCGTCTCTTTTATCACTGACTCCTAATCTCAAAACCCTCCATCTGGGAATGGCATATCGATTCAAACAAAGACGTCAATTGGAAAACGGGCACGCCATTCTCCAAGGTCTGAGTTACCTTCACAACACCCTCGAGAGGCTATCCATGGGTATAGAGTACTACCCCTCATTTGAAGCCTGCAATGTAGAGGACGAGGAAGACAACCCTGATCGAAAACCTTGGATAGGCTTTGTGAAAGAATTTCCCAAATTGGTGTCCACGGAAATCCCAGTCACGCTGCTCCTGGGCTCAGATCCAGATAATGCAGAGAACATCACCAAGGTCCTGCCGAGTACGCTGGAAGAGTTGTGCATCCAGTGGGATAATTCAAGAGTTTCGAACAACGACTGGGTAGATGCGGAAGAGGTGCTCGAGTGCGTCAAGTATGTTGTCCAGAGCCAACAGTCTCAGTTTGCGCGTCTGAAGCGCATGACAGTTCGGGTGTGGCTCGACGAGGAGTATGGCGAAGGGCACCAGGAGGAAGCGGAGGAGATATGTCAGGAAGCAGGGATTGATTTCGAAATGCGTCTTGACTGTCTGTCTCCGGGGTTGTGGACGAGAGATGTTTTTGGGCCACGGGAAAACAAGAGTATCGATCTTGTCTGAACAATTATATAATAGCTACCTAGTTAGCATCTTGTAATTAGAATGGATAAAAATCACTGGTAGAATGCCGAACAATGAGAGGGAAGTCAGCTGACTCCTAGTGGGACAGGCCTAACCGGGAGCGGTTAGGCCTAGTGGGAAATCCAGCCTTAGTCTGCAAGAGTAGGTTTCGTGCCTGAATCCCAGGGCATCAACTCAATCGTTCTTCACGTCACCTTCGCATCGTCACCGGTTCGCTCCTGTCTACTCAAAACACAGAAAAATACCCCAACCATGGCTTCTTCTATCCTGAATAATCATTCAGAATCAAAGGTGTCGTCGCCCGGGGATCTTCCATTACTCCTGCAAAAGCCGCGCAAATGGACATACAAACACCTCGAAGTAGCACGGGTGAAATTGAGTGAGAATGTCACAACAGAAGAGCTTCTTGGACAGGATTATGTACCAGTCGATGGAGATCCAGGTAAAAACCCCTTTTTGAAATATTGATTTGTTGCTGTTATACTTCTCAGAGCTCCTTGTGCTGATTTACATACGTCTAGAATTCGAGACATTTGCGAAGATTTTCTGTGCCCCCACTCGAAAGCAACTCGAAAGTGGTGATGTTAGGAGCTTCTACCACCTTCATAATGGCGGACTGAGCTCAACCTTCAATCGACTATGGAATATATCCCTCTATGACATAGAATCAGTGGTAAATAGCGGGACTCTGCGGTCTGTGCTGGACGATGTTATAGGACAGATCATACTCAGAACAAAAGCTCGGAAGAGGCTGTAAGCCTTCGGGTCCATATAAACTATTTCCGGGATTTCATAATTTACTGACTATGTGCAGACATCTGCTGTGGGAAGGCACCATCCCATTCGAGATTCCGCAATTGAAATTCAGGGGCCAGACATACGCAGATGGGACACTCATGGGATACAACAAGGATGACGGGGGCTTTAACATTCCGCTAGCATTTCTATCAGTCAGTTTCAGATGCATCGAACTACTTTTCTTGGGCCGTGTGCTTGGCTAACTGGAGGAATCTTAGATCGTAAAGGAATCCGGGGATGATGGAATTGCCAAATATCAAGTTCCACAGACCCTATTTCCAGCCATTATTTCCTATTCCCGCAATCCCAAGCTCAGTGAGTATCATGGTCATGCGATATGCTATGATGGGGTATACATGTACGTCTGTAAAGCCATAGTATCTTCAGCATATATGGAAGCTCTGTGTAAGCATGGTTCTGTTACCGAGGACTTGCGGTTCTATCGTTCTGAACCATTTGAAGTCCTGGAACCTGCTGGTCGAAGGGGATTCATACGGCTTATTGTGACTCTTTTTCGGTATCTCAGTCAAGATTAAGAATATGGAGTGGTGGGAAACTGAGGGAAAGACTTTCGACAGCAGAGGAAGTGATGCGTTGAGTCAAATATCGAGATACTATATCGTAAATAACAATCTTTTAATCTAAACGCAGTGAAATTGATTTTAGCTGAGTTAGCAGAGGTCAATAAATTCGGTATTTACACTCTCTATCTTCTTTTGCTGTAGGCTGATTTCATTCACTGGCGTTGGATTCAATCAGATGCCATGTTTTCCAACCCTCCTCCTCTCTCCCTCCCTCTCCCCGCTTGCTTGCTCTTGGAAAATTTTCTCTTCTCTGACCAGCTTCTTCTTCTTTGTAAAGTTCGAATTCGAGTTTGAATAACCTTTTACCATTTTTTTGACAACTTGACAAACGTGATACCTCCAGAAATATTCTGTCGACAACATGAACTATGGCCTGAGTGAAAACGAAGAACGTTTAGTGCGAGAGCAGGAGAAGAAGTTATCTAAGAAACCAACGAGTATGACCCGCGAAGCACTACACGTATCTGGGTCATCTTGGGGGAAAGACCACCTATACGCCCTCCGCGTGGTACACTTAGATGACCTCCCTTTGGATCGATTCTTCGATGCGCAGCATTTACCCGATGACAGTCATCCAGGTACGTGATGCTTAAGTTTGATTCGATAGATTCATCTGACACATACAAAGTGTATTCTCAGGCTGCCCGGGAAATACTTTCTCTTGATGAAGACACTATCCGCAATCTGGACATCAAGTCCATTCCGAACTTTGCAAACCACCCGTTTTGCCGATTTTTCCAGCACTTAGCAAATGCCGTTTCCACCAAGCCCCCGGCCATTCCGCATACAAATAGAGCACAGAGCACGGGAGCGATCTCTAGTTCCGGCGACGAGGATAAAGACGAGGAAATTGCACGACTGTGCGTTCAGGAACTCTGCAATGCTATATTGCTCAAGGGAAATATGGGCGTACTGCTAAATGGTCGCTCGCGGTGTCCGTTCCCCAAAGTCTTCCGTGTGGTTTGAGATATTAATCTATCACAGAAACGAAGCATCGCAGAAGACTCAAATTTGGTTGGGCAATAGGACTCCTCTCAATGTTGTGAATGACGGAGGTATTGTCCTCCATTGCTTCAGCTCTCATTCGGGGTCAACTAGGCTCGGAAACGTACCTGTTGTTTCCTTCGAGGTGAGCATTTTCCTTTTATGGTGATGCTTAAGCATTGGGGCTATAACTCTTCTTTAGGCTAAGAGACGCCACGCAGGCGGAAAGAAGCACGGCGCGGGAGAGGCTGAATAATTCGACGAAGACTTGCTCGGTCAAGAGGTTGCTGAGCTACTCGGCAAGGTCATGACCTCGTGCAAAATGGCAGAGGGGGGGCGTGGAAGGCGCAAGATGCTTGGTGCCTGTCGATCCACGGAACAGAGATTCGCCTTATCACGGCACACTTTCCCGAGATGTATCTCAAAATGGTGAACAGCATGGTGATGCGCCCGAGCCAAAAGCTTGTCGTTTTTAGGTCCAAGCCACTTAACCTGAAATATGACAGTGACAGGCCACTCGCAATCAAAGCAATCATCTCGTTGCTCGAGTGGCTTAAGTCTGGACGATCAAAACAAGTCCTTCTCGAGTCGGTCCTGGCCGATGGCTAGTCAAGGGCATTTGTTGCAGCTATCATGTGTGGCTTCGGGGGTTGGTTACAGACGGCATAACAAACGCTTGGGAAGAGACACAAAGAATGCGAGCTGAGACAGAACTCGATTTTCCTACTAAATCAGTTGACTAGTCTAAATTAATCAAGAACATTTTAAACTTCCTAGAATAGCCAACCACTTCGTGTTGGTTGCAGTTGAAAATTTCCCATAGCTTCATGGCTTATGAGGGCTAATAATTTGCCCGGGATCCACTTGCCAGCAAACACTCGTATAACGTCAACAGGCAGCAATATCAAAATACCAACCATGTACTACTAAGGCTTCATCTAAGCCACAAGAACTTCCCTAGAACAATCTATGAAATTATTTTTAGTGATCAGCGCAGTCTAAATGCTGCAGTTATCTCGGCATCTTCTAGTCGTGACAGCATCACAATAGCCTTGTGGGGCGCGCCGCGTGGCGTGTGCGTGTTGCACCACCAGAATTTATCCAGATGATCGAACTAAAGACGAACTAACAGCATCTTATTCGGGCCGGGTGAAGGTAAAAATAAACCGAACTTGTCGTGGCCTATGAGGCTGGGGGGATGATGGGCAGATTTTTATCGCCTTTTATTTGGCGGTTGTGCCCACTTGCTGACAACCACCACCACAACTTTGATTGCATCTGCTCAGGATGAAGAAATTATCGATTCTGTTTGTTTTCCTGTCGCTGGCTTTGCTAGGATTGAGTCATCCTTATGCGGCTGCGACTCCGGCTCAGCCTGCTGCGAGGACTGCAGATCTTCCGGCTCCCACAGCTGCGCCAGAGCTGATCAACTCCGACGACCAAAAGCCATGGATTATCCAGAAGCGAGACTCGTCAGACACAACGACAGAGTCGGAGTCTTCGACGTCGACGACAGATAGCACAACTTCAGAAACCTCGACAAGCACCTCAGAGACTTCTACCTCCGACACCACAACATCAGACACTTCCACCACTTCGTCCACGACGTCCACGACATCCACGAGCTCTACATCTACAACAACTTCCTCTTCATCCTCCACCACCTCATCCTCCAGCTCCTCAACCACATCGAGCACCTCAACTACCTCCAGCTCATCCACCACAACCAGCTCATCCGCCACAGCAACAAGCACCACCATCGCCGCAGAAGCCGAACGAGACCACAAAGGCACCATCGCCGCCATCGCGACCTTCAGCTCCCTCGGCTTCATCTTCGTAGTCGGCTGCTTGGCCGCCTACTGGCGCAAGAAGGTCAAGGAACGCCGTATCGCCGAACAACAGGAACTCCTACAAGCCGGGTCATCCGCATACTCAATGGTGCCTTTGAGCGAGGGGGCTGGGAAATCAACCAGTGAGGTGAAGCTAGATCGGATGTCGATGATGTTTGCGACAGAGCCTCGGCCAGAAGAGCAACTGGCTTTTAGAGCAAGTAATCCGATGCTGGATCAATATCATCAGCAACAACAGTATGGAGATGGAGTGGGATATGGACGGCCACTTTCGGGGCCTCCGCAGTTGTATGACCAGCATGCTCCTTTGGCGGCATCGCAAGAGGATTATAGGCCAAGTTCGAGTCGAGTATGATTGTTGGACAAAAAATTTGGATAATGACTTTGTATGCTTCGATATAGACCAGAACTAGACATTTATATGGCATCGCATTAGCAACAATCGATTAACACATGTTTATACCTACTTTCTGAAACATTGACAAAATCAAACGTCTTCTTACAAAGGACTTTAGCTAGGTATTCTCGTCGACCCAATTTCCGATCGAATACAGGGTAAGCGTTCCTTCGTCGCCTGCATTCATCCGGATTGCCTCGTTCCTGCAGTCACAATTCGATTGACTATCCGTTAGGCTCAGAATCGACCTTCATTCCTAGTGATATCAGTGTCAAATAAATCCATTCGGGAACTCCACAGCCTGGATGATGATGGAGCGGAACAGAAATATCCGAACATGTGACAACTTATCATGCATGAGACTGGACAGCAGAGGAACGACCCCTCACATTCCCCGCAGCGCAGTTCGGTCGCAATATTCATGATGCACAAAATAATCCGAGGATTGGCTTTGAGGTTCTGCAACCCGGGGTCTTGAGGGCAACGCAGACAGTTGTAGTTCAGCGCTTGTCGAGATGAGATGACACAAAAGGGGAGGCACTCTGCGCTCTCGCAGCCCGTATGGCCAGATCTTTAAGGACAAAGAAGAGCGCAGAACCTTAAATTCAGTCCAGCGAAGTCGAGCTGTTCTTGTAAATGGTCTTTTGTATTTGATATTCCTGATCACTTGATAACTGTTTACCTGTTCGGCCTGATATCGAACTGCCCCACTATCGCTTGTTTTTGAGGAATCCAGACTCTTGGCCCTCGCTTTGGAGCCGTGTGATTGGTGGAAATGAAATTAGACATGCAAGGCCTCAGGCCTTGCTGCAGCCTTGTGGCTATACAGCCAATCAGACGAAAAGAAACACGGCCTTCCAAGAACAGCTAAAATAGGCTGCCTAAGGTTACACAAACACCCATTCCCACCTGCAGTTGTCAGATTTCTCTTCCAACCTCTCCTCCTCCCGCTATTTTCATCTCCATGCCAGGCGACAATGGCAACAACAGCAGCAGAACCGACGATTACACTTTCGCCAGGATGGCGACCCACCGAATACGGCTGTCTGCGACAAAACGACTTCTGGATTTGGGATTACCCCGACCCCGGTGAGAAGCGCACGGTGCTGGGTGGGCCGTCGCAGGCGACGAACTGCTTCCCGTCTTCGACGTGGATGTCAACGGGTGCATATGCTGGTACTGCATGTCCGTCTTATTACACGTCTGCATGTCAGGGAAATGATTCCACTGCCGCCGTAACATGTTGTCCAACGTATGTCTTCCACATCCACTGCAGTGTATGAACGCAACTGATACAGTGGTGTCTGATAGGGTCTATTCGTTCGAGTGCGTCAGCGCAAATACAAAACTCCGCGATTCCTATTTCCCGTGTATCTCGCGATGGCAGTCGACGGGGAATGTGACACTGACACGGACGGTTTTCGCATCGAATACGATTACTTTTAACCCAACAACTCTGAATACGAATGTGCATTTGTTTGCGTTGGGTGTGGCTTATGCGACTCCGGTGGGTGGGCATCATTCTCATATTAGGGCTACGAGCTAATATACGACGTAACAGACAGCAACAGATACAAACGCAGACTCAGACCCAACATCCTCCTCCACCTCCACCTCCAGTCTCTCCGAATCCAATTCCACGAATAACTCGTCGATAAGCGGAGGCGCAGCGGCGGGGATAGGCATCGGATCAGCCGCTGGTGTCGTTTTGATCGCGGCACTGGCATGGCTTCTCTACCGTCGCAGAAAACCTTCCAAGACCATCCCCCCTCAAACGAATACAGGCTACACTGGCATTGCCGATGCGTCAAAGGTCGGGCAGAGATATGAACCGCCTCAAGAGCTACCGTCGCGTACGCCGAGGAGAGAACTTGAGAGTTGATAATGCCTTTTTTTTCTCTCTTGTTCTTTTCGTGGAGGGGTACAATGAAGTAAGAAATTTCTAATAAATAATCCAGAGATACCATAATCAAGCGAAAAGGAGTTTTTGGCCAATGGTTTATCTGAGTATATACGGAGGTAGAGAAGGGGTCAAGTTATAACATTGAAGCTATCTATTCATGATCAACTTGTCTGAGTAAATGATATTGCACATCAGAGTAAAGAAAGTAAATATAAGTTCTCTGCCAAGGTAGAAAGAATGTTTAGCAAACAGCCATGAGCTATCACAGCATCCCCAACGCCACTATCTAGTACAAAGGCATGTCATACGCATCAAAGGTGAACTTCCAAGTATCAATCGAAGCCTGGTCATACACACACTTCATATGCTCGCCATTGTTAACCCACAAAGGACGAAGCGGCCAAGTACACAACTGCGCATTCTGATCCTCATAGTCACCCCAGATGTGTAGCATTCAGCGTCGCAAGAACAGTCGCCTTCTCGACCCAATCAATCAAGACCTGGATGTTCGTCTGCGGGAATGGCCCGTTGGGCTGGAGGTCATTTGTAGCGCAGTGCGCGGCACCCGGGCGGAGGAAGAGACGGTACCAGTCGCCCATTGCTGCGGTGCTCTGGTTGTATGTCATGTTGGAGTACATGATGTTACGGACGGATTCGTGATAGTGCACCGATGAGGCAGTGGGGATTCTGGGGTCGGATTCACCGTGGAACGCGAGGATTTTACCACCGGTGGACTGGAATCTGGTGAGATCGGGCCAGATGGTTCGGAGGACGTCTTCGCAGCGCTGCCAGCCAAGGGTCATCAATTCGACCATCGTGTCGTAGGTGACATTGTCGAGGGCGGAGAGGCTATCTGCCTGGACGAGATCGATGAATCGGGCAATTCATTCGCCGCCGGTGGATGCGATGTCGAGTTCGTATTTGCCTGTGCTGGAATCGTACTGAGTGGCTGCGTCGGAGAAGTAGGCACGGCGACTCTGCGAGTCGTGGAGTCTGTCTCTGTAAGCCTCTGCACGGAACTTTAATGTGTAACCCTCAACACATACATTTATATATCTTCGCAAAACTAGCCATTGCCAAAATACAATAACTTTATTAACACCCCAAAACATGCCTGCATAGTATAATTGTAGATCTGAAGCCACGTACGATCTATTAATTTCTCATCAAATATTTGACAGACGTTTCTCCTTTTATTCTTTGTAGGTGCTTATCCAGCTGAAGGAAGGATATAAAAAAAAAATTGCTTGGCTTAGTGGATCCTTCTTCTTTATCTATTCTTTTGATTGGCCGGCTCGGATTATGACATCACCCCTTCTATTCTCAGCCCCTGGGAAGGACACTAAACCACATCCGGATATAAACATGCCCCATCTCCAGCCAATCATAGCGTTTGTCAACAGTATAATCTCACTCTAATCTTTAATTCTAATTTCATCTCAAACATCCTTCTTCGTGTGAGAAGAGACTTCCTGCTAAATGGAGAAGAAGGAAGGAAATCCTTGATCATCGGGGCGCAGTTTCGAGTGGAAATGGAGACTAGGCTTGGAGATGGTGAAGTTCTTAAAAAGGGCGTTTCCTGCATTGGTGATTCGAATTTCTTTTATATTTTATCAAAAGCTATCAAGATTCAGTTGACATTCATTTGATTTTTCCTTTTGCTGTCATTCATTATCTATCACTATATTTACATAAAGCCACAGACTGGCGTACTATACGCTCTTTCCATCGACCCCTACCTCACATAAACAATCAGTATGTGATCTAACCCCCAAGACAGGATACCCACTAATATATTCTCAATAGAAATGGCAATTACAAAAGAACTAATCATCTTCCTCGTCATCGTCGGCTGCCTCGCGAGCGTTTTCATCGGATACGGAATCTACGCCCTCTCACATAATATCGAAGAAGAAGGATATCGAAAACCGGGGTACGAGCAGTCAAAGTATATGCGGGAAGTGCGGAGTCGGAATCTGGGTGTTTTGCAATATGAGGCGAAGCGGAGGGATGTGGAGGCTCAATGAGGGTTGAAATTTATAATCTGGTGTTGGAGTTGGTTTTATACATGTCTTGTGTTTGATATAAATGGGTTTGGGCTATTGAAAACAAAAGTTTAAGTCTGGATATTTGGTATTTCGGGTCTTCGTAGCTGAAGTTGGCTGCAACGAGTAGATTATATTGGGAGGAAGAATTCGGTTTCCTTCCACACTCCCTCGATGGGATCTCGCATGTTCCTCGTGAAATGGAAAAAAGGTCGAGTTTGTGGGCGTGTATTTGGTGTGCTGCCAGAGACTGAAGAAAGCAACAGTTTATCATTTGAATGGCACACCAGCTGAACAGGTACAAGCTTGCGAATTCGCTTTTCTTCAGATATTGATTCTTCGCACTCTGTCGGGTTGAATGAGATGTCTGCAACATCCTCAATCTCCACCAGTTCCTCCACGGTTGGTAAATTTGCCAATCTGTCCATGGTGATCTCTTTGACTTCGGGTTCAATATGCCGTCCCACCGATTGAGATAGATTCTCCAAGGTCGCCACATCCGATCTGCGTACCATCAATCCGAACACTGGATTCTCCTCCATTCGTATCATCTGCTCTGTGCGAGCTGCCCCAGGCCCGCACTGAAAGAATCCCTGGACTCGGGGCAGCCTGCGAAGCAGCGAGAGTGCTTCACGTCGGACGTATGGATCACGGCATTTCATTGCCGTAAACAATAATGGCTGGCCCATTCCTAGCTCGAATGTGAATGGGTCCTCGAATCTGCCAGGGCCAACGACTGCCTCTAATGCCTGTGATGCGTATTCGACCACAAGCCGGAACTGTGATAAATATACGGTATAACATGTTTCCAGTTGTTCTAGAGCCGTGGAAAGCATAATGAATAGAACGATTTGAAATACCTGCAGCGTGAATACAATGCCCTGGTGCATGGTGCTGTTCTTCTTTAACCGCGCAAACGTGCAATTCCACTCTTCAAGCTTAGATAGGAGAGTGCATTGTCGCAGGATGATATCCGGTGACACATTCGCAGCACTTCCTACACTGATTAGGTGGCTCTCTGCCTCCCACCGGAAGAGAAGGAATTCCATTCCCAAAGACGAAATAGCTGTGCGCGCAGTATCTGCAGCCAGAAATTTGGTATGGTCTTTGGGAAGGGCGAGCGAAAAAGGGTCTTGGAGGACAGGAACACCCGCCGCTGCCAAGGCGCCCGTGCCCATGCGGAAGAACAGAGGAACGAGAATGTCTTCCAATAGTGATGGCTTAGAGTCGACAGGAACTGCGCGTAGCTCTGAAATGAGACGCACACCTTGCTCATATAACCGCAGTGCCTCCGGCATATGCCCCTGCATGGTTTCTATGCAGATGTACAGGGCACATGTGATAAGCGCCACATGTTTATTTGCCCTGTTTTGCCCAATCATCTTGCGGACGCTCACCATGGAGCGAGAATACCAGCTCAAGGCATTCTGATATCCATTGACCTCCGTGGTCGAACCAGGCAGGAGGGTTTTATTCTCAAAGAACGAGCTGATGGAAATTATAGCGTCCCAAACTGACGGCTCTGATCGCGACACCTGCAGCACAATGTCCTTCCAGAATTTGACATCAAGGCCACCTCCTATCGCTTGTGCCCCTCGATAAAAGTAGTACTCGAAAGCACGACGCTCCTGCGATGTCACCTGGGTGATACCGGATGATGGCTGGGTCAGCGAGAGAGAAGCTGGTGCTGATGTTATGGCGTGTCTGGAACGAGGAGAGGCCTCGTACTCGCATTTCCGGCCAGTGCTGGTACATCGTACACATTGCGGCTTCTTCTCGTCACATTTGACTTTGCGGGTTCTGACAACAATCAGTATCTGAATTGTGACTTATTTGGAACCACGTACTTGCAGGTTGTACAGCCGTTGCGAGATTTGGCCAACCCGATTCTCCCCATCCTGGAACCCCGGGACAACTGCAGAACGGTCCAATGGGCGTTAATTTTGGTCAATCAACAACAGAACATCGATCCTCTCGTTAACCAGCCCGTTTCCCATTTTGCCGTGTGTTGATCAGCGGCTACAGGAGAAAAACGAACCAGAATTGAGTCTGGGCTATTTTTGGTCATGTCAGGTGGGGGCCGTTTTTTATGAGTGTCTATTGGCCGGTTTTCCCAAACTGCAGTTCCGCGATTTGATTGGCTCTTTGAAAGGCAGATCACCTGCACCCACAATCCCATTGTCCCGCCTCAAGTGATCTTCCCCTCTTCGTCTTCTTTCTCCAACCTATCAATATCAAATTTACTTTTGACACTGCTTGTGTTGTATAATTTACACCAAAAGAACATCGAAAAATTTCGGGATACTCCCAATTCCAGAGGCATTCAGGCTTCTGTAGAGTCACGTTGATGCGGCGCAGCGCTAACTCGACTTTCCGGGTGGGGATGTTACAGCACAGCGCTTGTCAGTACAGGGCCTGAGCTCTTCCTATCCTTCACTTTCACCTTGATGGTTTTTCCAAGGCCGTGAGATAAATACTGATGCATGATCATGAGTACGAAATATCATTCGGTGTAAGCGAACGACTTAACCGCCATAACCCAGAGAACGACATCAAGGAGAAGGCACAGTCTTTTTCAGATCTGAAGTCAAGGATGAATATATACCAAATCGGAATATAGAAGAAATCAATATATGTATACGACCATGCAGATTTTATCGATTCTAACAATCATAACAGCCCCGCGCTTCATATGGTACATGGTGACATCAAATGCTATCTTCGATCGAGTATGGAATCTTGTGTTGCTATCTCTGTTGCTCTTAACAACACTTTTATTCGACTTCCCAAGTAATGGACACACATCTCACTTGTCCTGTCTGTTGTTTTTTGACTTAATTTTGTTTCTTTCTCTTTCGCCTCTGCAAGTGCTCCTCTTTAATCGCTGGGCCCCATATGCCAAATTTGATCGCCTTGAGATTATTCATCCAAAACAAAAAGATCAAGACGACCAAACGGAAACCCAAGGCGAAATTCTAGCCGAGTAAGCTTGACATTCTGCCCACTACCATTGCAATGGCTCATCATATTGTTAGCATTGTTGCTGTTCATGGCCTTGGCTCTGATCCCAACAACGCATGGAGGCAAGGGAATTGTGACTGGCTGCGCAACCTTTTGCCACAGGAAAGGATACCAGCTCGGATCATGGCGTTTAACCATAATACGTCGTGGGAGTCGGAAGCACTCAGCAAATCAATCGATGATCATGCCAACGACCTATTACGTGTGCTCGGGATGCATCGCCATACACCAAAGGTGAGATACTGCAGTTTACTCGAACCATGGCATTACACTGATGCCTTTTTAGCAGAAGGAACGACCCATTATTTTTATAGGCCACAGTTTTGGAGGACTTATTATCAAACGAGTGCGTCTCTTGAATTTCTGGCTGTCATCGCCTCAGGTTGCTAACTTAATAAGGCATTGATATGTTCAGCACTGGTCGGAGAGGATGAGAACTGTTATGAATTATACAAGCAAACAAAGGGATTGATATTCATGGGTACGCCTCATCGAGGCGCCAATCTGACAACAGCAGGCAAGATAAGCTCCCTTTTCGGGTACTGGAAAGGGTCCACGGTGGAACCCCTTGAGCTCTTTGAATATGGATCAGCAAAGAACGAGACGCTCCATAAGGACTTTATGAGAGTCGTGATAAAAGGTTGTTCTGTTGATAACATAGTTTGTGTATACGAAAACGTGAAGGAGACGCTGTGTGGGTTTATGTTGGCACCCGTAAGCATATGTTCTACTTCCTATACAAATATACTGACAATCACAGGTCGTTGAACGCTATTCGGCTGTGATCGATGGATCTACTGAGATCGCATTTGAAACTAAACATAGGGGTCTCCAAAGATTTACCAGTCGAAATGATGAAAATTACCAGAAGATTCTTTGTTACATCAGGGGGTGGGTGCATGGAGAGAAGGTGGAAGTTGACGAAAGTTTTAATTTTTTTTCGCTCCAACACCGTCTGTCTGTTTGAGGGTCAATATATCTGGGGTTGCGCTCAACATCGGAAGCCAAGTATATATCAGGGTATTTCATTTCTTCGTTATATATGTGAACGGTATTATATACAGGATTCCTGGGATATAAATTGACAACTTGACCTCGAACTCAACTTCTGAAATGGTGGCAAATGACATACACCAACTCCTCCAATATGAAGATGACCTGCATGGCGGGAAAGAATGCAATAGTGGCAGCAATAATCGCCAAACAAACAACCGAAAACCAGGTAGAAACCTGCGCAAAAGCCCAATTCGGCTCTCTCTCATAATCTTGATCAACAGCCAGAATAACCGCCATCGCCGACAACGCAACGCTGACTGTACCGAAGATGAAGAGAAACGGAGGCGTGAATCGGGCAAAATATGCCCCATACTGACCGTCGACTTTATAATAAAACATGCGCCATTGGTATAACTTGCTCCACAAATTTAGACGACTTAGCCGCAACTGTCCATAGTGGTCATATCGCCGACTAACCTCCGAGTCCTGGATATGGCGGAAATGATCGATAAAATGCAGAAAGTCGACGAAGCCATTCATCCCTTCGATATTTTTCGAAATCAGACATTTCGCTCGAGCGATATCAAAATCATATTCGCTTTGAATCAGATACGAATACGTTCGCATAAACCCAAGCGCAGATTTTCGCAACTCCGCACTCTCCTCGTCACATCCAGAAAGATGCACTCTCCAAAACGCATAATTCAGCAAATACCGCGGCATCGGCTTCACGTAGATAATATCATAATACCAAATCAAATGCAGCCCAGGATCTTCGGAGGGGATAATATCTCTCCCTCTCACAATTTGATGATGGAGGGCATAAATATGGTCGCTTTTCCGTGTCGCGACCATCCAGAAAATCGGATATAGTTCGTTCAACCGGGGAGTGAGGAGTTGATCGGAGAGGAATTTTTGCACCTCTTCTGTGTCAGTGGCGCTGAGAAGAGGATGACCAGGAACAGAGACTTTGTTCCTGATATTCTCGCCGCATATCGAGGCTGCAGTGTTTGATTTTTCGCTTATCCATAAGCTGTGTTCGAGCTGGTCGTCTTTGGAGAACGGGGGGATGGGGGCGTATATTTCTGTCATTATGTATGAGGTGAATCATTCAGGATATAATATTCTTTCAGCAAAAACAATGCCATTCTTCAATGGGATGCAGACTTATATAGCAGTTGCTGCCTGTAGCCGCTATCGACATGGATGGATGATATTAATGCAGGCATTCTGCAGCTGAAACGGCGTCGGCCAATGACTTGAAGCTATTGCGCGCCGGGCCGGCAGATCGCAGCCACTCGGCGATAAGCCTGGTCTATTTATTCATTTATTGTCTGAAGGATTTTAATATAGTATTATGGAAAGAGAATTTAATGTATAATCATCCATCCATCTTAAACTCCACCTTATACTTCGCAGAAACGCCAGAAAGAAGTGGAGATTGTCCCCCCGTCGTAAAGAACGTCACTGCAGCAGTAATATAATCCGCCAAAATATCTCTCACACAAAGACCAGGAACACTTCCCAGATTACTCGCCGCAAGTTTCTTAACCTGAGGCGACGGCTTAACCGAGTCAGCAACAGCCTGTAGGATTTGCGTGTATAGGACTTCCGAAGCCTGAAGACCGTGCGAGAAGATAGCGACCAGGTAGTTGGCTTCCTCCGGTTTAGGGTAAGGTTGAGACGATACAATTTGTGTTTTGTACGATTCAATCGATACGTTGAAGCCCATCGATGCCATTTCTCCGTCGAACATCTTGGCCACGAGAGGTGGGAAGTAGGGGGCGTATAATGTGTCGGGATTGGAGCTGTTGCATCCACAATCCTTTTGTTTCGAAAATATGATGCCTGGAAAAGTACATAAAAAGTGCTAGATATGCAGTCAATATATTCAGCCAAAAAGAAAGTCGATTGGCTCGAATACACTTGACAGCACCAGCGGGTCACTCCCGACCCGCCCTTCGATATGTCTTCTAGAATTTATGTTAGTATTGCTGGTAAAGGGGGCAAAATATATCCCCAAATACTGTCGTAATTGATCAATACAGTTCTCCTAAATTTATCCAGATGGCATATAGATCTTCCAGGAGAAAATCAAACTTTGCTCTCCAGACACACTCGGATCAGGTAAGGCATCCGCGCAACATAGAGATGCCCATATTCCCAGGCACTATTCGACATGTGGCTGCGAATGACATCACGACACGATAAATTCCAAGGCACGCGTCAACATTGGCAATCTGCTCCTAGCCACCGCTGAATATTATTTGAAGTCCTTTCTTTGTTCATAAATCGCGGGTTGACCTGTCTACAAAAAGACAACAGCACGTGCAGCCTAACCGATTCGAGCTAGACCGCCATCAACAAAGACATCACCCCAGGAGACGCGATAACATTGCTTCCTCAACCTTTCCTTCTCCCTTCAAGTATCCTGTTATCATCTATCAACATGCCTCCAAAGCGCCAGCCAAAGGCCCAACCAGAAAAGAAAGTCGCCCCGGCGCCAAAACCAACGACGACAAGTCGGAAGAGGAAGGTCGCGGAAGTCGCAAAAGAGGCGTCGCAAAAGCCTGCAAGGGATGTCAAACGTCAAAAGGGTGGGTTTTCTATTTCTTTCAGTCGATTGTTTACGTGCACTTTCTGATAATCGAGCAGATGTATCAATTCTAAATCACCCCCCAACACAACGTCTAGACGTATACGTATTCGGCACAAACTGCTACGGTGAGCTCGGTCTTGGCGACGCGAGCAAAAAGTCTGAGATTCCCGGTCCAGTACTCAATCCCAAGCTTAGCGCGAAGGATGTTGGTGTTGTACATCTTGCTATCGGGGGCGTTCATTCGGCCGCGCTTACACACGACAATAAAATCCTGACTTGGGGCGTGAATGACGAGGGGACGTTGGGGAGAGATACCAAGGAAGAAAACCCCAAGCTTAAGGAAGTGAAGGATGGCGAAGATGGATCAGACTCGGAAGACGATGATGAGGTTACTCTTAACTTGAAAGAAGCTACACCGACGCCTGTGGACGCGTTGCATTTTCCCGAGGGGACGGTTTTCACTCAGTTAGTCGCGACGGATAGCGCGACTTTTGCGCTTACTACTGAAGGACTCGTCTATGGCTGGGGCACATTTAGAGTATGTTTTGACTGTTGCTTTCATTGATCAATGCTAATCAATTCCTAGGGCGCAAACGGTGTAATTGGATTCTCACCCGACACAAAATTCCAAAGAACACCCGCCCTCATCCCCGATCTCACAAAAGTAACAAAACTCGCCGCAGGAGCACAGCACATCCTCGCTCTCACATCCACCGGTACCGTGTTTACCTGGGGCTGCGCGGAACAAAGCGTACTCGGACGACGATTATCAGGTCGACTGCACAAATCACACAACCTGACCCCGGGCCTCTGTGCGCTTCCATCGGGTACTGTCGAGATCGGGGTAGGAGCGTACCACTCCTTTGCTATCCGGAAGAATGGCCATGTATACGCCTGGGGATCGAATAACTTCGGACAAACAGCCATCCCCCAAAGCGCCGGACAAAACGACGCGATAGTCACCTACCCGACTGAGATCCAAAGTTTTCGCAAACAGCCCAAAGTAATTTCGATTTCTGGCGGAAAGGACCACAGTGTTGCAGTTACGGAGCAGGGCAAATGTTTATCATGGGGCCGTATCGACAACAAGGCTCTCGGCCTTGGACTCGACCAGATGCCAGAATCGGAAATCATCTATGACGAGTACGACAGGCCGCGGATTCTGAAGACGCCAACTCCTATTACCGGTGTTGATGATGAGATTGTCTTCGCGACGGCTTCGTCAGATCATTCTTTTGCGATTACCAACAAGGGACAAGCGTATAGTTGGGGATTCAATGTTCAGTATCAAGCTGGGCATAGGAATATGGATGAGGTTGAGAGACCGACTTTGCTTCAGAATAAGCATGTTGATGGGAAAGTGCTGGTTAGGGCTGCTGGTGGTGGGCAGTTTAGTATGCTGATGGGCAAGTATGTGCCGGAACAGAATGGTGTATGAGGAAATGCATGAGTGCCTTGAGTGAAACTCCAATGTTGGATTGAAGGGTTAGGCTTCTATAATAAAAGTATGTTTTAATAGGTTTTACGGTATATACCCTTCAGCGTGATTGAATACTACTTTTGCTTCTGGTTATCGAGAAGTAAATTACTGCGACAGTTGATGAACGAAGAGACAGTGTGTTTGAAATAATATCTTGCTTTGCATTATTTGATTTATTTCTCTTTTAGTTGGACATTAAAATTAGCAAATGAGCAAATGTCTCGCTGGTGCTGATAACTTTTCACTACATTTCCGTTCTGTCAACTCCATTTCCGAATCAAGCTAAATCCGCCACCGAAATCCAGTTTCGTGATGGTTGTCCTCCAAAGTCGAGGAGGCAGGTAAATCCGAGATATAACGCCGAGTAAAATTCGTATTATCGTATCGTAGTCGTATGTCTAAGCCCAGGAAATTCGCTGGATGTCTTCCGGTATCTCCCAGCCGTGCGCCATACACGCCCTCTTGTATGCTTCGACAGCCTCGCCGACTGAGTAATCCATCCGTCGACTACCCAGTGCGAGACGAGCTGGGCGTGGCTCCATGTTCGTGATCGCCATTCGAACCTGTAGTAGCACGCTCTCAATAGAGGCTGTTGGCAGCCAGCCCGAGTTGGTGAGGAGCTCCATGCACATTGCTCCACCGGCTGTAACATGGCCGCCGCCGCCATTGTTGAATTCTAAAAACCGTGGTCGGATAACACGCACAAAGGGTGGCGCCATGGGGAATCGAGGCGGGAATCGAAGTTCGAGGACAACACTGGTCAATTTGGCGTTTTTGAGGTCCTTTGCTAGTGGTAGGGTTGCGTCGAAACTGTGCAACTCGACGATCCACTGGTAGACAGTGCTCATGAGGTTGGGATCCACGTGCCAGCCGAGTTGGTGGAGGGGTTCTTTCTGTTGGACTTTGAGTGTGGCTTTGAGATGCTGCTGCAGAGCTTTTGTTGCCGAGGTCGTTGCGTATTCTGGTGGTGTAAGTAGAGGCAATGAATCCTCTGTCAACATTCCCGGCTCAAAGTCCGTTTTGGAAGGGGCATCGCGGGATTTCTTGCTGCTGGGAGCCATTGTTGCCGGGACTTCTTCACTGTCGTCCTCGTCGTCGGATAGAAGAATTTGAATATCGTCAAACGCCGTGGCCACACTCGCAGCGTCGTCGTCATCATTCTCGACTGGTCCTGCCGGTGGTGGGGTAATTGTGCCTTTGGATGGGCGCTTTCGCTTTTTGTTCTTCGGAGATGTCTTTGATTTTGGAGATTTGGTTTCTTTTTCTTTCGTGGGGGGCAGAAGAGCCTGTCGCCGCTGGCTGCTTAGAGCCGAGATGGGTATGGCAACAGCCCCTCCTTGGGGTCCATGAGCTTTGCGAGAGGGATCTTGATCGTATACATCGGCGGGCAGGGACTTTTGACCATTCTGCGCGGCTTTACTATTGGTTGGGACGAAGAGATATCTTGGCTGAATCCAATCGAGTTGCTGAACGACATAATGTGGGCTGGAATGCACGAACTTTTCGGGGGCATTCACAACTTCGTTTAGGGAGATAACCGTCCGAATCTTCAATTTGCTTCGAGGCCACTCTAGACTGTAATAGGCACTAGTACCAGTATATCCCAATGACGTTGTGAAGTGATTTGATAGGTAAACTCCATTTCCATACGCGCGACCATTAGCGACCTCTTTGAAATACAGGCCTTCTCTCAGGATACTGTGCCAGTTGTAGAGCGGGCTTCCATGCCACGCGAAAAGTGTTGGATGTTTGGGATTCCGGCCCGAAACAATAGATTGAACGGCGTTGACAAAGCGCTGTTCTTTATCTGGGGCCCCTTGGGCGAGACGGAATTGCATATAATTCTCCATTCCAGAGACCAGGTGTGCTGGATCGTTTTCGTCATCCTGCATAATGCACGATCGGTTAGATGCAACAATCCATCTCAATACATCTAATGCTGCGGGGGATATTCTCTCTCTCCACGATGAGAGGAGCATCTCACTCGAGTCTTTTCCAAGGAATTCGTTCATAGCGTCGATATTCGGTAGAGTGTCAAGGAGCATCGGTATCATCTCTCGTTTCTGAGGAGCGGTCAAGTCGTCGAAGTTCTTGTCGTAAACCACGAATCTCACCGTTTGTTCATTTGGTTGCATCTGGGGCGGAGTCCACGCTGACTGGCCACGGGAAATCGGATCCGAGAGTTGAATATGATGCGAGAAATCAACGCTCTGTACTCGGCAATGCCAGTGATCCAGGCTGTTCTTTGCGAAGCCTTTTCCATGTTCTATGATCGCAATCCAATCGCCGACTTTGACAGGTGGATCCTGGTCCATATGAAGCTCTCTTTCGGTTATTTTCAATTTTGCAGTATGGTATCTTGTAGTGCACCATGTCGCCGTTTGAGAAGCCGGGCCGTATCCTGGGTATGGAGTTTCTTTTGCTGCACATTCAGATGATTCAGGAACCATGAGCCCGAGGCCAGTGGGGAAATCCTCCAGGCGGCCAGAGGCTGCTCGGGCATATGTCAGACTGATGAGCATGTCAACAACATTTGGTTGTGAGCGAATTTCGTACTCCAGGCTAGGGCCCATGCCTAGTGCGATATATTGGTAAAGACACAGCCCGTTGGAGCAAACATAGGGCTTGAGTGCTTCGAAGCTGTCTCCAGTTCTGCAATGACAAACGAGACAGAATTCGGTGCATTTGACGAAATGACGAAGTGTAAATTGCATGGCTAGCAGGGGCAGTGAGAGCTCAGAAGGCTCACAGCTTGTATCCGTCATATGATCAGCCGAAAGAAAATCTGGAGTTGAACTAGCCCAGCTGTCTGGCTCGAAGTATTCATCCGCCAATGCATCGCCGGTGTCCATGATTTTGCCTTGGTTCGTCTGATAATAAAGTTCTGCTCCTGTCCAAGAAAAACCATTTCTTAGTCGATAACCAAGGATTTTGAGAAACCGTTCGTTTAGAAGGGTTTTAAGTGGCCTGTCGATGAATAAACGGTTCAGGGTAAGTCCTGTAACTTTCGGACTTGCAGTTGGTCTCGTTTCCGCTTGCTGTTTTACGGACACGCCCTGGAATGCCTGCAGGGCATCCTCAAGACTTGGTTTGTATGAATTGCAGAGCCCAACGTGCATCTGCATGAATGAGCTCTTGGCGTCCCCTATGTCGTAGAGGACTGCTTTGAGATCAAGGTACGTCGACGGATAACGAATGAGCAATACTAAGTACTCTGATGGATTCACCTTCCATGCCTGCATTGCCTCCGCTGAAATGCCCAGCTTACCAATACGGCAGGATACACAAATTATTATTGAGCCCGTGGGAGCTCCCAGATATCCCACTTTGAACCCAGCATTTCTGACGGCACGAAGATCGCGGCGTATCATCTTGCGCAGCTCGGATTCTGGCTTGAGTGGGGTGAGTTCATTGTCGCTGCTTTCTTCCCAATCCATTTCGTCATCGTCAAGGAGGGGCTCGTCGTCGCTTGCTGAAAAGTCGCTACCATCCTCCAAAGGCTCTGGTGTCTGGGAGTCGCGACCGGAAAGGGCCCTGTCAACGAGCGCATCGATGGTACTCAGCATACCCTGGACGGATGACCCAGCGAGTTGGGCATTTTCCAGAGCAGCCGTAACAGCAGCTGGGACATTATCTGAAGTAGCGAAGACGAAATATTCATGATGTTTAGGATAGTCGGATGAGTCTGTTGAAAGAGCGAGTCAGTGCGATGCCCGCTAGAGCGGCTATATAACCTACCTGAAACTATAGCTTGAAAGTCGATACTGTCGTAAAAGAGAGGCGATTTAAATGTGAAGGAAATCGAGCCGTCATGATCTCCAGATTTGACGGCGCTGAGATGAGGGAAATTTCCAGGGATAGCTGCTTGGGTGAAATCTCTCTGGAAGTCCTTTCGAGGCATGGTGGTGGTCAGACTTGTTTTTTCTTAAAAAGAATGCGGTGATGCCGATCTGGCACCTGCCAGATACGTCGAAGAAGTGAGGGTATTTGAAACAATGAAGTGAGCGAATGAGTATTGTAGTTGGTTAGAAGAGAGTGGTGTGCTGTATGTGCTCTGAGGAAAAAGTGGCTGAGGTGGTGGTTAGAGTGGACAAGGCGACAAAGCACTCAGCCCAGCAGGCTGCAGTACCGTCTCGCAGCCTGGGTTTATTCATTCACTTTCCTTTTATCGACCTCAGCTGCGGCTGGCTTCGAGGATACCTACGGAGTAGAATCTCCACAATGAGTGCCTAGCTTGAAAATAGTCATGCCTGAATCTCAGCTGTCTTCAGCTCTTCATAGACGATCAAGAATGACATCATGTGAATGGTGATCGATATCTGACAGCTTCAAAATATATTTCTTCTTCCCAACATCATATCGTCAAACACCATGAGCTTGGATATATCACGTATAGGTATCTATGTATATATTTTCATACATAATATCAGAGCACAGAACATCATATATATATATCAATTTACTGCCAAAACTGATCACTACAGGCCTACAATCGATTGAATCTGAACTGTCACTCCCTACACCGCTGGGTTCACGTGATATTTATAGCGGGGTACGGCTGTTGCGATGTATGATTGGTCGATGAATCCTCCCCCTGCCGGCCCAGCACTGTGATGATTCCCAATCCGTCACTTAGGGCACAGCTGTAGGGCTGTCCCTGAATCCCGTGTTTTTCTTTTGTTGATCTGCAAAATGTAAACATCCGTCGACTCTCGCATTCCAACAACGTGCGGCAAAATGCACTTGCCTTGCCCAAGAGCTGATGAACCTGTGAAATCAGGCCCATTCACATATGGCGGAAAGGGCATCACAGTAAATGGCATCTCCCGAGCACCCATTAATAAACTGAAACGACTATTCGCAAGAATGCCTCGTCTAGTCGGGTCAGGGCTGCAACAAAACCATGGGTTACAGCTCAATTGCAGCTTTATGAAATTCCATTTCAAAAATCAAGCCCTGCTGCTCAGTTGAAGGCCACCCTTGAAACTGCTGTCAAGACCGGAAAGGTGAGAAAGGCTTTTTACCGTCTTATTACATACTAACCCGTTCAAGTGCAATAGTATCGCACCATCCGTCGCCAGCATTGAGGAACTTTCACGAGAGAAGTGCCAAGAACAACTGAACAACCATGACGAAGTTGTCAAAAAATGGCGAGCAGCCGAGTTCTCCAAGTTGAAATCCCCCTCTGACGAGGCTTACTTTGACCCATCTCTATTTATAGCCAAATACTCCTTAGAAAGCTTGGATGGGCCGCCAGATATGGGAAAGCAAAATAATGCCTTGATTTTGAAAAAAGTATCTGGCAGGGCTTTCGAAATGGCCGTGCAAAGGATCCCGGGCCTGGTGGCGCGCATTACAAGAGACCTTACCGTGATTGGCTGGGAGAACAGCATCGAACGAGGACTCGATTCAGCATTTGCGACTATATCCTCAGATTGCCAGTTCGATATTCGTACCACCGAGTCTAATTTCGACTTCGATCGCTTCATGGCAAAATTCTTCCTGGATGGCCTGAACGGGAAGCCTAACCCCCGAAAGTACTCTGAACCCATCGACCTATACCCGTTTTTGGATCAAAATCAGAAACTCGAAGCCGCAGCTGCATCGATTCCGGGTCTCAAAGTTTGCCGTGTCAAAGGGAGATCTTCGTTGACCTTCACAATTGTTGGCTGGGACTCGTATAAACTCGTCTTGAAAAAGAAGGAGTTCGAGGAGGAGAGGGCACGAGAAGAGGCTGAGGAAGCCGCTGAAAAGAAAACAGAAATGGAAGAACGGTGGCAAGAAACTCTTAAACCCATTATGAATATATGAAAACCTATCAGCCCCCTGGCGACCCGCTTAAATTGGATCATCTGACCGGGTCGTATCTAATCTACTGCGAGAAAGCCGAGAATTACCTTCAATTGCCTGATAAAATGACGCTGGATATTCTTCCGGCAACCAACGCAAACGGAACAACAGCTCAATTCAGAATGGCACTCGTCGAGGGAACAATGCTGCTAGCTTTATCTAACTATGCGCTTGAAAAGCTTCGTCATGATATGGCAGTTGATCCTGAGGAATCGGATTCTTATGATGAATGGGACAGTGACGGCTACAATGGCAAACGCAAAGCGAAAGGGCCTGCGGGAGGACCGCCGATCAAACGCCGTTTGGGGGTAGCGCCCAAGCCGAACAGGGTACATTTGCACTGGGCTGGGAGAGCGCCCGAAGCTGATATTGAGATAGGCCAAGAGGAAAAGCATACGGGCTTTCTTGACTTTGATGCATCGAAGGCGACTGTCCATGGCGAATGGGTTCACCCCAACTTTTTCGGGGATGAAAGTATCCCATTCACGATTTACAAATGTGCAGATGAACCAGCCAAGAGGCCTGAGAAGCGGTCATTCTATAGTGAAAAGCAGTATGATTACGAGTCAGACACAAGATGGGGTCGATATCGTTAGTGAATCGACCAACACACCAATGGAATTGCATGATACTCGATCCGATTTTTAATTGTAAATATGGACCCATGAATCGATATCACTGTCTCCAACTGTATCATCCAATATATTCGACACAGGCATGACATTATTGCAGGGTCGCTTAACATGGACACGACCTTCCGCCGGTAAGAGATCTTCGACCCCACTTGTCAAATGGACGTCAGACCCAGCAATGGATATGCCAAACTATCTACTAGAGGCATTGGGCTCATGATATCATAGCTTTAACTGACCAACTATAAGGTTTAGGGAATTACGGAGATACGAAGGCCGAGGCCCGGAATCCGAACAACTCTCGGGCTGTACCCAATCCTTCGGCGGAGTTAAGCCAGGACAAGCATATCTTTGTTGCCTGTAATAGTATTTAGATGGCTCATCTCTCCCAGCTGACTTTTAGTACTAGCAAAATAATATCCATCATCACATCATCACCATATCTCTAACATAATAACCATGTCCAAAATCGTCCTCATCACCGGTTCCAACACCGGCATTGGCTTCGAGATTGTCAAAGCTCTGGCTGGGTCCGATCAGGACTACACTATTTTGATGGGTGGCCGGTCGCTTGAAAAGGTGCATGATGCCATCACCACCGCGAAGAAAGAATTCCCTTCCTCTGCCAGTACCTTTGTTCCCATTCAAGTTGATATCGAGTTTGATGACTCGATCGACCGTGCTTTTGCCGAGGTACAATCGAAGTATGGCAAGGTGGATGCGCTCATCAACAACGCCGGTAAGTGCAAGATATCTGACTATTAAAATCCAAAGAACCATCACTAACAAACCCACAGGCGCACAATTCGACTTGGCTACTGAGCAGCTAGGAGTTCGTGAAATGTGGAACCGCACATGGAACGTCAACACAACGGGCACGCAGATCCTAACATCCACCTTTGCCCCATTGCTGCTCGAGAGCTCCGACCCGCGTCTGCTATTCATCACATCTGGCACTTCTACGCTCGCAGGGACCGAGGATTCGGCAATTCCCATCAACAAAGTCCCGCCGAAGGGATGGCCCAAGACCGGCTTGAGTCTCCCTGCCTACCGTAGCGCCAAAACCGGGCTGAACATGCTCATGCGCGAGTGGCATCGCTGGCTGAAGGAGGACGGTGTCAAGGTGTTTGCTATTTCTCCCGGCTTTCTGGCGACGGGACTGGGTGGTGGCCCTGAGGTTGCTAAGAAGATGGGGGCTCTTGATCCCTCGGTCGCAGGGCCATTTATTCGCAGTGTCGTTGAGGGTCAGCGGGATGCTGATGTTGGAAAGGTTCTCAGCAGGGATGGAGTGCAGGCGTGGTAAGGCTGTGATTAACCATGGGAAATAGGTAGTAGATGAATTGAACTTTTTAATGGTTTTATTCCGTCATTGGCTTTACAAACTACGGTTGTTCTGTAGAGTGGCAGCATTTGGAAATTGCAGACACACGGTAGTGACCAGGTCAGTCTACCAAACATACTCTTCCAAGTTTATATTTCTAAAGCCAGTCTATCTAATGAACCCTATCTAAAAATCTATAGCCGACGTTGAACATTCGCCATCCCAGGCCGAATATACCGTGTCCTCCGAATCACCTTCCAAAAGACAAACGCCACAATAAAAAAAGCAATCATAACATAGTCCAAGAAGAAACTAGTCAAATCCCACTGCCCGTCCAAAAACACATTATACCCAAGAATAAGCACCATGACGCCCGTCCCAAACACCGCATACCACGCCGTGTACGGTTGCAAAAAACTGCGATACGGCAACGTTCGACGATCAATACCTTGTCTACGCATCGCGGCATAGAAATGCAGATATGTGATGCATGTGCCGAGATAATTCAGCAGAAGTGACGCTGTGATGCAGCTAACAAGCCAATTAAGCACCGTTGCAGAACGGTTACTGACCTGCAGGAATCCAAGAACGCAGAACGACATGGCGGCGATGACGGCGTTGTATGGAAGTCCGGCGCTGCTGCAGCGGGAGAAAAGCTTGGGTGCTTTGCCTTCGAGGGACATTCCGTATAGAGTGCGAGTCGCTGAGAAGACGACGTTGTTTCCGGCGGAAAATACGGACGTCATGATCAGGGCGTTGAAGATGTCGGGGAGAACTGGGATACCGAAATGGTTCATTGAGATGACATATGGAGATCTTGAAGGGGCGGGTTAGTTCCCAGCCTCTCTGGTATTAGATTCACTCACGCTGCGCCAGTTCCGCTGCCTGCCTGCGTCCCATCCAGCGTGTCACTGAGGGTTTGGTCATCATATGGAATGACGATACCGACGCACAGCGCACCAAGGCAGAAGAAGAGCATGAGTCGCCAGAAAAAGGAGGAGAATGCCGTTCGCATGACCTTTTGTGGTCTTTCAGCCTCCCCGGCTGCCATGGCGATGTATTCTGGCCCGACCATTCTGCGAGTGTCAGCACTGGAGATTGAGCCCATTGGAGAGTAAGTCCATACGTGAAGGATCCTTGGATCATGCAGCTTAATACCCCGAGGAAACGACCAGTGCTCCCTGGTGCCAGGTACGAGACAAATGCACCCTGAGGAGTTAGCTTCGTCAGTTATTCACCAATGAATGTGATGTACTAACTGGATCATTCCAATATCGAAAGCCATAAACATCATGTTTCGGATTACCTCCCACCATCGTGACTAAAGTGTACAAAATCAATCCCACCATGAGGAAGATCTTGAAGATGGAAAGATAAAACTCGGAGATACCAAAGTATCGTACGGTAAGGCCATTGAGGATTCTATACAGTCAGCCTGACTGGTCCAGTTTTGTGGCATTGATGGAATACCCATAAAGCACCATGACGATGACCACAACCACTGCAACCGGAACCTTGTCCGTCCAGTACGTGAGAAGAACATTTATCGCCACAATTTCGTACGGAATATTCAAAGCTGCTGATATCAGCCATAGCTTCTTGCAAGAACCCTTGCAAGAACAGATTGACATACCCATCGTCAAGAAAAAGTTCCAACCCATTGCGAAGCTCAACGCATCGTCGACCCAATGTCCTGCCAGCCGGGCAAAAGGGGATGGGATCGGTCTATAGCAAACCATTTCGGCTTATACAGTCAACAGATATTCTCAAATATAGCGATAGGTACTAACCAAAGCACTCATTGACTGCCAGAACGATGGTCCCATAAGCCAGAAACCCAATGAACAAACCCGCTGGTCCGCCTTTAGGAAGAGCGGCGCCCATTTGAACGAACAGAGCTGAATTGTCAATATCGCACACCAAATTAATACCCATTCAGTACATACAAGTCCCAATCGCCCCTCCAACAGCAAGCAACTGAACCTCTCGACTCCTCAGCTTTCGATGCAACTCATTAGACCCGGTACTACATTCAGCCGGAATGCCATTTTCGCCATCTTCCACCACGGGTGCGGTATATTTTCCATAGTCGTTCTTATCAGACATACCCACGTTGAGTGCTCAGTATTTCTTCACAAATTCATTCTTCACCGACTGTGCATTTTCCCCTCTTTTCAATCCCTGCTCGCTCTGCTTGCACGTGATCGAGATAGAGCTGCAGGGATGTTTGATATCTCACATCTCATATCTGATGTGATTTGGCGCATGGGGCGCGCTAAAACGTGGGATGGAGGAGGGATCCCTGTCCACGTGGATGGAAACACGAGGGTTCTGATCTATCCCGGTCAGTGTTGATATATCCCGGATTTTGATATTGAGGGTTCGGAGATATAATGCGGGCTATTTTTAATTATGGGTTAATTATGGCCGATACATTCTGATTTAAGACGTGAAACAGACAAGAAATTAAGGCTAGTTACACGACACATTTTCCAACGTTGCTTTCGGTGATAATATCCCATAAGAGAGCTCGGGTCGCGGCAGGGATGTCCCCAGAGCCTTTCTGTGTTACGCGTACGCCCATACGAGGACTGAGCTCCCCAACGCAGATCTTGGGAAGAGATGAATAATAAATGTAAGTGCATAAGATTGATATCAGGAAAACAAATACTGATAGCTATAACCTAGTCCAAACCGCTAAATACCAACACCCGTGAGATTCATCAACCATGATACAACAACACTTTACTCATAAAAAAGAACCCAGTCACACGATGCTGATCCCGACTGTGGCGATCCAAACGCATATTGATCCTTGCTACCCAAAGCTTGGTCCTCTCTTCTAGCTTGGTCAACCTCAACACTCTTTCTCCAGTCTCTAACCTCCTTTGACTCGAAGAAGTCTGGGATCTGTGCTATCCCTGGGGGTGTAAGGTCAAATGTGGACACACCCAAACCCGAGATATCAGGCCTCCAACGACTGAGAGATGTATACACGTCACACCGGTCGGATAAGGGAAGATCGTCGAAGGATATGTGCGCGAGGGAAGGTTCGGGCTGTGGATTTTCGACTCGAACTTCTCCCTGTCCAGTCAGACACTCGTCAGAAGAGAGGAATTCGTCGGCCTCGATGTCGATTAGGTTTGGCCAGGATATCCGATCGCCGGCTGGGTATGTCACAGCCGCAGTTTGGGAGTGTTGGGTGTAGAGAAGAGAATGGAAGAGACGGAATTTGTACACCTTCTGGTAGACTTGAAGTGATGATTGTGCTGGGATGGTGTACTGTCTTGTCTGTCTTTCGCCGTGTGTTTCGCTTTGCGTGAAGGTCTTTTGCCTGACGGAGTTGTCGAGACGATACGAAAGCCTATAGCCGGAGAAGGCGTTGTCGACTTCGAATTCTGTCGCGTAGCGTTGCCCACTTTGGTACTTGAGTTGTGACTGAAAGCCTTTCTCTTGAGTGAGGGCTGTATTGGTGGTGTTGGCCTGGGAGAGTTTGTGTACCCAGTCAAAACCAAGATACTGAATGCGAGTCTGCAACTCGAACTTGTCTGAGATGGCCACTCTTCGCTCTGAACAGAATGGGCTTCCTTGTGTATGATACGATGAGAATGGACGAGTGCCTGAAAGGTAAGGCATGGTAGCAGCAGACGAGGCGATGGTCTGAGTGTGGGTAGTAGACATGATGAAGATGAGATGATTCTGTGGATAGAATACCCAGAAAGCGAGAATAAAGACCTCTATATACCTCTTTGCTCTCTCATGTTTTCTTTTTTCTCTCCGCTTCCTCTTGTGGATACCGCGACGCTATCCATGTGATGGGCAAATAAATCACACTCCAAGCTTCAATAGTGGCAATAATTGGCCCACTTGTACAACCCACTACCAGGAAACAAAGAGAACTTGCATAAGAAAAAGAAAATCCAGATCCAATCAATCGGTCTCAAATAGAAAAACGATCTTAGATGGCTGCCTGGGTCAACTTTATGTGGTAACGATCAGCTCGACTCCGCATCTTGGTGGTGCTGATGAATTGTAAGGCTGTCCTACCCCAGCATATAGTGGAGTATCACAAAGCCAGTAAAATAGTATACTATGAGGAGGATCAACGGTGGAGATGGCATATGACTGTGCTGAGGAGGTGTTCGCTGTGTCACTACTCGACTGCCTGATGTTTGATATTACTGGCAGGCATCCAGCTGAAGAACAAGAACCAAGCTAAATGAAACAATTCAAGCAACGTCATCTAGGCTCGGGCTTTGATGATCTCCAAGATTATTTCCTTCAGAGTAGCTGAAAGAGTTCCCTGTAGAACTGGCATTACTTAGATACTGTAAGACAAGAAGAAACGCCGATTGTAGCCAACCACGTACCAACAGATAATATTGCAGGTAATTATATAGCCAGCCAGAAGGGAAATCCCGTCTTCCCAGATCTGACGAACAAAGAAAGTAGTCAGGGTGACAAATAGTGCTCCACCGACTTCAATAATCCATGCATGTTCTGATAGCGAGCAAATCATCTCCAAACACGGATTTTGCAAGGCTGTCAGCCAGCCTTGTTGGTTGCTCCACTAATTAAGGCATATTTCTTACGCAAAGCACGGATAATATTTAGTTTGTTGGGACATCAGATACCCTGCAGATATTGACATATATTACTTCGAATCCTGCACTGCTCAATTGCCATATATACTTGTTCCTTGTTACACAAGAGAGATTATAGGATAATGAATCTTAAACTGAACTGATAAATAATAGAAAGTACATTCTATCCATCCATCAGACCTTGATAAATGTCAGACAGATTAATAAATCCTGCCAAAGATGATGAAGATAGCGCTTACTGCCTCACCTGACCGGTGGCTGTCAAAATGGCCCCTCCTTAGCGCGTAACACTGCCACCGTTAGACAGCATCTCCATCATCTTCATCTTCCTCATGCCCCTTTCCATCAACCTAAGATGGCGATAATCTTCATCAGGACATTCACTGACTATCAGTGTCAAATAAATGGAGGACGAACGAGATACCCCATCCATACCAGACACGGCGTCTACCGAGCTCAGACAACTCGAGCGCGCCAAAGATGCGCTTTTCAGCCTGGCGAAAAGACAACGACTCAACGAAGATCAGCGCCTCTTTCAGTACGAGATAGACCTGCTTGATGAGAGCTATGATATGATTGCCCGTCACGCAGGGTCCGAACGATTCTTGTTAACATGCGTGAGGAAGGCCGTAGAGGCCGAAAGCCACGATGTTATTGAGCGGCTGTTTGCGAAAGGCATCACGACTGATCTTATGAAAGACGAATTCGACATCTTTCGACTGGTAATAGCAGGGACGAGATACTGCCACTCTACCCTGGGCACCGTGGTGGAGCTTCTAATCGCCCATGGAGCCGACGTGAATGCGAGCGACGAGTATGGCAATGCGGCCCTGTTCTACGCCTGTGCCTGTGGGTTCTACGATATCTTTCGATCTCTGATCGATGCTGGCGCCGATATATTCATCGTACAAGATCAACTGGATCTGAAGCAGATAAACAATATTGGGGAGACAACCAACCGACCCGTCGACGATCTTGCACACAACGGCGATCTCGCAGACAAGGATAACTTCACCGCTGATGATATCAGGGACAACAACAATGTCACAGGTGATGACAATCTGGCAGACGATGACAATCTGGCAGTCGAAATTAATTTGCTCGAGGTGACCTTGCAATGTCGCCATCAGAGTGAGGTGGCAGCATCTGCCGCTCTACAAGACTTATGGCCAGTGATGTTGGATACGAGGTGGGGGTTAATTATATCATCCCTTCTCGATGCTGGCCTACGCTCCGATCCCGGGAATCCATATCTAGTCAAACTTGTGCATGTCGCATGCTTCGAAGGGAATATAGAATGGATCCAGAAGTTGGTCCATCTTGGAGTCGATCTTTATGCTCGTCCTCCTGCCAGTGGCAAGCATCCCCATAGCTTTGGATCCGCTCTCCATGCTGCTATTGGAGGAGGGTACCCGGATATTGTCGCATACTTAATTGAGCATGGGGCAGATGTCCATACTCCGTGTTTGAATAGAATTGACGACACAGAGATGTACTTATCTCCTACTGCCCTGGCCTGCCAACAGCCATCGAACCCACCCGGCGAGACGTCACTTTTCGCCGCTAAATGGTCAATGGACCTGCAAAACCACAAGTCGTTTGAAGAGATATCCGTAATTCTTCTTGATGCTGGACTTGGGCGTGAAGATCGACAATTGCTTCTGTACGAATGTGCGACTCGAGGCCATCCTGAGTTAGTTAAACGTCTTTTAGAACAGGGCAATCGAATGGAAAATGTTCCGATTTCTGACAACCTGGGAGTGGTTCAGTTACTTCATGATGCCGGGTCTAAGATAGATATGGCTAAAATGCAGGCGCACGCTGCTCGACAAGGATGTCTGGATCTGCTGGAATATCTGGTGATGCGAGGTGGACCTTGCATTCCCATCGGAGAATTTGCATCTATAACGGAAGACATTGTCACTGCAAACCACCTTTCCATACTGCGATTCCTTGTCACCGGCTATGGCTTCAATGTCAACAAACCGTTCCGCAAGTATCACGAGCCCCGACGCCTCATACGTCGCACGAACCTCCTTCAACAAGCTCTAAGGAGGGAAAATGTTGCCGCTGTTCGGCTTCTGATAATGGAAGGGGCTGATGTGCGATGCCCAGGGCTGTGGCATACAGGGCTGGCTTATTTTCGAAAGCATGTCAATGCGCCTGCTGCGCCTTCCAAATCCCGCTCCTTGGATCCAGTGGCAATCAACCATAGACAAATAATCGAAACACTTTTATCCTACGACAAGATTTCGTTCAGACCAACAAGGGGTTATTTACCACGAGGATCAGACTCCACACCACTACATGAGTATGCGCAAAGACTACGCGAGACGTTGGAACTGAAAAGTGTCACCAGCCAAGATCCACCAACAATTAACACAGCAAATGAATACGCTTACCCTCAACCATATGAAGTTCCGTATACAAGCCATTTACCTCCCTTTGAATATTCTCCGCTCAGTGGGTTCAATTCCATCCGAGCCATCGAGCTTGAGCCTTCCACCGTCAGCGAAAGCCCAATCCACTGTCGCCTAGTTGAGCTCAACCTTCTGCAGAGACCATATTACGAGGCCCTATCATACGTCTGGGGTAATTCACCAAAAAGGGTTTCCATCCTTGTCAATGGATGTCTGTTTTACGTGACGCCAAATCTATGGTCCGCTTTATTCAGGCTTCGTCGAAGGAAAAGGGGTCGGCTGTTATGGGCAGACGCGATATGTATCAACCAAAATGATTGGGAGGAAAGAGGGCAGCAAGTGCGAATCATGAGGGACATTTATAAAACTGCCTTTAGGGTGGTTGTGTGGCTTGGTGAACATGCAGAAAACTCGCAATACATCGTCAAAAACCGTGAACGGCATATAGAGGAAGATGACTGGAACACGGAAACACCGAACAATAATGTTGTACTGAGTTCAAGGGCTCATTGGGAGGCATTCCGAAAGCTCACCGAGAGACCATGGTTCTTCCGCACATGGATCATTCAAGAGGTATGTCTGGCCAAGGACCGCCTCGTCGTCTGTGGCCCTGACTCGACACGTTTTTGGCAACTCTGGGATGGCATCTCACCAGACAGATTCCACGCTGCGGATGGTGTTCACGGGCCATCGCAATTCAGTAGTCTCATCAGTTTAACGTCGTTTACGGGATTGAAAAAGGCCATCGCCCACAGCCGTATCTGTCAGGCCACCGATCCTAAGGATAAAGTCTATGGCATCCTGGGATTATTTGAAAGTCAATTAATTCCTGTTGACTATAATGTGAGCATCTCTGAGGTCTATCGACGATTCACGCAGGCAGTTATCGAGCGAACGGACTCACTTCATCTCCTGCACAACCTCGGTATCCATCGAAAAATCGAGGGCCTACCCTCTTGGGTTCCGGATTACACCTCCAAGCCGCTACATGAAATAGTTGGCGATCTGGAAGGTCCCTCAATGACATCAATGCCACCGCCACAATTTCATGCATCCGACCTGATCCTCAAGGGCAAACATCTGGATATGGTCCAAGCAGTCGGTGATGAACTGATGGCAGACTCAAACATCAAACCAGGGACTGCAGAATTCGCCACAATCCTCGGTCGGTGGGAGTCCCTGGCAATTCAAATACGACGCAAGCGATTTGATCGAACCATATCTGAGGCCTTTGGAGGCACGCTGATTGCACACACACCGGAAATGCTGCGTAAAGAGATTGGCTATGAGGAGCAACTGTCGTACTACGCGATGCACTTCGTCGCATGGTATCACGTCTATGGAACCGGCATTCTTCGGCAAGCTGATCTGGATTATTTCAAAACGGTGAAAACCGCTCTATCCTGGTCTTCCAAAAAGTACACGCCGGACGACATGGAACGTGATGTGGGATGGTACGCTGATCTGATGCAAAAGTACTCATTCGGGAGGAGATTTTTCATTACAAACAACGGGTCAATGGGCTTGGCCCCACCATTAGCGCAGCCTGGGGATGAAATTGTTTTCTTTCCAGGCGGTAGATGTCCATTTGTTGTGCGGAGGTGTAGTGAGGGTTCGTTCCATCTGGTAGGAGATTGCTTTTTATACGGCTGCAGTCCGCGTCATTTGTTCCGAGACGATGACGATTCCAACTTGGAAGATTTTATATTGCGTTGAGATCATCTAGTCGAACATATATATATCTCAACTACACATTCCCACCCTCATCTATATCTCCAAAATACCATCATATTACATACATGGCCCTCCCTTCTACCCCATCCTCCCACTTCGGGTTTCCTCATTTCCACCTTCATCTCTAAATGTATCCCGGGCTTAAGCCCACGCACCAACAATGCTCATGCAAAACGCACCGAGGAACACCAGAATGCACGCATAAACCCTCTTCCTTCCGCGAAGAATCTTCCAACTCTCATCACTGAGAAAATCCTCCGACATCAACTCCACGAGTGAGGCGAAAATCAAAAGTCCCGAGGAAATGGCATTCATGGTACCGACTAGGAGTAAGCCTACTTCGGAGTCGGGGCTGTAGAGGGTATGCGTTGCGAGTCCGATGGCTTGGCCGATGGGTGTGCTACATGATGTCAGTGGGTTTTCATAATTATTAGTCTGGGTCAACGTACGTGCAACCATAAGCGAGAGACATCAGCCATGGCTGGAGTGCGTTTTTGGGCCATGGGAGGGCGGAGATACGTGAGCCTAGCGCGAGGCCTTCGAATGTTTCTGTACGACTCGTTAGATGATGATTCATGGAAGAGACGGTCGAGAAGCTCACGGTGAAAGCAAATGGCAATCAACAGAATAACAAATTCACTCCCCACAGAAACACTCAGCGACATGCCGATAAACACACTGTGAAAGAGAATTCCCATCTCAAGAAGAAAAACCTGCATAACCTCTTTCTTCTGCTTCTGCTCGGGAGTCAGAAAGCTGTGAGCATCGCTATCGTTTCGCTCCGCATCATGTTCAGAGAACTCAAGCTTGACATCGTGGTGCGCTTCTCTTTCCGGTGCAGATTCAATTCTGCGGATTCCTTCCGCATCTTCGCCAATTCGGCTAATAGCGCGACTCATACTGGATGATCGACCATTCAACGGTCCCATGTCGCGGAGGTGAGGTCGTCCTTCAAATCCGGGAGAAGGCGGGCTGTGCTCGGTTGCATTTCCAGATTCATCGTAAACCTCGATTCTGGGCGTCGTGGATTCGCTGGTGCTAGGTTGCGGCGATGACATTTGATTGGCAACAGCACGAGTTCCGCCGCGACAAACATGTCGGGCAGGACTAAAGACCATCTCGATGACGGTTACCAGGAAGATACCGCCTAATGCGATAGCGCCTGGCATGGCTGGGTAATCTGTTGTCCAGAATTTGGACAAGCATGGGTCACCCAGCGTTTGGAACGCCGTCGGGAGAAGATGGACAAATGCTGTCGCGATAAGAACACCGGTTCCAAAGTGACTGACAAAAAAGAGGAATGACGGTGGGATACGCATGCCCGGGAATCTTGTGGCTAGAATAGGGAATGCACAGCCCAAGGTCGAGACACCGAGGATGATGAAGAGGGCGCCAACATGCAGGGAGAGGTTGTAGTCATCGCCCCTGACGCCTCCTTGAGCGCATGTCGATCGTCTAAGAATAATTGGAGCCGGGATTCTTTCAACAATAACCTCTTGATGAGGTTCTGTGGTAAAATACTCTCTCAAGGTGCGATGAGAGATGAGTCCAGAGACACACAGAACAGACAAGAGCCATAGCCCCCAGTCTTTGAGTCTCTGATACGATGGAACAATGCCATCGTTTGATCGTAAATTTCCAACATCAACGTTGGTCTTATGGGCAACGGGTCGTCCTATTCCAGTCAGTGAGTCACGAAAAGCAGATCCTCGACATCATCCTACCTGACAAAGTCAGAGACAACCCCTGCCCCGTCTGGAGATGATTCTCCGGATCAGATACGCGAGGTGGCGGATCTCCAGTGCCGTCAAAGCAGAGCCCCACGACGCCCGCCAACCCGTTCTTGTTGTCTTTCTGCTCACGTGCGTTCGAGATGCCGTTGAGGTCTTGGCGGGTGGTCAAATCCGGTGCCAGGCGTGGCGGGTTCTGATTCCAGTCGTCGTGGAGGAGCGTATCGTCGGTGCGAGAGGGACAATTCATGATGCTGACAGCTGACACGATCCTATCTGCCTACGAGGGAGAAAAGAGTTGACAGGTCGAAGAAATCCAGACTCGGCACGAACTGGGGACATCGAGGGTTGCTTAAATTATCGTCTGGGCTTGGCGTGTCTTGGCGATGGATGATGTTCACGTCGTCCTTCCCTGTTCGACTTCGTATACAATTGGCAATCCAACTACCATCAACATGTTAATTCCCTGCATCTGCCAGTTCATCTGACCTTTTCCTCCTCGACTGCTTATTCTGCTCTATATGCAAGTATCCTGTATGCGATTTCTCCCGACGCTGAGTTTCGCTGCTTCTCCGCCGGCCCGACTTTCTTGGCGTGGTTCCGCCAGCTGCTCCGTGATTCGCTGAGGAGTGAGCTCGGGCCGGTTTCGGCCATGTTTGACATCAACGAGGGTGAAAGTGGGAATTTAGGATGCTATTTTCAGACTAGTGGTTGGTTAAGGACCAGGCATCAGGAAAATCATGCTCATTCCTGCTCACGGATTTCCCGTCACATGAGAAAACACTTTTCATATAAATTAAACATGATTCTGAATACCACGAAGCTCTAGCCATCGAGCTTGAACATGGCTGAATGCCATCCATACGCACGATTGAGACGTCGACCGTGTCGTCGAGCTGTGCGGAAAGGAATCTTCCCACTAGGATGAGACTCGTGGAACTGGATGCTTCTTTCAACATCCAAATTCTGCGGACTGAATTGCCAAACTGATCCATACAGCTTTTCCACCAAGAAACCAGTCGATCCCATTGCGTGCAACAAATCGGTCCAAGAAACTTCACCCGGCTGCGAAGTCCGAGACGGCGTATAGAACAAAGCTGAGAAGACCTTGTGAGCACGCCTATCAACTGCCATCGTGGGCTGGACATCGGGTCCGTGGTTGCTGGTGGGCTGTGGTTGTTCTCGCGATGGTGCGGCAGTACCGCGGGTCTTCACTTTGACTCGGGACGGGCCGCCTTTTTCATCCGATCGGATTGTGCGCTGCGTCCGTTGCTCCAGGTCGAAGTACAGTTCGGACAAGGGAAGGCAAAGATCGTCCATGGTAGTAGTTGCGGTGGCCGACTTATCTTTGCTCGGTTCAACCCAGTCAGGAGTCCGGTGCATTATACGGTCTTTCAAAAGCAAATGCCGAATTGCGCTATGCTGAGAAATGCCATTCTTGTTAATGAACGAGGAGTCGACCTTTTTCCAAAAAGCGTCGAGACTTGCTTCTGCTCGCTGCATCGCGACCGTCGTTTCCTGCGTCCGGCGTTTGTCAATCGGATAGAAGAACCGGCCATCTGTCGGTGTCCCCTCGTCGGAGATTTGAACGTCTTCCATCTCTCTGTCGAATTCAGACCATCTATCCACATTTTTCACGTAGTCCTCCTTGATTTCATCCCGTTTGTCGTTTATTGTCGTCTCAAAAGTGGCGGCCCAGGGTTGGAAATAGGAAATCTGGCGCTGGCACTCGGACAAGACTGATAGGTCTGAAATCGTGCTCATCACCCACGGGGAAATGAGGTCCTTTATGGATTTCTCCGTCTCGATGAGTCGCTCCATCTCGTCCATTATGTTGGGTAGACCGAAAAGAAACCTCTCCTGCTCACCCCATATCGTGTTCAGCATCCAAGAAAAGTGGCTTCGCTTTTTGTCGGCCACTAAGCTTTCCCTCGACATTGTACGAATGTTATTGCGCCCATGTTGCGGTGGAGCTCGCACAAAGAATCGGCGCATTGGAGACGCAGGCACACCTACTTGAAGATTGATGAGAGGTCCTCGCACCATATGTTCGAGGAGCCAGCTGAATTTGCAAAACGTCCACTCCAAGTCTTTGGGCAGGTCTTGTTCCGGTCGCAGGTCCTTTGCGTATTTCGCGTACAATGACTCCAAGGAGTTCAGCTGAAGCTGCACTTCATCCCAAAGACCAAGAGCAAAATAGGCGTCCGAAACCACGGTGTTGAGGACTTTGTTCCACATCCCCTTGCCTCCCGCCAGTCTGACTGATGGGTGTAGACTGCCCTCGAAGTCTGGGACGATTTCTGGTCGGTGCTCCTTCCTGTCGAGCACAACTTCTGCAAAGTAACCTGGGTCTTCTCTCAACGACCAGATATGATCCTCTGCTGCAGAGCGCTTTGCGGCGACGATGCCTTGCAGACGGCTGAGATTCAAGCTTCCAGGAATTCGATAGGGAGCTTCGCCCGCCACGACAGTTAGCAAGTTCATGCCTGTTTCGGATGTTGACAGAGCTGGAGGCTCGGGTTGAATGGGCATGTCCCCTTCTATGAGTCTCTCACGCGGAATATCAACCAGCAACGCGTAACAACATTCGAGCAGAAATCTGTAGATTCCCTGCTGAATTTCCAGGGCCAGAAGAGCGTGGCCAGGCAGAATTCCACGCTGGGTCGTCATCCAGTCGAACGCACGCTCGTCCTCGTCCCAGTGAACGAGCTTTGCGTACTTTTCCGGCGTCATATCCCCGTCGAACATCATAATGTGCTCGTTTAGGAAAGCCGGTCTGAGGTTTCCTGTAACCTCCCCCAGCCTCATCGAAGCCCAGTCGGTCGAGATGAATGTATGCGGGGAATGGCGACCACGAGAATTAAGATAAATCAGCAGCATCTTGGGATTCAACAAGTCCTCCAAGTTGATATATAGCCACATGAATCCATCCCTGTAATAGGGATTTCCCGGCTGGTTTTTGCTAAACGCATCAATATCCGGTCGGTGAACAGCCGCCATATAAACCGTCAAAAGGACCTTCTTACGCCACTCGCGCGTTCTTTTCAGCCATCGCTTCGGCAGCGCAGCCTCGAAGCGCTCCACGATCCTGTTCAGAATCGCCCAGTCATGCAGGATGTTCATGGGCCACCCACGAGCGTCTTTCCGCACCTTTTCAGTCATGGGGAACGACGAAGTGTGGGAGACCCTGGAAGAAGGTCGCCAGATCCATGTCTTTAAAGCTTACGCCGTCCGATGGCCCATTAATGCGTTCCCATTCTTTCTTCCAGATTCCTCCATCTTTGGAGGCTGGCACGCGAAGGTCTCTTCCAAAGGACATTCGATTGTTGATTATTGCCCGATTCTTGAAGTGTCTTGATCAAGTGAGTTCAGATTTTGTTGTTGATCGTTTCTATGGAGTGTGGGGCATGTGATTAGTCAGGTGATATTTTATGCACATCACACGATCTGCTGAGTCATCTTTATGCAGTGCTTGAATGAACTGAACATTCGTACAGCAACAAGAGCATTCTTGTTTTCCATAAGAAATAAGAATTTTTCTGATGCTTTGGCAGAACAATATCTCTCAAAGGACAACTGGAAAAATAGTATCGTTTACCACGCATTTCTGTGATACTGGCTGAATCTTGATTCTGAAACGATTATATATCTCCGCACATGGTAACCTCCGATATCATATCATAGGAACAAAAATATCATACATATTATTCTTTTCTTTCAAACCACCAACTAAGCTATGTATACTCATAAGTAACAGGCTGAATCTTCACATTGTTCATGGTGATGGATCAACTCATCCTCCATCCTGCTCGAGGTCGATGAGAATACACCGAGGGTATAAAGATCTGGAGTAGACCGATAATATGAGATCTTTTATCACGCTGGATACATTCTTCATTCCTATAACTCCTTCTGCACAATTGTACATAGATACATATATGATGTCACCTGGTTACTCCCCCGTCCTCCGCCCGCTGATAAAGACAATATTCATGAATCTAATGACGCATGGCTGCGGCGCGCAGCCGACTGATTTGTTTTTTCCAGGCAAAGCACTGAGAGCAATCTAAGCAAACAGTCATTAGCCTGAAGACTAAGATGATTGGGGAGTCAAAAAATGGGAAACACGTACTAGCAATGGCATGCTTACTGCACTTGTACACACCATCCTTCTGCGAGACATGAGGCGTCGTAATGGCAGCGCGATCTACGGCATCGAACTGCGAGAGCATGAGCAATTTATAGAGGGAGATTAGATACGGTGGATGCATACTCCGTAGAAGGAATCATTTTCTTCGCGAGTATCGGTGTCGCAGTCGCCGCACTATATGATTTATTAGTGCTGGTTTATAATGAGGTGGAAGATAGGACTGACCACTTCGAGGAGATGAGTCTGGCAGAAAACTGCGTCGTTGATTTCGACTACGGCTGCCATGGTGAAAGAGTTGAAGATGATGGTGTAGGACCCGAAGATGGAGGGATGGCGGGGTTTAAATCGATCCGAAGAAGCTGAAGCGGAGATCTGCAAGAGCTGAACTGTGGGGCAAAACACCGATTAATCCGGTCAGAGATTTATCATTCAGAATTCCCTGTTCATCTGTCGTTGGAAATGCACTAGAGATATCAGCTGAGGGTTATCTGTACAGAGTGGGGGAACCACAGCCACAGCTGAGTAGATATTTCTACATCCTCAGCTGGACTTCAGCTCGAAATAGTTTAAAATTCTTTAGTTCGCTACTGGACCCGATGCTGAGAGTACATTAGCAATAAGCGTTTCCTACACCAGTTTCTAATCCTTTTGCTCTTCTTTTTACCGTCAGTTCTGCAGGAGAGTTGACTGAATATGTTGGAATGTTCACATCCACCACTTCCCATCCATGTGCTTCTAGAGCCTTTTTGTGTTTTACCAGATAGAATGCGCTTTCACAAGTCTTCCTGACAGTCTTTGGACTGGCCACGAACAGTATGCATTTTACCTCCATGCGAATGTCAGTCCATCCAGAGACTGGCCAAACTGTGCTAAGTAGATTCCAGGGATAGATCACTAGTGATATTGACAAACATAGTATGCACAGGAAACTGCTTCGTGGGGCTGCAATAGGGGTGGCAAGTTCGAGGTTGTTCGCCTCTTGCGTCGTTTATTTCGGGAGATTCCCACGACCCACTGACATTTTCGCTCAATAATGATCTACGACTACTTGCCATTGCTAGTCTTATTGATTTACTAAGATTGTACTCCAATAGAAGTAGTTCAAATATAGACAATAGTAGCAAAATGAATCCCATTGATAGCTCATTCCATTCCAAATCTAGCCCCAAACATGTCTCTCATTCCAAGGTGGAATATAAGCAAAGATAGCCAAAGAACTGTAAACAGAATCTTCAAAGTATTCATCACCGTTTACACCCGCAGTGAGTGCCAAAGACCTGAACGTGGGCTCGTTCATCCAGCACACCTGCTCGGACTGGCCGCAAGGCCAAAACTCTCGCACAATATCATACCAGGATGCCCCGGGGCGAATATTGGGAACATAGATAAAATTATGTATCCCGTCTGCAATCAAAGAGACTGGATCAAGCGGAGTTGTGCAGCTGTTAATCACCGGTAGAATGGTAGGATTGATGCCGAGGGCTTGGAGGACGGCAAAAAGGGCGAGGTCGGAGCCGTGGAGAAGCCGGGGGAATAGATCATATTCGTTAAAATTGGTGTGGGCATAAGGGTGGTTTGAGTAGAACCCGAGCCAGTATCCTAGACGCGAAGAATAAGTACCTCGAAAGAGGTTTATATAGAAAGGAATAAGGGTTACCTTGTGTGAAGAATGCCGGCTGTGTCCACAGATTACTGATGTATTGATACAAAGGGAGACTCGCTGGGTCAATGATAGGATCATCCTCCAAGATCATCATGGCACTGGGCTCGGTCTCGTAGAGCTCATAGATCAAAATGACTCTTTGACCTTTTGTGACTGCCTGAAGGTCAAGGCGGCAGCCATTAATATAGAAGGCAATCCATTGGACGGCCGACGCACTTTGCTCACTCCATTCAAACTTCACAGACTTCCCGTCAGAGCTAATGATTGCATTTCCTCCCTCGAAAGAGGATGGAAGACAGACAAACAGATAGCCAAAGTGCCTATGAAACGGTTTCGGGGGGATGCTACCATCGCAATGGCCGGACATGATACTCAAACTATACGGCTTCACAACAACCCCCCGAGTGCGCAGTCCTTCAGCATAATCAGCTGGGGGAAGCATTAGTTGTGCTATGCTATCAGTGATTTCATATTCAGATGGATGGAATGTCGAAGCAAATTGAGTAGCATCAAGCTGATCCTCGTTCGCTGCACAGTCGTTTAGCAACTGCTGGAAAGCGGCTGTATTGCCGGTGCTTGGAAAGGTGACGCTATGTGATATACTGTCCTGGCCTTGGTTGTTATGCCAGTAGATTCGAACGGGAGGTGATTCGCGGGCTTTTTCGGGGTGCTTTGGGTGTAGAGTCGGGTCGATGGGGATAGAGCCACCGCAGACAAAGGTCGTTGACTCTGGGTCGTTGAAATGGTTCTGGAGAGTACTGAGACAGGAAGATAAACAGAGCTGTTGCAGAGATGGGACGGAGTGTATTTGATCAGTTGACATGATGTTGATGTGCTGTATAGAAGTTATACAAGTTCATCCGCTGGAGTAGAAGAAATATTCGGACATTCCTAGCGGCCTATACTCGTCAATTCATGTTAATATTCGGGTCGAACGTTCAACTGTAGCCGAAAGATATGGTAATTATAGGCAGCCTTCGTCATATCATCTCGGCCTGGATGATATGAACCACGGACGAGCTCTTACTGATGTTACAAATAGTACTCTCTATTACCCCATATCCCGCCTAATCCAGTAGGGTGAATATAGCAGGTGTCCGAGGTAGATCGTGGTTACGTGGTCATCTTGCTTATATTAACTTCTGGGATAATCATTTAAATATCGAAACTATTTCCTACGACTACATCTACAACCAATCGTCGGCAGACGACAGTTGCCACCATTCCTGTGGTGATTCCTCCGCTGCAGCCATAACATGAGGCAGTAAAAGGTGTGGGAGGGGAGATTTCTTTGCCCCCGCGAGGTAGCACTTCAACTTCCGTGCTGGCCACAAGGACGCGAGAAGAGGATGTCTATGGCCTTATATTTCTCGAGGCAATGTCACCGCACTATGGCCTAGTGTACTCCCACAAATCAGTTTTGTCATCAGACGAGATCTTCCATGGACTCCACTGTCCTGGTCGAACATGGATATACCAAGGAATTTCAATGCTCTTAATACATGGACGGGACCGCACACATTGAGGAATAGATATTCATGTCTGGTATTTGGCGTCGCAAGAACGGCTGCTACTCCCATTAAGAGTCTACCAGCGGAGGGAATGATCTATATTCTGCAGTATAGGGAAATTGATAGGCGGGCTGATAGATACGTCCTATTTTAGAAATAGAACTTTGTATTTAATTCCGTTTTATAGCAAATCTTCCTGTCTATATAGCAAATGGCAAATCGTCTCTCGGCCATCGATAGAACCCTCCAATGGAACTGAAGCCCATCAAGCATCTGTCACAATAACTGGCTCTCTCATCAATGTCAGATGAACACCCGGTCCATATGGATGCGAGTCTTGACGGTTCAAATCAGGCTCTTGCTTCACTATCTTCCACCCACTTCTATTCAATTCGTACCTTTGCTCAGGAAGTTTCAATTCACGGTCGGAAACCTTCCAGTACACATTAATCGTGTCTCGCCCATATTGAGCGCGATATTTCTCCATCGCGTTTGGCACACTCTTGACAATATCCGATTCAAACTGATAATCTTCATCCTCGGATGACTCCAAACATGGCGCTGTGTACCCCTCTGCCAGAATGGGGAATTTGGCGGCATAATATGGCTCATCGTCCCGAGAGTATGACTGGCAAGTTATAGTCAACTTGTTCGAACGCGGGCCAAGGATCTGGAAAATATGTTTAATCTCTGGAGGAATGATCTCAACCCATTCTGACTCGGTAGACTTTGGTAAGGTCAGATACCCGATTACACCACAGTCATACAGGCTGAGTCTTTCTGGCAGGCAGCCCTCGCGAAAGACGGCCTTGGTTTGACTATGATGAATGGTCATGTTGGTGAGAAGACCTCTGTTGTAAGGTCCGATATCAAGAAGCCAAGCGTATATCGTTAGCCATTCATGGTTTTCTGCATTTAAAAGATCAAACTTGAAGTTGTTACCGCTGTAGAGGACGGAAGCAGCCTCTTTGTGTACTGTTTTATTGCATAGCAGTAGTGGCACTGGTCGGCATGAGACACATCTACTGATGCGCGCTTTGATCCGCAGTTTGGTTTGATATGCAGATCATTTTATAGATGACGAGGCGGGTTTCCGGAGGGAGGTCCAGGAAACTAGTTGAATCTCTTTTCACCTGCATGGTGACTGTTCGTATCCCTGGTGGCTTATGTGAATATATGCAAGTTTCATTTTTCTCAAGAGGGCCGAAGTATCTAATTTATCGTAGGAATTCGCTCTTTTAGGCAGCACCATCGTCACTATCAGTTCATCCTTAATTATCTGTAGCCTGAACCGTACAAGGGGTTCTACTGTAGGCACCAACATCGTCCCGTCACTATTAACTAAAACCCGATACCAATCTGCCGCTACCTCTGCATAGAACTTGATTGCTTAAATAGGAGAAACCGCTCTACCCCATCCGGAAATATTCCGACGGATGTCCGATGGGGAACCACCGACGGACTTTCTCCAGCCAATGGAGTGTATGTAACTGACAGTAAAATGGTATTGAATCAGGGTTCTCCACGCGGGGAAAAGTCTGGGGAAATGGGTGGATGTAGTGACAATGAGGGCATATAAATTGAACGGGAAGAAAAGTTGTCGTGTCGATCGAATATACAATACAACAAAATGGATGACAAGGAATTCATCGCCCACCATGAGCGGGCTACTCATGATAGTCCACTCTCCGAGGAAGAATCACAGCTGATGAGATCTTTTGAAGGCAAGAAAGGGAAACGTGTCGTTCGCAAGGTATTACCCACTCATATTCATCCGTGTTCCGAGTCCTGCTAACATGTATAGATTGACTACAGATTGATTTCCATTCTAGCGATTCTCTATCTCATGTCACATATTGATCGGGCCAATATCGGAAATGCAAAGATTGAAGGAATGGAGAAAGACCTGGGACTGGTCGGGAATCAGTATAATATCGCGGCGACTATTTTCTTTGCTCCTTATATTATCTTTGGTCAGTCATCAGTCGTCAGGAGCTGTTCTTGGCCTGAACTAATATCCAAATAGAGGTCCCCTCTAATATTATCCTAAAAAAGGTCCGGCCTTGCATTTGGCTTTCGCTGCTGGTGGTCGGTTGGGGGACTATCATGACATTGATGGGGATTGTCCGGGATTTTAGAGGTCTTGTTGCTTGTCGGGTGTTTCTCGGCCTAGTCGAGGTATGTATATCCTATGATATCTCCCTTCTTAAGCCTCTCTAATGGTGTTGCAGGCAGGATTCTTCCCCGGAGCCGTCTTCATCGTCAGCTCGTGGTACGTTCGCACCGAGCTCCAAGAACGCCTTGCCCTATTCTACACTGCCTCTGCGTTTTCAGGCGCCTTCAGCGGTCTTTTAGCATTTGCGATTGCCAAACTAGACGGTGCACGAGGCATTGCTGGATGGCGCTGGATCTTCCTGATTGAGGGGGCAATCACCGTTGCCGCCGGGCTCGCAATGCCATTTCTGATCGTCGAAGATCCTAAAAATTGCAGATGGCTGAGCGATGATGAAAAACGATTTGTAGACTGTCGATTGAGGTTGTCTGGCGTCCGCACAGCATCGGAAGAAAGCGATAAATTCTCCTGGCGTCTTCTGTGGTCTGCACTGGTGGACTGGAAAGTTAACCTAGCCATTCTCATGGCATGGGCCAACGCAGCACCAACCTCTGCATTCAAGTTCACGATGCCCCAAATCCTCACCGGGCTGGGATACTCCTCCAGCCACGCACAACTGATGAGCATCCCGCCGTATGTAGCTGGGGGTATTTCAGCCTGGGTGGTAGGCCGCTTTTCAGACCAGTTTGCGTGGCGGTTTCCGTTCGTGATAGGACCCATGGCAGTGCTGCTCACGGGACTGTCGATACTGTTTGGCTTTTCGTCGAGTATCGAAAGCCACGCGCATGTTATGTACTTTGCGATTGTGCTTTCGCAGATCGGAATTTATCCCCTTCTCCCTGGTGTTTCTGCGTGGACGGGGAATAACCTCGCTCCGTCATGGAAACGATCGATTGGAATTGCGTGGGTGCTTGCGGCGGGGAATTTTGGAAGTAAGTCATGCTCAGCTATCTATATTACTCTACTGATCGTGTAGGTTTAATCGGAACAAACGTGTTCCTTGACAGGGAAGCACCGGTGTACACTACGGGATATGCGACATGTATTGCGATAGTCGTGCTGGGAATGTTGGCATGTATGGTGAATGAGGTGCTGTTATTGCGATGTAACAAGCAACGGGATGAGGTGGCAGAAGCAGCACGAGAACAATATACCCAGGAAGAGCTGGAAAAACAAGGCGACAAGAGTCCGCTGTACAAATACACTTTGTAGATTGTCGGAAGATTCCCGGATAGCTTTTTTACTGAAACAATCATATCGGGTATTTTCCGCGGATACCTGTATTAATAAAGGCAGACAGACCCCAGACAGCATGTGTAAAGTAACATTAAGCAAGATGGCACCTACAATTCCTCCCTTCTCCGACCTCCCAGTAGACAAGAATGGCCCGCGTGGCAACGCATGGGGTGTGTGGGGACCCAACGACCAGATCGGGACACTAAATCACCTCACTCCAGACGTGGTCGCTCGCGCAGCCAAAGAGGAGATCAGAACTGGTCGACGAATTTCTCTCAAGTATGTGTCTGTCTATTCAATTTATATGTGGCGGTAATAATGGTTAAAGCTGGTCGATGACTGGACTTTCAAATCCAAAAACAGGCAGGAAAGGGCTGGAGGTCAAACTCGTCAATAAAGAGCCACTCAAGGTTGCCCATGATGACGAGGTATTTATTGCATTGCGTTGATTGAATAAATGAAGCTAAGAAGGAAGTTGTCGTTCAACTCTCAGATCAGTTCGCAGTGGGATGGGTTTAGACACTATGGGTACCAGCAAGAAAAGGTATATCCCCTTTTTATCATCCTGGAATGCTCTAACAGTTATAGATGTACTTTATGGGCCACGTAGCAGAGGATTTCCAGACTTCCACCGTCAATGGCATTCATCGTGAGTACCATAATCACAACAACCATTTATATATACTCATCAATAGCAGACATAGCCAAGCAAGGAATAGCCGGTCGAGGTATCCTAATCGACTGGTACAAATGGGCCACAGAGCAAAGGCACCTCCCCATCGACACCTTCACACCATACACCATCACATTCCCATCCCTCATGGAAGCCGCTCAATTCCAAGGCCTATCCCAGGCTGACTTTCGACCCGGCGACATTCTCTTCATCCGAAGTGGCTACGTGCATCAATACGAAACACTCACAGACGAACAACGAGAGGTCCTCAGCGAGCGGTACCAACACCAAAAACCAGAAAACATCGGCGTCGAGCCATCAGAGGCATTTCTCTCGTTTCTTTGGGATGGACGATTCGCGGCGGTAGCGGGGGATTCGCGGTCATTTGAGGTGTGGCCGTGTACAGTTCCCCAGTGGCATCTGCATGAATGGCTGTTGGCGGGATGGGGAATGCCGATTGGGGAGTTGCTTGATTTGGAGGAGTTGAGTGCGGTGTGTGCGGAGCTGGGGAGGTATACCTTCTTTCTATCGAGTGAGCCGTTGAATGTAAGTGGAAGTGCACTTATCTTCAGTTGTTTGTTCTAATATGTCTAGGTCCCTGGGGCTGTTGCAAGTCCACCAAACGCTCTGGCATTCTTCTAACTATGAATCGTTTGGCTTTTAACATATTCTTTGTATGTTTTAGTTTACCTCTTGGGTACTACACTTCCACTTCTTCATTCTTACAACTCTACGTTTACATGGTTGTCGTCAGCATGGTTAAACGGGAGTATAAGACATCTTAGGCCCTTCCGGCTGGTGGTAAAGAAGATATTTTAAATATATGCCATATTTTCATTATTGAAAGTATAAAGCGATGTCTTTTAGATAACCAATCTTTTTCTATTATAGTAGGCCTGGGGTATTTAGCTATATTACTAGATAAATAAGAATACTTGAATCTATATAACCTAGTATGTAGGTTTTAAACATTAGTAGAAAGACTATATAGGGATGATTTAGTTATAATAGTCTATAAATCTAAAGAGATATAGGTTTTTATAGCAGCTATAATTTACAGCACTTCTTTAAGGAACTTCTCGATAGGCTTGATGTCATGGGTGAGTATAAACCTAAAATAGGGCTTAGCTAAAACAATAGACATACCATAATTAATACTAAAGAAATATATAACTTTCCAAGACTAGAATATACATTGTCCTATTTAACCCACCATCATCGATATTCTGGATCAATCTGAATAATAGCATCCATCCCATCCCTATCCAAAGCCTCCGTATCCAGAACCAGCGAAACCATCAACGTAGCCGGCTCAGTCTCGCTAGCATTATCACTGATTTGATGGTGACACCCTGGTGCCTCATGCCATGTTGCACCCATTTTCATAACTTGCATCGGATTATCATTCATTTTATTTAGAAGTGTCCCGTCCACCACATATGCCGACGCAGCGGCTCCACCATGTCGGTGGGGAGGGGTTGAGCTATTTGGTGGGAATTTGACTAAGAGCCCAACAATGGTTTTGCCCGGGCAGTTGGATAGTTTGTATTGATAGATTATATTGATGTTTGGCATTGGGCGGCTGAATTCTAGTTAGTATATTATCTTATTAGTGTTTGGGTTTTTGCCCTTTTTTACCTTGGGTTATAGATTGGTTCCTCCATAATGGTCAAATGTGTGTGGTTCAAGTAAAATCAATGGGAATGATGTTTTACCGCGAATTCGAGGCAGTCGGCAGCTAGATATATCAGTAAACTGCATATTTTGAAATATATCAAAAATAATACAATGACGTAAACCTTACTGATACAATTTCCACAATGCCCATTGATAGGTATTCGGATTTGGTCTGCGCATCATGACCATTTCTGAGCATACCTCATCATAAGGTATTAATGACATAATTAGAAGATTCCCGGAAATAGACAGGCATAACTAATCAATATGAAATACATAATTCAGATCTGTTTATATTGATTACAACACCAAGTATAAGTGTGTAAATTACCGTAACATCAATTGTATTCTATGACCTTCAAGGTCCATATAAATTACATACTCTTTTCATCTAAAGAGACATTAAGTTTTATAACTCTCAGAATCGCAAGAAATGTAATATGTGAAGTGTCCAAGATTAATATCTCTACCTTTCTCCCCAACCTAAATATCACGCCATGTCTTAGTTACATAAACCAAGTCAATCGCGACCTATTTCTACCCACGCAACTTTCTTCTTTAGTAAGTTCTTTTATACGTTACATACTTATAGATAGCATGGTTCTAGCCCATGACCACAGACTACTTTCAAAATAACTAGCTAGAGTTCTTATCTATAAATTATTAGTAATAGATAACAATGCCCATCGAAAAATAGAATGCAGACGCGATCGACTGGCCGATCATTAGAGCCCGGGTATACTGACGAGGATCGCGCATTTCTGCGACGATAGAAAAGAATGCCGTTATGCCTGAATAGGCGAAGATAATAGTGCATATCGCTGACATGGCACTGGCGAAGGAGGGATTGCCGAACAGTTCATAGTCACGAACCCAGACTGAGTCCTCTGGCGTACCTGGCAGATGGTCTTGAATGCCGACAGCGACAGCGACAATTAAAACTTGGCTCTGGACAGCCTGATTTTGTTTTGACACTCTGAAACCCACCTGCAGTAAGGATGCAAGTCAATCTAACTCAATCAATCCATGATATTCGACCAATTGTCTGGATACTTCCGAGACAAAAGGCAACAATGGCAGCAACAGCCACAAAGACGGCAGTGCAGGCGCCATGCGAGGAAACTGTGCATTCAAGCCGATCGAGATGCCCAGCACGCCCGAGCCAGCGGGAAAGTCCCACCCTATACCTAGTCAGCGCAACATCGTCTTCATCTCGAGAAGTACTTACAAAGAACAAAGGCACTCCCAAGAACAATCCTCCCCGGTAGTCCAAATAGATAACCCACATTGTCGATTCCATACACCTCACGGTGCCGAAGCTTGAACACCCCAATCCGTCTTCTATAGGATGCTCAAAAGCATTTTGGAAAGGTTGTCATCAAGCTCGACTGGGCTGACTGCAGACTTGCATGAGCTTCAGGGCTCTTTCAACGGATCTGATGATTTGTCACCTTCAGAAATGAGAGACAGTCCGGTGTTTCCTGTGGCCCATAACACATCAGCATACTAATACTTGTATTCCTCCAAGTAGACCGATTGGAGAGACCAGCGGAATGTTTCAGTACACCGTGATTGAGGCGGAGGGGGCCACAGCTGGTGTTGGAGATCGAAATAGTTATGCAATTGAGAAATGGGTTTAGTTAAAGAGATTTAGAGCATTGGCTGAGTTTGCTGTGTTGTCTGGAATGACTTGTGCGGGGATTGTCTTGCTAATATTAAAATCAAGCAGACCCTCACCAAATGAATTGTAGTTATACCGGTGTTTCTAGATTTGGTAGGAAATGAAGATCAAAAAAAAAAAAAAAAGGCACTATTAGGTTAGCCATTATCAGTGTGCTCTAATCTGAATAGAGGTTAACACTGTTGGATAAAGTTTCTGTCCCTTCACTCTCGCATTTCGGGCATAGTTGTTTAAAAATGTCATGTCCTGAGAATGCGAGTGCCACGCATGTCAGGGCTTGGAGGATGAGGAAGAGCTTCATTATGAGATAGATCACACAAGCCATCACAATAAAATCCAAACTAACTCGGACTTTTTCATCTGGAAGAAGCTTCATAATGACAGCCCAAAGAAGGCAAAGACCAAGCATCTAATACAGACAGCCCACTGCACTCCATCCAGTAGTATCACTCCAAACACAGCACCGCCAATAAATATTATTATAATCTAGCCGGCGACCATAATAATATTAATAACCATGAACCATGGCTATGCACTACTTGTATACTAAGACTCCCAGTGTTTCGCTAAGTTTTTAGCTTCCAGTGGAGCACAGACTTCCCAGTTCCTGATATCACCTATGAGCCCCAGTCCCTGGTAAGTGATGCTCTAGGTCTCACCCCCTCTATACTACCTTGCTCGCACTCCCCTGAGAGGACACCCACCGAGGTGTTGACTGTGCATAAGCCACACGCCAGGGGTGACCACCAGCGAATCCCTGCTGTTGTATATTTTATTTTTATATTTTTGGTGTTTATGAATACTTTTTATTCTTCTAGAATAGGAGGGACCTTGTTCTGCATGGTGTTCTGCCGGAGATACACATCTGCCAAGAAGGCTTATGCTAATGCTTGATTCGTTATTTCGTTACTAAAGACCTAGGCAGTATCAACGGCCAATCAATTTGCATTTACGCATCACACAAGCTTTATTAATAAATTTGCTGTAAATAAGATCCACCTAAAACAAATCATGTTTGTCCGATTACATCCATGGGTTAGATCAGGTACAACCGACGGCAGACCAATCACAGCCCCGCATCCCGCCACATGGAAGACTAAATAATAGGTACAATATACCCGACCTGATCGTCTGCATTCTCAGCGAAGAACCAAGAATGCTGGCCAATGTCGCGTCCACGTGTAGTCGATATGTTATTGTATCCCCTGAAATATGATTTCCCCCGGTAGCCATCCCTAGATGAATATAAACCCCCTCTCCAGGCCTGTAGGAATCCTTCCACACAGACAAAATGAAAACACTCATCCCCCTCGTCCTGGCCGCGGCCGTTCAAGCCCGTCCTGTGGTTGACGATCGCTTTCCTTATACAGGCCCTGCGGTCCCTGTCGGTGACTGGGTCGATCCCTCCGTGAATGGCAATGGAAAGGGATTCCCGCGTCTTGTTGAGCCGCCCGCCGTGAAGCCAAAATCGGCACATCCCAGCAACAACGTTAATGTGGTTTCGCTGTCGTATTTGCCGGATGGTGTGAATATTCACTACCAGACGCCGTTTGGGCTCGGACAGGCACCGAGTGTTAAGTGGGGGAAGAAGAAGGGGGAGTTGGGGAATGTCACGAGAGGGTATTCGCATACGTATGTCTATCCACTGCCTTATAGATTCAATATATGCAGATGCTGATGGTGATAGGTATGATCGCACACCATCGTGCTCCGAGGTCCGCGCAGTGACGCAGTGCAGCCAATTCTTCCATGAAGTGCAGCTGCCCAACCTCGAACCAGCAACAACATACTATTACCAGATTCCATCCGCGAACGGAACCACCGAGTCAGAGGTGTTGAGTTTCAAAACAGCACGCAAAGCAGGCGATCACACGCCATTCAGCATTGCAGTCCTCAATGACATGGGCTACACCAACGCAGGAGGCACCTACAAGCACCTCGTGGACGCCGTCGAAAAAGACGCTACTGCGTTCGCCTGGCATGGCGGCGACATCAGCTACGCGGATAACTGGGCCTCTGGCGTTCTCCCCTGCGCGGACGACTGGCCTGTCTGCTATAATGGGACATCTTCGAAGCTGCCCGGTGGTGTGGTGCCGGACGAGTACAAGGCACCCTTGCCGAAGGGGGAGAGCCCGAATCAGGGATCCCCCCGCGGTGGAGATATCAGTGACATTTACGAGTCGAATTGGGATCTGTGGCAGCAGTGGATGGGGAATGTAACGAGGAAGATCCCGTACATGGTTCTTCCTGGCAATCACGAGGCGGCGTGTGCCGAGTCTGATGGGCCGGGGAATGTGCTGACTGCGTACCTGAACGATGACAAGTCGAATTCGACGGCTGCCAAGGAGAACTTGACGTACTACAGCTGTCCGCCATCGCAGAGGTATGCTCAATACCATTCTATGTGTGACTTATGCTGACGATGTAGAAACTACACGGCCTACCAACATCGCTTCCGCATGCCCGGCGCGGAAACCGGCGGCGTATCCAACTTCTGGTACTCCTTCGACTACGGCCTCGCGCACTTCATCTCCATAGACGGCGAGACCGACTACCCCAACAGCCCGGAGAAGACCTTCGCAGAAGATGTAACAGGCGACGAGGCCCTCCCCACCGAATCCGAAACCTTCATCACAGACAGCGGACCCTTTGGCGCTATCACCGGCAGCTACAAGGAGAAAAAGTCGTACGAGCAGTACAACTGGCTGCAGAAGGATCTGGCGAGCGTAGACCGCTCCAAGACGCCGTGGGTGGTTGTCATGAGCCATCGGCCGATGTATTCTTCTGCGTATTCATCATATATGAAGAATGTCCGGGATGCGTTTGAGGCATTGTTTTTGAAGTACGGCGTTGATGCGTATCTTTCCGGGCATATCCACTGGTACGAGCGGATGTTGCCTATGGGGAACAACACCATCGACACAGCCTCCATCGTGAATAAGAACACCTACCGCACCCATCCCGGCAAGTCCATCACACACATTGTCAACGGCATGGCAGGCAACATCGAGAGCCACACTGAGTTCAGCGCCGGCGAGGGATTGACCAACATCACGGCTGTTCTGGACAAAACACACTACGGCTTCAGCAAGATGAGCTTTCTCAACGAGACGGCCCTCAAGTGGGAGTTTATCCGCGGCGATGATGGATCTGTCGGCGATCATTTGTTGTTGTTAAAGAATTAGATCATGATGTATTAAATAGACATATCAGAGAAGTCACTTCCGTCGACTCCACGCAATCACAATCCCCAATAGTGTCAAACAGATGAATAAAACAATAAACACCAACGCCACCATCCGGCAGCAGTATGCGTCTGCACGCTTACTCTCCCGACGGACTATCGCCTTCTCGCAGGTCTCACAGTGTTCATGGGGAGTGGTAACCACTGATGTGGTCGGTGCTGGTGCATGGCCATGTTGATGGGAAGATGGTGTTTGACGTTCAATGTCGTCGAGTTCGATCTGCGGGACTTGGGTGTACTGTTACTGTCAGATCTGTTGATCTAGATGTGGCAGTGAGGATGGAAACATACACTCCCTTGACGGGCAGGATTATACCCGCCCTCTTCGTACGGTGGTGTTGGCTCCAAACCCATTCTGGCTGTTTGTTTTCGCTGACCTTTTGATTAAGATGTTGAGGATGGATGTGGCTGGAAGGGGTGTTTAAATTTAAATAGTGCTGCCTGAACTGAATGTGGCTGTGGCTAGGCTGCGGCTGTGCTTATTTGCTTATTCTTTCAGGTAGGGAATACATCTACGGCGTGATGTCATTAATATTGACAACTGATAAGAATGTCTTTTCTGTTGTTGTTTAAGTCGATGCAGAATTTATCGTCTTGTAAGTATATGGTATTTGGCTAAAAGTGAAGTAGGTAGGTGCTACCATTATGAATATATAATGACATAGGTATACTAGACTTGCCGAATTTTATACACTGCCGGATTTATTATGCTAACCCAGAGTCTCGTTTGTATGTATCAGTGCTTTAAATGGCCATGGATATCTATACATCAATTGCAGAAAATAGAGCTACTGCTTGGAATCCTAGAAAAGAGACAATGACAGACTGCCAATCTCGGACCAGACAAAGGCACCCTTTGTCAAAATTTAGCATTATTAAGCTTAAAGTCTTGGGCTGTCATGTCTGTCAAGTTGCTGTTTTCATTGCTGTATTTCTATAAAAAGATTTCCCCTCCATATCTCCGCCCAATCGTTTATCGCCCATCTTGATGTTGTGTCCAGTGCTTGGCACCGAGATAAAACTTCCGGAACAGTCCAGAGATGCGCCGATCATGGTGTAACAATCAGGGATTGCAACCACTTGTTTCGACGGATGCGGTTGTCCACCGCAGCTGCGGGTAGGGCTTTTAAATAAACTGTCATTGTCCCTTGATTGTTCCGCTTTGGATGGAGATAAAAGACAAACGTTAAACATAATGGCGTACAATAGAGATTATCCCAGCGATACATTTCCAGATTACGAATTATCACATATCCCCATTCAGAATGAAACAGCAGAAAAAGCTGCCACGGCAACAACAGCAACAGCAACAGGAAAACCCGCTGCTGTGGGCGGGCCGTGGTACGATCCACGAACATGGTCGCTGCGGAAGAAATTACTAGTCGCCCTCGGGGTGATCATCGTGATTATTGCGATCATCGTTGGAGCAGTTGAGGGTGTCAAACGTGCTTCGTATCCGGATTATTCGGCGTTGAATTATGCCCTGGTCGACACATACTCCGGATCGTCGTTTTTCGATCAGTTTGAGTACTTTTCCACCGAGGATCCTACCAATGGATTTGTCCAGTATGTTTATCGTTTACATTGTATATTACATTTGACAAGCTAATGGGAACAGATACGTTGATTCAAGCGCTGCCTCGCAGCTGAATCTCACACATGCCTCAAGTACATCAGCCATCTTGCGAGTCGACACCAGCACCGCCAACCAAACCAGCGGCCGCAAATCAGTTCGTGTGACATCGAAAAACACCTACGAGCATGGGCTGTTCATTTTCGACGTCATCCACACCCCCTACGGCTGTGCGACATGGCCGGCCCTGTGGCTGACTGACCCGAACAACTGGCCCACCAACGGCGAGATTGACGTCTTGGAATCGAACAACAAAGGCACCAACGGGAATATGATGACTCTGCACACGACGGATGATTGCAAGATGAATGTGAAACGGAAAGAAACCGGGTCTGCGACGCATTCCAACTGTCTGAACACGGCAAATGACAATGCCGGATGCGGTGTGACTGGTGGTAAAGCGACTTACGGACAGGTGTTTAACGACAATGGCGGCGGGGTGAGTATCTATTCTCTACCGAAAATAATGCAATGCAATAATGCTAAATCCTGCAGGTCTATGCCATGGAGCTCCGCGATGCCGGTATTCGCGTTTGGATGTTCGCCCGCGACTCCATCCCCGCCGACATTTCCAACACGAGCAGCACCCCCGATCCATCGACATGGGGTGAGGCATTGGCTGATTTCCCCAGCACACATTGCGATATTGGCTCGCATTTCAGAAACCAGAGTATTGTCGCTAATATCGACATCTGCGGTGATATGGCCGGTGCTAGTGCGTTTTATACGGATACGTATGAATGCCCGGGGTCGTGCTCGCAGTGGGCTGCGGAGAATGGAGGGAACTTTACCGATGCGTACTGGGAGTTTAAGAGCTTCAAGGTTTATCAGGCTGATTCGACTGGTTCGACTGCCTCGTCGTCTGCTAGTTCTGCGCAGTCTGCATCTACCCCGTCTGCTACGGCAGCGGCAGGGTCAGAGCAACAAGAACAGCAACAACAACAACAACAGCAGCAGCAGCAGCAACAAGAAGATTAATTGTGGTAGTAGTGATAATTACATATCAATGTCATTTACTTGCGTGCTTATCTACTTGTCCTCTCACCCTGAATCCACCCGTAAGAGTATTAACACATTTTTTCTATATATTTTATTTCCCCAAATCTCAATTCTTTATCCATCATACCTACCAGGCGAAGAGCCTGGTGACATTTCCACTACTATTCCTCTATTGATAATCGAAACTCTCTATGCAGCGATCGTCTGCTTCGAGGCGAAAGAGCTTGTTGCTTTTATACGGTGACGCCCGAAACCGCCTTCCGTATCGTCCAGGGGGTAACTGTGGCAGTAGTTAGTAGGAAATTACACATAAATTTGCAGTTCTGGCCCGGTGGTGAAATGTTTTCGTCAGGGGCTGACATGTGAAATATTCTTGTGTAGAACTAGTGAATTAGATAAATAACTATAGCGTAATGTGGGGTGAACAGGGCGGACTGGATGGCAAATTTGCGTTGCCAGTAATCCGCTGGCTTCCCCGGATCCACCCATGTCTACACTAGTTCCAAACGTTGCCAGGCGACTCTTCACTTGGTTCAGTGCTCGCAATTCCCAATCTTCATTCTTCATTCTTCTTCATCCCTGTTCAACCCTGTTCGATCTCACTACACGGTTACAGACAGAACTCGAGCATGGCCGCTGGTTTCCTCCCCTACCATGAACCTGGAAGTACGTACACAAGCATATGCACATTGATCTCTGCTCATTCCCTCACTGATGAAATCCCGCAGCTGTCGACATCCTCATTGTCGTTTCCTTCTTCTTTTTCCTGACCTTTGCTAGGTGGGTCTCCGCAACGGTGATCCAGGCCGGAATCATCGGTCAAATCGCCGTCGGCATCATCTACGGAGTACCCTTGGCCAATATCCTTGAACATAACTGGCAAGAGACTTTTATTACTCTGGGATATGTCGGTCTGATTTTGATCATCTTCGAAGGTGTGTGAAAATTTTCATCGTGCCTGGCTGCGTTGCTTCTTGGCTTCTTGGACACTGATGTCATCCCTTCTAGGCGGACTTGGCGCCCGTGTCGACCTGCTCAAGCAGAACTTCACGTTGAGTATGATCGGCGCCGCAACCGGAGTTTTATTTCCTATTGGTCTTTCATACCTTTTGCTCTATCTTGGATTCGGATATGGTTGGTTTTATTTGCCCCAATTCCTGCAGTCAGCAGCTAACATGGACTAGGTGCGGTTGAGACCTTTATCATCGGCGCATCTCTTTCCGCTACTTCACTCGGTAAACTATATTTTTTTCGGAATGGTTTGACCATCTTTCATCTGCTGATAAATAATAGGGACCACCTTTGCTGTGATCAGCTCTACGTCAGACTCGGTCAACCTCGCGGAGACTCGAGTAGGGTCAGTTCTGGTGAGCGCGGCTGTTATCGACGATGTTGTAGGACTTGTTATGTTAAGGTGTGTTAGTTACGGTGTGCAGTCTGAATTTCAAGCTAACTAGCACACAGTGTGATTGGCGATCTGGGCAAACTTTCAGGAGGCGGCGATAGTGTCAACCTGGGCTGGCTCATTGGGCGTCCCATCGTGGCATCTATAGGCATGGCTGTCGTCACGCCCATCGTCACCAAATGGGTCTTCGCGCCAATTTTCCGAAGGTTCATCGAATACCGCTTTGCGCGCTACGACCATATCTCCAACATCATCCTCATGACTCTTGTGCTTTCGGCTTTTATTGCCATCGCTGGCTTCACTGGTACATCCGTCTTATTTGGCGCCTTCCTGGCGGGTGTATTTCTGACATACATACCGAGCAAGCACCCCGAGGGGCCATTTGTTGTCCTGAGCCGTGAGGAGGGCGAGCGCGAGGCGGATAAAAGTCCCACGTTCATTCATACCTTTGAGAAATACCTGTTAGGACCCCAGCAGTATTTGATGGAACCCTTGTTCTTCTCCAGTATCGGATTCGCGATTCCGTTCTTGAAGCTGTGGACCGGGGAGCGCATCTGGAAAGGGATTGTTTTCACCCTCCTGATGACGTTTGCAAAGGTATACAGATACCCTCATCAGTTGTTTCGCATCAATTGAGCTAAAAAATATATCTAGTGTGTCGTTGGAATTTGGGTCCCAATATGGCAAGTTGCGTTGGGAGCGAAATCTCACGAAGACCAGAAAACACAGGAACAACCAAAAATGGAGGGCAACAACCCAAGCGATGAAGGACAAACTGACCAGGAGACGCGAAAGACATGGAAACGCACCTGGCTGGCCGCGATACTTTTAGGATCTGCCATGGTAGCACGCGGTGAAATTGGGCTTCTGATCATCGAAATCGGACACAACGAGACTCCGTACGTCAGTGACGAAGGTTTCTACACTGGCGTCTGGGCGATTCTTTTGAATACCATCATTGGTCCAGTTAGCGTTGGTCTCCTGGTTAGATTCTACGCGCACGAGCTGGAAGGAGGGGATTGGGGAGTGCAGCGTGCTCCACTGCCTACCTCGGGTCCTGATATCAGTGGGCGCGGTGCGGTGTAGACGTTTTCTCGAAGATTACATGTGGACCGGAAGGATATGGCTGTACATAACTGTGGATGCGCCGTGGGAAAGCGGCATGGCGATTGGTTTTTGATATAGCTGACATACGTACCCCAAAGATGTCTCCGAAATAGACAGAACCATACCTGAGTACCTGTGTAACATTAGTCGTTTGCTTTATTGAGAGGGTAAGGGATTAAGTGGATTTTGTGCTTTGCTTGAGCTAGTTCAAGACTCAAGACAGCAAAGCTTCGGACTGTAGACCTCGGCATTTCCCCCGCAAGCACTTGGCATTCCAGGGCGCAAGCTTGGCAAACAGCGGAGTCAATGATTCATGATCCTGTTACAAATGATTCTGGTCCCATATATAATTAAACAACCCTTAGACATAATTAATTATGCTGTAGCAAGGTTTGAATATTGGCAGTAGTTGAATCACAGGGAAAATGCTTCGGACTTCGCTTCGTCTGCCTGCTCGCCAAGATTTATCTGCGGCGGAGTTTTGCCAATCCTCAGAATGTGATCCATCCCCATGGCTTGAACCGATATACCTATGGCCTGCGAACCTCAGTCCGCACCACGAACAAATAAAATATTAGGAGTCTGATACCTTGACACTCTGGTGCAACACCAAATGAGAGCACGCTTGACAATATCTGGCCTCAGATAATTCAGAGTACTTGCCCTGCCACACCTTTAACCACTCAGGCTTTCTGCTTTCTCCAATAAAGGCGAAATACTTAAGTTTGCGTCCGTATTCAAGTGCAAAAAATACTGCCTTTAGTTCTTTTGGGCCGACGAGGGTATATCTATAGGCAAAATCGTCATTGCACAGGTTACTAATGCAAGGATGCTAATTATGCCTTTCATGTCTTGTCCACTCCAGAAGAACACGCGCATCCGATCTGGATCTTTGAAAGAGGCTCTTTCACTAGCGAATGCCGTCATATTGAATTCAAATCGTGGATTGAGTACTAATCTACTGGCATTGTCATCGTTCTCCACATCGTAAGTTCCTTCTTAGAATATGCTGCGGAGAGAAAAGTCAGGGGTTTCCTTTTCTTTTTTTCGAGCTCTAAAACTGGTGGTGTGTCTTAGCTACATGCGGACACCTTCATACCTGAAATTGAAGGTCAAGTTCGCCATGGGGTGTGACATAAAGTATCTGATTCGGTGTAAAGCACCGGGAGCCAGAGGTGCTTCGGGGTAATATAATGAGTTGCAAGTCGCCGGCGTTCTACGGGCGAGAATACTGCGTGGGAAAATGTATGGGTGGTATTACTCAGAATTAATTACTTACCCCACAGTCCTCTGTTATGCGGTCTTCTATATATAGTCTTATTTAGCTATGGTCATATGGTGCTGGAAGCCCACTATATCCTTACTATAAGGCCACTATTAGATTGCTACTAGGTTCTAGGGTATGATAATTACTCCCCCCCTTTATAGGGGCTTATCCGTGAGTCCTGTACTAAGCTAAATTTAGAATAGTCTAGATATTAGACTAATATAATACTGTAATACTGTGTCACACCCCGGAACCTGGCAGCGATCCGACGGCGGCCTCACGGCGAGGACGCAGCGGGCTTCCGGCACCACGTGACAATTGCTAAACGAGACTGTATATAGAAGACCGCACAACAGAGGACTGCGGGGTAAGCGATCGATTCTGAGCAATACCACCCATACGTTTTCCCACGCAGTATTCTCGCCCGTAGAACGCCGGCGACTCGCAACTCATTATATTACCCCGAAGTACCTCTGGCTCCCGGTGCTTTACAGTTTCGATCGCTTCCCATTTTAGTTGCGAAACGTTGACATGCGGACGAGACGGTCGCTACTGCCTGACCCATACTCTGAGGAAGACCTCAACCAAATTCGACACGCCCGTGGAACGAATGCTACACGACGACGAACTGACCAACCGACTGAGCAAAATATGGCTCCACAACAACCCGAACAGCCTCAGTTACCTGAGCAACCCGAACCGACCCAGCAGCCTGAGCGATCTCCGCGATCTCAACGATCTGAGCGCTCGGAGCAACCCCCCAATGATCAGCAAAACGAAGCTGCTCCAACAATAGGACTCAATCCTACCACTATTATAACGCTCGCTGAGCTGTTCCAGAGCCTCTCTGACAAGAAGCAGGAGGGACCCAAGATACCCGAACCTAAGCCCTATACAGCAAAGAACACTTAGCAGTTGCAAACTTTCCTGCAAGACTTAGAGGAATACTTCAGCTCAAAGCCTCGAGTCTATGGCAATGGCAACCATAAAGTCACGTATGCGTCCAACCGTCTACAAGGTGATGTTAAGCAGGCGTGGAGAGAACATAGCAACGGTGCTGAAGCCTCTTTTACCTATGATAAGTTCATGGAATTCCTCTGGAACCATCTCGAACCTGAGGAAGACCGCAGCCAGACAGTGATATACCAGCTACTCAAGGTTGAATAGTAGCCCAAGCAGGGAGTACGCCAGTTTTTCTCCTAGATCAGAGAATACCTTACTGTTATTGACCGCCCCATGGTACTCGAAAAGCAATGGGTCAACATGGTCATGGTAAAGCTTCGACCTGAGATATAATATGACGTCCGTCGGGACCCCAGCAGGCCGACGACAATAACCAAGCTAGAAGAAGTCACTGCGAGATATGAGAAAATGTTATAATAAGAAAGCGCGACTACTTCTAAACCCCCTCCAGCGCACCAGCAACCCTGAACATAGTTCCTAGGAAGCAACCCACAGCTGAAACGCAGGGCAAATGACGCGGAGAAGCCTCCTACTAATGACTGGGGAAACCCCAGGAAGTTCTGTAAGGAGGACAAACAGAGCCATAAGGCCGCCGAAGCCAACCGCAATACTCTCTGAAAGGAAGGTAGATATTTCATCTGCTATGAACGGGGACACATACGAGATGCCTGCCCGAAGGCGAAGAGTAAGGGGGACGAAGCTCCCACAAAGGAGACATCCCGTGACTAATAGGGACTTTGGCTCTATAAGATTAACATATTATGTTATACCAATGAGGAACCACCTGACCCTTTCCTTACGCAGGTTAAGGTAAAGATTGGCGATCAGGAAGTAATAACCAGAGTGCTAATTAACAGTGGAGCGGGACCTGATTTTATATCATAACAGTTTCTGCAGAAGCACGGCTATCCCTTTAACAGCGAAACACTGCCGACTCACTATTCCCTTACTAATGGCACGCCTACCCTAAGTTATAGAAAACCTAGGTTGGTACACATAACCACTGATTAGGATGGAAACGCCAGGGTTTTTAAAACCCTGTTTAAAATCCTAAATCTTGCTCATTACAACATTATCCTAGGGCGAGTCTGGCTACGAGACGCGTATCCAGACTTAAACTACGCGGTGAGTACCTGGCGTTACCGACGCGACTCGCTGGAGTTTAAAGTAGAAGAGCCCGAAGAATTCTATAAGACAATGAGGAAGGGAGGCGAAGCGGGATATATCCTTGCAGAGATTACTAAGGGAGATTCCTTTAGTAATGAGATACCTGCAGTTTACCGTCAACACGCACGCGTGTTCTTAGAGAAGGAAGCTGGCATGCTTCCATCAGAGGAGACTTTATATAAGATAGAGCTGACTAAGGGACAGACGCCTCCATACGGACCCTTATACCCCTTATCCCCAGCAGAACTCTCAGTTCTACGGGAATATATAGAAGACAAGCAGAAGAAGGGGTGGATCTAGGAAAGCGCTAGGCCTGCGGCGGCTCCTGTTATCTTTATAAAGAAACCTGATGGTTCTTTACATTTATGTGTGGACTATCAGGGCCTGAATGCTGTCACTGTGAAAAATCAATATCCACTCCTGTGGATTAATGAGTTGATGGACCGACTCGTGGGATCCAAGATCTTTACTAAGTTAGATCTTTGGGACGCGTACCACCATATACATATCCGGCGGGGTGATGAGTGGAAGACGGCTTTTCGAACCCAATACAGTCAGTTTGAATACACGGTGATGCCATTTGGCCTATGCAATGCTCCTTTGACTTTTCAGGCATATATCAACAATGCTTTGAAAGGAAGTCTTGACGTCTTTTGCGTGGTATATTTAGATGATATCCTCATATATTCTAACAGCGAAGAGGACCATATTCGCCATGTGGATGAAGTATTAACGCGCCTTGAGAAGGCAAACCTGTATGCGAAATTGTTGAAATGTGACTTCCACCTACCCAAGGTTAAATTCCTAGGGTATATCGTGGGACGCGATGGGATGAAGCTGGATCCAAGCAGACTAGATACTGTTAGGGATTGGCCGGAGCCCCGATCCTAACACGATATCCAAGTCTTCTTGGGATTCACTGGATTTTTCTGATGATTTATACACCGATATTCTGGCATCACGGCCCCCTTAACAGACTTGTTGCAAGGGGCCAATAATAAGAAGAAGAAGTGACAATACTTTGAGATAATAGCATCAGGCCGTCGGGCATTCTAGGAACTGAAGGACGCGCTCCTTAATCCTCCTGTGTTAGGATACTTTGATCCTGAGAAGGAGATCCTACTTGCCACAGATGTATTGGGCTATGCTATTGCAGGCATACTCCTACAACCTAATGGTGAAATGAAAGAGAAGAGCTGGGCATCACAGTGGCGGCCTGTTGCTTTCTTCTCATGAAAACTTAATGGTACTGAACCAAGATGGGAAGTGCATGACCAAGAGCTCCTGGCTATTATAGAATGCTTTAAACACTGGAGACATTACCTAGCAGGTAGCCAGCGTCCCATCAGGGTATAGATGGACCATGCGAACCTGAGGTATTTCTTTACTACGAAGACGCTCAACCAGCGGCAAGCGCATTGGGCAGAACTGTTAGCTGTGTACGACTTTATAATAGAGTACTGGCCCGGCCGTCAGAACCCCGCTGACGCGCTGTTAAGACGCTGGGACTACAAGCCCACGTATGAAGATGAAACAAATATCGGTATGCTGCCTACACTGTAGAGGAAACTCAGCAACGGCATTTAGATGACCTGATTGAGCAAAGAGGCCCCCAGTTCTTTGGAAGATCCTTAATTGGGGGGATATAGAGGTCTGGAACTCTTAGTCCCACAACTGCTAGCCATTAAGGCGGTTAGCAATGAAACTGCCTGGGAAGCGCCGTCTACCTCACTCCAGCAGATGATCTTGCAGCTACAGGATGGGGACGCCCGTTCTTGCAAGATCAGGGAGAAGGTGACGGTTAACCAGGAGTTTCATCAGAAAGGATGGCGAATTGGGAACAATAAACTCCTTCAATTCAGGGGCGCTATCCTCGTACCTCGCAATTCCGCGATGAAGCATGAGATTATAAGGATTCATCATGATGATCCTTATGCCGGACACTACGGTGTTGATAAGATGGCGACTCTACTTTGAGGGAAATTCTACTGGGTGGGTCTTTGAAATGACGTCGAAGAACACGTGGGCAGCTGTGCCGCATGCTAGAAGATGAAGATTCTATGAAATAGGTCATACAGGAAGTTGTCTTTACTTCCTGTGCCAGATAGGCCCTGGAAGGATTTGTTAATAGACTTTATCACCGGCCTACCACTATTGGCGTACTGGGGGGTAGTCTACGACGCTGTACTGGTTATCATAGACCGTTTTTCTAAGATGACCTAATATCTCCCTGTGCATAAGGACATTAGAGTTGAAGAACTTGCTAACACCTTTATAGAACACGTAGTCACCAAGTAAGGGCTGCTGAGAAGCCTGGTAAGTGACAGAGACTTGCTGTTTACAAGCAAGTACTAGACCGAGTTCTGTCAAGCACTATGAATAAAACGATGAATGAGTACAGCGTTCTATCCCTAGACTGACGGTCAAACAGAGCGTCAGAACCAGACATTGGAGATGTATCTACGCCTATTCATGAATTATCACCAGGATGATTGGGCACAGTGGCTTTATATGGCCGAATTCTCATGCAACAACATGAAAAGTGCATCCATGAAGTATTTGCCTTTCCAGGTGGTCTACGGCTACTCGCCGCCGTTACCCCAAACAGTCGACCTGGACGAGGACTTCACGGTGGCGTTGGTTGAGGGCTGAATGAAGTAAATGCATGAGGTATGGGAGACTGTGGGAAAGAACCTGCAAACCACAGTTGAGACACAGGCCAAATACTATGATAAATGCCACAACGACATCTCTTTCTCAGTGGGAGAAAAAGTTCTCCTATCCACGCAAAATCTGAAGCTTCAACGCCCTAAGAAGAAGCTGATTCCGAAGTTTACCGGACCGCTAGAAGTTGTTGCCGCTGTCGGCAAGCAGGCGTATACCCTGCAACTACCCAAGTCCTTTGGATGAACTCATCCAATGTTCTACGTCTCGTTACTTCGACCTTGGAGGAAGCGGGAAGGTGAAACGCCACCAGAGGACATCCTTCCTGTCATAATCGATGACGAGGAGGAGTGGGAAGTAGAGGAAGTCCTTGATGAGAGAACACGATATCGAAAAAAGCAGTACCTAGTAAAGTGGAAGGGATTCCCGGAGTACGAAAACTCCTGGGAGCCGGCAGAGAACCTGGAGAACGCCGGCGAAGCGCTAGCTGAGTTCAAAGAAAGACAGGAGCATCATCCTCGTCAGAGGCAATCACAACAGAAACGTTGAGGCTTTTTACCCATGGGGTTTTTGCACAACGGCTGCGTATCGCCGGGTGACCGCTGCAGTCACACTGACAATATTTCCCTTCCTCCATTTTCCTGATACATACAGGTTTCGGAGGTTTAACGGGGATATGTCTTATCTACGCTACGCATTTACTAGAGCAGTATTCTGATCGGAAAAAGCTTCTCATTCTCTCATTTCTTAACTAATTACATGACATTTATTCCTCCACTTCGCCAGCGAAGAGATCATCAAAGTCCTCCATTTCAGAGGCGTCCACCAATGGCATACCCCAGTGCTCACGCAAGGTATTCACCAACGAGAAGACGTTGCGGTTAAGGGACCGCAGGGCCCGCGTCTGACAAGCCTCATCCGACTCGCCGTTCACCCTCTTGCGGAAGGCGTGTATGTCTTTCACTACCTTATTGATGGCCTTTTTCCGGTCGCCAGCGCCTTGCCCAAGGGCGCCAGTGACTGCAGCTTGTAAGGAAACTAGCACCAGCAAGCAGGCTTTCTTCAAACAGGCACAGTATTCGCACTTCACCGCAGCACAAGGACACACATAAATAAAATCTTCATTTTTAGCTAATTGGCCTAGGTAGTGAACATATATCAAATAACCACTAAAAGGCGTGGCGGGCATGGCAGTAGTGGGAAGTAAGTGGGGGGCAGGCATGGTAGCATCTTAAAAGGGTAATATAAGCCTAAGACTGTTAATAAAAAATGACCCTAAAGGTAAAGGGAGATGAGGGTGAGGGGGCAGTGAGGTAACAGCAGAGGTAGGCATATAAATAAAGCTATTAAGAGCCTAGGGGAACTGGCCCCTAGTAAAGGAAGAGGAAATAAGGCTGAAGCCCACTAAACCCTATAATAGATATATAACTATTAGCTCACTGTCTGTATAAACACTACTTAAAGCTGTTATAAAAGGAGCCACTTACTGAGGTGTTAGCTTCTACTAACTAATGACATTTAGCCTTAGTAGCCTGAGCAGTAGCACTAACTAAAGGATATTTTACTATCTCTATGACATTAACATGATAACTAAATAAATAGGAAATGAAGATACTCACGTTGAAAGATAAGGGTAAAGAATAAATAGAAAAAGGACTACTTGAAGTAACTATACCTATAGTTTTATAAAGGGGACTGGACAACTCACCTTTACATAAAGTGGAAGAATTTCTTATATTTATATTTAATAACAGTAACACTAAGCCTAAGTAATATATAAGTAAAGCTATTCAGAAGCTATTATAAATAGGAAATAATAGGAATAATCCTATTCAGCATATTAAATAAATGGCAGATAATGGGAGTATATGTTAGTGTTACTCTGCAAAACTAACATAACAAAATCCTAAAATAACTAATAACAATAACAACAACGCCACAATGCTATTGACAATAAGATGAAACAACAGTATAATAATTACTATTCAGGGATAATAGAAGAAGCCTTTATTATATAAAAAATAATTAGAATAAGAAATAATTCAGGCAGTATCACAGTATTATGTTGGTCTAATATCTAGACTATTCTAAATTTAGCTTAGTATAGGACTCATGGACAAGCCCCTATAAAGGGGGGGAGTAATTGTCACACCCCAGAACCTGGTAGCAATCCAACAGTGGCCTCACAGTGAGGATGTAGTAGGCTTCTAGTACCACATGACAATTGCTAAATAAGACTGTATATAGAAGACTGCATAACAGAGGACTGTGGGGTAAGTGATTGATTCTAAGTAATACCACCCATACATTTTCCCACGCAGTATTCTCGCCTGTAGAATGCTGGCGACTCGCAACTCATTATATTACCCTGAAGTACCTCTGGCTCCCGGTGCTTTACATACTGCCTAAATTATTTCTTATTCTAATTATTTTTATATAATAAAGGCTTCTTCTATTATCCCTAAATAGTAATTATTATACTGTTATTTTATCTTATTATTAATAGCATTATAGTATTATTATTATTATTAGTTATTTCAGGATTTTATTATATTAGTTTTATAGAGTGTTACGACCTGCGGCCGTACGCCGGCCGCACCTCGCTCACGTGATGTACCTAGATAAGCAACCAGCGTAGTAAGTGGGTTGTAGGTCATGTGATACCAACCACACATAACCTCACTGCAGTGTGTAATATACCACACACCAGTGATTAGTTCTAATACTACTATACACACATTCTACCACACTCTCTACATACCTCATAGGATATATCCTTACAGTTCTAATTACTCTACTCTATAGATCACCCAGTAGAACACACTGCATACTTAATAAATAAGAATAATAATTATAATAATCCCAGTAATACCCAGAGGGACTAAAGTTAATAAGCAGAATACCTCTAATAATTAATTAAATATATAGCTATAAACTAACACACTAGGCCTCCTACACTATTTATAGAGGATCCAGACATCATAGAAATCACACTAGAAGATAATATATATTATATAATATCTTTAGATAAATAACTTGCAGAAGCTTATATATATAAGGTAGAACTTAAAAAGCTTAAAGAACTTAACCTCCTCTAATAATATATTATAGAAAGGTAGAGAAACCTCACTAAATTAAATACTAGGGAATAATCTCAGATCCTAATCAGACCTATTATATAAGATAAACCACAGGCTATAATATTAAGCTCTATTATAAGTAGTAAGGCTAACTTCTTAAAACCTCCTCTATACCTAGTAAACCTAGAACAGTTCTTAGCTAAGAATATATACTAATTATAGAACTTTATAAACTAACTTAGAGCACATTTTATATAGTTCTAAGACTAGTTCTCTATTAATAAGTAGTAAAAGGTAACTTACAGTATTAACTATCTTAATTTAGCCTACCTTATAAAATAGGATTAAGAGATAAATCATATAATAATTAAACACAGTTAGAAAGAATTTAAAAACTTCTATTAAGGCTATATTAGTAACCTAAGAATTCTCTAATAATATATAGCTATCTAATATAATAGAGTATAACAATAAGAATACTAGAATATTATAGATTTTTTAAACTATCTTACTATACTAGAGAATTAACTACTGCACTAATACATAGATAAATAAAGAAAATAACACCTATTTATAAAAGTCCTCCTAAGTATATAATATAAGGTATAAAAGTTAAATATTAACCCTACTAACCTAAATAAATTTTTAGTATACCTATAGTCCCTTAAGGATAGCTTACTAGAATAATAATAAGAGTTATATATTAGTAGAGGAAGCAGGGACCCCTCTAAAAGAGAAGGATAAGGTAGACCTTAAGTAACTATAGGAGGTGGTCTATAAGGAACCTAGAAATCTTATTCTAGACTAAATAAGTAAAAATATAGTCTAGATCCTCTATAAAATTATAATAGACTTATCTACTAGAGATATAGATAGTATAGTTATATAGTACTAACTTATTATATACTATTACTACACATCCAGACCTCTATATTAGGAGTTAATATAGAGAACCTAAAAAAATAAGGGATTTAGTAATTAGTACTATAACAGCACTAGATCTTAGAGAAGAACCTTATAGTAAGTAAATAGTATTTAATATTATTATTAATACACCTATAGGTCCTATAGCTGCATTTACTCTCCTAGATTATAGTAGCAAATCCAGTTTCATTAACCAGTACTAAGTAAAAGAGTATCTAGCTAATATAGATAGCCTAGTACATCCTATTTAAGCTATTAATAGCTATATTATAAACTTATATAGCAGCTATAGACTTAAGATTACTATTACTAATAGTAATAGCTTAGTATGGGACTAAGTTAAGATATTTAAAGTAGTTAATATAATAATCTATAATATCATTCTTAGCTTTCCCTAGCTTAAAGCTGTTAACCCTAATGTATATTAGTTAAAATATAAATAGTACTACTATACTAATGTTACAGCACCTTTATCAGTGACCGTATCAGGCAGAAACAGGCGGTCAAAGAAAGGATATTCTTATTACAGAGAATTACAATTTGCTATTATCATGCTCTTTACAGCCACCACCCAGAAGACACTATTATGTCATGTGATCAGAAAATACCATTTATCATACTATAAATGGTATATAGGATGGTATACAAGGGTACTATAGGAAATACTATAAATAGTATAAGGAATGGTATACTTAGTAAAGGATATATAAAGACACTCATTTTATATACCTAGATAGTTCTTTATAATTAATATAAGTTATTATCTTACAGTTACTATTTAATTACTACCCTAATTATTCTACCCACTTATTCACATATTCCTAAGCTTAATTAAGAAGTATATATACTTCTTAGCCTTACTTCTCTCTTTAACTATCTTACTATATTCTTAAGCACTTAGCTTGTAGGAGCACCCTAATTACTATTAATATCCTTAGATTAGGGTTATAGGTCAGTATTTCCTAGCTTAACTCACAGTTTATAGGTTAGGTACTATTATAAGATCCTAAGGTGTGATATATTAATTACCTATCTATATAAGTATATAAGTAATATCTAATATTGACACTAGTCTATCTTAAGTAATTAACTTAAAATACTATAACTAATAATACCCTGATAAGCAGTATTAAAAGTAGTGAAACCTAGAGTAATAAGAAGCTCCTAGGCATGATTAAATAGCTTTAGGAAACTATTACTATAATAAAAAGTCACTTTACTACTAAAGTAGTTAAAGTATAACTACCTAAACTATTTACTAGAAAGAGATTATATCTCTAGATATTTCTTATATAAATAGATACCTATCTCAATATTAATAAAGAGAAACTCTAATATAAAGCTAATAAGGTAGTTTTTATATTAACCTACTTATTAGGTAATATATTTAATTAGTTTAAACTATTTCTCTAAGACTTCTAAGAAAATACATTATACTACTAGGATAATAATACTAAAGAAATTTTTACCTCTTATACTAAGTTTAAAGAATGCCTTAAAGGAACTTTCAGTAATATTAATACTATATAATAAGTAGAAAGGAAACTATAATAACTTAGATAGATAAGATTAGTATAATAAATAGCTTCTAAATTCTAGTAGATTATATCCCACTTAGATTAGGATAAGGACATGTATATATCATACTTTAAAGAAATACTAAAATCTAAAGTATAGGAAAAACTTATCTAGCAGGAACAGCTAGACTCCCTAACTAAATTTATTAAATCAGTAGTTAAGATAGATAATAAACTTTATAAATTTAAAAATCAGTATACTAACTACTAATTTAGAGGGAATCAGCACATAACTAATTACTAATTAAATAATAGCTAAAGAGTATAACTAGTAAGCTAAGGATATATAAATCCTTTTAGGTTATAACTAATAGAACTTAATATAACTAGTATAAGATAGAAGGGCATGATACTAGAAGAGTAGGAATAATAATATAAGGAAAAGCTTTATTTCTTTTATAGAAAACTAGGATATATAATAAAAGATTATTAAGTGCAGTAATAATATAACTAGAGAAGTTAGAACCTAGGGAAATAACTCTAAGCTATAAAAAAACTTAAAGTAATAAATAAAGACCTATAACTCTAGAAGCTCTATTAATAATGCACTATATTAAGTAAAGAAGAAATTAATTAAGAACTTAACATAAGAAAAAAGGGACTAATTAAAATAATATAGGATAATTAAATAGAAGAGGAGC